TTGTTGTTGTTGTTGTTGTTGTTGTTGTTGTTGTTGTTGTTGTTGTTGTTGTTGTTGCGAGTTTATATCCAAAAGACGTATGGGCCAACTGTTGAGCGAGAGGAAGAGAAGAGAACGTCGCGGGAGGGCACTGAGAGTATTTCAGGTTTGCTTCTCATAGCCTCATAGCAATAGGGCGTCCTAACCGGTGTGCTTCCCCGCCCCTGCCAGCACATTGTACGTACAGAAACAGCATAGTGCCATGCAGCTCGGAGATGGCTGCCTATTCTGCCTGTTCTGCCTGTTCTGCCTGTTCAGCCTAAGGGAAATAAGCGGGCAGAAAAGTGCAGTAGTAAGAGCATCGCGAGCTTTTTCATCTTACATTGAGCCTGCAAGATATCATACTTCTTGAGGAAGAGTGAGAAATGTCAGACTCTGTCTCAAGCGAAGCGTCGGGCCGCTCAGTCTGGCCGCGTGAGCTTATCACGTTCATGTTCGCGTTTATTAGCACCAATGAGAAGCTGTTTGAATCAGACTCCACAAGAGCTGCTGGTTTCGCGAAATTGGCTGAGCGACTTGGAGCCATCAATCCAAAGAATCTAGCATACTCTCCAAAGAGGGTGAAGGCAAAGCTTGTGGAAATTCACAGGAGGTGCGGTGGTAAAGCTCCCATCGAAGAGCTATACCATTATGGTGTCCATAAAGCAACTCTGCCTGACTTGGAATTGTGGAAATATGCCACGTACAAGGAGATTCGGCATCAAATCGACATCTTGCGATCGTGAGTATCCGCTGGCAAAGCGTGGACAGCACCTGCCTACTCACAACCATTTTCGAGCAGAGAGCAAGGACGACTAAATCCTTCTTCAAGCACAATTCAGCCTGCCGAAAGCAAGAGCAAATATGAGACGCGTCAACAAAACCCATCTACTAAAGGCAAAATTCGGTGTATTTGTCCGTTCGACACCGAAGATGGCCAACGATCTGTTTGCTGCGAGCGGTGTGAGACTTGGCAGCACGTCTTCTGCTACTACGAACCACCAGAAAACCACTTTTGCGAGGAGTGTGTCAATAATCTCGCAGCCCATGGGGCGGAAGCTTCCATGCAGGACGTCACCAAAGGAATAGGGCTGCTGTCAGTCGTTTCCGACAATGGAAAGGACGAATTGGTACGACAGAGCCGATCCCTGGTCTCATATTTGTTGACTGACGCTAATGCATCCTAGAGCCGAGAAGACCTGCTGAAAAAGGTGGGAGAACTACAGCATTTGAACCGTCAACTCACTGCAGAAAATCAAAGTTGTCAACGCCAGATAAGATCATATAAGCTTACCCTCCAGAATGAGAGGCAGCTTGGTACATTTACAACTTTTCGGAACACTGACGCCATAGAAAGCGAGCCGAGCTTACTTCCAAATCCGGAAATTGAGAAGATCGTCGAAAAGATCAATAACCTGATCCGCGGCTATTTAGCATCACGACGGCTTCACGATAAAGAGCTCCCCTTGATCTCAATGGTTCAAGGCCGCGCAACATCTGACGAACTCTCCAACACTTGGAGCTCATATCTAGGAAAACAGCTATTATCCACCAGAAAGAATGCGAAGGAGTACCTAAAGAAAACCACTGCGTCGTCACATGGCATTCTGAAGACGCTCGTCTGGACAGCAATCCGCGACTGGGTCTTCAGCTCGGACGTGTTTTCCCTCGAATCATTAACAGGGCCCTTCTTGCCTCAAATGTCACATTGCGTCTCGGATCGTGGTACGTTCTCTCTCTTGAAAATGATAGTACCTAGCACCAAATCCTAATCTGTCGCAGACGGGCCAGAAGCACTACGGAATCTCTACCTCGCATCTTGGTTTGTACTATTGCAGATGGAGAACTCGTGGTTCCAGGATCTCTTGAATACCAGAGCCGTCGAGCTGGGACAGAGGCTGTCGACCGCTGTTAGCTCACTGAGAAAGATTTGCAACGCCGATGCTCAAAGTCAATCCGATACTATCGAAAAGGATCTCGACGTCGATTACGCGCGCTTCAAAGAAATAGTGATGACGGCCCTGGCGCTAAAATCTCGGCTGCCATTTAAAAAATCTTTGGTCGAACTTTATCTACCAGCTCCAGGCAGCATCTTTACTGACTGCCATGATGCATCTCTGTCGCCGAAAGGTTATACTGAGAAAGGGAGAGTTCTCCTTGCTGTTAGTCCCGCAATTCTCCTGTACTCTTTGGGTGCAAATGACAAGCAACAGACTCCAAGTTCGGTGCTTGATTGCATGGTCAATGGGGACATAGATCGAGAACAAGGAATCCTTGTTTGCCAGGCTTCTGTCCTATGCGAGGAAGACTGAATCTTTTTGAGCTCAAGATCTCGATGGTCAGAGCGCCAGTAAAGCAGCGGTATTCTGACGAATAAGGTACAGAAGGAGATACATGGGTTTGGGACATTGCAGATTGGAGTTGATGAGTATGAAAGTCTGAGCAACCTTGGATGGTATATGATTTTACTTGACAGACCCGTCGACGATGTCGCAAAGCATTCCATACATCAGACAGAGAGGTATCTCGCTGGTCTTGCTGGTATCAAGGATGAGCGAAGGATGTACAGGTTGGCAGGGATTCTGACCGAAGCTGTAGAGTGTGATTTCAGAAATGGAAATACGCCAGATAGTACATGTTGTCTTGTGTGCAGATGGATGCGGAAAGGTCCGCTTGAGTCGCTTCCTCTGCGGCACGACCTGAAGCAAAAGAGCGTCGGAGTGGATGCTGCCCCTTGAATTTCCATTCTATTGAAGCCCGACACGACTATGTACCTTGGATTTCATGGGCTTCAACGATTCGCCATCTCGACTTGCGTTTTCCATGAGAAGCGAGCCCACGGCTTGTTTGTCAACCAGGCGTTAACTCTAAAATAGGGTCTGCGGTTCCGCTAGACCGCTAGTCTGCTCGCCTGTGTCAGCTATCTCCCCTTCCGTCCGTTGGGCGACTTTTTCTTGACCCGGGAATTGGGGGTCTCTTTAACTAAACCTTTAACTAAATTTACTTAAAGCTCTTAACTAACTATATACCAGGTATTCGGGGCATGCCTAACAAATGCCAAGACCAACGTCAAGACAAAAGGCGCCCAACGGACGGAAATGTTGTGGATTCTCCAATGGGCGCCGTGCCTATGGCACGTGACCAGGTCACGTGGTTGCCTCAGTACCCAGGCAAGGAAGGGTACTTGCAGGCTCAGCTAGCTAGCATAGGTAGATAGGTGCCTTCGGCGCCTCCATAGAGCTTAGACAGACAACCATACCACCGCAAGTGCCTCACCAGGAAGGGGAGATAATCCAACCGCGTACCGTGTAGGGAAAAGTAGCGGTGTGTCTAGGAACCTTGTACAGCTGATGACTCGGTTGCGGTCAGGTCAAGGACGCATACCCTCGCTACGTAGATAATATGATAAGTGGGGTTTTCGTTGTCCAAGGTTGAGGTTGGTCTGGGCATTTTCCCCTCGTCGCACTCTTTATGCGCCCTTGTGCCATCGCCCGCATCCTCATAAAGCTCAACGCTCATGGCCGGGACCTTCCACGTCTTTCCCCGTCTTACATGCCTCTGCTTCATCCAGGTACACCGTGTTCACAAGCCCTCGGGGCTCTAAGAAGCTGTATGGACCGACGACCAGTCAGGTATGCGCCCCGCTTTCCCCTGGAGAAAAATCTTTCAGGTAATTTTTAGATGGTCGAATCCTACGTCAAAGCCTTTTACATACTAGGTAAGGTTTATGCCCTTGTCATTGTAACAAGGCGTGGATCTCAAAGGTTCCGTGACTGTCGATCAGCTTCAATTTCTGTTAGAAATACAAAAAGAATTACAAACTTCCCCGGTGCTGACCGCGGGTAACCAGCTCTCTCTTTCCCCCCTTTGCCTCTTTATTAGTTATTTCTGTTGGTATATTGGCAACATTTGTATACTTGTATACAACATCAGCGATCGCTTGTGCATCTTTGGGAAGAAAAACATTGTGTCTGCCCTCTCTACGACTGAGCCAACATTTGCGCTGGAGAGTCTTGTCGGAAGAGACGCTGGGAGAGTGGCCCATGCGCAATTGCCATGATAGAAAGGAACCACCTCGAGGCAGACGCCATGCCTCCCGTCAAGCAGCCGTGGATTGAGACGCCGTTGCTCGAATCAACAGTCCTATCCAAAATCGCTGGCTGGTAAAGACGACCCCTTCTCCTTCCCAGAAAATATCTCTATCAATGGACACCACCAATTGGCTGACCCGTGGCTTATCTTAACAAAAGTCGCATCTTCCTCAAACTCGAAAACCTCCAGCCCTCGTCGTCGTTCAAGTCCCGGGGCATCGGCAACTTGATGCTGAAAAGCATTCAAGAACAGTCAGAGTCGCCGTCCGACGACAGACCGCTGCACTTTTACTCGTCCTCCGCGGGCAACGCGGGGCTCGCATGTGTGACGGCGGCAACGTCTCTGGGCTATGCGTCCTCGGTTGTGGTGCCCACCAGCACCGACGAAGCCACGACCGCAAAGCTCCTTGCGGCGGGGGCCAGCGAGGTGATTTCACACGGCGACAGCTGGTTCTTCGCCGACCAACACCTCCGAGAAGTGGTCATCCCCGCCGCCGAGGCCCGGGGCGAGAAGGGCATCTACATCCACCCCTTTGACCACCCTTACATCTGGCAAGGCGCGGAGACCATGGTCGGGGAGATCAAGAAGCAGATGCCCCAGGGCGAGAGGCCGGACGCCATCATCTGCTCCGTCGGCGGCGGCGGCCTGTTTTCTGGCATCATGCAAGGCCTTGACGGCGTCGGCTGGTCCGATCAGGTCCAAGTGCTGCCCGTGGAGACCCTGGGCGCAGACTCGCTGGCGCAGTCGCTCCAAAAGAAAGAACTCGTCACGCTCCCGGCCATCACGTCCGTCGCGACGTCGCTGGGCGCCATTCGCGTTGCCGAAAACACCTTCAAGCAAGCGCAACGGCCCGCCATTACGTCCGTGGTGCTCGAAGACGCCGAGGCCTGCGCCGCCTGCTGGCGCTTCCTAGACGACGAGAGGATCCTCGTCGAGCCGGCCTGCGGCGCGAGCGTGGCCCTGGCGTACGACGGGCGGTTGAAGAGCGTGCTGAAGGGATTCAGCCCGGCGTCGAAGGTCGTGATCATCGTCTGCGGCGGGTCCAAGATCTCGCTCGACCTGTTGAACACGTACCGGGAGAAATACCAGAAGCGGAGTGAGGAGCTGGCCAAGAAGTATGAACAAGAGAGTTAACAAGGCTGCATATTTCTGCTGACAGTGCTAATTGGAAACCTCGAACACAGACAAGTTATGAGCTTGTTACCACTAGAAGGCTTTATGAGGAAAGACAAAAAAAGGGATAAACTAAATAGACAGACCGAATAATGGACCAGCCTGCTCGTCAACCTCACCTCGATTGCTCCATATGAGCCGCTCTATTACTGATTCTCTCTCCCCTACATCCACCCATCCCTTCTTCCCTTCTTCATTCCCCTTCCTCTAGCTTACTCGCATTCACAAGAATCGCTCTCCCTCGCGCAGCCCCGGCGAAATGCTCTACGTGACGTTTATGCACCAGATATGCTCTGCACCATTTCTAAGCCGTGTCATCCCCATCCCGCTGGCGCCTGCGCGACGAGGAAGGATAAAGTGCCCGTAGCTGCTCGGTTGGTAAGTAGACACTCTAGACACGCCAAGGATTTCTTGTTCGCAGAGGTTCCGCCACAGCTCGTGTCAGCTAACTAAAACATGCCCCTGGTGCCCGATGGGTGGTTCAGCTCGCTCGCTAATTTAATAAGGCATGCACGCAATGCAGGCTTACGTACCTAGGTACCTAGGTAGGTACCGAGTAGAGAGAGGGGGGAAAGCATAACGTGGGAATTTGTCTCCACTCCACTCCACTGCATTATAGGTCTAGACGCGCATTGGTATATACTGTAATATAAATGCATATGAAGAGGGGAGAGGACGGTGCGTGTTCAACAAGACCCTTCACGAGAGTCTACCGGAGTCAAATAGAGTCAAACGATTTCTCGAGAGTGCAGCCATACGAGATTGTCTGAACCCGCAGTCTACTGTGCATACGCATTAAACCGTCCCCATTGGAATTGTGGATATTTGATTTGCTTTGGAGAGAAATGGCGCCCATCAGGTTGGGGGTGATTGGACTTTCTTCGGAAGGGTGAGGACCATTCTTCGACGATTTAATCCTCTCTCCTTTTCCATTCCATGGTAGTTTATCACTCGCTCAATCACTCACTTCTCCCGAAAACAGTTCTTGGGCCGCAGGATCTCATCTGCCATATCTGCTGGGGTCGTCGCATTACCAGATCACAGCTCTTCAAAACAGCAGCAGGGCTTCTGCTGAGAAAGCCGTCCAGAAGTACAATCTCCCCGGAGATGTCGCCTGCTACGGCGATGTGGAATCTCTCGTGCGCGATCCGAATGTCGACTTGATCGTTGTTTCCGTAAAGACCCCAACTCATTATGGATTAGCGAGGCCCGCGATTGAGGCCAAAAAGGACGTTTTCGTCGAGTGGCCCCTCGGTGCAAACGTCAGAGAGGCAGAGGAGCTCACGTCGCTTGCAAAGTCGCACAATGTGAAGACCATGATCGGGCTTCAGGCACGGCAGAATCCAAGCATCCGCAAGGCGAAAGAAATGGTGGCTGCAGGTCAATTGGGTGAAATTCTGGGGACGACGGTAATGGCTTTCACCTTCCTTAAGCACTGCGAGATGTTTTGGATTCCAAGATTGCTTGGACGACAACACTGACTTTCGCAAATTTGCAGATGGTCGGGTCCGGCGTGATAATGGGTCGAGCAACGCCCGCGCCTCTTGAGTACGAACTGTCCATCGAATCAGGAGCAAACCTCGTCACCATCCCTGCAATGCATGCAATCGATGCACTTTGCTTTGTGCTTGGAGAGTTCCAAGATTTACAAGCCACCCTGGCTAATCACCGACCAAAGATGCCCATCATTGATCCGGCTACCGGCAAGGTGCAAAGATTGGCCGACAAAACCTGCCACGATCATATGAGCCTGACAGGGACATTGATCCGTGGAGCTGTGGCATCTGTCGTGTACCAGGGCGGTCACTCTTTGACGAGCAAGGACTTTTACTGGGAAATCAACGGAATCAAAGGCAGCCTGATTCTAGAAGCACCCAGTGGGCTTGTCGAGATGTTCCACCCATCCCTGAAGTTCGTGAGGGCAGAAGAGCAGGAATCGTTCAAATTTTTCGACGATGGAAAAGGCCCACAACCGGAGGAGGTCAAGGTGGAGGTCGCCTCTGACTTTTCGTATAACGTTGGCCAGGCTTGGGACGCGTTCGCCGGTGCTGGGTCTGGAACCGTCACTACTTTTGAAGATGCCTTGGTCAGACACAAAATGATCGAGGCGATATACAGAAGCAGTGAGAAGGGGACCAGGGAGACGTACATCTAGTGTTGTGATAGTCTCAGTCCCTGGGAGCTGCTGAATGGTTTGCTCTCGCTGCTTCGGTTGCTTTTGATGCTGAAAATGACGGAAGAGTTTCGAGACTTTTGTGTGGTGAGCTCATGCTTCGAGGTTCCAGCAACGGCTTTCACAAAGATGCTTTCCATATTCCTTGCATCAAAGTAGTTTCAAGTGACCAGTGACTTGATCAACCACGCTCTTAGGCCCCAAAACACCCAGGACCGTAGCGCTGCCGGCGGCAATTTGTGTCCTTCCCGCATCGTGTATGATCCTTGCGCACAGCCCCAAGCTGATGGCTTGTGCTTGAAGTGTTTCCAACTCCTCCTCGGACTTGACTTGCACCGCAATTTTCGGTTGTCCTCCCCATTCCCAACGTTTCAGTAAAGGGGCCGAGGTGACATGGTTGAGGAGGTATTTGTAGCATGCAAGAGTCGCATGGGAGCATTGAGCTGCAATTTTGCCTGTGGCAGAGCGTTCAGTCAAAGCAACTAGTACCTTGGTTCTCGGATCTGCTCACCCTTGCCCATGCCTAGGTCAGTCCTCACTGCCAAGACAAGCTTTACCTCCTCTGTGGAGTCCTTGAAATCATTCAGCTCTTTCCCATCATCTTCGTCTTCGTCGTCCGCTTCGTCCTCATCGTCCGCCTGGTCGTCGCTCGAGTCGGCATGAACTTTGACGTCGTAGCTGTTGGGCCAGCTTTTTTTGGCTTGCTTCGCACTTCCAGAACCACCGAAGACTCCAATACTAGAGCCCTGGCCGATAAAGTAGCCTGCCAGCAGGCCAAGGATGACAGAGGAAACGGCGACGGCTGCGAGAGAGGGAGAGGCTTTTTCGGACATGGTTCACGAACTCCGCGGGAATACTGGGACAGACAAAGGGACGGGTGTAGATCAAGCGACTTCTCAAACCCCCGGCATGCTCTCTCAACCGATTCCGTTCCCCAATGAAGACGCCTGGATATTTCACGACAAGAATGGCCTCGTGCCTGCAGGGCCGGCATCCATCGTACCATGCCAGGGTCTCAAGGCAAACACGCCAAGCCAAGCTCTATGTCTTGGCATATCGGGGCAAATACTCGGGCCACCTGCCTCTGCTCTTCACTAGGATTAATCGACATTATCAGCACCATGAGTACCTAGCTCGCTAGGTACCATCATTACTCCGTCTATATTGTAAGTAATAAATGCAGAAAGCCAGGCTGTTCTGGACGCTGTTCCGATAACTCCTCCTAACTCAAAATCAATCCCAGTACTTCTTCAACAACTCATCTTCGACGCCGGTCCATCTCGCGTACGTCGCCAGCACTTTGCCAACGTAGTTCATCAATCCGCCCTTGAAGCCTGGAAATCTCATGTCGCTCATCTCTCCGATCAGAGCGGTATGCAAGAGGCTGTGCGGCATACCCGTCTCCGGATCCGCCAGCCCATCGTTGTTCAGGCCGAACATAATGTACAAGCTCTTCTCGAAGCCTGCATGTGCGGGCAGGACGAAGCCTTTGAAGGTGACTTCCTTGTCTCCGTCGTTGAAAAAGCGGTGGACTGTGCCGATAGGAATGTCGGCCGATTCGCCTGGCTTCAAGTGGATAGGTTCTCTGTTGCCCAAAATCACACCCAGTTCACCCTCAATCGCCTCGAACCGCTCGGCGTAGCTAGTGTGGTAGTGAAGGGGTGGCCCGCCGCCAGGCTTGCACACGAGGACCGCGTTGGCTTCTTTCCCTCCGCTCTCATATCCGTATGTGGTCCATGTGATCGTCTCCCCAGTGTTTTTGTTGACGATGGTACGCCGTTTCTCGTCCTTGATTCCAGGTGGGATGTTGCGGTCTTGCTTTGGCGATGACATATCGCGTGTCTCTGTCATACCTGCGACGAGAAGGTACGGTTGGTGGTGGCCTTCCGAGGGGAGAAAAGAAATGGGAATTGCAGAACGACTCCGCGTGTCACAGAACTGGATTGCTCAATTCGATAATCCTGGGAGGGGGTCGTGTTGCACTTTATAGGTATGTCATCCTACCCTCGTGGCAAGAGTTGCTGCTCAGTGGTACAGTCATTGGCACCAGCTCATTTCAAAAGGGTGCCAGAGTGTCGGCCCAAGCGACGGGAGGCAAGTCTATACTCATTGCCTGCAGGACAAGCTCGAGGGGTAACATCACCAAGCGGAACACTGGCCTTGAACCAGCCACTTGAGAGTTCCGGCTCGATCTAGAGTTGGCACCTTGTGATTCCTAGTGCAAGGTTCGAATTATTAGGTAAGTACCGCACTGCCTAACTGGGATGAGGTCTCGGTTTGGGCGTGGCCGCGGCTGATCAAGGTTTATACGAGCGTTGTGCCACCCACTCAATGTGGCTGTGTTCAGAATAGGAAGTACGTTTGTTCTGAATGTGGATCTCGTATACTGGGGATACTTTCATGGCTTCCGATGTCCTTTCGAATGTCACCTCTTGGATCGGCTACTATCTATCATTAAAACGCTTGGCCGTCCAGCCATTGGCTTGGTGCTTACTTGCCAAGGACTTTCGACCACAGTCCGCTCTCTCTTACCAGTAAGCGAGCTTGTCGCTCAAGCGTTGGCGGCGTCTGCGAACGACACGACTTCTAGCCTTCCATCTACCTTTCACGCGGACAAGATATTCACGGCCCAGCATTGGCTTCGTGGTGTTGCTTTTACGGGAACGCCGCTGACAAACAACTTGTCCACCTCTTGGCTGAAGCTACATCGCAGCAGTCCCTTCCAGAGATGTCGGCTGGAAACAGGTCAGACTGTGCCAGGCAGGCTGTATATAACTCGACGTAGAGGGCAACTGAGTCGGTGAGCCTTTCAGCACTGTCACGTGACGAGGCTGTTGGAAACAGGAGGTGAGCCTCGAGACCACAGGTAGGTGACAGACTGGCCATGAAGCAATAGAAGGGCCCTCCCATCATGATACGAGCAGCTCTTTCTTTTGAAGAACTAATTGGAAGGTACTTTCTCTCGTCCTGGCGAAGTAAAAGCGAAAACGGCACTTTTGCCCACAGCTAAGGAGATCTTTAAACCGAAAAGACATTTCTCTTTTTAGGATGTCCAGCTGCTTCCAACACAATCCCAACCACTCCATTTCGCCAACTCAGCGTCTTCAATTCCAGCCCAGCCAGTCCTTCTTTCCAACTTCCACGCCCTTCATCCTCAAAATATTATAGGCGGTAACGGCATGGAAATAGAAATTCGGCAGGGCAAATTCATTGGCATAATCTAGCCCAGTGAGCTTCATGCCATGGAACGCAATCTCATGATTCGCTTCCCTGCCCTCGAAATCCTCCCGCTTGACGCCATCCAGGAAGTCAAGAGTCTTGGTGATTCGCGCTTGCAATTCGTCAAAGGTCTTCTCGTTGTCGTCCCAGGGGACGTTCTCCACACCGGCCACGCGAACCGCAAGGAATTTGGCGGCATTGGAGCAAGTCTGAACTTGGAATGGAAGCGGATGCATGTCTGGAGCTATGCGAGCCTCGATGAGCTCCGAGTGAGGAATGCCTTTGGCATCGGCGTAGCTTTCTCCTTTCTTGAGGACCCGGGAGAGGTTGCGAAGCGTGCGGACGATGGGGATAATGGCTGTATCGTACAGGTTGAGAGGTGCCATGGTATAGGACGACGGAATGGATTATCCTTCTCGCTTCACTGACCTCCCTGAAAGACTACTCTGCTGCCGCGCCTATGCTCATAGAAAGTTAACCCTGGAATTGTTACTGCGAAGTGATCATTAAATAGGTCCTGCGCAATTGCGTACTCGGTACTGCTGAAGGATTCTCGCCGATCTCGCCGTATCACCATTGATTTGTCAGCTGCACCATATGTGAAGTGCTATTTTCCAATCCTGGGACTTGCTCAATCCAAACATTTTGACCGACACGTGGATGTACTGAACTAAGTCCGCATTTAATTGGCCGGGAGGTGTATGTGGTCTGCTACCCAGAGTGTGTATTCGTCCGAGCGGACAGCAATGGACGCCGTTGCCGCGGCTATATTACAAGGAAGCTGCGTCGGCAACCCAGGTGTGAAGCGGCATCGATATCGTAGACAAGGCTATGATCTAGCAAGGCTGTGAGAGGCAGCATAAGCGACAGCATCTCCTGCAGGGGCATCTTTCTAAGAGAAAAGCTGCTCGTCGTCGCTGGCGGTGATGGCGTCATTCGTCAGCGTCCGGCGTGATGCCGATGTTTAGCCGGCGTGCATTTGGGATCTGCATCTATCATCTTTCATCTCGTGTTGCTAGGTACACGACTATATTTCAAGTTCCAGCCCATTACCCGTATTTTTCTAGCTCAGCTTGAGAGACACACTGGATCAATGTCTATAACAATATTACCATGAGCCTGACGCAATTGCCAGCGCTGCCACTACCGCAGAGATGGCACAAAAGCGCCAGGTCATTTTCCGCATCTTCTACAGCACCTCGTTCACCGCCGTCTTCTTGATACTCACAATCGTTATCGCCGTCACTCCCGCCGACACTATATATGAGTCCTATAAGCGGCGCCGTCTCATCGACATCTTCCTCATCGCGGGCGACTATGTTGTTACCGCCCTGTTAGCCGTCCTTATATATGCCTCGAGGCTGTACACTAATCGTTCGGTGCTTAAGGACATACCGAAGACGTATATGCCCATTGAAAAGGAGGATCTGCCGGGAAAACGAGTGCACAAATTGATCCAAGAATGTCTGGAGAAGAGCGCAGTGATTGCGTACCAGGCCCGACCGAGGAGTCGGAGGATTGAGCATGACACGATCAACATTGGGACGAGGATGCTCGCATTGACAAATACGCACACCAACACGGACCCAAATGCCGAGCCGAGTTGGGGAAAGGTGGCGCATCCGGGCTGGTCATCACCTGCTTCGAAGGAGTTGCCGGGGCTCGAGTATTGCACAGTCGTGGATGAACTGATCGATCTCATTGAAGCTAAGGCCGTCAGTCTCGCACCCATTAATCCGCATATCGAGCCTGGTCCCGATGGCGCACCAATGCCTGATCCACGGGTCATTGATCAGCTTGCCCGGAGTGGGAACAAGGGCATGAGAGCATATCTCCAGTATCTCATTGACATTGGCGTGGTACCGGACAATTCCCTGGTAGTGGCATTTCTCGCGGCCTACGAACGCGCCCGTTTCTCGTCCGAACCATTAAGCGACGAAGATTTCGATAGCCTGATGCGCATGTTTGCCGAGTTACTCCGCAATATGAGCCCCGTTGACGTTGAGATGCTCGATCTCGAAGACGACTCTGATCATTCGTATCAGTCCGAAACATCCAGCTTGATCCATCGGAATCCATCCCATCGTTCTCGTCAACCGGACGCAGAGACCTCATCCATCCCGTCTACCTACTCGGCTTCCGGCTCCGTACGCCACCACAAACTCCCGCCACGCCGCATCTCGGAAGACTCAGCACCTTCGCTTGCTTCCTTCGAACAAGTGCACCATTCCCTCGAGAAGCATGCCTCGTCAGAACCCGATATCGCAGCTGACGGCCATCATTTCAGTGGAATGGAGGACATTGACACGCAGTCCTCGTACCTTGTACCTACCAGCAACCCGCGGAGACCTGGACCTTCAACAACAGGATCGAGTTCGAGAATGTTCTCCGCGGTGTCACGAATAAGTTCCCATTCTGATAATATTTCCAGACTATCTGGTTCCGGAGAATCAGACACGGGTTCAGTTGTGCATCATGACCTCGCTCGGCAGTCTACAAGAAGTTCAAGGAGGAGCGGGAGGAGCGGGACCGGTGTGCCTGTGATCCGACTTGCTAGGGAAGGTGAAGACGGCAATGATGGCATGAATAACGGACTGCCGTATCGAATCGAAATCCCTAACACAGAACGATAACCCACCGAGACTGAAGCACGGTGGACATCCCTCGACATGATGACATGATGATGCTGGAATTGAAAAAACGACTCCCTCCCGGGCACCGACAGATCTGTTCTGTTCTGTTGCCCCGTTTACAATTAATTGCACCAGGACTTGTTCCCCTTGGATACGAAAAACTACGATTTATAGATGTAATGTATATATAGTCTTATTAGTCTTTGCTGCAGGCATTGCCATTGCAACCCTCTCTACCTAAATCAGAGGGTCAAATATTTATCTGTCCGATTCCGAGTTTTAGAAATTCCCCCAATCCTTTGTGTCATTCGACGAGTCCATTGGGTTTATTCCTAGCTGAGAAAATCGGAACAAAAGGATACGAGGACTGCAACGTGAATTTCCTTCCTACACGTGCAAGCCCTGAACAAATCGATCCCAGTGTCTATCCAGGACCAACCTCGTATATAAAGCAAACTCAAAGCCAGACAGCTGTCCGATCCCAGCGGGACCTCTACTCCTCTTCGTCTCTACCAGCTCCGCCCCTCCCATTGAACCCCGGAAAGCACTTTACAAGCTCATCCGCCTCATCTGGCGTGACACTCTCCTCCAACATCTGTGTCGCCATGGCTACAGTCTCATCGCTCACGTATTTATCCACCACGAATCCCTCGGAGAAGGCCAGTCTGGTGAGCACCACTCGGTGTTTGTGCACCCCGCCATTAATCACCGAGAGCTTCTCTTGCAGGTTGATCGTCGAGCCGTGGAGTTGCAAAAGGTGATGGAGAAGACAGACGCCTTTATTGACAAGAGAGGCATGGAGAGTGTGGGTGGTCGGATGGAGAGAGTACATTGCTGAGACTTGGTCGTACAAGCTGCGGATGAGGCGCGCAATCGCATGCGTGTCGTTTGCAATGAGAAGACTGCCGTGATGAGAGGGATTATCATGCGGAGGTGGAGACGACGTTATGGCGATTTTAATGAGCAGGTCCATGGCCTCGAGTCGTAGTTGGCAGAGTTGCTGGTCCGTGTAGGGAGCAACACCTTCATCAACGTTGGGGGTTTCCCTGAGGAGAGAACAGATCCGGTTCATCATCCAATGTTCGACCTGTGATTGCTGATCGTCAACACAAATACTGCCGAATGTGGCAGGAAAGATGCTTGTGGCAAGTAAGCGAAGCATAAGTGTTATATCAGAGATTGGCTGCCAGGCGTTGAGCATCATCAGAATGAATTGGTGGTCCATGAGACGCCATAGAAGAGAGATGAGCTCTAGGTCGTCTGACACAGTATAGGCGACTGTAAGCATGAGCTCTAAGCAGCTCGTCCCATCAACCTCTAGGTTTATCACGGACTGAGGAGTCTGGCGGACCTTGCCATAGGTCGCATGATTCACTGGTGAGTGTTCAAAGCGTTTCTCGGCGTTGATCGTGATGGTGGATTTGAGGAGAGGGATAATGGCATTGATGATGCCAGAGTCGAGAACAAGCATATCGTGGTCGATGATATGGTTTGCTATCTCCCGCAGAGAGGCAATCGGCTTATAGTATTGTTCTTTCAATGACTTGCACCACAAATCTATCAAGAGCTGAAGGAGGTCGCCAGGGAGGCGGCTTCCTTTGAGCTGAGCAATGCTTTCCCATAAAAGCGCCGAGAATGTTTTGGACGGGTTTGAGGGAAAGGCAAACTTGGTCAAAGCTTCGAAAAGTGGCTGTTTCGAGTCTTTGATCCGATACTCCATGACGGACTGGAGGAACTTCAGATTGCGTTCAGCTTGCTTGTCCTTCCGCACGACTGAAATGACTTGCTCTATGGTCTGGATAGGTTGCGGCGGCGGCGGCATCTCGTCTTGACTTGTAGAACTAGTCGGACGTAAAACAAGGGGCTTCACAGGACTTGGCCCATCGGTCTTCCGTTTTCTCTTGCCCGCTGCGGTTGGTGTTGACGGTTTTGAACGTCTAGCAGATTTCGAAGGAGACATAAGCATAATATCGTCATCATTGAAGCCATCCCGAAGAGAGCTTGCAACGCCGCGTTTGGGAGTTGTTGTTAGGTCGGATTCCTTCTCCGTCTGTCTATCCTTCAAACGTTGCCTGAGGGACTTGGTCTCCTGAAGGCCTTGATTGTGCTCCTGCTGAAGAAATTGGTACCGAGTGGTAAGACTATGGTTCTTCTCAGACAAAGCATTGAGGGCAGCATTGTGTTTTGCGGATTCTTCCTCCATTGACTTTTTCAGAGCGCCGATTTGTCGGTCGTAGACTTTGCTTTCCTTCTCAAAATTCGCTCGAATGATGGAGATCTCCCCCTTTTGCATAGAGACCATCTCTCTGGCAGCTCGTAATTCCCGAGCGAGTTCTTCCCGTTCTCGGAGCAGTTCGTCGAGACCCTTGTGGGAAGCATCGTGAGCATCTTCCAGGACGGCTGTGCCGGTTTGTTGAAGCGGAGTGTCCAACGACATTTCGTCCAGCCCTGCTGCAGGCCCATGGTTGAAGCCGCCTGCCGGAGTTGCTTCGAACGAACCTCTCTGACGTCGATGATTCGACCCCTCGAGCGGTGGATGGGACACAGCACCATAGGCTTGACCGTACCGTTGCTGGCGGAATTGTTCTCTCTGAACAGCTTCGCCAAGCCGAATTCGACGTATAGGATAAGAATCTTGATCGTCAATTGGGGTGGGCACACCCTCTTCTCCAACCAGCTCAAAGCTATCATCGTCCTCCGTCAGATATCTCTGAATGGCTGGGTGCGCAGGCTGGGGTCGAGCATTGAACGGTGCCTGAGGCACAAATTTCGACTGCGGCAAAGTTGTTGAGGGGTGCGCAGGTACCGGGGCAGTTTTGGAGGCCTGCGCTTTCTGGGTTGATAGAATGGCATGGTGTTCTAGTTGCTGTAGAGCGGACTCTGATAGATTGTCGAAGTCATCGTCGTCGAAGAGATCGGTCTCGTCTTCGTTGTCGTCCATGCCACTCATGTTTGACCTCCATTGAAGACCGCAATGGACACAGAAAGTGGCACAAACTGCATATGTTCACGTGTCGAGGCTCTCTTTCAAATGCCCTGAAGTTGTGTGAAGGCACACTGTTGACCAAAAACGCGCATTCGACACGATAATAGCGAGGGGTGGTTCCCAGTAGTGGGTTTCGGCGACAGCGAACGTGTGAAGTTGTGAAGGCACTGAAGGGCGCATTAGTGGTGGGGAACGGGCCATTGACAAACGCCCGGAACAACTGCAGCTCCGAGCATCATTATTTCTCGTAGCGATGCCTAGACTCCCTCGTACTGCGTAAAAAGGGTCTTCCGGGCAGTGGCTCCCGTGGGCCAGTGGGCCAGTGGGCGCAGTGGAGGCTTCGCTGTATGACGCAAATCAACTCCGAGTAATAAGCTGGCACGCCTGGCTCCCCTGCACAACCACTCAAGTTACATTTTGTGGTTCGACCTGCCATCAACTTGGTTAATTTGAGGCATCTTCCATTCAACTGTCCTCCAGTACCATCTGTCACTCACCATCGGCGCATCTTCTGCTCATCTATTTCGGCAGGGTCGCCAGCCCATGTACAAAAGAGACTGCGATTAACGTCAAGACATCCACCAGCCATTCGTGTCGCTCCTGAAAGCCAGTCTCAGGCAGCCAGCCCCAAAGCACGTGTCAAGCGAGGCATCCCCTCTCCTTCCCAGTCTGCGAGATCCATCCTCAATCGGCGCGCACCCCCGAGGCAGAAGGCACAATATTCTTCCTGCGGCTCTTCCAAGCCGTGCCCAAGAAGCCATGCCTCGGCAAAAAGGCGTCAAGTTCCAGCATCGGTCGAACAGTAATGGCAATGGCAATGGCAACGGCGACGGTCATGGAAATGGAAACCATCACCGTCGACAAAGCTCTTCTGCCGCCAGCGACACGGCTTCCGAGCCCCCGAGCCCTCAGAAAGATTCACACGATAGCAACACCAATGGAAATATTGTGAAAGGAGAAAAGCCAAGTCAAGTGTCCGAGTACGAGAAAAAGAAGCAGACTTTCATCACCCGGACGATATGGACACTGGCGATGATAGGTGGTTTCTTTGGTGCAATGTTTGCAGGGCATGTCTATGTCCTCATGGTCATTACCGCCGTTCAGATCATCTCATTCAAAGAGGTGATCGCAATTGCTCAAGTGCCCACCAAGCAGAAGAACCTTCCGCTGACAACCTCGCTGAACTGGTACTTCTTGGCTATCACCATGTACTTCCTGTATGGCGAAAGCGTCATTTACTACTTCAAGCATATCCTACTGGTGGATAAAGTCTTGCTACCCTTTGCGACCCATCACAGGTTTATCAGCTTCATGATGTATATATTCGGTACGTTTGCAGACTGTCACGGTCACATGGTTCAATGCTCACTCTATGATAGGATTCATGTCCTTCGTTGCCTCGTTGCGGAAAAACTATTACCGGTTCCAGTTCGCCCAGTTCGCCTGGACTCATATGGCACTCTATCTGATTGTCGTCCAAGCACATTTCATGATGAATAACGTCTTTGAAGGCATGATCTGGTTCTTCCTCCCGGCCTCGCTGGTCATCACCAACGATATCTTTGCGTACATCTGCGGCATCACTTTTGGCCGTACCCAGCTTATCAGCCTCTCGCCCAAGAAAACTGTCGAGGGTTTCGTTGGGGCTTGGATCTGCACCATTTTCTTCGGGTTTGCGCTCACCAACATATTGATGCGCTACAAGTACTTCATTTGCCCCGTCAATGATCTGGGCGCAAACATTTTTACCGGCCTACAATGCGACCCCAATCCCGTTTTCAAGGCTTACCCGTACAATATTAAAGCCTGGACCGGCTTGGACTATACATTCTGGATCGCCCCTATGCAGTTCCATATTCTTGTCTTTGCATCGTTCGCTTCGCTGATTGCTCCTTTTGGAGGATTCTTCGCATCGGGACTGAAACGAACGCTCAAGATCAAGGACTTTGGTGACAGCATCCCGGGCCACGGAGGTATGACTGATCGCATGGACTGTCAGTTCATCATGGGTCTGTTTGCGTACATGTATTACCAGAGCTTTATTGCTGTGTACAAAACTTCGGTGGGCGGAGTCCTCGAAACGGCCATTATGGGCCTGACTCCGGAAGAGCAGATCGAACTAGTGAAGAGACTGGGGTGGTATTTACAAGGACAAGGCATCATTTCGGACAAGGTATGTTTATTTTTGTATAATCTTGTGGCTTGCTTGACTGACACATTCTTACTAGATCGGGCAATGTCTGGAACATGCTTTGCCAAAGAGATGAAATTGACTGGAGGGACAAGATATGGTCTCTTTTCGCTTCTTTACATTGTGGACCCTTAAAGTTGCCGAGAGCATCGCAAGCCCCTTGTTTCTGGACGAGCATAGCGATGGAGTCCTGGCTTTGGTGTGTGTGTGGAAAATGATGGGTTCTCAAAATTCTTGGTCTGATTGTCTCCGTCCTTTGATGGCAGACCATGATGGCTTTTGGTCTGCGCTTCGATGGCAAACCAGAAAAAACTTATTTTATTTCTTTCGCTGGCTGATTGAACATCGAATTGGGAGAAGCGGCCAAGGTCTGCATGGGACCAAGTCTGGACCTGGACGTAAAATGGTGAAATGCCGTGAATGTGTGTCGACGTTTCGGTATTCATGAGGCATCAGTAATGTGATGGTCACGATGCATATGTCATAGAGAAACAAGCAACATAGCACGTCAAAAAGCCAATTCACTTCAGCCTTGACCTCTGCCTCCTCCACCTCGCCCCCGGCCGTGTCCTCTTCCACCTCCCCTTCCTTGTCCACCGCCCCCTCGTCCGCGATCCCCTCCTCCCCTTCCACCGGCACCATGGCCCGCTTGCCCGCCCCCACGCCCCCCGCGCTGTCCGCTACCTTGCTGGTGTTGTTGTTGCTGTTGTTGATCTCTTGCGAGGTCGATGACTTCTTCAGGGACCCGGAGGTATTTGATCTAGGTGGCATGGTCAGTCAACAAATCATATAAGCTCTGAGAATCTCTTGATCATCAAGGGGAGCTGGAGCACCGCTCACAAGGACACATTGCAAGAATCGCATAGTCTGGGAGTTAGAAACGCACATTATTTCCTCTCACGTAACATTCTGGCAGCCTCCAGAATCTGTCTCCCTCCGGACTCGTCTGCACGACTTCTTTGAGTGTCAGGTTCATCCACGTGTCGCAGTTTACTAGATGACCATTGAGGGTTTCGCCGTTCTTCAGTTCGACTAACATGGGATGGCCTTGTGCTGCCGTCAGGAGGCCTAGGGGGAGCATTGTCGTTGCGTTTCCCGCCGGTTTGGGTACGGTAGTGTTGATTCCAACTTCTGTTTAGTTGTCTTACGATGGAGTGCTTCGAGATACTAGATTTAGGGCGCAAAAGGTGGCAGCAGAGGCCGTTTGGGTGTGAACGGGTGATCAAAACAGGTGATTATTTTGATACTCACACAAGCATCATGGAGCCTCATTGGCAGAAGTTGAGGGACTCGGAAGCTGGCTTGGTTTCTTGGCGTTTTGACTTACATAAGCATAACGTCACGTGCTGCGTGTGGACTGTTCAAGGCGCAACTGTTCAGGTCAACGAAAAGGTCATCCATCGTATCTGGGAAAAGTCAAGACCACAGGCCGATGACCTTATTACTGGTGACCAGTGAACCGCCGGTAGCATGGTCCATATCGCACCCCTTATTTGAGGTCATTTCCCCGCCAGATCACACTCTCGGAGCCGGAGGGTCGACGCGGCCGAGCAATCGTCGGGGCTGTGCATCTCGCCTCCGTTCCCGAGGAGAGGAAACCAAACCTCAAAAAGCCCAAGCGGGCTTCTGGCGCCATCCTCTCTCTTCCAGTCTCTCTTCAGGCCCAACTTCAGGCTCAGGCCCCAGCCAAAAAAACGACGGATTCCCATTCCCATCCTGCCATCCACACCCATCCTCCGCTCTTTTCCTCTTCGATTCTTAATCCTCATCCGCCATACTCTTCAGGCCATCAGAACATGGAGTTGTGAGGCAAAAAGTGAGCGGTTTGCTCCCATTCCTCCTGGGGGAATGCCATACAAATCTGAACAATATCATTGTATCATTGTATCATTGGATCCTTGGTGTTTTCTTTCCCCGGCATAGTCCCACTCATTCGATCGAATTGTCTGTTCCTTTGTTCCATTACTGGGCGCAAAAATGAAGTCCTCATTTACTCGCGCGGCCACTTTGTTTACTGCGCTGGCGTCGGCATCTCTACTTCCTTCTTCCTCGTCTTCTGATGCAGTCGCCAAAGACATCACGACTGTTGCTGGTACAACAGGTGCATAGTGAACATTGCCCTCGCATTCCTTCTGTAGCTGACCAGCCATAGATCCTAATCACCTATCGATACATTTCCATGCTCCCTGTGAGGAATGTTTTGACGACACAAAGGATGGGGTGGTACGTTGTCCGACTCGGTCATGTCTTTGATTGTTGTGTCGTTGACCCTGTTGTCCTCGCAGGAGCTCACCCTTGAGATCGACTCTGCCGAAGAGGAGTGCACTAACACCCCTCCGCGTCTGAATGGACTTCCTCTCATTCCATCGACAGTTGGTAATGACGTTGCCAACGGTCAGATTTCCTTTATGTCAAAGTCTTCGGGTGGCTCAGCCGAGCGCGAGGTCAATGCTTCTTGGGAGTCGACCTGTCTGAAGGGCGAAGCTTCCATAATCTCCGTTCGGTTCGAGGGTATCGTCGGAAATGATCCCTTCAAAGATACTTCTGGGTTCACCACCTCGTTCAAGCAAAAAGGTCAACCCACAGTCCTACGTCTTCAAGACAAACCTGTCGCCCAAATTTCACAAAGTCTCTGTGACGGGTGGCTCCTATCCGAGGATCAAAAGCTTTCTATCACCCCCAACACCTCCATTCCCACCTCTTCCGTTGAAGCTTTATTACAAGCCGAGCATTCTCAGCTCGAAGAACTGATGAACGAGATGGGCGCTCTCCACGAAAAGATACGCACTACAGAGGCGAAGATTATCTCTCTCCTCAAACAAGAGTTCAAAGCTTGCTCAAGCATGAAATGCTTGTGGGATACCGCCATGAGTGAAGTTCCCGCCATTGCGAAGCTCATCAGCTCTCACTTTTCCCATCACAAGAATCGACATGGTGGTTGCAAAGATGGCGATGCACAATCACCATGTTCCGCAGAAGTTCAGGACAGCTTTGTTGTCGACAGCAGTTTACAACAAGATGGTCCGGAGGAAGGGACTATTGGACCTGATCGCGTGGAATTGCCCACAGTACCAGTAACCACCCGTACGCCACCTCATGAAGTACAAGCAACTCCCGTTCCAAGCGCAGAAGAAGACGTTCGACCTCACTTTCCATTCACGGGAGGAGACCATCCTCCGTCTCGACCGCCTCATGGTCCGCCTCCAGGATTTCGTCCACCAGCGGGACATCATGGTCCGCCTGTCGATTCCGGCCCGCATAGCCACCCTCATGGGCCACCACCGAATTTCGCACCCATCGCCCATCAAGAACGGCGCGTTTTAGAATACCGCCTAGGGCTGGCAATCCTTCTTCTCGTTCTACTTGTCATACTGTCCGGCCTAGTCATCCGCGCAATAGTCCTGTTCAGAGATCCTCGACGAAGGGCAGAGCGCGCAGCCCGTTGGGAAGAGCGTCGAACTAAGAGGCTTTACCGCAAAGCCGCCTGCAAGCATAAATGGAGAACCTGGTGGAGAGGTTTCCGAAACCAAGGCACCAATGACTACGAGGAGAAGCGAGAAATGATCCTTGAACAAGAAGGCCTTGAAGAAGAGGACAACGGATTACAAAAGGAAATCCGTACGCTTCAAAATGCCTCCGATTTCGTGAGAGATCTAGTGCAGGCTGAAGAAGGCCGAGCGAGGCCGGGGTACCGCGGGCATTGTGACCGGGAAGGATTCGAACCCGCGGAGCTCGATGCTGGCGTCGGGAGCAGTGGGATTTCTGATATCGCCCCATCATACGTGACACCTCCACCTCGATATGAAGAAGAGCTTGAAGGAGAAATAATCATCGTCGAAGACTTCCGATATACACCCAGCAACACGGATTCCACTCCGGCGAGCAGCATCATTGACTGCAGCCCGAGGCTGAGTTTGGAGACCGGCAGGTCGACCATTGTCACCAAAGATACGAGCGAATAGCAGCTAGCGGAGCCTTCCTTGGGAAAAGTCTCTTCCCAAGGGATCTTGGCCATGCTCCCTGCATCTGGTACATTTGCAGCTGATGAGGATTGAAGAACTTCATTTTGTGGCGTTGAATTTGGAAAATCTGTAAACTAGACCCGGTGAGTTCGGCGTTGTCACATCCGAGAAATTTATTGGATTTTTCAAATCTGTGGCCAGCTTATAATTCAGAGGACATGATCGTCCCTTGTGGGTGAAGCTGAGTCCTGTTCATGTATGTACTTGGACTATCCTGTTGCCGGGTGGCGAGGTCTCCGAAAACGGACGGAGTATGGATGTATGTAGGCACGGAAGAAGATGAAAGAATCCCTATCTTTCAAAGCATTTTTGAACATCTTCAACCTTTTTCTCTTGTTCATGTATGGAACACACGTCGCTGAGGGCTCGGGCCATGAGTGAATGCGAATAGGTCATCACCACATCGAGTCTGGCATGGTGCACCAGCTTCTACGATTGTGCTGCACGACTGGCAGTACTAGTACCATTCGTGTAGCGGCACTAGACCTAAACAGGATAGCTAGTGTTATTAAAGCGGCACCATCCTCAAGAATTGTATCTTGCGCCACCATCTCCAGGATGAAGTGACTTCTATCCTTCGCAGACACGCTACATTTTCCGAGGCCAGCAATGAATAGCCCATGCACAGATCCTTGATCCAACATGGACTGAAGCAAAGCTTTTGCACCGTTGCCGCTCCCCGCGGTCGCTCCCTTTGCTCCTCAACCACCCGGCTCAGCCATTCTACCCGGCAACTCAATGGAGGTGCAGGCTACTCGAACCAGAGAAGAGGGCCTGAGAAACCCGAAGAGCTCTCCTTGACGAACCTGAAATTGCTTGAGAGTGCAAAGTTTCAAGGATTTCCCCATCTCGAGCACGCCGGGGGACGGCAGAAGGAGAAGGATGATGATCATGGCGTCGTCTGCAGTCGAAGCTCATCAGCGGGTACGGCATCGGAGGCCGATTTTTGCCAGAGAATAGAAAATGCTGGAGTGCAGCAAAATGCACATCACAAGTCAGACAAGCCTTTAGATCGAGGGAACAACCCTACGAGCTCGTCGGAATATTCGAACGAAGAAGAGCCCGGCGATCGAATCGAGCTTGTGCCCAGCGTATCCCCCGGACCCCGAGCAGCCTCGAATTTTCTCGGAGGCAATACCTTGAGAACGCAGAATGGTCAAGAGAAGACAGCAGTCACCGAAAGACCGTATATGAGGAGGCTCCGCAAACCAAAGCGCTTTCGAGAACTCTTATTAGAGGCGAGAAGATCGGGCGCGGACAGCACAACAAGCGTCGACTTGAACAGCGGCAAGCCCAAGAAGACAGTGATCAGAAGCGGCTTAACAACAGCAGTCCTCGAAGCAGAACTGCGGTGGATTGCGAGAAACACACCCCACCCGCGAGCCGTGCGCAACATATTGAGAGTCTTGCTTGAGGAGCGGAAAATCAAGCCGACGCTGGATCACTACGAAGCGCTTATCCTGGGACAGTGTTTCCCGGAGTATGGCTCCATTGAGAACGTCAAGCTGGTTCTGCAAGAAATGGAGAGAGAAAGTGTCCCGCTAGAAGTTCCCATTCTCCTCGCAGCGTTGACAGTTCTCGCCGTACACCCCGACACATATCTCCGCGCATCCCTCGTTTCACGCCTCGCTAAACAACAACTCCCCATCCCTGACACCCACGCTCACCTAAACATCCTCTCCTTAATACGGGAGGGAGAATTAGAACTCGCAACTGTCGAACTCGAAAAGCTTACTCAGAAATCATCGTTCGTGGGGGGAGGAAGGGACAGCACGTCCGTCCCGAAATGGCTGTGGACTATCTACATCCACGCGATCTGCGATCTGCGGCATGACTTCGACGCTCTTCTACAGCTTCTGTACAGGCTCTCTGACTCGGGTTTCCTCTTCCCGAGGCCGACGTTACTACACTTGCTCCTCAAAGCGAGTGAACACGGCGACCCGCACATTACGAAATTTATCTGGTATGGATATGTGACGGGAATGCATATCATTCCTAACGAAGACATGTGCATGTCGGTCTTGCGACTCGCCGCTCGGGAGAAAGATGTGAAGCTGGCCGAATCGGTTGCCGTGGTGCTGGAGAGTGTAGCGGGGAACAAGTCTACAGATCCGCCGAGCTTGGTCGATCAAAGACCCATGTCGCGGCAGGAGGTGGCCAACTTGACGTTCGATTCGCCTGAGCTTCTTGGACATGAGCCGGAGGCTGAACATCATCGTCAGTATTCAACTTGTGTTGGTAAGGACAGTGACAGTGACGGCGACGGCGACAGCGATATCCAAGTCTCCATGAGCATTGCCGACCCAACATCAGGTTTTTCCGAACCTGCACAACCTCCTCTCCGACAGACTCATACTGACCTGGCAATCGCTTTCTCAACACCACCTGCCCTGCCCAAACCCTCCGACCTACCTCCCCGACCACGCCCTCTCCCTGCCGAAGCACTGTCCCTTCTTGCTGAGCTGGGAATTACCGGTTTCGAGCCCACCACAGACGCCGACACCAGCAGCAAACGTTTCCGCTTCCGCAGTGGCAAACTCGTGGAATCCGGCGGGCGAACCGGCCGGAGGAGAAGGAGGCCAGTCAGTGGTATCTTGTACCCGTTGTTTAGGGAGGAGGCTGGGCTTTCTGGCGCGAGATTTGATCCGCGGCTGGCATTGATGCAAGGATGGGACTGGAGAAAGAAATAATGTACCATTAGGTGTTTGGGTCTCTATATACCTACTCAGGTAGGTACTTTTGATGTCTCTCTAGTTATTACTGCCCAGGTGGTCATCGGTGGACACCCCTCTTTTATCAAAACTCGAACCCAGACGTGTCATGCATGTTGCTTAACCGTTCCAGCTAGGTAGCTACCCCCTGTCCACCAGGCCTTCTATCTATCCTTCTTTAACAAGTATTAATCACGAGCGAGTTTGCGCCCCTAACCCGGACCCGAAAAACGTCCCACCGGGAAATGTAGGTACTAAATACCTAGTAATTATTAACCCCCATTGATCCCAATCCGCACAGCCTCCTTCCTTTGCCTGCTGCCAGTTGTGCTTTGTTTCGTCCGTACATCGGTCGGTCCGTAGGTAATTACCAATTGAACCCCACAAGTCACCCCTTCCAACAGCCCCCGGTGATGTGCTAGGTAGGTAGAAGGCTACCGGTAGAAGCGCCCCAGTGCGCAGTGTAAGCGGAGAAGGGAAATCCGAGGATCCCGATCACATGAAGGTGCATGACGGCCGGTCCGGTGTTAAGGGCAGCTTGCATTGTGCGCCTACAGACCTACGGAGCACGAGGTACGTTATGTCCATTGGTTCTTGCAGAACCTTGGGTTTTGGGGTTTTGGGGTTCGGGTGTGACCCGCCAATGAGCCCGGACCCTCATTTCTCCCCCGCTAAACCTCGCCTCGTATCGCCAGGGTCATGATTTGAACGAGCACGTTGGACGATTCTACCTTACATAGGAATTCATGAGAGAACGGTGAAACATTATTAATACCTAGGTGTAGAACGAGTTTTCTGCTGCTCCGTACCTATGTTGTTGTTGGGCTTCTTCTGGGATGCTTTTCGTCACGCTCGAGTCCTCCCCCACCCACCCTATCGAGATCTCTCCGCTCAGTCGGGCTAAAAATGTCCCGTACCAAGGCCAGGGAGTTTCTGGTCTTCAATGCGGTGCGACGTGGGTTGTGTGTAGATATACCGCTTGGACGGACAAAGCAGTATCTAAGTCCGACGGGTTGGATCATAGGAGGGCTATAAGAAGTTGGCCGAAGTATTCATCTGTATCAATTCCACCTTCTTCTCGTCCAGTTCGTGCCTAGAGAAACTTCACCTGTGGACCGTTGGCAAAGGCAACTTACATAGAGCCAACATCGCTATCGGAAACCTTGCTGCAAATATGCCTGCCAAATACCTTTCAAAACTGCAAGGAAAATCCGTCCTCCTTGTAGGCGGCACCTCCGGGATAGGATATGGCATCGCCGAAGGCTGTCTGGAGTTCGGGGCCAAGGTCGTCATCGCCTCGCGCTCCGCAGACAAAGTCGCCTCGGCCGTGGAGAGCCTCAAGGCCTCGTACCCGGAGCACGCGGCAAACATCCGCGGGCACACGGTGAACTTGAACCCCGGCGAGACCGACGTCGAGAAGCAACTCGTCGCCCTCTTCGACTTCGCCACGGACAACGGCGCGACCAAGCTCGACCACGTCGTCGAAACCGCAGGCGATCTCTCTCTGGCTGGGCAAATGGGCCTCGACACCATCACACCCGAATTGTTGGCCAAGGCTGGCTCGGTACGTCTGGTTGGCGTCATCATGCTCGCCAAGGTCGCATCCAGGTATCTGAACAAGGCATCCACGAGCACCTTCACCATGACCAGCGGTGTCCTCTTATACAGGCCACGTCCAGGACTCAGCCCATTCATCGGCGCCGGTGGGAACAAAGAAGCCTTTGCACGCGGATTGGCTATCGATCTGGCGCCTGTTCGCGTCAATGTCGTGGCACCCGGTGCGATTGAGACCGAATTGCTGTATTCCAGCGTCCCACAGGGGATGAAGAGGGAGGATGTTATGGAGCTGTACAAGAAGCACAGTTTGTTGGGCAAAGTTGGGACTGTCGAGGACGTGGCCGAGTGTTATTTGAGCCTGATGAAGAACGGATTCCAGACTGGGACGGTAGTGCAGTGTGAAGGCGGGTACCTTTTGATTTAGAAGGATCACCGAGAGAGGGAAGGGCAGAGTATGGATGCGAGGGGAGCCAATGAGTTCGTCGAAACTCATTAGTCCGGAGAAATGCCACCAGTTGCTTGTATATCCGAAGTCATATCACAGCATCAAGCCCCAATCCCAGTCCTGCACACCGGTTCCAATCTGTGTGCCATCATTACTCGCAAAGCCTCCTGGCGGGCCGGCTTCACCAGCGCTGCCCAGACGACCCATCCCAGCCATAGCCGCATGACTAAGACGGTCGCAGTAGATGTCGTATCCATCGATGGCAGTGTCGATTTCGGTCATCCAGGGGTTCATGCCTGTGTCAGTAGAATCTGGGTAGGAGAAGGAGAAGGGCGCACTGCTGTAGCTAGAATCGGTGTTGGGAAAGGCGGTCCAAGAATTGGCTGTCTCTTGCTGGGTCTGCGTGTGAGACTGCGGGCGTGATTGTTGTGACTGTGTCCGAGGTTTGTAGTCGAGGGCCTCTCCACAAAGTCGGTGGATGATATCTCGACACTTCGGAGCGCTTGGATTGAGATCATTCATTGCGTTGATTATGCTCAGGGCCGTCAGGATTTGATTCCTCCACGAGCTAGCGTTTAAGTGACCGGGGTTGCGCCGTAGACAGTGTATCGGTATCAAAGCTGCCTGTAGAAGGAAATATCTGCAAGAGACAGGAAGATCAACAAAATAAATCTACGGAAAGACGTGGCGGTTGCAAAAAGGGAAAGATTGCGTTACTTACAGGACGTACCAAGCCGCGAGCCTGGTGTGAGTTGCAGAAGACCAAAACTCGAAAATGGCCAAAATACATTCCTCGGCAGCCTTGAAGCACCGATTGGTTGCAATTGTCTCCGCAGGCGCATTTTCCGCCGGTGATATAGGGGCTGATGTTGCGCTGTCCAGGCCGTCCTGTGCCCATCGAATTAGGAATGGACGGTACATAATGATACGCATGATTCGAAAGCGCCATCGGCTGATAGCATGGCCAAGTAGATACTGGTTAGGAAGCGGTAAGTTGTCATCGCCGAAATAGGGTGGAAGACTACTGAGCCAGCCTTCTATTAGCTCGTCGTCGAGGGAGAGCAGCTCTGCAGCAGAGGGGATGGGATTGGAGATGAGGCGGTTGTAGATTCTGATGGTATGGAGATGGTAGGATGACTGAGTTCGGACGTATGTGTAGATTGTAGGCTCATTAACCTCGGGAGGGTATGATGTAGAGTCCATGTGAAGGTCCTGGGTGTGGTCCGCGTCAGTATAGAAGAGATGTGGGATCCTGGCAACAAGTACCTTCTCGTGGATATTCAGCGGAAACGGGATATCGACTCCTACCTGAGGCCAATTTAAAGGCCTGCCGTAGGTCACGGTTGCGCCCACATCCAGCACACAGAGCGACCACCATACCCTCCTCCGTATTTCCTTTTTGAATGGCGCAGTCTGCCATCCACGAAACTCCTTGTGGAGACCCAGCGATATTGCGAGCCGTAGCGCAATTCCTCCGTAGTTGTAGCCACTATTTGGTCTGTTTCTCTTTTGCAGGTAGTTTGCAGCCATTGCAAACGCCTGGACGAGACTAAGACTTCCAGTCTCTAGAGAGTTGATCGACAAATTCGCTTTCACACCATTGAAAAGAGTGACGTGGGTATCATCGGAGCAGGTACTCGATACAAAGGAGCCGAGAGCCGCAACGAGGTTAGCAAGAGTGTGCCATGTGCTGCCGGTAGTGCGGCTGTTGAGCTTCGCATACTGTTCGCGAAAGGTATTCTCGTGGAGGATCGGGAAGGTCGGGTGGTAGAGAGCAAAGTAGGCATCGATGAGGGTGTCGACTACCGCTCGAGTGAACAGAGGCTGTGCTCGGAGCCATGGAGCAGAGGTTGCCGGATATTCATTTGAGCGATGGTTAAAGAGTTGCTCTAAACTTTCACGTCGTTCGCTTTTGGGATCTGCCTTGTTGTCGGTGTCTGTGCCCATCCATATGAGCCGCAGGAGTGCTGAGCCTGAGACTGATCCGAGGAAGCCGGCATTTGAATCATCAGCAGTCAATGTGGCCATTCCGTCCGTGATTTTTGGCACCTCGGCGTCGATGTCACCACCGAAAGCTGAAGGCCCGGCACCGGGATTCGTAATGTTCCAAGGAGATTCCCGCTCATCCCATTCGAAATCGTCGTCAGCTGCCGGGGGATTTTCCAATGGAAAAGGGGTGTCGTCAGCCACATCGGTCTTTGAATCGATAGGAGACTCAAGATGGCTGAGGTTGACCTTCTGATCCGGCTCAGCACCAGTTGTGGAGAAGGATTGGGTACGCTCTTGTTGGCGCTGTGCAGAACCTTGTGCTGGTAAAGGGGTTGAGGTAGCTCGCGGAAAGCCTGATGCGGCCGCCTGCGAAGAGTTTTCGGTCGTCGACTGGGCTGCAGCCTTGGGTGGGACATCAAGCTTGTTGGTGATGCCATGAACAAGCATTTGCGACAGTTCAGCTTCGGTAAAGAAAGTCTTCAACAAGGCTTCCGCTTTCTCCAGCCGCTCTTCAACCTCTGTCAAGTGCCTGTGGATGCATTAGCCGCCAAAAACCCATGCAGGGCGCGGCGTGAAGGATGATCAGACTGACTTCCTCGTTAAAGATGATCTGCTGTGCTTGTCATACAAACAATGTCGATTGTAGCGCTGGCAGACTGAACACACTGGCATCCGGCCGTCGCAACGTCCTTTGCGACGACGGCATTCGCGGCATGATTGGCCAGCGTTTGCGCCAGCGCGGTCAGTCCTTAGAGGTTCCGACATAATGCTCGACCACGACTTGAGCGTTCAGCATTCGGCTTCGTCGGTCAAGGATAGAGAGAAAGGGTAGATAGGATATGAAACGCTGTCTCGTGCCGTGCCCCGCCATGATGTTTCGGTTAGCTAAGCGTTTGGACATTTTCCAGTTTGAAAGCGGCCGCGGGTCCGGAACTGTTTAGGGCAGCCCTATCGGCTATCCAGGAGTGCCAGACTGCCAGAGTAACGTCCTCCGCGACACATCACTAACCAGCCGCCGTCGCAAGTTGGACGCGGTCTCTAAAAGCAGCACCCGTGCTTCGTAGGGGCTGATATGGATCAAGTCCGTGAGTTCGATTGGTCTGTCAAGTCTCGAAAATGCCCGCAGTCGAAAAGCAGCAAAATCAGCCCGATTTGGCGAAGGGAGGCTCAGCCTCGTCAAAATCTATGTATTGTCCTATGTATATATAATTGTGCTGGTCTGCGCATGTGTCAGCTCCGACATGTTCAAGAACTTACCCGTAGGACGACTTTGCCAAAGTGGGCCCCTCTGTATAGGTACTGAAAAGCTTCTTTGGCTTCGTCGAAGGGGAAGATTTTGTCGACCACAGGCCTAATCTTCTTTGCCTCATAGAAGCGCATCATTTCTTCAAATCTGTCTCTGGGCCCATTGAGAATTCCTTTCAGCGTAACATTGCGCCGCAGCGCCAGGACATTGGCATTGGTGCGATCGACAGGTTCGTCTTGCTTCCCGCTTAGATAACCGATGCAATTGATAAGACCCCCGAATGAAACACAGTCGAATGATTTCCTCAGAGTCTGTGCTCCTCCGGTCTCAAATATGAGGTCGGCGCCTTCGCCCTCGGTCAATTCCATGACGGTGTTCTGCCAGTCAGGATTCTTGCGGTAGTTGATACTGAACGTCGCTCCCAACGCCTCGGCACGAGCAAGTTTGGCATCGGAAGAGGAGGTTATAATTGCTTGAAGGATGGTCAGAGCCCGCAAAAGATGGTTGCGAAAGCCACTCACTCTTCGCACCAGCTGCATGCGCAATTTGTAGGCCACTTATGGAAACGCCGCCGGTTCCTTGTAGCAGGACAGTCTCTCCTTGCCCACCTGGATGGTTGACGGGTCTCATCCCGTTGATAGCCATCCATGCTGTAACTGCTGCAATAGGCAGAGTGGATGCTTCCTCGTCAGTGAGATAATCAGGCGCTTTGACCAGTCCAGTCACTGGAAAGACTCTATATTGCTGAAGTACACCATCAAGCGGCAAGCCGAGACCAAAGGCCATGTCTTTCTCTTTGATCTGGCCAGTAAGGTGGGTCTGGTTGAAAATGGAAAGAACACGGTCTCCAACATTCCAACCACCATGTCTGGAGTGCCCGACTTCAACAACAATGCCGCACATATCTGAGCAGGGTACCACATTCGGGCTTGCGCCAATGGCTTTGTGGTGGTTATATAGGCCCATAGCAACTAGACAATGAATAGACCATGAGATTAGCAAATGCCTGTCCATCAAAAGTCAGATAGCCTGGAACAACGCACCTTCGGTATCTCGATAATTCAGAGACACTGCACGGACTTCAACGAGCACTTCATTCTCGCCTGGAATGGGAACTGGACAAGTGGATTTGGACAGCTTGTCCAGGCCGTCCTGAGCGGTCTCCCATCTAGCCATCTGTCGTGAACCGGCCGCCATGCTTCCCTTCACACGCGGACAGATCTTCAGCGCACACTAGAAGAGCACTAGAAGAGATAGTTGATATTTCTAGAGACGTCGGGGTCTAACTCAATTTGCGGAGAGGAATGTTAGCTCATCTTCAAGTGTTCCTAGATGCTCCTGACATTAGCTCGTGGAAGAACTCCTGGGTACTCTATCCCAAGTGGTGAAATTTGTGGGGAGATCTCCCGGCAGGATTGTCATCGCTTATGTCCGCTGTCCGAGTGGAGGAATCTCACACGGCTGAGAGGGCCTTCAGAGGACAAAGGAAGCTCCAAGATCTTTGGACAAGGGACTGCCCCTGGATCCGTCCTGTGAAGGGTGCGTAGTGCAGCTGGTTTGGCGTCAATCTGCTTTCTCCTCCACCGGAGGCCCGTACGGTGGCACAAGGCGTCCATAGCAAACTGCGGTTCACTGCCAGCGTTTAGCCGCAGCATCTTCCATTCGTGCCATTGCAACTCCGCGACTTGTGTCTTGTGTAAGATCCCAACCACCTATTCTTTGGATAGCTCAGTTGGTATCCTCTTTCACCATGGCGGCCCAAGGCAATATGCACAATCTAACAACTCTTATCAAGAGGTGAGTGGCTTTTGTCGTGCCCCAGCTTGGTTTCGTTCCAGAGCAGCTGGCGGTCCTTCAGAGTGTCAATGGGATATAGCGTGCTAACTGCGTTGACTGCTCAGACTGGAAGCTGCCACTTCACGACTTGAAGACATTGCAACCGCCATCGATGGTCCAGGAGCTACTGCAGCAAATGGAGTTGTTCCTGCTCTCTCACCGTCGTCCGCTGCTGGCACCCCTGAGCAGGTAGCGGCCCCTCCAGAACCTTTACCAAAGTCGGTAGACGCCTTCAATCAGATAATCGAGGAAGACGTTGTGGCTTTTGTCAAGGCTAGCGAGAAGATTGGTGGTCTTGTGGAGGAACAAGCAAAGGCTGTCAAGGCGGCATTCGAAGCTGAACGGACATATCTGCATGTCGCCGCAAAGGCAAAGAAGCCTGATCCGCAACCTCCTGAGTTGATGACTGAACTCCACCGGCATACTTCCACTGTCGACGAAATCCGAGAAGCTAACCGACCGTCTCCTTTGTTCACCCACCTGAGTGCCGTTTCAGAAGGTATCGTGGCCTTGGGCTGGATTGTGGAGAAGAGACCAGGTGATTTTGTGACGGATACTCTCGGAGGAGCTCAGTATTGTAAGTGTCTTCCTGCCGCGAAGCTGTCTCTGATAGCCAGCACATTTTGGGGACGGAAACTTCCAGAATGACACTGGTTTCACCTTGTGGACGACAACACTGACTAAGATCCTATAGATGGAAACAAGATTCTGAAAGAGTACAAGGACAAGTAGGTGGCTTAGGTTCATTCTGCCCTGCACAAGAGTCGCTGACAAAAGGCCGACAGGGACAAGTCACACGTCGAATATATCCAGGCTTACTACAAGGTCTTTCGCTCCCTTGCCGCATACGTGAAAGAGCACTTCCCCACTGGTCTCACGTGGAACACCAAGGACGGCATTGATGCTCTCGAAGCTCTGAAGCAAATACAGTCTGGCACAGCAACTCCAAAAGCACCAATGGCTGCTGCTGGAGGTCCTCCGCCTCCTCCGCCGCCGCCACCTCTCCCGAAATTCGACGATGATGGTCCACCAGCTCCGCCACTACCACCACCAGGAGCCGCTGCGCAAGGCGGAGACATGTCGGCGGTCTTCGACCAGATCAATCAAGGTTCTTCTGTCACTGCAGGACTGAGAAAGGTCGACAAATCAGAAATGACTCATAAAAACCCGTCACTACGAGGCAGCTCTACTGTGCCGCATCGATCCGAATCCCAGACGTCAGTTACGGGACGTGGCAAGTCTCCAGTTCCCAACAAGAAACCTGACAGCATGAGGTCTAAGAAGCCAGGCCGGAAGGAGCTGGATGGGAACAAGTGGATTGTCGAGAACTTCGAAAACACTCAGAATGAGGTCATTGAGATTGCGGCCGAACTCAATCACAGCATCCTGATTTCCAAGTGCAACAAATGTGTCCTGAAGGTCACCGGCAAGGCCAATGCGATTTCTATCGACAACTGCACAAGTCTCTCAATACTGGTAGACTCGTTAGTCTCCAGCCTCGACGTGATCAAAGCCCCCAAGATCCAGATCCAGGTTGATGGAGTGGTCCCGACTATTCTCCTCGACCAGGTGGACGGTGCTCAGATCTATCTGTCAAACCAAAGCCTGGGGACGGAGATTTTCACCAGCAAATGCAGCGCCATCAATGTTGTGTTGCCTCCCAAGGATGAATCAGAAGACGACAGCAAGGAATTGCCGTTCCCCGAGCAGATACGCAGTGTGATCAAGAACGGGAGCCTTGTCAGCGAGATTGTGGAACATGCAGGTTAAGAGGGGTTGGCAGCATTCTTCTTCGAGCGTGTATCATTAGCGATGGGGTTCCAGGCTGGATCAAATGGATCAAATGGTCTCTTGCAGCTGGGCAGATAGTTCATTTGCATCGACGCTACTTTAGAAGAGGATGTGGGTAGGATTCTCAAAACATGACTGTTCGGCAGGCCTTGAGGGAATGTTTTGAACATTTCGATGATGTCTCGGTGAGATAGATATCGAACTATGGCATTCAACTTGACGTAAATGGCCCCTTTCTTCACACCATACCATTTCTATTGACGAATGCAAACACCCGAATACCAGAAAAAGTGACTTCCGAATGCCGCCATCCGCAATACTGAAAATTCCTATGTTTCAATAAAGGTGGCATCTTGTTTCCAGTTCTGTATTGTTCGGTTTTCCTTCAAAGTCACATCTCCTCGATCCCATACATAAAGTGTGCCTCACAAAAGATCTCCGCGAATCTATCCCCCGTTCGGCCAATCCCTGCCAGAACCGCAAGGACACGAGCGAAAGTCTTTGTCAGAGCTGTCTGTTTAATATTTTCCGCCCTGTCGAGCTGAGAATCATCAAGGGGCGACCGCAGGACGGGAAAGGAAGGATGAAGAAGAAGATGATGATCTCAACACGAATCCTGATCATCTCGGACACGCACGCCCATCTGGCCCTACCACCGGCAGACGACTCGGGATCTCCAGTGGCAGTAGTAGTACCCTTCCACCAGCCGCTCCCTTCAGCCGACGTGCTCATCCACTGCGGCGACCTGACCATGAACGGCGCGCTGTCGCAGCACGAAGCCGCCTTGTCACTCCTGACCTCCGCCAAAGCCGAGCTCAAGATCGTGATCCCCGGAAACCACGACATCACCCTGGACAGGGAGTACTACGCGCGCTTCCCTCGCTTGCATGCCACCTACGACCGCTACTCTGGTGACACCCTGGACCAGATCCGCGAGCTCTACACGGGTCCGAGAGCCAGGGATGCCGGGATAAGGTACCTCGAGGAAGGCGTCGCGGGGTTCACGTTGAGGAACGGCGCGAGGTTGAACGTCTATGCGAGCGCGTGGACGCCCGAGTTCTTTAATTGGGCGTTTGGCTACGCGCGGGATGTTGACAGATTTAATCCCCAGCTAGGAGGTGGAGGCGGTGGCAGCGGGCCAGCACCAGCACCAGCATTTCCTGTGCCTGAGCACGGCGAGATCGATATCATGATCACGCACGGTCCGCCCAGGGAGTTGTTGGACAGAGTCTGGCGAGGGGTGGGAAAGGAAGGGGAAGAAGACGTGGGTTGTGACCACCTTCGCAAGGCGGTCGAGCGGTGTCGGCCCCGTGTCCACTGCTTCGGACATATTCACGAGGCTTGGGGCGCGGTGTGGAAGAGGTGGGACGTCAGACCGCCCGAGGCAGAGGGAGGGGATATTACAGCGGGAGACGTACAGAGTTTATACGGAGAGCAGAGACAGCGCCAACAACCCCCAGCGCACCTGCAACCAGAAACCTCGTCAGTCGCAAAAGACCCAGACCCAGAACCAGAACCAAACCCTCCCTACCACCCCATCCACAACCCAAACAGCTACTACATGTACACACCCAAAACCCCGTCCACGCCGACGACCACAAACCAGCACCACCGAGGCCAGGCCGGTGAAACGCTCCTCCAACCCTCCGCCTACGAGGAGCAAGTGCGGCAGATGTGCGCGGGCCCAGTCGACGCGCGCGGGTTGGAATTTGGGACCGAGACGCTGTTTGTGAATGCGAGCATTATGAATCTCAGGTACAGGCCGGTGAATGCGCCGTGGGTGGTGGATGTTATGTTGCCTGAGGCGGAGACGGGGGACTCGGAGTAATGATCTAAGGGGGGATGAGCATGAAGGGGGTGATTAGGAAAAAAAAGGAGGGAATAGGAGAGAAGGAGATATATAAGGTGTACAACGGCGTATAGGTCAGGGGCAGCACGATAGAAGCGTACTATATACTAACGACTACTTCTCAAAGAAGGATATACATGTACAAGATCCATTGCACAGGGGCAGCCGGGATGGTAAGCAATATAACACCTCTAGTTCGACTTTTGATAGAAGGAGGGCGTCCACCGATGACCGCGAAGGACTCTATTCTGTTGCTACAAAAGCCTGTCCGGCATCGTTTAATTCTCCAACGTTCGTATTCGAGTGCGCTCTTCCTAGCTCATCTAGACTTCCAACAGCTCATGCTTTTAATCTCACCAACTCTGCTCTCATGCTGGGCCTTGGGAGCTCATTCAACTCTGCTGCTGCTGATCCCTCCCTGCTCTGTTGGTGTCCGGGCCAAATAGAATGCCCAAGAAGTGTCTCCGGAAGACCATGCTTTTTTGGTATCATGATCTAATTCAAGCAAATAAAATAGACAATTTTCTCATCCTTCTCTGCCAGCATCCTTCCCCCACTGTGGCACTACCTCCATGACCAGCACTTCAGACCTTGTAAAACACCCAACCGCTCGCAAAATCATCTGTGTCTGACCTTTCCATGGCAAAATGTTCGACCGAAGATTCTGCAGCAGGTGGCGGTTCTGCGGTGCGTATCGCGAATTCTGTACGCAACTGTTCTTCAATTCATAATTCATCATCCTGGTCCAGATCGGCCGGCTTGATCAATCCACCGACCTTGAGTGCTCGCTCTCTTTCCGCGTCCGCCAAAATCTTCTTTTCTTGTTCGCGTTCTTCTGCGTACAATTCCGCATTGTCGCCAGCAAATTCTTTGAGCGAGATCAAAAAGTCGCGCACATGAGTCTTGAATTTCGTGGCGTCTTCGTTGAGAGTGAAGAGGCCATTGACGAAATGCTGGACTTGGATCTCCTTAAGATTGGGGAATGCGCGCTGCAACAGATTGGAGGTGAATTCGCTGACGAACTGCTTGTTGGAAGTCCCGGGAGCGGCCTGGTCGGGTTGATACAGCGGCTGCGAAATCTTGTTGGTCTCAACAAGCTGGAACATCCGGGCCAGCAACATGCATTGGGATTTGAAGCCAGCCTTGTGGTCCGAATCGGTGAGGACGAAGAATACATCCTGCAGGATCGAGATGTAGAATTGTTGGAAGAAAATGCCCGAAGTCTGGGGATCGGTCTCTGCCATGTTGTTGATCAGCTCCAGACACATGGACAAGCCTGTATTCTCGACCTCGCGGTTGTCATGTTTGCTCGCCCACATGCAAGAGTCAATGACAAACTTGAACTGTCGGCCGTCCAGTTTTAGCAATGCTGGGAAGCAGAACAGGTTAATAGCCTGAAGTAGCTTGAAAAACTCGACTCGGAACTCGGGGTATTCATGGAAGTCCTTGTTGATCATCTCCAGCGTACATTCGAAGATGCTGTCCATGATTGGGCCAATCTTGTCATCCATAAGGTTCTGTAGCAAGTCAGTCAAAGGTCGAGGAGCAAGCGTCACGTCTCTGACCATAAGCCGAGATCTCTTTGGGGTCCAACGTACATGTAGCTTGTGGATAATCGTGGTGGTTACGCTGAGGACTTCTGCGTCCCTGGCGTCTGGAACGTTGCGCTGGTAGTCGAGCAAGATGGCGTCGAGCAGTGGTGGTACCATGCTATCATTGACCATTTGCAGGTCGTCCGCCTTTTGTACATAGATATCGACGAGCTTCAAGATCTCTTTCTTGATGGTGCGCAGGCCTCGAACTTTGGGGGTTTTTGTCTGGACATTGCCTACGGCCCACGTTAGAATCAAGCAGAAAACAAATCTTCAGTGGACTTACCTCCGGAAGCGACAGCATCGGAAATCAGCTGGCTTGAAGCCCGGTACATATTGAGCATATCATGATAGATGCGGCCGATCTGGGAATAAAAGTAACTGCCGATTGACGAGCACGCTGCAACATTGGTCTTCATGATGTTTCCCACCACTTTGATAATCTCCGGGTCATGTAGTATTGCTGGGTTGGCATTCGCTTGCTGAATGACGTTGTCCCAGGCCTGATTTGGATAAGACATGAGGTCGCTGATCAGTCGGTCTTGAACGCTCTTTTGGCCTTGGGCAGAAATCATGTAGCCACAAGCCTCGTAAAAGGTGTGGACTTGTTGGGGGGTCAAATCACAGGTGATCCTGCGCATATTACGCACAATCTCATCAATGAAAGGTTCGGTTTCGCCGGGCTGGAGAGCAACGAAATGGCGCTTGCACTTGTTGGCAATCTTAATGAACGTGTCGCACGCCATATCTTGCACTCCTTCGTGGGTCTCATGCATGAATTCAAACAGCTTATTGACGACCGTCTTCAAGAACTTCCAGTGCGCTTTCAAGAAGCGTGGATACTGACCCACAATATACATGATGTTGCTGGCCACCACAGCTTTGTTGTCTTTGCCGCGCTTCATCTCAGTCAAACCAAGCAAGTCCTTGATGACCGTCACCAAGAAACGCTTCTCTGTCTCTTCGGACATGGCGCCTGATATTGAGCCGATGGCCCAGCAGAGCGTATTGCAGTTGTTCCACGACCACTCGGAGCCGTCGACTTGTCGTTGAAGCTTGTCAGACATGATTTGTTCGGTGTCGACAACATCCAAGTGCGTCAAATAAACCAGGCATTCGCGGGTGGTCTTGTAGAGTTGAATCGTGTCGCTCTCCTTGACGAATTCCCGCACAATTTCCCCCTCGTCATTTTCCACAATGAGAACTTCCTCTGGCCGGACCATCTTCTCCACCATGACTTGTCTCAGACTTGACAATACTTGAGCGTATTTGTGCTTGCGGAGAGGATAATTGGCCAAAGTGCTAGGATGAGGCGCACCGCCGTTAGCGAGCCCGCTGACGCCCATGTTGACCAAAGGATTGAGTTCGGTGATTGGGAGCTGTTGCATTTCTTCATACAGCTCTTGGACCAATTTGTTCCAGTACTCCAGACAAATCTTGAAGATTTCCCTGTCATCGATCAGACTGATCTTAATGAGGTAGAAATGGCCGTGTAGGAGATAGTCGGAGTTCGGTAGTCTTTCAATGGTCTGAAGATGTGCAGAAAAGTAGTTGGTGAGAAATATTGCGAGGTTGAGGATGTATTCTTGTTCTGAAGACCGGGCTTTAGCATACGCCTCTCGAAAATCAGTGTCGAGGGAGAGAGTTCTTGCAACGACAGTCAAGGTTTCGGTGAACATCTGGACGAGCTTGTCGTCGTACTGATAGTTCTGTCCCAATTGCAAGCCTCCAATTTCCGTCAAGCACTTAAGGGTGATGTTGCGGAATTGATCGACTTCAAGGAACCTGGTGACAAGGGTGTCGATGAGCTTTGTCTCGAAGATGAACCCAAGGGGAATCCAATTCAGAAAGCGGAGCAATGTCTCGAGAGTCGCCTTGACGAGGCTTACGGAGTCGGCATTTGTAAGGACGTCATCGCATAGTCGAAAGATGGACGAGAACTCGGCGCACATGGTAGTTTTCAAGTTCTTCGCCTTTGTGGAGGTCATCTGATCCTGGGAGAAGTCGAACACCTCTTCAGATAGCAGTCGCAGGATGGTCATGTTGTTCTCGCACACAGAGACGCCGGTGTGGCAGGCGGAGATGATCTCGTTGATGAACGTGGGCCAATTGTGTGGCCATTCTTGCTTGAGAATGGTGACCAGCGTCAAGTCCAGCTTGTTGAGAAAGAGCTTGTTCGCCTTGAGAGATTCCTCAGTGTCGGAAGCCTGCAGGATCTGATTGACCACGAAATTGCGGATGCCCAAACATTGGTCTCGCGGCAGAACCTTCCATCGGGTGTTGACCACATCATCCAGCACCTGCAATCCCAGATATTTGGTGGGCACGTAGGTAGCCTCTTGCAGTATCCTGTCCACCATCAACCAGGCATCGGGATTTGACTTGAACTCGTTGAGCTTCTGTTGGGCCTGTTTCTGGACATCGCCATGACCCTCTTGAAAAGCTTTGACGGTCGCGTCAAGCTCGGCGACAGTGACCGACATGGTGGGAGAAGGACGTAGGAGGAAGAGCGCTCAGCGAGCGAGGCGAAGCACGAGTGTTGCGCCAGTAAGTGGCGGGGAGTGAGGATTGAGGCTCGATCGATATGTCGGTATGGATAACGACCCGAGGGTGGGATGAGGAGTGTTTATTGCTTGTCCCCTCGTTTGACGGGAAGAAGAGATGAAAGGGCGACTAGTGGAATGGCGATGGGAAGTAGATGACAGTGTGGGCAGAATGAAAGATGTCTTTGGGTCTGTGTTGGTTGGGTAAAAGCTGCAGTTCGTTGGATGATGGAAAATTGCCAACGCGTGAGGCCCAGGCAATTCAGGCAATTGCATGGGCTTCGCAGTTGATGAGGCGCCGCATAAGGCAACCGCAGCGGCAGCGGCGATACAAGATCAAATGTCGCCCGCGCGGCTATCAACCCCGGCCGCTGGCATTGAATTTGTCATCCAGCACCAATTGCAGCGTCCGCTTCAGCCACTTGCTGCCGTCCAGTAATTAAGATACACGCCCATGAGATACCCAGGTACCTAGTATACAACACTCACACTACATTTACTTGTTACATTTCTTTGGAGTAATTCCACAGAGGTGAAAAGGAATCAATTCTCAGGACAATCCCAAGATATATCTCGTTGTCTGAATCATATTCTGGTTTATCTGGTATCATGGGCACTGTAAAAGCCACATAGAATCTTGGTGTATCAACATAAACAGCCAAAGCAAGCCTCCCCTTTTATTTGGTTGTAGGTCAATCGGTACCTACTCCTGTCGTGTGTTCCTTGAGTTTCAGCTCTCGCTCTTCGCTCTCTTTGCGGTACTGTTGATACGCCGCTGCCATCTCCTCCTTGGACTGCATCCCATTCTTCTCCGTAATTAAATCTTTGAGCCATTTATTCTCCATCTCCAGTTGATTCACCTTGGCCTCCAGTTTGGCGTTCTTTTCCTGCACCTCCTTCACCGTTTTCTCCAATGCCTGCTCGCGCTGCTTCTTCTTCACCCGAAATCGCGCGCTGGCGGCTGTGTTCCTCCTCCTCTTATCTTCCTCAGCAGCGAGGCGAGATTTCTCCTCCGAACTCAATGCATTGGCATCAACGGCGTCACCTTTCCTCCGAGTAGCCTGAGGACCAGTAGTCGTTGACGCGCCAGAAGATGTGTGAGAGTCAAGGTTGTTAAAGCCGGGGATGGGTGCAGGTTGAATGGGAGTATTGTAGGTGCCGTAGTAGTGAGAAGAATCGCCCGCAGATGTATCGATGTTGGAGGATTGATAGTTTTGGGTGGGTGACGAGCCAGACAAGAGTTCTTCATACTTCACGTTATTCGGGTTGGTTTTAGAGTCGCTGAGATCAAAGTTGAAAGAGCCATCTTCAGGTAACGGGGGAATGTCAAAATGGGTAAAGTCGGTGTTTGTGAACATAGCCAGGTCCTGGCTGATGTCCAGCTCTTCCGGCGGGAACTGCTCCTGATCGTAGGGCGACGCCAGAGTATTGAGGTTGTTCAGATACTCTGAGAAGTTCGGCCCTGTCCGGCCGCGATACCCCGACATGATCCTCCCAATGCTCCCCTACTATGCTTGTTTACTCCTTCTCAGCGCTGTCTATGATTCTGAAGTTGTGTGGGAGGAGATGATGGATCGGGTGGAAGCTGGCGCTCCAGGTTAGTCGAAGGGCGCACTATGACAAAAGTGAATCGTGTGTGGCGATTTTTGTCAACACAGGACCTCGGGGTGCAGCGAAGCAGCTGTTTTCCCTCGGGCTAAATGTTCGCCTCGTCGTCCTTCAGCGCAGCGACAGACGTCGTCTCTATAGAGAGGTGGTGGAAGAATGGAGGGACAAGTAGTAGGAGTAGTGGGGAGAGAAAATTGCGTTCTCGTGGGAGAGGCAGTAATAGTGCGTGAGGATCGGGTGCAAGAGAGGGGCGCGAAAACTCTCAGTTGGAACGATTACTCGGTGAGGTGCCACAGGTGTGGGAGTCTTTACGCGGGCGGCAGGGCAGTTCGTGGGAGGCGGGCGCCCTGCGTGGGTTTCGTCCGTTGCGTGGTTGGCCTCTTCGGACTCGGTTCGGGAATTGCACTGATGCTCCTGGTGCTCAGGTGGTGCTCCTCCCACTCCTACCCCTCTGGACCAAGGCCTTTTCTTCACCTGCCGGATCTATTCGGTCGATTCGTCGAGATCTCGCTTGTAGTAATAGTATCACTTAATGGCTTCAAACCTCCCAACTCTTTCAGATAGCCAAATCACCAGGTAGTGAAAGTACGTGGTGAGCCAGCAACCTTTGTAGTGCGTAACTGCCGAGGCGCTGGGGCCGACAGATGAATCATTCATGGCTTTGTCTCCATTATTTAGTCCCGTAGCGGTCGGATCGTTGTTGCGGAAAACTTCTCATGATCTCATCTGAAGTTGGTGAACTTTGGCGCCGTGTAAGACGGATCAGCCTGCCGAAAAGGGTCCTTGTATGATTCCAAGATTAGTCGAGCTTGGTTGTCGGGAGTTGCTCACCTTGAAAGGCGCACATCACCGTCGGCTTAACTCATTTTGCCTAATAAGCGCGAGCGTACCCCAAGCTCCCTGCCTGTTCTTCTCGCTCTGACTGCATGCACGTAATTGACTAGTGGTTGGTCAATTAATAATCCAGGCTCAGAGAGGGCTGGACGACAGAGGCCAGGATATTTCTGCTCGTGATTAGGTATTCAAGCTGTGTGAAGAACCTAGTGTGGGGTTTGGGCGTTCCTGCGGCGGGGGTGCGGCATCGCTGAGGAAGCTTGCATATGGCACGGATCTGGAAGTAGTAGTGTTTGACTGCCCAATTCTGTCGCATACACGTCTGAGGCTGATCAAACAGAACAATCGGAATGGAGCGGATAACCAATGCTCGTTGACACTGTCGTGCAAACGTGAGACGCTCTAGATGGCCTGGTGCTCCATTGCAGTGGTGGGTGATGCTCCATGACTCAAACTGATGGTCACATGACTTGCCCATGACTCGTGTATTTACATAAACCTTTCCTCTCGTCCCGATTCATCCATGTCGTAAACAAACCCGTCAACCACGCCATGGCACCGATTCTCGCCAAATCACTCAACCGACTACCCAAAGAAACTATCCTAGAGCTCGCTTTGACATGGCTGGAGGAGAACCACACATGTGCACCTTATCTGCGGAACAACCGTACCGGCTTCGAAGCAGATGAAGAAGACTATCTACACACTCCGGCCGACAGCATCGAAGAACTGCGACAACTGTACGACGATCTCAAGAAGGATGTAGCAAAAGCTGCTAAGCGCGACATTATCGATCGCATTGTCGACGGTGACTGGCGGAGGGGTTTGTCGCTGCATCAACATGCCATGATTGACTTTGCCGCTTTGGAGCAGAACGACAACGCTTTGAGATGGAGTGCACTCAGGGTGGTACCACTGGAAGTGGAAGAGCAGGAGAAGGGACTGCTAGATGACGATGACTCTCACCATCCCAAGAAAAGGCGGAAATTGAGTCATCGTCACGAGGCCGTGGGAGCGCCGTATCCTCAGATTTCTCCGCAAGCATTTCTCTCCGCCTTGAAAGCAGAGATTTCACCCTTGGTCAAAGCGCACTATCATCTCCATCGCATGCCACCGCCTTACCAACTCACGATCCTGCGACTCTACATCACTCCAAACTCGGCATTTGCACCGCGCCGATCCAAAATCCCAACCCGGGCCAAGCATGCCACTGATGCGGGCCGAATCATGTACATTGCTCTTCCCGACAGCTGCCCTTACATCTACATCTCGATATCCGGATCCCCCTCGTCGAGCAGCTCCAACGGTCGGTCAAATGGCCAAAAGGGGATGATGGCCAAAGTGGACATGGCCGCCATGAAGAGAATCGTGCTAGAAGCCATTCCCAAGGCACTCTCACGCCCACAGCGTCGATGGGCACTGGATACGACGAAGCTCGTGGCCAGGTCTCTCAGAACCATGTGCGAGCTGAGAGGCAATCACAAGCCGGGCACGGGCGGTGGCGCGTACAGCGCATTTGCCGACGGCGCAACGGCATCCGAAAAGAGTCCGGTTGATGTACTCCGCGACTACGCAGAGGACAAGGAAAACGACGAGAGACTTCTCCTGATTGAGAAGCGGTTCGGAAATATGTCTGGAGAGCATCATGCACCACTCGATCGTGTGCACGTGAAACTCTGCAATGCCATACCGATTGAGGCCGATGGGAGGGAGAAGTCGTCATCATCGTTCAACCACGCAGCAGAAGAACAAAAGACAGATGGCGCCAACGACATCACCTTGACGTTCTCCGGAAGCGACGTGTTTCTGGGATTGAAGACCCTGGCCGAGTTGGGACCAGAGTATATCGACTTGGATAAATTGCCTTCTTGGATGACTGGCGAATCGGGCGTCAGCAGTTTGACCGTTTAGCGCTTGGCTGGAGATTGGGAGCATGCTTGGATCGTCTGTTCCAGCGGGCCCTGCCTGGACGGAGTTTGAAGATCACGATGCTGACGATGACTGTTTTTTGTACATGCTAGCATTCTGTCCTTTGCATTGGATATTCCCCAGTGATTGGAGGAGCAGAGAATGAATAGCATTTGGACATGGATTAGTATTGACAATGCCAAAATATCCCTCTCAAGTTGACCGCACTGCAACAGCGAGAAATGACATCTTGTGGCGTTCCATTTTGACTGATTTGACCATCCACGGTATTTGTCTGCGCGCTGCATAGATGAGCCTGCTTCGGGCATTGCGAAGACTGAATGATTGCGATTCACTTCCTTTTATCGTTTCCAATCAAGATCATAATTTGGAGACACTCTCCTGCATTCCAACGTCCTTCCTTCTATTTACACTACAATGCCGCAAGGGGCCTCGATGACATCCTAGGCTTGCTTCTCCACAGTATCTACCTGTGCAACCTCCTCCACCGACTTGTCTGATCCCGCGTCTTCTTCCAGGCCTAAAGCCATCTTTGCATCCTGGATTGAAATATCGTGAGGGAGCCGTTTCTCGTTCTTCACCGGATCGCCCGGCGTCGCGAAGATGACGTCCAACTCCTCCAGCGACCGGCCTTTCGTCTCGACGAGGAAGAAATAGATGATCGGGACGAACACGGCGTTGAAGACGGCGTAGTAGATGTATGTTTTCCAGCCGAGGTTTGCGAACGACGTGGGGATGGTCATGACGACCAGGAAGCAGAAGGTCCAGTTGCTGACGGAGCCGAGGGCGGCAGAGGGGGCGCGGGCACGGAGAGGAGCGATTTCGGCGGCGTAGAGGAAGGGACCGCCAACCCAGGCGAGACCTGTTGTGCCATTAGGTTAGTTCAAGAGGGATTTGAAGGGTAGTGCCGGCAGGGAACTCGGCTATTGCTTACCGAAAAAGGTGTTGAAGAGGAACAATAGGCCAGCACCAGCAAGTTGGTTCGATCGGGAGCTGGTTGACAGCAGAATGGGGATAACGATGAAGCAAGCCGCCATGCCGGTCGCAGTCCACATGAAAGCTCTACGACGTCCCAGGCCTTCAATCAGGAGCACAGCGAGGAGAGAGCAGAGTGCGTATTCAGTGCCACCACAAGCAGCAATGAGGTGAGATGTGCCTGGACTCAAGTCGAAACTGGTGGAGAGGATTTGGTTTGCGTAGGTTGAGACCATGTTGATACCGGAGAGTTGCTGAGCGGCGTTAACGAATACCCCCAGCAGCATGCGGCGGAAGGTCTGTGTTTTGCCGTTTTGCAAGAGTTCCTTGTAAGCGAAGGGAGCTTCGGCCTTTTGAGCCTCATGACTGGCCATAATACCGGCGAATTCGGCAACAAAGTCTGGGTGCGCCTCGTCCAAGTCGCGGAGTTTGGAGAGGACTTCTCTGGCTTCGGAGAAACGACCGTGGGAGACGAGCCAACGTGGACTGGAGGTGGGTTAGCAGTGGTTGCGGTAGGATAGAGGTGGTCTTGCCTTTCAGGGAGGAACATGATGAAGAAGAAGACGATCGCAGCTGGAACCAGCTGAAGGGCGACAGGTGCACGCCATTGGACCTGGCCGCTGGTGTAGAAGAACCCAAGACCAACCCACTGGCCGCAGGCGACACCAGATGTCTGCAGACCACCTTCAATCATGACCCATCGACCTCGAGACTTTGGTTTAGCGCATTCAGACTGCCACGCGGGGATGGTAGCAACTTGGAGACCCAAGCCGATGCCAGACATCAAGCGTCCGACGACCATTTGCGCAATATGCCATGCTGATGCCTGTAATATGCCACCGACCAACATGAACAACATGCCCATGAATACGGTCCCTCTCCTCCCCCATTTGTCACCACAGAACATACAGAGGATGGAGCCGAAAAGAGCGCCAAGTTCGAGGGTGGCTATGACAATGCCCTGAATAGTTGCGTTTTTGGTCTGTGGAAAGACGGAGAGGAAAGGCTCTTCTGTGATGAGCCCGCCCATGATGGACATGTCGTAACCAAAGAGCCAGAAGGCGCAGGTTGCAATTGTGGCAATGGCAAACTGCAGACGCAGACCACTCAGACCCATGGTCGAGGTGTAAGGGGTGAATTTCATGTCGGTGAGCCCCATTTCGAAGGCTGTAGGTTGATTCAAGGTGGAGGAGGATGGGAGGAAAGCGACTCCTCAGCCCAGAGGTGTGATGGTTGTCGGTCGACTGTGAAAAGACAGTTGATGAGGAAGATGAATGTTCTCATGCTGGAGGTGTCCATGATTTATGTAGACGCATTTGCTGTCTCTAAACCCACGAGGAGAGGACTCCATACAGGCTGTGGAGCTTTGGGGAGCCTTGGGGACCCCGTGGTGTTTGTGTCCAGATTGTCGGTAGGCTCCACATGTTACTCAGGAAGGAATTGCTTTGCGGCCGCCACGTTCTGGAATGTGGGGAGCGTCGATATAGGGAGGATGAGGTCAACAGGCTAGACGTGGACGTTTTGGACAGTGCGTGGGAAGCTGTTCCAGTAAAAGAATACCTAGGTACCTGGCAAGCTGGGTAGAAGCTTGCTGTTGATGCAAATCAGATCCGTCGAGTAGAAACAGCTTCCACCTGCACGGCAAGAACTTCCGGCAATAGAGTTTAGCAACAATTGAACATATTCTGCCTTTTAAGCAAAACGAGGACAAAATATTACAACAATGAACTTGACCTTCTCCGGGGAAGATGGTCGCCTCCCCGCAAAGCCGACGAATCTCCGCGCATGGGGCCAGAAGATGCGCTACAAGATGCAACCCAATCGACAGTTTATCGAAAGCTTGTTGTCGGAGTCTCCTTCCTTCCTGGACAATTGCTCGTTTCGTGCTACAAACAGTGGCAACCTCAGTTCTAATAGGCGGCGAGATTGCGGAGCCTCAGTCTTGCACATACACAATATCGGAAGCATGCCCAGAGCCCTCGCCGTGCAAGGTAACCCTCCGGGTCGGTTGTTCGGCGTAGATTCGCATATAAGGTGAGAGAGAACACTCTAGAGCAAGACCTTTGCGTTGTCCAAATCTTTGCCCTGCCTCTGTACCTTTCCTCAATTCGCCCAATCACCATGGCCATCTCAGAATGGACAGGCAAGCCATTGAGCCTGAAGGTCATCGGCACCAATGCCGGGACCTCCATGGACGGACTTGACATTGTACATATGCACTTCACACAAGACAGTCCCACCAGTCCCCTAAAAGTCCAGCTGCTCCATGCGGGAGAGGTGGCCTTCGACGGTGACCTCAAGAAGCGAGTGATGAGACTGATCAAGGAGAATAAAACAACCCCCGAAGAGATTTCGATTGTGAACATCCAATTGGGAGAGTTCGCCGCCAACGCCATCATTCAATTTGCCCAGGAACAAGGTTTCAGTTTGGAGAATGATGTGGACATCATCGCTGGTCAGGGTCAGACGATATGGCATCTGCCTCTCCCCGAAATGTTCGAGGGGAACCCACAACGAGCTCACCTCGATATGGCGGAAATCTCCATCATCGCTGCAAAGACTGGTATCACCAGTCTTTCAAACTTCCGTGTCAGTGACATGGCGCTTGGAAGACAAGGTTGCCCCCTTTTTGTGGCTTGGGATGGACTATCGGCAACACACCCAACCAAGAACCGAGCTGTCCAAAATATTGGTGGCATCGCCAACATCACCATGCTACCAAAGGGCGACATTCAACAAGGCTACGATTTCGACACGGGCCCGGGAAACGTTTTCATCGATGCCGCTGTTCGCTACTTCACAAACGGGAAGCAGCAATACGACAAGGATGGCAAGATGGGCGCTGCCGGTAAAGTGGATCAATCGATTGTTGATGAGGTGTTGGCCGGTCCTTATTTCGTGCATGACATCCCCAAGACAACGGGTCGGGAGACTTTCGGCGACACAATGGGCGAAGACATCTGCGAGCGAATGCTCGCAAAGGGGGCTAGCCCAGAAGACTGTGTGGCCACAATTACTCGAATTACTGCGAAGGCCCTAGCTGATGCCTACGAGAGATGGGGCCCGAAAGGAGGTATTGACGAGATCTATCTTGGTGGTGGAGGATCTTACAACCCGAACATTATTAACTATCTGCGAGAGCGGATGCCCAACACCAAGATCGCCTTCCTCGATGAGATAGGGGTTCCGACAGGGTCGCGCGAGGCAATGAGCTTCGGCCTTAAAGGTCTCGAGTGCATTCTAGGCCGATCCTTGGTGGTGCCCCAGAGAGTCGAATCTTCCCGAGCTGGCATCATCGGTCATATCCAGCCTGGCTCAGGGCTAGCATATCATCGGTTGATGAAGCATGTACAAGATTTCTGGGGTAACTATCCATTAGAGAAGAGGATGGATCCTGTGCTGGAGATGGAAATAGTGCGACCGACCGCAAATGGAACAAATGGAGTCAATGGCCATCATTAGATAGCAGTGTAGCTTGGAGTTCCGGTGCCATATCCGACCGACCTGTAGCAATTCTTGGAGCAGTCATAAATCAATAACGGAGAGCAACTCTAACAGTTTCTCTGTGTCAAGTCGCGAGTACGGGCATGAGGGTGCGGAAAGTAATTACTAGGTACATGGATGCTGCCAAGTCGGCTTCCATTCTCCGTGCTCAACCCCCTCCATCCTTTTCCACTCTGTCGAAATTCCGTCGCAAAATCTTCCTCTCACCTGAGGATACCCAGATCTTCATGAGTCGCTCTAGGAGGGGAACGGCATCAAGAACAAAACTCTCCTGTGCCAACTGCCGGCGACGACACTTCAAATGCGGCGGAGAACAGCCATGTCAGCGTTGCTGGCAAGATGACCTGCAATGTGAATACCCAACGAAACCTTTCAGCCTCAAAGAATGGTCGCCACAAGAGGCAGGCCTTCCTCCATTACCAGCACTCCAGGAAAATCCGAGCAATGTTGGAACTGGCATCTTCGTCTCCGAGAATCGCCGGATTGAATCACGTTACGAAGTCTTGAATCCGGAAACAAAATCGCCTTCATCTGTGAGCGCAGAAGAAAGCCAGCTGTCCCGTGGTGGTGGTGTACGAAATGAAGCGACAATCCAGCACCCATCTGATGCGGCTGCCAGTCCTGTCCCGTTGTGTCCTCCCATCACAGAGCCAACCGAGGCGTTCTTCATGGAGCGATATTGCAACATTCTCGGCCCCTGGTTCGACATGTTTGACACTACCAGACACTGGTCACACGCAGTGCCGCATCTGTCGTTATCCAACCGATCCTTGTTCCGATCCATAGTTGCAAGCTGTGCAAAGCAATATTCCTTGGTATCAGGAGAGAGCTCAATCTACGCCCTGGACCAGTATAACCGCGGCCTGAAAGAATTGACGCGAGCCTTGGGCGATGCAGAGTCGACCGGGCTTCCTGCGGTCTTTGCGTCCTGTTTGCTCACAGGCTATTGCGAAATGATTGATGCCCAAAGTCTTGACTGGCATACGCACTTGAGAGGCACATTCTCTCTGTGCTCAAGTCAGGGCTGGCATGGACGATCCGGAGGCGTTGCTCAGTCTTGCTTCTGGGTGTATTGTCGCATGGATCTGCTGGCATCCATAGCCAGAGCTCGACATACTCTGCTTGACCCGTCACGCTGGCTTCCACATGGAGCTTCGTTGGCCCCGTCCCATCCTGCTCACGACTGGGAGCTCGATTCATGGTGCAATCAAGTGGTGGTGCTCCTTGCCCAAACCCATAATTTACTCTGTGACGTCCGACAGCCTTTGCGTACCTCGACAGAGCAATCAGAGCTTGAAGAAAGATGGAACAGGATCTCCACATCTCTGGATATACATGAGAGCAGTCGTCCGGTCGCTTTTCGTCCAATCATTGACTTGCCCCCAAAAGACCCGCAGGTACCGTTCAGCCAGATCATATATGTGTCAGCTGCAGCATGTGCAGCAACGCAAATGATGGATCTAGCTTGTCTGTTCCTCATCCTCGCCTTCCCGGACAGGACACCTGCTGAAAGAGCTGTCCGGCTCATGTCCGAATCCGTATGCAGAGAAGCTATCCATCTGAGTCGCAAGATTGTGTCGAATAGCATCACGAACCGGCATCCTATCGCTTGGGCTAACGCTGTTCAGTTGTTGTCCAGCGCCGGGGCGATACTCGTCGGTCGAGCTGAAAGGGCAGCACTCCTACAGGTGTTGAACGACATCAAGCGTGAAACTGGCTGGAGTACGCTCGGCAACTGCCAAAATTTGCACGCATGGTGGGAATCTTTTTGGCCAGACGGCGAGGATCATCTCGATACTGCAGATGACGATGAGACGATACGGCGTGTCAGCAGATGCTTGATCAGGCTTTCCACCTAGCCAACCGAAAGTCCTGGTAGGACAACTTGCACTACGATTTTTCACATGCTGCGAATTCTAATCTCTGGAGAGCTACCAATTCTTTTGAGATACGCACGCTATCATCATTCTTCGTGGTTGAGCATATCCGAGGAAGCCTCTTCAGATCTGATCAGCTTTTCATCATAATCATGACCGTGTATTAGTCCCCTCAACTCATCCCCGATCCCTCATCGTTGTCTTTCATCAAATCTCTCAATTTATCCCTAATGTGCACCGTGGCCGCATCCTTCTCGCCGCGGAGCATGCACGACGCGTCCAGCGCCTGTCTGAGCCAGTAGACGGCGTCGGCGCGGTCGCCGAGACACACGCTGAGCTCGGCCATGTCCTCCATGGCATAGGCGGCGCGTTCGTCCGGGAAATGCACGCCCTGGATGGTCTGGTAATTCTTGATGACGGACGAGCACAGCGCCCGCGCTACCGCGTGACGGCCCAGGTCCATGTGCACGTGGACCAGCTCGGTGAGGGCAGCACACAGGTCCGTCATGACCACGGCCGTGGGACGGCGGTGGTAGATATCCATGTCCATGCCGGCGGAGCGCGCCGTCAGGGCCTGCTCGGTGGCTTCGACCAGAGTTTCGGCCTGGTGCTTGGCGGCGTCGAGCCGCTTGGCGCGCCGCAGCAGGCTGATCAGCGAGCGGTGCACGGCGAAGGTGGCCTTGTGGTCGCTTCCCAAAGTCTGCGTGAAGAGGGCCAGCGTGAGGTTCGAGGCGGCCTCGGAGGCCTCGCCGAGCTCGTTATCCCGCGCCATCTCGCGGCAGATGACCGCCAGGGGATGCTGCCGGGAATTCAGCTTGATCGCCGCCATGCGCGCCAGGTACCGCAGCAGTGTTCTCCGCATCTGCGGATAGACCCGCGTGTTGATCGGCGAGAGCACCGTGAAGACGCTGTTCAGGAAAAGGACCGGTGGCTGCTGCTGAGCGAAGATGTCCCCCACCAACACGCACGCGTCGTTCAGCAACGGCCACGCCAGGGTCGGGGATTGCTTCTTGAGAAAGTAGATCCCAGACTTGACGTTGGACCAGAAGAGCGTGGTGGTGTCCACGACGTGGTGGCTGTTGTCGGCTGGACCTGCGACGGCGGAACCCACGACATCAAGGTAGTATGATCGTGTTTGATGCAGAATGAGGTCCACGTTGAGGCTGTCCCTGGGTGGGAACACGGGTGGTCTGAGGGCTGGCAAATCGAGTTGCAGCTCGTCACGCTCGATCATTTCAAACGGCTCTCCATCACCATCATCTTCCACTTCCGCTTCCGACGACGAAGGCGTAAGGGCGCTGGAAGTGGTGTTCCCCGATTCCACAGGCGTGGCACTCGATGCGTCGGGGGTCCGCGAATGCACGCGCACCATGGTGTCGTCTCGGGCGTGATCTGACGCAGAGGAAGAAGCAGAAGAATCGACTGCACTCTCGTCGTCGTCGCTGCTGCGAGTAGTAGTACTAGTCTGCACCCTCTGGCTCCGGCTCTGCCGCGCACCAGCCTTGCCACTCCCACGCTTGGGATCCCTAATATGTCGCAGCACGCGGTGCAGCTTGACCGGGCGGCCCTTGAAAGTGATATCCGCGACAGGCCGGTTCTGGAGGTGTGCCTGGGTAATGCGCGCCGCCAGCAGTTCCTTCTCCGCGGCGCGGTAGTTCTTGCGGATGTTCCACTGGTTGAGGCGTGTGTTGTACATGCGCTTACTAGCCAGGAGGGGCGGGGATTTGTGTCAGCTCCATCTGAGAATGGTATATATATACACAAACGCGCATCATGGACAATATGTGGTGGTATAAGAATAATATCATCCCAACCCTCAAGTGGTGATAAAAGAAAAGACTCACGTAGCCTTAAAGAGATACTCGGTCTCCATAACCCGCTGGACCTCCTTGAGCGGCAGTTCGCAATCGCGGTACAAATGCGTGATGATCCCGCGGCGCGCATTCCACTCCTGCGCCGTCCGCGGCACGGTTGCCCGTCGGGCCTGAGGCTGAGGCTGAAGCTGAGGATGCATCGGCGATGGCTCCATCTGTGTATTACGGCTTGCGGAATCAGAGACGGCGGGGAACGCGAACGCGGACGTGAATGGCCTTGAATCTGCCATTGCCATTGCTGTAGCCATGGGTTCAAAGGCCCCGGTTCAAGACTGTACAAAGCAAGGCTGAATAAAGGCTGGACTCGGACGCTGAAGCGAGTGACCCCAGCAGAAACACCCCTCCTACCCAACCTAGGTACCTAGGTTAGGTACCTAGGGAGCGCGCGATTCTGTTTCGGTCGGTATGGATATACCTAGAGTAGGATCCTACGGATTGTTGGGAGTATCAATGGAACAGTTCTTCTTCGATCTGGCGGTTTCACATCTGCAGACAGGGCGAGGCGGATTCAGGAAGTCGAGAACAAGAAACGAGATTCAGCCTGAGCGAGCGGGTTCTTATGATACTGGTAGCGTGTCCCATTCCCCGGCTGACTCGCGTGGGGTTAGATACCTAAGTAGGTAGGGTAGGGTAGGGTAGGGTAGGCAAGATGGTGTCTTGGGATTCATAAAGTACCTAAGAGACGCAGCTTGAATGGAACCGTCATCAGGCTTTGACTGTGGTGATGGTGGCGGTAGTGGTGGTTGTACCACTTGTGAGGCTGTGGCTGAGCGACACGTTAGCGCTACAAAAATCCCCGTGCATTAGCACACAACATCGCACACCAATCAACGAGGCAATTGGCTTGCCTCGACCTTTCAGTAATGCAGGCTATGTCATTTGTACTGCCAACACACGGCCTGCCCACATGATTCTCCCAGTCATGCATCTTGCATCTGCAGCCGAGACCTTACAAGGCTTGTGCAAAAGTACCGCCCAGCCCAGCTCTCCTACGACATACTGCGTAGTCATCAATTAGACTCCAGATCGCTCGAGTTCTTTCTGTCTTTTCGTTCCATAAGTGTACAAAATATTACATACAGCTGTGTCTCTCTGCATTTCTCATCTGGCATGTGTAAAGATTGTACCTGAATTCGTCATCTCCTCTCCCGTATCGACATCGTTCTGCGTTCTGTAATTGACAACCCGACTCTTCCCATCCATACTCATCATAATATCTGCTCTCGTGTCGTGCGAGCGAAGCACTCGGTGATTATGTCTCGACAGTGCTATTGCCGGTGTTGTCCTATCTGGACGACCAGCTCGAGGACCGAAGAGGTTCGCTCTGGTCTCCTCCAAGAGTGTTTGACACGCCGGCAAGCTGGTCACTATGTAGATCATGGTGTTCCAAAATCCTTGCAGAGGAAGTACCAAGCCAGAAGCAAAGTCCAATCCAAAGATAGGCGTATACGGTGGCACCAGTGTATACACTCGGTTGATGGTAGAGGGAACCCTGGAGGTCACTGTCAGCTCTTGTGGTCGGTGCAGGAACAATAGTGCATACCATGTGCAGAGGAGAGCGACGAAGAACAACATGGCCGTTTTGCAGTAACTCAGAGTTGCTTTGTTCGCGTCCAATGTCCTGATCGGTGGTCTGTCTACCACCACATTGGTGTTCGGTTGGGCAAATGCCGTTTCGTGGATGGAGGGAAACCGTCCGTGGTTTACACTTGTGGGCGAGGCATCCTCATGATAGGTGCTCCGGGGTGAGCTTAGATGCGGCTGCTGCTTCGGTTCAGGTGCGTGTGGAACTTGACTGCTGATGGTAACCTCATACGTCTTTGGAGACGCGGGAGAGGTGGGCATTGAATTCATCGCATAGCCATTAGACAGGTTATTGGCCTTGTCATCGCTCTGGTTCAGAGAAAGGAGTTGCTTGCGCCATCGAAAGACCACCACGCCGACCTTGACGTATATAAACATTGTCAACAGAATGATCAGCCACACTGGTCCATAAAAGGACGCAATGCGGAGCGCGTTCCAGTCCGTCGAAACCCAGCACCAGAGCTGCCAAAAGTTAGCAGAGGCAACAACAGCGGCAAGAGTACACATACGACCGCGTCTCCATACACTTTCCCCCTGTCGCCAGAACTGACAAACAGAAACACAAACGCCGGAATGAAAGGAATGCCATAGCACGCTCCCAAGTATCTCCACTCGAGACTTCGAAGTTGCGATGCGTCATACTGTCGAAAGAAGGAGAGGTAGACATTGCACGCCATAGCGAATGTCCATAGCGCATCAGCAGGCATGAACCTATGCAGCAATGAGTAAGAGCACCGAAATGAGCCAGCAGCCATCTCACCAATGAATCAAAAAGCCCTGGAACTGACACAACGGGGATGTCAACCCCAACTTGATGCCGGATCTCGCTATCAGAGTCGCCACGTTGGCGAACAGATTCCCCCACGCAGCGAAGAACACAAGTCGGTTGATCGGTTTTCGAAACTTGCTATCCGAAACAAACGTAGCGATGATGAATGCCGCACCGAGAACAGAAAACACCGAGGCCACTCTCTCTGTCGCAACCAAGGCATGGTCTTGTGAGGCTGTGATGGCCATTTTGACAGCGGTATAATGTCTGCAGCCAGACGAGCATGCCGAACAAGCCCAAGAGCGACGATGTTTAGGAGTCTGGGGTTGCGGGGGTGATGGCCTGCTTTTGTCCTTACCAGACTTGATATGCCAACGTAAAATTATCGTCTCTGTTCAAGTGACCACTTGTTTCTTTGTTCCCTCTTTGCCACGGAAGCATGGCCAAGGGGGTTGCCACTGCACCCGTCTCCACCCAGCACTGGGGTCAAAAATTTTCGAGAAACAACAGACCCTCTTTTCCAGGGCCAGTCGTTCGATTCGTTGACAAGGGAGAGGAGACAATGACTGTGCCGGGGTCAATCTGGGGCAGCAGACGGTCGTCGACATTGAAATGGCTAGAATGGATCGGGGATGCACCTTCCGTATGTACAGTGGTGGAGCGAGCAGGACCTCCACTCCCCCCACAGTCATGGAGCAGGAACAGAAGCTACCATGGACCCATGGTGCTAGTCCTGCGATCGTCGAATGTAATTGCTCAACGTTGCAGACAAGGCGTGATGGACCATGGTACGTGCCGGGGATCGGAGCGACTTTTGGGGGTAGTGGTAGCAATGGAGTGGATGTATCAACGGACCAAATCCCCGAGGTAGCACGGAAACCCTGGTACCTACACCTCGAAATGCCGTGCTCAGAACCTTTGGTAAGATAATGTTGGGATCGTCCAGTAGGAATATTGCGGAGTCAGACATTGGTTCTCATCGTACTGTCTGATCCATGCAGCGTTGCTGACCTCTGGCGGAGGTCGGTTGTGACATCTGTTGGCAAGAGTGGGATGGGCCATTTCCCAGCCAAATGGTAGCGTACTTACGAGTAGCCTCCCGAAAGCCGAGAGCGGGCGTAGGAGATGAAGAGAAATGCCTTCGTTTCGACTCCGCCCTTCGCACGGTCCGCACTGCAATGGGAAAGGTGTGTATGGGAAATGGGCGGAGTTCGAAAATGGCTTAGCGAAGACCATGTTCGGCGAGTCTTACGAAGGCGAGACTCGAAGCGATTATCTCTGCGTGAAGACGAAGCCAGGGTGGAACACCCTTTCCCCAGACTGTGGGAGAGTTCCTGAACGGTCGGAGGAAAGGAAGCTACTGCAGGGACAAAATGCCTGGACGAGGCTTGGTCCAACCCTGTAACCGAACTCACAACATTCGAGTCGCGTGATAGACACCGGCCATATGGGAGGAAGCTCCTCGTAATGCGCTGAACCAAGACTCATGAGATAATGCGCCGTTGCGTTCTGTCTTTTTCAAGGAATCGCAGTGGATGGCTGAACGAGGAACGGGCTGCTCCATCGGTTTAGGGGTAACTTAGGGCGTCAGTATCCACGCAGGACTTCCTGGTGGGTGGGATATGTATGCTTCAGGCATCCCAGAATCTGACAGTAGGATGGTGGGAATCATGGGTTCACAGGTGACGTTTGTCGTTGATCCTGACGATCTTTCCCCAGAGGCAATTGCCCTACTGTAGCAGGAAGGGCGGTTCCGATCCCCATAGCTCGTTCAATAGAGGCCAAGAGCACAATGGCGACTTGTTGTAGTGGTAGTGGTAGTACTGGATGTCCACAAACATGGATGAAATTTTTTAACAGAGATGAGAGGACTCGCATTGCGAAGCACAGGGCAATCTCATAAGGAGATGTAGCCCCGCGGCTGCCATCACAAGCCACTCGCACCTTTCAGTCTCCGCCTTGATTGCTTTGGACCTGGCTAGGCCTTGCTGCAAGGTACCGCAAATCATCCACCGCCCTGTAGCGCTGGACGTCCGGCTTACGAGTACGTAGATCGCAACAAGACGCGGTGATCCACACAGCAAAAAGTACTCGGTGCTTACCTACCTACCTACTCCAGATAGGTAGATTCCTGGTAGCCCGTTAGGTAGCATCGCGCTGGGTACTGCCACTGGGTCTCGTTCTCGCCATTTTACCAGGATCCAGGCTCTGAACTGAAACGCCTTGCTCCTCTTTTCCTCCCCTTTTCCGTTCCTGGTCATCTCAAAGTATCTAACATGACGAATATGGCCCGGACAATACCCATTGAGGACGACAACTGCCTCCCAAGGATGATAGTGCTAGCCTTGTCAAGTGGTGGAATATGAGATCTGCACTGATCAGCAACAAACGTACCTCCCTAGGCAGGTGCTTAGGGGATATAGTGAAGATCGCTGAACGAGATCCAATCAGCAGTCAATGGGATATTTGAGGAAAGGAAACCGGTGACTAAGAGAGGGAGTATCGCAGTCTGCACAAGCAATGTCTTTCCCTAACCCAGGAGAAGTAAATGCTGACTGTGTACTCGGTAAACCACCCCGAATCCCACCATTGAACAAACCCCACTGAGAGCGCCGTCGCTCAATTCCTGCGCAGTGACACCAAAATCATGTCAGGGCAAGGTCATCTATGTAGTTGCCCGCTTGCGAAGACGAATGATCCCAACGACCAGATGGATATCATGACGACCCTTTTTATCTTTTCCCTGCATCATGTTTCGTGTTATATCTGGGCATCTTCTCATAAGCGTTGGGACTAGGCTTTCTCCTCCCTTTGCCCTTCCCATGATCATGATCGTGGTCATGAGGATGGCCGTGGCCGTGTCTGTGATGGTCATGGTGTTTTCTCCCTCTGCGATTCCCGCTCATCCTCGCACCGCCGTCGTCGGGACTGTCACTGCCGCCCGCGTCACTGTCACTGTCGCTTGACGAGTCGCTCGAGCTATCGTCCTCGCTGGAACTCTCGCCAAACTCCCGAGGTTTGTGGTATATACAGCACACTTTGCTTGATTTTCTGCCCAGGCCTTCGTTATCCACCACGTCTTCTGCCCACGTGATCTGTCTCCGGCCGCGCCCTTGGCTCGTGTTTGCGTTTGTGGCGGATCTAGCAGCGGCGTCATGTGCACCGCGGAGACGTAGGATGAGGGGTTCTGGTGAAGCGGATCGTGATGAGGCCGAATCGACTGGCGTGACGGTCTGGGTTGCTGAGCCTGAAGTGGCGCGGCGCGAGGGCGAGGCGGCGTGCAAGGCTGGTGCTAGATGTCGTGCACCAGTCGGTCTGGAGGGATTGCGGGACGGATTCATGGTGGGCGGTTGAATTGATGGGGCGGTCGATGAGGACATGGTCGACCAGAGGAAAAGGCAAGTATCTTCGTGTTCGTCTTTTCTTTGTCTCTCGAGAAGTGGGTTTCGTTTGCAGGTAGGTAGGGCCGTGACTCGAGACTTTGAATGTCCGAGTCCAAAGACCACAGAGCCGTTTAGTAATGTAGTTGGTAGGTGTGAAGTGGCGCACGCACAAACAGAAGGCTGCCGGCGGGCGCTGGTGTTGGCACAATGAAGGAATGCGAATGTAGGCAATGAAATGTGAACAGCCCGCAAGGAGAGTCAGGTTGTTCTTTATCAGCGACGTGAGGCTTTTTGTTTTAAAGGTACAGGATGAATGTTTTGGTAGAAGCGCAGATTGCAGATTGCAGATTGCGGACCATGGACTGTGTCAACTGCGGAGCGCGGACTGCGGAGGATGCCACAAGATGGTGCCAGAACAAAACAAAATAGTAATTTCAACGTGCATATCATCATGAGTTTAATTAACCATCGCACACGAGACCCTCGAAAAACATCAAGTGACGTCCTTCAAGGTTGTTTTCGTTCCCCGCTTTTCTTCCACGCACCGAGCCAGCTGCAGTCATCTCCTCGTCTCCTCGTCTCCTCGTCTCCTCGTCTCCTCATCTCCCGCTTCTCGCCTCGTTTCGTCCCTAATTCTTACGCACTCGGCGCACTGCTGACCGCCCGCCTGTACACCAGTATGCAGACCTGATGCAACTGTATGCAAACCCCATGCAGCTGGAGGGCCCAACTGTATGTCCGACATCGAGTTCTGTCTGCCAGCGCCTATCATCAATGCCATGGTCCATAAGACGTCTGACCGCATGGTCTTGAACCCGGCAGCCTGCGTCTAACGTCGTCCGCCCTCCTGCAGAAATGACTTCACGTGTCTCAGAATGAGGATTCGTGTGCTGCCTCATATGATCCCATGATCCTAGAGGAGCTGCAGAAGAGCCTGGATCTGAGTAAACCTGCCGTGTTCGGTACTGTGAAGACTTTATGAATGGACTGTCCTTCTCCTACTATTCTATTCTGTTGATACAACAGCCTGTCTGGCATCGTTGCAATACGCTGTTCGTATTCAAGTGCTCTTCTCAGCTCACACCTGATCTTCTAGCAGCTCATGCTCTGGATCTCACCATCTCAGCTCTTCATCCTTGGCGTCGAGGAACACTCGACTCAGTCGACGCGCTGATGTGGATCCCTCCATCCAACAACTGGTTGGTGTCCACGCCAGGGAGAGAATAGCACTGTCTGGGGAGCCCGGCTGGAGGAGATCAAAGCATACCGGTAGAGTGAGGGTCACAAGGATCAGGCGAAAACAATATCTCCGATAATGATGGAACTCGTCCAAGCCGGTACCGATCTGAGTTTTGCGCAGAGCCTGCTAGGTATGGCTTTGACGGGTTGGATCCAGCAGCGTTTCTTGGAGCCTCCGTCATCCGACAGGATGTACTTGTCGACTCTGGGCATGGACAACAGCTATTCGCAGCTCACGAAGCACCTGCTCGCCACTATCTGCGGCAGGATCGAGAGGACGGAGGAGAAGAAGCGAAAGGGGTAGTAGGTCTCTGTTCTCTGTCTCTCTGTGAGAGGAGGGCAGTTTTAGAGAGTAAGTAAAGGAGAGACCGGGCCCCCTCTTTCAGCGGTAATAGAAGGGATGATAAAGGCAAGGAGAATCCGATCATTGTATATATATAGAGATGCTAGAAATGACGGACCGCATTCCGACTGTGATGATCAGATCTAGGTCTTTCCTGGGTTTGTGATGGGAAGGAGGACGTAGATAGATGGCCGGACGAACAGGAGACCAAAGGGTGCCATTCCACTCAAGGTCGACCGACATGAAGAGAGTGAGACAAGTTGATGATAAGGGAATTAGTTCTACTCTGTACTTATTATTTTCACATTCCTTGTTGTATCCAATGTGAACATATATCGGATTTCTTCCCTCGAATGCCACTATTGCTGGTGCTATCTCATACATATTTATCTACAGAGTAATTAGAGACCACAGCCCACAAACCACAGGAATCGCAGGGCGGCCGAACTCCGCGCAGAGTGTTGTAGTAGCACAAAGGACCGAGTTCCGACCAAGTGGTTTTTCGTTCTCCAACTCTTGCTCCAAACCCTCTGACTCCGACTTCGGTCTCGCTGGAGGAATGGAGGGGAGGCAGCAGTAGCAGTAAGTTTACATTATTCCGACGATTCGAAAACAGGCCGGGCGGAGAGTCGTCTACGGAGTATAGAAAGTAAGTAAGTAAGTACAGCATCCCCCCCAACTAGAGCCGACAGGGAAACCACAGACTACGTGGAGAATACGTGAGACGTTGGAGCTGAATAATCATTCATCAATCACTTCTCGTTTTGATGGTCCATGGACTTTTGAGAGAGACCTACTATCATCTCCAATAGAGAGTGGAGTTGGTGAAGGATTGCGTTGGAAAACGTACAAGAGGGGTTTCATTTCGTCGAGGGTCAGGGTGAGCAACCACCATTACCATTGCCATTACCACAACAGCCAACACTTCGATTCCTTTGCGAATAACTTCAAGAGAGAGAGACCCGGGGGAGAGAAAAGAGACGAAAAGAGAGGGAGAGAAAAAGAGAAAAACGAACGAAAAAGGGGCCAGAATGGCGTCGTCGTCGTTCAAACCGCCATCATCGTTCCTCGAGCTGGTCTCGACCTCGTCGCTCAACTACCGCGAATGCGCGCTGCTGGGCATCATGGCGCTGATCTCGCATGACACGCCTATCGCCAGCCCCAGCAGCCCCGGCACAAGCAAAAGCACCACTGGCAATGACGCCGGCGCGCTGGAAGAATACATCGCCACGGCGCTACACTACGGGGCCACCGAGTCCGAGATCCAGAACGTCGTCTTCCAGTCCAGCTTCAGCGTTGGGGCCGCCAGGGCCGTGGCGGTAAGAGCCCGCGTCGAGAGCGCTCTCAAGTCGTCGCTTCGCGGCAGGCTGCATCACTTGGAGAAGGAGGTGTTGGTCGGAGAGATGGGAGGGACCCAGCCTGGGAGTCACAAGACGGTGGTGCGCGACTCGGATCCGCAGAACACGAGCGTCGTGCCTATCGTGCTCATTCATGCTTTGGGGCTGGATCGCAGGATGTGGGATGCCGTCTTTGCCAGCCTCGCTGCGAGCGGCGCTGGAGACAAGAGCACACAGTTGCGTATCATATCCTACGACATGCGAGGGCACGGATACGCAGCCAACGCCCCGTCTGCGCAGTCGCTCGACGAGCTTGCTGCCGACCTGCACAGCATCCTCGAGAGACTGCACATCCCCAAGGCGGACGTCTACGGACAATCCTACGGCGGGGCCGTGGCGCAGTACTTTGCGCTCAACTACCCGCAGTCTACGCGATCACTTGGCCTCATCACCACGGCCGGCGAGGCCCAGCCGTCGTGGATAACCCGGGCTACGCGGGCAGAAGAATCTAGCTCCGTGATGTCTTTACTCCCGGAGACGCTGATCCGGTGGTTCACACCCGGAGCCATCGCGCGGAACGAATGGGGTGTGCGCTACGCCCGCTCGTGTGTCGAGAGGATCTCGGTCAAGGACTGGGGTGACGCATGGCGGTGCATGAGCCAGCTCGACACGTTGGACAGACTGCAGAGCGGCGGAGTCAAGTGCCCCGTGCTCCTGGTCTGCGGGGTGCAAGACCTGAGTACGGGCCCCAAGTGGATGACCAGGCTCAAGGAGGCGTGTGAAAAGGGTGGCAGTGGCCTGGTCGTCTACAAGGAGGTCGATCCGGGAGTGCACATGATGGCGCTGGAGCAGGGTGAGGCGCTGACGAGGGAGATATTGGAGTTTCGACAGAGGGTGGATAGTGAGGGGTTGTGACCACAGACTGTCAGTTGCGACACTGACATTGGCATTGACACTGACAACGCCATGCTGATGGTGGCAGTAGTACTGACATGGAGCATTGCTATATATTACTCTTCTCGACGCTTCTTCTGCTCCAAACTTGCCAAGCTTTATTGACTGGCAGGTGACATCATGCATACGGCTGTATTACCCCAAGTAGTCGTCGCCGCTTACCGGGTACTCTCATTGGTGGGAAGTCTATCTCCGGAGCAAGTCACCGGTTCTCGGGGCCGGAACATTTGCTTAGTTTCCCGTCGCAGCAAAAGTTGCACCAGTAATAATAGCACTTCAACACAGCAACAAAACACCTCCCTATACACCTCCTACCACGACTCACCAGATACTGGCCCTTTAGCGACGGCCTTGTACCCTCACCGCTCCGCTCCGCCCAGCCTTGCGACCTATCCTTAGCTCCTCCTTCACTCCTAAACATCACCATCCGTATTTGTTATTGTATTGTTTTGATCCATTTCTTCCCGAAAAACACCGACCAATGTCCCTCGCCCAACATGTCTCCTCGGTCGAAGGCATTGACCACGAGCCCGAGCCCGGCGACGTGGCCTTTGACGACCGCGCCAGTCTGCTCAGTTTCCACCGGCTGTCGCGCCAGCCCAGCATCGCCCTGTCCATTAGCTATGACCCCATCCCTTCGGCCGCCGGGGACAAGGCCGGCGCCGGAGCACCCGAGAAGTTGGAGCCCATTGCCGCGTATGAGGTGTCGAGGGGGATGAGGATAGGTAAGTTTTTTCTCATTGATCACCATCAGAAACGAAGTGGAAGAGGGGTGGGAGGGGCGAGAGAAATGGTTTAGGGAATCGGAATTCGAAAGAATGCAAAGCTAACGACGGCGTTACTTTCTTGCCATGTAGCGCAGGTATCAGTTGGCGTTGTCTCGTGTGTCCTGGCATCGGGCATTGTGTTTGGCTTCGACGCCCTCAAAACCATCCTGGTCGCCGAGGGCACGTATCGGGATCTCTGCACCGAAGACGAACTGAGAAAGAATGTGCCTTTGTGCTATATGCAGGACCAAAGGTGAGTTGCGCAGAGGATCCTATGTCACTCGTGATTGTCAGGTCCTTTCTAGGTGATCTGAACTGAGCTGAGCTGGAGTGTTTGATCAGGCTAAACCTCACCTTTGTCATCGCCTCCGTCACCACCAACATCTCTGCTCTCCTGGTCGGGAGCATCCTCGACCGCTACGGCCCGCGTGTCTGCGGAATCATCTCCTCCATCTTCCTCGTCCTGGGCAGTATCTGCATGGCCTTTGCCTCGGACCTGCCCTTTGACGCATACATTGTCGCGAGTTTCCTCCTCGCCCTGGGCGGCACTTTCACCTTCGTGCCCAGTTTCCACCTGTCCAATGCATTTCCCCGATTCCAGGGGCTCATCCTGGCCCTGGTCACGGGCGCCTTCGACGCCTCGGCCAGTGTCTTTCTGATCTTCCGCATCCTGTACCAGAGCACCCACGGGGCCATCAACCTGAGACAGATCTTCGTCGTCTACCTGATCGTCCCGGCCTTCATATTCGCGTCCCAAATCACAATCATGCCCTCGCACAGTTACCAGACCCGCGGGGAGCTGGCCGAGAAGATGGACAAGGCCCAAGACCCCACGACGGACGTGCACGATAGCGACGACGAGCTCGACGGCGCCATGGAGGTCATGCAAGTGCGGGCCGAGCGAGCGAATCGGCGTCGGCAGTCCATCGCCTCCATCAACGACCTGCTGGGCACGCCGGCCGAGCAGAACAAGCACGAGAAAAAGGAGGACCAGATCAAGGTCAACAGCGGCGTGTGGGGGATCCTGCACGGCCTGCCTGCCAGCAAGCAGATCCGCACGCCATGGTTCATCCTCATCACGCTCTTCACGGTGCTGCAGATGGCGCGGTTCAACTTCTTCATCGCCACCATCTTCACCCAGTACTCGTACATGCTCAACTCGGTCGAGGAGGCCACGCGGGTGATCGAGTTCTTCGACCTGGCCCTGCCCATCGGCGGCATCGTGACTGTGCCTTTTATCGGCGCCCTGCTGGACTACACATCCACCGTCGCGGTACTGAACCTGCTGGTTTTGCTGAGCACGCTGATCGGCGTGCTGGGCGCCGTCCCCACCATCTGGGCCGCCTACGCCAACGTCACGTTGTTCGTGCTGTTCCGCCCGCTCTACTACAGCGCCATGTCCGACTACGCGGCCAAGATCTTCGGGTACGCCACCTTTGGGACTGTCTACGGCGCCATCATCTGCCTCTCGGGCCTCTTCACCTTCACCCAGTCCGGGCTGCAGGCCCTGCTGCACGACGTCTTCGAGGACGACCCGGAGCCCATCAATTTGGGACTCGCCACCGCCGGGCTGGTCCTCGGCGTCACACTGGTCATGTACGTCGACATCAAGGGCCGCGCCCTGCACAGGGAGAGAGCCATCGCCGCGGCCCAAGCTGCTGCTGCGGTTGCCAACGACGAGAGACGCCCACTCCTGGGCCCGCCACGGTCTGCCTACGGAAGCGCCCGCAGCGTTAACAGCACGCTCGGCATGAACGTTCCCAACACCGGTGCTGGATTCGGCACCGCAGCCGGATCTCTCCCCAACGCCTCTGCGAGTGTCGGACCTGATTTCAGTAGCGGGATATCCGCCGCCGCCGCAGCAGGTGGTGCCGCGGGCCTCAACGCCGGTCTGGGCCTGGGCATGTCCAGCGCCATGACCGAAGACCCCAGCGTGGCAGCGGCTGCAGCTGCAGTAGTGTCCTCGGACAGAATGCGCCTCCTGCACGCCACGCCCAGCCGGCAGCAGTTGCAGCGGAATCTGTCCACCGTGGAGGAGACGCGGGAGCTCTAGATTTTTTGTTTTTTTTATTGCGGTTCCACTGTGGTTGGTGGCTTAGGTGTCGAACCACACAGGGGGCGATATTGAAAATATTGTTATGCATTTAGCGGAATTCTTTGTTTTTATTTCTTTTGGGGGGACTTTGCTGCCATACTATCCTACCTTCTATTCTATTCTACCTCCTACAGCGCGCGGAGCACGGAGCATGGAGTTACGGGCCAACGAGTACGGAGTATGGAGTACGGAGTCACGGGAGTACAGAATACGGAATAATTAAGTAATTATATCGAGGAATGCCTGGAAGTGTACGAGGTATGGAAAAAAAGGGGGGGAATAGAATGAAAAGCTTACCACCTACGTACCTACCTAGGTATATATACCTATATACCATTTCACGATTGACAACCTAGTACTTGTACCGAGGACCTAATGTATTGCTCAGATTTACTTTGCTGTTCTGCCAGATACTCACATCTATTTGCGTGTCTAGAGGTGTCTTAGACAGTCAATCGTTAACATGGCCAGATGGAACGGCCGTGAAAAGACACTCGATACGAGGTAAACACTACCGAGTACAACTGAGCGTACTTCAGCCCGGCACACAACGGGTGCATACCTAGGTACGTACAATGTGAGGCTAAACTGTAGAGCAGTGTCTCTTGCCCGTGAAGAACATATATATCTACGGTACCTAGGCAGTCTTCAAGGTTCATTACGGACCTTGCACATGCTACCGATACACGGACGATTTGCGCAGGCTGCTATGATTCATCCCAGACCATCGTCTACCTTCACTCAGAACAATTATTGCGACATAACTGCCAAACTTGGGTCCTCACGCAATTCTAGCGCACAAAACACCCTGCTTGTCCTCTAATTCAGTCGGCAACATGACTTGTTCCCTTGCTGCGACCTTCCACCTTCGCTCCGGGGTCCATTTTAATCATCCAACAAGTTTGGCTCACCGTTAACCTGCTTGTTACCACCCTCATTGTCCCTCGTATCCTTGGTGCTCCTCTTTCCATGTGCCTTTCTTGCGTAGAACTCGTCCAACAGTTTGGGATTGATCCGATTGAGCAACTCCTTGGGGAAAATACGGAGCAAGTTCCAACCAATCTCCAAGCTGTCAAACACAGACCGCTTGTCATAGGGACTCTGAGCGATGAACTGCCTCTCAAATTTCTCCAAGAACTCCAGGGAGAGCTTGTCTTCGGCGCTCAGGGCTTCCTCGCCGACGACGGCTTTCATGGCTGCGGCGTCACGGCCAATGGCATACTTGGCGTACAGTTGGTTTGAGACGTCACCGTGGTCTTTTCTCGTCAGGCCTTCACCGATGGCGGATTTCATCAGACGTGACAAAGAAGGCAGGACGTTGATAGGCGGGTAGATACCCTTGTTGTGCAATCCACGGTCAACGAAGATCTGGCCTTCCGTAATATATCCTGTCAAGTCGGGAATAGGGTGGGTGATGTCGTCGTTAGGCATGGTCAAGATGGGAATCTGGGTGATGGAGCCGTTTCTCCCTTCTACACGTCCGGCTCGCTCGTAGATGGTGGACAAATCGGTATACATGTAACCAGGGTACCCACGACGACCCGGGACTTCTTCTCGCGCAGCCGAGACTTCTCGGAGAGCGTCGCAATATGCCGACAGATCGGTAAGAATGACCAGGACGTGCTTTTCAAGTTGGTACGCATAGTATTCTGCGGTGGTCAGCGCGAGACGAGGTGTGATGATACGTTCGATGGTGGGGTCGTTGGCCAAGTTCAAGAACAGAGTCACTCGTTCCATTGAGCCATTCTCTTCGAAATCCCGGGTGAAGAAGCGTGAAGTTTCCATGTTGACACCCATAGCGGCGAAGACAATGCTGAAGTTCTCCTCATGGCCATCATGGACCCCCTTGGTCGGTTGCTTGACCAAACCAGCTTGCCGACAAATCTGGGCGGCGATTTCGTTGTGGGGCAGACCGGCGGCGGAGAAGATGGGGATCTTTTGGCCTCGAGCGACCGAGTTCATGCAGTCGATGGCAGAGATACCCGTCGAGATCATTTCCTCGGGGTAAACCTTTACCCAGGTCAGCAATTGAGGTAGCAGGCAGGGTGGAATCGACTTACTCTGGAGTAGGGGTTGATGGGACTTCCATTGATATCGAGATAGTCCTCTGCCAGCACTTTGGGGCCTTTGTCGATAGCTCTTCCTGAACCGTCGAAGATGCGACCAAGCATGTCTTCTGAGACGCCAATCTTCAGACTGTGACCCGTGAACTCGACTTTTGTCTGCAACTGAATGAGCATGGTGTGGTGTAGAATAGCAGCAAACTCTTCACCTTCTTCACATCGATGCCTGAGGTGCCTTCGAACACTTGCACAATCGCTCTGTTGCCTGCAGGGATATAGGTCAACTTGCCACCCCTCTTTTCCTAGTCTTTGCATAGTGTAGAGCACACACCTCTTGCCTCGAGGACTTGTCCAGACCTTATCGACCCATCAGGTAGCGTCAGACTGACGATTTCGTTGTATCTGGGGAATTTGACCTGAGAAGACCGGCTGTTAGCAATTCTCTCGGAGCTTCAAGCCGCCGCAGCTTCGACGTACATTGTCTAGAATGACCAGAGGCCCATTGACACCTCCGATTGTGTTGTACTTCAACCTGGGCTTGATCGAAGCCATCCGATGATCTAGATCGGCCATTCTGGCGGCCTGGCGGGGAGGGAGACGATAGCAGAGGAGATAGGTGAACGTGAAGGACAGAAGCAACTCTTTGGCTAAGGAAGAGCTTCCTCAGCAGCCACCCAGAACTAATGGACGAATCGGAGAGGTACAATGGGGCAGGCGAACAACAGCTGCAACTAACGAGAGGGCCACTGGGCTGGAGGGATCTCTCTTCACCAGAAGAACAGCGCAGTAGAGTTTCGCAGTAGTCGAGGTTGGAGATCAAATCAGGAGCCACCCAAGAGCTGCAGCTGCAGCTGGCGATGCGGTCACTGGGAAGTCGCTGTGGCCGCTAATCGCGATCCCGCAGCCAAGATTGTGATGGATTGGGATGAGAGCCATGCTGCTCTATGCCTGCTCCAGCTAGCCTAAAGAAGATGAAAGGCCACGTGATTACTGCAAGCGGGCTAAAGGATCTAGCGCCTTGGCGCAGGCTGGCCGTTCACTGCAAGCCGTGCTCTCCTACTGCAACCTCTTTCTATGTCCTCTGGCTATGTTTCTCTGAAACTAGATCAATAATGAGACAGCCTCTTGCATGGGCGCATAGCCCGAAGAGCCTGCACTGCCCCTCAAGCCAGCAGCAGCAGCAGCAGCAGCCGCGTCAACGGAGAACTTGTGCAGCAGCCTCTTGGTAACCGAGCACACAGATCCCGTTGCCTAAAGGAGGTAGACGCAGCAATGCTGCAACTACCGAGAACTAGGCAGCCTGAGCTTGGATGCTCAGCCTCACTTGCCTCACCCAACCTCATCATGACCCCCGGTCTTGCCCTATTCATATATCGTCTACCCGAGCCTCAGCGAATCTGGCTCGAACTGAATAAGTAGTTCTGCTCTCATGTCTTATCCTTCGGACCTTCCCGATCCTTTTGCGACTTGGACTAAGATCAGGAGGTGATAACCTTTGCGTCCAACAACACAACACCTCGATTGCAGAACGATATGAGTCTCGAAACACCAATTTCTCACTCCGGCACTCAGCCTTATCCATACGCAGCATCATTACCATTCTCTTTCGACCAGAAGACCAGCCTGCAGCATTACATCCTCCGCAAGGACGGCTTGTACAAAGCAGAACCACATGCCCTGACATCCGTTCAGAACTGTGATCAATCAGTCTGGGACCGAAACACCTCCACAGGCGGCTCTGATTTCCATATACTAACCGTGTCGGGAAACTCCTATCGCCATCGACCCTTGAGCATTTCCGAAAAGGATTTTAATGATCTCTGTACCTCATGGCAAATACCGCAAAGTTGATGACGAAGTGCCGAATGTCGCCTCTCGACTTCCTAGAGTATTGCATTGAGGAATATAACATCAACGACGGTGAGCTTGTGTTGCCTCAGAATGCTTCGCAGCAGCCACGTCGAAGGGTCCTCAGCATCCTGCTCCGTTGCCGCGGAATGGCGGGTTTGTCATCAGTCTGCCTGCCCACTTGCGGCCTGGATGGCCAATTGGCCCCGAGGTGCATCGTCGGCTCGGATCAAGATGAAAGGATAAAGGAAATATTGTCAGACCTGGAGGGCTGTACCAGAGATGTCCTCTTCTACCCAGCGATAATTATTGGCTTCACCCTCACCCGGAGTCTTGATCTTGATGCGAACCTAGTGGGCTATCAACTTGAGCCGGATGTGATTGCTCTGTCCAGTCGCCTAGATATCGCGAATGAAGGGCTCCGCAGATACCTTGAAAGCCGTGGACTTTATCGAGAACCGGACCAGGACTATTCGGCCCTAACCGTGGACCTTTACATGCTACAGCACTTCCTCAGCGATCTCTACCACTCCCATCATGCGAATATCGTGCTGGTTCGTAAGCTGAAGAGTATCTTCAAGTTGTACCATGACGCAACGCGCTCACGAACTATATTCGAGTGTGTCGACGACCTCCTCTGCAGACTGGAATTACAAAAGGGCTCGTTGGACCACTGTGCCCGGATCACACAGCACCAAAGCGCAGTCTTGTTCAATCTCATCAATCAACGGGACAGCCGGCTGAATTTTTCCGTCGCCCGTTCGTCCCGACAGATTGCCGCCGCCAGCAAGCGGGACAGCTCCGCGATGAAAACGATCTCGATTCTCACCCTCGTCTTTCTTCCCGGAACGTTTGTCTCGTCCGTCTTCTCCACGACAATCTTTGACTTTACCGCCGAAGCGGAGCCCGGGTACGGAAGAGTGAGTAAAGCGTGGTGGATCTACCTGTTATGCAGTCTGCTTCTCACCCTGATCACGGTTGGTGTGTGGGCAGTCTGGATGGTGTGGCGACTCAACAAGGCCATTCACGAGGAGAGGAGGGAGATGGAAGAGCTGCGGGAACACGAGCACGAGGCTCGGCCTTACGGGTCGAGGGCGCCTCCCACCCGACGACGATCTCGCGAGTATCGAGACAGCACTTCCGTCCGAGCTGCGGGAAATGGCAGCCACCGCAACTCTGAAAGTGGAAGCCGCAGAAGCAGTCGCATCAGCCTCTCTCGGACGAATCGGACCGGCCGCACCAGGTCCCCTCGGAGCAACATCAGTCTGCACAGCCTCCGTGACCCAGGCCTGGACAGCGCCCGAGCTAACGTCATGAGCGGCAGCAATCAGACTACGGACGGTGGGTTGGGTGGAAGTCTCCAGAGACCGGGGTCCGGTGCTTGAGCATGAATGGAAGTTTGTGGACTCTTGCAAAGCAAAGCGTTTGATCTTCCATTTGGAAGAGCGTCCAGGCCAGCTGAAGAAGGGGGCAAGGGAAATTATGGAGTTGCAAGGGAGACAATCTAGTCCGAGAAGTGGATTTTACGACCGCGAATGCTTTCATGTTTCATGGACTGGGGTATATACGGCGCGCCAATGATTGCGGCGATTGAACATCACCGAATGCTAACGAAGGGAGCGTAATACAAACGATCTCAAGAAGGCCACGGCACGGCATGCGGGTGCGATGACGACTGCGTACTTCTATCTCAGTGTCTGGTCACGAGGAGTAATCGAATGGAGTGTGCATCGAGTCGCCGAATTACAAAGGGACATGGACATGGATTTGGACTTAGATATGGATTTGGATCTGGATACAGACTATATGACGGAATAGCGAGTTTACTCAGTTCAAGGCCAACCACTCTATTGGCTGCAACGCATCAGCCAGCTCATCACTGTTTCATCTCTCGCTGGAAGTGGTTGAAAATCGTGAGATTAAGAAGAGGTGTCCCTGGCTCTGGCTCTGAGATCCGCCCGCAAGCCATCCCACGCCATCGCGTGCAAGAGCCTAGACTTTGATGACAAACTCCTCATAAACCTTCTGTGAAACTTCCAATCTTCACCTTGGAGATCTGTGCTTCTTTCCACCCCCTGGCGCCGCCGCTCTCGGATCGTGCTGCTTTCCTTGCTCTCTTCCTCTTCCAGATCACCTTTTCTATCATCACTATCCTTGCTTTCAACCTCGCATTCTTCTTCGCCCTCATCCTCGTCCTCTGCCCAGAACCTTACTCCCCAGCATCTATCCCTAGGCGGATAAACCCTCGTCGTGATCACGCACCGCTCGTTGACAAAGACTTCGAGAACCGACTGATCAAAAAACACGTGGAGTCTCAAGTCCTCAACCTCTGACTTCATGTCTGTTCGTGTTCGAGTCCCCATATGCTCAACATCGTCATTATCGGCTGAGAGGACGGTGAATAAAGTAAATGGCGCGGTTTCCGGGGCGGTGTTGATCGTCTCGCCGTCGACCACGTATGCGGGATCAATCCTGGGTCGATAAATTCGGATGGTCTCCTCATTGGGGATGAATGAGATCGTCGTCGTGGCAGCAGCTGAGCTTAATAGTGGGGGTATGTTGTCCTGTTGGGTCCGTTGTGCGCCGGCGCTGTGGAATATGCTCAGCCCGATACTCTGGCACGTGCGGGAGAGGGAGAAGATGGAAATGAGTTCGAAACGGTGTGTTTGGATGTCCATGAACGTGTCGCCTTCAGAAGTGAGGTTCTGAGAGCCGCGAACAGGCCTGGCCAACCTGGCGCTGTGGCGGAGCGATTTGAGGCATGGAGCGGGAGAGATGCCCAGTGTGTGGATCTTGAATGTTTCTTGCTCGCTGTCTCCTGGCTCAACCTCTATCGATGTAATATCTTGCAAGTTGCTTCTCAAAGTACCGGTCACGCCCTCTAGAGTGAGGAGAGCAACCTCCCTCGGCAAAGATATCATCCCGCTCCAACCCTGTCTATCAACCAATCGCTGCGGCAAGTCCTCCTCGGTAACCCAGCCCCATACAATTTGTTTGTTGCTAAGGGGGTCACGGAAAGTTATAGCGGCATAGAGCAGTCCGTAATCGAAGCGGCCTCCGAATTGGTAGTTCATTTTTGGAAGTTCTGATTGGGTGCCATTATGAGAGACTGTAGCGTTCGTAGTTTGCAGGGCTCCACACATCCACTGCAGAGACCTTGCTGAACGGGAAGGTTTTGCTGGTTCTCGCGGAGGTTGTGTGAAAGATATGTCTTCACTGTGAGCGGGATTCGCCTTTGACCCCTCGCAGCCGACGATGATGAAGTCTCTGCTCTCATTGTCTTGCTTATTCTGGAGAGTCATGAAACATGCGCATTCCCAGTTGATACCTGTGTCGCCACTCCAACAGGAGAGGGAATGATTCAGTCCAACATCAAACAGAGGACTGAGGAACTTCCACTCTGCGAGGTTTGATGGGTTGACTCTGTAGAGAAAGGCCGTCGGTGAGCAGTCTCTAATTCCTCCGGAGATCATCCCATATAATTGGCTTTTGGCGTGACCGAGAAGCTTCGCCATCGAAGGCCAGGTTGCAACAAATGGGTCGCGCCAGCCCGTCACTTCGAAGTTCGCTGGTGGCTCTGCTAAGATTGGATTCTGCGTGAACTTCGTCCATGTCACACCACCGTCTAATGATTGAGCAGCGGCTAGGGTCTCCGTTTGTCTAATATACGGCAGAGTGTAGTGCAGCGGCAATCGACTGACCCCAGTGTATAATAGCGTCAATTGTCCAGCTCGAGACGGGCCGTCGAAGCCGGTAGGTGCCAAGCAACCTGTAAAGCACCCTTTTGTGTCGTACCACTCATTTGAAGTAAGGCCGGGTTCGATGATTGGCGTTTGAGACACCTTCCAGCTCACCATATCCGCTGAGGTAGCATGACCCCAGCAGATCGATCCCCAAACAACAGACCCTGACTCATTTCGACGAAGATTCCACTGGAAGAACAGATGATATAGTCCTGTCGCTGGGTCGTAGCCTGGGGCGCAGGGATCGTTCATCCAGCCATGGCTTGCTTGGAGGTGGTATCGTGGACGCCATCTGCACAAGGCTGGTGCTGGCGCGGTAGACTGATATGTCGATTCAGAGATCGGTTGCGCACCTCGTTGAATCGGACGAATACTCTGAGGTGCTATTGAAGAGGGAGGTTTTAGGGTTGGTCCCAATCCCTCCATCGATGAAATGTCGGAGGTGCAGCTAGAGCCCGCAACCTTATAGCCCGCGTATGCCCCAACTTGCTATGGACTGAATGGTGAAATCGACGTTATAAGATGGATCCAGGCATCTGAAGCACACAATACCAACTGAATTGAGCTTCTGTAAGGCAACTGCTCAGATGCATAATACTGGCTTGAGCTTTTTATTGGCGAATCCCCGCTTCATAGTCCAGTTGGATGAAATTTTGACACGATGAGAATTATATTTGCTATTGGAAACAAGACCGCACACCGATCGAATATAGCTAGCCGAGCAGACGTGCATAACATCGATATTGGCATATCAACCGGCTTCCATTTTGTGCATAGGCGGGAAAGCATCGGTAGGGTTGGCGTCGTAGTCAAACGTTGGCGTGGATTTGATGCTTTGACATCGGAGAGAAAAGGGCCGATTAGAGCCTGCGCTATTGATTGGCTCGTCGCCGAAGAGTGTTCTCCTACACCCCCAGTCCAGTCTTTTAGTCAGATCGCATTTTGGTTTCGCCCTATTGGAATTTTCATGCTTTCCGTGGGATATTGAGCAGTCATTTGACCCGGCCAAGAGGACAGTTGTACCGGTGATGCTGCGTGTAGAAATGAAAAGTTCAAACCACCCTTGAGAGTGTAGCGCATGTTGAGTCGGAGATGCTGCGTTGTTGGTGATAAGTCAGGCGCTGGGATACTTCCGATAGAAGCTCTTATCGTTCTGAGGCCAGGGGAGGAGCACACTCGCCCTAAATATTGTATGTTGTGATCACTCTCCAACTGGCTCCGGCCTCGCGCCAAACATCAGCTTAAACTTGACAACATCCACAATCTCCAGCGCTTCGCCACTCTCGCTTTCACTTCCTAGTTCATTCTCATCGACCTTTCGAAGAACGGCCAGCGGTTTTGCCAGCTTCTTGACCTCACCGGTTAACCTTTGGTGCCTGCCAACGTACAGGTAGACTTTCTTCATCCACTTGCCCTCGTCGGCTTCTTGGGGCTTGTGCAGTGGGAATTCGAGGCGGCCTATAGGATGCACAGCTGGTGACTGGGTGACATCCTCTGTCGCGAGGTCCTGGAAAGATCCGTGGATTGTGCCTTGTATCTCCACAATTGCCAGGCCTGATGGGGTGTGTAGAAGGGAAGGGAGTGGGTTGGGGGTAGGGTCATTTGTCGCTGGATACGGCGCTGCAGCACGCAGCTCGACTGCCGGCATCGTGTTATTGTATCAATCACTGTGAAAGTCTATACTGTTGCAGAAGAGACGTTGGCAATCAGAGAGGGAATGGAGACGCGGACGACGCGAAGAACGCGTTTTGCGTCTCATACGTATAGATCTATGCTTCACCGTATATATGAAGGCATCACGTGCGAGGCTATCAACGTCAAAGCTCTCATGGCTCTCCTGTCGCTTGCCCATTCCGCATATCAACGTGACCCTTGTTCCGGATGTCCTTCAGTTGAAAGGGGAGAGACCTGAACAAAAAGCTTTTGCTATCATGTTGTTTGTCATACCTCTCAGAAGTGAGGAGCCAGACAAAGGAGAAGTTAGCAATTGGTGCGACAAGATTGACCATGCCAGCCCTGCGGATCGTGAGGAAATCGTCACCTCTTGACGACTAGACTCCCCTATTCCACATCATCAAGACCTTATCCACGATATCTTTATATATATATATATATATACTTTGCCCTTCGGCTCTTCAAAGCCTCTGAATAGACATCACCTGTCTGTCACTTCTTGCTCTCCAGACTTGGTCTCAGGTGAACGGTCTCATAAACTCGTTTGCATCATGAGTTGGAGAGTTGGGACTGATGATCGCAAGGTTGTTGTCGGCAATGGTGTCATGCTGCGATAGTGGGCTCTCACCTCTGTCCTGGCGCTGGTCATGGTGCTCAACGCGCGTTTGCTCATGCTCGTGCACATGCTCGGTCTTGAGGATGGCTTGAACTCTCCGAGTGACACTCAAAGAGACACAGCTCCAGCCTGCTGAATATTCTCTGTCCGAAGATCCACCGAGAATCATGTGAATATGCTCTTCTAGGTTCTTCATGGCGATAGCAAACTGGCGACAATCCAAAGTTGAGCGCTGCTTCACTCGTGGCCATTGTGACAATAGGGGGAGTCACCTTCATAAAACGCACCAAGACCCCATGACCTTCTCGCGGATGGACAGCGCGGACAGCAGGGGAGGCTATTTAACCGCGAAGAAGCCGCTCATCAGCGACACGACCTATCATAGATATGATATAAAGATCAACTCTTCCAGGTATCATCGACCCCAGATCACGAAGTCTCGCGCCAATATCGACTTACTTAGTATTGCCAGCCGGAGGCACCCACCTTGACGTCGATCTAAGGCAGTGTTGGGACAGCAGTCCTGAACCAACCAAAACACCCATCAACTGTGAAAAACGCTGGGGTGCTGGACTCGGAGTCCTCCATTTCCAGTGTTGGGCCGAGTACTGGGATTCGCGTGTCGGTCGAGCGTACTGAAATCCTGCCATTGTCACAGCGACAAACGGCTTCCGGTAAGTGAAGTTCACAACTTCACTTCCTGTTTCTGCTGCCCAGCCAACCGCGCCGACTACCAACTGCCTAAGGCGCAGCTTCTGGCACTTCACAACATCCTCCTTTTTCCCCGATATCGCTCCCCAAGGTCATTTCCCATCCTTCCTCTTCATCCGATCTAACCATCTTTGACCAACCCAGCTTCTATTTACCACCAACCATCATTCATATCATCCACAATGGCTCCACAGAGAAGAGTAAAACGAGTCTCGATGGATCAACTGTCGTTAGTTGCCTTCGACGACAGAACAAGCGTCGACAGCAAGGAGCTAGCGACCCAGACGTTCTTCGGCAAGAAGCAACAAGCCCCCGCACCCATCTCCAAACAAGTCCCATCCCACTCATCCTCTGTCACATGGAAAAGCCAAGCCATCAAAGACAAGGAGGAGTACGAACGGGTCAAACAGCGGGTCCGCCACTTTGCTCCTGAGCTGTTCAAGGCCAGCGCGACACCAGGCCCAGGGTCACCGGCGATCTTTCCACAGAACGTCGGCGAGTGGGTCACCCACAAGAAGGAGATACTTGCATTGGCCGAGGCTGAGCAAAAGAAGAACTGCGAAATGCTCAAGGCTCAAATCGAAGCTCGCCAAAAGATCCCAAAATCCCAGCGCAAGATCAAATCAGTTTTTGGCGAGAATGGCAAGATCTTCAATGATGGGCTCAGTCCAGTGCTGGGGTTCCCTACCATCTGGTCAGCCGAATACCTCGGACAGGTAGCCAGGTGGCCAAGCAACGGCGAGTTGCAATGGAACGGCGACAATAGGCAGAACCTCCTCGCTAAGACCAAATGCGGCCGCTTCCTTCCTCCTCCTCGCGCTCCTGCCACCCCATCAGCGCCGTTCCAAGAGCAGCCCTTTTTAAAGCAGTTGCCACTTGATGAAGCTGGCCCCATCTTCTGCATGGGTCCTCGGCCGGACGAAATCTTTGTCAGCAATGCTGACATGGATTCAGATCCGCAATTCGAAGCACTCGGCAGCTTCCTCTTGGGAACAGAGCTGATGCAGGAAGTTGGCCAGTGGAGACCCCCTGTTATCCCACTGTGGCCACAGGAGCAGTTGCTAATGGGAGAAGGGCCTATGGTTCCCTATCAAGGAGATGGGTTCGTCGGAACACCGGCGATTGGCAGTGAGATGTTATACAATGAGAGCATGCAGGCCATGCACGCTGAGATGTGGCACAATGAGTGCATGGAGCCAGAGCTGTGGCAGGACCCTATGTGGATGTAAAGGACATTGGGTTGATTGAGCTCTTTGGCCAGAGGTGTGCCGCCGCTGGACGGTCCAGACGCGGGCAGCAGGCAGGGACAGGCTGTTCAGTGAGTGGAATGGTTGGCCTCTGCAGATGCAGGCAATGGCAATGGCAATGTTGGTTGTTATAATGAACAGCTCGAAAGAATGCGGCTTTGTTCTCTTGTTTTTTGGGCAGCGGGCATGGCGCTGGAAACAGTCAGCGACGACTCTCACGACGGCACGACTTGACGGATTTTGGATTTCTTTGTCATATGCATAGCAAGCAATGGCGTTGGAAGCAGAAGGAGGATGCTGCAGGTGGCATTGTTGTGCCTACGACGCCCTGCTCCTGAGCAGAGTTAGAGCGTCAGCGTGGCGGTTTGGCCATCATCTTGGACAGAAGGATTGCATGACAACATCATAGAAGAGATGATAGCAATCCCAAGATCATAACATCAGAAATTAATGTACTGGTATGCAGCCCTCGGGCCTCGGAGTCGATCTGTGGGAAATAAGCAGAGATACTGACTGACACGACTCGACGTGTCAGCACCGACTTTCGCGCCTTATTATTGACGCCCACGACGCTTTCCCCAGATTTGGTGCCAAACGCATGGGGTTTAGCTCTAAGATACCGAGTATGATACCGAGTACCACTGCAAAATGTGGGTGCGGACCCGTTGCTACCGTTGCCGACAAACCATCAGCCACCCATCAGCTCTGCTGTCTTGTCTCTTCCCCCATCGACCTCGGCAGGTTTACGGGTAATGCGGCCGTCAGCGAACTCTCCTCCATCCCACGCGCCAACTCGCCTGAATTGTACCAAGCGATATATCATGGCCTGCGCTCTTAGCTACCCTGTCGTCTCAGTACGATCTCCTGCACCAGACCCTCCAACACAATGGGCCGTAAGTCCATCCTTCAATCCCCATGCCCTCTGCGTTTCTTGCTACTGACAACGACCGCCAGTTCCCACCGTAGCGGCAGCCATTGCTGGTGGCCTGGCTACCGCCGCCTACCTCGATGCCAAATTCCTCATCCGCCATGATCTCAAGGCAGGCTCTTTGGCCGCCAACCAGAAGAGCGCAATGGCCTTCACCCTGGACCGATACCAGAAGAATAAGATGCTCATATACCACATCTTTGAGGAGCATGCCACGGGCAAGAACGCAGACAATCTCTTCCTCATCTTCGAGAACCGATCGTGGACCTACAAGCAGTTCTTCGATGACTTGCACAAGGTTGCCAATTGGCTGATGAAGGATTTGGGTATCAAGCCTCAAGAGATCGTCGCCTTGGACGGTGGGAACAGCCCCGAATACCTCATGCTCTGGTTCGCCGTCGAAGCCATTCACGCCTGTCCTGCCTTCATCAACTGCAATCTGACATCGGGTCCCCTCACACACTGCGTCAAGCTATGCGACTCACGGTATCTGATCGCCGACCGTGCAACACAAGATCTCGTCCGGCCGTGTGAGGGAGACCTCCAAGCTTCGGGTGTACAAGTCATCTACTACGACGAACCTTTCTTCTCTTCTCTAACAGACACCACTCGAATCCCCAAATCTCTACATGAAGGAATCTCGCCAACCGAACTCGGTGGTCTTATCTATACCTCAGGCACAACGGGGATGCCCAAGGGTGTGATTATGCTTCGTGGCCGCGAGCTCAATACCGCCCGCAGCGTTTCTATGTATCTCAGACTCAAACCTCATAACCGCATGTATACCTGCCTACCACTGTACCACGGCGCCGCACACGGTCTGTGCCTAACGCCCTCCATCTTCGCCGGATCCACCGTTGTACTTAGTCGAAAATTCTCCCACAGGACCTTCTGGCCAGAAGTCCGCGCCTCCAAGGCTGACATCCTCCAGTACGTGGGTGAACTCTGCCGCTATCTCATTAATGCACCGCCCAGCCCGCTGGACAAAGAGCACAACGTGAAGATGGCATGGGGAAATGGCATGCGTCCAGATGTATGGGAAAACTTCCGGCAGCGCTTTGGGATCGAAACGATAAACGAGCTGTACGCAGCTACGGATGGCATGGGCGCCTCTTTTAATGCGAACAAGGGCGAGTTTGGCAAAAATGCCGTCGCCATGCGTGGGTTATATTGGAAACTCAGAAACGGCGCGAACGAGAAGAGAGTCAAGATCGACATAGACACCGAGGAGATCCTGCGCGACAAGAACGGTTTTGCGATCGTCTGCAAAGACGGAGAGCCAGGTGAGGTGGTGCACAAGATGGACCCGGCCACTGCGGACGTGGCGTTCGCAGGATACTACAAGAACAAGTCCGCCAGCAGCAAACGAAAGATTGAGAATCTGTTTCAAAAAGGAGATCTCTGGTTTCGCAGTGGAGATATGATGCGCCAAGATCCCGACGGGTGCGTCTACTTTGTCGACCGCCTGGGCGACACCTTCCGCTGGCACAGCGAAAACGTGTCAACCAACGAAGTTTCGGATGTGCTGGGCAAGTGGCCTCAAATCGCCGAAGCGAACGTGTACGGCGTGCAGGTGCCTCACGCGGACGGCCGCGCAGGGTGCGCTGCCATCGTACCCATCTCGTCCATCACCTCGGCCGACCAGCTCGACTTCTCTGGATTAGCAGAGCACCTGCTCTCGACGCTGCCGCGGTACGCCGTGCCCATCTTTTTGCGCGTAGTGCCGCAGCTCGAGTACACGGGGACGATGAAGCTGCAAAAGGGCCGTCTGCGCGCCGAGGGCGTCAACCTCGACAAGATTCAGGCGTCGCGGCCCGACGACCGCATGTTCTGGCTCCCGCCCGGAGGCACAAAGTACGAGCCCTTTGGCCGGAAACAGTGGGAGGAGCTGAAAGCTGGGAAGGTCAGGCTGTAGATATTACCTAGGTATGCTACGATGCAAGATCTGTACATGCTAGATGCTAGATGCTGGCTGAATAGATGATGGGCCTTCCCGGTCTAGGTACCCATAATTCGTTGCTGAACAGAGAATGGCGTGAGTGAGGGCAATACAAGGCCGCCATCCCACGGTTTATCGAAGCTATGTCGCCACCTACCTTGGTACTTGCCAAGGTACCTATGTATTTACTCGGAACTCCTTATATAGCGGGCAAGGCTGCGCTAAGCTGGACCGGGCTTGCGATCATTCCCATTCCTCGTACCTCGTATTAGGTATTTACCAAGTCCTCTTGCTTGAAAACCCGATGGATATATCTAACTACCTCGCTACCTACCTAGGTAGACACATATACGATTGTGTTCAATCGCCCCGTTGGAGGGCAGTTCTCGGATCCGACGTCCTTGTCGTTGTCATTGCCATTGTCATTTCCATGGACGATGGGGTCCATTCGAGTCTCTCTCACACCCTCTGTCTCTGTCTCTGTCTCCATATACATCTACCGTAGGGCTACTACTAGGTACTTTTCAACATCCCATACCATACATGCCAATACTGGATATTTTTCAACCATGAATCAATCCGTTCCCCTCCGCCAATTTGTGCAAAGGCATCAAAAAAAGGGGGGTGGTCATCAATTCCTTCCTTTCGTCGATTCACACAGAGCCTAGAAGCCGTGGGTCAGACCTCTGCACGACAGAATAGACACCTCCTGGAAATGACAGGCCGAGCCAATCCTCAGAGAGAAATTCGTTGACTCCCCCCTCGCGGACAACGGACAAGCCATCATTTTCGTGGATCAGAATCTCCAAGATGACAAGGCCACCACACACACACTCTCTCTCTAACCCACCCTCACAAACACCTGAAGCCTCTCGGAAAAGATCCTATTGTCGTACTGTCAAAGCAGTTGCAGCACACCATATATCGCCCGCGCTATGCTTGTTTCCATCATTCATGACTTGGGGGTATAAAAAGCAGGAAAGGCCGCACATAAGCATCAGAAAACATCAGTGGAGTATACAGGGTGAGCATTGGCCGCGCAGATGATGGATGACTGGAAGGCAGGTAAATGCCGAATTGACTGGAATGCGTCGAGTGAGTCGCGCGCGGAGGTCTCATGAATGTCCGGGTTGATCGTCGACAGAGATGAAGCTGGTCTCATTCTAGGGCTCGTTTCAGGTCGTTCCATTTTTGCTTGAGCGCCTCGTGCTCGGCATTGAGCTATTGAAGAGTGTCAGAAGTCCGTCATCTCCGGTAGCAGAACAGCGATCAAAGCAGGAAAGGGGTTACTCACCTCAGCATACTTCATCTTTATCTCCACAAGCTCCCGCTCCATCTCGGCCATCTGTTCTTCCATATGACGGTTCTCATTCTGCACCTCGATGTTACGCTGCATGACCTGTTCCGTTCCCGCCCGCAGCCTCTCTTCGACGTTTGCCGCCTCACTCTCGGCGACTTTTTTCAGCTCGGCGACTTGTCCAGTCAAGCTCTCATTGCGATCCGACAACTCGGTGTTCTCGACTTTCAGCCGCACCAGCTCATTGGCGATCTCAATGTGCTCTGCGTCGGATTTCTCGGCTCTTTGCTCGAGGGAGCGGATCTGGGCAGCTTTCGTGGCGCAGTCGGTCTTGAGATTTTCCAGCTCGGTCTCTCGTGCTTTTTCGGCCTTTGTACTTGTCTCCCACTCCTCTCGATATCGATTAAGCATCTCAGGCGTTAGTTTTACGGCACATGCGTCTTGGACAAGGAGATCCGCTCGGTAAACTTCAGCGTCAGAGCCGCCAGAGCTGCCGAAGAATCCCGACTCCAGGATTGACTTGGATGAGGGTGCGGCATCGATATAAACATCGAAAATCTTTTCCTTGAGGAAGTTCGTGAGGCTCTGCATGTCCTGCATCGCCAGCAGCGTGGCTACGTTTCGCTGGATGACAGCCATTCCAAACTTCAGGATCGCACCCTCCAGCCCTTCGCAGAGAACCAAATCGTAAACCCGCATGACCAGTTGAAGTGGAAATCGGTATGCGAACATGGTCAGAAACCACTGTGTCGCGTAGAGCTTGGGAGTGACACCCCGCCGGTTGAGATGACAATACAATGCAGGCTCCAGATCCTCCAATAACCGCTCGAACTGATAAAGATGGAGATGTAGTCCTGGCATATCCTGGATAAAGAGATCGCGGAGTTGATATTTGTTCATCAACCGGACAAGCAGGCAGAAAGCTTCTTCCTCAGGCATTGTGAACAAAAGAGGCATGACAATGAAGTTCAGGCCCTGAGGGTATCCGACAGCATCATCGAAGAGTGCATATGCCCGGCATACGTGGAATAGCCCATCTTGAAGGCCCGACGCCGCCGCATACTTCGAATAGCTTGTCCTTGAGCCCATGTCTCGCTTGATCATCTTCTCCAGCTTTGCTAGGGCTGCAGAATCCTCTTTAGCCTTTTTCGCTTTTTCTGCAGCCAGTTGAGTCTGGAGGCGAGCCGTGCTCATAGGATCGGTTGCCTCATGGGAGGGTGAAGGAGATGCGACGCCTACATTAGAACTGGTGGCAGGCGTTGAGTGATCAGATCTTATCGACGATCTAGACGACGCCACTGATTCTTTCTCCTTGGCGCTGCCATTGAGATGCCCATTCAGTAAAGGAGATTTAGGCATGCCCTCTTTTGTTTCCGAGTTTGGCCCTCGGGACTTCAGATCCCAGTAGACAGCTTCCAAATCCTCGTTCTTGCTGCCTGCTAACACCTGCCATATAACCGGTCTGATGGTCTGTGGGATCCCACCACTGATGGCTTGGGTGAACTCATCAGGACTCGTCCGCGCCACGGCCTGGGGACCCTCGTTGACCACGTTTTGCCAGAAGTCCCAATCTATCGGAGTACTCGTATCCGCAGTTGCTGCTGCCACCCCTGCCACTGTTCCCGGAGGCAGATCTGGATTGGTGGGCAGTGCTTCGGCCATGGGCGAGGACGGTGACATGACAGGAGTAGAGACAAGATTTTCATCCTGACCAATGCTGCCTGGAGTGGCTATCCCGACACCCAAACTGGCGGACCGTCCAATAAGTCCTGCTATTGCACCTCCTTCAGCTGGCTCCGCTCCCTCCAAGCTTGTGATGCCTGCTTCTTCCCGCAGCCGGAGCATTTTAAATTGTTCGCGGAGCGATGCTCTAGAAGGCTGCTTCTGGCCGCCTGATCCATCTTGAGACTCATCTAGGGCTTTTAGCGTCAAATCAGGGTTGCTGCCGAGAGTGGATGCTGATGCCGCCGTATTCCGTCGCGTGTCGAGTTGTGATTTGGAGGGCAAAGGGGGAGAACGAGTCTCTTTTGGGGTCGATGTTGCTCGGCTCAGCCATCCGAAAGGAGTGGTCACTTTGCGGCTGAAGGAGGACGTCGATTGTGACTGAGGTGGTTGCGGAGACGGTGCTCGAGCATCTGAAGCTTTTCTGGGAGGAGGCGGTCCCCAAGGCACCGACGGCAAGGAAGCAGAAAAGCCTTGGAATCTTGAAGGGCGAGCAGCAGGCTTGGGAGGGACAGGTTTCTCTGAAGGATCGCCGGATGTGTCAGTAGAGGGCTCGGGAGGTTTCAGGGTAGGCGTCCGCTGGGCATCGTGAGAATCGTCCACGGCGCTTGTATCAGTAGTTATATCAGGGACTTTCGCCTCTGAGCCATCCGTGCCTTCTCTTTGCTCGCCTTCGCCTTTTGATTGCTGCTCGTCGTTCAAAGTCGGAGAGTGATCATTGGAGTCCTTGGGATCTTGCGTGGGCTGATCGGAGTGGGAGGAATCTCGCTTTGAATCATTATTGACATCGTTGGCATCCTCAAATCTCTATGCTCCGTCAAAACAGATCTTTGACTCCAAATGAGAGATGTGAAATCCAATTGCCTTACCTCGTCCGTGTCCGGGTTGTCTGCACTGTTCGCCATGTTGATCTACCTTCAGGGACCAGCGGGCACCCTCATATCATCCTTGACCGCAGTATGGCCGATAACGTCAGGGAATGGTACTTGTGGTCTATTTGCTCGGAAGAGACAGTTGGAGTGTATGTTAAGGATTAGAGCGCGTTGTCCTCGCAGGCGATGAGGGCGAGTCGAAAGGATCAGGTGCGGAGTTCCAAACGAGGGTCAGATGTCACTGGTGACCGCAGTCAGTCAGCAACCCAGAATAGAGTACTGGTCGGTGACTTGGACAGACGATGAAGCCAGAGAATCAAGGAATCTGCAAGTCCAGATCGTCTGCCTTGATACGTGCAGCTTCAATGGAGGCCGTCGAGCGAATTAAATGACCGAATGACAACTTTTCCCTTGGTGCTTGGGTGACGCGGAGGGCAGCAACTTTTCAATTCTGTAAACAGTCGTAACAGTTGACAGTGGGAAGAAGGATCGACAAGATCTCGCAGACGTTGTGCTCAAGACTTCTAGAGAGGGTCAGGAGGAAGTCAGGGTGAAGTGCGATCGAGTCTATCGAAAGGAAAACTGTTCTTTTCTCTTTTCTGGTATCCGATACTATCATCCGCAGTTTGTACCACACCAGCGACACCACGATCCTGCCGTGCGCGATTCGCATGCCCGCAGCCATGTCAGGTCCAGGGGCCTAACGCCGTGTTTAGCATTGAGCATCAGCCCCATTTAATTATCGCTCCCTCGCATTTCCACTGCCATGCCCCTTTGATCAAGCCTCACTAGCCCCATCGCGCCGTTGTTTGGCTGTGCCATAAAGGGGCGAGAGGGGGATTCTGCAGCCTGCAATGGGGCTTGTTTCATCTGTACCAGGGACTCGTCACCCGCATAATAATACTTGGTAGCTTCGTACCTAGCAATAGGTAGTCATGATTAGCTTCAACAAACCACGCAACTCCTAGCAGTCTTCTCTGGATTCTAGATGTCACTTCAGTTGATAGGTATAGAGTCTTAATGCCTCGTTTGTTGCTTGTCAAGCTGCTGCTCCATATCAATCCACCTGCCTTTCCTCAGAGGATCGAGGCCTTTGAGCTTCTCCAACCACTGGGCTACCTTTTCCCGGTCCTCTTCTTCTAAGCCGGTCTTGAGTTTGCTCTCTAGCATTGTACATTCGATCAACGCTTGATATGGCCATTTGCAATCCGCGGCATCCTCCAGCACTTCCTCAATGTATTCCCGCTCCGACGCGATATATTCCAGCCGCTGCTCATTTGACAAATTCGGTGCCATGCTCCGTGACGCCTGGTCAAGATCAAAGGTGCACATGAGGTTCTGGTGATAGAACCAGAGTGACTGGTCGTAGGGATCGAATAAAGCCTTGTGTATCAATTCGAGTTCTGTGATGATGAGCATCCAACCCAATCTCATCCATCGGAGAACTTACCTTCGTCCAGCATCTTTCGTCTTTCATCATCCGTTGCCTTCTCCTCCTCCAAGATTCTGAGCATGAGCTTTGTTCGGTTGTGCCAGGCTGAGAAGTTGGACAGATTGGTTCCTATCATCTTCTTGGTATATTCCAACTCCTGTCTCGCCATACTTTGTCCCTGTAAGGCTGGGCTCTCGAGACTTTGCACCACAGTTCGTCGATAGCCCCAACCGTGGAAGTTTCGGCTGTCCCGACTGAGCATCTTGCCTACCAATTCAAGCTCCTCTTCCCATATTCTTCGAGCTTTCGCAGCAGGAAGAAGAGCCGTAGCCTGTTCGAGGAGCCATAGTCTGTGGTTCCATATCCAATAGCATTTGGGGAATTTGAGGAGTAGTGGAAACAAAAATTGTAGGTCCAGCTGGATGATATCCAGAACCTGGCTGACTCGAGTCTCCTCGTCCATTTCACCGGAGCCGGTCTGTCTTGCAAGATCCTCAAATTCGCTGACATAGATGCGGCGGCGATGATTCCAGACGGTATAGTACTCGGGATTCCTCTTTAGCAGCTGGGCTGTTTGCTGGAGTAATGCAGGTGTAAATTCCTTTGCCACAACCTGCGTGTACTTAATATTAGCATCTTCATTTTTGAATTGTTCAAGCCTGGCCGAGAGACCTTTGCATTGACTTCTTCAACAAGCTGTTGGTATTGGGCGATTTCTTTCAACTCCTTCTGCCGTGCTTCTGCTGTCCGTTCCTCGCGGGTCGCTGTGCGAGGTACACCATGCTAGTTATACGGTCAACTTAGGTCCAATGCGCCTGCAGAGTTCGCGAGTCTTACGCTTGCCATGATTGAAGACTTCGTTAATTCAAGAGGCAGTATCTTCTCATATTCGGTTTGCGGAAGGAGGAGTTATGGGACGTGGCAAGATGAGGCAGGATGAAGGAAGGATGGAGGTCAGAATAATTCCATGATTCCAGGCAACAAACTTAACCACCTGCACGTATTATTTCTTACTTTCTTACTTTCTTACCTCAACCAGCAAGCATCCATAACAACCCACCCCGTTACAGACAAGTGATGGCTTGTCACTAACATAGATACAGACAGTTGACCCAGGACTCGGCGTCACAGGTGTTCCTGTCGATCTGATATTCCTCCAAATGGACGTTGACGCTTCCTCCTTAACAACGTCCTCTTCAGAACCGTCAATCACTTCTCGCTCTTCGGCTACGGACGATGTGAGCAGGGCATCCGCATCTCTTTTACCACAAGAAGATGGAGTTTCATCGCCGGGACGCCCATTGCTCTCTCAATTCCCCCAACATCAATCTACATCGGGATTGATCTCCGAGGACCACCCTGCCCAGGTCCTGCCACAAACTAGTTTTCGTCCCTAGCAAAGACGAAGCGTCAGTGCCGGCGACCCTGTCCGAATTCGATCTCGGTTCACCTCGCCCGACCGGTTCATTCCACAAAGACCTCTGCATGTGGATAAAAGACGATCTTACCAAGTCACCAAACCTCCAGTCTTACTCCGAGGAAGGGAAAGGAATGAGCGACGGCGAGATAATACTGTGAATCCTTTTCGCTCCGTGAGTGAGGCACGGTCCCGGGCATTGACGAGGCAAAGAAACGCGCCAAATGTCTACAGCCTTCGTCCGCCACAATATGTTCCTTCATTTGTCCATGGGACGGATGCTACTCCCGCACATATTGATGGGAGCATAGCAACAGAGACTCTCCGTCAGATCAGCACAGGGTTTTGGACCGTGGGCGGCAGACTGTCTGCTCAGATCGGACAATTGCAGGGCGTACCTACTGGTTCGGGTGGGATGCTGGTCAGCGGCAGCACCGCTCCCTTGCACATAGCTACATTTCTGGACCATGCTGCCAGTGATGAGCAGGCAGTGGCTCATGAACGCCGCCTAGCGCTGGCACTTGACATTGATCAAGCCGCTCGGATCTTGCTACAAATCCCAGGTATTGAAGAAAAGGACGCCAATTCGAGACCTGAACATCGTCCCTTTGTGTGGAGGAACAGTGCTTGGACCCGAGAGCCGACGTCTTGGTGTAAGAATGTCTCCAAGTCTCTTGTTCGCTTACTGACTTTCGAGCAGATCTCGCGTACAAAGATGGAGGGTTACTTCAAAGCGAAAAAGCGATTCCAACCGTCCCCTTTCGGGTTCTTGGTGCTCCCAATCTCAAAGACGACTACTACTGCTCCATACTCGCGTACAGTCAGACCTGTCACTCCTTAGCCGTCGCCCTCGGTCAAAAAGTCTATCTCTGGACTGAAAAGTATGGTGTGCGCTATCCACCACTCCCTGCTGGCCGATCAACCAATTTTGTGACTTCTTTAGCTTTCTCATCTGAGAAGGGAGCCAAGGCCATCTTAGCCGTCGCCAGGAACAGCGGGACTGTCACATTATGGAGTTTACGGGAGATCAGACCGCGCTTCACTGCTCCTCACCCCTGTGCAGCATCCTGCGTGTCTTTCAAACCTGTCCAAACCCAGCGACCGTCCGTAGCAGGAAGAGGTACTGTCCTGTGCGAAGACTTGCTCGTCGGCGACGACTCGGGCAAGATCTACTACTATTCCTTGGAGTGGCCAGCCTTTGCTCCCGGATCCATGACGCTGCTAGCCAAACTTGACGCCCACAGCCAAAACATCTGCGGCCTCGCATGGTCCCCAGATGGTATGCAGTTTGTCTCCGGTGGTAATGATAATCGGGCTCTGCTTTTCGATCCATCGATCTTCCTGCCGGCGGATTACCAAAGCCATGTCTCCCCGAATGTGCTAGATCAACTGGCAGACATGTTCGACGATTCAGCCTTTTCAACTTCTCAACTTCCCACCCCACCAGCTTCGCCGCAGAGATATCGATCCGCAAGCCGCCGTCAATCCCCGGACTTCAACATAGAATCAGTCAGCAGTACGCACATCCGTGGCCTAGAAACACCACCACCAACTCCTCAGCGTCGGGGCAGATTAGCCGATCGTGACCCTTTAAGCTCAACAGGCAATCACCGTACCGCTCCTCCGCCGAATGCGTCTGTCCTTCGCAACGCACTCGTGGATCCCGCTATTCTTGGACAAACCAATGTCCACATCCATTCGTTTTATCACGCCGCAGCTGTCAAGGCCATCGCTTTTGCTCCTTGGCAGCCCAATCTGCTTGCAACTGGAGGCGGAAGCAATGATCGCCAGATCCACTTTTTCCACACAGGATCCGGAGCGCTTCTGGCCCTGATCAATGTCTTCTCGCAAGTCACGAGTCTGGTGTAGAGCACAACAAGACGCGAGATAGTTGCAACGTTTGGATACTCGCAGCCGGAGCATGAAATCAGAATAGCCGTTTTCAGCTGGCCAACCTGTGAATGTGTAGTGAGTATTCCCTGGGAAAGAAAGCAGAACGGTGAGATCGGCCGTGCGCTGTGGGCAATACCCTATCCAGGCGGACCAAACGATGCCATACCAATTCGCAGACAGTATGGGGCTGGTGGGGGATTTGCCTCTTGGGATGCAGTTCAAGAGACTGAAGCAGAGCGAAGACGAGCCGAAGCAACAGCCGTGGACACGGCCAGTCCTCGGGTCCGTCGCAGTCTGACCCCAAGCCCTGAGCGAAGCATTGTACCGGTGACCAGAAGACATCAGGTAATGAATGGGAGGGAGCTTTTAGCATATGGCCACAGTGGAGACATTCGGCATGAAGGCGAGCGATGGGCAAGTCGGACGGAAGAGGAAGGCAGTCTCATCATCGCATGCTGTGATCAAACGGTCAAGTTCTTCGAGATCTGGGCGGGGAGAAGTAAGGGAAAGAAAGCGCTTGGCTTGGGCTTGCGGCAGGGTGTTCTCGGCGGGAGTCGCGTCCTGGAGGGATGGTGCGAGAATCTTGGTGTGGATGAGATTGGATTCGGAGAAGAGGTGATTCGGTAGCTCCTGGGTGCAAAGATGGGATGAGCAAGGAATGAGCAACACGAGAACGAGTCTTTGGTGACGGCTCATCCTGATACCGCCGCACAGACAGCGAACCATTCCCTAGATATCAACCAAACAACATCTGAGGTGGAGAAAGAGGAAAATGGGTATCCTTATCATATCATTCTATAGCCGAGTGACCTTCCTGAAGAAGCCATCAATACTCATTCATTCATACCTAGTACCTGACTTTTAACCTCGATGCATGCAATCTAAACGAGAAAAGAAAGATGCTGAATACCGCCGAATGCTGAAGATTTTGAATGCCTCAATGCCTCAATGCTCAATGCTCAATTGAATGTTTTCATGTCATGCTCGCTGGTATCCAGGTCCTCGCTATGCTGAATGCCGCCGTGGCTGATGCTTTTGGGTGGTCCTTTATGTGAAAAAAAAAGCATTCAAAATCCAACACCTCCACCCTCCCCTTCCCATTCAACTGGGCACTCTCCATTCTGACACTCACGTGTACATTTGATTCCCCCCTTACACAGTCCTTTTATGCTTTCCTGCGGGAAGGGACTTGGATCATGATGCTTCAAGATGATGATGATGTTGATGTTTGAGGATCGTAGTGATGTTCTGGTGATGAAGACAATAGTGTCGTGTTGTGGTTGGTGGTGAGTGACATACATAAAACGTCCCGTATCCGCCGGCTCGGCAGGTACTTTCCAATCTGTCGTTTCCATGCCTACTCGCTCACATAGTGACATATGTATCCTGACAGAGGTAGTGTAGACACCGACATCGACGGTGGAAGGGGTAAAGGCAGACATGGGAGACATAAGCATTGGACATAGTACCCCCAGCCAGGACTTGTCACTCACTGCCCGGGGAGTCCGGTGCCGACGACATCTGAAGATGAATTCAATTTGCTCAAAGCGAATTTGATCAGCAAGGAGCAGCAGCTCAAGCTCCGGTCCTGTGCATTTTCTTGCCCGATTTCGACTTCGATTTCGACTTTGGCGTCTCCAGGTCCACGTCCATATCATCGTCGTCGATAATTGGGGCTTTTCCCCCCACCTTTAGACCCTTTCCTTTATTGGTGACAGGAATTGGTTTCGATAGCGGTTCGGCGTCCTCGGGCGCATCATCCTGGTCTTCGTCTCCACCCTCTTCTTCGTCGCTAGAGTCACCAGGCACACGCACTTCATCACCCTCTTCTTCTTCAAAGTCGACGGATCCGTCATTGATGAAGCTGTCCATTTCCGAGTCGTCTTCATCGTCGTCGCTCTCTTCATCTCCACTCCCCTCCTCATTATCAGAAGATGCGACGGATGGAGACTCTGAACCTGCTGGAGACGGCCCGTCATCGTCCGGGTCAGATTCTTCAGCGCTGGACACTTCAGCTTCATCATCGACAAGGCTCCGCGTACTGCGCACGCCGTTCAACCGGGGTTCTTCCTCCTCATCTTCATCCTCATCCTCTTCGTCGTCTTCGTTGTCAGATGACATATCCTGAGTGCCGTTTTCGAGAGGCATGAGATCTTCGTCATCCTCCTCGTCTTCATCTCCACCGATGAGCTCATCGAGATCTCGCTGCTGCTTCGTCCTTGATTTCTTGGTCGGTCTGGCAATTTCCTCATCCAAATCTTCGTCGTCACTATCCCAGTTATCTTCCCCTTCAATATATATGATCCCGGGCTCATCTCTTCCTTTTCTGCTGCCAGGTGGTCTCTGAGCCAGCAACTGTTTTCGATAAGCTAGCTGTGCATCCAGCATATCTAACTTTCCCTTGAGCAGTAACAAATCATCCAACGTCTTCATCCTCGCGTTCAACACCTCATACAGCGTCCTCACTTTTGCTGCGACATCGGGCTGGCTTGCAATCGCTCCACCGTGACAGACACACGTCCACTGCACCCACGTAATGAGATGTCCATAGCGGCCCGGACGAGAGGCGAGTCGTTCGGCGAGTTTTGAGAGGAGAATGCCAGCGAGAGTGGAGTCGAGCCGTTGGATGGTGGATTTGACAATGGACATGTCGAGAGTGTGGAGACAAGCTTCCAGAAGAGAGGTGTCATTGGTGCGGAGTGATTGGGTAAGTACTGTGGAGAGAGACATGCCGGAGGGAATTGTCGTTTGGCCAGGCTTAAGAGTGATGATGGAGGTATCGTGCTGGGGAATGGCTGATGCGATGGATATCTCATGGGGGTGTTTGGATGCTAAGAGTTCTCCAAAGGAAGGCTCTCCCTCTTCTGCTTCTGGGTCGGCGTCTGCCATTTCTTCATCGGAGTCCATCCCCGGGGCTTCATCACCTTCGACCACTTCTGCGTCCTTCGTCGTGGTCGCCGCTTCGTCTGCAGATCCACCATCTTCTGCATCGTCAGGCTCTTCCTCGCCCTCGCTGTCCGAGATCGAGATCGCAGGGCCCAGAGGTGCGCCTCCTGCTCCGCCATTGACGACGACAGTCCTCGACTCATCCACAAATGTTTTCCCGAGATCCTTGACTCCGTTGAGGGTAGCGGTGTTGAGAGTAGATGAACTCGCCGCTTTCACGACCTCTTTGACGCCTTCAAACAGGACTTCTCCGTTTCCTTCGTCTTGCCATCTCACTCTTTGAAAGGCCAGATCCACACCTCCATCGGCGGAGACGACGATGACATCAGATCCTTGGAGGAATGCTGCAAAGACCGGTATATGTTTGACTTTGGAGTCTGGGGTGACCAATTGAATCGTAGCCGATGCTTTCCTGGTGAGGTTCTTTCGGCTGGATTTCAAGTCTCCATTAACTGGCTGATTCTCAACAAAAGGTTTGGGAAAGATCTCAACAGTCCCTTCCTTTGTCACCACGCAAAGAACTTGGTCGCGGAGGGCATCTGCCGTTTCGACTGGGGGAGTCGCAAGGTCGAAAGAGATGACACCACTTCCTGCGACTAAAGTGCGCACCAGTCTCTTTTGCGATATGTCATAGACGTTGACGTATCTCTCTGAGTCTGCAGCAAGGAAGTATCCAGGAGTCTCTGCAACATTTGAGCTTGACCGACATAGAGCGTGCACTGGATTTTTGAAGGAATCGAAGCGATCTATCCGAAAATCATCGGACGACACGAGGTCGATTGCAAACGGGGTGGAAGAGGCACAGATGATCTGAGGGGTGTTTTGGGCCGGTGAAGCGAGGATACTGATAGCAGGGTCCGGGAGGTTGATTGTCCTGCGCTTGTTAATAACCAAACGTGATGCGACCGACCCACGAGTGCCACTAACCTGATGGGCTGGTCCTTGGCCAGATCCCATTCCAATAATCTTGCGTCTTCGCCTATGCTCCAACCATGCTGGTAGTCCGTGCGAGAGAATTTAAAATCTTTGACACCTCGTTCGTGTCCTCCACTTAGAGTACCTACAATTCGACCCTCGGCAGGCGAGAACATGCAGATCTGGGAGGAATTGGTTCCATAGGCGAGGACTGCGCCATCAGTGCTCTCCGACTCCCGCTTGCGCTTCTTCTTTGAAGCTGATTGTTGTCGTTCCCGGTATGCCGCACCATAGTATCCCCAATCGAGGCAAGTGATCTTTGACCCGGCTCTGGTCTCATGCTGGCTGCGTAGACGTCCCGTATTCGTATCATGAATGCGCAATTGGTGAACGTCAAAACTCTGGATGACTGAGGCGAAGAGGTGCAGTTGCAGTTGTGAGGGAGCAAACGCTGATTTCAGCACTGAGGATTTTCGAGTATTGACACCGGCGGCCACTGCGGGAGAGGAGGCGGAGGAAATCTTGGAGACTGATTTTTGAGCGTCTTTCCGACCCATGTTGATGGCCGAGAGTGAAAGTTGAGAGGGGAGGGACGGGGTATTCAGGTAGGACGTGGATTCCCAAATGACATTGCAGTTATTGTCAATTGGTGGTGCCTGGAAATCCTGCGCTTTAACGACTGGATGCTGGTGTACAGAATTTCTCAGTCCGGCAAAAAAAAAGTTGACGAGTGTTTGGAGAATCAATTGTCGGCTCGTGGCAGACGACGCCTTGCCATTGCTGGCCTAGCCGGAGTGCATTTTTATGTGTATATACGCACCCGTAGTATATGCTATGTGGGTGCTGTGGCTCGCCGGAGCGTCTGTCACTCTTTCTGCCCTGCAAATGCCGTTTGGCATTCAAGCACCTCTAAGAAATTTTCCCTCCACCCCATATTCACTGCTGCGGTCATTTGCCGCATTTACCAAGCCCTCATCGACATCCATCGATAGTTTCATGGCTGGAAATGGGGTTGCTCTTGCAGCAGGAGGCGCCTCTTCCTGACATTTCTTGCATGCGACAGCCACAACAGGTGGAAATACCCGCTGTAGCCCCAACTGAGAGGCGCCTGATGCTCATTTGTGTTCTGTGGCTGTCATTCTAGGCCCATTCATCTCCCTCAAAATTCCCACCCATCGCCAAACAGGCATCTGTTTGCTTTTGTTCTGCCATGAACACTGCAGGAAGATACATCTATTGACCGGATCGTCTACAAGGATTTTGTCCTGCACTGCAGATCCTCAATGTCTATTTGGAGGTAGGAAGACCCAACAATGAAAAGCAGGGTGCACTTTTGCGCACTTGTTCGAACTGCTGCCTGCAACGGACATGACCTTCCTCCTCCGGGTTGACCGGTCAAGGCGGAAAGCTGCGGAGATTACTCTGCAGGGGCAAAATGCTGCCGCTCCTCGCACTGTCGAGGAAGACCTGACCCTTTCTCTAGACAACGACTACTTGCACGACAGTTTCCAAGCATGTTCCTACCCCGATCAAAGTCGACTGCGAACGGCCACCACAACAGCATCGTTCACATTCTCCGGTGCTCTCTCGTGCCCTGCGCCAAGGAAGATCAATGAGTCATGCAGGTGCGATCACGTGACCCAACCCTGCGGTCATCATGATGGAATTATTCTTGAAGGTAGGGGCTGGGAGTGGGTGCGCCGAGTGAGCTAGAGGCCAACCCAGATTATCATTGCTCGGGATGCTGCCAAGCGCATCAACGAAGGACAAAAGCGGTTCGCATCGAGTGTACTCGGTATTAATGCAGCTGAAGCTGACCCAGCAAGAATGCCACAAAAATTTCGAGACACACAAAAAGGAAAACAACGAAAAAGGGGTCTGCCGGTGAATGGAGATAACAGAGAAGACAGTGGTGGACAAGTGGCCCGAGGTAGGCGAGGCGTCAGACCAAGCCACGAGTGGACAGAAGAGAAGGCGAGAAGGGTCGTATGGAGGTGGAGGAGAATGGGAGGGCGAAGAAGGGAAGAAGGGAAGAAGCAGGCCGCACACAAAGACTCGGAATCAGAACTTGGGGGGCAGCAATGGATTTGCTTGGACAAAGCTTTGAACCTTGGAAGCTAGCAGGGCGAGGCCTGTACCAATCAAGGCGGGCGCAGACGGGCTCTGTGCATCCACTCTGGAGATTCTGCAAGGATGACCATGTCAGGATCATCTAGCGTCGCTGCAGGGCCACAGCCTGTCCACCGAAGTGGGCCTCTTGGTGGACTTGCAACCCCCCTCGGTGGCTGCGAATGCCCGATCCTATTTAACGGGCTTCCGCGCAAAATTTGTTGTGTCGCTTGCACCTCAACCTGAAATACCGCCGCTCGGCTGGCCTTCCTTCTGAAACCACCTCCAGGCTCTTTTTTCTTTTTTCCCTCTTGCACGGCCCGCTGACGACGCGCCAAACAAACAAAAACATTCTCCAATCCCAATCCACGCGCATCGCATCACACCCATCACAGCTCTTCCCGGTACCTTTGGTATTCAATAATCCCATCGTCCCTCGGTTTTGTCTGTTGCCATCGGTCATCCATCATCGATCACCATCATCGGCCATCCGTCATCGTCGCCACCTTTCACCAACTCTTGACTGTTGCCTGTTTCTTTTCGTGTCCCTGAAACAAGTAACTCATTGGTGAGGCGAGGCTTGCTCTGAGCCTTCCCGCCCCTCGACTGCATCACGCCCCACGTGACGTGCTCGGCCTTGTCACATGACCCGTCGAGATTTTCGCAAGGCTGGTGTTGAAGTCGGCGTCGCCACAGACTCTGGGCTGAGTCGATACAATTCCATCTGCCGCACCTCTCGGATCTGGATCTCGTCGACTATTTATTAATCTCGACCCTCCTCCATCTTTTCCTCGAATTCATTTTTGGCCCGCGTCCACCTTCTTTGCGCGCGCGCCCTTTGTCTTGCTGTCCTTTCTCTTCACACGCCATCCATTCGCCACGGTTGCGCCTTGTAAAATATCTCACTCTTAATTAATTAAGTTTTCGCCAAACGTCTTCCTCATTTTCGGCTGGTCCGATCTCCATCGCCCTGAGATTTGCGCACTCGCTCTTGCCAAAATGGACGTGGAAATGCAGATGGAGGCTCATGGGTATGTGGACTTCACTTCGGCGCGACCTCGCGACTTGTTTCATCTGACCCTTAGCAGATTGCCAACGCAATTCAGCTCGACCTCAGAGCAGCCGGAAGAGTCTCACATTGCCGACAACCTGGCGGCCTCAATATCAAATTCAGAAGCGACCGTGAACCCCAGTCCGCCCAAGCAGCCCGCAGTTGATGCGCCGCAACCCGATCCAGTAAAAGCAGTGCCAGACCCAGTGCCAGACGCAGTCACGGAGGCAGTGCCGGACCCGGTTCCTGAGGCAGCTCCTGAAGCAGCGCCTGAGGCAGTTCCACCAGCTCCCTCTGAAGTGCTGCCTCCACCACCGCCTGCCACAAATGGGATCACGAATCACGAAAGTGAACCTGTCCAGCAACCTCCTACAATTGTTCCCGACTCTCAACCTGAATCTTCTCTCGACCACCAGTCTTCCACATTCCCTGTGACCACGTCAATATCGGACACAACCCTGACCGAGTCTTTTGTCCCCTCTTCCATCCCTGCCGAAATTCAGTCTTCGGCCACGCCGTTGGAGACAAGTCAGTCAACCATGGATGTTACAGAGCCTCCGGCAATTCCCCCCGAGCCCCCAGTGTCTGATCTGCGAACCGCGCCCCATTCTGATGCGCTAACGCCTGAAGCTGTCGCAAAGGTTGAGGCTCAGAAACATGACATCGATAATTCTGCCGATCTGCCCACCTCCCTCAAACCAGAAGTCGCTGAGAGTGCACCCCGAATTGCGCCCGTCGTTGATTCGGCCGCCGCGAACATTGGCCTTCCCTCACCGCCTGCACAATCGCCGCCACCTGCACCCCAACCGGCGCCTGCGAGCTTGACTGAGCAGAAGGCCACAGAACAACCGGCAGCGCAACCGATAGAACAGCCTCTAGAACCACCTCTAGAACCAGAACAGCCCACCCAGGTCACAGAGTCGGCTCCTGCAGTAGAGGAACCCAGTGAACCTGCGCCAACACCGGCTGTTCCTGCTCCTGCAGAATCCGAAGACCAAATCATGACGGATGCCTCTCCGCAGCCGATCAAACAGGTCCACGAACGTGATGAAGACATGGAAGACGCGGAACGGGCTGCCAAGCGCGTTAAGACCGACGAACCGCACCCACTTACCGAAGAGCGACAGTTCAAAGTTCCGGATGTGCCTGCACCCGCCGTGTCGTCGCCAGCCACAGCCAACGGCGAAACCGAGTCTTCTGCGGCAATCACGGAGGACGGCGATGATTCAGTCACTCCAGCGCGCTTGGCACATATGAAGAAGGTCATTTCGAATCTGAAGAAGAGCAACGCCTCTGGACCTTTCAGACTTCCGGTAGACTGGGAAACACTTCATATTCCGACTTATCCCGAGATCATCAAGCAACCCATGGATCTAGGCACAATTGATCAGCGGTTGAAACGCAACGAATACACGTCAGTAGCTACATTTGTGGCTGACTTTGAGTTGATTGTGAATAACTGTTTCACCTTCAACGGTCCTGATCACGGAGTGTCACAGCAAGCCAGGAAAATGAAGGCATCGTTTGACGGTCAGATGAGGAATTTACCAAAGGCCAGCATTGAAGAGCCTTCCAAGGAGGTGAAGAAAGCAGTCAAAAAGCAAGAGCCGACGAGAACAGCGCCTCCGCGGCGACCGTCGGTAAGCACAACTACGTCGAACGTCGGCGCTGCTAGTTCGCCCACCTCCGCAGCCCCCCCAACACCTGCCTTTGCACCGAATCCGGATGGTATGCCTCTTATTCGGCGTGATTCGAGTTTGACGGATGGCCGACCCAAGAGAGCCATTGTCCCGACCAAGCGCAACTCAGAATTTGGAGGTGGCAGACCCAGAAAGAAGAAATATGAGCTGCAACTGAAGTTCTGCGATGAAGTTCTGAAGGAAATCATGAATGCGAAACACTGGCAGGCCAATCAATATTTCATGTATCCGGTGGATCCGGTGGCCTTGAACATCCCAACATACTTCCAGATCATCAAGAAACCGATGGATTTGTCGACAGTTAAAACCAAACTCCAGAACAACGCCTATGAGAAGGCCAAGGACTTTGAAGAGGATGTCCGTCTTATCTTCAAAAATTGCTTCAAATTCAATCCCGAAGGTGACTTGGTCAACGCTTCTGGGCATCAGTTGGAAGAATTGTTCAACAAGAAGTGGGCGACAAAAGATGACTGGCTTGCTGCCCGTGAGCCACCATCGGTTACCCAGTCGGATGCGGAGGACGAAGACGAGGACGAAGAGGAGAGTGAAGATGAAGCGGAGGGTGATAGCGAAGAGGAGCGGAACGAAAAGATCAAAAAGTTGCAGGCCCAGATTGAGGAAATGTCAAAACAGATGGGCGAATTGACGCAGAAGAAGGTCAAGAAATCCAAATCGCCTCCGACGAAGAAAAAGGAAAAGTCAAAAACCAAGAAGGAGAAATCGGAGGGGGCAGTCTCCAAGCCCAGCAAGGACAAGAAAGAAAAGAAGAAGCCACAGCCCCGGAAACAAGAGAAAGATCGATATGTGACGTTCGCCGAGAAGCAGTACATCTCCAACGGCATTGCCATGCTGCCGGAGAAACAAATGCAGGAAGCTTTGCGCATCATCCAGCAGAGCGTTCCGTCCTTGGCCAACAGTGATCAGAACGAGATCGAGCTGGATATTGAGGAGGTTCCCAATGGCGCGCTTCTGAAGCTGCTCGGGTTCGTTAAGAAGTACGCCGGGCCGCCTCCAGATGAGCCGAAAGTGGAACCCTCGGAAGCCTTCCATGCGCCGGCCCATCACAAAAGCAAGAAGAGCAAGCCCATGAGCAAGCATGAGCAGGAGGCACAGATTGAAGAATTGAAGGGCAAGCTGGGAGCTTACGCTGGACCGATTTCTCCGAATGCTGTACCTTCGATAGAGACGGGCGACAGTAGCGATGATGACAACTCGGAGGAGAGCGAGGAGGAGTAAATCTCGACACTCGCCTGACGAGTGCTGAGAAGACTCACATCGCTTTAGCCGTGGCACTCGAAAAGAAGGCCAAATGTTGATTGTGAAGCCATGCTGAGCAACCGATGGCAATCAAACAAGGGCACATTTTGTCAGAGTCCAAAGCCAAGGCTGCACGGAATTGATTCGAGACGCACACAGCGGACCTCGTGGGACAGACAGTGGAGATTGGCAGTTTACGTGTGTAGACAGTATGCTATTTTTGCTGAGGAAAAGCAGGCAAGCAGGCAGCAGACACTGCGCCTTGAGCTTGAGCTGGAGGAGAGACGAAGATGAAATGAATGAATCCAAAATATCAAAAGAATCCAGAATCAAGAATCAATTGCAGCCAATCATTCGTCATTCTCAGTAGACGTTGGTATGAGATGCTAGCAAAAGCCATTTTTCATTTGGAAGCCAATCGTTTCGTGTAATATTAGTCGCTTCAGAGTCCAGATCCACACCGAGGACCGCGTACTAGTCGACCATTCCCGAGTCAAAATTCACTTATTTCACAATTCATGTTTGCTCCTCTACCAAACCTGTGAAACCCCAAGAGATTGTTGTTTGTTCTCAATAGCCTCGGCTGTACATCTGCAAGTGTCCGCGTCCGTGTGTGGCCGTCTGACTTGGCGCGCATAGGTGTTGTCGTTATTGTTTGTTATCGTCTGAAAACGAAACAGACCCACGCTCAGGGTGACAAGGTATCAAGTAGTTCAGGAAAGAATGGTTCCGCTCATCGCAGCCGCGGATCTCGACGCAAATCCGGCCTTTGCTAGGTTGTGGGAATTTGTCACGCGAGAGTTGGTGGCGGAGGATGCGTCGAGTTTGGGGAAGGAGAGGGAGAGGGAGAGGAACTGGAGGTGGAGAGCGACGAGGAAGACAGGTGGGAGGAGGAGCAGACGTGGGAAGGTCGATGGTCGAGATCAAGAACGAGATGATGATGAGGGAGATGAAGAAGAAGACGAGGAGGAGGATGATGGAGATGGAAAAGGAAATAAGAAAGAGAAACGACAAAGTTCAGATCTAAGCTTGGACCAACACCTCCACGCTCTCAGGGTCGCCAGGGCGAAGAGGCGCATACTCTGCGACGTGCTGGATGATGCTGGCGCCTATTTCGATGTCTCTGCTGTCAGTCAGAGTCAATCCCAAGACAAAATGACGCCCGAGGCCGATCCATCCCAGAGCCTTGGAGAGCTTGTCCGTGTCATTGCGGCGTATTTGCATGTCAATCTTATTGGCGTGGGATCTCTCCTGGGAGAGGGAGGAGAGGACGAAGAAGACCTTCTCTACGAGGATATCCTGCGCTTCAAGGCGAATATTGATCCTATTGCTAACGCAGTCTCTTCGCGCCTCGTTGAGATCGAATCGTCGCTCTGTGCGCTGTCGAACATTGCCCTTGAGCACAGTGACGGCAGTGAAGATGAACGCGAGGCCAGAGCTCAAAGCAATATGGGCCACAGCCTGTCTGGAAGTATCCAAACCCAACTATCCCGCCTCTCCGACCTCCGCGACAACCTCCTCCCCTCTTCTCTCACCACACTGTCCACGAATCTTCAGCAGCTCCTCACTCTCCAGCGCCAGCTCCTGCAGCTGCAGATCCAGCACCTCGAGACCTCCAAGCACGGCGTGCTTTCCCGCTACACAATGTCCAATATCGCCTTCCTGGACACCGTTGCGCAGACCATGGCGTTGAAGGCTCAAGTCCTGCTGCTGGAGGCGAGGATAGAGGTTGAATGCTCCCCGCAGGCGGAGAGGAGGAGGGAAGTCATCAGAGAGAAGATGGTGGAAGTGGAAAAGGAGGATGCCGAGTTGGATGACAGGATTAGTGTGCTGGAGGGCGTGTTGGCTGAATATGAGGCTGCTGATCCCGACGGGACGGTTATGCCGAGGCTGGGAAGAAGGTACAAAGAGATTGAAGAGGAGATGGAGGGGGTTAAGCGGGATATTGAGATGTTGCAGAGACAGGCAGCCAAGCGTTGAGGCCAGCCGAAGTACCAGCTGGAGAGGGATAGAATGTGGCGAGGCTGAAGTTCAGCCTTGTCTGTGAGGGTTTCTTGGCTTTTTCCGGTGCCAAGTCATCCCAATCACTGCACCTAATTGACATGCCTAGAATTCCTCACCCTCGACTTTATCGGCCAGCTTGTACTCTGGCGTCGCTACATCCAAAGCCGGTTCATTGGCTTCCTCTTCGTCTTCCACTTGTACTTCCACATCAAGGCATGGAGTGGACAGACAGCGAGAATTGAGATTCCGACCACTCGTGGCCATGCCAGTGGTGAGGGAACAACTTTTGGGCTGGCGAAATTCCGTCCATGGCCAATCACTTCCCCAGTCAGTTGGCTAGTCGTTCGGTCAGTCGCAGTTCCCCGGGCCAGCAAGGGGCTGAGCAGCGGGGCGCCTGCGACGAGTAGAGGAAGCCTCCTGCCTGCGACCTTGTGGTCAACTTCTGGCAACATCGAATCAGAGCCATGGCTCGAATGCGCCCGGTGGTGCAGGATACGAGGCACCTGGCCAAACACGGCACAGGCCTTGTCAATGCAGCATTTCTCTTCATCATGCGGCAGCCTCAGCGATTCAAGCTTCGTGGCCAGCTCGCTCCCTGAAATCTATAAAGCGACCATGGCGCACAATCCATCGAGTACCGGGACCTGGGTCGTCATCTGGTGTTTTCGCTAGAAGCTTTCACGTCTTGCACTTCCCAGTGACTCTCTTGCCGGAGTCTGGTGTCCTCTTGAGAGATATCGTTATCATCATGGCACATCCTCACAAAATCTCTATTGCCGACTGGCAGAAAAACAAGTCGACCATCTGTCGCCTCTATAAGGATGAGGATATGTCTATGAATCAGCTGATAGAGGTGATGTCCATGGGGCATGGCTTTCATGCAAGGTTGTTAAAGCTCCATAAGTTTTGACTTCAGCTCATTTCCTCAATAGCAAGTCTCAATATATGAGGCAGTTCAAGGTATGGCATGTCCAAAAGAACCGGAAGGGCAACTTCTGGAAAGACGTTAGCCTGAATCTCAAGAGCAAACACCTCACGGTTGATGATGTGGATATCTTCTTGGACGGGCAGCTTGTCCCAAGCAACAGACTGAAGAGGCAGATTTCTCGAAATGACCTTCCCACATTGAAACGAACAACCATTGTGCCTCGGATCCCAGCCGGGATATTCATTCGCCCGAGGATCCAAATACCGCGATCTCTCATCATCTCTTTGCCGTGGCACCAGATATGCGCTCAGCTCGAAATCGCCTTGTCAAGGAGGAAGGACCGTTCTCCGTCGCCACTGCCATCCGCTGTCCTGGATGTCACTGATGAGTGGTCTGGACTGAGGAGCAATTATTACTGGGAGGAAGAAGTCCCCAGTCTTCCACGCGAGATCGCCATGAATCAAGCTTGTCTTCCGTCCCTTGAGTTTCTGGATCAACGAACCTTACAGAAGGCTTCCAGGGACATCAACATCGTCGACGCAGGTATTGCCGGTGTATTGAATCTGTCAGATTGGTGCACTAGCTGGGAAGGTATCGCATCTACCATGGCTAAGATCGCCAGATTCATGCCCGAAAGACGGCCCGGGGAAATCGAAGACGTCGCCAATCAACTGATCGACCCCAACTCAACGAAGAGGATGCAAGTCTTCATGTCATTCGCGGCGCTCATGCTGGCCAATAACCTTCTGCACAAGCAAGAAGTTGACGCTTTCGTCATTGCTCTGGACGAAATCGCCGGGCCTAGTGCTTTTGACATGCTCCCTCTGAGGGACGACCCCAGCACTCGCGCCATCATCTCAGAACTTCTGTTTGCAGCCGTGAGGGTCGACAAGCCGGTGCTAGTGAAAAGCGCGATGAAGAAGGGGATAAGTGTGAATACCAGGTCTGTGGGCAAAGGTTCGAAAACTTTGATTCTGGAAGCAGTGGAATGGGGGAGGATTCGAATCGTTGAGATGCTCATTGATGCTGGTGCAGATATAACTCCAGGAAGAAGGGTCAGCTCAATTGGACATCAACGATATTGTCCATTGTTTAAAAATGAAGCTGAGTGCACTGCTTCGGAGTACTGCCAACGATCAGCGTTTTACTTTGAGTGCGAAATTGAATGGGCAAGAAATGAATGTGTCTTTAGCATCGCTGCAATGTCGCGTAAAGCTGATGAACTAATTCCGCTACTGCTCAAGTCTCCAGCTTCAATACTGGCTGGTCCGGTGATTGTGCAAGCAATATTTCACGGTGCCAGCAAGGAAACGGTCGAGATGCTTCTTCGGAAAGGTGCGGCAGCGAACGAATGTGGCCTATTCAGACATGATATCTGTGAGGAGGATCATCAGAGATCAACAGCCCTTGGCGCAGCGGTTTCCAACGGTGATATTGAGATGGCGAGACTCCTTCTCGACTATGGTGCGAATCCAAATGGTCCGATAGATGGCAGACATAAGAGAGTTCTGGAATCAATGACTGAGTGGTTTTACCATTCGCCACTCGTCGTTGCTGCTGAGTGTAAGAATTTGGACATGGTTCAGCTACTGGTCGAACGTGGCGCAGATCCAAACTGGTCGGCTTTGGACATTATCGGAAAGAGAAACGGGATGCAGATTATTCGAAGCGAGGACGGCCCTCTTACTCGATTTCTTTACTACTTACCCTTACAGGCCGCGACAAGCCTTGAAGACCCTGCCATGACGCAGTACCTCCTGAGCAAGGGAGCAGCCACGAACCCAGGACACGGAATACCTCCTTTATCAATTGCAGCATATCATGGGCGAGATGCGACTGTTGACTTGTTGATCAGGTCGGGTGCTATGATCAACGCAGTCGATGCAGAAATGTCAGCCCTTGAAGGAGCAGTGTGTTCAGGAAGTGAGACCCTAGTGCAGCGGATGATCTCTGCCGGAGCAGATTTGGATCGATGTCTCTCTGCGAGATCCGGAAGCACCGCCCTTCAACGAGCTGCTGCACAAGGATTCGGTGCCATTTTCGACATCTTGCGAAGGGCTGGAGCAAGACTCGACTCCTCCTCGACCCCAAACCATGCGACGACAATTCTTCAAGGATTCGTCAAACACCATGACTACGAGCGGTCACTTGAGCTACTGAAAGAGGGAGTGTCTCCAAAAGGCAAGTGCAAGGATGGTTCCTCGCCGCTGATAGCAGCCACTCAGGGTCAAGATTTGAGGCTCATGTCTCTGTTGCTTGAATACAACGCAGATGCCAATGATGCATATCCATCATCTCTACGAGATACGGAAGTTAAGACTCTATCTAATAACCATGGGATAGGAGACATGCTGCAATCGAGGCTAGTCGCAAGACCTCCGGTCCAATGGGCAGTTGCTATGGGCAACTTGGATGCCGTGACCTGTCTGTGCAATGCCGGGGCTGACGTGAACAAAAGGGGCAATTATGTGTTCAGTGGATCGTCAGATGGCTTGACTGCCTTACATCTGGCCGTTGTATTGAAACAAACGAGCATTGTTGAATTTTTATTGGGTCACGGGGCCGAGGTCAACACTATCTTCAACCAAAGTCTCGATTCAGTCTTAACGCCAATAGTCATTTCAGTTGCAAACTCGGATTTTGAGATTACGAATATTTTGCTCCAGCATGGGGCGGATCCATACCTGGGCCAACTTGACAACAGCGAGGACCAGGAGGAGGAGGAGCGACGGAGATGCGATAAGAGGCTTGCTCTTGAGCAAGCATGTTACTCGGGAGATGTCGAGATGACCCGCTTTCTGATATCGTCTGGGGTCGATGTCCATGTCGGATATCCTTTGGTTTTCACTTTCCAGACAGAGCTTTCAGACATGGAGCAACGAGAGGAAATAATGGAGCTGCTGCTCGCCAAGGGCGTGGACATAAACCATCGGCATTCCCTCATAAACACTCCTTTGCAGGCCGCACTCTGGCATGGCTGCTACAATCGTTATTTTACTCCGTTAACGCATGGGGCAGGGTCTGTTCCTGCCGACTCTGTTCGTGCAGTAGCACTTCGGTGTGCTCGCAGACTCATTGAGCTGGATGCTGATATCAATGCTCTGCCGGGTGAATCTTACGGGAGGACTGCGCTTCAAGCTGTTGTTGAGATTGGCGATGTCGAATTTGTCCGTGATTTGTTGTCAAGAGGAGCAGAAGTGAACGCTCCAGCGGCGCCACACCGCGGAGTCACAGCCCTCCAGGCAGCTGCAATCACGGGGTCCTTGCGTATTGCACAAATTCTTCTGGAACATGGCGCTGAGATTGATGCGGATCCAAGTCCCATGGAAGGCAGACGAGCAATTGACGGAGCAGCAGAACGGGGACACATCGACATGGTGAAATTGCTCTTGGATAACTACAACGGGCCCAGGACTATCTCGAATGTCTGCGAAAGTGCTATGGAGTACGCGAAAGGGAACAAGCAGTGGTATATGATGGAATTTTTGGAAGCTTACATACCGCCGCAAGGATGAAAAATCCGAGCCCAGCCTATCACTGTTGATCAAAAAGTGGAATGTGTGCTGCACGACAAGAAGGTGGCATTGTTCGGGGAGTAGCGCGTCGCCGTTGAGCGGGAGGGGGATGCTGAGGAAATGTTGTTAAAGAAAAGGATATCGCTTCATTGAAAACGAAGGCGCATCTATCTATTGTCTTACCGAAAGCCTACCACTTCGCAGGTCGAGGAGGATACTGTTCCAGGCCATGCCGACTTTTTGCGGGATGTCTCGCTGGTGGTCTTCATCGAGCTTGGAGGAGTCGCGTACTTGTACACAGAGAGCCGGGGGAAATGACTACGAGCAATGAGATCCGGTTTTCAGTCTGGTTAGGTTGATCGGGCGTTTGGGAGAAGGTGGCTTCTTATTTGGCACAGGAAATTTCAATCATTGATGATAGACAATTCTTTACCCGTAGTGTATGTCCATGTCTCTATTCATGGTAGTATTCGTCATAGTCATGGTCATGGCTCTGCATCGTTGTCATCTCACACTCATCTTCACTCTAATACACATCCCACATGCGTCTCTTCCCTTCCTCTTCCCCAGCACGTCCTCCCTGTATATGTCGGCCTCCACGCATTACCAATTCATCAATCACTCACTCAATCCACCACCCTCGCCGCCCGCGGCCACACCCTCTTATATAGCGCCACAGCCACAGCGTCGAGCGGACCGATCCGCCCGTCAAAGGTGGCCTTGAAATACCCATGCGTCCCCAGCGGTTCCTTTATGAAACCCTGCCGGCCCCTCCGCGTGAATAGCGGCAAGGCCGAGAACCACGCCACATCAGCCCGGTTGAAGAACATGTACCGCACCGTCACGAGTTTCTTGTGGATCTTGTACGGGTGGCCCGTGAGGATGAGGCGTTTGGCGATCACGCGTGTGGAGGACGGGGGGAGGGTTGTGGCTGTGCCGAGTAGGCGGAGAGAGGAGGATGGGGATGAGGAAGGAAGTGCGGAATGGGTTTGTAAGTCGATTAACGCGGGCGCTGTTGTGTCCATGTTGCCGTCGGTCTCGATACCTGCAGCTCCGTCTGATGACTCGCGAGGGGATTGTCGTTGAAACACTAAAACTGGCACAGAGCCCCAGGTCAGTGGACCTGTAAAGGTCGCGATCGCGGTCCGGCCCGGGTGCAGGAAGCGGTCGAATTTATGCACGTCGTTCGGCGTCTGGCCTGCTGCCGAGAAGACCGGGTTGATGAGTAGTCGCCGGTGGCCGATCTGGACGATCAGTTCGTCCTTGGACTTGATGGGCTCTTCAAGGTCCGAGCGCAGCGTCACGTTCAGGTTGATCACGGCGTGTTTGTGCTCGTGCCTCAGCAGCGAGAACATGGACGACGGCTGCGGCGCGCTCGACTGCAACGAAACCGGCACGTCGCGCAGCTCGATATCGACTCTCGTGCCGGCCAGCACGGCTCCCGCCAACGACTCCTTCGTCACGCTGTTGTACGCTTTCCGGTACTCGGGCACCTGCAGCAGCCGCTTGTATTCGGCCGGCTCGTGGGCCGCGTCCTCGGCGTGGTTCCACTCGCTCGTCCGCAGATTCTTCAGCCCGCGGTACTTGGCCAGCCGCTCGCGCGCGACCATGTCCGGGTGCAGCTCGATCTCGTCTGGGAACTCCAGGTCCTCTTCGGCTTCCTTCTTCCTGCGGCTGGCGCGGAATTCTGCGAGCTGACGCGCTTCTTCTTCCTCTTCGAGGGGCGCGTCGTTATCGTTGTCATTGTCGTCGTCGATGTTCATTTCCGATTGTGGGTATTCGGAGGGTGCTTTCCCTTCGATCGTGCTGCCGCCGTCTTCGGCGTTGGTGAGAACCATCCCGCCACCTTCTCCGGCGGTTGCTGACTCCTGCTCTGCTTCCATGGCTACGTCGCCGTCCCGGTCTTCGTCGTCGGTCGTGTCGGATTCCGAGTCCGAGACGTCATCCAGGAACCAGGCTGCTTGGTAGTTGGACGTCCCTGGGGGAAGCTTCTTCGGCGGAGGAGGTATGTGAGAGTTGTCATCAGAGAAATAGTGATGGTCGTCAAGGAGAACCCCTTTATGCTCGGTGGTGGCCACAGTGCTTGCCGCATCCTGCATGTCGGCCTCTTCCGGTGCCAGCTCTGCAAGATCGTCTTGGTCCGCCGTGGGTTTCCACTCCTTGATGGGCTCCTCTGCGTCCATCTCCTCCGCCTTCCTCTTTTGCCCCTGGCGAGGCACCTGTCGGACCGCGGAAATCCGGAAATCTCCCCAGCCTGGCACATGCACCAGACGATCCGGATTCAGTGCTTTCCCACGAACCGTCCCGCATAGCGTCACGTTGGTGGTCGCTTTTGTTTCGTCCACCTGAGTACTCCAATTGACTTGCTCAACCAGCATCCAGCTCCTGTCATCCCGCCATCGGATCCCTCGCGTCGAAGCTGTGCAGATCCGTCGGACCAGGTTGGAGCAGTCTGACTTGCTGTCCAGGCTGGACAATTTGTCAAGAGCGGGGAAATAGCGGCCCAGAGCCATGTTCATCTCTGTCAAATGTCGCATCCTCTTCGGCGCGGGGACTCTCTGATCCAGGTTGTGTACGAGAGCGGTTACATTGGTGATGCCTTGGCCTTCAAGCGATCTCAGAAATAGATCCTCCTCTTCGCCGTACTTTTGCTCCGCATCAAGAACGAAAATCACCCAATCTGCAAGCTTGCAGATGTCCAGCGCGTTGAGGAGGTCGAATTTGGCAGGTAGATAGAGGAGGTTGCGGCGGAAGCGGTCAACCCGGACAGGGACCGTACCAGAGGAGACATTGGGATCCGAGACGTCGACACTTTCATTCAGTGTTCTGATGGCCGAGTATGGGTCGACGTCACTCGAAAGCGGCACGACTGCAATGTGTTTTGGTGCTCCGTCGGCACCTTGGAATATAATCTCTTCCCCCTCCTTCTTCTCCTTGTGGTGCATGCGCAGTTGCTTGGCTTGGTTGCGTCGGGCCAGTTTCGACATGACTTGTTGGTGAGGAGTCTTTCGCTGGCCCTTCTCTGGCCGTTGAATCTCGACTTTACCTGCAATAGAGTTAGTAAGAGGTCTGTCACATGAAAAGTTTTGAATGCTCACCCTTTGCCTGGTCCTTCAAGGCGCTCTTGGAGGCAAACCGTGACTTGAAGGGTTTATGGTCGACTTTTGTCGTGCTTCTGTGGTGATGGACAGAAGTAGTGGTGTGTGCCATTGCGGCATTATTTCCCGTGCCTCCTGCTTTGAATCTGTAAGGCAGTGACATACCAGGGTCCTGTCCAGAGCCGGGCTGTTTCAACACTGGAAGTGCAAAATAGTGTCCCAGAAATTTATTTTCTTTCCGCTGTTGTGTGGGGAATCCATGGATGTTGGTTACGTAAGAATCGACCCCTCAGACACTAAGCCTTTTCTGGCAGACGAGGCTGCGCTGCTTCAAGGAGCTTAGAAGCTTCGGAGCTGCGCCTTCTACCAAGGGACTTTTTGACAACGTGAAGTTCCCTGCATGCCTTGTCACTAGCTGCAGCTCTAGCTGGAAAGTCCTGCGTCGGGGCTTCAAAGTGCTCAACAGCCGTTCCCGCCGAGATATCTCTGACATCGTATGCAAGCCCGGAGATGGCCAGGGGGGCGAAAGCACCGACCGGCAGCCCGAGTTACGCGCTCCACCTCATCTGCTTGTTGCATTGGAAAGGCCATCTACAACTCGAGCGGCATGCGAATCAAGCATCATCGGTTCCGGCAATGGCTCAGATTAGCCCTGCGCCTCAGCATGGCTCGGCTTCCACACAGAAAAGCGGTGAAGTAGCAGAATAGGCTGCGAAAGGTGAGGCTCTTTCGAAACGAAACATTTACCCTCACAGGACTCTACGCAAGCTTCTGTTGAGCATGCCGTCAGAAGTAGTGCCCAAGGGCGGAGTCGATACAAGAAAAGCGAAGCTTATATTCGACTCGTCACACACCCCGGCTTTGGCTTTGTAAGAGTCCACCCACCCTCTCGCGTTTGCACTCTCCCTTTCTCCTGAAGTATCCGCTGGGAACTCTGAGTCGGCGGCTCTTCGGCGCTAGATGAGCACGGTGTCGGGCCAGCCTGACCCTCCTCTACTCGTTTCTCAACTTTACTTGAGCTTCCTAGATAATCGAGAGAGAACGTCAATCACACGAGAGGTTTCCTTCCATTATCTCTCCCGGGCAAGGTCCTTCTCTCGATATTGGTGTAATGCTCATCGACAATATTAAGAAGGTTTTCGCCTCAGCCTCAGCCACGTCCATGTCTTCGAGCTGATGAGCACGCACTTCATCTGAACCCAACTTATTTCCCCGACCTCCGGAACGGGGTCCAAGCGAATCCAGCGATACTTCAGTAGAGGAGGCGGACTTATCAACATCCTCATTGCCAATTTGCCTGGATCGAAAATCATCAAAGAGCGAACTGCTGGGAGCAGGAGACCATATGGAATCCTCTGAGCACAGAGAGCCAAGTCCCCCGCTTTTCGTCTACGACGCCTTACTCCAAGCCGATCGTGACATCCGGCTACTCGACCTCGAATGGAGGGAAGACAAAAATATGCTACATGGGCGCTTGAAGCCCGTACGGTTGAAACATGCCGGACGGTTGAAAGAAAACCTAGGGTACGAAGCGCTATCTTACACCTGGAACGGTGAAACACCATCAATACCAATCATCTGCAATGGAAAGTCCCTAATGATAACGGAATCGCTGAATCTGGCTCTGGAAACAATGTGCAAATTATCGTCGCCGCGCCGCTTATGGGTTGACGCTGTCTGCATCAATCAAGCTGACGATGACGAGAAAGCCCAGCAAATACCCCAGATTTATTCGATATATCATGCCTCAACTCAGCTCGTTATCTGGCTGGGCCCTTCTACGGAAGCCACCAATCGGGCCATGGACATGTTAGGACAGCTTCTCGTAAAGTTCATTCCAGTCCTGAACCAGTTCTCGCCTTCTAGTCCATTTTTCCAAACTTTGGAAAGACTCGGTCTCCCTCCCGGATGCGATGTTATTTGGAAAGGGTTGTTGGACATCCTCACTCGAAAATGGCATTCGCGGCTGTGGACTTTGCAAGAATATATCGCTGCCCAAAAAGCCACCGTGTACTGTGGCTCCAGATCGGCCAACCTGAAGGTTCTACAATGGCTCAACAGCCACTTGTTTCGCATGGGCTTAACCCGAATGATGTTGACTTTAAGAGAGTGGGAGAAGGGGACTGCCCGCTTGAGTTTCCAGATATTCGACTGTTCCTCCTTGGTGCTTCTCACTGAAATGATTCGGGGTCGGGAGTGCAGCGAACCAGTTGACAAGATTTACGGCGTCAAAGCGCTTTGCGATTCTCTCAAGTCTGTGAAAGTGGATTATTCAGAAGCCAGCCGAAAGCAATACTGGAATCTATACATTGAGGTTGGTCATCTGTTGCTGCTAGAGGCGCCGAATATAATGCCTTTAAGCATGATCTCGACGAGCTCGAGATGCCTGCACCTGCCATCTTGGTGCATCGACTTCAACTCGCTCCCACGTCGAGATCTCATATGGGATGGTTTCGACGCTGGTGGCCCTTCCCTCCAAGGGTTCGTGTCGCCGCATGTGGCCAGCTCGTGGGACAAGCGACGGATCTACCTGCGAGGATTCGCGGTCGATTTTGTTGTCCATATTTCGCAACCTTTTCCGAACGTCGATCCCAACAATGAATCGAGCCTAGACTCGGCCCGAGTGTTGGAATGGCTCGAGCATTGCTCAGAGTTAGTCGACCCTCACAGTAAGCAAGTGAGCCACAAGTCAGATATCTCTCCTGAGGCATTCCTCCGAGCCATATTTTGCAAACACAAGACCACGAACGGTTTCGACATCCATGAGCTGACACGGCAATATCGCCTTGCCACTTTGGGTCTCGAGATCGCATCCAGCGGTCGGTTACTGGGCAACGAACGGCTACAAAGCCAGCTAGATCGCGCTCATGCCGTCGAAAATATTGATTTCATAACCACCACATGCCACGAGCGTTGCTTCGGCGTTACCAGTCAGGGACGCTTGGGACTGGTCCCTGCAGAGGTCCGGGAGAACGATCTGCTATGCGTGTTTCGAGGCGCCAAAGTTCCTTTTGTCCTACGCCCGCACCGAGACTCAGACAGGTATGAATTGATTGGTGAAGCATATGTCCATGGAATCATGCACGGAGAGCTTTTCCACAACGGGAGACTCCAAGACGAGGCCGACAGCAAGGTATTTGAAATTGTTTAAGTGGGGATGCCCCGAAGAATTTGAGATCATGACTTCGAACGCTCCAAGGCAAACTACGGAAATGTACACCTCCTCCACAGGCACACCCAACCAAAGTGATCTTACGCTAGAGCAGATCTAGGGGGGTGCTATGCTGCTGGGACGCCACGAGTGGAAGATGCCTACAAATGCCCAAGGTCATATTCACAGCGTCTAGCTCATCAACAGGGCAGGCTCACGATATGGGGCCCACAGTGTTTTGAGCGTGTGCGTGTCCACCAAGCCAACAGATGCAGCAGTAAGGCCCGGAGACGCGAAGCCCCTCTGGTCATACAGCTGATTCACGACTGACAATGCTCAGAAATCGTGGACGAGATCCCCTCGAGTTGATGGAAGGCCAGCTTTGACCCCCGCTTCGGGAACAGAAAGATCACCATGAGGAAAGGGAGTCTTCTCAAGCAACGCATATATATATGGGTAAGCAGTTACCATACCACTCTTGAAACCTTCCTCAGCATGATCAAGTGGACTGGGATTTCAAGGGTGCGAGGTCATTCTATCGTCACAACATGGATCAGTCACCCATTCCACATCCGACCGTCGCCTCCTACTGCCTTCTCAATCCTTCCTGATTCAACAGCCACCTCATCGCTTCCATCATCTTGGGACCCAGCCGTGGTCGCGAGTACTCTGTCGCATAGATGGTCCACGCAGCATGGCCCAGATCGGGAAACACGTCACACCGCGTCGGTACACCGTTCTCCCTCAACGCCATTTCATAGACGAGGCCGTCGTCCCTCAGAACATCCAATCCGCCTACGTGTATGTAAACCGGGGGCAGTCCCACGTGAGGAGTCCTGCTGTTGAAGGGTGAGAATAGGGGAGATCTGACGTCCGGGGCGAGGGTGCGGATAATATTCTGGATCGTATCGCGATTCAATGATGGGCTGTTCTTGTTGTCCTCCATCGAGGTCCATTCCTTTTTGTACTTGGCGGGGACGATCTCCTTGACGAGCAAGAGTGGTATGGACACGAATGCCCCTGTGAGTGGTGGCGTGAGCCCTCGATCCTGCGCCAACTGCGTCAAAACAGCTGCCATTGTCCCTCCAGCTGAGACTCCGCCGACCACGAAGCCCTGTTGAGGATTCGCGCCAAATTCCCATGCGTGTTGGGACAGCCACACCAGGGTATCCCATGCGTCTTGCATCGGAGTCGGAAATGGGTATTCAGGGGCAAGTCGATACGTTGCAGAGACCACCACGGCATTGAACTCAAGTGCAAAGTCTCGCGCCGGGCGGGTCATGTAATCGACACTGCCGTTCGAGAACCCTCCTCCGTGGAAGAGGACGATGAATGGACGGCCCATATTGCCGCTGTTCCCAGCAGCTGAAGTGCCGGCATCAACGTCTCCCCAGGCGGAAGCTTGTGTCGGGACCATGAACCTGTGTCGCACGACCTTCAGCTCGCCTCGGTGGCCATCGGGGAGAGGCACAACGGTATAGAATTCTTCGAGGTCGTTGTGGAGAGGACCAAGGGTCGCGACGAGCTGCCTTTCTGCCTGTCGACGTGCGAGGCGGAAGTGATCGAGGCTGGCGGGTGTGGGCTGCTGTCTGTGGAACATCGTGAACTGACTATCTCTTTTGGTTCTCGTTTTGATTTGATTCTCGGTGTTGGGATGGTCGGTGAATCACTCTGTACCGCTGTGTGTTAAACAAAGAAGACCAGAATGCAGCACAACAATGGCGGAATTGGACCACTGTTTAAATAGGACCTGTCTCTCGTCTCTCTCTTTCCCTTTCAGCCTCGAATGCCCCGATTCCGCGTCATCTCAAGTGATAGTGCCGGATTAGGAAACAGCCCCCAAGTTGCGATTTGCTGGGTGTCTGAGGCCTCCTGCGCCACGCCAGCGTGATGGGAAGGTGATGCTTCTACTATATTCCGTACCCTGGATTCAGCCCCTGATTCAATTATTAATACAACGGAATGGTGCCAGTGTACATTGAACAAGTGTGCGAGAGCCCGTATGAGGTGTCTCCCCAACATTGTCGGTAATGCACTGGGCAGGTCTAATCTATGATCGCTATTTACATGTATATGCAAAGTGGCCATGTACTACTAGGCACAAGCTTCCTGGCTCCCGTACAGGCTCAGTCAGTGCCTGTTAAGCGCTTCACCTCCTCTTCCACACTCCTCAGGACCTTTTCGACAAGTTCGTCGTCCACGACGCCCTTCTGCCACGTAACTCCAAGCACCAAACACCCGTCTGGGCCGGTGATGGCAGACACTTGAATCGCGCTGGCCGTCACACCAGCGCTCTGGGTGAACACCATCCTCCCTATTTCGACTCCTTGGGCGTTACCCTCCTCCACCACCACCGTCGGCGGCGACGACGACGGCTTGAATACTCCCAGATTGGACACTTCGAAGCTCGAGTCCCTGTCCTTGCCGACCTTGGAGAGGAACAACTCCTGTTGATAATCATTCACGTATCTGAGCAGTCCAACAGCGGCGTTGCGGCCCTTGAGGCCTAAGACTTGCTCAATGTTCTCGCGGGACCGCTGGGCTTCGGCCCATGGTAAAAGATCATATCGTCCACTTTTTGAGTCGGTGTGTTGGTGTTGGAGGAAGCGGTCTCGCATGTACGTGTCGGACATGTCCAAGACATAGACGCCCATACTGTCGTCTGTGATGCCGGCGTCGGCGGGCAGAAAGCGGCGCGCTGAGAGAGCGCCGTTGCATGCGAGCTTGGTATACTTCTCGGGCAAATGGGCAAAGAGCGCGCCGGCGATGAGTGTCTGAAGGGCGCCGGTAATAGTCGTGCCGTTCGCACGGCAGATGTTCTTGAACGCCGTTGTGCTCGAGGCTGAGAATGCGAGATGTCGAGCGCCTGTCTGTGGTCCCAAAGCAATGGTGCACTTGGCACCTGTCCAGAGACCGGGATCGCGGCTAGACCAGATCTTGTGCTTGAAGAGGATGGTGAGCAGATGCCATGTTGACACGGGTAATGGGTGCAGAGATTCGAGACTAGGAAGCAACGGTGCTGAGGGTGATGGGATGACTGACGCTGGAGCTAGCTCTGTCGGAAGGGTTGAGACGGACTGGGATAGAGCACTGTGGAAGGCTCTGTGGAACGCCATCCCCGAAGTGCCGTCGCCCAGAGCATGGTGGTAGAACAAGGCTGCGGTAAAGTCAGAGGGATGAACAGAGTTTGTCAAGATATATAGTCTCCAGAAAGGATTTGGCGGTTCGTAAGGGACCCTATGCTGAGTGCTGAAGAGTTCATCTAGTTCAACATCTCGCTCCCCGTCTGAACTGTCCGGATCGTAGTCTCGCTGTCGTGCTTGGAAATATACGCATTTGTCAAGATGAATCTCTGGTAGACGAACGAAGTATGGGTTCTGAGTATTCTCATTCAACGGAATGGCTGAGAGAATCGGATGTCGAGTGATAACGTCTTCCAGAGCCTTGTAGATGCATTCCTTCAGCCGCGGAGAATGGCTTTTCGGCAGCCTGTACGAGGCTGTCACGGCTGGCCCGAGATAGAACTTCAAGTCGTGGCGGGCCGTCGAGTAGCGCTCCAGCCTGTCTTACCAAGATACAGTCAGTCCCATAAGATTGCAAGGGTCGAGATCGAGCATCGTCGACATACCAACTGGGCGCAACTTCTCAAAGCTCTCCATCTTGAAGACTGCGAATATCGCTTTGGATGTGTCGCTGCATAGACCTGTTAGCATCCATGCCCCGAGTTTTTAACACCCACCATCGTTTGACTGGTGCCTGATACAAGCGGACACGACTCGATCGGGTGGTATTGCACCGCCACATTAATTTCAGACTCTTATCGAGGCGCATAGAAACCTCATTGGCATGAAAAGGGGAAAAAGGGGCTGGAAGGCTGAGGTCCACTTTGACAGTTGGCGAGGCTGGCCGGATTAACCATAAATCCGGACCCCAGCAATTAGTTCCGTGCATGTCAGGGGGGTTTATCGAGACGCTGTGCTACATGCCACTCCTTTGTCTGCGGCACCCATTCTCGCCAGAGATGGCGCTGTAGCATAGTGCAATAATACTTGCCCTTTCGAATGATCCTGCGAACTCGAGAATAGACCGAGATGGCCCGCGAGCGCGAGGGTCTCCTGTCCGAGAAACACTACGATGAAGACGCCGCCATTGTTCCCTCCGACTCAGGATCCGATCCTGAGGTAGAATTCGACGGCGCAGACCATGTCAAGGAGGGCGACCGAGATATTCTCAAAGAGACGGAGGAGCATGAGAAACTATTACATAAACCCTCGAGGCTGGAAACAGCACGAGCCGCATTTGGGTTCAGGGACGGAAGGCAAGATGAAGGAAGCACCGCCGCCGTTAAAGCTCGGAGGCAGAGGCGCAGGAAGTCGAGAAGAAGCGGATCGGAGTCTGCAGACAAAATGTTCGAGATGGAAAGCGGGTTCAAGGACACCAGCTCCCAATCCTCGACCGACACCGAGTTCGAGGGCACAAAATGGGATAGAGACGCTCCCAGGAAATCGCATCGTGGACGTCTGACCATGATATATCTGGCCATTGTGGCACTCTTTGTCGCCCTGGTTTTTGGCGCCTACAAGGCTTCAACGAAGAAACACCCTCTGACACCCACGGTTCACCGACTCACCAGGTACAACAACGGGACGCATATTTTCCGACCGACAACGATACTCATCTCCCTTGATGGCTTCCGTGCGGACTTTCTCAATCGCGACATCACTCCCGCACTCAATGCCTTCATCGCGAGCGGTGTGTCTCCCAAATACATGCTTCCGTCATTCCCCTCTGTCACTTTTCCGAACCATTTCACCTTGGTGACCGGCCTGTACCCGGAAAGTCACGGTGTTGTCAGCAACCAATTTTGGGATCCCGCGCTGGAGGAAGAGTTCTGGTACACCAAGGTCAAAGTCTCGATGCAGCCCAAGTGGTGGAACGCAGAGCCACTGTGGGTTACGGCTGAGCACCAGGGTGTCCGTTCTGCGATTCACATGTGGCCCGGTTCCGAAGCGCATATACCTGACGTGGAGCCGACGTATGTGGACAAGTACAACGGGAGTGAAGCATTGACTCGAAAAGTCGACAGAGTTTTGAAGTGGCTCGATCTGCCTGGAGATGATGACGGAGATGCCACTGGCCAAGCGGACTTACGACCGCAACTCATCGCAGCATATGTTCCCAACGTAGATGCAGATGGACATCTCTACGGTCCGAATAGCACAGAGATCAGAGCCACCATTGCCGATGTCGACAGCATGTTGACTTTGCTAGTGGAGGGCCTTCTTGCGCGCAACTTGACCGAAATTGTCAACCTCGTGATCGTCTCCGACCATGGAATGGCCACAACCTCCACAAACCGACTGATTCAACTGGATGATCTCATGGACATGTCTCTAATCGATCACATCGATGGCTGGCCTCTTCGAGGTCTACGTCTGAAGAATCCAGCCCGCGACGTGCCCATACTCTACGAGCAGCTCTCGAAAGAAGCCGCCAAATCGGGCAATTTTGAAGTCTACACCCTCGAAACCATGCCGCCTCGCTATCATTTCACGCAGAATGACCGCATCGCGCCTTTGTGGATCGTTCCCAAAACCGGCTGGGCCGTCGTGGAGAAATCCGACTTTGACGTCGCGGACGCGCTAAGCACGGGCAAAGAATATGCACCAAAGGGGTTACACGGTTATGACCACGAACATCCGCTCATGAGAGCTATCTTTGTGGCCAGGGGTCCTGCATTTCCACATGCACCCAACAGTCGCGTGCCCGTCTTCCAGAATATCGAGGTGTATAATATCATGTGTGATTCGTTGGGTATTGTCCCGCAACCGAACAATGGAACATTACGGCTTCCCTTGAAAACTGAGGGATTGCATTCTGAGAATGATAGGCCGGGCTCGGAAATGGTCGCGGATCCTATCGATGAGGATAAACACCAAGAGGACGAGACTTCGGAGACAACTGCAGATCCAGTCGACGAGGAAAAACATCAGGAGGAGGAAACTCCGGAGAATTCTCCAGTTGAGGCTCCATCCGACCCTGACAAGGAAGACAACACGAGACCCAATGAAGATCAGGGAGGGAAGAAAAAGGGGAGTTGGTGGAACTTTCTCCACGAGGAACTCGAAAAGGCGAAACAATGGGCCAAGGAGTTTGTGGAATCGATCAAAGGCAACAAGAAGGGCGAAGGCGACCCACCTGTGTGAACGAAGCTCTGACACAAATGAGCGTTATCATATCGGTGCAAGTTGTCTCGATCCCAGCCTTTAGTCTGACAGTACTTCAACCCATCCGGATCCGTTTTCCATTAAAGAGGAGGATTGTTGTTTGAGGATGAATTGGAGGGAAAAACATGAGCGTGGTATCCGATTACTTGTGGTGTCCCGTCATTCGCTACGCCTGAGGCAACCATCTCGCAACACAGCACCCAGTTACGCGATGGGGATCATACGCGTCAATGAATTCACAAAGGGATGCACGTTCATCTCGAAGCAGACGTCTGTACTGCACTGAGCACTGAGTTTGTTCGACGCCGGAGCAGTGGCTCCAAGAAGGCAGAAGACTCCAGAATGGCAGCATTACCACATGACGCGCAAGGGTCCAAAGGTTTCAAAGGCAAGACGCTGAGGCAATATATTGAGACTCATATGGAGGGCGAAGAATCTCTGCCGCGCGGGTAGTCAGATTCCACGTTCAGCCCGATCTCATACTCCACTAGCGTCTGATCAGGCGGCCTTGGGTATTCGTCACGTTTTCCGAACCGCCTTGCTATTATATGCAAGGAGGGAGACACGAGCGATGCGTTGCACTACACCGCGTCGCCGAACCACCTACATGCTCATGCGGCATGCCAACGCAGCTACCCGGGTAGCTATTCGATGTTGCAATCGCACAGACACCCTGCGAACCAGCCTCTCGACCCATTCCCTGCCTCATCCCTCGCATCGTGCGCTGTCTGTTTGTCACGCACTGTTCAACTTCATCTAGCCACCTGTAGCCGGGGCTGATGTATGTATGTGGCCCAACAAGCAAACGTACCCTACCAGGTCATCCGGCGACCAGGGGAACAGAAGAGGGGGTGACATGGTTCCAACTGCGATCACGCAAGTCGGTCGGACTGCTATCCCGTTTTTGATTTGGTCTGCACTATTGTCCATCTGGCAACCAAGTATCGGGTATAACTTAGGTACATTAGCAGGGCGTATGGAACGGGACAGGGTATAGATAGATATCCAGAGGTCTGCATGGATTAATTATACAATATCTATCAAAATGATATATTCGTTGATACTTTGAGAGGCCGTCTCTAGTGTATTTCCCTGTGTTTGCCGTCATTCAAAAAGCACAAGCCTGGCAGCTGTCTCGCCTCATACGAAGCTATTGCCCATCCTCCTCATCCGGCCTTTCCATTCCTTGCTGGTCTTCTTCTCCTCCCTCTCGATCCTCACCTTCTTCTTCCTCTCATAAACCGCCCTGACCGTACTCCTGACTTTTTCCTGTCCCTCTGCAAAATTCCGCCTTGCCAGCTCCACCACACTGTCGACCTGTTCGGGCGTGTATATGAAATTCCAGGTACTCATAAAGTCGGATTTGTCCGGGTCGATGTTCGGCACATCGGGATGTGGAAGGAGAGGGAAGTAGATCACGGCAATGCCGGCGTCTGGGTCCATCAAGTGGAACGAGGCCGAGTCTTTGGTGTCGCTGATGTCCCAGTTGAGACTTTTGGAGGGCGGAGGCTCTTCGTCGCTGGATCTTTCGGCTTTGCTGCCTACCCAGACAGTGCAAGGGCCGAGTGTACTCGCCGCATCTGGGTTCTCGCCAGTCGTCGGACTTTCTGGGGTATTGTCCTTTCTTGCAGCTTTGTTCTCGCGATCCTCCTCCCTCGCCTCGGCGAGTTTCGTAGCCGCTTCTTGGGGAGACGTCGCCTGTGCTTCTTCTAGTGCTTTGGCATTCTCTTGCGGTTTGGACGACTTCCTTGGCCATCCTGCACCGACTGGCCACCCCTTGATACCACGCTGTTTGGCATACCCATCGACCACGGAAAGCCAGTTCTCTTTCTGGATATCTGCCGACGCATCGAACGCAATCAAGACGTCTACATCTCGGCCAGGTCGCAGGAGTGGGTATATTGGGAGATTGTTGCTCATTCCAGCATCCATTAGCTGGAGATGGTCGCTTTTGAAGACAGAGTCAGGACAAGTCGAGGGGAGTTGGCCTTCCATGCCGTACACGAAGTTCGGAATTGTGGCCGGGTCGATGGGGTGGATCTTGATCAGATCTTCATTCTTCTCTTCAACCAGCAGGTTCACGCCTTCAAATCCCACCATCCCGATCAAAGCGGGCTTGATCTCTTTGTAGTAGTGTGCCAATGTTGCGCAGAAGGCCGAACCCCATATTCCAAGAAGAAGGCTTTGTCGGATTTCTGGCAGGGCGATACCAGTGTCAAGTAACATATTTTGGCCGTTTTTGAAAGGCCGACCCAAGCTCCAAGTTGGGATACCAGCACCGAACTCTTCACACCATACTTCCCAGGGGTGCATTTCTATCCATTGAAACCATGCCTCCTTCCTAGCTTTCTCCTTAATCTCTTGCTTGAGAGCCAGGTTGTCTCTAGATTTCTTCTCCTCTTCCACATCCACAGGTATTTCGTGACGCACGGCAGTATATATGGGCATGGGAAACTGGCCGTCCTCAATATATACCCGTTGATTTGACAATTTCAGGTCATGATCGTTGACATCGAGATCGCCGTGTGGAACTAGAAGCCTGGCAGCGAGCAAAAGACTGTAGACATCCACGAGGCCAAAACAAGCACCAGGATCACCTTTGAGCTTCTCGACAAAGCCGCTGAGGATGAACTTGTTGGTCGGAGCACTCGTGACAAGCTTCAATGCCGGCGGAGGAAATGCAATATGGGTCCCAATCCGCGACTTTATGTGCTTGAGGAGTTGCCTGTGATCTTGCTTGCCCAGCGACGAGTAGAACAGTGTCTGTAGCCAACAGCTGCCGCTGACTCCGGCGGTATATGTGACACAATCAAAGAGACCCGCCTCTTGAGTAGACAGGTAGCTGCTTGTACCAGCAACCATTGCTCGAAGGCCACCGCCACTTCCACAGATGGCAATAGTAGGCACATCATCGGGGTGGATCTCCTTCTCATCGAGGCCTAGATATTTTGCCAACGCTTTGACGACGTATTTCTTCCTTTTGCGCCGGAACTCCAATTCGTCACTGCCTAGGGTATCTCCAACGCGAACAGTAGCGTTCCACGCGATCTCTGGGTTGATGGATGGGTCGTGTGCCTCCTGCCAGATCTGATCTGCCAACGTTCCTGGCTGCATGGAGAGTTCGAACTGAAGCTTTTGAAATCCATCCGGAAGGATCTTGACCCAGTTTGGCACAACCCAGTCTGTGATCTTGTCGCCAACGGTGCCCCATTCTATCCTCGCAATACCTTCTTTTACATTGTTGAAGTTTCTCGAGAAGGAAGCCCAAGCATTCTCGTCGTCGCTTTCAAAGGCCGGGGCATATTGATCAGTATCGTTTGCTCTGTCGATGATGGTCGCGTCACCTCTTTTTGTGGCGTGCTTGGGGTCTTCGGCTTGGGCATAGTGACTCTGCACACGTCGAGCGTAGGCTATAAGAGAGGCATCTTGAGGGGCATGTCCGCTAGAAGGGCTGTCGAGCTTAATGGGGTTGGTCCTTCGCGTTGAGCTGTGAACACCAGCGCAGGCGACTGCAGCGAGGGCAGTGTGACGCAGGTAGCTCGAATTGAGGAAAGGCCTCGCAGCGCTCATAGTCGAGAGAGCGCCGCATGAAACACGGATTAGCAGATATCAAATTCCATGCTTTGGAGAGAGAGAAACTAAGCTTCAGGATCGACCAAGAGCCGCAGGAGGTTTTGTTCCTCGTATTGGTGATGTGCAGTTTGTTGGGACGATCAGCTCACAATGACGTCGGAGGAGCTGGATCCCGATTCCGACGAGGCCGCAGGCGGCGAAGGCGGCGCAGGCGGCACGTGGCGCCACGGTTCCTGGACTAAACCCAGAATGGACGCCCGCCAAATCATCCCCCAAGCAGCGAATCCATCTCACTTCTCTACGCTGTATTGTCAACTCAACTATTCTTATCACTTTTGGTATAGTTGGGACTGAAGAGCTTAAGACCGTATCTCCCAGGGAATGCTCCGCTGCGAATCACCATCATAGTGCGACCGAGACCCCGCAATATGCAAACCTGTGCAGCACAGACTGACACTCGTTGACGCTGTCTCAGACCAGACAGGGTCTACGGAGAATTTGAGTGGCGTACGGTACCCTTCCTGCTTGAGACACTCAAGATGGTGGCACCAAGGAACGCCGCATTCGCCGAGGAGAGCGCCGAGGTTGAAGTCCTTCTGGCATCTCTGGGAAAGACGAAAGACATCACCAAGCGAATAGCAGCCAGTCTGGCTCGGCTGGATGTCAGCGGTAAGATCGTCAAGGATGCCATCGGGCCCATCTACAGCAACACCCAGCAACTTCAGATCACCAGTCGGAATATCGACAAGGTCAATGAAGCTATCGAGAAACTCAAGCAGCCGCTCGATTCGAGAGGTCGAGAGGAAGGCATTATCAGAGCAGGTCCCAAAGCGTCGGGACTCCCGCAATATCTCAGCGCCTTGAAGCGCGTCGACAAAGCTCTCACCGATCTAAGCTCGACAAACATGAGGGCAAACCAACAGGCTGTTTCCGATTTCCACAGCCTCTTATCCACCGGCGTCAACCAGTTAAACGACATGTATCGGCAAATGCTCCAGGAGGACGCGCAGCCCATCGAACCTCTGCATCACATCACCAAACAAATACCATTCCCAACGTACTCGCAAGAAAAAGCTCAGTCTCTCAGTCAAATAGCAATGGCGATGGCATCCGCGGGCGCACATTCGGCCAGACTAGGTCAACGTGATGAAGACGCCGCAGCTTCAATCTATGTTGAAGTGAGGGGAGAATACGTCCAAAACAGCCTCCAGAACCTGGCAGCTGCCTCGATCATGACCTCGAAGCGACGCGGGAACGATTCGGGTATCTACCGAGAAGGCTCGAGTGGCGTCGGAGCATACGCGAACGGTATCGAAGGCATGTTTCTCGCAGAAGCGGAGAACACATCCCGCATATTCCGTAACGATTCTGGGCGAATTTTCACCATGACCTGCGGCAAAGCGCTGGGGACGTTTACGCGGACTCTGTCGGAGTTGAATAACGTGATCAAGCCACGCATCCTGAGCGATTGTTTCCTCGCTTACGAAATCCTGGATCTCTTCACGCCTCTCGGCTACCGGCTCGAATCGAAGACCGGTCAACTGCGATCACAATTTGCCGATGCACTGCGCCCGATCCGCGACACTGCCCGCTCGTCATTCAGCGAAATACTGAGCCAAACCAAGAAACAAGCCGAATCAATTTCGACACTCCCACCGGATGGTAGCACGATCCCGCTGGTCTCGCAAACAGCCTCCCGTCTCCAGAACCTCGCCATATTCGAGCGGCCCTTGCTAGCCCTGCTCTCCTCCATTGGGGACGGAAACTGGAAGTCCGCCCCAGGGATGGCCTCCCAGTCTACACTGAACCTCGAATTAACCCCATCCACCGAAAATCCGACTCTATTGTCGCACTACCTCACCGACGTCGTGGACGCGCTCCTCTCGACGCTCAACGCCCGCTCCCAGGTCCTCCACCCCAAGAAACCCCTCCAGGGGATCTTCCAACTCAACAGCGTCGCCGTGCTCACTCGTGCAGTGCAATCCTCACCTGACCTCGCCCGCTATTTGGGGATCTCCCCGCACAACGCCAAACTCGACGCCTACCGCAAAGCCGGGTCCTCGCTGTACCTGACCGCGTGGCGCGACCCAGCCAACCACCTCTTCGACCAGATCCAGACATCCTCCGGCTCGCGCCCCTTGTCGGGCCAAGCTATCGATTCCACGTCCATCATCAAATCTTTGTCGTCCAAGGACAAGGACAAGATCAAGGAAAAATTTAAGCTGTTCAACACCAGCTTTGACGAGCTGATCACCCGCCACAAGAGTCTACACATGGAGGCCGAGGTCCGGTCACAGCTCGCCCGCGAGATTCAGGGCATGATCGAACCGCTCTACACGAGGTTCTGGGACCGGTATCACGAGGTCGACAAGGGGAAGGGCAAAGTCGTCAAGTATGACAAAGGAACCCTGAGTCAGATGCTAGCTAGTCTCTAGGAGAGAACAGGAATGGACGATCCGGCCGTCGTCGCTGTGACTGGGAAGAGAGATCGAAATGGTTGGATGAAATTGCTGGAATGAATGGGGACGGGGCGGTGGCTATTATTATAGTAGGCATGGACTACTTTGGCCTTTTTGGGGATCCTGGATGTTTACAAAAATACATAAAACAAAGGTCGTTTCGAGTGACGCATGTCTGGGACGCTTGCTGCTACGTAAATAGGTAGGTAGGTACCAAGGTAGGCATTTCCAAAGAAGGCAATGGATGCTCTCCGTATTGTGTTGATTTGGTATTTGGTTTGAATAGGTACTTCATCAGCACGATTAATGCTCTGTCAAGGCTGCCACCGAGATACGCTTTTCCCGTCGTCATGCATGCATGCGCCTTTCCTTTTTGACCACTTGAAGTCATTCTCCCGGATATCCTGATTCGAAGAAAAAAGACCTTTCTTGTCCTTTGTCCCTACAACCTTGGGCCTGGACCTTTTGCGAAACGCCATGTCTCAGGAGAAACGCCCCGTACATGCCATGCCCATGCCATGCCGATGTTGATGGCAACGCGTTGCTCCGCCCCGGCAAACATAGTCCAGCACAGCTCATCCCGCCCCAGCCATGTCCGGCTCAGCGCAGCCTAGCCCATCTGATGCGCCCGACCCGTGTCGAATGAAATCGTGTACTCTGCACAAAGGCCTCGAGGCGAGATCCTCATGCCCGTCCGCGATTCCGGTCTTTGCGCAGACGCGGTCTCCTTCCGTAGAAAATTGGAAATGGAAAAAGGAAAGTCTGGATTGGCGGGAGAGGCGCTGTTTTGCTTTTCTTTCTCTCTTCAATTTTTTCCTTCGTTTGTTGTTATGTGCTTTTCATTCGGTCTTGTTCACCTCCCCGTCTCGAACGTCGTGACGGATCGCATCGATTCGTGGAATAACGATCAATGGTTTCTTGTCGATATCTTTTTGTGGCTCAAGCCTTGCGGAACAAGTCGACAATGGCCTTCTCATCCCTCTCTCTATCCGGATTGAGGATGAAGCGCACTGTGCCCTCGCGCCCTCTCTCGCCGACACGCTGCTTCATACCCACCACCGGGCCAGAACCAGAACCAGACCCTGGGGCTGCGTTGCCAGCGCCGCCGGGAGGAGCGGTCGTGCTCGCACTGCCTCGGCGCGGACTCGTCACGTCTCGTGGACTCACATTCTTGCTCGACGAGCCCGACTTGGAGCCGTTCATGGTGCCTGTGCCGTTAGCACTGTGGTGGCCCTGACCGGCTTTCGCATGGTCGTCTGCGGACGTGCCGTCGGTCTCCATCCACGCCGTGTAACGCGGGATGTTCTTCTCCTCGGACTCGAGATTCAGCGGAATGCGCACTTCGAGGAATGTGTCAACGGGGAAGTTTTGCCCGATCGCCGTCGAGTTGCGGTGGTGGGTGTAGAGTTCGAGGAGGTCCAGGAGGGTTTCTAGATGCAGAAGACGATAGTGTTAGTCTTGCGAGAATGGATCACCCTCCTCTTGGACGAGCTGTGTCGAATGTGTATCCAGGAGAACTTACCCATCACCATCCCCCTCTCAACTCTCCATTCTTCGTAATCCGCTCCCGTCCAGATCGCCTCGTGCTCTTCACCCAGCAACCGCCCTGCCAGCTCGAGACAAGCAAACGCCAATGTCGCCGTCATCTGCTTCAGCGGCGCCCAGGTTCTGTAGAGATCCAGCGAGATGGAGTACGCAGTTCTGACCACCGGTGAGGTTTGAGTAAAAGAGTAATGTTTTGCGAATTTGATGAGGAGTTCTTGCGGGTGGCGGTTGCGAAAGTCGAAACCTGAGGCTTCGAGCATGAGTCGTTCAAGGCCAATGATAGTGCGGGAGTGGTGCTCGAAGACCTAGAATGTGCCAAACGCTTGTGTTAGTAGCTCGGCGGTGGATGGAACCAGCAGTAGACCGCAGAAACTTTCGATGAGGGATAAAGACGACAGCGTACCTGATCATCCGGTGACAAGATCTCCGCTCTGGGAGCTTTGAGGTTGTGCGCCGCACAGAGAATATCTCGCGATTTCTTGAGGGTGTCTTCGATCTTGCATGCAGTGAAAAGGGCCGCTGCCGCTGCGTCCTACAGATGGCATCGATGTTAGCAACCCAAAAGACTAAGTTTGCGCGCAATTCTCCAAATTCGCGGTCTTGTAGCGGCAGGCTTACCACAAAGCTGTACTCTCCATCTGAATGTTGTAGGCGGAACTTGTGATAGTACACGACGGCTGTGTTGAATGTTCTGACTGGTCTAGATACGGACAAGACGTGTCAGCCATGTACTTCATCCCGGCTTGTGCAGTCGGTAAGGCAGTTGGCGGGGGTGCACGCATTAAAATGACAAAGAGATGGAGGAGAACTCACAGCTTCAACGCCTTTCTCACATTATCGATCCACTGCACTCCAGCCAATCTGATGTTGTCCTCTCTCGCTGGGCTGACGCCGTTCTCCTTAAGACACTTTTGGATCTCCTGCTCAAAGACGTAAGATTTGGCCACTTGGACGTGGTTTGGGAGTGGACCACCGCGCTTGGGCGGGCCACCTCCTGTGGTAGACGTGTTGGGTGAGGTTGATGCTGTGGTCCCCTCACCGCTGGGAGTAGGACCAGCAGCTCCGTTCATTTCGCTGTGACGGTGGGGAGAGATGCCACCACATTCGCACAGAGGTGGTGGGGGTTGTGGGAACGAGAAGTTGGCGTAGACGGATTCGGCAAACCCTGGTGTGAATGAAGGAGCAAGCACGTGGACGTAAAGACTGTAGTCGTCCTCGTAGTCTTCAAACTTAGGCAATTTGAAGAGGGCAAGGTGTTGGTCGTCGTCGTCGGCGGCGGCGGCGGCGTCGTCTTCCTGGTCGCATGAACTTGTCGAATCGTTGTCTGTACTGTGTGTAATGAGACTTGAATTCGGGGACCAAGAGATACTTTCCTCCGAAGTAGGCGAAGCTGCTGTTGATTCGTCAGCCTCGTCAGTCACGTACGGTGAGACATAAACATGCGGAGACGTCGTCGCCTCGGACTCAAGTTGTTCCACAGGGGTCATGGCGATGTCGGAGTCGGAGAAACTTTCTTGCGAAGCAGGGCTCGCTGGCGCTGATTCGTCAGCCTCGTCAGGCACGTGTATGACAGCATAGCAGCGACAGTCCCCTGTCATCCACCTAGGCACATAAAACGGCATCGTCGCTCTGTGTACAGGGACAGTCTCGTTGTACAAGATGATTAGGACAAAGGTGTGGCTGAGGAGGAGACGTCACGTGTGCGTGAGAAAGAATTTTTAAAAAAAAAAACAGAGGGCGCACGTATTGTTTGCAGGTCGGAGGGCGCAGGGCGCGAGGGCTAGCTACAAACATCGTCTCGGCGTCGGGCTATACCAAGACTGGGTGCCCCGGAGATCTTGGGGGTTCAATCCATATTCATTAGTTCTCTAGTGTCAAGATTTCAGAATAATTGAGCACATGAAAGCCGCCTAGTTTTGACCCTGCCCTTCGGCCCAGGATAACACTGCGCTCCCAAAGGAACACTCACAACGCCATGTTGGTAGTCCACAGACGTACATATCCAGGAGGTCAACAGTGATGATGACTACACTGCTTCCCTCCTTCAATCCATAATGATATCATTCATTTTTGACCGATGCCTCAGACTTGACGTCCACCTTTTTGGCTTCTCGCTCAGCTTCCCCGTCGTCGTCCTCTCGTGCTCGCTTCTTCCCAGCAGTGGCTTCCGCATCAGCTTGAACACTTTCGGCGACGGTGTTAGCGGTCTTTGAAGAGGCATCGGCGTCGCCGCCTTGCTCCGTCGACTCGACATCGTCTGCAGCCTTCTGTTCCTTTTTGACTTCGGCTTCAACCGCGGCTTTGGCCTTTGCGAGAGCTTCTTCACGACCGCTGTCGGTCTTCATGGAAGTGGTCTTGATTGTTGGAATGCCCCTGATTGGCAGATATTAGTCCTTGCAGATCTGCCAAAATAACAGCGGGCATCAACTTACCTATCGTCTGTTTCAGGTCCTTTGTTTCTGTCACCTCGGAAATCGCGACCATTGCGGTGTCCCCGCCGCTTGTCATCCCTGAATCCACGCTTCTGATCTTCGTCCCGACGTGTTCTCCAGTCTCGAGGATCATCGTCACGTTTGGGCTTGCCTCCGTCTCGGCCGCCGCGATCGTTGTAACGATCTTGTCTACCTCCCCTGTGGTATTTGTTGTTGGACGTGATCTTGCCTGCATTGAGATCCGCCGTCTTCTTACTGGTGTACTCGGTCTTGCTCATGATGAGGAGATCTTTGCCTTGGTACTTCGGTTTGGGGTCCAGTTCCAGAAACGACTGTGCCAGTTCCTCGGTCTCGAACTCCACAAAGACACTGCCCTTGAAGAACTTCTCGTCGTTTCGTCTCAAGCGCACCGCCCGAGTGGGGCCATATGGATCAAAAAATGCCTCGATGTCGAATTGGGTGTTTGCATTCTCCTCGCCGAAGCCCTTCACATACACGGTGCGGGGGTCAGCTGCCTGCGTAACAGCCTCAAAAAAGTTTTCGGGGAGCGGATCTTTTCGGCGCACGTGGGTGTCATCATCAGTGAGTTCGAGTGTCTTGGACTCCCGCAGGGCCTCGACAATAGCCTCAAAGGGCTGGAAGCGGCGCATGCGCTTGAATTTGTGGATTTCTCGAAGGTCGACAGGTTTGTTCTCAACACCGCCCGTCTGCGCAAAGAGGAATTTGTCCTTGGGAAGGTTGGAGTCGGAGAAGTAGAATTCCACCTGTTGGACTCATGAGTTCCTTGCACTGTCTGCAAGGCTGTAAGGGCGTACATACCTGTTTCCGGATAGCCACTGGGTCATCGGTCTCCTCTAGCGTCGTGAGATCGGACTTGATGTTGTCGCGATAACTCCGGGAGTTGTAGTTGCTGTGACCGCCTCGACCTCGACCGCGGCCCCGACTATTGTGGTCTGATCGACCGCGATCGCGACGCTCAGCTTTGTTCTCTGTAGCATTCTGTTCCTCGTCTCCGGCCTCCTCTGCTGTAGCACTCTCAGACTCTTTTGGAGCTTCTTCCGCTGGTTTCGACTCTGCCGTTCCATTTGTCTTCTCAGGCTCATCTTTGACGGCAGCTTCACCTTCCAGCTCAGCTAACATCTTCTTAGCCTCTTCAGCGGCTTGCGCATTCTGGTCCATTGGCGCCTGAAGTGCCTCAGTCACTGCTTCCTCGACCGACATCTTCACACGCTTGCGGCAAAGACGCCGGAAGTGATATCGACTGGAAACACAGGGTGGGAACACAGGTGGGAGTCGGGTCAATAGTGCGGGGAGGGTAGCAAATAAGGGATTACAGGTGACTCAGTGGCTCGCAAGGTGGTCGATGAGTCAAAGTCGTCAGCAAAGAAAGCGCACGAAGCAGATCCGAGCAGAGGTATGTATCGAGAGCTACAAGGAAAAGAGGCAGCGCATGCGACTCTGCTAATTAAATTTTGGGGCATGCAGAATGCATTTTCACTTACCGTATGAAAAAACTCAAGCCACTGCGGGGATGTCTTGGCGGGCCACTCTCCACTGCAGTGCAGCCCAGCCTCGTGAATGGGCTCCTCGAATGGCTCCTATTGTTTGTTTCCTAATCATCCATGCTCTACCGAGTACGAGGGTACTAGTATTGTGCTATTCACCTTACCTTGATCATTGACCATCTCGCAACAAATTCACACACGCTATTGTACCGCGCAGCCTCGCGATGATGCAGCATATGTCCTTCCTCAAAGATTGAGTCCCTCGTAGTACCTGTTTTGACGGCCGCCTGAGTCATTCACTTCAAGTTCAAAACTTCGCCCTCGACAAGCCCGTTCAACCTTGGGTACTTGCTGCTGCCACAGCCTTTCGACTTCGGAGCCGGTGGCTGCGCTCCCGGGACTTTCACGGTGCCAGAGTGAACTGTCAGAGCCTTTGAGACTCCATGACTCCCAGAGTTGCTACAAACCAATCGCAAAATGTACAAGGACAACTAAAAAGTCCAAGTGCCATAGAATTAAAACAGACGCTTTCCCAACTTTATACTGGGAGGAGGATGCTGCGGCACACAAAGATAGGAAAGGTAGGTGCCGGTGGTCTATTCCAGGAATACGTACCCGATTCGCCCAAGGGTCAAGTCATATTACGTGCCAGTGAACACGCGTGAAAAGCCTGCATAATGATGAACTGAATGCCGAATATAATGCCACCGATATACCGAGCGAACATATTAGCTCCGTGAGTGCGGCAGTCTAAGACTGAGTGATGGCTAGCCAGGCAGCTTCGAGGACAACTGCTCAGCCTGCGTTGACACCAACCCGATCAATCTCTCCGGATGTTGTACTCGGCGATGTATTTTGCTTTGCTTGGATGACGCTCCAGACAGGAGTAAGGAGAAACATCATCAGCATACCTCCGATAGTCCCCATAAAGAGTGATACAGCCCACCGCCAACCGAGAAGCCCGACGACTGGGTCACAGATTTTGGAAGCGGAGGCTTCAGCTATTCAAAGCAGTGGCTGTGGCACCGGAGACAATGCCAGTTTGGATTTAGCTGGCTGTCGGTGAGTTCTCGCAGCAACAATTCTCAAAGCCTCCTACCTAACAGAGCAATTCTCGCGTGCTTTTCTGCAATGCATGGGACGCCGATGCTGGAGCAGACGAACCTATAACATCGGTCATGGACCAGAATGACAGCATGCTGCCGTTAGAAAAGTGGCCACTGATACTTGCCGGAAGATAAAGTGTCAAAAAGGAAAAATGAAAACCGGATTCGTAAGTCTGATCTCCCAGAGCCGAGACAAAACTGGAAACCCGATAAGCAAAGGATGCTGAAGGTTTACCAACACGGTGATCTTGGGCGGTTTATTTCCGGACTCGGATCTTCTTGGAAGTCCATATCCGAGCGGCGAACGCAGAGGTCAACTCAAGCCTCAAATTGGCTCTCCTCGAAATGTTCGGTCAAGCGGTGGCGCAACAAGAATGCTAAGACAGCCGGAATGAAGTCAAGAGTGCATTCGAAAGATAACGGACACTTTTGTGATGCTAGTTGCTGTTCACGCATTCGGTCAGTCATCGGTTGTCGGTATCTGACAGCTTTGCAAGGCGTCGGACGATCACGACCTTTAATCCATCAGGCCCGATGCTAGGCAACCAGGTGAAGGATCTCTCTCCCGGGCAGACAAGCATTTGCAAGCGACCGGCCAATCTGTGTTTGTATTAGAAGGCGAGTCTCTTCGGAGGGACACACCGCAGAAGGCAGCCGCTGAAGCAGCCTTTCGACCAGTTGGGCTCCGTTCTTAAACTCTTCTGATATAGACGGAACCTTCCCACCACTTTGTGCTATGGGTGGCCTCATTCTGAGGTTCATTCCCTCAAATCTGAAGAACCAAGCTGTGAACCTCCCGTATTTTAAGTCGGATACGAGCTGATGTTTCACATGCCATTCCTTCTGACCACTTTCTGACGCTGTGCGACACCTGCTCCCAATGCATATACGATCTTCATTGCAGGTCATACAACATCATATTCCTTCTTGTACCCACGCAGATGATGCGGACCCGAGTGGTACATCCAAATGTCAAAGGCTGATTGAATTCTGCCGTCAAAGTTTCATGTGGAATGTCTGCATTCCCATGCAGATACAGCATGGCTATTCTTTCGGTCACCGAGGGGGACAGTGAAAGACATGTCAACCCAGCCTCGGCGCATATGCAACCTTGTATCGAGGGAGGTTACAAGGGTCCGACGACTCTCAAGCTAAGCCTTACGGTCTCGGGCCGAGAATGATCGCCGAAAAAGCAGGGACTCTACCAGGCACCGAACGGTCATAGGCGCCCCTCAGGACCTGGTCGGTGACTATCCTTACTTGAAAGCGAGTGGGACGACGTGCCCCTGGATTCCCGAGCTCGGCAGCGTGCTTGATCCCCTCGATATGGCCATCTGCGGTACTTAAATTTGGTGGCCACCGTCATCCGTCGATCGATCGATCTCTCTTTTTCTCGATACAGGCAGCTTCACATCCTTGCTTCATCGGACGGCATCATCTCTCAGGTCAACCCGTTCCTCCTGCAGTGGCTCAATGCAGGGCCAAGCCCAATGCACGCGTTAGGGCGGCTCGCTGTTTAAAAAACGAGATCCGGGCTGACATCAAGCGCATTGGCCTGGCGTGGATGGGGGTTTGAGACACCGAGGACAATGGTGTCTCGGTTTCGCTACGAGGGTGAATGGTGGTTCGATTGGACAGCATGCCAACCCGCTGCCTTTACGCACATGATAAAAGCGTAGCCTCGTGCTGTTTACCCTAAGAGTGGGCTCAAGATGCTGCAGAAGGAATTCTACTAACAAGCAAGCCCGTGTTTACCTTTGGGGTGGGAAAAAAAAGGTTGTCCAGGGACGATCACACGAGCCGCCACACAAGTTCAGAGACCCGTTTTCGATCTCGCCACGGAAGAGGAACAAGAATGGGAAGCCTTGACAACAAGCCTCAGAAGGCGGCCCCCATGCACATTGGTAAAAGCTTGTCCCGTGTCTTCCCGTCTTTGCATGTGCTAGATCGTGGGCTAACGAGGGCGCACGCGCGCGTACGCTTGTACCAGGGGAGCACTTTACGCCTACTATCCATCATGACACTTACCCCGCCATTGATGTGTCCCACAGTAAGGGCATGGTAGGCAAGCACGTCTTCTTGACTGGGGCCTCACGGGGTATTGGCAAGTCGATGGCCATGGCCTACGCCAGGGCTGGGGCATCGATTATCGGCATCTCAGCACGCTCGGATATGGACGAGGTCAAGAAGGAGATTGAGGACGCGGCCGCGTCGGTCGGCCGCGAGGTGCCCAAGGTGGTGACGGCCAAGATGGACGTGCTGGACCCGGAGAGCGTGCAGCGGGCCGTCGACAAGATGACCCCAGAGTTTGAGGGCCGGCTCGACATCGTCATCAGCAACGCGGGCTACATGGAGCCCTGGGTCAACATGATCGAGGCCGACGTCGACGAGTGGTGGCGGTCCTGGGACATCAACATCCGGGGCCACTTTCTGACCTGGAAGGCCGTGCTGCCGCTGCTGCTGGCAGACGAGTCGAGCCTCAAGACCGTGGTCAACATGTCGAGCATTGGCGCACAGATGTGCATGCCGGGCGCGAGCGCGTACCAGACGACCAAATTCGCGCTGCTCCGCCTCAGCGACTTTCTCAACGTCGAGTACGGCTCCCAGGGCGTGATCGCGTACTGCATGCACCCGGGCGCCGTGCCCACGGAGCTGTCGTGGAAGATGCCCGACGTCGTCAAGGTCAATCTGATCGACACGCCCGAGCTCATGGCGGACACGATCGTGTATCTGACACAGAAGAGGCGCGAGTGGCTCAGGGGCCGGTACCTGTCGTGCAACTGGGACATGCCCGAGCTGTTTGCCATGCAGGACGAGATTGTGGCCAAGGACAAGCTGAAGATGAGGATGGTGGTTTAGATCTCACCCATGTCACGTATCTCACATGTATTGCAAATGTACACAACAACACGGCGTATTCCGCCATTAATTATCACATGTCAGGACCTCCAGTTGCATGACCAGCATGGGCATGGGATGGGGATCTGATCTGATCTGATCTTTACGCGAGTATGATAGCATGGGATTTTGCCCCTGTCTGCCTTGAAAGACCCCCTTTTCTTCGGCGGGTTTCTTCAAAACGCGGCAGCAAGTTGTGTGTACATAAAAGTACTCCGTACTATGGTACAAGCATTAGATGCCTGAGGGACTGCGAGTCGAGTCCGAGGTGATTGGCTGTATAGGAAGATAGATCCATGGCTGGTGTGATGCAATGCAATAGGGATCAGCTTCCTTCAGAGATTCTGACATGCCCATCTACCGTCCATGCACATGGGGGGATATTTCGTAGATACTCACCTACCGAGTACCTACCTGGGTATGTATCTACCTATGTACCTATGTACCCTACCTACCAACCCACCTGCCTTGCCTTGCCTTGCCTCGCTTCGCTTCGCTTGCTCCACAGCAAATCATTTGGGGGCTCGCCATTGCCATTGCCACTACCACAGACCAGACCTACCAAGGCCTTGTGTGTGGTATGTGTGGTAATTAGAACATGTCCCCAATCCCCAGCAGGATGAGGACCAGGGGCCAGGGGCCCAGGGGTCCGGGGGGGTTAAAGAGGACAGCAACCCCTCCCACCACTCAGACCCAAAATGAGAGAGCGAGAGGGTCGCAAGGACTCTGACTGGGCCGAAAGCGAGCGTTGGACGTCATCGAGCATGGCGTCCCAGGACGTTTCCGCCCCCCGTTCGGTAACGTCGGTTGATTGCCGTGCGTGAAGAGTGGCTACTACCGGTACACCTTGTAGCCTACGAGGACCACACACAGTATGTACCTATACATTGTGTGGGGTGGGGGGTGTGTGTGTGTGGGTATGTGTTTTTGCCCATGGATAGGTTAATAGGAATTCTTTTCTCAAAAGGCGACCTCCTGGTTCTGGGGCTACCCATTCATTACCATGTGCAAATAACCATCACTACCTATGTATGATGATGGTGATGCGTGATGCGTGATGCGTGATGCGTGATGCGTGATGGGGGGAGCCTGGGACCCATGGGCCCCATGGTGTTCTGTACTCGGGTCCGTTCCACCCCCAGAGGGTGGTCGGGTCTTTTTCGTCTTGCAGCACAAAGTGGCACCGGTACCCGCAACGAGCACGCACCCAGTGGGACCAGACATCAGCAATTCAGTAGCTGTTTTCGATATCACATCTATCAATCAGACCTGTTTTCTGCGTGGTTTGCGCATTGCGGATTGCCTAAGCCAAGAGTGGGTGAACCATTTGAACTTCACATCTGGCACATACATACATTCTCGATTCTGTTTAAGGATATGTAAACACTGGCCTGTCCTACTACTACCACTACTCACTACTTGCTACTACTATTAGTACTGCTATTCCTACTGCTGCTACTTACTTCTATTTCAAGGCTTCCAAATAGCCCAGCAGTGTCCAAATGGCTTTGTGATCCATCTTATCTGTTCCACCACCCAGGGACACAAGAGCCTTGTTGGCAGCCAAAGAAGGGAAAGAAAGCCTTGTTGGTACAGGGAAGAAAAGGAGGCAAGAAGGAAAACCACTCACTCGTTATATAAAACAATACTCCCACTTCCACCTTACCTTCTAGCCAGAGCATGGCTTCTGCCGAAGTGGCGGTCGTCGACAAGGCTGCACCGAATGGAGGCAGCACCTCCCCGACAGACCCAGCCCCAGCCCCAGCGACGACAGCGACAGGGACAGACAACAAAAAGCTCCGACTGTCGTGCGACAACTGCCACGCCGCCAAAGTCAAATGCACGAAGGAACGGCCGCTGTGTTCGAGGTGTGCAAACTCGGGCGCCTCGTGCGTCTACTCAAAGTCTCGTCGGGCCGGCAAGCCCAAGGGCTGCGGCAAGAAGGCTGGTGGTTCATTCAGTAACAACAACAAATTGCAGAACATGACGCCCCCGGAGTTCTGTAGTCGACCCGAGTCTCCCCTTTCAGATGCACGCATGAGCATGGACTTTGATGACGCCTCGTGGAACGTCGACATCACCGACAGCCGGCGAGATTCGGTCCTCGACCAGAGTTTTCCGACTCTGCATCATTCCATTGCCGAAACGACGGGCTCGCTTGATCCGACCCTGACACAGACATTCACGCATTCGACCATGGACACGGACGACTTTTCCGCCTCTGCGGCTTTCTCCACCAGCAATATCTTCGCGGCAGACTTCAAAATGTCGCCTGAGTGGATGTCAGGCATGGATGCTGCCGCCGCCGCCGCTGCCGCGGTCACTCAAGTCCCCTTCAGCACAGACGGCATGACCGTTTCCGCTTCAAATCTCATGCTGTACCCGGAATTCAACTGCTCCGACACGAGCACGCTCAACGACGACGCATCGACGTCGGGCATCCCAACCAGCACTTCGCCCCCGTCGTGTAACTGCACGGGGTCGTTGCAGGACATCCTCAGCGCCCTCAACGGCACGATGCCGTCGTTCGACAAGTTCCTGGCCATCAACAAGTCCGCGGTCCAGCGTATGGCGCAGTGTCTGGCCTGCCACTGCCTACCTGACATCTCGTCGGTTATGTTGCTGTCTGTCATCATCACCCGCATTGTGCAGTGCTACAAGAAGATCCGTAATGGCGAGTGCGAAGGCTCTGAGGAGGTCGGCGTCACCATGGGCTCGCTCAAGATGGACAGCGAGGATGAGTACCAGATCAAGATGGTGCTCATCCGGTCCGAGCTGCGCAAAATCAAGTCGTTGGTCACGCGGTTTCGCGAGCGGTTCGAGAATTACCTGCAGGGCGCCGACCGGCAGCTCTATGAGGCCAACATGGCGTTTCTGGAATATGGTCTGGATGACACGATCAAGGGGCTTTGAACCGGCGGAGTAAACCTCGAGTTCTCTCTTGTACCTCCAATGGGTGGCCCCGGTCCTAACCTGCTTCTTCAATCTTGTTGAATCCAAAAACAAGCGAGTGAGAAAGTTAGTTTGCATAGGTGGTGGTTCTGGGGGGTACAACGGCACACAATAAGCAACAGGAACAGGCTGCTGATTTGACCATGTGGTTTGGTCCCATTTTCCTACCATGTGGTCAACACTACGAAAATCATCATGACTTGACGATAGGCACTTTCTTTTCTTGGGGGGAGTTTTTTGCATGTGAAAGCTTTTTTGGGGGGGAAGGCAGGGACACTGTGACTTAAAAAGACCGGACTTCTTCAGAGATAGGGAATCTTGATACGTACGAGTTCCAACCCCTTCTTCCTCCGCACTGCGTACGTACATAACATAAACAAGGCCGTCGAGGATTCGCATGCTGCATACGCGGTGGTGGAGCTCCACTGGCTGGCAGAAAGGATAGTGATTTTTGAACCAAGATGGCATGGCACCAATGCAATGAGAAGGGAATGTAAATGTGTCAGCAGTCATAATATGCAGTCAGTCGCCCGTAACGAGTCAGACCCGGTTCACGGGCCTCCAGCAGGATAAAGGAGACGAAGGCAGCCATGGTCACAGTCAGCATGTGTTGTGTTGGAAGGATTAGAGGCCGCCGGGCTGAGACGAGACAAGGCGAGGGAATGGAAGCCGTCGTACGTAATAGGACATAATGGAGGGAGGAAGAAGGAGGGGGGCTAGTGGGTTGAGAGAAAGAGAAAGTGATCGACAGAGTCGAATCCGCCATTCTTTTATAGATTGAACCATTCTTGACTTCCTGATGCCCGGGTTGGCAGGAATCTTCGTGTCAATCCTTTCCGAGTCAATCAATCCGCATCAGTCCTCTCTTTTTCTCGCTTAACGGGAACTTTATTCCTTGTTCCCTGTTCCTTGTCCTCAGCTACTGCATACGAGCAGCCTGGTCACCTCCCCTACTAGCCCTAGATAACCCGATCCTTGCCCTCGTGCCAACAACTATTCGTACTCAATCCCTCTTAGGTACCCGAGTAATCTAGATTTCCCTAACCCGCCCGTAAACTAACTCAGCCAACCAACCAAAGGCAAAGACAACGAAGGCCCATCGTAGGAGGCATGTAGGGTCCCAGAACTCTAGATCCGAGGGTCGAGCCTGTTGCCCTAACCCTATTGGGAAGGTTAGCCGATCCAACCTGCATTAGGCAGGTTAGGCGAGTGACACTGCGGCACTTATTGCCACCTAGTCTCTCCACCTTCAGTGGTTGCTAGTTTAGACAATTAATTAATTCAGTTAGTTCTATAGGTTATGAGCGCCTTTTGTTACTTACGTAAAGCGTTTATAGAGATTACTAGGTCTTGAGGATCGCGGATCTTCGAGATAGCAACTCTACCTTAGTTAGTTATAGCTATAGCGCCGCTATAAGTTTAGCTACTCCTCCGTCGCTCGCTTAATACCCGCGGGGTCCCTTAAGGAGTAGCCCGGTTAGTGGGTTAAGACTAACGTTTCCTAGCTTATTTAAGGTATTAATTAGCTAGTAATTAGCTATTAGTAATTAAGTACTTATTAGGCTATTAAAAAGCTTAAAAATCATTAGCTATTATCACTATTTTAGTAGCGCTACTACCCTACTATTAGGCCTATATTCCTCTCTACCTATATCTCGCTTATCCCTAGTCTCGTACGGTAGTTGACTACTAGCTAAAGAGGTAGATTCTAAGAGGTGGAAATATAAATAAATATACTAAAAGATAAGGGAGAATTACTAAAATAATAAGAATAGTAGAAAGCTAATCCTATAAGGTAAATCGAACTATTCGATATAGGTCCTTTTATACTATATAACTCTACGCTTAGAGGAGTACTATACTATCGCTATTATAAAGGATAAAGTTAAGGACTCTAAGAGCTTTAATTTAGAGACTTAATTATTTAGAATATCTATCTAGTTATCCTTAAGATAGACTCGACCTAAGGATAGTTTTTCTATAGAGATCTTTACTACTAATAAAGATCTTTAGCTAGGTAAAGAAATATCTAAGTTTAAGAAGTAGTAGATATAAGATAAGAAGGCTAAAGAGATTATCTATAATCTCTATATATTATATATCTAACCGTTAATTATTAATAAAAAGACCGCGAAGGATATACTAGAAAAGCTTAAAATATTCTATAAATAATAAGGCCTTACGGCTATCTATCGCTAGACTATCTTAATTAATAGTTATAATCTTAAATAGTTTAAAGATCTTAAGGAGTATATTAATAAAATTCGCGCTAATAGAACGAGTTTTAAAACGCTAAAGTATTCGCTTAATAACGACTTCTAAATATTAATATTTCTACGCGGTCTTAATAATAGTTATAAATTAATAGTATTATAGCTATTATAAAAGATAACTAGTACTATTACCTTTAACGATACGGTTTAATAAGTCTTTTAATTCGATATACGGAAGCGTAATTAGTCTACTAGCGAAAGTAATAGTAATTAGACTAATACTTTTAAAGCTTAAGACTAGAGTAAGGATTAACGTAAGAGTAAGTCTAAGGATAGAGATATTAACGCGAAGAAGGATAAAGATAAGGGATTTAAATATAGAATCTATAAGATTAATAATTATAATTAGAAGTATTATTCTATTAATCTAGATCGTATTATCGACGATTAATAAAGTAGTCGTAAAAGTAAGGATAAAGAGAAGAGATCTAATAAGGATAATACCGCTAGTGCTAACGTTTTCTTTAGCGATCTATCTCCTAATATTATTAATCTTCTTAAGAGTTTTACAATATAAGATTAGACCGATAGGGGAACTAATATAAAGTCTATCTATTTCTATTCTATCGATTTAATTACTATTATAATAGTAGCTAAGGAATAAGACTTTCTAATTAATAGTAGTGCGAGTTACTATATAACCTATTCGCGTACTAATTTTATTAATTTTAGACTAGGATCGATAATAGCGAGGTTAGTAGATTATAGTACTATAAAGATAGAAAGTTATAGCGATATTATTATTAATTATTATCTAAATACTAGGAAAGTTTCTATCTATTTTAATAATGTCTAGTACTTTCTAGATTTAAGTATTAATCTACTTAGTATTTACGTCTTAAAAGAATAAGGAATAATAGCTATTCTAGAATAGACTTATAGCTTACCCGCTACTAGGCTTTATAAGAATAGTAAATAAATCGCTAACGTAGTTAAATCTAGCCGCTATTATCTTCTAGATACTACGGATAAAGTATTATCTTTAGTGACTATCTACGCGGAGGATTCGGTCTCGGCTCTATTAGTAAAGAGTAGCGATATAGCTAGGCTATAATATTATAGGATAGATTATCTATTGATCGATTATCTTAAGAAGTTAAGGAATATAGCGACTAGCGTTTCCTTTATAAATTTATTCGGTAAATCCTACGAAGATTATATTATTACTAACTAATCTTAGTCTCCTAGGTAAGGATAGACTAGTAGTAAAGCTACGTGGATTAACGAGCTTATCTATAGCGATTTAGTAGGGCTAATTAAGCTATTAATTTACGGTAATCGATATATATTAACTATTATAGATAACTATTCGCGCCGCATTATCCTATTCTTCCTAAAGATTAAATCTAAGGCCGTATAATAGATATAGTATTTCGTTTAATATATAGCTATCACTAGTAATCTAGTTACTACGGTTCGTATTAATAATAGAGGGAAATATAAAGGTTCTACTCTTATTAAATATCTTAAGGATTATAATATTTATTAGGAGCGAACGGTTCTATATAGTCCTAAATCTAATAGCGTTTCTAAATATCTTAATCGTATCTTATTTAGTAAAATAAGAGCTATATTAAAGGACTTAAAGCTACTATAATTCCTATAGGAAAACGTCTTATAAATCGCTATCTATTTATATAATAGAAGCCCTAATAGATCTATTAGTATAATACCGTTCGAACGCTACTATAGCGAGAAACCTAATCTAGGCTATCTACGAATCGTTAGATCGCGCGTATTTATATATATTCCTAAGGAGCGCTATTAGGGTAAGTTTATAGATAGATCGCGTCTATATATGATAGTAAGTTACGGCGGTTCGGCTACGATTTATTAGGTATATAACCCTAAATCGCGTAAGGTTATTCGCGCTAGAGACGTAGTCTTTGACGAGGATAATTATAACTATCTCGCGCCGTTAGAGATTAACGAGGGATTCGATATAGATAAAGATATCTAGGATACGCTATTGGTTAATTATAGTGACTATTTACGTGAGGAACCACTAGATCTACTATAGGTTGTAACACTAGTTGAACAGCAAGTTCAGGAGTAACAAGATACAATTGTTGAGCCACTTGCGCGTTCATTGCCACCGGTTGTACAGCCTCAGGTTGTGGTCCCACCGATTGATATTACGCCTCCTAAGCTAGGTCTACCTACGCCGTAGGCTCCTCAACCGAAGCGAAGTAGGAGAGCTATAAAGCCGTCGCTTAAGGCGCGAGAGAATGCCGTAAACCTTACATAGGAATACCTAAATACTATCGCTATTATAGGGTATAAGATTATTACTTATGGTTAGGTAATGAAAGGACCTGATCGCGATCGCTGGAAGTATACGATTAAGTAGTAGTACTAAGCTTATATCGATAATGGTACCTAGATAGTGATAGATAAGTAACCTAGTATGAATATCTTAATAGACTATTAGGTACTTATTAAGAAGCTAGATCGCTTAAAGGCTCGCTAGATAGTCTATAGAAATAAATAGATTCGCGGTATCGATTATAACGATATCTATATATCTATAGCCCGCTCTAGATCGATTAGATTACTCTTTACTATCGTCTATATTAAGAACTTATATTATATATAACTAGATATTATTAACGCATTTCTAAACTCTTATCTTATTAAGACCGTTTATATACGGTATCTTACTAGATTCGGCGAGAACGGTATCTATTATAAGCTTATTAAAGCGCTATTTAGTCTCTATTAATTATCGCGTAAATAGTAGTTAAATATCTCTCGTAAATTAACTATAATAGGGTTTAGGCGTTACTAGGGCGATTAATTAGTATTCGTTAACTAGGACGGAGTAGTTATTATTTTATACGTGGACGATTTAGCCTTATTCTCTAATAATAGAAAGGTAATCGAGTATATAAAAGCTAAGCTATTAGGTACTTATAAGTTGAGAGATCTTAGAGATTTATAGGCGTTTATTAGTATTTAGGTCCTACGTATATAGTCTAGGGTCTTTATCTATTAAAAGAACTACTACTAGTCTATCCTAGAGCGTTTTAGCTATCTAGAGAGTCGCTCTATAAGGATCCTATTTGATAATAAGGTCGTTCTCGTACCGCGCGAGGATTAATATAGATAGACGGATCTTAAGCGTTTCTAGGAGATAAATAGTTCTATAGCCTAGCTAGCTAATTAGACTAGGCTAGATATCGCTTATACTTATTCTAAGATCGTATAGTTTAACGCGAATCCTTCTAAGGTTACAATTTAGTATATAAACTATCTATATAGATATCTAGCTAGGATAAGTTCTTAGGGTATTCTATACTATCGTAATGGTAGAAAGGGCGAGATTAGTAACTTTACGGATAGTAATTAAGGCGATAAATATAGTATTAATAGTAAGTTAACTTTAGGCTATCTATTTACGCTTAGAAACGGACTAATTACGTAGTTATCTAGGAAATAACGAATAACCGTAATATCGTCTATAAAGGCCGAATATATCAGTTAATATAACGCTATTAAGAAGGCCGTTTATCTAAGGCAATTTATATAGGAATTAGACCGCGGATAGGAAGATATAATATAGATATTTATTGATAACTAAGCTGTAATAGTAATGGCTTAGACGTCTAGCGCTTATAGTAGGACGCGTTATATTGAATTCTAGTACTATTATACGCGTAAAAAGGTTGAAGATAGAATAGTGGCGTTCTCGTTTATATCTACTACCGAAATAGCTATAGATAGGCTTACTAAGCCGCTTATTCTAGGAGCGTTTAAGGCGTTTAGACGGATAATCGGTATAATAGCGCTAGAGTAGGTACTGACTACGGAACGAGATTGATAGATTTATAGTATGATAGCGCCAATCCACAATAGTGGGAGTAACGATCTTATGGCTGCCTAGTATGAGAGAGTGCTTTGTAAGGCGCCGTATAAGAGTGTGCTTTGTATTAGCTGTGCGCCTGGCCGCGGCACGAAAGCGTCCTTTACAAGGCGCTTACCTGGCGGTATAGAAGCGTCCTATACAAGGCGCTTACCTAGCGGTACAGAAGCGTCCTTTGTAAGGCGCCGTATGAGAGTGTGCTTTGCAAAGGCTGTGGTTACGTGGGTTATAAAGGCTACGGTTACTGTCAAGACCTCGGAGGGTTGACGTTGATTGGCGACTAATTAGATCGCGGCGTTTGGCGTTTAGTTCTGGCTAATTAGATCGCGAGGATTAGTTAGCTAAATAGATTGTTAAAAGGTCATAGGTTATGTTAACAAAAGTTGTGTTTTAACGGCGTTTAAAACCCTTGAAAATGGCACTGCCTAGCAAGTTTGGCTGGCACTGCAATCGGCGCTGGTAGGACAGTACCTAGTGTGGGGGGGTGTTGCCCTAACCCTATTGGGAAGGTTAGCCGATCTAACCTGCATTAGGTAGGTTAGGCGAGTGACACTGCGGCACTTATTGCCACCTAGTCTCTCCACCTTCAGTGGTTGCTAGTTTAGACAATCAATCAATTCAGTTGGTTCTACAGAGCCGTCCACCCGAAGAGCCAATACTGAAGACCTGCACGAGTAAGCAGGGCACATGCTAAAAAAAAGGTGGGATGAGTTCGAGGGCAGAATTGGCATGTGAAAATATTTAGACCCTGGGTCTTTTTACGTGATGAGGCTATCTAACGACCCGCGGTACGCGTCTCCTAGGGGTATATGGTTTGCGGGGACGTTTAGTTGGACTTTGTTCGCGTTGACTTTCAAGGTACTTGTGCCCCGTCTCAGTAAAGGATATGTCTCGCTGTCCCTGGCCTGGTTGTAGAGATAAATATAGGTGCAAGCATGTGTGGGCTCGCGTACCATGGGATTACCCGCAAGCGATGAAAGCCACACGTACAATCGTTCGAACAGGCTTGCAAAACCTGTGGTGTGCATCTGTGGGTAGACAAGCGTCACACTTAACTTCAATGGACGAACGCATAGGAGATCTCCAAGGGAGAAAAGGAGGGCATTGTTCTCGCCTTTCGCGGCCCGCAACTCAACACACCTATCTAATGAGGTGGATTCCCACCCTCTTGAACGAATACTTCTTCCAGGCAAAATATGCCATGGCTACGGTCCCCAACGCGCTGGGGATCCCAACAGCCAAGGCGATCGTGTCCGCAGTCGAGAGGTGGAAAGAACTCGTCGACGAGGGGCCGGGAATAGTAGTACTTGCAGGCGAGACGGCGAGAGCAGATTTACCGGATACAATGGGTGTTTGGGGCGTAGACAAGGACGAGAGCGGCGAGTTCGTGTATAAGCTGGACAAGCTGGAAGCGGTTGATGTAGCTAAGGCCTGCTACGTGTTAGTACCTTGGTATGAGGAAGACAAGGGTTCCAGATGCGTTGCCTTACCGACGAAATGTAAACCATGCCCAGAGCGAACAAGTGGTGGCCAGGACCAAAACTTGCGACTTGCATGGTAGATGTCTGGACAAAGAAATCCGTCACGGTGACAGTACTTGCTCCCGTATATGCATATTCCGAGACGCAGGGGAATAATGATTCATGGGGTTTTGTCGACCATTCTGCAGGGACACAGCTGAAATGGTAGGCGCTAGGCATGCGTCAGTAATGCTCAGAACTATAATACATAGTTCATCTTGGGAAGGGGTCGCCGACGTGGGACAACACGTTACCGAGTCGCCTTGACATGCCTGGGTGTATTGAGGAGGGCATTGTCCACCAATGTACGCGCCGGTCGATACCCACGGAAGCGGGAAGCACGCTGTCGTTTGCGAGGGTCCTCCAAGCACAGTGCGCATGTCGTCGGTATTCGTGTGATAGTCCCATATCCAAATATCGGTGGACGATAGACATCCTGCTTGAGTTGGAGTCCAGTCTAGTGGTAAGGTCGGTGTTGCCATTGTGGGGGAGATCAACGGCTGAAGGACTTGAGATGGTCCTTACCGCTTTGATCAATCAGGCGGAGAACTTGAGTGGGTTGATGGAGATGAGCCTGTAGCCGTCTCACGTCGACTTCCGCTAGGGTTGGTAGATTAGTGGTCAGATGTAAGTTTTCAGACGGCAAAATGTTGAACAGAACAGTCTTCGATCCGAAAAACGAGTTCAGCATCTCGAGCGTAGACGTGCGGCTCTGGAAGCCTCTCACGAAGTGCAAGGCTTCAAGAATGAATACGCATTAATAAGAGTAAAGATGGTGCCTACCCCCTCTTGACCTGGCGCAGCTTCAGACAGCCAGAACTGCATGGGCGACGCCAACAAAGGATGCTTGAGCCAGTCAGTGGTAGCTTGCTCGCACGCCCCAGAGGATGCTCAGAGGTCTAAAGACAAAACCCGTTTCCGGATCGATCAGCCACTCAGTAGCTCATAGGGACGAAAGGGCATGTCCTTCTGCCTACCTTTGGAGCTCGTGTTGGAGCTGTCACCATACACAAATCTAAATCTTCGTGCAATGCCTTACGGGCCATTGTGAGAGGGTGCTGGAGTTGCGTGTAACAGGGACATCGAGACTCGCGGTACCCTGCATTTGTGAAAATGAGAACCAAGCTAAAGGGCTGTCCTTGAAGCACTTGCTCTATTGGTATGAAAGTACATCGGTCAATCATCAGGTTGGCTTTTTCAGATCGACGGACCAGCTTCCCAGATAGATTGAAAACAAGGAGCCAGCCAAACCGGTGGCTTTTTATATATGGCTTCTTAGCGGCGTAGTCGTGTCATCTGGGTGGCGGTTCTGGCTTGTTTCTTTGTGTAACCAAGCCTTGCCAGGAGCGACCACGAGGCTGTGAGCCGTGAGCTGCCGAGAAACCACGTCCACATTTTAGTGGGACGATGAATTCAACGAAGCAGGGTGACAATATTCAAGGTATAAGGTGGTGGCGTTATGCAGACTGCACGGCACGCGCCAGCTGATTCGTAAATCGTGCGACTTGCAATGAGCCTGCTTAACGTGTCATGCCAGACTTCGAAAGAAGAGCCTAGAGTCCAAGACTTCAACAAGATCCCGACGCTGGCATGAACAATTTCTTCCTCGTTGTCGCCTTGGAGAAGGCATAGATACCACAGCCTTGCCGTTGGTCGAAGCCGAAGAATGCTTGATTTTTGAAATCGAATCCACCAAGATCGGGGATTCTCCAGTGTGATTTAATCTCGTCAGGAAGAGTTAAAAGCTCCATGCGGCGAGGGGTGTCTACTTCCGAGTAAAAGTTATGCATAAGAGTCTGATGTGAAAGTGAAGTTGCAGACGGTAGGCAGTGCGGCTGTCAAGGTGTCGATTTGCCAGGGTGGGCCAGCTAGCTAGCACACCGGTTGGAAATTCGAGGCTCTCTTGCACTTATACTGGAATCATTCGCTATTTGCTTCCCAGCCAGTGCTTCCAAAGGCACCATGTCAAGGCGTCAACAGGCATATAATCGCGGCAAAGTTGCTAGGTTGACCCGCTACTTGCCCCTGCCACTCCCTTTCCTGAACTGCTTAAATTCTGGAGCTCTTTTCTAGGTTTGCCGCGCTGCTTTAAAACTCAGCGTGCTTTTCAACGATATCTTGGCCCACTGGCCCACGCTCTGCGTCATTAAAGGCATAAAGGTGTCTCTCTAATTAGCGGCGGTCAAGAGGAACCTTATCAAGACACGCGGGTTTCCGGGTTTGGGAAGGGGTATTATCATTCAATCCTGCCCTTAAATAAACGGCTATATTCAGCAGCCTCTCAGCCTGGCACCCTTTTCAGACCGTGGTCCAAGATCATCACAAACTCCTACTTGGTAAGCAGTTTCTGCCAATCATTAATCGAAACCGCCATCGAAGTCGCCGTTCTGAGCCGTTCCCTCAAGTTCCCATTTCAAAGTCGATCGTCTGGCTACTAGCAACATCATCGTTGCCAGTATCGGAACAATAAATCATCCGACAGCTATTGATTTTGCTTTCGTGTGCGCAGAAATGAGAAGAACCTTCCTCGCTTCTTGGCTGAACCCGCAGCTGTATTATTACCATTATTCAGTGGCATAACAGGCTTCACTACGGTCTGACCCGGCATGTCTGGCATTGCAGTGCCATTCTGTCCTGTATTTGTGGAAGCTATACTGGCTTGAGGGGTGGTCTCAGGTCCATGACTTGCGGATAATGAGCTACTATAAGATGCTGAAGAGAGCTGGGGCGCGAGAGCACCCGACATCGCGATGGGGTCGGCTTGATTCGGAGCAGCTGGTAGCAGCTGAGGTGTCTGTGATGTTCCAACCGTTGGTGGTACTTGCGATTGTTGGCTCTGGGTTTGTGGTGCCTGGACGTCTTCAGGCGAAGGCAGAGTCGCCTTCACTTGGGCCCGAGGTGACAAGCTTGATGAGGGATTGGGCCGCTGGGCTGGAGCCATTGGCAGAGGCTTCGTGTTAATCAAAGACAACGGTGAAGCCGAGGAGCTCAGTGACATTGGCCCCTGTCCAGGGGATGTTTGGCCCTGTTCCGGAGATGTTTGTCCTTGTAATGAGATAACGTGTGGTGCTGAAGGTAGCGGAGACGGGGGAGTTGTCAAGGGACTCGCGAAGTGCTGTTTCTCGTCTGGCTTCTGACTTGGTAGGATCGCAGTGCTTGGTGGTGGTGGTGGTGTAATAGAAAGAGATAGTGCAGCAGCTCCTCCTGACGGCTGGCCTGGTGCTGCAGAACCAGTATGTATTTGGAAGCCCATCCCTTGTTGATGGAGGCCCTGTAGTACATGCTTACTTTTTTGTTCGTTCCGTTCTTGTATCTCCTCAATCTCCTCGTCAATGAGGTGTCGAGTGTGTTCCTCTTGTTCCCTTTTACGACTTGCTAAACAGAGTCAGACAGAAGAATCGACTTTCCTGCCATTTGAATTATGCTCACCTTTGTTCTTTCTCCTTTTACCCACTGGCAAAGCCTGTCGCTCCCTGAAATCCTGAGCAAAGCGACGGGATCCAATGAGCATGTCAAAAGGCCCCTCTTTGACCACGTAGAAGTCGGAGCGACGCATCTTTTCATCGCAGTCCTGATACCAGGACAGAGTAATCTTGAACTCTGGCGCGCAACTGAAACCGTTGAGCATGGTGAATTCGAATTGGTCCTCTTCTTGGATAGGCTTCAACAGTGATTGGTCGATCTGCGCTCGTTTGACAACCTTCATTGTAATGAGATTCTCGTCACAGCCAGTATCCATTTTGGCCCGAAGATGCATGTACTTAGCACGCGTAGATGAGACTTCGGAGCCGGAGCCCACCAGAATAGTCGCGTTTCTAGTGAAATTTTGCGTAATAAGCTCCTTAAAGACTTGACTGAGAGGTTCGCTTGCCGCCAGTTGCCAATGCCACTGAGAGGGTCCAATGGTTTCTCTGCTTCTCGTTCATCTGTTGAGTGTGCTGGCTCTTCGTCCATGTAAATATGACCTGGACGTGAGATGGCCCTCTGCGGAGGCTCCCAATCGTAGCGGTCCATAAACAGATCAGCGAGACCGGCGCTAGAATGTGATCAGACGGGCCAATATATGATAACCAGTGGTGACAACCTACCTCATATCAACAAGCTGCTGTTGAAGCCGAATGCTGTTACAGAATTAGCGAAGCCTTGCTCAGGGAAAATATCTTACATACTCTGCACAAAGATCACGTAGCAGCAATACAACGCTTCTGAAGTTCTTGAAAGCAGATTTGCGTTCGGGTTCAGTTTCCATGAGCGTCTTCCTTCTTTTCAACCTTCCCATTGGGGAATTTGATCCTGACAAGACAACCTGGATGAGGTTCATAACCTCGACCAGCTCTTGAAATCTTCTATCGCACATAGCTATGGCACGTTCGATCGATCGTGGTATCTTTGTGTTTTGACTGGCTTGTACGATATCTTTACATTCTTGCAATACTTCCATAACCACCACTATTTCACTGAGCTGCGATTCCAGCTCTGCATTGCCCTTCTTGGACCGCTGGAGGAGCTGGAGCGTATTCAGCGTTAGTGATGACGCACTGTTTAGGATGGCGACAATGGAAACAGCGAATGTCACGGGCTCCATATCGATCGGCTTGTCAGAAAAGGTTCACTACAAGAAACGACACTGCTGTGCATCAGGCTGCTTCTTCATATGTATCTGAGCCTGACAGGCGGCTCTCAGTTTCTCCTCATGTGCGAGGTATGTCTTGGCTGGCACAACACAGCACCTGACGGTTCAGCTTGGGCGTCGCTAGACCTCACGACAGGCCTTTGGCTATCCTCGGATAAAGGGTTGTCAAGCGAGGCAGACTCCACACTACCTTGAGAGGGGCTGTGTTGGGGCTGTGTCTCAATAACAGGGGCTGTCCTGAGGCTACGCTAGAATGACCTCTAGTATGTCCTGCTGGTCAAATCGCTTGACCAAGTCACCTTCAGGGATTTGGACTCTTCCAGGCAGCACTGAATTCGTATGAATTCTTTTAGGAGGAGTGCTAGCCGAGTAATATCGACTGCAGCAGATCCTACTACTCTTGAGACCTCCCAGTTCCAAAGGAGTCCATATCGTCAAAATTTCAAGACTAAATGGATTTTCGGGGACCAAAATTGCCGGTAGATCAGGATGGATATCACAGACTTGCGACACTTATGACTAGAGACAATGGGCTCGCAATCTTTCGCAGATTCGATTTTGCCAATGTGATAAGTTTATTGAGTCTTCAGGCTGAAGTGCAAGAACTGCAAGCTGCATACCAGGACCAGTGCCGGCGAGATAAGGCTGAGGGAAAGGCCTTGTCATTTTCTTTCAAGAACATCAGGGAAGACAGTGGGAATGATCAATATAAAAGGCTCGAGCTTTTGCGGCAAGCTTTAACAAGATATAGTAGGTACTGATGGTCCTACTCAGTGCAGTGAAGGCTTATTGTGTGCCAGACGATTTACTCCTGCAGGGTACGCATCCTGTTCCTTCAGACCATCTGATGAGTCTCCAAGAGGACCACGTACTGACTTTTGGCTGGATATAGTCTCACGTCTCGATGCACTTGGTCCTGCAGATAATTCTCAATTAGATGCGCTTCGTGGATGGCTCCAAGATCCAAAGGGTGGTGCACATGGGCCGAAAGGCAGGACATTTCTTCAAAAAAGTGAAGCGCGACTGTGGGAACAGGAGGAGGGTTCGACATTCATCAGCGTTGGTCCTACGCAAGGCGAAAAAGATATCTTCACCAAGGTCATCTCATGGATCCTCTTATCGGTGGTGCATAAATATCTTGGATTCTGGCGGATAGCAGGCCGTCCTATCGACGCCGAGGCCGGAATGTACTCCTACAGTGATTCTCAGCTCCTTCGCACCGGCACACTCGTCGCAACAGTTCTATCTTCGACTATCCCGGTCCTGTCGATCTTCGTCCTCTTCATTGTCAAGAACACTTACGGCCGCATTGGAATTGCTGCTGGCTTCACGGCAGTCTTCTCGGCAGTGCTGGCGGCCTTCAGTTCTGCAAGGCGAGTTGAGATCTTTGCAGCGACTGCAACGTAAGTAGATTTCGGGTGTTTGTCTACCATTATTTGATGCAGACTGACATCGTATAGCTTTGCTGCAGTCGAGGTTGTTTTCATAGGGAGTGCTTTGAACACAGGGTCCTGAGCTCGATTAGAGAGTTTGACATTCTTCTGTATGTCCTCTGGAATTGAAGCCTACCGCGCTGCCCGCTTACCAGTTCACGTGTCAAGGAGTCATGAGCGACGATAACAAGCAATGGGTGTGGACATGCTCCAGCATCGGGGTCTTGCTCCGTAATATGCTCTGGAGTAAGCTACAGAGAAGTCAGGTTAAGATTTAGATTCCGAGCACAGTCACTACGGCCCGGGAACAACTAAGGATATTAGGTACCTAAGCATTCAGTCAAATTTTGTGAATAAATGTATTTGATATTGTCATCCACACCCAAAAAGCGGTGCAAGCACGAGGGGGCCATAATGAGGTGGGTGTAACCCTTAGGATGGCCGGGGGATCGAAGATTGAGGATCTTGGGTGATACGGTAGGAATAAAGCACATCTTGAAAAAGTGGTGGGGGTTTTGACCTGGCTTTGTGCGTGAAGGCAGATAAACAGATACAACAGATACAACCACAAACAGCTCTCTAACCTCTCCGACAATGCATATTCCGAACCCTCCCTTGCCCCCGGCAGGTATCTGAAGAAAGATTATGTCTGCCCAATGCATTGGTTCCGGATGAAAAACTAAAGGGAGCTGGTGGGCAGTGGCTGGCTAAACAAGAGAAAGAGAGCCTATTACCGCTCAGAACGACCGGGGTAGCAGCACGCTGCGCTGTCCTCCGCGGTCTGGACTGCGGAGGCTGGAATGGGTGGTATGCAAGACCTACAGTAGCTTTGTTCTCTGGGTTTAGCGAAATGATTAAGAGGCTGTGGGGAGATAAGCAGCGAGCTCAGGATTCGACTCGACAGCTACTCACCACAGCCGGGCGCTGCTTCGACCTGTTTACGAGGTAATGTATGCCGACAGCCTCAAAGAATCAGCCTTACTCCTTGACCACAAGCCGCCACATTCTCCAGATCTCGCCCTTTCTGTTATGATCAACCAAGTCCAGATTCCAATGCATCTGCGGAATTGTGCACGGACAATGTCTAAGCTTTGTCCCTTGAGCGACTCGTACGATCAGGTTGGCCCTCCTCAAAACGAATGCCTGTCAGAGCATTTATGGCCGAACTGCACTCGGCACAGCCACGAATCACTGTCACGGCTCAGGTCGAGATGGTGTGAATCGCTCAGGTGATGTGTCTGGGAAACGAGAAATGGACGTTTGAGGAGCTTTCAAAAACCTGGACCATGGCAAAGTGACAAAAGCCGTCAGGAGCGAACGCCCAGGCTAGGGTTTCTGGAGGAAATGCTAAGGGTGAAACAAGGGCGCATCATTAAGGGCGGTAAATTTACGCAACATAGTCACAGGTATTGGCGATGAATATCCCGTACTCGGTACTGAGGATGCTGCTGATATCTATAGGCAGGTACCTGGTTATGTAAACAAATGTGATATCCTCGGGATTTTCATTGACGGGAGAGAGGGTTTTCGCGACCAGCACGATGCGAACTTGTGCAATAGACGACCATCGAGCAGGGATTGATTTCCCACTACCCCGCTAGAATGGCGCTCGTGGGCAGCTGAGTCTCTTGCTTGGAGGGATCGCCGACAGAACATTCAAATTATAATACGAGTAAAGCCCGAGGTAAATGTTGTGGGTTTTAGGAGGCTCAAGATGATCCCACTCGCCCACCAGCCCTAGTGGCCTGCCCGTGCCTGCCGCCTCACCACCGCATTTCCCCTCCCAATTCATCATGTGGGGCGTGAGCGGCCGTTCAGCGAACCTACGCATTTCTTGCACCGGAATCTCTCTTCAACCGTGTCTATACCCTGGAGGTCCATTTGTCAACATGCAAAACCGTCGATACTGCAGACGACGGCCTCTCATTGGCTCAGCTTCGCCTCCTCAGCTTCGGCTAGTGAACAAAGAGGCAAGCCTACAAGGCCATCTGCGCGCCCTCGGATTCGGCTTAACCTTACCCTTTGGCACTGTGCAGGGACCTTTGGCGGCTGTTGGTGAAAGTCTCCTCCCAAGCCACCCTTCAGCCTGACCAGAGATTCTTCCTCTGCTCTCTCCTAAAAACTCACCGCAAAGCTCTAATATCTATGCGTAGCGAGAACTCCGTACATGAGTGCCTCCAAACATCTTCAACCAGTTAGGCGAATCCCGGACTTACGAAGCCCGCCTTTCGAGCCATCGCGAGAGCTCTTCGAACACCGTATCTCAAACGCCCTTTGACTGAATTTCAAGACGGTGTCGAGCTTTTCTAGCATTCCTATCACGCAAGCCGAGTTTGCAAGTCGTCTAACGAGCAAGAATTCTGATTGAATGACTGCTGCTGTATCCACGACTAAACACTGTAACCTTTCCATCTACGGAGATCCACATTCCGAAAATGCGCCTACTTCAAATTGGCCAAGATGATGAGCTAAGCTTTGCCGATGGCCTGTTTACAGACATCCCACCCTACGCAATCCTCTCCCACACATGGGGACCAGGTGAAGAGGTGAGGTTGGAGGATATATCAGATGGAAAAGGTGGGGGTAAGGAGGGTTACACCAAGATCCAGTTCTGTTCCGACCGAGCGCGAAAGGATGGCCTGGAACATTTCTGGATCGATACATGCTGTATTGATAAGACAAGCTCGGCCGAAGTCTCAGAAGCTATCAATTCAATGTTTCGCTGGTACGCTGACGCACAAGTGTGCTACGTGTTTCTGTCCGATGTCTCGGCTCATGAACGCGGTAACACAGGAAATACTCACATCTGGGAACCCGCTTTCCGGAAAAGCAGGTGGTTTACGCGAGGCTGGACCCTACCAGAACTCCTTGCTCCAAGACAAGTTGAGTTCTATAGTCGGGAGAGCGTATTGCTGGGCCACAAAGATACACTTGCGCAGATCATCTCCGAAATAACCGGAATTCCTGAAACAGCTCTTCAGAGGAAGAAACCTCTGAGTTATTTCACTATTTCAGAGCGGATGCGATGGGCTTCCAGACGCGAGACTAGCAGAGAAGAAGATAGAATTTATTGTCTTCTGGGAATGTTCGACCTCACCATGCCAATGCTTTACGGGGAAGGAGGGTCCAGAGCATTTGATCGGCTGAAAGAGGAAATCCACAGAAACTACGGGGTCCGAGTGAAAGGCATCGAGCAATATGCTACGGAAGAAGCAACATTGCTCGCCCGTCGAAAAACGATACTGGATTCACTGAGCTTTGAGCAAATGGACTTGCGTCGGTCTACTATCAGTTCTGCCTATTCCACAACCTGCAAATGGCTGTTGAAGCACCCTGTTTACCTGGACTGGAACAATCCAAAGAAAATATACCAGCATCGTGGATTTTTATGGGTCCAGGGGGTTCCTGCATCTGGGAAATCGACGTTGATGAAGTTCGCCCTCGCACATGCTGACAATACAAGATCTACGGAAGATATTGTGATCTCCTTCTTCTTTAACGCAAGAGGTCGCCAACTGGAATATTCGACGGTCGGCATGTACCGGTCTCTAATCTTTCAGCTGTTGACAAAATGGACAGAACTGCAGGGTCTATTGGACGACTTAGATGATTTGGAAGACCAAAGCAAACCCCGGGTGTGGACAACAGAAAAGCTGTGTGGGCTTCTGTCTACAGCCGTCGCAAGGCTCGAGCACCGACGGTTAAAGTGCTTCATAGACGCCCTCAATGAGTGTGATGAGCAACAGATCTCAGAAATGATTGGCTTTTTTGAAAAACTAGGGAAGACTGCGCTCGACCACGGAACTCAGATCTACTTTTGCTTTGCTAGGCGCCACTATCCAACAATTGACATTCGGTATGGTCGACCTCTGATATTGGAACAGGAAGACGGTCATGCTGAGGACCTGGACAAATACATCCAAAGCCATCTCCGAGCTGGAAAAGGGACGAAGAGTCAGGAAGTCAGAACACAGATAAGAGAAAAGGCAAATGGTGTCTTCCTGTGGGTAGTCTTAGTCGTTCCGATACTTAACGATGAATTCAAGCGCGGCCGTATCTTTGCTGTCGAGAAGAAACTCCGGGAGATACCTGCTAAACTCAGCGAGCTCTTCAAGGACATCTTGACCAAGGATTGTTCCAACATGGACGATTTGTTGCTTTGTCTCCAATGGATCCTATTTGCAGAACGGCCGCTTCGGCTAGAAGAATTCTACTTTGCAATGTTGGCCGGTCTCGATCCTGAATCTGAGTATATGACCTGGAATTCTGAGGAGATCACCATCGAGTACATGAATCACTTTGTGCTCAATTCCTCCAAGGGCCTTGCTCAACTTACCAGGTCGAAAACACCGACAGTGCAGTTCATTCACGAATCTGTCCGAGATTTTCTCCTCAAGGAAAAAGGGTTGACTGAGGTGTGGCCGGATCTCGGCAATGGAACGAACTTGGAGGGAGAAAGCCACCAACGTCTGAAGGGTTGCTGCCTGGACTATATCAGCATCGACCTTACCAGCCATCTTGGTAATCTGGACTCACTTCCAAAGGCATCAACGGCAGAAGCTGCACGCCTGCGCGAATCCGTGGCCGGAGATTTTCCGTTTCTAGAGTACGCCGTGCGAAATGTCTTATGGCATGCCGATAAGGCGCAAGCCAATGGAGTCGATCAGAGTGAGTTTATTCGCACATTCCAGCTTGCTCGATGGGTATGGATCGACAACTTGTTCGAAAGACACGAAGTACGACGACGCGCCCCGAATGTGAGCTTCTTAGACATAATAGCGGAGAACAACCTGGACAATCTGATTAAAATCTACCCATATAACCTGTTTCGGGGCTTGCATTCGGTTGCACCCACAGATTCAGGCTACGCCTCGACAATACATGACAAAGCCAGGTTTTTGGAAGACATTCAGGTAACAAGACAATCCGCAATCGCCGACAGCCTTCAACGGTCTCCGCGTCTGGTAGGAGGAGATACGGAAAGTCACGAACAGCTGGACCTGGACGATGGTAGGACGGACTATTCTGATGCATCGAGTCTGTCCCCCGCGGGTAAGGAAACGTATTGTTCAGAAATTGTGGAGAACCTGATCAGCATGGTCCCCTCTAAATCACTTGACGATCCAGCCGTAGAAAGGTTGCTTGGTGTCCTCCCCGAATTACTCAAAGCATTTGCCCTCAAACTCGGTCACGGCTCGCCGACCCAGGCGCATCGCAATGTCATGTTCTTCGTACATAAACATCGAAGGTAAGTTTCGGCCTCTGCGCATGTGGAATGGCACTTACTTTGCGTGCTTCTTAGTAAGATAGTCGAGCGCTTCAAAGAGGGATACTCCTCAATCACTGAGAGCGTTCCTGTTAAGTCGCCTAACGTGTCCGACGAGATGTCGCTGAGGGATCGTATGGAACTCTGGGACAGTCACCGAGAGGATGTCATGGAACATTGGGACAGTCACCGAGAAGATCCAAATTACGATGCGGTCGCCAAGGAGACTGCCGAAGCAAAGTCCGAGCATGAGACGCCAGAACCTGATGAAGACCCCACGATAGCAGGGCTCTCCACACATTGGGATGTTGTGTTGGACAGCGCGGCGTACCAGTGGCTCGTCGCCCGATTGCAGCGGGAGTTGCTGTTGGATACGACGACGGCAGATTGCATGGAGGCAATTCGAGGGGACATTACTGCCGCCTTCCCGAGATCCAACACAGTCAGCAGGAGCCGCTCCACAGAAGCCCACAAAATGATCTTTCAAGTGCGTTGGGATCCAGTGACATTTATCAAAGACCAGGAATACGAAGGTAGTCCCGACGAGTCTCTAGCTGGAGCCATTACTCTAACCGGATCGCCGAGAGATGCACAAGCGCTGACATGTGCACAATACGTACGCCAGATGTGGCCGTGGGTTGAAGAGCTTACAATGCAGTTCGTCCAAGATACTGTCCGCAGTCAGCCCGGCGAGCGACACCAATGTGAGTCGTGGAGCTCAAGCGCCTTCACCCTACTCTCTAACAGCATTTCTGCAGATCACTTACCTGACTATACGCAGCTCACGGCATGGCTTGAGGACTCTGAGGTTATCGTAGAAGTTTTCGGCCCAGCGTGTAGCATCGTGGAAGTCGGCGAACAATTGGCGTGGTTGGGCGCTGCTCTTTGCTCCTCGCCCTTCGACTCTGGGATCGCACTTCGCACGCCATTCATTTCCGATATCCGTAACGACGACCGTCTTAGCCGCGTATTCAATACACTGTCTACGACCGGAGTCATTTGCACGATCGACTTCCACATGCGGCTGGAGGTTCCGGTCCGCTGGCCACCTAGTTGTCAGTGTTGGCACAACTTATTTAAAAATCCAGTCCTTGTTGAAGGGTATCCGACTCCTCGGCGCGCCGAGCACAATACAGGCCTAGAGATCCCTCTCAATGTTATGGCGGAGCTGATCGGGACGCAAAGCCTGAACATCTTCAACGGTAGGCTGTTCATTAAAGGGTTCTCGGCTATGTTGGTCCCTACGAAACAGACCGGAGACCAACTTCTCTGGCACTTAATTTTTAATAAAGACGGAAGCCGGATACCGTACTTTTATGAAACTGATGACCACGCGGAAAATCTCTCGCTCGCCTATGTGGAAACCGCTCGACATATTGTCGGCTGGTGTTCCGAGGCGAAATACTGCGCCGGTAGGAAGAACCCTTCCATTCTACAGAAAAGTTGTTTACTGACGTGGTCTCTATCTAGGTGCGGCCGACGCCGTGTATACAGTGGAAAAGAGCAGACTCCAGCGGCCACACAAAGGTTGCACGTTCGAAAACGTAGTCATCCACCAGGGAAAGATCATCTTGAACGGTGTTCGGCCCAGCATCGGCAACAAAGACAGCCCCATTCACATTTCGCGAAATTACTATGTGTATAAAATTCGCTGGATTTCGCAGAAGTTCGTCGTTCTATGGGACGAGGAAGACAAACGCGGTTGGCTGGTTAACGGCGCCAGCGCGTTACTACACCTCCTGCGCGCCTATTTGGAATATACCAAAAGTAGCAACATCAAATCTGCGTTTTTATTCAAGGCCGAGGATATGAAGGAAGCAGAACTACAGCACACTGCCAAGTCGGCCGTCGAGATCCTTCTGGACGAGGTCAACATGGACTTAAAAATCTTCAAACAGGGTACCGGCTACATTCGCTTCTGTAATCAGGTGGAGTATTATTACGATATCCTAGAGCAACTAATCGACTACCAGGTCCAAGGTAGCCTTGGTTCAAGAAGTCAAGCCCGGAGATACCTCGAAGGCTGGGATTTTCGGGACTTCGTGACGACTAGAGATCCGGTCTTCCCTCGTGTGACGGAGCTTGAGTTGGTCGGGAAAGGCTGGGTGGATTTTGCTCGAGATATCCACGCCATCACCCTGTTCGGCCGTGGATTTGGTGACATTATTCAGCCACTCGGTGTCAGTCTCTGCGATCTTTGGGCTAGCTTGCCCAAGGATAAGTATTATCTCGCTGCCTCTATACTCGACCTCAAGGAAATCATGGACATACACGATGGCGACGAGACGTCTATTCCGATGAGACTGACAGGTGACGTTCTTTGGCACAACCCAGTGAAAGTTTTCAAGTGTGAGTGCGACGGAAAAGTTGGTAGTGAGCACTCCGACTTGGTCCAGGTCCTTCTGCCTTCGACTTTCAAGTTTCCCGTCCCCCCGGTCTTCTCTCAGGCTGTCCTCGAATGGAGCGCGAGCGGCGCTGTGGTCTTTGGACACAACGTAAACTTCAAGCGGTTCTGGAAGGACGTCGGAGCCCCGGAAGGGGGCGAGCCAGCGTCACCCGAAGATGACTTTGAGTTTCAATTCCATGACAGTGGTATGGGCCAGAGTCTAGAGTCTGTAGGCACTGAGAGCGAGTATTTGGCACCACAGCACTACACGGTTGGAATTGTTTGCGCACTACACAAAGAGCTTCTAGCGGTGCGGCAGTTATTTGACTTCAGGTACTCAGAGTCAGAGCTCCCCCTCCCTCGAGAAGACAGCAATCACTACGCACTGGGGCGCATTGGTCAACATAATGTTGTCACCGCTTGTCTTCCCTCCGGGGAATATGGGACTAACTCCGCCGCCGACGTCGTCACGCACATGAAGAGGAGCTTTCCGAACGTTAGGTTCTATCTCTTAGTGGGCATCGGGGGCGGGATTCCGTCTCGAGCAAACGACATCCGTCTGGGCGACGTTGTCGTTAGTCATCCAATGAACACATCGTCGGGCGTGATTCAGTATGATTTAGGAGCAGACCTCGAAGACGGGAAGTTCGTACGGAAGGGCTTGCTCCAGAGGTCATCCCGTTTCCTCATGTCGGCCGTAAGTATCCTGAAGTCGGACCCTGAGACGAAGGGGACACAACTCGCAAGCTATATCAAAAAGATTGGGGACCGCAACCCACAATACAAATACCCAGGGAGCGAGCGAGACAAGCTGTTCGAAGCTTCCTACGTGCACGATTCGAATCACGCAACATGCGAGCAGTGCCTCGCTACAAAAGAAATCTGGAGAATAGGAAGTCGACGTTTGAACTTTCCTGAAATTCACTACGGTGTTGTGGCCTCTGGCAATCGGCTGATCCGGAATGCGCAGATGAGAGACGAGTTGGGGACAGAGCATGGGGTGCTTTGCGTGGAAATGGAGGCAGCAGGGGTAGTTAATGCGGTTGATTGTCTTGTTATCCGGGGTATATGCGACTACGCAGACTCGCACAAGAATGACGTATGGCAGAATTACGCATCCGCCAGCGCGGCGGCTTTCGCGAAGGTCTTCCTGTCCTCGGTGAGATCTTCAGACGATGCACAGACGCTCTCTTCGAGGAAGAGGTCTGCATCACCGATGGAGGGCCCGTCTTCAAGGAGAAAGCCGCCTGTGAACTCGTTCTCCAATAACTTTGGAAGGCTGGAAATGAGAGATAAGGGGAAAGGGAAAGAAAGAGACGAATGAAAAGAAAACCAAAAGAAGGAAGAAATTCGTGTACCGGTACGTCTGCCGCCTCAGAGAGTTGGCTAAAAGCCTGAAGCTTCCTAAACTCTCTGGAGTCCAGTAGATCCTCAAGAGAGATGTCGTACAAAATTGTGGCGACTGGTTTTAGAGTCTCCTTCGTACAGAGGATGAGCAACGTGCTGTCTTTGAAAATGGGTAATGACCCTGTGAGACTTTGATGTAGCTTGAAATTCGTAAAGTGAACATTTGAAGTGGACCTTCCAACTTCTGGGTCATTATCGAGTAGCTACCCAAGTACGAGCACTCACTCACTAGGCTCAAGAAGAGAAGCGGGAAAAACAACACGCGGGAACAAAATAATAATATGGCATCTACGACGCTTTCTGGTCTCCTCTTCGGGCTCAGAGCTCATGTATTCATGTATTCTCTCCAACTTTACTCTCCGAGGTATATGGGAGAAGAAGGGGAGCTTTGTGGGAAGTCGTGCGGATTGATTGTATTCAGAGGGAGGTTCTATGTAAAAGGTTTTTTCCGCTTCTTCATTTTCGTGTTACTTGTTCGTTTCGTTGTGTTACAATCTTCAAGGCGGCACAGGGCTTGAGGTAGATAGGAAGGAGTATTTGGTTGCAAGCTCAAGTACATTGTGCGTCATTTAAGATGGTATCTATCTCTGCCGCTGCAATGCTTGTGTCCATGGATGGGGCCAATACATGCACGGTTGACAGCGACGTCTGGCGTCTGACAACAAAGAATTCGACTGAGGAACTCAATGCACCTCCGCCCACACGGGGGAGCGGGCGACATAGTCTTTCCAGGTCGTGAGCGGCTCGTCCAGGATCTGCAGAAGAAACATCGAGTTAGCCGTCTGGGCTTATGACCATTATGGTTCAAACAAAACAACACCCCAAAAATGGGAACTTTAACAGGAAGAGGATTGAAGAAAACTCACCGCCTGGCTCTCGGCGAGGTCGGCACCGCCGTAGTATCCGAACTGGGGCATCAGCAGCATATTCTCGAGCATCTCGTCCTGGATGGGCTCAGGCATGCCCTTTGAGGCGAGGATTTTCTTGAAGGCCTCCTCGGGAACCTGTCGGGCGGCGCCGCCCTGGCCATCCTGGGTCTTGACGGCCTGGAAGTCGGCGATGATCTGTTCCGGGGTGTAGTAGCCCGTGGCGCCGTAGATGCGGGCGCCCAGGACCTGGTCGCGGTGCAGCAGGATGGCCTTGACGAACTTGCCCGTGTCGGTGTCGGCATCGAACAGCGGCATGGGCGCGTCTGTGGGGATGGGCAGCGCAAAGTTCCACTTCCCACCTTGCATGTTGTTCAGGCTCTGGCCGGGGATGTTGGACATGTAGAACCCCGGCATGAAGAAGGTCGCAGGGATGCCTAGTTGGCGGATGTACTCCTCCACCTCGGCCTTTGAGTCGAAGTGTGCGACTTTAGACAGCTTTCCGCCAGAGACTGTTGTTAACTGTTAGCTATCTATAGCTTGGGGGCGTCCATCGCGGCACATGCATAGAGAGAAGGGGGGCTGGCTGGACATACGCTTGGTGACATTCATCAGACTGCTCCAGACCAAGTGCTGCACGCCACACTGCTTGGCCGCGTCGGCAATGTTCTTGCCCTGCTGGATCTCCGCCGCGGCAGTCTTCTTCTCCCAGAAGTTGGTCACCGCGTACACGGCATATGCGCCTTGAAGGGCATGGATGAGAGACTCCTTGTCGTCAAGGTCGGCCTAGAACACACACAGATCAGCCAGGCAGCTTCCCCAGGAAATTCCTCTCTGACGTACTGATACACACTCGCAGCCTTGCTTGGTCAGCTCCTGCGCCGCCGGCTTGGACGGATCTCGAGTGATTGCGCGGATGGAAAACATGGAGGCCGTCTTTGGGTCGCCCAGCACGGACTTGATCACAGAGCCGCCCTGCTTGCCCGTGGCCCCGAAGACCACGAGCACCTTCTTGGTGTGGCCGTTGGTTTGTGCTGCGCCGGACATCTTGGAGCGAATGCTATCGATGATTCCCATTGGGCGGGGTATGCGTGTGTCTCTTGTCTGTCTGTGGACGTGTAGAACAAAGGAAGACTGAAAAGACTAATCAATTCTTTGCTGAAACTCACTCGTAGATTATAGATAGCTTATGACTTGGAAAAAGAATGATGAACCCCCTTGTAGGCGGCGAGATTCAGACGTTTTAAATATCGCCATGGCAAGATTGTGCCCTGTGTACACGAGACAAACATACATCACTGTTGTGCCCCCCTTTCGTTCCCTCCCCCTTGTCTGCTGGCATCAGGTTTCCAGCGATCGGGTGCGTCAAGATCGAGGATTGACATGGAGCTGATGATGTATTTGTGAGCCATGTCGGCGTTCGGTAAAGAATGACGCGAGTGATTGGCAATCCAACCCAACCAACTTTGTAGGTTCCTGGGATGTAGCATGTGAATCAACATCCCTGGCATCGGCCTGATACGAATAAGCGGCAAGGCGGCAAGCCAAGCCAGGGCCCGCCAAGACCCAATCGGGCCGTATCTTCGGTCAACGACCATCAAGGCGGCCGCTCCCCACCACCATCAATAGGTATTCCTGGATCTTGAACAATCGAAAGCAGCTTGCGTCTACCGGCATGATGAAAGAATATACCAAGAACATTTTAGGTCGATGTAGCGGCAAGATGTATACTAAAAGAGGTTTGTCAAGTTTTCCCTTTTCCCTGCGCGGCGGTCAGACTCACCCTTTCAACTGCGCCTGGACCCTATTTGCAGCGACGTGAAACTTTCCTACTCTCTCGAGTGTTGTATTTCTAGGACAATGACTTTTACGGTTCGCGAACCAGTGCCGACGTCCCGGCTGGACGGCAAGGTGGCCATCGTGACGGGATCCGGGCGTGGCATCGGACGCGGCATTGCCATCGAGCTTGGAAAACGCGGCGCGAATGTCGTGGTCAACTACTCGCGGAGCGCGAAGCCGGCCAACGAGGTCGTGGCGGAGATCGTGTCCAACGGCAGCGATGCGGTCGCCATCCAAGCCGACATCTCCCAACCGGAGCAGATCACGAAGCTGTTCGAGCAGGCGCAGTCGCACTTTGGCAAAATCGACATCGTGGTGTCCAACTCGGGCATGGAGCACTTTGGCAGTATCGACCAGATCACTCCCGCGGCGTTTGACCAGGTCTTCGCGCTCAACACGCGCGGGCAGTTCTTCGTCGCGCAAAACGCGTACAAATTCCTGAGCGAAGGTGGAAGGCTCATGATGATGTCGTCCATCTCGGCGCACGTCGGCATGAAGGAGCACGCGCTCTATTCCGGCAGCAAGGTCGCCGTCGAGGCCTTTGGGCGCTGCCTGACCAAGGAGTTTGGCCACAAGAAAATCACCGTCAACGTCATCGCCCCCGGCGGCGTCGATACCGACATGGCCGCCGAGGCAGGCTGGAAGTACATTCCCGGTGCCGATCCGTCGTGGACCGCCGAGGATATCTCGAAATGGGTCGCAGCCCGGAACCCGCTCGAGAGGACCGGCAAGCCGCAGGATATTGCGCGCGTGGTGGCGTTTCTGGCCAGCGAAGATGGAGGCTGGATTAACGGTGAGTTTGGATGTCATTCAGGCACGACCTCCCTTTTCGTCCATATGCTGACGCTTCGATCCAGGACAAACAATCACAATCTCAGGAGGAGCCCTCGCGTGAGCATCGAGTCGCTGTCTGAAAGTGGCATGTTGTCTTCACTAGCTCTGGCCAAAGTGGCGCCAATGGTACACATAGACATAGACCACCAATAGCAGGCTTCTAAACCCATTGCTTCCAATCTTTGCATTCCTACGAGTCTTCCTTCTCTAGTTCTTAGTCTCGCCCACAGCACTAGCTTCGTCCCGTTGAGCCGTTTCACCAACCATCTCCCGGGTCGAGATTCCAATCCACTGCATAACACATGGCCCGCGACGCCGCCTACGTAACGGTACGATCTAAGATCTTTCGCATATGCATAGCGGAATGTATGCATCTAAGTGCATGAAGCATCGAGATCTCGAATCAACCCGCATATGCCATGTTGGAAAGTGGCTCCACTTTTTTCTGACAGCCCTTCCAGGGGTTAACCGCCGAGGACGGTGACCGAAGCAAGGCTGAACACGAAACAGCCCCAGACGCAGCAATCACGATGACATTGTCCAACACCGCAGAGGTCATAAAACATGGACTTTTGGGAACCAGCAGTTCTGCGAGTGCACATTCCCATGTTTTGAGGATCTTTCAACTCTTTTTTCTTGTCTTGTTTGAATTTCGTAACTCTTGAATAAGTTGTATTCGCTGTTATGGGTTCGATCGGTTCCTCGGGCCCGATGGGCAAGGAAAGGATCACTTTTGATGGTGAGTTCGGGTGTCATTTTCCAAGATATGGCTTCGTTGAATTGATGGAGGTGCTGATGAAAACTTCTGCAGAGTGGCTTGATTGCAACGGCGTGCTCTACGAGTGGGCGGACTGCTACGATAACAAGGCAAGACTTAACTCCTCCCCCCTCCCCCGAACACCAATTGAAAAATGACATTCGATCTAACACTTTGAGGGGCCAGAATTGGTATGGCTTGATGGACATAATCGCGCCGACTCTTACCGTACGATCGTTCCCCCCCCTTTCCAGCCCTTCTGGGCATTCCCAATGGCTCTATGACACTGATTGTCCGGAAAAAACCAGATCGACTACGACAAAGTCAACAACGCCAAATTCACCGACCTCCCCGCCGAGAAGTACATCTCGATGATGTCGGACCCGCTCTTCCTGGGCGACGAGCTCATCTCCTCCCAACACCTGATCGGGGCCACCAAGTGGGAAAAAGTGTCGGGCGAGGAAATCGTCTCGCACCACCAGTCGCGCGCCGCGCACCAGCGGTTCGAGGACGTGCGGCGCAAGGAGGTGGCCGTCAAGGGCCACGGGCATGGGACGGTGACCACTTTTTACAAGAAGATCGAGGGCCAGTGGAAGTGGGCGGGCATCAAGACAAAGGTGATTTGGAATGAGTTTGATTTTGAACACGTCTTTAGGGGCACGGCGGGGAAGGAGGAGTGAAGGAAATCCCCGCATTCAAAACAAAACAAAGAAAAGGTGTTTGGGTTGTATACCCTTCGTGTGGGGTGTACACTCTGTATGAATAGAGAATTGGTACTCGGTATGATTATTAGGTGTCTAGGTATATCCCCAGACGGGAAACGTGGGGAGCAGGCTTGGCGCTCGGCATAGCGGCCCCTGTTGGCCTCAGCCTTGTTCACCCTCAAGGAAACGGCGCAGCTTCAATCCACCTCTTGCCTCCGCAGAGCACTTCTCTCCCAATCTTCCGCCATTTGGAAGTCATTTGCCGCAGCTGCCGATATATCCGGGGAGATGTTGGCTAATACCCCGAGAAATTCATACACACGTGTCAATTTCCAGCTTTCCAGGCCACGGCTCAAGCCACCATGGACTTGAGACGCAGCTCGTAGACAGTGAAAATCTCCGCAATGGCCGGAAATTCAGAATTTGCCCACCTCGAAACGTGTCTGCCATTGGCGACGTTCTCCAGGCTTGGAAATGGTAAATCTCCGCTTCACTTCCGCCGTCGGCCCCCAGCCACGAGGTGATCACTGCCCGCGTTCCGCACGCCGTGGCCTTCCTCCTGCACTTGAATCTCGATTTTGTCGATCCTCAGGTGCAGCTTGCGGTTAGCCATCAACACGTCAAATGACGTCGGTTAGGGTGTGGGATGGAAGACCAAGGATTCAACAGGTACTCGGTCACCGACGTCTCCACACAGCCAGGATGAGAAACCAAGCCTGTCCAGGTGCTGCCAATGACGACTGACCACAATGAGCTCGACGAGCTCCAAGCTCCAAGCTCCAGGCTGCTTTAAAAAGTATCAGAAGACGCGTAAACACAGACTGGTTCTGGCGCGACTTTCAATTCTGTTGTTCCAGCGCCTTTCCGAGGGTTGTCGAGTCAGGTACTTCTGTTGACGTTGTGCTTTCCCTTCTTCTCCTCGTGGTATCAAGATGTTGTTTGTAACTCGCGGAGGAATGTCCTGGAAGGCTCTCTTCACCTGCGTGCTCGCGCTACTCTCGAGCACCGTTATAGCAGCTCCAGGCTCAAACTTCAAAGCCCTACAACAATGTGTCAACGGTGCTCTTGCAGGGGGAGGAAATGTCGAAAAGCGCGTGCAATCACCTGCAAACGCGACCTGGGACGATGCCTATATTGGTGCCATCATGTTCGTGGTCTGAAGCCGATTGCGAGGAGATGACTGACTCACATTTTCTGTAGCAAGCCAGAGACTCCCGCCATGATCGCTTTCGCTGAGAGTTTCACTGAAGTGGGCGCGTTGATGGGCTGCGCTAACACCACCGGTTACCAAGCTGTTCCTCGTTCAGGACGACACCAGTAAGCATTGCTTGGACTCTGTTGGCGAGCTCTTCTGACAATCAAATACAGCTTCGAGGGCTGGTCGGCACTCAACGGCTCTCTCGTCATCGACGTATCATCCCTGGATTATATCAAGGTTTCCAGTGACCTCAGCAACGCGACAATCGGAGCTGGTGCAAATCTTGGTCAAATATACACAGAGTTGAGTGTTGTCAATAAGACATTCCTCGGAGGCATCTGTCCCACTGTTGCTCTAGGAGGATACCTCGGTGTTGGAGGATACAGCCTTCAGCACAGAGCCCTCGGGATTGCAGTCGATCAGGTGCTTTCCTTCAAGGCAATTTTGGCCAGCGGCGAGCTTGTCACCGTCTCTCCTACCTCATACCCAGACTTGTGGTTTGCTGCAAGGGGTGGCGGTCAATACGCCTTCATCGTTGAGGCAACAGTCAAGATTCTCACTTTGCCACGATCCGCCATGGTCGTTGGCTTCTATAACAACTCGGACACCCGGTATGAGGTGGCCAGAAAATGGCTCGACTGGGCACCGACTGCGCCGAAGGAACTCACAACCCAGCTTAATGTCTATAGCAACCGCACTCACCTGATCGGCTGGTACTTGGGTGGTTCTCCCGAGCAGCTTCGAACAGCCTTGAACAGTTCAGGTCTTTTGGACGTCGCAGACGGAGTTGTGTCCATCGATGGAAACTGCAGCACGGCCAATTCTCGCATGTACTGGCAAGATCCTTCGACAAGGTGCACTGATGATGCGTCGGCCTACAAAGCTTTCCTCAAGGTGTACAACACCGAGTCGATCAACCTGACTCCGATACAGCCGGCTTTCCGCCTTGATAATACACCAGCCCTGCCATCTGAACCTGTCGCCGAGCCATGGCCCCGGTTCGGCGTCATCAGCAAGACCTACTTTACCCAGAAGAGCAGGCCCATCACAAATGACACTCTGAAGGAACTCATCAACAGTTCAGCTTCATTAGGCGAGGAAGCCGGCTTCTGGGGCGAATGGACCAGCTTTGGCATCGCGAACCCGACCACAACATCAGCCTTCCCTTGGTTGAAGGAGGCGCAGGCTTTGCTGCGAATCGAGATGAACTCGCCAAAGAATGTGACCCAGTACAATCAGAACCGTGCGTGGCTATTGAACTTTGAGAAGTTCTTCCGTCCTAGAGTAGGGTATGTACTTGCTTTCCGTTCGATGTCATCGATGCAACTGCGTTTGTCAATTTTGACTGACTTCTGACCCCTCGCGCAGAAATGCGAGCTATGCAGGATATGTCGATGCTGACATCAGTATCAATCCTCTGACTGCATTCTACGGCAACAACACCTGTCGCTTGATCAGCATTAAGCAGAAATATGACCCCAACAATTTCTTCCGAAACCCGTTCTCTGTCCCCACCCAGGTACCAAAGGGCATTTCTTGCTGAGCTTGGAAGCCGGCACAGTGAAATTCAACAACAGAAAGTGAGGTGATGGTGTAAGATAGTTGCTATTTGAGACACAAGTAATACGCAAAAAGGAGGGACAGTAGAGAGAAAGATCGTGGAATGCAGATCGGGGTTAGGTAATTGAAAATCAGCAATCAGAAACAGTCCTCGTGAGACTCTTTGACCTACAAGAATGTCAACTGAGCGAATCGAGCACTGGCAGAGTCTCAGGTTCCGAGTCCAGAAGCTGCTGTAACTCTATTTCCCGTCGTGTTGGTGACAACCGTGTCACGACCAGGTATAAAGGCCGAAATGAAGCATCGTGAATAAACCGTATCCCTGTAAAGATTCGGTCAGAATGAGAATGAGACTAGGTCCTGTAACATGGCAACCGCAACTGGACGAGGCTCTCTGATGTCAGTAGCATGAATTCTCCTCAATACAAGCTCGATAAGCGGGCGTACTGAGGATCGAGCCAATGAGAATAGATGAGTTGCCACAAGGCTTCGGTCACCGTGAAGTGTTTCGGACAGGAGGCTGCCCCATGCGACACTGGAGCCAAGAGGTAATCAATCCGTCCAGATCGAAGATATCACGGCTTTGCCATGACATCAGCTCCTGTTCGGACATGCGACTTGGGTATATCACCCTGAAAGTCTCAACTTGGAAGCATAACTCAGCAAGCTTGTTTCGAAATTCCACGAAGACAGTTATCTTGATCCGTTCATCTTCACCATGACCGATTTCTGGCCCAAGAAGCCCTTCTCCATCGCCATCATTGGCGGAGGCCTTGCTGGACTCAGTCTGGCTCGGGGCCTCCTCCGCCGTGGCATTAGCTGTCAAGTGTTCGAGGCCGCGCCTGCGTTCGCTGACATCGGAGCGGGTCTCAGCTTTGCCCTCAATTCTTTGGAGGCACTGAAAGCCGTCGATCCCGACTCCTACGAATGTTTCCTCAAGCGATGCAACGAAATGTCGGAGAAGAAGGACGTATACATGACGTACCGAGACGGGAACGCAGAAGACAACCACCCGCTTACAACACTGTACTGCAAAGGTTCGGGCCAGCAGGCCGTGCACCGTACACTGCTAGTCAAGGTCTGGACAAGCTCTTCCAAAGTAACAGCGAACAATCTTCTGACAGGATTCAGGACATGGTGTCCTTGATGCCTGAGGGCACATGGCATATGGATAAGAGGCTGACAACCATCGAGGAGAATCCATCCGGCGGAGTTAGCTTGAGCTTCGAGGACGGTACAATGTTTGACGCCGATGCTGTGGTCGGGGCGGATGGGATCAAATCTAGAACTCGACAAATCCTCTTGGGAGCAGACAATCCCGATGCGAAGCCGAAGTATTCCGGAGAGTTCGGCTACCGCAGCCTTGTGCCCATGGACAAGGCTGCAGCGGTTTTAGGCGAAGACTTCGCCAAGAACGGCAATGTTAATATTTCAGATGGCGCCCTTACAACGACGTACCCTGTCGAAAAGGGCACCATGCTCAATGTTGTGGCAGCGCGCGACCAACCAACCTGGGATGATCCAAGCTGGGTTATTCCGGCAAATAAGGAGATGGTCGAAGAGGAATTCAAGGAAACTGGACCACAGATGCAGAAAGTCGTGTCTCTGTTGGAGAACCCGCAAAAATGGTCGCTTTGGCACCACCCAGACGCCACTACCTTCTATCGTGGCCGATTCTGCATTATTGGTGATGCTGCGCACGCGGCCACTCCTCACCAAGGCGCAGGTGCCGGACAAGCGTTCGAAGATGCTTTGGTTCTGGCTCGACTTTTGGCGGATGATAACATCAAAACGGCCGATGATATTCAAACCGCATTTGCTGCATTCGACGCCATCCGCCGACCACGGACTCTGAAGATTGTCGACACTAGCAGAGAAAATGGCGAAATCTGCATGAAAAAGGGTGAGGATACAGGGGCAGACCTCGAAAAGATCAAGAATAATCTAGACCACCGCTTTAACTGGATCTGGTACGACAACCTCGAGGGACAGGTTGAGGAGGCCAAGGATAAGTTGAAGGATTTGAAAGGTCCAGAATTTGAGGAAGACAAGCGATCTCCCTCACAGCGCGAGGCTCTCGATGAGTCGACTCTGGAAGCCTCTTACCGACCCGCAATTCTCAGGAACGAGAGCCTTTCGCAGTTGGGTGCTCCGTCAACCCAAGCTGTGAAAGTGTGATCTGGAAGGGTTTCTATTCACGGCGTAACCCGTTCGTCTCTACCATCGACTTTTCGGGGTTGGAGTTGTTTGAGAAAGCATTAGCCGTACCATAGCCGCAAACGAAACCTTTAGATAGACAATTCGAAATATTGGACTGGGGACAGATCTTCCACCCTCGCAATTATGGCTCCACCTCCTACTACCAAAAAAGCACCCAAGCTCGGTACAGGGGAGTCAGTTTGATGAAGGATAGAGCCACAGTTGCCGCGCGCTCTCGCGGAATTTGGAGGGTCTAGACTGTGGAATTCGTCGACTTGCTTCAATCTCGCAATCGATGCATGCAGCAGAAAATGCAGCGTCAAAGCTCGATCTACCAGGAAGCAGTCGAGATCGAAGATAGCAGTCGAGATCGCCAGCTTGCCATTTCCAGTCGTTCGAAATGGATTCGTTTGCCCGCACGAATCAAAGGGCCATTGGTAAGCGGTTACACTGCTAAGAATTGACCGGCGAGCGAAACTCGGTGGATATTTGGAGCTGCTCAAAACGCCAATGATCCACAGCAAGATGACAATCCATGGAGCACCGTGTCTGCTCCCCTGGTGGCGGCGTCCGATGTCGTCATAAGATAGATTCGCCGGTCAGTAAATGCACCGGACCCTTTTGAGCCTCTGCTTCGGACAGCTGTGGTCTGTTCGCCTGACGGTGCTGCTCGTGCCATGTGCATCCTGTGGAGAAGACAGGCACTCTGAGCACTCTGTGAAGTGCCAACGTAGTTTGCTGATTGGGTGCATTTCTGCGTGAATGGCAAGACCTTCAAACGTCATCGCAGATTGCCTCTTGTTCCATGTGCTTGGTTCCATTGTGCCCCTATAGCTCCAGTCTTATCGGTGGCCGATAGTTCTTGGAATTCAGTAGGGTTCGAGGTTGTTTCGAGAGACTTTCGCAGTAGAAAAGCACGTTGAGGGCTCTCCCAGCTTTCATATCTGGACTGATTCAGTCTCTAAATCTGGATTCAGTGTCCCCCACCAATGTGTCTGCCTTTCTCTAGTGCAGACATTCCAACCACCATGGGACGGGACATCAAGGTTCTCCTATTCGGAGATCAATCGGAAGAAAGATTCGATGACTTGCGCGACTTAGTGACAGTTACCGACAACCCTCTTCTGAGCTCTTTTATTGAAAAGGCATATTTCATCTTGCGAGACGAAGTCACCCATCTCCCTCATGTGACGCGGGGCTTGCCGGGCTTCACCAGCATCGAGACCTTGCTGTGGCGGTATAGGGAAGCGGGAGTGCGACATCCAGCAATTGAAAGCGCGTTGGTGTGTATTCATCAGATTGGGACTCTGCTGAGGTGAGTTGGAAGTTGGGAGTTGGCAGTTGTCGTTTCTCCTGTTGAGGACTCGGGAGGTGCACGTGAATGCCAAGCCTTGGGCGGGGTTTAGAGCCAATGGTGCAGGCTGCCATCACCAGGCGCCGTCCATCCCGACAGGCAACATGCACCAGCCACGCATCCTCGACATCCTCTGTGCTGAGAGACGTTGTTCATAAAATACTTGCTAACCTTTCCCCGTCAGATACTACGGAGATGGATCCGAGATCTATCCCAAGCCCGAAGATACCAGACTCGTGGCATCATGTACTGGACTGCTCTCTGCCGCCGCCGTCAGCTGCGCGCGTACCTATCGCGAGCTTGTCTCTGTCGGCCTCGAGGCTCTCAAGCTTGCATTCCGTGTGGGCGCCCAGGTCACCGAAGTGTGTGAGGAGATTGAACAGACGTCGCTGCCAAGCAGTTGGGCAGCCATCTTCCCCGGAGTGGGAAAGGAATCGGCCTACTTAGCACTCGATGACTATTACAAGAAAACTGTAAGCGCAATCCCCTCTCCATATGTTGGGCCTCAGTTGCTGAATCAATGCTACCGCTGCAGAAAATCCCCCCAACTAGCCGACCTTATGTGTCTGCGACCAGCACCAACTCAGTCACCATCAGCGCCCCACCGGGAGACTTGGAAAGGTTGATTGAAGACGGAATCTTCAAATCTTGTCGACCAATTCGGCTTCCCATCTTCGGGCCCTACCATGCACCTCATTTCTATAGTGACGAGACGGTGGTCTCTTTGGCCACGTCCATCGAGGGCGAGAGCACCGGCCAATGGAAAGCGCGAATTCCCATTATCAACAATGGCAAAGAGTATGCCTACGACGCGTCCAATTTCCGTCAGCTGGTTGAGGATGTCCTCGAAGACATTCTGCTAAAACCTCTACATTGGGACAGACTGTGTACCAACTGTGTGGCCAGCGTCTCCTCGGCTGAACCAGAACAGTGCCGTGTTGTTCCTGTGGGCGCAAAGAATGCCTCTGCTAGCCTGGTCAATGCCTTGAATCACAAAGCTTCATTCAAGATTGTGGTTGACAACCGCAAAACAGAGGTTACTGACGAGCCTAAGGAGCCCAAGCCAATCGGAGGTCTTGGTAAACCCAAGATTGCTATTGTTGGCATGTCTGGCAGATTCCCGGATGCCATGAGCCCGAGCTTGTTCTGGGACCTTTTAAAGAAAGGCCTTGACGTTCACCGCGAAGTGCCCCCGGATCGATTTGATGCGCAAGCACACTACGACCCGAGCGGCAAACGAAGAAATACAAGCCATACACCGTATGGTTGCTTCATCGACCATCCTGGCTTGTTTGACGCCCGCTTTTTCAACATGAGTCCCAAGGAAGCGGCTCAGACAGACCCTATGCACCGTCTTGCGTTGTTGACTGCTTACGAGGCGCTCGAAATGTCGGGCTTTGTCCCTAACAGAACACCTTCAACTATGGTTGATCGAGTCGGCACATTTTATGGCCAGACTTCTGATGACTGGCGAGAGATTCAAGATGGACAAAACATCCAAACATATTTCATCCCTGGTGGGTTCTCTTCTCCTTGTGCTTCAAAATTTGGCATTTCTAATCGTTTGTAGGAGGTGTGAGAGCTTTTGCACCGGGGCGAATCAATTATCATTTTGGGTTTTCCGGCCCTAGCTTCAGCGTCGACACAGCATGCTCTTCTAGTCTTGCTGCAATTAACATTGCTTGCAACTCCCTCTGGCTTGGAGACTGCGACACTGCGCTTGCCGGTGGTCTCAATGTCTTGACAAACCCAGATATCTTCTCCGGGCTGTCGCGTGGCCAGTTCTTGTCCAAGACGGGCAACTGCAAGACATTCGACGATGCAGCGGACGGTTACTGTCGCGGAGACGGCGCCGGCACGGTAATCCTTAAACGTCTGGAAGATGCTGAAGCGGATAACGACCCGATTCTGGCTGTCATCCTCGGCACAGGGACCAACCACTCTGCCGATGCGGTGTCGATCACTCACCCTCATGCGGGTGCGCAGGAGTATCTCTTCAAGAAGGTGCTTACAGAGTGTAACCTCGATCCTCATGATATTTCTTACGTGGAAATGCACGGTACTGGTACCCAAGCAGGTGATGCCATCGAAATGGAATCGGTCCTGGGAGCATTCGCTCCAGCGAACCGGCAGCGTCCTCCAGAGCGGCCACTTTATCTAGGGTCTGTGAAAGCGAATGTCGGACATGGCGAGGCTGCTTCGGGTATCACTGCCCTCGTCAAAATCCTCCTCATGCTTGAGAACGAACTCATTCCACCTCACTGCGGTATCAAAGGCAGCATCAACCACAATTTCCCTGATCTTGGGGCTCGCAATGTGCACATCTCTCTTGGTCGCGAGACTCCCTGGAAGCGACCGCAAGGTGGCAAACGCAGAATGTTTCTGAACAACTTCAGTGCCGCAGGAGGAAACACCTCACTTCTCATGGAAGATGGAGCTCTACCTACTTTTGACGGCGAAGATCCTCGCTCGACTGCTGTCGTTGCGGTTACTGGTAAGACCAAGAAAGCCTTGGTTGACAACACAAAGAACCTCATCGGTTATATATCCGACAAACCTGTAGATCTCCCATGTTTGTCCTACACCACGACAGCAAGAAGAGTGCACTACTCGTACAGAACGATTGTTACCGGCTCCGATCTGGCTGCCATCAAGTCAGGGCTTCAGAAGTCCCTGGAATCTGAGCCAACTTCTGTTCCCTCGGGTGTCCAGATGGTGTTTGCTTTCACTGGACAAGGATCTCACTATACTGCCATGGGCAAACAGCTTTACGAAACCAACAACCAATTCAAAGCTGATATTCGACGCTTCGATCTGCTTGCTCGGAATCAAGGACTGCCAGCTATCTTACCCTTGGTCGATGGCAGCACTGAAATTGAAAAGCTCAGCCCAGTGGTGGTGCAGACCGGAGCTGTTTGTGTTCAGATGGCGCTCGTTCGATTGTGGAGATCCTGGGGTATCAAGCCCGCCGCAGTCATTGGTCACAGCCTTGGAGAATATGCGGCTTTGCAGGCTGCTGGTGTGTTGTCTATCAACGATGCTGTCTTCTTGACAGGCACACGGGCTAAATGTCTCGAGCAACATTGTACGATGAACACGCACGCAATGTTGTCTGTGGCTGCCTCAGTCCAGGAACTTGAAGAGGTTGTCGACGGGAAGACGCTTGAAATCGCTTGCATCAACGGCGCGAAGGCAACAGTGATCAGTGGAGAGTCTTCCGACATTGACAAGCTGAAGGAGCAGTTGTCCTCCAAAGGCATGAAATGCACCAAGTTAGCAGTGCCTTTCGCGTTCCACTCCGCTCAAGTAGAACCTGCTTTGGACGACTTCGAAGCAGCCGCCGCCGGCGTCACCTACAATGCTCCGAAAATACCTCTCATTGCTCCACTACTGAGCACTGTGATCAGGGATGGAGGAACAGTCAACGCAGAGTATCTGAGACGTCACTGCCGTGAGCCGGTGAACTTCCTGGGTGCCATTCAAGCTGCAAAGGACAAGGGCATTATCAAGGATAAGTCCCAGTTCCTAGAAATCGGCAGCCACCCGATCTGCAGCGGCATGGTCAAATCGATCCTGGGCCCGACTACTGTGGCACTTCCGTCATTGAAACGGGACGAAGATGTTTACAAGACTCTTACAGCGACTCTGTGTGGCCTTCATTACGCTGGCCTTACAATCAATTGGGATAGCTACCACGAAAGCTTCCCCCGCTGCCAGCAGACCCTGAAGTTGCCAGCCTATGCTTGGGACGCCACAAACTTCTGGATCAATTACGAGAACAATTGGACGCTCACCAAACCTAATCTAGCACCGATCTCTGAGGGCGAGCAACCCAAGAAATTGAGCACAAGCACTGTCCAGCGTGTCGTGGAAGAGAAATTCCAGGATCAAACTGGCACTTTGACCACCGAGACCGATATTTCCAAGCCGGAACTCGAGGAGACCATCAAGGGTCATCTTGTGAATGGCTCCGCCTTGACTTCCAGTGCAGTCTACGCAGACATGGCGCTGACTATTGGTGATTATGTTCACCGCAAGCTACAACCAGAGATTGATAAATTTGCGTTAAATTGTGCCAACATGGTGGTCGAAAAGCCCCTCATCTTCAAGGGTAGCGAGCAACTTCTCCGCGTCGACTGCAAGGCGGATCTCACTCAGGGTACCTGCTACCTCACCTTTTACAGCGTCGGCCCCAAAGGACAGAAGCTCATGGAACACGCCCATTGTGAGGTTCAGTATGGTGATGCAGAGAGATGGTCTACGGATCTGGCTCGACAAAAGTACCTTGTGCAGAGCCAAGTTGACCGGCTGTTGCAGATGGGTCAAAATGGTGTCCTCAGCCGACTTCAGCGAAAGATGGCCTACAAACTTTTCTCTGCTCTTGTCGACTACCAGAACGCGTACAAAGGAATGGCAGAAGTCATCCTTGACAGTCCATTGCGCGAAGGCACTGCCAAAATTGAACTTCAGACGAGCAGTGCCGGCACCTTCTACATTGCACCGTATCACATCGACTGCCTCTGCCATCTCGCGGGCTTCATCATGAACGCAAACGACGAACTCGATTCGTCACAGACCGTCTATGTCAACCATGGGTGGGACTCCTTACGTTTCTTTGAGAAGCCGTCGCCGTCAAAGCAGTACCGTTCTTACGTCAGGATGCAACCTACAGGTCCCAACTCGAAGGACTACTCTGGAGATGTGTTCGTCTTCGATGGTGAAGGCAACATTGTCGGCCAGATCGGCGGCTTAACCTTCCAATTCTTGCCCAAACAGGTTCTTGACCGAGTCCTGCCACCACCCGGTGGTTCAAAGGCGGCTGCCCCTGCTGCGACTAAAACGGCCGCTGCCGAGCCAAAGAAAGCTGCCCCCAAATCTCCTCCCAAGCCAAAGGCAGCTCCTGCGGGCCCAAGTGTCATGAGCCGGGCATTGGATATCATGGCTGAAGAGATTGGTGTCCCTGTCGCAGACCTGACCGATGACACCGATCTCAGTGCACTGGGTGTCGACTCCTTGATGAGTTTGACCATCTCAGGCAAGTTCCGCGAAGGACTAGACATCGAAATCCCGTCGACCTTGCTGGCCGATTCCGAAACGTTCAAACAGGTCAAGGACTTCTTGTCTCAATTCGAGTCCAAGGATGCTGGGGCTGCGCCACCTTCGCCCTCGAGTGCCTCCTCAGTCGGGTCGACTGAACTGTCCGGAACTTCAACTCCTGCCCAAGCTGATACGGAGTCCATGACTTCTGCCTCCCAGGCTGATGAGAAACCCGCTGGAAAGGACGATGGTAAGCTTGACGCCATCCGGGCCGCTATTGCCGAAGAAACTGGCATGGATCCCAGCGAAGTCACCTCTGATATGGATCTGGAAGCCGTCGGCATTGATTCTTTGATGTCTCTTCAGATCTTGGGCTCACTGCGCGAGGACAAGGGTATTGACCTGCCGCCCTCGTTCTTCAGTGACCACAGCACTTTCGGAGAAATTGAGAAGGCGCTTGGCGGAGGCAAAGCGGAGAAGCCCAAACTTCCCTCCAAGTCGGAGGATATGTCTACGGAACAGGTCGTTGCGGAAATGCAAACCAACAAGGATCAAAAATCTGCCGAGCCTCCCAAGGAACAGCAATCTGCTCCGGCGGCTGGCACCAGCAAGGCTTTCAAGGCATCATCGGTCTTGTTGCAGGGAAACCCCAAAACCGCCACAAAGACCGTGTTCATGTTCCCTGACGGCTCAGGCTCGGCGATCAGCTACGCCACGATCCCTCCGATCTCGCCCAAGGATGTCGCTCTGGTTGCTCTTAACTGTCCTTACATGAAAGAGCCAGAAGCTTTCGAGGGCGGTATTCCAGGAGTCACTGCACTATACCTAGAGGAAATCCGTCGTCGTCAACCTAAGGGACCTTACATCCTTGGCGGCTGGTCAGCGGGAGGCATCTGCGCCTACGAAGCCTGCCTGCAGCTCTCTGCAGTGGGCGAGACAGTCGAGAAGCTCATCTTTCTTGACGTGCCGTGTCCTCTGCCACCACAGGCCTTGCCACCTCGCCTGCACCACTTTTTCGACACGATTGGCTTGCTGGGCCAGGAAGGCGAAGCGCCAAGCTGGCTCATCCCGCATTTCACGGCAACCATCAAAGCGTTGAGCAGCTACCGACCGCGTCTCATGGACCCTGCAAAGGAAAAGATCCCGAATGTATACACCATCTATGCGCAGGATGGTGTGTGCAAGAATGACGACGACCCACGGCCCGAGCTTACGCCGGACGATCCGCCACACATGAACTGGCTGCTCTTCAACCGCAAGGACTTTGGCCCCATCGGCTGGGAGAAGCTGTTCGGCGGCTCCGACAACATCATCGGTCTTGACCCCGTTCCCAACGTCAATCACTTCACCATGATGCGCGAGCCCATGGTCAAAGAGCTGCCCAGCCGCATTCAGAAGGCCTTGGACGTGACTGGCGAGTAATCTTCCAGGGCACAGGCATTGCAATGGTGGGTTCCCAGCCTCTCCACAGGCCATCTCATCTCATCTCAAGCATGAGATTTAGTGAATGGAACGGAATGCCCGACCCAGAATAAAACAGGAAGAAACCGGAGAAGATCAAAAAAGAAAAACACAAAAGAAATCACAACCCCCTTTGCTTGAAATGACCCATGCAAGCCAGCAATTCAGGGGGTTGTTTTTGGTTGCATGTTTAGACTTTGGGATAGAAAAGGGGGTAGGCAGGCGGGATGGGATACGAATTGCATTTGATACACACAGACACACACATCCACGATGGCGCTGGAAAGGAGTTGAGGGTTCATCTTGTGCACCACCGCTTGGATTCCTTTTCCCCCTTCTCAGCCCATTCCATCTTTTTCCACCCTGCCCCATCTTTCCATCGCCTTCGCTTTCAAATACTCGGTAGTTCTGGTTAAGGCGACTGTATCGTAGCTAGCCTTTCTTTTCCCCCAAATAGAATTTGCAGAGTTTCAAAAAGATTTGAGAAGAGTTAGACGGACACCTTCCCTTCCTTTAGCTTGTTGAGATTTTGAGCCCTTCCCTTTACTATCCTTTTCGGTGTATTTCTGATAACTTGAGTTGTAGAAAAAATATGAAAAGAAAAGAAAGAAAGACAGCACGAACCGACGAGGACAGCAGTCACAGTCAGCAAGTATACTATCTCTAGCCCTGCCTATGCCATGTGCACGAGCACGACCTCGACGACGACGACGCGACGTGACTGCTCCAAAAACATTCAAGCAAATAATTAAGCGATCCGAGCACATTAAGCAACAAAGCCAAAGTCAAAGCCAACGCCCGGGACGCACGCGACGCAAGATATAAGATACGAATGAGCACAGAGTTGGACTGTCTGTGTATGTACGTTATGTGCAATTCGTTTCCTGCTGCGCGTGCAGCTTCCCAATCTTGGGCCCGCGTCTTCTCAGTTCCCATGGTCATGGTCATGGTCATGGTCATGGTCCTCGGGATCGGGTCGGGTCGAGTGGCATTACATAGTCCCCAGTCGGACCATCTCGTCTCCCTGCGTATGGAGTTGCGTGCGAAGGGAAACCTGGTTACTTTTGTTCCCATGAAACCACGTTAATTCACTTTCCATCTCGAGTCACGGGTGTGCATGCATGTTCATGCCCCCCGTCCACAATGTTTCGGGGCCCACGAGGAGCTGAAGTAAGGGGCGCTTCATTTACTGCCTACTGTACTCGTACCTGGATCTTACCCGTAGCTACACTCCTAGAGGCCCCACGATGGGTCTGTATTTAAATATCCGGGTATTTAGGGTGGTCATCGGGACCCATTCAGGACATCATGTGGGTTGACGACCCAGGCCCAGGCGTCGGCTAGTGGACCGGTGATGGCAGGAGCAATATTTGCTACAGGCAACATTAGATACTGATAACGTGGGAGAAATCCGACTGTTGATATGTCATTGTGCAGGCAGGCAGGCAGGGAAGTAAGCCAGGAGGGAGGCAAGGAAGCAGTAGGCAAATAGACAGCGGTTATGATCCGCAGTGGAATCCTTCCACAAAGGGGGCGAGAAGAAACCCAGAACAAGGAGCAATGACGAGGGAAAGATGAGGAAAGGGAAGGTAGCCAGAGTCCAGCGAACGCCCGACGCCAGGCAACGATGGACAAAGACGGTCAACCGCGGCGTCCAGGACCACAAATGGTCAAGCAAAGTGGTGATTGCTGTTGTCATGTGGTGAGTTGTTCATCTTTGCTTTTTCTCTTAGCATTTCGGGGGCCGATACGACGTTGTGTTGGATCTTGCCAGCGGTGGGAGCGTCAGCGCCTCACAGAAAGAATGTTGGTAGCACATCATAATGCGTCCTACCGAAGATGGATCGTCCCAAGTCGCTGGAAATGGCTGATATCGTGGTGATTTGATACCTTAGGCCCCGGATAGTCAGGCATAAAAATATGACCCAACGCATATCCCGAGGCAGAGAGGAGGACAGTCTTGTACCTACGAGGTACTTATCTCGATTCACAGAACCCAATGACGCCACACGTGCGCTTCCGCTATCTGACAGAGGAGTTTAGAAGGGATAATCAGATCAAGCCTGTTGACATGTGAAAAATAAGAGCCGGACGCGTTTCCCGGTTGATGCCACTCCGGTAAAGCATGGCAACCAGATTTCGCAGTGGAATCCTCCGCGCGTACTCCGTAGCGAGAATAAGCATCAATCTGCCACGGCCCAGGGCGTGGCAGTTGGAGAAGGAGGATAGTTGGAGGCGGGGTTGGCAACATACCTGCGAGCCTGATAGCAAGGAACGAGCAAGGGGGGCCAACGGGGAAATGGCGGACACAGTACCCCTGCCTACCTCGGTAGAGAATGGAGCATTTGGTGTCCAGGGTCTTCTCCATTAGCCTCTCGAGGAATTGTATCGGCTCTCTTCCTCACAGATCAAGAGAACCCGCTACTTACACAGGTATAGTGATTGTCCCCCCTGTTGGTATTATGCAATGGGTGTGCTGCTCTCGCTGAATGCCGAGGGAGGACGCCCCTCGCTTATTTTGTTGATATTCGCAGCCGGTCTGCTTGATCGTCGTATTCTACCTGGGAGCCTATCCTCGTCGGGATAGACTAGTGCCCTGTAAACGATTCAGTCTTTAGTCAGCCCTGGTGGTATTTTGAGTTTGACACAAGCCTGAAGCGAACTCCTTCTCAGTCTCCCCGTTAACATGTCTGCTATTCAATAGCCTGCGTTGATATACGACCCCGGGTTCAAGGCTCAGCACTCCTTTGGGACAACCATACACATACTTTGGTCGCTCGTGAGCCTCCGGCAGTCATCCATTCTGCAGCACTCGTAGAGGGACCATCTTGTCTGGAGACCTGATCTAGATATGATCTGCAGCGCCAGGACACCGTGCGCGCGGGGGCTCTTGAGATTTGGCGAACGTGGGATGTTTCGCTAAAGTATCGCTTTGATTTGTGGATCGGTGTTCAAAGCTGTCGTTCCTTCTGACAGTTCCTGCTACCTGTTCCGGTCTCCGGCGTTGTGTGACGAGCAATGTTTGGTCACCGTCGACAAAGGTGCCTCGACTTTCAAGTATGTCTGGTCATTTTCCTTCTGGATCGTCTCTCTGATCTTCTAACTGGGCGATCACCTACCTCCTATTCTCTAAGCTACGCGTGCTTGCGCATATGCCTTCTCAAGGAGGAGAAGACCAACGTCCCAAGGTGACTCCCGAGCTCCTAATCCATGTCACATATGTCATAATGATCAGAACTCTGGACTCGTATTCTGTCGGTTCCATCACAAGGCAGGGCCTTGCGTCAGGTCGATGTTTTCCTGAGTACTCCTGATAGCACAAAGATTCAGCCCGGCTGACGATGTCCCGCGGCCTGCGGTGAGGACCTTGTGCTACATTCCGCCGCTGGAGGATGATCTTGCAGAGCGATTCTGGGACTCGAGTGAGGTTTGACCGTAAGCTAGGACCACGGTAATTTACCTAAGGCGAGCTACTCGCTAGTAGACTTTGTTGCTTCTCCGGTCGTAAAAGCCCTAGTAGTCAGTTGTAATGGATGGTATTTGGCACGCTCCTACCCTGAATTGCCTGAAAGGTGATGCTCCTCCCTCAGAGTGTTCCATCCTTGAGGGTTGGGGCTGAATTCGCTGTAGGTAGTTTCGGCAGCCATGGGTGGCCGGCTCTTCCTTGCCGGGGGTGGGTTGGTGGACCTCTTGTAGCTGCTGCGTCTTCCCCTGCCGGAGCTGGGCCCCCATGTCGAATGAATCTACGCGTAGCCTTCCCCGGTCCAATCTTGGACTCAAAGTTGCCATAATAGCAACTAGGGTGCTGAGGTGAGCTCCAGGAGACACTTCCGTACAGATGATCAGGTGATGGATGGTGGTGACACTTTGATTTTTGTGTCTGTTGGAAGAACTTCCATAAAGTCCGGGCTGCCAGAAAGAAATCTTGGGCAAGCCTAGAATAACCAAGTGCAACGAAGATTAGGGCCAGGCGAGAGGTCCCCCACCTAGAAAGGCAGGCCCAAAACGTCCGGGGCAGGACAGTCAAAATCGTTGGGCAAGGCATCCATGCACAACACCCCGGCTTGCATGGTAGCCAGACGAAAAGCATATGCAAAGCATGAACACTCATCCACGTCGTTCACCATCGTCCTATCATATCAGTTCACTTATCAGTTCACTAAACGAGGTCGGTTAAGATCGACGAGGCGCACCCTCGCCGACCCTCTCCAGCGCATTCGCAAGGCTCGCTAATCCTGCAGTTAGTGGGAGCTAATTGTGCTTTCATCAGTGGATACTCCAACACCAGCAGTATCATGGTCGTCCACGTCGAGTTCGTATCTGGACCAGTAAGTTCAGCTGTTAGCCGAAGTCCACAGTAGCCAGCGGAGAACGAACTCAGGAGAATGGTCTTGGTGGTATATTGCTGCTCTTAGCTAGCCTTCCACGGCTTATTCTCGCAAAATGTGGTGGGATTAAGACAGAGCTTGGTGGACCATCGTTTGAACCTGACAAGCACCTCCTACCGTTGCGAAACGTGTGGCAGTTGTGGGCAACTGCAGGAAAATAATCGCGGGCGGTCAATCTCTCCGGAGCCTATTTTCATGTGTTGTCTGTTTCGCTCGCTTTCATGTTCAGGAAAACGTGGCTGGTCCCATCCTCGGGTTAATGTTCCTAGGCTCCCTCGTTGTCGTGCTTGCTCGAGTCGACTACCAAACTCGGCCGGCCACCAAACTTGTAAGACATGGTCAAGCTGGATTAAGGGTTGGCCTGACAGAAGCAACCGTTGCCTCCGTGATTTCCGTTCTGGTGGCAATGCCCAAGCCAAGACACTGCAGCCAGACCGTTTGAGATGCACGTCAGATTGACCTAAGCCTCCTGTAGCCCCCAGTGCTGATGGCGTCTCGCCGTTCAAGACTGTCCACCACAAGCAATCTGGTCGCCCTTCCGGCCCCTTTGGCTCCAGAGTTCACCAAATGGAGGGTGATGTGTGTCAATTCCGGGTACAATCGAGGGGCAAGAGCTGGTCTTCGGTCATAACCTCTCACCTCTCGCCACAGCCAAGGGCTAATCGGCTGATCGACATTGGGGCGGCACACCGGACCTCGCAAAGAGAGAGATGTCCTCAAAATGTCGAAGGCATTGGTGCAGTTTACATAAGAAAGTTTTTGTGAGACGCATCCAGATGCTCTGTTTCCATCAGATGAAAAGAGCGCAGGGATTATTGGTTGCAACCGAATTTGGCGGTAAACCCCGGCATGAATCAAGCACTATCTGGATCGTAGCTTTTCCATTCGGCACCAGGGGAAGGGTATTTGCCATTGAAACATCGCAAGTCAAGCTGACCATTGCTGGTTGGCAGATCTGGAGCGGCGCCCGGGTCATCCACTGACTCCGACCAATTGGGTTTGATCATCAGAGCAGGCACAGCTCTGTGAAGCCAGTTGACGTGATACTAGCCCCCTTGTCAGATCAGCAGTTATCTCCCTTAGTACTTTTCGAGGAGATTCCAGGCAGAGGCTGAATGGTTGAACCACCTTCCTTTTCTTCTTGGACGTTGGGATGGTATTGCAACTCTATCGGCGAGACGCTGGGAAGAGGCTGTCAGAACCTCGTTGACTGGACAAGCTTAAGAGGACTCTGCCGGCACAATTGTTGAGGCGCACGGGGAATCGACACCAAGGCGTAAGAGTTCTGTGCATAGACCGATGGTAGTTTTGATTTGGCGATATCTCTTCCATCCTGCATCCCATACCCCAGAGAACGGTGGAGAAAGGCGCCATGTTTGGTCCGCAATACGTGGCTCCGTTCAGCCCCCCATGTGGCTCGAATTGAACGGTGACCATGGCCGTCCCGCACAATCGCTCGTGGGTGCACATGGTTCTTGTTTCGCCATCCCATGAAGGCATGCCTGTTAACTTGCATCAGGTTTTGCCGATCAAGGCATGGTTTGCTAATCGCCATGTTATACGATTGCCCGAGAGGTCCCGAGTTCACCGTTTGGCTCAACGACCATTTGAATTTTCTGCATCCTTCGCGAATCCCTTGCTCCAAGTCGCTTTGCCAGTGAAGTCTGCTGTGCACACCCCTAATATTCGATCGGATTTCACTTTTGCATGCCCCCAGGCCAAGACCGGGCGCCCTCGGAGAAGCCCAGTCTTCATTCTCAGCACATGTTGACTCCTTAGAGACATGTACGAGGCTGGATACTTCAAGCCCAAGACTTCGCCAGAGAATGGAACCTCCTCCCTCGCGAATTCCAAGGCGATGGACATCAGAGGAAGATGCGGTGCTCCGGACAGAAGCGACTTATCAGTGTAGGTTGCGGACATTCGCATCTGATTGGTCACGGAAGCCTCGAAGCTGATAGAAGTCCAGTGGTCGCCGCTGGTTCAGTGAGAGATTGGAATAGGATTGCATCAAAACTCCCAGGCCGAATGAACAAGGACTGCCGCAAGAGATGGAGCAAGATATCAGAGAATGTGAAGAAGGGTAATTGGTATGTATGCCCAGATTGCCAAGGTCGACAACCGTACTGACACTGGCGTTCAGGGATCCAGCTGAAGATGCGAAACTCAGAGAGGCTGTTAAGACTATGGGCACAAGGTTTGCAAGACCAGATGCCGATGCAGAAGGCTGCCTCCGCTGACAGTTATTGACAGATGGACTCAAGTTGCAGAAATGGTCGGCACTCGTCATGCTGATCGTAGGTCGCCATCCATCATATAATCAACTTGGATGTTGAGAGACGAACATCAACTGACACCTCGCAGAATGTGCCAAGCGCTGGACCCAATGCCTTGACCCTTCCATCGACCACAGCGACTGGAGAGAAGAGGAAGACAATAGACTGCTTGCGGAGGTCGCTGCCTCTGGTCGAAACTGGAGGAAGATCGCAGAGCTGTTCCCCGGTCGTACCAAGTTGTCGCTCAAGAATCGGTGCGTTTGTCGTCGGCATCACAATGTGCCTTCTCTGATCTCCATTTGTGCCGGCTGCTAATTCACTCTCGTAGATACACTGCTCTCAGACGAAAACAGCACTCCCAGCAGATAGCCACCAGCGGCGAGAGTCCACAATTACACCAAACGTTCTCCACCCAAGCTCATCGATCTGTGAGCGACGACTTGATGCAGATATCGGACGAACTTCCGTCAAGCGAAGAGGAGATTTGTTCTTCGATGGGATCGACGAGGCCGCCATCTCGCTCCTCGAGTCACAGCAAGAAGTCTCAACACCAGACTGGGAATTTCGATATGGTCGTGGATTCCTCGTCTGGGTTAACGACTCCAGCTAGTCATACCGACTCTGGCGATCTATTCCAGTACCTGCCGCACACTCCAAATCCGAATTTCGGATTTCAACATCGTCAGAGCGTTGAGCATCCATTACTGGATTCGAGAAACTTTTCGCCGTTGCATTTGTCCACGTTGAGTGAGCCCATGTTGACACCTCGACCTGAATATTTGCCCTCGGCAATGCTCGATACTACATACCCGATGCATGCTTCTAGTCTCCCGAATGATTGGCTTTCACAGGGGACGACGTCGAACCAACACATGCATGGTTTTCCATTCCCCGAGTCTTTTGATGTTTCACCAATGAGTGGGATGGACCAACATTATCCACCTCAACAAGCGTCGTCGAGGAAGACCACCATTGTGTTGGAAGATATCGAGGAAACCACCTTGAGCAAGGTCATGAATATCCTTATCCAAGAGAAGGCAAAAGTGAGGATGGAGACGACGCACTCCGGCCGAGTTTCAGAACGTAGGTAGTGAAAGGAGGGCACAACATTCGATGAGGACTATTTTAAGATGATCGAACTATTTCAAGCAGGAGCCCTGAGCGACATCAAGTAAGCGTCGGCGTTTTTGGAGCATTGCGGATTGAATAAAGCCAGTCGAATATGAATGGATTTGGGGGTTTTTGGCGGGTTGGAACTCGGACTGACGGCCGTCAAGATCGTAACGGACTGGCAGATAGGTCGAAAAACGTGTACCTTGCTAGCCAGATATGACAATTCAATAATCTGCTGTAATACCCGGAGGCCAACGCAGTGACACATCCAATTAGTGCCAAACAAAGACGTAGCGGACCCAAGTAGACGCTCAATAGTTTTGCTCTCAGAGCAACCCATGTGCCACAGAACACAGAAGTAGCTGACTGATCGTTTACAGGACTGATCACGGATGTGCTGGCCGTGCTCCAAGCCCGGTACTTAGACAGACTTGTTGTTATTTCAGTTGCCTCGACGTTCACACTCTGGCCAAGCAGACCGGGTGCAATCTGTGGCGAACATAGTCGCTGTTGGAGGCGCAGCTCAGCCAATCCGATGATATTCGAATGGGACTGTCCAGCGCTTTTGGGATAGGGAGCGAAAGGAGGCCAATCAGAGTCTGCCTCGTGCCAATTCCTCCGCCAGTTTGGCAGATATCCATAGGAAGCACAAGATGGGAGTTGTATGTGTCTTTGAGGCTGGTGGCGATCCGCCTAGAGATTTCCATCCCAGTCAGAGGTTCAAATAATGTCACAACCTTTGGGACTGAGACGGTACTGACGGTCGTTTACTGAGTCCGCCGTCATGGAGGTATGATCTTCGACGGGGAAATCTCCGGCAAAGATGGTACTGGAATCCACCATCTTAACAGACGCTGTCTCTCCTTCTAACAGAGGACCAAATAATTATATTGAAGATGAAATGAGCTTATCATGTCTGAATGTTAAGGTTGTCTGCCCAGTGGTCCGAACTGCTTTTACCTCACACAGTGTCAAAACTTGCAACAGTCGATCGGAAGCATGGGCGCAGAAGTGGAAGGCATTTATCTCCGCTTTGTGCGATAGTGTGCGGATGACGAAATCGGCCAGGTCATTGTACTTTTGCAAATCCTGTCCAATAGACTAGCACTGCCGCTGTGCTTTGTCGGCTCTAACGCTGATGTCGAGATTTGGCTCTGTGTGAAGATGAATTGCAAAGCCTAAGCTTCATAGAACAGACAAAGTGTCTAGGTCTCGAGGATGATTGTTCGGGTGAAGATGAGGATCTGAGAGCGTTGGAATGGTTTGCGTCAAGGAGCCACTCTGCTCGCGAGATGCAGCGAGATACAGAAGTGGAGGGAGCAATAAAGTCCGGTCCGTGAGGCGTGAGCCAACAGATGAGGAGATGAAGATGATCATGACCATCCTGCGCAGTCTGCCATCTCTTGAAGTGGAAGGTCAGTACTGCCCATGGGAAAGAAGGACCTAGTAGGTGATGGAGAGTGACGAACTCAAGTGGAAATGGAGGCGATCACGTGCAGGCATCAACCATGATCCCCTCCGCCCAATAGCCTCGCGCTACACATGGTTACAAAACGGCATTGAGAGCAAAGACAATGTCACAGATATGGAGACACTAAGGAGGGGAAGGTCTGCAATATATAGATATTGTTTTTCTTTAGGGTTTGCACCAGTTCAAGGCGCCCAAAAGTCTACATGCTTGGAAAGAGGGGGAAGCAGATGAACAGCCGCTCACGACAGTGATTGAGTGGCCAAGTCAAGCATGACCCGATGATCATGAAGGCACGCACCCCTGCGGGTCCAGCTTAGTGACCTGGGTCGCAGGATAACTGCCCTCAGAACCGACGCAATGGTTGGATGGAGCAGCCAGGACATTTTACCGGCCAACCACTATCACACACCCTAGTGTCGAGTACTCCATGATCATTGATCCAGTTGGTCGCCAGTCACTCATCTGGGGAGTACATATTTGACCTCACTGTCCCACTTCTTCCTCGTGGGCCCAATTTCTCGTTGCGCAGCAGTCCGGCTCCAGAATGTTGCTGAGGCAAATTTCCATCCTGGATTGCCACGAGACGTTGAACAGGTATTGTGGGCTGACCGCGATCAATCTCGGGGCTATGCAGTGCCCAAGCAGGAAAATTAGGGTCCTTTCAGCGATAGAGGTCGTGTCCAATGGGTCATCATGGTTTCTGTCCAAGTTCCTAGTCTGTCGGGTCAGATGATGGGAGGAAGACTTCAGCTTCCGATTGACTGCAGGATTCGCCGATCGCTGGCCATTGATACGCCTCTGGCTGGAAAATCTGCGAGCTGTGCCGCCTCTCCTAGGATATCCGGTCTTCGCATAGGTCCGATGGGCTGAGTCCCTAGGTAGGTAGACCTGACTCGGAGCAATCTGCCTCCCTCTGACCGAGAGTCGGCCTTCGCAGCTTCCGCTTTCCTGTCATTCTCGCAGTATTCGATCCGCTGGTGATTTTCATCAGTTGAAGATCATGCCTCCACTGACGTGGAAGAGCTGGCCCGTGACAAACTCAGCCTCAGGGCTCGCGATGAAGTTGATCATGTGGGCAATATCCTTCGCCTGGCCGTATCGCTTGACGCATTGCTTTTCCATCGCCTTGTCGAAGATGGGTTTTGCGTGAGGCGAGCTCCAGGTTGTCTCTGTCACGACGAGGCCTGGAGATACGACATTTGCCGTTACCCCCGGACCAGCCTCTGCAGCAGTGGCCCGTGTGAAGGCGACTATGGCGCTCTTGGATGCCGCGTAGACCGCTAGGCCAGGTTCCGGGTGTGAAGCGGTGCCAGATGCTGTGTTGATGATTCGCCCATACCCTGCTTTCTGCATGTGTGGGAGCACCGCCCGGGTCAAATAGAAGCAGCTGTCCATGTTGACCGTCATGACTTTCTTGTACTCCTGAGTCGATTGCTCGAGGAGGGGGCAAAACGGGTAGATACCAGCGAGGTGCACGAGCACGTCGATTCTGCCTAGTGAGGAGACAACTTCGTTGATCATTGAACTGACTTGTTCTTCTGATGCCAGATTGGCGACTCTATAGGTCACGTTCCTGCCTTCAGATATGAAGTTTGCCTCGACTTTTCTGAGCTGTTGCTCGTCAAGGTCTACAAGGACCACGTTCGCTCCCTGGTTGGCAAAGAGAGTCGCAGTAGCGTGCCCTATGCCATGCGCTGACCCAGTCACAAGCACGACTTGGTTGGCATATTTGTCGCCGTAAGTTTTAGAGGGTGGTATATTGGCTCCCTGTTGTTCCATGTCGCCTAGCAGCACTTTAGCCTTGGAGATTTAGGTCCCAGCTCGTTCTCGATGAGTTGAAGGTCGTGGAAGTTCTATCATTCTACTTGCCCCTCAGCAGCGACCTCATATTGTGTAAGTACCATGTTGTCGGTCACCGAGGCTGGAGAACTGTGGCGGCTCATTTGGCCTTTTTGCCACCTCTTTCGTCATCTTCTAGACTCATGCCTAGACCGACAAGTCCCTTTGGATGTCTGCAAGGGCTGTCTGAACTGGAATTCGAGGGATCGCAACAAGACAGAAACACGTTTCGTGGGTATCGGTGAAGTTGTCTGGGAGGCAGTGGTTTGCTCGGCTGGGATTATTATCCTCCGTGGTGACGTTTAGGGGTGCCCAGACTTTGTCGGGGCTTTTGGTTCAGCAGTCCGAGCTCCGTGAGTCCCCTAGCTGCCCCTATCGCCCCTATCGTCTCCGACTCACTGGGCCCCCTCCCCCCTTCGCCCGCATGGAAGCATTGCCGAGCCTCTTCCACCAAAGTTCCGCTTTGCTGCAGTGTTGGCTGCGTTTCCTCACTTGCTCTTCAGCCACTGTGCTGTCCGCACTTGAGACTGACAAGCCTCATATCTCATTTCAGGGAAGCTTAAGAGTACAGATATTTATGTGCTTTACCACACGAGTTCTTTCCTATAAAGCGTACAATCACCACGAAAAGCCTCGAGACATGACCACACAAAGGATCCTCAGTTTGTCGTTCCCAAAGTTCACCTCAAGCCCTGTGGAGAGGGAAAAAGATCTAAATCCAGCCACAAGAGGAAGAAGCAATTTCACTTGGCAACAAAAGAATGTTCGCTTCAGCACGAGGCTACATCTTCCATTGCGCTGAAGAAACCATAGTGCTTGAAACAGAGCAGATCCTTTCTTGACTTCAATTGAGCACATGAGGGGGGTTCTGCGAACGAAAATCGCAATTCCCCAGATTGCTTGAGCTTCAGGTTACTCCCGGTACAAATGGCCTGAAATGCACCGCTCCGGAAGGAAAAGTTTCCGAGGCGTCGTCGATAAGTACCTTCACCGTCAAGTTGGTTGCTACAAGATACGGGACTCTTTGGCATGCTCAATCACGGTCAAGTGAGGCTGATGGCCAGAGCAACTGCTGTCCCCTCACCGGTTCTTGCTCGACTTTGGCAATGTGCAGCTGGGCAAAGACAATTACAACCGCCTCGACTGGGCAAGACACGCACGTCTACTCGGTGCCTTCCCGAGACCTGACCAGCATCACTCTCCACCGGGTTATCCCATCATCCATACCGATGGACAACTAGACACAACGACAAGGCAAGGCTGAATACCCCTACACTGCCCCACGATCGCACCTCTTTGTCTTCGCGACTAGGCTCCACCTTTTGGAGGATTGAAGATTGATCTGGCGGCGCGTGGATCCACTTTGCTAACAGACAGAGGCGAGAACTCAAAACTCGCGAGGCCGAGAGATGCAGATCGTGGCCGGCCCGGTGTGCATATTGCCCTTACCCCAAGAAGGAGTCTCCTCCGTGGTCGCCAGGGTTGTTGTTGCATGGCACCTCAGTTCCTGACTTTAATGCGAGTCATGACAAGACAGGGTGTGAGAGATGCTTCAGAATGGATCCCCGTTCTCTCCCCCCCGTCAAGTCCAATCGCGAGGCTTTTCTGCTTCTTGTCCCCGACTCCGGTGACGGAAAGCGAGTGGTCACGCAGCCTTTGGAGCTCTGCAGTGAAAGTTCTAGCATACGCAGACACCCTTTGTCCCGCCTTTCCAACAGGGGCACAACAATGGTAGCCGTGCAATTCAGATCAATGGCCCGAAGACGCCTGTTCTTGCTACGCTGAAGCATTTGCACCCTCCTCATTCCTACAAGTTCAGACAGGTATCTAGGTCTCCATTCGGACCTCAACAGTCTAACTCTTCCCGGGTATACATCGTGGACGTTCTCCCTATCCCTGCCCAGGTCCGAAAGCAGTTTCGAGCAAATGCGCGCCCCCCGCCCCTCGCCCGATGTCTGGACTCCGAAAACTGTGCTCTTCTAGCTATATACACCCACCGATCCACATATCCATCTACACACAGAGCTTTTAGCCAACGAAAACAACACTGCGCAGAGGTGTCACAACGGCTAGTAGTATTATGATCCACAATTTGAAAGTTTGTTGGCAGGTACTCGGTAGATATATCGCGATGGTAAGTCACATCCGCCAGCTTAACTCTCTAAGTTGGATTCAGGACGAGGCATACTGTGTAAGTATACGACTTGGTTTCATTTCCAGACTGCAAATGGATATATGTGCTTGCTTTTTTCACAAAGAGCCCACCACGCGACAGCGACAACAAGGACAGCAACTGCTCGGTCGGTCGGCCGGTCAGTCGAAGCAATGCTCCAAAACCAGACATGGGCAATGCACATTCTGAAACACCTCCCGTGGGCCTTGTCACATCCAGTCTCTCAGATCAGTCATTCAGTCATGCTTACTTACAACCCTACAACTGCTCATTCACAAACAGACCCGCCATACCCTGGCCCGTGCCGATACACATGCTAGTGACGAGGATCTTTTTCTTTGTCCTGCGGGCCTCGCTCAGGATCGTGCAGATCTGTCTTGCTCCGGTGGCGCCCAGAGGGTGGCCGAGGGCGATGGCGCCACCGCGGGGGTTCATCTTCTCATGCTCGAGCCCCAGCGTGTTGAGGCAGTAGACGGCCATGGAGGCAAAGGCCTCGTTGATCTCGAAGATGTCGATGTCGTCCTTTGTCAGGTGGAACTTGCCTAGCAGTTTGGGGATGGCGGCCGTGGGGCCAATGCCCATGATCCGTGGGGGAACACCGGCGACGGTGGCGCCGCAGAACTTGGCCATGATGGGTTGGCCCAGTTCGAGGGCTTTGGAGCGTTTCATGAGAAGAATGGCGGCAGCTGAATGACCGGTGTCGTTAGTCTTTACTCCTGCTTTCCAAAAAAAAAAACAATAGAAGGGCGGATATGCTCACCTCCATCCGTGACCTGACTGGCATTTCCACCGGACGTCTTGTCTCCGAATTGCGGCATAGCGGGACGGATTTTCAACAGACTGTCCAGGGTGGTACCATATCTAGGACCCTCGTCCTTTGTCAGGGTAACCTCATGGACCTCGCCCGTCTTGGGATCCTTGACTTTTGTCGTGATGGGCACGATCTCATCCTCAAACCACCCTGCCTTCTGCGCGACCTCTGCCCTCCGGAAGCTCTCGCAGGCGTACTCGTCCTGCATCCTGCGGGAGATGTTGAAGTCATTACCGACGTTTTCCGACGTCTGGATCATGGGCTGCGTGCAGTCTGCGGATTCCTGGTTCGCCATGACCTCCGGGGAAAAGGGCGTGTCCTTGCCGGCATTGTTGCTCATGGACTCGCCGCCCATGGCGATGCCGACGTCAATCGACCCGTTGGAGATCTGGTTGGCAATGTCCTGCACGGCCTTGAGGCCCGAGGAGCAGAACCGGTTGACGCTCGAGGCGGCGGCCGTGTGCGGGAAGCCGGCGGCCAGCATGGCGGCGCGGACTTTGTATGCGGCGCGGGCGTCGCCGACCTATTCATTTCGCATGTCAGTCTTCTTTCTCCATCCCACTGCTCAGCTTCTGAGGTAATGTCGTGATCTTACATTTCCCAAGCAGATATCCTCGACAATCGCCGGGTCGATTTTACTCTTTGCAATGACCTCTTTTAGGAGGGCCCAGACCATGTAGTCGAGGTCGGTGTCCTTGAAGCCGCCCTTCTTGCCCTTTGCGAGCGGCGTCCGGATGGCGAGGGTGATGACAATGTCATCGGGGTTCTTTTGGGTGCTACAGAGCGCAGTGGTCAGCCATCTACGGTGCAACATCACAACATAGCTGCGGATGGGATGGGATGGGTCTGGACTTACATAGCAGCCACGCCCGTCTTGGAGGACGAGAGGTGCGAGAAGATGGAGCCGAGTCGCTGTGTAGCCATTTTGCTCTGGATCGTTTCGCACGGGGACTATTGCTACAAGGGAACTTCTTCCACAGAGGAGATACAGAGAGGATGCAGTCCACGAAGAATGGTTAGACAAGGGAAAAAGCAGGAAGAAGAAGAAGAAGACGAAGCTGATTGACAATGACAAGTAGCAGCAGCAGTCGGAAAAAAGATTGATTGATTTGTCTTATTGCCTGCAGACCCTTTTTAACCTGTTCACCCCCGGTGGACGGGGACGGGACAGTTGGACGGCGATAATCTGGGGGGTGCAACGGCCTTTTCCAGAGTTACCTCGGCATCTCATCTTTCGCTTGTTTTGTCTGTTAGGCCCACCGATATTAGTAGGTACCTAAGGTACTCCCTACACGTATGTAGGTATGTAGTGGGCATATTTCTACCTAGTACCTAGGCCCGTCAGGCCCCGTCGGGGGTGGTCGGAAAGTCGCTTTTTCTACGACGTGTGCACACCTCGATACCTAAAGGTACCTACCTTGGTACTTAACATCTTCCGTCCCCCCCAAAGAGGTTCATTACTACTGGTGGGGAGAAGGCCTTCCGGACATCAATCATGGCAATGGGGGTCCCTTCAGTAATCATTCGCCGCTTTATTCCCGGCGCCCCTCATCCGGTGGAAGGGTGGGATCTCTTTACACAAACCACCTGCGGCCAGCACAACTACCAGTAGTACACTACCCGTAGTAGTACATCAAGGCTTCGTGCGTAAGAGGACAAACTACTTCCCCTTCTTGGTATGTGCCGAGCATAACAATACCTGGGAGGTTTATACTTGCGGCCCTGGCTACTGCTCGGCAATATGTCACTCTCTCTCTCTCACACACACTCACAATCACTCATTCTCTCTCACACCCCCGGATCCGAACTCCTACCTAGATCACTCTTTCGGTCTGAGTCTTCAATATGGGATTATCTCATTGTCAATTCTTGTTTCTATCGTCCGTGTTTCATTCTAGGCCGCTTGGACAAGTCCTTCCTCCTTCCCCATTCCTCATCCGCCCCAGCCCAAAAAGACACATCTAGCAAAACGAAAAGAATCTCCAGTTGACACGCGCTATCTAGTATTTATTGATCGACTCGCCCTGAGACATTCGCATTCTTTCCACCCTTCAACGCCCCATAGAAATATCGTTTTTTCCATTCGCTATGCATGACACGTTTCCACGTACGTCCATCCATCGTAAAAGCCGGTCTTGTCCATGCCCGTAGACCTGGAGGAGTATCCCATCTATCATTACCTCCGGTCCACTTCGCTTGAAAAGGTGAGGCCGTAATCCGCCCGGTGTTGATCCGAGAGTCTACTTCTCCTCCACACTATCAGGCTTGATCGCCTCGCCGTCCGGTGCATCCTTCATCTCGGTATCTTTGGGCTCGTCGGGCTGGCCGTCCGCTTTCTTCGCTTCCTCTTCCTTCTTCTTGGCGTCCGCCTCTGCTTTCTTTCTAGCCGCTTCCTCTTCTTGCGCTTTGAGCACTGCTTGTCGCTCCTCTTCGAGCTTGTCGTTGTATCGCTGGATCACTGGACCTGCAACGAATCGGATCTCTTCCATCTTGGCGATGTACTGTGCTTTGGTGGCGTCATCTCCTTCGTCGTACAGCCAGTCCTATCAAGAGTCAGTAAGAATTGTTAGAAGAAATATAGGAAATGCTTACCTCAGTGTTCTCCAGCTTTTCTCGGATCTTGTCCTTCTCTTCCTGGCTGGCAAAGTCTGCGTATTGCTCCTCGATCTTGCCCCGGAGCTCGTAGATGAACGCCTCAAGCTCGTTCTTCTTGTCTTCGGTATCGGTCACGAGCTTGTCTTCCATGTACATGGCATTTTCCTGCTCGCTCATTTGGGCCTTGGCCGACTCATCCATCGACCCAGTTCCGGAAACAAGCTGCAATTCGCCTTTGCGCACTTGCTTCTTGACCTTGCGCATCTTGGGCTTCGCTTCAGCAGAGCCGTTGGCTTGGTCCGTCTCCATGGCGTCGCCATCCTTCTTTGCTTCCGGCTCCGGCTCCTCCACCTCGACATCCTCGACGTAGTAGCCGCTCTCGAGGTTGAGGATGCCGTGCAGATTCAAACGCGCCTTGAGTTTGCACACCATGAAATCATCCTTCTCATCCGCCTTGACACCCTTGACCGAGAAGCGCCCGATCCAGGGGTTGATCTTTCCGGGAAGCAATTCCGGCTTGGCGTACCGCGCTTCGAGGTCGAACGGTTGTTTCCGGTAGAATGTAAGGATTTTGGTGGAGGGCATGACGTTGCCCTTGTTAAAGACAGTCAAGCTCGTATCCTCATCGGGAATATCGGGTGATTGCTCCCAGGTGAATTCAATCGGGTAGCTGACGATATCGTGGACCGAGAAATCTCGAACTCGGAAGACCGGTGAGAGAATGGCGCAGCTGAATGCGCAACCCCGAGCGACAGCCTCGTCCTGGTTGAGTGTGAAGGAGAGAGGCTTGCCAAAGAACTTGCTGATTCGGTCCTTGATGGCCGGCACGCGAGTGCACCCACCCACCATCTCAATGGCGTCGATGTCCTCAATCTTTACTTTGGCTTCGGCAAGAGCCTGTTCAAGCGGGCCGGTGACTCGATCGAGGAGAGGCTTGATGAGTTCTTCCATCTCGTCACGCTTCAACATGGCTCGGACATCCTTGTCGTCCATCAAAGACTCAATGCTGAGGGGGGCCTGGGCATTGGCGGAGAGGATCTTTTTCAGCTTCTCGGCAGCTGCGGCTACCCGAGTTATGGCCTTTGGGTTGGTGGTGATGTCAAGCTTGAACTTCTCTTTGAATTCCGCGGCAAAATGGTCGACAAGAGCCTTGTCGATGTTGCGTCCACCGAAATGTCGGTCAAAGGTGGTGGCCTTGACGGCCAGTTCACCCTTGCGGAATTCGACAATGGAGCAGGTGTAGTCGCTGTATCCAATGTCCACAAAGCACACCCGACGTGGCTTAGCATCAGCTTCGGGAAGGTCGGATTTTGTGATGCCGTAGCCCAAGGCAATGGCCGTGTTGTCGTTGATGAGCCGGAGCAGTTTCAGGTTGGCAACCTCGGCCGCATCTAGCATTGCTCTTCGCTGGGCATCCGTGAACCAGGGCGGGCAGCTGATGACCACGTCCGAGACAGGGAGTTTCAATTCCTTGCTGGCCGTGTCTCTGATCTTCCCCAAATACATGGCAATCAATTGGACGGCGGTGAACTTCTGCTTCTCCCCACGGTATGTGACTTCGGCGCCCACCTGGCCATTGACGTCCACCAGAGGTGCAGTAATGTACTGCTGCTCGATGGCGATTTCGGGGTCATTAATGCTTCGGCCGGCGAGGCGTTTCAGCGAGGAGATGGTGTTCTTGAGATTCGAAATCTCCTGGGTCTTTGCGGCTTCACCCAGATATCGGCTCTTTGGACCAAAGCCAACCAAGGATCTATAAAAGATAAAAGTCAGTCTCTCTTGTCCGAAGTGAGGCTGCGCTGGCGAGGAGGTCACTTACGGTGTAGATCGGTTCGAGGTCTCATTTGTGATCTGGGCAGTGAGTCAGTATTGATTGGAACTGAGACCCGGTTTCTCTCGGAAGCAAGACTTACAATGTCGATACCTTTGTTGCGCGCGACACCAATCTTGGTGCTCTGGGCACCAAAGTCAACGCCGACGACGCTCATTTTCAATGGCGCTCCAAGTCAAGTGGGAAAAAAAGGCTAACTGCGGGGGGTGTTCGAGTTGCGGTAGTGTGGAAGGGGATTTTTGAGGACGATGAAATGGTGAAGGGGAAACAAGTGTGGTTTGAGCAAAGAGGAAGAATGGTGATGAATCTAAGTCTTTCAACAAGAGGTTCAGCGCAGGCAGAAGACCGCGACAGCAATGAATGACTTGGGGCAAAGATACAAATCAGACCAAAAATTTCAGACCCAAGGGACCTTTCGCAAGGCCAGCAGCAGCCAACAGGAGCCAACAGCAGCAAGCAGCCTCCAGCCAACGGCGAGCCACTCAGAGCCAGTAGCTTCGCGCAGTTTCGATCGTCGTCTTTTTGGCAGCCACGGAAGCCAAGCCCTGGGCCCTAGCCCCTGGTGGCTCCTGGTGGGTGCTTGGGACGTCACTCTTTGCTTACCAGTAGCCTTAGGTAGGGATTATTCTCCACCCGCAGCCCGCAGACAGCCACTACCTACAGTAAGTCTACCACCACCACTACTGCACCACCACCGCAGCCACCAACAGAGCAGCAAACCAGCTCACATAAACCACCGCTGGTAAGGCTGCACGACAACTACCTACGCCTTACCTACTCATCCTTGTCTCCCAACCACTTGGCCCCTTCAAATCATCCTCAGACACGACACTCGCTGGGCAGCAATTGTTGGTCCATCATGACTTCACCCACGAAGCAACAGTCCGTAAGTCAGCCAGCCTGTTCCCTCGATTTGATCCTCGCTGGTGTGAGGTGGGATGAAAGATGAGGATGCTTATTGTTATGCGTGGGGCGGATGAACAATAATACATTTGCTGATGTCTAAGAGGTACGGTACCTATACCAACATCCTTCATACGGGATAGTGATAATGATGTGATACATCTCGTCTTTTTCCCACCCCTTCATTGCCTGTGTTGGTGCTTTATACCATTCTGCCTGGGCTCCGACTTCTCTTCCGCAACCGCTGCTTCTTCAATGACATTCTATTGGCCTTTCTGATATCCTCCTTATCCCCACTCTCTGCCTCGTCTTGTACAGGGAGATCATCCTCCGCAGCAAGAGCCATCAATGGACTATTTCGTCCCAGGGGACTTCGGTTGTCAACGTGATGGTTCCTCGTCGCTCCCTGCCGGGTATCACCCGATTCTGCCTGTGTGTACATATCTTTATGGCCCTGCATGGCTGGAATAACAGCCACTGTGTTGCGTGTTGCGGAGTGTCTCTCTTCCATGCATCGCTGAGGGGCTGTGGCCATGCTTTTCGGTCGTGGTTCCATGTCAACTGCTCGACTTTGACGGCTTTCTTTCTCATCTTCTTCGCTGAAGTTGTTGATGAACTTGGGTGTATGTACCGACAAACTATCTGAATCGCTCATATCGAGAGATCCATGCTCATATCGATGTTGATGCGAGCTAAAATTGAGACGCGACGGGGTTGGCGAGGTTATCTCGTTGTCCGGCAACTGGCTCGGCTCTTGTTCTGCGGAAAAGAATCGACCCTCGACACTGCACGATGGTTGAAGAGCGGAAGGTCGGGTACGGCGTCGGCGGATTTCCATGGCGGGCTTAAATGTTTCTGGAACAATGTTCAAATCGTCGCCGGTGGCCATGGCATGTTCAATTGCCTGCTGTGGTGTCACCTTTGCATCTGCTGCTCCTGCATCCGCCCTGGGTCCGCCCCAAGTTCTCTGCCCAGCCGTGAAGACGCCATACACCATGTAGACCCAGTTCAAGAAGGGATTGAGCAGAAACATCATCGGATACAGAGCAGCCTTCCAGCGGTGCAGCCTGATCGCAAAGTAAAACATGAGCAACCAGTTCAAGCCGCAGGAGATGCACATGAACTCCCAGGGCAATGAACCCACCCGCGTTGAGGTGCTTGATATCGCAATAATGGTAATCAAGAGGAGGAGCGCCGTCGTCCGGATGCTGATGGTGGTAAACCGAAGAAAGCAGAGCATGGGATACTTTCTCCACAGCCGGCCATCCGTCAACATGCAAACCTCGTTGGTGATGAAGCCTAGAAACCACCGACGCCGTTGCTTGAGCAGGGACCGAAATGTTTGCACCGCTTCGGTCTTGCAAAAGGCACTGGTACTCAGCTGGATCTGATACCGATGTTTGGCTCCGAGCATGAACAAGTGTGTTAGCCATCGGTCTTCGCCCAGATGTGTTTTTGCGTAATCAAAGAGATCCTCGCATTCTTCCGCCTTGTCGGAGAAATAGAATCGTGCCATGTTTCGAAATGCGGAAAACCGAAGCAGAGTCAACGCCCCTGGCAGGCATGTGACGGCTCCACAGCCTGATTCAACTGATCTTTCGAACAGCTGGCCGTGAACGTACTCCATATCCTGCAACAAGGTGATGAAGGAGTGCTTCTTCGTGGAAGATGTGATAATACCAGTCATCGCCAGCATGTTGTGTTTGCTGCCAGGCCTCAGTTCCATGTCGTACATAAAGTTTTGGATGCACACGGGATCCAGGATGCAGTCAGAGTCGATGAACAAGATGAACAGGTCGTCTTTCTCCTGGAGATAGCGTTTGTAGATCTTGTCGATGAGGAGAAAAGTAGCCTTCTGGCAATGTCGCTTGCCTCCATGGGGAAATCTCGACACGGTGACTCGTGCTCCATTGTACGCCACGTCGATCGATCTTGGAAAGTCCTTCAATGTAACGGGTACGCCGAGGCGATCGATTGTCTTCAGGTAAAGCTCATCAATGTCATCTCCGTCGAAAGAGACAAATACGTGGATGCAGGCAGCAGGGTAATCGCAGCTAACGACGGAATTCAAGGCTGTCCACAGGGAGTCCGGAGGCTCCTTGTAAACAGGCATAACCACAACTACTTTCGGGGCGGTCAGCTCATTGAGGGGATACTTGACCCGCTTTTGCCGTCCAAGAGGCACAACAACCAGTCGATAGACGCAGAAGAGCCAAGGTATCACAAGCATTGCTGCAAAAGAGTAGAATGCGAACTCCTGGAGGACAGAAGTCATCACAGTAGGGAAATATCTTGTGAGGTGCCGTGGTAGAGGCAGTGTCGCAATCATAACCGGCAAGAATATACCCCTGCGCACCGTCATCAGCATTATATGCTCTGGAGGGGAACAGTAACCGACTTGCCGAAGGAAGGCGAACACGATCATCAGGAGGACAGCCAGCACCTTTTGCGACCAGTGATCTGCCTTTATGTATGCCTTCGCAAGGCAGTAACAGAAAGCTGCCACCCACAAAAAGGATTCGAGAAAGGCTGCAAGAATGATAGGTCCAATGAGCGCAAGAGAAACGATCTACACCATTAGCAAGAAGAGACCGCTGCATGGCGCAAAAGTTCTCACGTCAGGTATGGCCCAAGCGCCTCCCAAAGATTCAGGCTCAGCCATCTTGCTTGCGATTGTGACGTACCACCCAAAATGGCAGACGGTGGAAGGGAGTTTGGTCTGGATCCTCTCGTTGAGATGGGTAGCGAGTACTATTCGGCCAGAAGCTGTTGATAAACGTGGTGGGCTAGACGTGAGTAGCGCGTCCAGATATCAAGGTCGTCGAACACTTCAAGCTCTCAAGCGATGGAGGTACGGGTCGAGCCAAGTGAGTGATACGACACGTGGGTTTCGGAGTTTGCAGTGACAGCTGGGAAAGCAACCTCAGAGCGTCAAAGGGAGTCGCTTGACTGGTGGAAGAAGAGCGATGGACCTTTGTGCATCAGTGAATGATATTCATTTCGTGAAGATACTGAAACGGTGAAGTGAAGGCCGTCGCCAGAAAAGTACTATGAGCTCGGGGTGCTGGATAAAGTCGAGCAATGGGAGGGCAGACCAGTAAGTTAATGATAAGAAGGAAGCAAGACCAAATAAAGGAGATAAGACAAGAGGCAGTGGCGTCTGCAGTGCCAGCTTCCGCACATTTGGCTGGCATGGTAGCGATTTCCATCACGATCGTACCCGGGAGGGAAAGATGCCCAACGCGAGCCTGGAAGAAGCGGTAGAATCTGCATGGTGGCAGCTTGCAGTTCCTGACCCACAAAAGAGGAAGACATGGTGTTGCGGTATGAACCAGAATGAAGGTCGAGCCGAGACGAAGCAAGAGAATGCTCAGAGATGAAATGTACTAAGAATGATGTTAGAAAAGAAGTCCAGCTCCGCGGTTACCATGCATCAATCATCCCTCGAACGTTTCACGAGACACAACAGGTGGAATCGTCATATCGGCGGCCATTAACCAGACTCCAGAGCCACGACGTTCAACCAAATCCATACTACGACCCTGGCGACGTGCGTATATTTACAAATGGAAATCCCCGCTGACTGTACTGTCGACGTCAGTCCACGCACTTGAGGGAGTGCGTATCCCATCTGCAAAGTCGCTGAGGATATCTTCAGAACTGTCTTCTGCCTCACTGGCGTGAATATTGCTTGCGCTGCCGGCAATGCTGGATGTCGAGGAAGCTGGCGGTGTTGCGTTTAGAGGGGATCTATTGGCGACAGCATTTCGGGGCGCGTCTAGATATGTGCTTTGAACAGGAAAGGATGCTTGCGACTCATGTTCGGAAAGGGTGTGCGTGGAATTCGAATCTGCAGCAGAAAAATACTCTGATCGTTCCAATGGGCGGCGGAGGTAATCGGCGGAAGGAATGGAAAAGTCTGGATCAGGCACACCTTCTGTCGTAGGTGTGAGTTCAATCAGGCTCTCTGAAGCATGGCTGGAGAGGAGTTGGATCGGTCGCTCAGGCAAGGGCAGATTCCATGCTTCACGCATCTCCCGCTCGTATCTTGACTCGAATGGGTTGAGCTGAGTCTCATCGAGCAGGGTTGCAGGAAAGGGTGCGTCTGTTGACTGATGTATAGAGGCCGGGGGCTGTTCTTGATGTGAAAGGGAGGGCCTCTGCCGTAAAGTGGCGGACTGCGCTGAGGGTTCAACGCCGGAAGAGTGTGCTGCGGCGACTGGCTGTTGATCTTGTGCCGGCTGCAGTAAAATTCCATCTTGATCCACGAGGGTATCAAAGGTCGGGCTTGACGGTGTTTCCTTATCTTGGTCAGCCAGCCTTCTTCTCTTCCTTCTCTCTTCCATGATCCGGCCACGCTCCATGATGTCGGCGATCGCTTGGCGTCGACGCTCTTCGGCCAATTCGCCCTTCTCCTCTTGCATGGAGACGTCTGTCGAAGTACGTCGAGGACGGGGTCTCGGGCCAATTTCATCGCCGAGGGAGTGTAGGCCCATGGCAATCTTGTGCCTTGTCCGGTCTATCCATGCTCGTACTTGAGGATTCTCATAGGCGGCTATACTGGCTGCCACCAGAACGGTGACAGTGATGATAATTCCTACAGGAGGCATGGTGGGTTAGTGTTGCCCGTGAGCTAGAGCAGGAGAGCTCGAGAGAAAGCAGCCTTTTTGAGCTACTGAGGGGATGATGTAAGGAGAGGAAAGGTGCATGCAAGGAGGCACGGGGGCACTTACCTCTGGCGAGCGGAGCTGGCATTTTGGAAATAGCCCTCCCTGGTGGTACCTCTCTGAATGTTAGAGATCTGAGAATAGAAGAGAGAGAAAAGGGCTGCAGGAAGGACGCCGTGGGTTGTCTTCCAGGGCTGCCTCGAATCCTGTCAGCCTGATGATGCCAGCATCAAGGATCATGCGAGGCAAATACGAGTCGCCCACGAGTAGAGGAGGCAGATCCGAGGAAGGGAGGAAGAGGCGAGGAGGGGACCGGGCTGCGCCACACACGCCATTTTCGGAGAATGAGAAGAACAAGAGGTTGCAGAAGAGGAGCAGAAGAGCAGCAGCAGAGCAGCAGAGCAGCAGAGCGGAATCGGTGCCACTATGCCCCGCACTGGCAATGGTGCGGTTCAAGTTCAAGTTGGTGGGACTTTCTAGGTAAGTTGGTGGCAGCCTTGAGGGACGAGGCCTTGGCCACTGCAGCCTCGGCGCGTCCACACGCGACTTTTCAATCAGTTGTGCGGATTAGTACCATGCACCGCACGTTGCAGCGTCCACCATCTCCATCTCACAATGTCTCGAGCAGGCTCCGCTGCTCAACCAAGAGCCTTGACATTGACTGAAGAGCTGGAGAAACTCGAACAGTCCATTACATTGACACTGCAAGGTTTGCCTAACCAGAGATCCAGTTCATCCATGGCTTTCCACTGACTTGTATTGTGCCGTAGAGATCGACCACAACTTCAGTCGAGCACACCGCATAGTCACTTCGAGCATCCTGCCCATCGTTGAACAATATGCCACGCATTCGAAGGAGGTCTGGGAAGGGTCAAGAGTGAGACATCCACACACATTTTCACAGAGACCATGCTGAGACCGAGCACAGTTCTGGAAGCAATTCTTTGAATCAAGCGCCAACGTGTCCCTGTCAGGCTACGAGGAGCAACAATCACACTTGGAGAATGCAGACACCACAGTGACCGAAGACACCCACACTATAACACACAGCACTTTGGAGACGTCGCAGTCCTACGAAACCCCTTCCGCCCAGCACATCTCAACCGACTCAATACAGGATCTGGATCTCTCCAACATGACCATCTCGCCCTCCAAGAGCAGCACTCCGCGGCCTCACGTATCACAAAAGCCACAAAAGCAAGGGAATGCCACTTTCGCCGACTACCCATCGCCGTATGAGGCCTTGCGACAAGAAGTCCACAGCACGGTTGTCGACAACACGTCACTCGCTCAACCGACCCTGCCCGAAACCCCCGGCAGCCGACCGGTGTTTCCCATGGATAACATTGCCGTTGGGACACCAGAATCCTCGCCGTTCCTACCTCCCGGACCAACCTCAATCACGCGCCCATCGACAACCCGCAAAAGAACAGATCCTCTACTTCACCGAATCCTGGACAGAAACTACCGCGTCCAAGCCACGCCGGTCACCAGTCAGCGCTACGCAAATCTGCAATCGACAACTCGTGCTACGCCCTCGACCGCCAAACGTGCTCGATCTGCAACACTGGACGATTCCACTTTATCGTCGAGCCCGGAAGCACCTCCGCCCGAGCTCCACCCGGAGATCTTCTCCTCGCCCGAACGCAAGAGACCCATCCCCGGTGTCAGCGTCCTGACACCATCACGGGCGCGGTCAAAATCCCAACCGTTAAAGGCCCCAGCCCGCACGCCGGGAGTCTGGGACAGTGACGACGACGATCTCGATGACGACATTCTCTTCGACCAATCTCCACCCAAGACCATGCAATTCCACGTCCCTCAGAATCGCCTGCTGAAAACGCCAGCCAAGGAAGCGTCGAAGCGGATCGTCGAGGACATTCTCACCAACGCCGGCATAGATTATGGGGAGGAAGAACTCGACTTCACACAAGAGTTGGAAACGCAGGGGTTTGATCTGGACGTCAGTGGAGGAGAGCCGACCAGCCCGAGTGTGGTCCGCAAAGCAATGAATATCGAGGATGAAACGTTCTGAGTTGACGGCGGTACGATATAGTGCCTGACAGACGATGACACGAAGAAAAGTACAGTATGTTCCTGAACGGTCATGCATTATTCCATTTATCGTCATGACGTCCATTCCTCATTCCTCATTACCTCATTATCTTTCATTAAGCCCATCAACAACCCCGTGACTATATAGTATATGTTGCGGAACCAAGATGAGTCGGTCAGCCAGTTGGAGTTAAGCGAAAGAATGGCTCCACGGCTATCGAATCCCTGCACGCCTCCAAGATCCATCCATCCATCTCCTTACTTCCCCTTTCTCACGGCCCCCAAGGTCCACGAGATTAATCGATTTCACGAGGTCAACGCCAGAGCGATCATGACGGCCAGCGCTAGGACGAGCGACCTCGCCACACCGCCCGTGGGGTGAACGGACGTGGCGGCGCCCAAGTACGGCGTGATGGGAGGCGTCAGGACCTATAGTATCACCGAAGCCGCACCACGGCGGCGCACGGGGTGGAAGATTAGCTTTTGGTTATTTCTCTTCCCGACCACGTTGGGGGACCCGAGAGACGCTGAGGGAAAAAAAAAGAAATGCAGGGAGGGACGCGGGTGAGCGGGTGTGACATGACATACCGTGTCGATGATGTGAGCGACGCCGTTCTCCAGGACGAGATTCGAGGCGACGATCTTGGCGTTGTTGACGAAGTAGTCGCCGTCGCCGTCGATGGTCACGGTGACGGTGGTGCCGGACTGCGTGACGAAACTGGCCCCATCCGCCAAACTGGGGAGGTAGCCCGCGAAGTTTTGCACGACGTGGCCCGCCAGGATGGACGGGATGCCGCTGGACGACGGCGAGATGTTGGCCTCGGCGAAGGCCAGGTTGGTGGGGATGAAGACGGTGATGAGGGGCGTCGCGTCCAGGATCGCCGACTGGTTCGAGGCGTTGGCGAGCGAGAGGAAGGTTGTTTGTCCCGTGGTCTGGGCGGTTGAGGACAATGCGACGGGGACGGTGAAGAGACTTTTGTGGTTGGTCAAGTAACATCAGCATTGGGGTTTACGGGGCTCATCTGAAGGACCAGGATAGAATGAAGCACAGCTCAAGAGTTCGAAGAAGGGATCAAGAAGGGTCCCGCTTACCCGTCCGTGGTATGAATGAGACCGCCATTAAAGGGGATGTCGGCGGTTATGATACCAACCGAATTCCCGAGTCCTGACTGGATATCCACGAGCGTGTCCACGGCGCTGGTGTTGTCCTGTCGGGGCAGAAGGGCCGGACCGCCAACCCATCGTCTGCTCGACGTCGTCTTGGTATTGTTCTTGGGCTTGGAGACGACCTTTTGCGTGGAACCCTTGAGATTCGCCGTGGTGTCCTTGGTCGGCACCACGGCGCCTGGCGGCGTGCGCAGGCCGTTGATCTCGCTCTGGCTTTGCGTGGCATGGAGGAGCAATTGCTGTTGCTGCGCCGGGGTCAGAGTGGCGCGCTTCCTCAGTCGCGCCGTCACGTTCATGGGGCTGCTGTCAATGTACTGGTCAGTCGGCGCAAAGACGGTGGGGACCCCGGCGGCGTAAGCGGCCGAGACGACGGGGTCGGACGCGATCAGAGCCGCAAACTTGGCTGCGCCTGCCGCTATGAGGGCATCGTTCAACGACGGGAGAGTCGGGGAGGGCGAAGGCCAGGCGGTGGAGGACCAGGATACACTCGTTGGCCACGATGGCCACGTGGGGGTCTCCGAGGGCCAAGAGTGTGAAGGGTAAACTGTCGTTGGCCATGAGGACCACGGCGAGGTCTCGGAGGACCATGGCAGGGTCTCGGAAGACCAGGTATATGAGGAATGACTAATTGACGACCAAGAGCTAGAATATTCGGGCCAGATAGAGCTTGAAGCAGACGGAGTGTATGTAGAGGTCCAAGGTGCTGCGGACGACCAAGTTTCCGAAGTGTATACAGTTGGCGTCCATGTGGGGGTCTCTTCGGACCATGACGGATGAGTATAGTAGCTGGAAGCCGGCGAAGATGTCCAGGTCCATGTCCAGGACGGCCGAGTAAACGAGGGCGTCGGCTCACTCGCTGGGAAGTACTGGGCAGCGACTAGGGAGATTCCCAGGCCAGATAAGGTGACAATGAGTTGGAAGGACATGGTGAGGCTGAGAGCTGCGGGTGACAAGTCAGATAACGAGGGGTGTGGGCGAGGGGACACACTGTGTGAGCGAATGTGCAAGATGTCGAGCCTACTCTGGTACTTCTTTTCCCTTGCCAACGACGTCGGCTCCAGCGAGCGTGGATCCGGCAGAGCCTCACCATTTCAACGTCCATGAGAAAGACGGGCACGACTTGCCTATATGTATGCCCTTCGACGGACTCAACAGAGGCGGACGAAGCCTGCTTCGAAGTCCGATCTGGCGTCGTCAACTACGTAGCAACTGGGATCGTCGATGGAGGCTGGTCGGAGAAGCAGGATTCCGTCCTTCCATATCCAGGAATGGGTGGCTCGTCCCCTCTTCTTGTTTTCGTTCGCCCGAGGCTCCTCTGCACCAGCTGCAACGGCGCCGCAGCGCAGATGGTGCCATCCGGTGGTGGTGCGGTGTGTGTGTGCGGTGCTGGACTCGCATCAGTAGCGCAAGGACGGTACCATACCAATCTGATTAGTGAGGGCAAGGGGACCCGGCGCACTCGGTAATAGTTGTCGATTGGGTCGAGGTGAGGCTCGCAAGCCGCTCGAAACAGACTCGTGCAGGGGCCATTTCGCATTGCTTGGCTGGGGCGTGGTCCGCACCGCTGTCCAGTCTCGTGTAAGTGGGCACGAGTGAGGAAAGGCCATGCAGGTTTAGGCCGTTCTTGACGTAAATAGGAACGGCCGTCGGACTGTCGACGACCATCAAGGGCTAGTGAGGCTCGTCTGCAGCTTTGTCATGGTTCCTGGCAGGCTGGTAGGCTGTTGGACTCCCCGAAATCCGGGGTCGTCGTCAGCGAAAGCTTCCAGACAGGCGGAAGTGCCCGAGCTCGCCGACTTCTTGTTCTCCCATGCAGCTTCGAAGTGGCCAATGGGACATGATAACGCAGCCGTTTTCTGGCCCCACACATACTCGGTTGCTGCACTGCCATTGGCCGTCAGACCCACAGCACAAGGCATACATCCACCAATAAAAGAGTCGAGTTCCCCATGCCTGTGGGTCGGCTCTGAGCCTGGAACAGTCGCTGTCTTTGTCCTCCTCCCGTCCATCTTCCTAAACACCCCAACCACGATGGTGGCTTGCAAAGACACGCTGGCAGACCGACCCATCCTTCGTATTGACATGCTCCGGCCCAACCAGAGCCGTACTCTTCTCGAACTGCAACCGTTTATGTCGATCTTCAGTCCTGGTTCTTCGGTAACAGCCAGGATACCGCGCAGATACGAACAGACATCGGGCGCCCAATCTGCAACCACAATAGTGTTCAACCGTTGTCGCAGCGGAGCTTTTGGTCGCAGATTATTTACCCGAATGGACTGACCAAGTCACTCTACCTGTGCATGGACTCCAGAGTGCTTGTGGTTTGGGGGACTGCATATCCCTTCTGGGCCCCCAAAGATTCCTCGCTCACTCTGCTTTGGGTAAAGGCTTCTGTCGCCCCCATGCATGTGGCCACTGGAGATGGGCTGGGACAGCCTCAAGTGTACTGCGTAGCCGCAACTCCCGGCTTGGATGCATTTACGCTTCCATTCCAGCCCAAACCCAAATTCCACCCTCCTCTTTCGTTCGCGAGAAAATCCTAAATATTGGGGTATGCTGACCTCCGAAGCCAGCCTTGGACGCTCAATCTAAAACTCGTCCATCTTCGACGGTAGCAGCCACAATTTCTCGACCGCGAGAAGGGACTGCGTTGAAACACAGCCATGGTTTTCTCCAGTCTCGATCCGGGTCGACAGACCTATCACCTGTGGCGGCGCTTCTCCATGCCCACGGTCCACGGGTCCAGAGACGCCATTGCGGTCGAGGCTAACGTCGCCAACCAACTCAACTCAGCGTACAGCTTTCTGGTGCAGTTGATCATAGTCGATTTCTGGGTCATTATGATCCTTGCCGGAGTCGTGCTCTTCCTGGGCAAGGAGAAACATAGCCATAACAGCGGCGTGATAGCCACGGGCGTCTGGAATGCAAAAGACTCGCCCAGCGCCATCTGCAAGCTGACGGGCTCCTATTTATTCAAGATCAAAGACAAGCGACGTGTGCATCTGTTTTGGTGGACCTTGCTCGCAGGCGGCTTTGTGGTCGCCATTTATGCAATCCCCATCAAAGTCGCGCCGTACATCATCATCGACAATGCGGCACCCGTTGCAGCCTCTGCCATCTATGTCCCAGCCCTCAGTGTTACACAGGATGCAAAGAATGGAGTGCAGATCAACGCGCTCGAGGCGCCGTCCGCATTTCGCGCAGCGGGGAGTGTCTTGGTCGCCAACTCCACAGGCCGCACGCACGTTTCCATCGATCCGCCTGAAACGATCCAAGACCTCGGTGACGGTGAGGCCATCATACGTGTGGGATACACGTACAACATCACGGGGGTGGACTTTGGCCTGCAATATTATCCAGATCTCGTCCTGAGCGTTCAAGGGTCGTGCCAGACGGACTATTCATGGCTCTTGGCCGAAACTGTAGACGACTCCAACATCATTACGGACGAATACCTGCTTTTCAATGACCCCAGCCAGGGCACGCAGAACGTCTCGTTATACGACAGCGCCAGGCCCCTGGGGTATTTCTTTCAGGGCCCTGCCTCTCCCACAGGACCCGCAGGAAATTGGACTTGGGGTGCACTGGTCTCCTCCGTGCAGCGCCAGAGCATCACGGCCGGCACGGACCCATGGTATCTGACCGCTCCTGATGGCGGCAGCGATGTGGGTTTCATTGTCCAGGGTGGACGACCGGCGCTGTCGTGCTGGCAGAACGACGTCTGGTCATACCGTGGACACCAAAGCACAGCTGTGGCCCTCGATTCGACCTCTCTTCCCGGCTTAGAAATCTCGCCGGGTTTACAAGACATCTTGGCTCGCTTTCTGTCACTGCCCAAGATCGTGACGTTGGCCACTCGCCTGGGTGCCTCGGCGCTCGTATCCACCGATACTTCGCTGGGCGAAAAGTTCGACGCCGGAGCGTCTAGCTTCCACAATGATCTTGAACGGCTGGTCTTTGCCTCTTACATCGCCACCATGAACACGCTCACCGACACCACGCTGTTCTCCACCAACAACTACGGCATCCCGAACGAGGCCACCGGGTCTGATGGCAAGCCAAGTCCCGGCGTTGACGCGTTCGTCATCTGGAGCAGCGAAGTGTCGACTCTGTCGATCCTTGCCCTCATCATCATCCCCGTCATGACAGTTGCCATGAAGGTAATTGTTTGGGCTCTCACGGAGATGCCATTTTCCTGGTACCGCATCCAGGCCCTACAAGCGACCGTGCTGTACAGTTGTCTGCACGAGAAGGCCGCTGGGATCAACGATGTGGAATGCAACCGTCAAGGCGATCGACCGTGGGTTGAGAAAGGAGACCACGAGCAGGCTGTTTTCAGGCCAAGGTTCGACAGGGAGAGCCGAACGCTCAGTTGGGGTGCAGCAGAGTATGTCAAATCTTCAGTCTGTTTCATTCCAATCACCAGTTTTTGCCATCCATATGGCTTGTCTCTGTTGGCACTAGAAGTACCAGCCAATCTTCTTGTCGTCTGTGTTTATATGCACAAAGTGGTACCCCGTTGACTGACACACCTATAGGCATAGAGAAGTGACCCTTGGAATCGGGCCAACACCTCTATCCCCAAGGGGCACGATGAATCTCGAAGTACCACAGGCCAATGTTCCGACGGAGTACTTCGCACCACAACCTCAAAGCCAGGCTCCTAACGAGAAGTCAGCGTCTGGCGTGCAAACGCAAGACTCCGGCGACCTCACACCATTGTCAGTGAGTCAACCGCTCCTGCCTCCAGGAGCTAGGCCTCGATAGGTCTTTCAGGAAGTCAATATCCAGTCGATAACAGGTGTTGTCGCTCTTGGAAGGAAGAGGGACGGCTCCGCTAACCCAAATGCTACTGGAGGTCCCTTCAACTGTTCTGTCTTTATTGCACCGAGGACCTGGCTGAGACTATCGGACGCGCTATTTCCCATGATGATGACGACGAGGATAATGATGATGATAATGATCACGGTGGGTGCTTCTTCTCCTGGGTGCGTGTACACTACATGTAGTCCGGATAATGGGGCCCTCATATCGAGCATGGTAACTCAAGTAGTCAGCTCTTTACACCCGGAAGGGTTGGATCAATTTCCACTAAAATGGCGCCAACCGGCCTTCAGTTTCTCCATGCTTTGGCGATAATGGTCAAGGGTATAGACGCAATATTGAGAATCAAACGCGCATTCCGTTGACAGGTTGAAATTGCAGGTGCTCTCTTGGTTCGTCGCGTGATTCTCACGAGACAGATTTGCTTAGAGCCGGCAAAAATGCAGCTGTACGACGTGACTCGACAAGGACGAATGGAGGGCGCGTTGGCATCCAGGGTGCACAACCTCGAGACTGGTAGTGGGCCACCAGCCTACATTCCATAAGAGTGGCTCGGGCCACAAAGGCATCCCAGCATCGTAATTGCCTGTGGTCAACCTCTGTTTCAGCTCGAGTATTAACGCTAGGCTCAGGCTAGAGTGACTATCGCCTTTGGCAGCAATGGATTCCCATTCGAGAGAGAGTCTAGATCTGTGCGAGGGTGGGGATGTGTGCCGCTGCCAGTAAAGGTTGATATCATTCCGGGAAATTCTGATAGGTAGATTGAGGAATCCCAGCCTATCAACTATTGCCAGGAGCCCTTGGCCTGTTGCCGCCATTTGCAGCTGGACTTAATGACGAGGATCAAAAGAGGCTTGGAGCGCTTCAGCTGAGATCATCAGTCACGCTTCTGTCGAAACGACATTATCATCTTCCATCGCCGTCTGACACAAATATGGATGGTTCGATGATGGCAATGCCGAATCTGCGCAGTATCGAGAAAGCAGTTGAGCTCCTCGTGGGTACAGCCATCTTGGTAAGTCCATAGGCTGTTATGTTTGATGGAACACTAAAACAGGAGAAGGTTGTCACTTGTCGACTTCTGTTCAATATCTTTCTTCATCCGCTGCGCCATTTCCCGGGTCCGATTTTGTGGCGAGCGACCCGTCTAAGATGGGTAATTGCCCTTCAGCGAGGCTCTCTGCATCGGGACCTTCTTCGACTGCACAACAAGTACGGCTCTGTTGTTCGAACTGCTCCAGACGAATTGTCATACATCGACGCCCAAGCGTGGAAGGATATCTATACGGCACGACCGGGTCACGCACCTATCGAACGGGGTGGAGTGTGGTTTCGGAAGACGCGACCAGACGAGCCTTACAGTATTATGGGACACAATGAGGACCACCATGCCCGATATCGAAGAGCGTTCATGGGCGCTTTTAGCGAGAAAGCAATCAAGGATCATTCAGCGCTGATTGAAAATTATGTCGAGCTGATGATGCAAAAATTTCGAGCCATGACCTTCGAGGGCGGTAGCACAATCATCGACGTTGTATCATGGTTAAACTTCGTGACGTTTGATATTTCGGGCGACTTGTCGTTTGGTGAGTCTTTTGGAAGCACGTCGACGGGAAACGCGCATCCTTGGGTCGAGATCGCTTGTCGCTTTGGAAAGGGTATAGCGTTGGTGGCCTCGATCAATCATTACGCACCCCTGCAGAAGTTGCTGAAATATACTCTGCCGGCCAAAGTCCGCCAGAAGATGATCTATCACAGAGAACTGAGTGCGCAAAAGGTCCGTCAACGGCTCCAGCTTCAGGAGCAAAGGCCAGACTTTGTCAATGCTGTACTCAAATACAACCAGGAGAAGGCGGAGAGCCTGACTCCGGAAGAGCTCGAGCTAAACATGAGCGTCTTTGTCTTTGCCGGTAGCGAAACAGTCAGCTCCGCGGTTGCGGCGATATTGTTCGGACTGTTGAAAACGCCTAAAGCGATGGCACAGGTCATCCAGGAGATCAGATCTGCCTTTAATTGCGAGCAAGAAATCGGCGTCGCTGCTGCCTCCAAGCTCGAGTATCTAACAGCTGTGATCAACGAGGGCATGCGGCTTGGTCCACCTAGCGTCATAGGGGTTCCTCGCGTTGTGCCAGCTGCCGGGGAGGAGATATGTGGGAAATGGGTTCCTGGCGGAGTAAGGCATGTGCAGCCTCCAGTTTCTAACTCTTACTGACCGTTTGTTCAGACATTTGTTGCGATCAATCAATATCCCGCGTTCAGGTCCGCAACAAACTTCATTGATCCGGACGAGTTCATCCCAGAACGTTTCCTCGGAAACCAAGGCTCTGAAACCAATATGGCCGTCTTTCAGCCCTTCCTTGTGGGACGACATATGTGCATTGGACAGAAATTGGCGTGGGCGGAAATGCGCCTCATCCTGGCGAGATTGCTCTACGCCTTTGACATCAGCTGGGGTGGCAGTCCATCCATCGATGATTGGGGAGAACAGCAGACATTCATTTTTTGGCAGAAGAACCCACTTGAGATTCGGTTGAAGCGCAGATAAGCTCGAGAGAAGTACGGTCGAAGCTGTAGAGGCAGTGCCTTGGAGGAGCCGAATTTTTATGTTTGTGGCCAGGAACAAGTGAACAAGAAATCAGTAACTGGTGAGGCGGTGGTGACGCCCGTCAAGTACGAGGTACTACTTGGTGCCTATCTCGCCGTCTCTCTATCTCGCCTCGCTCGCTATGTAAATTTCTCCGCATCGCTTCGCCGCACCTTCCGTAAATGATCGTTGTGACTTTTTGTTGGAGAAAATTATTTTCCAGGTCAAGTGCGACCATCACACACCTGCCTTTGTACGGAGGTGCCTCGTCTCACACATTCTAGACGTTCATGCTTGACGATCTAGGCTGTGCTGGGCTTCGAGCACTGAGCTAGACAACTTCATCCCTCCGCATTCGTCTGACGACCGGCCGAAATTTCTAGCTGGCCTCACTCGTGCTTTATCCAAGATGAAGGCCAATCCAACCGAATCTAGTCACAACGCTTCCCAGCCCTCTTCCCAGGTTCTTTCCTTGGTGTCCTCATTCCTCGCCGAACATGGATTCCACTCAACCATCAAGGCCCTCAAGAAAGAGCTCAAACGAACGAATCAATCGGCAGAGGTTCTTACCATCAGAGATTCGCAAGATGGCGTCAACCTACAAGAGATCGTGGAGAACTGGAACAAGCAAGGGGAACTACAACCTACGCAGTCTTCTTCGGAGGACAACTCATCGGATGCGAGCGAGAGCGCCACATCAGGGTCAGCCTCAGAGTCCAGCGGTGCAAGCAGCGCTGAGGAGAGCGACGGGAGCATGAGCAGCGAGGACACATCCGCATTAGAGTCTGAGTCCGAGTCAGGAACTGATGAAGAAAAAATCAACAAGAAGTTGTCCTCAAATCTCAAGAAGGTCAAGGCCAACAAGAGAGATCCGTCCCCATCGAGCTCTTCATCAGCGTCCTCCGACAGCGATGCCGACGACGAGCGAGAGATTGGTGCCAAAGCCAAAGCCAAGGTTTCACGGAAGAAGTCTCCAAGCACCTCGAAACTAGCTGAAAAGGCCCCGACTCTCAAGCGCAAGGCGCGATCTAGCTCACCAGAATCGTCTTCTTCAGATGCAGATTCGGACTCGTCAGATGATGATCGGCCGGTAAAGCGAGCAAAGACTGATGCCAACAATGACACAGAAAAGACTTCCTCGAGTGAGGTATCTTCTTCTAGCTCGGACGAAGATTCTGATGATGCCAAAGATTCATCAAGCGAAGCAGAGAAAGTGGAGGACGAAGGAATGAGCACCGATATGTCCAAGGACCAAGCAGAACCGGACGGTGCGGCTGACGATCTATCTGATTCGTCCTCAGGCACAGTCACGGGAGATGTTGTTGAGCCAGACGTATCATCTGCAAGACAACTTGGAGCAATCATAAACAAAGACGATAAGCAACCCGTGGCCGGCAAGAAAGCGCATGTGGGTGCGAGACCGACCCCACTGGCGCAACTATCAGCGCAGGCCACCGCGGACTCTCATATCAGCAATGCCTACCGGAGCTATGATTACGCCGACCGAGCATACAAGGACCTGTCTGTCACCCGAGGCAAAGGATTCACCAAGGAGAAGAACAAGAAGAAGCGGGGCAGCTATCGCGGAGGAGCCATTGACATTAGCGGTGGAAAGGCTTTCAAGTTCGATGACTGAAGTGGTGGAAGATTCGAGTCGACAATGGCAAAGAGGCGCAGCAATGGAGCGTGCCTGCAATCTGCAATATTCTTGGACCGAAAGCATGGAGTTTGGAAGTCCTCATATCATGGATACAGAGAAGAAAAGAGCTAATGATAGATCAAAGAACAAAACAGCAATATGTAGCCATGCGATTGGCAGTGATGAGATGATGACTAGACCTGGAGCGACAGACAATTCCGAGCTGGTACATGGGTACGGGAGGTACTTTGCAGTTAGTCGGTTACCAAACAATAAAAGTTCCGGTTGATGCTTGACTTGAAATGGTGAGCTGTCCGGGGTTGGCGGGTGATAAATTACCTAGGTACATATATGAAAAAGACACAGTGTCCCATCCCAGTACCAGGTACCTGCATGTTTGCGCTGTGCGGCACCAAAAGACAAGTACCGGCTACCCAGGAACTTCCCCCACACCACCTGCAGTCCTGTAGCGCCCCAACCGTTTCTGCCGTATCTCGTATTCCCCTAGCCAAAGCTGGGGCTCATTAGGCTAGTTGGTACCTCGTAGTGAGGCCGGGTGAGGCCTGCAAGGGCCTGGTGCTGACAGCTCTGGGTGGCAGTGGGTGCCTCGGCTGCTCCTTTGGGCGCTAGGCGCGGCGGATGAAATTCAATCCTGGGGAAAATGCCTGCGATTCAACTTGATCTTTGTTGGGGATCTGACTTGGCGTCCCAACCAAACGTACTGCCGATGCAGTTTGACGGCGCCGTCACCAATCACGCGGCGCAAGGCAGAAGCCAACAACGCCAATGAGCCCCTTCCGATCGATCAACATCCTCTCCAGCTACATCACCAACTCTTCCCACTTGCCTCTTCGTCACCGACTCTTTTTCTCCTTCTCTCGCTCACTCTTACCGTCCCTCCAGCCAGAAGGAGCCAGAAGAAGAGCAAATAAGAGCACGGAGAAACAATGGTCCTGTCTTGATTTGTCCCTCCGTCACTGCTCGTCTTCTTCCTTAGTCACGCGCCACAACCTAGATCATCGGTACTCCCATCATCCGGCCACGCTCACCCACCTACAATTGGGTCAATTGATCTGGGAGAGGGGTCCGGTGGTGTCTGGGGGATGCTACGAGTCGAGTCCAGCTGCACGGCGAGATCGTGTACCAACTGACCAAGTTTTTTTTTTTCTCCTAGCGCCAGGGCTCACGGGGGGCAATTTCACAGACCCTAACAGGCGCCAGAGAACAAGCGACAAGCGACCAAGCCATCAAGGCACCAGCAAACTACAAATTACTTGGATCATCCGCCACATCCGCCTCCACATATCCAACTCCCTCTCAAGTCCTTTTCTGTTTCCCCAGGATCTCGAATCGAGCTCTTTGTGTGGCCTTGATTTTTGCGGGGAGAGTTCGTGAGGCTCTGTTTGGTCTATCCTTGGCCCTTGACTCTCGGTACACTGTCTCTTGGACCTCTTGTCAAGAGTCAGAAGGCTGAGTCAGGCTGACCAAAAAGAAATTGGGGATTGGAGGGGGAATTATTTTTCCTTTTGCACAGTCGCTGACGTCTCCGGGCTTTCGATTGACCATCTACGGAAAACACAGAGAGGGCCTCTTGCTTTCTAGGCTTCCGCTCCGAGTCGGCGCCGGTCAAGCAGAAATCGCCACCACCTACCCATCCAATTCATGACCAGCCGGATGATCATCCTGGCGGGAGCTCCAGAGCCAGCGAAGCTCGACTGGAGCGAGAAATCGCTTCTGCCGGATTCCGCCCACGTCGAGTCTCTTCCCACCAACAAAGATTCACCAACTCCGCAGACCCCATTATCACCCTCATCCAAAGCCTTCGGTGCCCAATGGCGACAGATCACCACGCAGAAGCTCCAAATGCGACCGATCTTGCCTAAACTCAACATTGAAGCACGCCAGACGGCGCCAGGCAGTGCATTACCACATCAGGGCGGCCAACAGAATGAGCCCAGTGAGATGGACCGCAGTGGCGTTGAATTCTTCTCCTTCTCCGAGTTGCTTGGTGTGTCTACCCCGAGCAGCGATATCAGTGAAGCTCAGTCACAACCTTCATTGTCTGGCGGTTCATCCTCGATTCCAGACACCACTTCCAACAGTACGGGAGCGTTCAACACTTCGGAAGGCGGGCCACTATCCGAGTACTACGACCATTCCTTTTCCATCTACGAAGCCATCCCTTCCTCACAGCTCTCGCACTTCTCCGACTCTATTACGCCCGGCACGCCCACCTATGAATCGAACGAGGAGATGTTTTCGTCACAGCAGGGCCCCGGCACGCCTGGCGGTATCATTAGGACGCCTTCACAGCGACGATTAAGCCAAGCGCCACGACCGAAAACGCTGAGTGAGTTACAAGACATTCCGAATGCGGGGTACTTGCAGAACATCTCCCCACAGACCATGACAGTCAACTTGGTTGTGGGCATCATCTCCATTGCGCCGCCAAGGACAGTCATCACAGGTGCCCGATACGGCCGACCGAAGGAGGTGGACTTGGTAGAAATGGTGGTAGGTGACGACACGAAATCCGGATTCTCCATCTCCATGTGGTTACCGAAAGAGATGCGGGTGAACTGGAAAGACGGAGCCAACGCGAACCCGGAAGGAAGCCGAAGCATCCTACGTCGGAGTTTGCGGTTTATGAAACCTCGGGATGTGGTGTTGCTCCAGAACGTAGCGCTCAGCTCATTCCGGGGCAAAGTGCACGGGCAAAGCCTGAAGGGCGACGTGACCAAGATCGATCTGTTGTTCCGCAAGAAAGTGGACGACGACGATTTAAGTGGCATCTACTCGGTGAGCAACCTGCGGACGGCCAACGTGGGCAAGGACCCGCAGGTGCTGAAAGTGAAGAAAGTGAGGGATTGGATGATGGAGTTTGTGGGTGAACGAGAGGGAGGGGTGGGAGGTGGATTGGGGCTGCCAGGAGGGAGGAAAGGGAGGAAGAACAAGGCTGCATACGGCTTTACCTTCTTACCTGATGATACACCATGATTGGCAGGAGGCTGACTACCAAGAGAAGATCTACGAGACGGAGGTTTTTGGCCCAGAGATCTGCGGCGATCTTTCGGGAGGCGGACCTCCCGAGTCTTTGGAGGATGTAATAACAGCAGCACAGAAGGATTGAGACGGCAAAGGGGGAGAGTGATGCGGGTTGTGCCATCGCTCTTCTCCTTGTATTGTAGTAATAGTCACGAGACATGACTGCATTGGATGGGTTTTGGGATCATGGTTCGGCGTCCATACTCACCAGTAGTAGTAGTAGTAGTATTTTGCTAGCGAACAGATATATGTGAGCTGGATGGATACGTGGGAGGTTGTAACATCCTTCTATCGTAGCACCACCGAGTGACAATGGATGAATTGAGTCCTACCGAGTACAGAGTATTCCATCACCTGAGACAAATGGAGAAAGGAATACGGTTACTCGGTAAATGCTGGGAAAGAAATTCCCTCCACCCAGTACGAGTGAGATGAGATGAGAACGATCAGAGCGGTAGTAACCGAGTACTGAGTACAAGTAGTAAGCTCGAGAGACTTGAGAGCGAAACGGCCAGCGATTCACAAATCGCATCACGACGTTAGAGACATGGACAAGGTGACATTGTATGTGGTGGGTGACACAGTGTCAGTGGTGTCAGAAGTCAGTTGTCACTAAATTTGGCAGAGGCACAGCAAACAGAAGAAAATTTTTCTGGTTGGCGGGAAAAAAGGAGGACTGTAACGAGGTACCTCGTAAGTGTGTGCCTACGTACGACGAAGACGGGGACGTGGAGATGGTGTGGCTGTGCCTGGACAAATGTTCGAACGGGAGCTGAGGAGAAAAGGGAGATGAACATTGGACACACGGATGATGGATATTTCAGGCATTTAACTCATGGCCTCGTGACCACTGACCAGCAGCCAGTTCTCGTTAAATGCCCTTCCGGAGCTTGTCGCTTAGACCTTCTGGGTGTAACCAAGCATCCTAATTACCGCCTCACGGGCACCTTCATGATTGATTGCTCGCAGCCAGCGGTCCAGTGTTGGATCTCCGAATAGTAGCTAGCTCAAAGAACCAATCGCGAGAGCGTCCGAGTCGGCGTGTAGGCTGGATTGCGTGATGAGTGGACTGATTCAAACATCTACCTACTTGTAGCTCCTGCAGAGAAATCGAAGTTGTTATAACGAAAGGGGGTGGATGGGAAAAAGGGGCAAGGGAGGTTCCCATGATGGAGCCACCACGACGAGCCTGCGAAATTGGATCCAGGGTTCAAGATTTGCATCTCGGAGGCCAGAACGACACCCTTCGCAGATTATTCAGGGGTGGGTGTCTAGGTGCTTGTAGGCCTTTCCGCTAAGATTGACGATGGGTTAGCTACCTAGCGAGCTACCTAGGTAGCTAGGTTAGTGACCCCTAGCGATGGCGCGCGTTGCTGCCGAGCCGGCCTTATCGATAAAGGGAGGAGAAAATTTCAAAAAAGGTTCCCCCACGCACGCGGTGCCAAAGCATGTTAGGGGGTTTGTTAAAGGGAAAGTCACTCGGAAGTGTAGTGGCTTAATTAACCTCCGGTGCCTCCTTCACTAAAACCCATCCGCGGCGGTGGCTTGGGCAGTCCCAAAGCTGAGGCTCGCCGCTTAACTGGCCTAGGTAGCACAGGGTTCCTGCACTAGACCTCTAGTCACCCAGGTGGGGGGCACCCGATGGAGGGAGACTCGGAGGGAGTGACCCTGCGCCTCCAAACAATCGAACACAGTGGCTGCTTCCTGCATCGGGACACAATTAACTATTGAGTGACAACTGACAACTGACAACTGACGACGCCGCCTCACACAAAGCCATTCATATAACACCACCTCCCTCGGCTGTCTCTCCTGACCTCTCCCTTCTGCTCTTTGAACCAGTCCATCCTCCTTTAACACAACCTTCCAAGACCACTTGCTCACCTTCACAGTAGTCCTTGAACTACGTTTCATTCGTTCTTGGCCTTTGATCCATCCACCGCCAGACTGTGCACCATTCCCTGAGCTTGCCGACGACTTCTAAACCGTCCTCAGACTACCTTCCACTAAAGTCAAGATGAAGGGTAAGCAGTATCACTCTTGTATTTTGTTCAACGATAACTGACTGCTCATCCTACAGCCCTCATTCTGTACGACCACTGCACCACTACCCCCCCTTTTCTCCCTCAGCTAACCTCGTCCTTTCCAGCGTTGGTGGCTTCGGCACCAGACTGCGTCCCTTGACCCTCACTCTCCCCAAGCCTCTGGTCGAGTTTGCCAACCGTCCTATGATCGAGCATCAGGTCGAGGCTCTCGCTGCTGCCGGTGTCACAGACATTGTCCTGGCCGTCAACTACAGACCCGAAGTCATGACCGGGGCTTTGAAGAAGTATGAGGATATGTACAATGTCAAGATCACATTCTCGGTCGAATCCGAACCCCTGGGCACAGCTGGTCCTCTGAAGCTGGCCGAGAAGATCTTGGGCAAGGACGACTCCAACTTCTTCGTGCTCAACTCGGATGTCATTTGCAACTACCCTTTCAAGGAACTGGCTGCGTTCCACGAGTCCCACGGTGAGGAGGGCACCATTGTCGTCACAAAGGTCGAAGAGCCCAGCAAATATGGTGTCATTGTGCACAAGCCCAGCCATCCTTCCCGCATCGACCGTTTCGTCGAGAAGCCTGTCGAGTTCGTGGGCAACCGCATCAACGCCGGCATCTACATCTTCAAGCCCTCGATCCTCAAGAGAATCGAGCTGCGCCCCACCTCCATCGAACAAGAGACCTTCCCAGCCATGACTAAAGACGGCCAGCTGCACTCTTTTGACCTCGACGGTTTCTGGATGGACGTTGGCCAGCCCAAGGATTTCCTCAGTGGTACCTGCCTGTACCTTTCTTCGCTGGCCAAAAAGAACTCCAAGAAGCTGGCGTCCCACTCCGAACCCTACGTGTACGGTGGAAACGTCCTGGTGGACCCCACGGCCAAGATTGGCAAGAACTGCCGCATTGGCCCCAACGTCGTCATCGGACCGGGCTGTGTTGTCGGTGACGGTGTCCGATTGCAGCGATGCGTCCTGTTGGAGGACAGCAAGGTGAAGGACCATGCCTGGGTCAAATCTACCATCATTGGTATGTGTTTACGCGTACAAGATGCCCCAAAACTCATGAACTAACGGAGTTGCCAGGCTGGAGATCGACTGTCGGTCGCTGGGCTCGTCTAGAGAACGTCACTGTTCTTGGCGACGATGTTTCCATTGGTGATGAAATCTACGTCAATGGTGGTAGCGTCCTGCCTCACAAGAGCATCAAGGCCAATGTCGAGGGTAAGTATCTTGATGGTCTGGAGAGTGCAAAAGCTAATCAGACTTACAGTGCCCCAAATCATCATGTAAATGGCCTCTTGGGCTGTTCATGTCATTTGACTAGCGGCGATTCTGACTCCTCACTCTATTGCTTGAACTTGACATTTCTGCCCTTTTCCTACCATGTCTTTACTACCGAATGAGATTTTCAGAGCATGGCGAAATTGAACCAGATGCAAGCTGAAAAAAGAAGCCCGGGCGTTATGGAGCGAGCGGGTTGTTCCAGATTTTACCACGTTTTTCTGTCCGGTGGACAACGGGATTTTGAGGGGTTTCTAGAAAATCGGGACGATGCGCGGGATAACTTTTTATATCGCATTAGAGGACCATGCACGCTACGAGCGGAGGGAAGGGTTGATGGTAGAGTTGGTGGCGAAGGGAAACGAGATGCACCGCCGGCATCGCCATTCACACGAACGCCTTCCGCGTTGCACGCTAATGGAATATCCATTGTAATAGTATTGAGATCAAGCGTCCCTTTATCGTCATGAAATGATTGGGATGGTAATGACAAGATGTTGCAAACTCTTTGAGTACTTGGGTTCTCTTTTTCACCTTTTCCTTGTAGTCATGCTGGTATGGCGGTATGCAGCTACTCATATGAGGAATATCTAAGTGAGACGGAGTCATTTTCGAGTGCGCGGTGCGCGGTGCTCTGTACGACGGATGCTAGCCATGCGATAAGATCAAGTTGGGGAGTCTACCTACTGTGAATAGAGGATGCCCTCGTAGTATTATATATATGTATGATGAACCTGGTGGTTGGAGGGTATTTTATTAATACCTAGGTAGGTTATTAAGTCAACTAACTATCTATCCATCCACGTGTAAATACATCACCACTAGGGAAGCAGGAGATTACACAAGTAGTAGTGAGTAGGAAGGTGTCGGTCGGTACATGTTCCACACCCAGGGGATACAGAGTCAGCGCATTCTATCCAGTTGGTTGTCAGGGATAGAGCCTCGCGCGCATGAACTTCTTTGCAGGATGTGTGGCTTTTCGAAGTGAGTGACTAGGGAATCGAATGAGACGCTGGGCCTCGGGTGCCTCTACCCGCTGTCGATGGTACTGGGTATAGCCGCTCCCAGGTCGGCAGTCAGGGAACCGGATCATAAGCCATAGCCAAAGTCAGAAGAGCATCCCACCACCAGACTGATGTTTGTCGCCGCCCCTTCCGCCGTCTGCGCTCATCCCGCGGCCCTCGTCCTCAGACCCGGACCCGGACCCTGAACAGGTGCTTGACTCGGGCGTCGCGACGATGCCCAGCAGGTCCGCCACTTCCTGCCGGCGTGCACTCACCCGCGTGATCCGTCGGCTTGATGCCTCAAAGTATGTGCGTGCCTCGTCCTCTGCGTCCACAAAGTAGCCGTAGGCCTTTCTGAGGTATTGTACGCGCTTGTGTGCGGGTGAATCCGGGTGGCGATTGCGCGAGTTGTGTTGATGAAGATGGTGGTTGCCGGTCGGCCCCTGAGACCTCGTGCCTTGACTGGATTGCAATGGCGAGCTTGAAGTCGAAGACCCTGATGATGTCGGCGTCGATGTCCCCGTGTTGTCAGTGCTACTCTCCGAGGAGGCCGGGTGAGACCCCGAAGAGGAATGGCAGTGGCATGAGCAACATGTAGAGTTCGGGCTTGTTTGTGGATTGCGGTCCAGCGAAGTGTGGCCGGGGCCAAAGAGATTCTCAGCACGAACTCGTCCTCGACTCTGTTCTTCTTGCCAAAGTGCTTCTGCTTCTGCCTTTTCGGCTTTGCGCATCCAGCACCTTCCCAACCCCTCTCGAGCCGCAAAACTCGACTTCGCTCTTCCGTAATCATCTACCAAGGTCTCTGCCCTGTCAAGGGCATCTTGAAAGTAGCCAATCGCCTGATCGACGTCACCATCGGCGAGACAGTCGTCTGCCACGTTGGTCAAGGTCCATAATACGTTCCTTGCAGTGCGACCGTATCTTGCTTCTTGATCATGAAAGAGCCGCCTCCGCATCCTCAAGCGGGCGGCTTGGTAGGACGATCCGCAGTAGTAGAGAGCGTCGCAGAGCCGTTCGCGCACGTAGAGCTGCTTCCAATCCTGGGCTCTCGCTAGAGTGGTGGGAGAGCTAGAAGTGTAAGAGCGGTCAAGTTGGGCTAATGCTAGGTTGAGAGAGTTCAGAATGAGTTCAATCACAGGCTGAGATCCAGAAGAAGATAAAACTGTTGGCGAGCTGTACTCCCGTGCCAGGATGTCAAAGAAACCGGTCAATGGGTGTCCAGGCCCACAAACCTTCGGGGCCGCCGCCATTTCACGTATGTATTCAAGCAATTTCACCAGAATGACCCCGACATGCGAAGACATCATACTCGGTTTAGCCGCGCGAACGGCCAGATCGCAAATTATGCTCAGCATCAGTGTAAGTGACATTGGGCTGGGGTCTTTGAGAATGTTTTCGACCAGTAAGAAACCGTTCCTAAAGCTACTAAAAGCTTCCACGGCACTCGTATCTGGGTGTCGTCTCCTTAACTCTGCTGCATGTGGGGAGACATTGCCCAAAAGAGAGATTCCATCCTGCATCTTAGACGCAAAGATCGCATGAACGGTATGTGCATGGACTACCGGTTCTTGGTCGCTCTTCGAGGCGGGTGACGATAAATATGAGCTCATATATAGCATCATGTTCTGATTGAGTTGCTCAATGGCGTAATAAGACTGTGGACGAAAGAGAGTTGGCACTGAGAAAGAGGAGCTGGTGATATTGGTATGCGGCAAGCCTCCCACCCAGGTGGAGTACCCCTCGTCGAGGCAGTGCTCATTTGGCATTGGACAAGTAATGTGGGAGTTGTCGGCGACGTGTCCAGAAGCTGTTTGTTCGACCTGCTCAATAAAAAGCTCGAACTCTTCGTGCTCGCTATCAGACGCGTCTTCAGAAGATCTAGCTTGACCGACAGAGACAGGATCAGCATTTACGACAATGACAACATCTTCGCTCAGGTCCAATCCGTCTTTCTGCTCCTTGACCCAGCAGACGGGGTCGGCGATCTTCTTCCGCCGGAAGTAGCGCATCAGTTCGTTGTAGCTGACACGCTCGCCACGGATGTCGAAGCTCGGCATAGTACGCTTGCCTGTTGTGACACTAGGTCCAGATCCTGATGCGTTCGATTGTTGCTGTTGCTGATCAAGAAACTCCGCTAGAAGATGAGCGGCCATTCGCATTTCGCTGGATTTATGATTGCGACCAATTTTCCACTTGCGAATGCGTGTGTGAAGCATGCGTTCGCTGTTTAAGATGAAGGTTAGCGTCCCAGCTGTCGAGCCTTGGGATTAGAAAGGAAAGAGCCGTTGTTGATGAGGCTCGAGGGTAGAGACACAGAGATGAAACCCATATCTATATCAGTTGAACCCAGCTCAACTCTGGTGGATCTTCGTAGGGCTGACTTGCAGCTAAGACAAAAGGTCGAATCCTCCAGGCAGGACAAGGCATAGTTTCACGTACTTAACTTCGAACCCCATCCCATGCAAGCGGCGGATCAATTCAGCCACAGTCACCTTATCTTCGCAGTAGAGCTGCGTGATGATATCCTGCATCCTCCTCCAGTCTTTGCTGGTGTACTGTTTGGTGGGAATCTTGTGCTTCTGGTGGGCTCTGGCTTCTCTTCGGCCTTGCGCCACATCCCCGGACACCGATCGAGATCTCGACATTTTCTCGCCCCGGCGAGAATTTGTAATTACAGCCATGCAGAGCCGCGGGTCAGCTGAGTATCGGTCTTGTAAGTTCGGTGGATTCTCTCGTGTTGCGTATCTCGCAAAAAGCTGAAGACTGAGGGAGAACAACACCAGCGGGCCTTGATCAAGGGCGCTTGTGAACGAGTGCGCCAGTAGATTACCGCGGTTTTCTCGATCCTCGCCGTAGAACTAGAGTGTACTTGTCGATGGTGGATGGCGAGGATCAGGGCGAGACAAGTATAACGTCGTCGACGAGGTAGAACATGGGCTGAAGGATGACAGCCTTGCCTGGAGGATTCGACTTGATGAATTTAAGTTTTGGGGAAAGGCGGGATGGGCACTTTAGGAGGCTCTGGGCGGTCTCAAGCCTGTCAGGCGCAGTCGATTTCGGCCATTCACGGGGCGGAATGCCAGGTGGTTTTGTTCGACTTGCATAAGTGCGAACTGAGGAATGTCCAATGGAAAGGTCTAGTGCGTGGCGCAGCTGCCCTGGCGTGCTTGAGCCTGTTGACTCCAGTTGGCTCTATTCGAAGACCGAGTGTCGGTACGCGGTAAGGCTTGACCTGGCTGGTTACAAAACTACCACAAGCTTCTCAGAGTCAGTACCTGTCACACAACATCTTGGACTCGTCTGTACCCTGTTGCCAGTAACGCCATCTTGCATGCTCTTATCACTGTCTCGCCAGATAAGACTTTAATGTGCGGTCGACATGAACGTCTCAGCGAGCAATACGACGGCCCGGACCAAAACCGACGAGGCACAATTTGACAGGTAAGGTAGCCACGCAGATCTCGTCGGCGGTCAATGACTGGCTCTCATGTGTATTGGTGTTGGTCATGGAGGTTCCCGATCGGTTGCGAAAGGCCCTTGCCATCGAGGAGGATCCATTCGTGCGCGTCTCCGCTGGGAAAATCGTTGCCTAGATGCTCTGCAGATTGTACAGCGAGCGTAGTGGGAGCTGTGGGAGGAAGAGACGTCGTAGAACTCACGTTCCGATCAGTGGGTGCTAGTGGGTGCCAGTGGCAGCGTGAGCTGCGTCGCCTGTAGAATGAGAAACTGCAGCTGCAGGATGAATGCGTGGGAGTACCCCAATAGTATGCTCAATGATCCACCGTACCCCGTTATCCCATCTCCATTCAACATTCAAGCCATCCACCGGCCCTTTTCCAGCCCTTTTATGACACCTCAAACGTGAAGAAGTTTTGAATCCAAGTACTTAGCTACCTAGAAGAAGGTGGATGTCTTCTCGACAGTCTTTTCGGTCCAGTATTGCGGTCCATGCCCTCTGGCTAGTCAATCACTCGCTCGCTTGCTTGAGATATGCCGCGCAGATCAAGAAAACTTATTGGGATAGGTGAAAACGAAACAGCAGTAGAAAAACTTATAAGGATATGAAAGTATGATCTCCTCAGGCCTTGTACAGCGTATCCAAATATGCCACGACGATCTTCTCCACGATGCTCTTGTCAGGCAGGCTCCCTGCAACGCCGTATAGTTGCGCACTGGTTCCTTTGGCCTTGTCCTTCTTCACCACTGCACCCCCAACAACTCCACTGCTGGTGACCTGTTGACTCACAATCTTCTCCTTTTCTTCCTTGACCACCGCAATGAGATCATCAATCAATCCGTCCACGGCTCCGGGTTTTGTCATGGGCAAGGTCACTGCGACATGGACTCCCGGGGGATCTTGGAGCGAGTTGAGATGCCAATGCCTCTTGGACATTGCGTCGGCGATGTCGTAGATTGATATTTGCGGGTCAAGGGATTCAAACGCCACCACGCTAACCATGGGTTTACCCAGTATCCCCAATGCTGATTTCAGGATAGGATGTTCCTTCACGGCGTTTTCAATTGTTTGTTTCGTGGTGACGATTTTGTTCGTGGCGTCAATATACCCCTTCTCACCCACAGCCATCATACTGGCCCAGCATCCAGCTATCAGCGCTCCAGGCCGTGAGCCAGCTATGGAGGGACTCCCGTAGACGCCACCTGACCAGTCGGGACTTATGAAGTATTGATATTCGCGCAGCTGTCTGTTTCTGTATAAAACACACGAGTTTCCCTTGGGTGCGAAGCCGTACTTGTGCGTATCCACCGAGATTGATGTTACACCTGGGAGACGGAAATCGAATCCTCCTTCATCAGCGAATGGTGAAGGAAATCCGGCTTTGGAGAGGTGCGGCATGAGAAATGACCCCAAACAGCAGTCCACGTGTAAGGGGATTTTATATGCCACTGCAAGTTTTGAGAGGGCAGGAATGTTGTCCACGACCCCGTGTGGGTAGTTCGGGGCACTGCCCACGAGGAGGATTGTGTTGGGGTTGATCAGGCGGCGAACGCGGGATATGTCGACCATATAGTCGGGCGCTGGACAGCGAACAACATGTAGCTTGATTTTGAAATACGATGCTGCCTTGTGGAACGCCGCGTGGGCGGTATGTGGAATGATCATTTCCGGTTCCGTGATCCCTCTCTCTGCATAGCCCTTCTGCCGTGCTGATAGGCAGGCCATCAAGATCGACTCAGTGCCTCCGGAGGTAGTCACTCCAGCACCAGTGTTGGGGGCATTGAACATGGCGAGCACCATTGCCACGATTTCAGCTTCCATCTTGCGGACGGCGGGGAACACATCGGCGTGGATGGGGTTGGCCACGCTGAAGAAACGCATGGCCTGGAACTGTATGTCCAACAGCTCTTGTTCGCCGTGGTAGACTGCGCCCGAGACTTTGCCTTCTTCCCACCGGGTGCGTTTCATAGCCGCCAAGGTCTCCAACTCGCCATGTAATTGATCCTTGGTCCATGGCTCCTTTGGGAGATGCAAGTACCGGTTGACGCCGGGGCCGGTTGGGACGAGTTTATCTTCGAGATCTTTCCGCGCGGCGTCAAGTTGCTTGGAGACTTTCGACCGTACACCAGGCAGGTTTAGGAAGATTTTGTACAGAGTTTTGTGGGTGGTGTGGTAAAGGAGAGCGAGGGAACCGAGCAGCCCATGGCCACGGAGGAAATAGAAGGACCGCCGGAGGATGCGGAGGACGAAGAAGATGAAGATTATATTGCGGAGTCTGCAGATGGTTGTAGAATTAGTTGTCTGAGCACCGAAGCAAACGGAATAGCACCATGTCAAGGAGATTCCAACATTGCGGAAACGCGATGGACATACATGTTGAAATTGCCCTGGTAGTCCCTCAGGCGAGCCAAATGACCAGCTCGAGCTCGCTGGAACTTGCTCTGCAAACTGAGGGGGAGAGGAGAGGAGCCACCCATTATGGGACCGAGATTCTGGGTCACCGATGAGACATGGAAAGGATGGAGTGCGAGGAATTGAGAGGAATGTCGAAAAGAGGAGAGGGGAGGGAGCTACGACCAGGCCCTTTTTCTATCACCAAATAATGTGACGACAGCCACGGCGGTGACGGCGCATTTTCATATGCTCGCGTCAACGTCTTTCTCCGCAGTTTGAACGTCGCCTCGTTCCTCGTATACCGCGGGTCGGCAAATCGATATTCCGAAGAACCACCACAACAGGACCTCGTATTTCGTTCAGACACAGTGTGGGCTTCTATCAAGTGACTATATGTCATGAGACCAGAACCTAAGGACAGGTCAAAAACGTCTATAGCTTTGACGTGCACTCATCTATGGAGCCTTTTGGTCCCATTCTTGCTTTTGTTTTCCAAGTCGAACCCGTAGCTGTCGTTTAGGTCGTGCTATGTGCAAATCCAGCTGGGTCGACAGATCTCTCAATGCAGAGGTGCCCGCATCTCGGGAAATATCTCAGGCCGTTTCATCAGATAACCTTGAACTCCGGGAGAAAATGCACGCGGGTATCTGTCTATGCCGTGACACCCGTCGTTCTCGCCTTCTTGACAACCTGCTCCGTCGCGATCTGGTCGTCAACCGCCTCTTCCAACCGCCTCTTTTCCGGTACTGATTGGTCCTCCTGCTGCTTTTCGGCCAGCAGTTGCTTCTCCTTCTCGGTCATGTTGGGCAGTTCGACCTCATTCCCCGGGTTCTTCTTGCCCAGCTTGACATTGCGATGATATGCGTGGATGATGGAATCCGCGTCGTCAATAGCAATGGGTCTGATATCAGCCAGTCTCTTGATGGCTGCCGTGACTTCCTTGTATTGTGCGTCCGTCATCTCAATCTTGAGTTGCTGTGCTCTCGACTTGATGGCGTTCCATCCGGTCAGGCGAGAAGCGAAATGGATGTATCGTCCAATACCGAAGTCCGAGGGGTCAATGATTTCGTATGTGCTCGGGTTGGCCAGGATAGCTTTGGCGTGGATACCAGCCTTGTGAGTAAAGGCACAGAAACCGGTGATGGGGTTGTTGAAGGGAATGTTGACGGCGACAGCTTCGGCAACCAACTCCTCAATGTCCTTGATCTTTTCCAGCTTGTACTTGCTCTTGACGTAGTCGCGATCGGCCGTGATCATCCGGGCCATCAACCCACCAAGCGTGGTAATGCCATTTCGCTCGCCAATGCCGAGGACCGAGGTGTCGATGTGGGTGGCGCCAGCTTCCAGAGCGCAGTATGCATTAGCAATGGCACAGCCGGTGTCGTTGTGGAAGTGGGTCTCAATGTCGCAGCTGACAACACCGCGCAGTGTTCGAACGAGGTCATAAACTTGTCTGGGCGAAGCGCATCCGACGGTATCAGCAATCCCCACCCGATTCACACCGACCTTATCAACGGCTTGGTAGAGCGACAACAGGTCGACGAGATCAGATCGGAAGGAGTCTTCGCTGGAAAATCGAATCTCGATGCCCTTAGACTTGACAAAATTGATAACCTCGATGGCAGTGTTCTTGATGTAAGTCATGTCCTTGCCGTGAGAATGCTCTCTGAGGAAGGACGATGTGCCGATCACCACATCGACGCCGTCGACACCAGTTTCGACTGCTATTCTTGCATCGTCCATGTGGCATCTGATGTGGGTGAGGATCTTGGACTTCAAGCCGAGCTTGCAGATGGCTTCGCAGTCCTTGCGAGATTGCTCTGAGGCGGCCGGGCTAGTGAGTTCGATATAGTCTGCGCCAAACTCGTCCAGAGCCTTTGCGATTTCAATCTTCTTGGCGGTGTCGAAGTAGGCATTTGCAAACCTGTGAACGAACCGGAGTCAGCATCTTTCCGGTCTCCAGGGCATAATCTTCCAACATACTGCTCGCCTTCTCTTAATGTGCTCTCGATAATCTTAAATCTACCGACGTTGCTGAGGAAGTCGCCCACGGGCATGTAAGGATTTCTGGCATTTCGCGGAGTTTGGTTGGTGTTGATTCCCGTGTAACCCGGATGGTCTGTAAGCTGGTCAGCGAGGCACCACTCATAAGGGAGGGCAATGGCCATACTGCTATTGCCATTCACTCCATTTGCGTGGCCATTGGTGCCGTTGGTCTGGCCATTGACACCGTTGGAGTCAACCTCGTCGGCCGAGGGACACATTTTGAGCGGTGAACTGGGAGAGAGGTTGGGAGCTGGTAGGAGGTCTTGACTATCAGGACTAAGGAGGGATATCAGTGCAGGAAGAGTGCAGGAAAAAGCAAGCTGAGCGGTGAGGAGGAGCAGATGTAAATCTGGAGCAGAGGAATAATGAGTCAAAATAGCGAGTCGGTGATTTGACGGAGATGATGGCAGGAAGATGATGCCGCGAGCCAGAAAGCCAGAGGGAAAAAAGTGGGAGTAAGTAGAATTGTGGATGCGCCCTGTGCCCTTTGCCCTGCGGATTTGGGCTTCGATTTGGAGGGGGAAAAGTCTGATGCAGCTCCCTCCCCGCATGGTTTTTTCCTCCTGTTCCTCTCCGGTCTCGGTCCTCACTGGGCAAAAATTTTCTCCCTGGTCAGTTTTCAATCTTCTGAGTGGCTCGTCCACTTCTCCCAGCACTTATTCTACCATAACAACCCCCTCGATTGCTAAAGTATTCATCCTTTCTGTCTATCTCAATTGTCAAAGTCTCTCTTTCTTCTGTGCGCATGCTTGACGTCATCGGATGTCGGAGCATTATCACGTGATTCGCATCAGCCTCGGGACTTTTGACGAGGCTGAGGGGCTGAGAGGCTGAGATTCTGCGTGTAGCCTTGTTCCCCCGAGCTCGGGAGTTCTCAGCTTGATTACACGATTACTAGGTATCTATCGAAGCAGCCCCACAAGACGGTCAAGTTGCTCGCGTGTCCATGGCATTTGTCCTCCAATAGAGGTAGGGAGACACCAAACTCATCCGCACTTTGGAGAAGACACGACGCACCATCCAATCGCTTGTGTTGTTTGTGGCACCTGCCGTAGAACGAGAGGCCAAAGTCAGAGCTCATGAAACCTGCTCTGTGCGCTGGCCACTCCATTACTATCGCAAGTTACAGACAGTTTAAGGAAGGGCGTACGATGTACACGAATCGTCACGATCTCTGGGACATGTAGAAGTGGGTTGCCTCAATCCCTGGGGGCCTAACGAGGCCCCATACCAGTAGTATATAACTCTTACTGCACTTCCTTCAAAACTCAGCTCAGAGCTCCAGCAATTCGTCCACAGAGAAAAATGGCGAAACCCACACTTTTGTTCGTGCCCGGTGCGTGGCATTCACCTTCCCATTACGAGGCACTCATGAAAGTCCTCGAGAAGCACGGATATCAATGTGAAGCTGTGTCCTTGCCTTCAGTCGATCCCAAGGATCCTCCAAATACCGACTGCAACACGGATGTCTCCGCCATATCCGACGCCATCAGGAACGTCTTGGCCTCGGGCAACAATGTCGTCCTGATCACCCATTCATACAGTGGAATCCCCGGGCACAGCGCGGCATATTCGTTTATTGGCCAGAACGAAGACGGACCCCGGCTCACTTCCATCGCCATGATGTGCTCGTTCCTGTATCCGCCGCAAACAGCTCTTATGGCACCAACTGGAGGCCAACCCCACCCAATCCACGTGGTCTCTGCTGATGGGAACCTGGTGGATGTCGGAGGACCTGGTCCCGAGATTCTCTTCTACAACGATGTGCCGGCTGTAGAAGCAGCTCGTTGCGCTGCCATGATCAAGTCGCACTCCTGGCGTTCCAAGACGTTGCCGCCGAGTGCCGAAGGTGCTGGGTGGTGGGAGATCCCTACCAGCTATTTGATCTGTGAGAAAGACAACGCTATCCCAGCCGATTTGCAGAGGAAGATGGTCGCGGACGCGAATGAAGCGTTGTCCCAGAGAGGCTCCACGCTCAAAATTCGTGAGGAAACGGTAGACAGCGGGCACAGTCCATTCTTGAGTGTGACAGAGCAAACGGCAGACTTCATTCGGCGCAGTGCAGGAGAGCAGGTGCCTTTCAAGGGACGCATGTAGGGAGCGCCAGTAATCTCTAGTCCTCACTGTGGGACAGCTGCGGTGGGTCTATGGATGGCATCTAAGTATTGTTGGTCTGCGATTGACAGGATCATTGAACAATTTCTCCATTCTGCTCCCGTACCATGGCGTCAAATCTTGCTTTGAGCAGAGCGTACAGCATCTGCGTAAGGGGCATGTCGACTCCCCATTGCCGCCCGAGGCGAGCAGTGTTGCCCACAATTGCTTCCACTTCAAACAGTCGGCCTTGCTTGACATCCTGCACCATACTCGTCTCCCTGCCCTGTCTCGTTTCTGCCCGTCGCTTGCCGATAGCCAGCTTCTGCTCTGCCACTTTCTCGTCCACATTGGGGACTCCGATCTTCTTTGCCAGCTCGATGATCTCCTTCATGATCGACCACACCAGCTCGTAGGAATATGGAGAAGATGAAAGGCAGAAATCCGCATCTGTCGACATTGAGAGCGCGCAGGTGGGACTCCAAGCGCAATTCAGCATGATCTTACCCCAACGAGCGATTTGAATATCATCATGGACTTCGGCTTGACCCCCACCGGCGATCGTTAATTCCGCCAGCCTGGTCGCCGCTGCCTTGTGGGATGCTGGGGCGTTCGAGGGGAAGGTGCCGATCTCGAGGAGATTCAGCATCTCGGGATACTCAATGATACCCTGCTCTGTTTGCGTAGCCGGTAGGTAGACAGCACAGCTTAGGAGTGGATTGTCCGGGTATGCCTTGGCCACTTCGTCCTCGATGGCAATTCCATTCTGAGCAAGCACAATGGCCGTCTGAGGTCGACCGCGGACAACAGGTCGAATCAAGTCGCTCAAGGACGGCGTCGAGCCGGGGAATGACTTGGTAGCAATAAAGACATAATCATAGGTGACGTCCTCTGGACACTCTGCGGCGCTTCTCACAACCAAGTCTGGGCGGAACTGCACGTTGCCAAATCGCTTGCTGAGCATGGTAAAGCCATTCTGCCTTACCGCTTCATAGTTGGAGCGGCACACGGCTGTGACCTGACAGCCAGCCCGCTGGAACTGGTACAAAAAGACGGAACCGATGCTTCCAGCCCCAAAAAGGAGGATTCGAGGTGCGCTATCCATAGCCACAGCAGAGATGTCCCTGGAAGCAGAATACGGGAAACGCGCATGATGGAGGGAGACGATGAACCCCGCTAATACAGCCCGGAGATTGGCCGCTAGGGCATAAGATAAACTCCTTAGAGTCATATCTCCTGCACAAACCCCCCGCCCACGTCTAACGGATATAGCGGCCGAATAGGGCGCCTGGTCGTGGCCTGCGAGGGACGTGCTGACAGATGGACCAAAGGCTGATATCAAGCAACATGCTCAGCACAAGGCTGAGAGTCCCATTCTCTCTGGGAAAAGCGACTCACCCCGACTCGGATCGGAGTCTACATACTCCGCCATTCTTGCTGAGTTTGTCACGGGCATGCAATGACCAGTTCAAGATGAAGGTGGGAGTGGGAGACTAATCGTAAATCTGTGTTTGAGCCACACAGTCGGGTCGCAGGCTTGGTCGCAGGTTCTATCAACGCTCGGCTCAAATAAAGGCCCGAATTGCGATCTGACCCACACAACCAACTAATTCTGGGGCTGAGGAAGCTCTGAAAGACACATTTTCACATTTTCACGGCAGGAGAAGCGCACAGAATGCTCCGTTCTCCGTATCGCAGTGTGGTAATACCGGGGGAGATGCCAGATTGGATGGTGACGCGCCCGTATCAATTCCACTTATGCCCCAAAGTGGCATCTTTGAAGCAGTCGTGGAAGTTAACCAAGCAGGGTTCCACAGGGGCTCATTAGGCTGCTCTAAGGCCTGGGCCTGTCCCAACGACGGTCGATCTACCGAAACACACATGGTAAATAATTATTAACCATGCAAAACTTCGTCGCTGGAGACAAGAGGCGTTGGAGCATCCAACCCGCCAATGGTGCTGCCCAGCCTTGCACCCTCCCTTATGGCCGGCGAATCAATAAAGGGACCCTTCAGGGCCCAACAACAAAATCATGACGTGCTAGGTCGATCAAGCTTTTTGGCCGGCGTTTAGGGCACAACGAAGGATATCGACACGCAATGACCGCGCCCAAAGGTGCCGTATACCCGAGATCGCAGAGAACCCACACCGGCATATACATTACCAATCAGTGGGCGGCGTTGCATAGCATGATCTTCGAAAATATTGGTTTCAAGGGGCTAAAGTCCATTGTCTCTAAAATATCTTTCGTCATGGCATGCTCCTCGCCATATATACCCTTTTGACATCCCCTTTTCGCCAATAACACCACCACAACAGCACCCAGCCATGGAGACGATAGAGAGGATTCTGTCGAGACCTGTCGCCAAACCCTACCGTTCTCGAAAGATCGACCCCTCCGTTAAGCCGTATCTGAACAGTTATGGCCAGGTCGATTTTGCCCCCGGTGACATCGAAAACCCCCGAGAATGGTCAACGGCCCGTCGATGGTACTGTACACTTGTGGGCGTGACTCTGGTCTGCAATGCCACATTTGCTTCGTCCAGCCCCTCGGGGTCTCTGCGTGGCATTGCTAAAGAGTTCCACGTTTCTGAGGTCGCAGCTGGCCTCGTTGTCACCCTATTTCTGCTGGGGTACGTGGCGGGGCCTTTGATCTTTGCTCCCTTGTCCGAATTCTACGGCCGGCGATATGTCTTCTACGTCACTTTCAGTCTCTATGTGGTGTTCAACTTCCTCTGTGCCTTTGCACCCAACTTTGCGTCGTTGCTAATTGGACGCCTCTTGACCGGCACGTTTGCGAGTGCCCCTTTGACCAATGCTCCCGGAGTGCTTGCCGATGTCTGGGGACCGGTTGAACGTGGGAATGCAATGGCTATCTTTAGTATGATGACCTTCATCGGCCCTTCCATCGGGCCTGTTATTTCCGGGTTCCTCGAGCTCAAGGAAGATTGGAGATGGTCGTTCTATGTGCTGCTGTGGTTGGGAGGAGCGACCGAACTGCTCATGTTCACCATCCCCGAAACATATCCCCCGCTAGTCCTGATCAACAAGGCGCGTCGACTGAGAGCTACCGGAATTCCCGAGTATCAGAACCTCCAAGCCCCGGCTGAAGCAGAGGGCCGAAGGCTGGCCGATATGTTCAAGGTCGCATTGCTACGACCTTGGCAGATCCTTTTCGACACCATCTCAATGCTTGTCGCCGTCTACATTTCGGTCGTCTATCTGCTGCTGTACATGCTCTTTACAATATACCCGATTGTTTTCCAAGAGAAGCGCGGCTGGAACTCTGGGGTTGGCGAGCTTCCGCTGATCGGGACTGTTATTGGGGCATGCATTGGCGGGACCATTATTTTCTACGTCTCTTCGCGAGACAAGAAACGAATGATGGCCGGTATCCCGCGGAAACCAGAAGACCGATTGCCCGTCGCGATGATTGGCGGCATCATGTTTGCTGTGACCATGTTTTGGTTTGCATGGACGGCCAACTTCAACAGCATCCACTGGATTGTCCCGACCCTCGCGGGCACGTTCTTGTCGACTTCGATCCTCCTCATATTCGTCGCTTACCTGAACTACCTTACGGACACCTACTTGATGTACACGGCCAGCGCAATGGCAGCAAACACCATCTGTCGGTCGGCTTGTGGTGCGGCTGCACCTCTCTTTACGAATCAGATGTTCAGTGCACTAGGAGTAGGCGGCGGTGGCTCGCTTATTGCGGGTGTTGCATGCCTTCTCGCGCCAATCCCTTTCATCTTCTACAAGTACGGCGAACGAATTCGACGACAAAGTCGATTTGCTCCTACCGACCTCCCTCCGCCCCGAGATGAGGAGAGCCAGGACGAAGAGGCTAAAGAGCCTGTAGAGGTGGAAGCTCCGTCGAGTTCAAGCTCGGGTTCGACAATTTCCAGTCTCCGTTCTGAAAGCTCCTCACAAGTTCATGCCGAGCCCTCAGCTGTTGTTGGGGAGAAGCACGGTGAGTCAGAAGCAGAACCTCGCCACGAGCCGGGACATGAGGCGGGCGAGAAGAAAGAGCTTGCTTGAGCCAGGCTTCGCTTGTTGCGACTCTGATGGACGAGCTGGGCTCTGGCGGGATTCGCGGCACACAATCTCTGTGAGCTCCGGCATCTGGCATTCGGATACACAGCCACCCTGGAGTCCGCAAAGGGAAGCCATGTGGAGTTTTGATGTCCAATGGCTGACTTTATAGATACTCCACTTTTGGTGCCTTTCCTGTCTTCAAAATTGAATTCGGACCATTCCGACAGATCCGCCAGGGATGGCTACAGCTGCCAAGCCAGAATTTGATATGCGGCGCAAGGGACCGAGTGACTCATAGACGGATGGATTTAGCGGGATGGATTTATGGATGTTGTACCGAGTACGAGACATTTGGCGCACATAATTCTCGGGATGCTTTTTATCCAGCGCGTTGAATTCTTTATTCTGCACTTGGGTCTGTTTATTCACATACATGCATGCATGGCGATGGCGCAATCTGACGCGACAGTCGCTCCTCTGAGCAGACATGGCTGTTTTGTCCACATGATGATATAATCATTATATTATAAGAAATGGGTTGGGAATAGAATGGGATTTGGGAGGACATGCAAGGATAAGAATCCATCCTTGTCTGGGAGGATTTCCTTCGCTCACTTTACTCATGTATACGATGTACATTATACAAATATTTGTCATGCATGTAGTGGGTATATCCGTATGTATGGGTAAATATGTGCATAGTGTTAGATGGAATAATGCTATAATCCATGTACTGGGTGAATATAAACAGATTACGCACGCACATAGGGACCAACAAATACGAGTACATTAATGACAGAATACGGAGTACGGACTACCGAGCACGAGGTATGTACCTGCGTATGGGACTACAAATGGAGATAGCGGGGGGGCTGACCTCGCTGACTCCTGAACACGGGCTCGCGACTATACACGGCCCGACGTGTCCGGACCTCCTTTCCCCCCTTGGCCGTCTAATCCTCTGTTCCTTGTGCCTTGTGCCTGGCACATGGACGGGAAACGGGTGTAAGCGACGTGCGAGATGCGAGATAGGGTACGAGGATACATAGACTTTACATAGTACTCGGGGACTTCACCTCAACGACAGATTATGTATTCGTGCTCGTACAATAGAGATTAGTACTGGATTCCTTCCTACCTGAGTACCTTATTGCGTACCTTACTGCACCTACTTGCCTCGTTCTTCCGCTTACATTCTCAGGACCGTCACCTTACCGTTCCTCGTCACTGCCGGCCAGCATTGAATATATTCTACCAGTCCTCCGAGCTGATGCTGGGCGTCGGACCGCCACCTCCTGGATCCAGAGCCACAGTTCACAAGTATGCTTTCCGGGGCTCCTCGATGAGTACGGGACTTTCAAAAGGGTACCGACCGAGGCTGTGCGGACAATGAGGGAAGGACGCGCTCTGTGTTGGTGTCAACACCTGCGGCTACCCAACATCCCTATATTGGGAGACATCGAGATCATTCTCCGGCAACGACGTTTGAAGTCGGAGCATGCCGCCTTGAGTCTTGAATGCTTCCAGCTTGGTCGGGCACGACGGCACAGACCTCTTCTCTGGTGAGAAAACGCGTCGGGATCAAGGCCGACTTTGGTCCAGGACTCTCGCGCGCCGTTCTCGGTCAGGGGGCGCGGTGTCATGTTGTTCCAGACCGTTCAAGAGTATGTCGCATCCCAGAAACACGGCCACTTCGTAACCTAGGTAGCCTTCGCGAAGCCTTTTCTTTCTGTCATCAAAAGTGCTATATATCAAAGGGAGTATGCCATAAAGATATGTACCATTTCCTGTATGCGAATGAGCTGGCTCCAATCTTCTATGAGTAATACAGTTGACTCGGAAGGGGAATCTCAAAGACGCAAGGAGAATGAGATCAAGCATCTTGCGCTTCGGTCCTGACGCTCGGCTCTAGACAGCTGAATCAGTTACGATGGAGTTTCTGGCCAGGAGCTGCAGTTTTTTCATCACGTAGACCCACCAATGAATCGTGCAGCACTATGACCCACAACTACCAAAAGCGAACGCGTTCTATCAAAGCTTAAACGTCAGAGGCGAACCCAGAAAATGCCTTCGGTCCTATTTTACGCAATGTTGAAAGGCTCAACGGCCGAAATAGCAGAGCGAATCGCTTCCCCGACTTTGAGAGGCGTCAATCACCGTCAATTGTGCACCTACAGAAAATGGTTGATGCAAAAATCTGTATCTGGTGCCTCCGCTGTCATTCTGGGAAGCACCATCCACGTAACATCATGGCTTAGGAGCGGAGCTGAAGTTATTGATCGTGATTATCTAGCGGGATCTCAGCTTTGAAAGAGGAAACTTCGTATGGAAACAAGAGTGCCCGTGGGATAATAGGTCGCAATGCTGCAAAAGTATACTGGCGACGATGATATGATACCCCTACAGAACTTTGAATGCAGATGCTGCGTTGGTGCTGCTCCTGGTAACTGACTGTACAGACTAAGATTCTATCTATTGAGCACGGTGCTGCTATTTCGCTGCCTTGCTTCAGCCTTAATCCCACTTATTCTATGACCCTCTACATCTCTCCCCTTTAAAACTACTACTGTATCCTGCCACAACAACTGCCGGTTCCAGGTCGTCCATATTTCGTGGCTCAAGCATCCACCGGGACAATATCCCGATGATCCGCAACCGGATATTTATCAGCCGAGTCCGTCATTTCCTCAGCCATGGCAAATTCTGTAGACTCTGTTAGCCCAGAAGTGTGAGCAGTTGCAAGGAGACTTACGGTCGACCTTTGTATGCTTGAACTTTCTTGCCGGCACACGATTTTCGAACATCAAATCGATCTCTCCGAACGACCGGTTTTTGGTCTCCGGAAGGCGGAACCAACACCAAATGTTGCACAGGAGATTCGTGCCCGCATAAAACAGGCCAGCCTTGGCACCCCAATTCCAGGCTGTAAAGAGTCGTCAGCAATTCCTTCATGTGATCTGGGCCGGGGAGATAATACATGTTGCCGCAATCATGCGAGGTGTGACGGAATTCGAAAAGATTCCCGTCAGATTGTACACAAATCTGCCGATCACAATCGTCTTGTATCTCAATCTCCCTGACGGCGTCTCCGCGACGATAGGATAGCAAACCGGTCCGATGGTGATCATATTGCAAAGCGTTGAGATGACAAGCAAAATTCCAATGGCGAGCTGAGCGTGCTTGGAAGTAGACCAGCCAAGGCCTCCAATGGCGACGAGGCAAAAGAACATAAACGTCAAGCCGGCCATATAGATGGTAGCTCTTCCGAAATGTGGGAACAAAAACCAGCAGATTATGCCTCCGATAATGTAACAAGCAGAGAGGGAGATGTTGACGTCGAAGGCTTGAAGCTCGCTGAAGCCGGCGGCTTCAAGAAACACCACGGAATATCCGAGGATTGCATTGCCGCACAGGATTTGAGCCGCCCACACCACGCAATTCTATCCAGTCAGTGAGCAAAGAGTCAGGCGAGAGGGGAGAGGAGCTCCGGCTTACAATCTCAGTCCGGCGTAAGTTCGTTCCCTTGAAACAATCGAGAAAGCTGGCATTCTCTGTGTCTGCTCTTTCAAGTTCTGTAGTGTACTTGATATACGCAAGCGTCGACTCCACCTCCATCTCCTTTTCAGGAGTTTCCCGCCTCAGGCGTGACAAACTGCTCCGAGCAAGATCGAACTTGCCGCGACGCACTGCATTCCAGGGAGATTCGGGGGCTAAGTAAGCACCAATGAACAGGGGGACAGGCCAAACAAATTGTAATGCAAAAGGAAGTTTCCACCCCAGGTTGCCCTGAATGCCGGCTACGGCTCGCACGACCCCAGATGACAGGAGGATACCGGCTCCCCAACACATGCAGACATATGCCGTCACGTAAGGTCGAAGGACGGTTGGGACGACTTCAGAAGCGTACGATGTCGAGAGTGTCTGTGGAAGGTTAACTCACGTATCCTTTTGGCGGAGTGTGGGTGGCAGATTTACCTGAAAGACACCCCAAGGAATCCCGCACATGGCTTCGCCAAAAGCTAGGACCGGCAAGGATGGCGCGAAGACAGGAATGAAAAGCACTATAGCCATCCAGACCATGAACGCCATCATTGTAGGTCGACATCCAAACCTATCTTGGGTATAGGAGTTGATCAAGAGACCTGCCAACTGGCCAACGAGGGCACTGTTGCTCAGCCCGGACTGCCATGGGGCGGGAATGGTCTTTTTGCCCGTCTGGGGATCCACAACGCCGAATCGATTCTGGAACTGAGTTTGACCGTAGAAGGACGTAATCTATATGGAGGTCATGGTCAGTCAATATCACGATGCCCCTTGTAAGGCGCTAGGAATGGGAAGGGACGTACGATAACCAAGTCATACCCTTCCATGATCAAACTGGTGGACAAGAACATTGCCCAGAAGACCGCCTTCTTATATTTCGAAAGGGCTTGGCGGATGGTCAATAACCTGTCCGTCGAATCGCTTTCTTGTGCGTGACGGATCAGGTCGAGGGTCTCCTCGCGGGTGTCACCAAGGTGTTGGCCCACCCATGCTGTCGACAAGACTTTCTCTGTTTCCATTTTGGCACGGTTCGTTCAAGAATCGATATCCTGACGGCAAAACAGTAAGAAATATCTTGTGCTTGGTGAAGTGCTGGAGAAGCTGAACATTCACAAGGAGTGTTGGGGAGGACGGTTGATTCTTATAGACATGGTAGACATCGGTCTTGCTAGATAGATGAGCCAAAGTGTACTCCTCCCTGGGCAGGTTCAAACGACACACCCAGCTGCCCACCAGGCGAAATGCGGGGATCCCACGGGGTCCATGATACCACCGGAGAATTGCAAACATTCTTGTCGGTGGTCAACCGGGGAGTGTGCAGGTGCAATGAGTTCATATCGGTGATGTGCCGAACTGCCCAGCATCTCCGTTTGCGGGTCCCGGGGCTTAGTTGCTGTGGAGAAATTAGTTCGCCTTCAATCCCACGCCGATATTAGTGGACGAGAAAGGGCCAAAAGGAGCCAATCTGTAGGAGATCCTCTGCTCTTGTCTTAAAACAGCATTTCTCCGGTGGGTCTCCTACGCCGTGTCCAAGTGCGTCTGAACGTCTCATCCTGATGGAATTTGAGTTTCCTTCCCAGCATACGCGAGTTGAAAACGGATCCAAGTGCCGAGGAACGGCGGAGAGTGTCCTGAACCCATTTCGTTCATGGACATATGCCTCGCCGTGTTGAGCATAAGGAGAATATATTGCCTTCATTGATGACATTCTAGCTCAGCAACCAAAGCTCAATACCGTGGACCACGATGGCTTACCCTCAAGAGACATTCGTTCGGACGTCGCTAGACCCAGGATCTTTGATCGCCCAGAGGCGTGAAGTCGTGGCCTCCAAGACCCTGGTATACCAGCTGGAGGTGTTGAAGAAGACGGGAAGATACGATGCGTTTAAGCTGCAGTGGCATCCTTCATACGGCGACACCCCTAACGTCTGGCCAATACCAAACCATCTCTTCTGGTAATCCCCTTTTTGACTCGATGCTCCCGAAAATACGTTGACTTTTCGCGCCAGGGATTCGGACATTGGCAAATGGATCGAGGGAGCGTGCTATCTTCTGCATGATCAGTCGAATCCTGAGGTTCAGGCGGCAGTCGAAGAGCTTACTCGAATGATCAATTCCGCGCAGCAACCGGATGGTTACCTAAACATTCACTATACGGTTGTGGAACCTGGAAAGAGATTCACCAATCTGCGGGACTTCCACGAACTATACAACGCCGGGCATCTCATCGAGGGAGCTCTTGCGCACCATCACCTCTATCAGAATGACGACCTCCTCAAGCCAATACTGAAGTATGTTGACCTTCTATGTCGGAAGTTCGGGCCCAATGAAGGTCAGATCCATGGATACCCAGGTCACCCCGAGATCGAGCTCGCTCTTCTTCGACTTTACAATCGTACCAAGAATGCCAAGCACCTCGAGCTGGCGAGATACTTCATATCCGAGAGAGGAAATCCTGCTGGCGATGGCGGTGAGCACTATTACCACGCCGAGGCGAAGCGGCGAGGCGAAGAGCGGCACGTCAGAATGGCATACTGGGGCGAAGCTGATGCTCTCTGGTATTATCAGGCTCACAAGCCCATCATTGAACAGCAGACCATTGAAGGACACTCTGTGCGCGCCATGTATCTTCTGACAGCAGCTGCAGACTTGGTAGGATTAGGTAAGGCTCCTGACGAACGCCTGAAAGCCGCTATTGACCGCCTTTGGAACAACATGGTCGAATGCAAGATGTATGTGACTGGAGGCATTGGCGCAATGAAGCAATGGGAGGGGTTCGGACTCAATTACTTCTTGCCCCAGGGCACCGATGAAGGCGGCTGCTATGCCGAAACGTGTGCAGCTATTGGGGTCATGATGCTCGCAGAGCGCATATTGCAATACGATCTTGACCGTCGATTCGGTGACGTGATGGAGTTGTGTCTGTACAATGCCATGTTGACGGCCATGTCGTACGATGGCATAAAATTTACCTATGTCAATCAGCTGGCGTCAAGCGACAAGGATCCCTCGAAGCGAGAAGAGTGGTTTACTTGCGCCTGCTGTCCGCCGAACGTGCTGAGACTACTGGGACAGATTGGAGGGTACATATACTCACACAATCTCGAGCGCAGCGGAGAAGAGCAGATCAATGTTCACTTGTATATCCCTAGCGAATACAAGTTCAAATCTTCTGCCGACAACACGCCTGCGATTTTGACTCAAAAGAGCAACTGGCCGTGGAGTGGAAAAGTCGAATTTGAGCTTCAAGCAGGAGAGTTGGCGCAGATCCGTTTGGCTCTCAGGATACCGGGATGGGCCAGATCATGGAAGGTGAGTTAGTGACCAACAATAACCCTCTCCCTGGTGAAGACGAATGGCCATCCAGGACGCTAAGGTTGTATTTAGATCACCCCATCACCACCTGCCACTGCGCTGGAGAAGGGATACCTCATTCTCCCTGCCAGCTGGGTATCCGCAAATCGAAACTTCATGCTTGAAGTCGAGATGATGCCCAGGCTTGTCGCTCCCCACCCGTACACCAATCAAGATACTTTGGCTCTGGCCCGCGGTCCAGTCATATACTGCGTCGAAGACATGGACAACCAGTGGGTCAAAGACCACTTCAAGAGCGTCCAGCTGGATCCGGCGTGCGCAGTTCACGAGGAGCTTGTGACTGACAAGACAACCGGTGACACATACGTTGCACTCACAGTTGCCAAGGGAGCAAGTCTGCTCAGGACTGAGAACATACATGCCCGTCCTGGAGTTGAAGTCAGCGCGCTGGATAATGTGGCGCGCTCCGAGGATGGTGTCATCGATGAATTGAAATTTGTCCCGTACTTTTTCAGAGCCAACCGCGGTGGGCGTGGACAGGCGAGAGTGGGATTGAGGAGATGGAATAGATAGGGTACGATGATGAGGGTATACAAGGGCCACCGACTGTCATTGTTTTGATGAGCGGCGCGAGAGGCTGTCCGTCGTAATGGTCATTTTAAACTCCCAAATGGAGTCGAGGCTTTTACGCCGCTCCGCGTGGCATCCGTAACCCAAACCCTGCCGCTTGCCTGCGGTGCAGCTTCCAAGCTGAAGAGACCTCGATCCATTCCCGTTCCTCGTCTTGATCTTCAGCATTTGAGACTCTTTCTCATTCAAGTCTTGACTGCATTACACACTCTCATCGGTGGTGCGGCCCATTCGTTTTGACTCCACCCTTGTCTCATGGATCATCCTTTGTATCATAAGCAGCACATCTTTAACTACATGATCATGTAATGTTACGCTGCGGACAGGCTCCCCTCTCGAGATGCTTCTACTCGACCGTCAAGCTTACAGCTGCTCTCCGGAGGCCGTCAGAATGCCCCTGAATTGCCGGAAGGAAACCGCTGGCTGTCATGCGCAAAGCTCACTGCAGCGCAGGAGTTCCCGCGCCGTACAAGTACTCGGTGGATGACAAGCGTCGCATGAACAGACTGATCTGGATTTCAAGCTTTGAAATGGATTAATTTCCCTTCTCTGAGCCGAGCGTTCACAAGGGCTCTTGCTCGTCTTGAATTCGTTGAGAACCCAGTCACGTTCGTTTTGCTGCTTGTCGCCGAGAATTGCTGGATCATGTTAGCTCGAGGTAGTCAGAGAAGAGAGGGGGAGACTCACAAAGTCCTGGCCATCCATATTGGCGCAGGAATATGACCATGGCAACCCCAATGTGAAGCCGCAAGGAACCATTCGCTCAGCTTTCAGACCTTCCTCGTGAATAGGGCGATAACTGTCAATCGAAGCAATTCAGTCTCTCCAGTGAAAGCAGACCCCATCTCGCAGCGGCGGGTGTCATGAAGTCCTCCCACTGTTTTTTTCAATCATATGGTCGACCAGCACACTCCGTGATGTCTCCAGGTTCGGCGCCATTTGTAGACTGGGTGTAATGCTCAAGGAAGGGATCATTCTTGTCCAAATCAGTCAACTGTTTTCCGTCCTGCATCTTTGTCCTTGGGCTTACTACGCTCTGAAAGCTGCCGGAAGATGTTGAGAATTGTGTTGAAAAGGAAAGTTCATATTCCAATTTCAGCGTGATGGGTATCATGTCGCCATCGTGGTATCTCCAACATCTCATGACCATCTGGGATTCTGATTCTATCAATACATGGCATGGTCTAAGCGTTCAGGTAAGATCAGCCAGACCATCTAGCTCAAAATATACTTGCAGCAGAACCTTCTCGCATCTGAAAACGTCATCCGCATAGTCGCAAGTCTCAGGAAGCAGATACCCAAGCAACAGTCGCGACAGGGCATCGACCGTGGAGATTTTCAAATGCTTGATCGCATTCACCATTTCCACAATTGACCAAGACCTTGGATGAAGTTGCAGCTGCGGAGCTTCTTGCTGCGTCATGAGAACCTGCCAGACCTTTTCAAGAGAGCCTTCTTTGTCGATACGATGATCAACAAACCGCTTCTGGATTGCGACCAATTGGTCTTTGTGAGGAGGGGCTCCTCCGTGAGCGGAGTCCATTACTTCCAAAAAGACATCGAACATGAAAAGCAACGTGGATACTAATGAAGCCGACTTGCGGAGTCTATTCATCGGCGTCCTTTGTTCGTGGAGAGCATACTGCATCACGTCCAGTCGCAGCAACACTGTTCGTAAGGCTGAAAATGATGCTTCGTGGAGGATGTTTGGTTTAAATTGACGTCTGGATACATGTTTTTGGATTTTCGACAGTGTCTCAAACAGCCTCGAAGGGCGGTAGGAGGACTCGACCGATGTTCGCAAAACTTCGTTACTGCCAACATTGGGAGCCATCATCCGAATGTCGACGGGAGAATACCCTGGAAGTGTACATACACACCTGAGCAGTCAGCAAGATTTCTGATAATGATTGGGTTCGACCCACCACGCAAGGAGCCACAGCGTCTCTGGTGAAAGGTTGCGCAACCCGCCACGACACTCGATGGATCGTCGAAGCCCATTCAAATGAGTCTGAATATTATCCGTCAATGACTTGGGAAGCATCCTCCCTTGGGCCAATGATTCACTTCTAGCAGATCCTATCGACAACGTGACTTCGTATGCCCACAAGTTGATCACCGCCAGGATGGTGTCGTCAGAAACGGCACTGGGACTTTTCAGGTGCTCTTTCAGCGAGCCAATGCCTTCGAGTACCAGGTTAAGAGTTACCGAGCTTGGTGTTTGGTGTCCTACTTCGATATCACGGTGAAGACTGGAAATTGCGAGGAGTATTCGCGCCGGCACCGCTCGAGGTATGACGTGATTGACCACAATGGTTGCCGGGGAATTGACGTTACTCGACTGCTCTGTGTCGTACAGGCGACATATCACAGAACGGTGCACTGCCAACATCAGTCATCTTTGATCGCAAGATGCAGCCTAAAATATGACTTACAGTAGGCGACCAGCTCTTGCGCGTTGTAAGAAGAATTCACAGAGCTTTCTGTAGGCTCCACTGTGTCCAGAAGAGAGCATGGCGGAGTGAAAGGCGGCGAGGAGTGCGACTCGCCCATCGTGCTTCCCACGGTCCATTGAGACTGTCGAGGGGACGAAGGTCTCGAACTGGAGTCGCTCAGAGTATCATATGATCCTCCGCCATCAACCGGGGGGGACACATCTATTGGAGCCGGCACTTGTTCTATATCTTCTCGACGTAGCCATGGAAACACACGGCTTTGCGATCGAGCAGCCAATTGCTTCTGACGACGGAGGGAATCGCGTTTGCGCAGAACTGGTTGACAGAGCGATGTCTCAGCAGGGAGAAGTTGGAGCTTCAAGTGCGGGTTCTTACACTCTTTCATGACATGCCGACTTTTGGGTGTTCCACGCTGGCAGTCGCCGGAGACGAAAAGATATTTAGGAACATATTGAGTGGCAGAAGTCTGGGTGAGCACGATACTCATCTTGGGCCTGAGGCACGTATCTTCCTCGAGCGGAAACAACAAGAAGGCTTCCGACAGCGCAGGAGGTTGCTGCGGACTCTGAAGGGCGCCGAGGGCGCAGTCACCCTTCTTGTAATCATGGGCATGGAGCACAGGACGAACGAAACGAGATCACGTCTCCGAAGAGGTTCACAAATCTCGATAGCCCGGTTCCCGTCATCTCGCCGGGACGTGCTCATTCGTCCTTGTAGGGCGAGATGGGTTGCATGACCCGGTGTTTCTCTGGGGCCCGATGACACTGCAAGAGCCAGGTCAGATTCAGGCGCCTCGCGTGCTGGTTGGATGGCTACCATTGTCCGAAAAGAGCTCAGAGTCCTGGCCAATGAGACAATGTGCTTACTGCTTACCTTTTCGGGACTAGTCTACATTGACGAGGCTAGAGGCTGCAAGACGCTTTTGGTGCTTACCAATAGTGCGAATAAAATGGGTCTTCACCAATCACACTGAGAATTGCGAAACACGCTAACGTCGCTTCGAGGCAACGGCTGTTTTGGGCAGTCACTGTGAGAAACTCAAAAGGGGAAACAGGGTACGCAACGTTGGTTTTTGATTCGTTATCCACCCGTCGAAATTGAGATACTTTGGTTGGTGGCAGGCACAAACCACATTGGGCCTAGCGGTGGCAAGCGGACATCAACTCTTCTGGTCAACCATTGGACTTGACTAACAGGTCCCAAGAGGAGCGGCCTCTTTGCTTCTCTGCTCAAGTCTGGCCCAAGGTGCGTGGTGAAATGGAACCCTCGCCTGCGGAGCCGCTCCTCTACCAACATCAATGATTCATCTCTGCATTAACCCATCAAGCTGCGCCGGCGTTTACCTCTTTGAGGATGGATAAACGCAATGAGCCGAGTCATGCTGCTCATGGCGCCCAACAAAACCCTGGCACTCGCGACCGATCATCAGACCGAGATGAGGAGAGTCCGGGAGTCGAGTCGTCGAATAAGTATCGAAGAATCGATCGGGAGGGGTCCAGAGCTTCGACGACTGCCGAGCAAAGCAATCGTTTCTTGTTTGTCGACTCGTCCTCCAGTGGGCAAAGACCGCGTTCTGACCAGCGAGCAATAAATGCACACATTCAGCAGACTGCGCACCGAAATCGAAAGCAGGCTGCACAAAAGCAGAAAACGGGCGGAGCTGCGAACATAGGACGATATCGGCGCGAGCCACAGTTACAACCGCGTCCTATCGAGCCTCAACCGATTGCTCCCAGCACCCTTGAGCGACGGGAGACCCTCCAACCGCGGCAATCTACCAGCCCTGAAAGCTCCTCTGCACCGCGATCATCACTCAGTCCACCAGAGGAGAATGTTATTCGCGAACCACCAACCCCTAGGCGCTTGGAAACCCTTCCAGCACTCGATCGCGAGCAAGTGGACCGATTGCGACACTACAGCAACGTTCGTGGAGCGGAAGTTCGTGAGGCCATCGATGCTCAGCAACATGAACAGACTGTATCGACAGAAATCGCGCGGCGGCATCCTCTCCAAGACGAGACCACCTCGGTGAGGTCCATGCTCACACAAATTTTGCAACGACTGGATGCCGGGCACGCAGGCCGCTTGATTCAGCCATCTCCTAATTCGTCACTGAATAACACTCTCCTTGACCCTTTTAATATCAGCTCTGTACATATTACTCCAAGCATGAATGCTGCTTTACGCCATTGTAAGTTGTCGCTTTTTCAGTACTCTGTTTTCTGATCTGTTCGTCTGAGCTGGGCTTGTGAAATCGGCTCGTGGGTCGTTCAAACGAACTTTGCCTCTGTTTTCCATAGCAAGTTTCCCTGAAAGCGTCCAAGCAGCTCTTTTGAAGCTCTCCGACCTTGGCAGAAAATTGAGGAGACTTCGATTCTGCCTTTCTTTGGAAATCGAGGCTCAGGGGAGTCGAGCCTTGGGTAGTCTTACCTCAGACCCCGCAGCCACGGGACGCAAGATTGGTTAAAAATTGGGCAGACGTTGACTTCTTCGAATAGTTTCCGATGTTATGATACCCGGTGTATTTCCTACCCGACACCAAGCCGAGATCCAGACTCGATGGGCCTTTCAAAATGCTGCGCAAGATCCACTGGTTTTGTATTCGCTTCTGGCAATCGCGTCAGCTGAGAGAAGTTCGCGTTTGGGAGAATTGCGGAGCGGTTCGATCGAGACAACGTTTACAGAAGCAGACCTTGAAAACCGCACGGTCCCTGATTTTGTCTCCTACAAAGTGAACGCCGTGAGGCTCGCAAACGAATCGATGAAATCCATGGACAAGGCGACTCAGGCTTCGACGATTTTTGCTATGATGTGTTTGCTTTCTATTGAGGTGCGTGGGTACCTTTTACGAGGCGTCGCCACCAGCAGCAGCAGCCGCCCCAATACTGACGAAATTCAATGGCCAGGTTATCACAGGAAATCAGAAGGAAATATTTGCGCATGTTACTGGACTGCAAAAACTGATCGCCTGGCGGGGTGGGTATCATGGGATACCTCCTCATGCTACAGAGCTCATCCTCTCGTAAGACATTGAACCCCTTCCTCTCCTCTCCAATGCGCAAAATTTTCGGAGTCTAATCATTGTGTTGTAATCAGAGCGTCCTACATGTGCGCCGCGCTGACACGATCTTTGCCTGCGGCTCCCCCCACGTCCGCACTGCCTTCCCTACCTGCGAGCCTGGTCGAAGAAATCAGGCAAAACGTGAGTGAGGACGTGAAAAAAATGGGCACGGGGTTATTGACCGCGGACGTGGATACCATCCTGGACTGGAGAATATCACAAGCTTTTCGAGACATGAAGGACGTGGTCCAATACCGCGAATACTACCACGAGAAGCAGCTGAATCCTGCGCCGGACGAAAATGAATATATCAACGCCAAAAGCTACCATTTTCGGTACGCAGCCCTGTCTGCGCCGTTTGAGCTACGGGAACCCGCCAGTGATAAGGAGGAGGCTTGTCGTCTGGCAATGCTCATTTTCTGGTTCAGCAACTTCCAGGTCTCTCGACCCGACTCGGCACTCAACCGGACATTGACCGCACAACTCAAGACCGCCTTGCAAGCTTCGGACTTGAAGGGTCTCTGGGGCCCGCACTATGAGCTCCTGGTCTGGGTTCTCCTGCTGGGTGCGTATATATCGGCGGGGCAGCGCGAGAGGCCGTGGTTTGTCCTGAATCTCGCGAGGGTCTCCCGAGTGCTCAAACTGCAAACCTGGGACCAGGTCCGCCAGGTTCTGTTGAAATTCTTCTATCTTGACCGCATCTATGCTGAGGGCATGCGACAGAGCTGGGAGGAAGCGTCGCTTTTGGCGGAGACGATGGAGGCCGGGCTCTCGTGACCTTTTACGAATATATCGGACGACTATCATGTTTGTTTAGTGATGGCACTGAACGTGCGGTGGCATTTGTTTACGTGAGCGTTCTGCATATGAGCCAACGACATAAACGAGTTTTGTTTTTGGGGACATTGCTTTTCCTTTGAGCTTCAAAGCTTGCCACGACCGGCGATCAGCGGCTGCTCGTCATTGAGATATCGTTCCCGTGTTGGACACAAGAGGAGTCGATTCCCGAAAAAACACTCCGCATTCCGCCACGTGGACCTGAAAGTCTACAAGGCGGGAATCTCCTATGAGTTTAAGTATAGCTCCTGCGAAGGCCTTGCTGACCTTATCTACGAGGTACTACTTGGACACTCAAGTTGCCGATAGCCGGAAGAGGAAGGATTTCAGTCTGACAAAAGATATCAAAGGACGGACTTGGACGCACGCCTCGACACAGTGCAATTGCTCAAGCATATCTCCCGAATATATTTTGTCAGACTAAAACAATTTCTTGTTGCACCACCCGTTTAAGCTTCTCTTGTCCTCCGCGCATTCAACCTCTTTTCTCTCCTTCTCAGCATTCGACACGTCTATTCGAGTTCCATGAGAGGACATACCCTGCAAGGCGAAGGCTGCATGACGATCTGATGCGCCTCCGGTAATCATTCTAACCAGGTTCACAGGCTGTCAGCGTCGTGGGAAGTCACTCTTATCTCGACCTCACCAATTGAGTGGTCGCCAAACTCCAGAGGACAGCAATCATGACACATCTTCGACTTTGTGAGGGGGCAGACCCATGCTTCGATGGCGATGACTTTGTCCTGCTCTCCAAATCCGCGGGTGCATCACAGGATGAATTGCCTGAGGCGTTCCAGTTGCCACTCTGTAACGGCCTGGATCTGTACGAGGTCTCGGTGGATGAGCTCCAGCATCTCTTCTCCACCGGCGCGTTGTCTTCCGTTGAATATGTAAAATTCTGCTTGGAGAGAGTCCGAAAAGTGAAATGCCTCACACTGTCCGGGAGCACTCTGAATCGCGCTGACGATGCCCAGACTAATCCGTACCTCGAATGTGTCATCGAGACGAATCCCGACGCAGTCGATCATGCACGGACGTTAGATGAGGAAAGGAAGCAGGGCAGTGTCAGAGGCCCGCTGCATGGCATCCCAGTGCTTGTCAAAGATGTAGGTTGTCGCCGCTAATGGTCTGCTTGATCCTGAGACTGAATCTGAATCTATTGTCGCAAAGAATATGGCCACGGCAGACAAAATGCAAACGACAGCAGGTTCCTGGGCCTTGCTGGGCTGTATAGTCCCGAAGGATGCACACATCGTCCATCTCCTGCGCCAAGCTGGCGCGGTCATCCTCGGCAAAGCAAACTTGGATGAATGGGCAGGAATGAGAGGCAGCATCTATTCAAGTGGATACTCTGCCCGCGGCGGGCAATGTCGGAACCCGTATATGCTGACTCGCTCGCCAAGTAAGCATCCTTTCCTCCATTCTCAGTAGGTTCCGTCGCACACAGCTGATTTGAATAGATGGCAGTAGCTCAGGGAGTGCCGTTAGCGTCTCGGCAAATATTGTCCCTCTCGCCTTCGGCACAGAAACGGACTGCAGCGTGATCAGCCCGGGCATGGTCAGTGGAGTCGCAGCGATCAAGCCGACGGTGGGTCTCACTTCGCGAGGAGGAGTCATACCCATTTCAGAGACACAGGACTCTGTTGGCCACTATGGCAGATGCGTTGCAGACGTGGCCCTTGCGCTGGATGTCATTGCAGGACCCGACCCTGACGACAAGTTCAGCACTCAGCCCGGCAGGCGGCAGCCAAAGAGTTACTATGCGTGCCTTGCCGGCAGGCATGCGCTCAAGGGAGCAAGGTTCGGTCTGCCAAGCAAGTGTTTCTGGGACGCCGCTCCATACCCGCAGAGACTGGTCGCAGAGAAAGTCCTGCACCTTATCAAGCAGGCCGGTGCCGAGATCATACCAGTCGACATGCCGTGCGCTGAGGAGAGATTAGGCAAACATGGGATCTGGAACTGGTGAGTTAGCAATATACCGTGATCCCCATTCTAACGATTTCCGCGATCTTGTGAGATATAATATACCCTAACTCTCTCCATCTCTTCTCTCCCTTAGGGAACGCTACGGCGAATCCAACCCAGAAATCTCCGAAATTACCGTCAGCAAAGTCCAAACCTACTATCTAATGAACCGATACCTGAGCGGACTGAAGAACACGCCCATCAAGACCCTGGAGGACGTCGTGCGTTTCAACGACGACAACCGCGGCTCCGAAGGCGGCCATGAAGCCGATCTCCCAGCGTTTCCCGACGGCCAGATCCTCTTTCGCAAATGCGTCGAGACCAAAGGCATCAAGGACAAGACGTACTACGCTGCTCTGAAGCATATTCAATCCCAATGCCGCGAGAACGGGATTGACGCGGCGTTGAAATGTCCTTCGGGCAGCCACCGCCGTCGGCAATCTGCTGATGGTGGCGATGGTGAAGATGAAGAGCTTCTAGACGCTCTCCTCTTCTGCGACGTCAAGGCCGGAGGCATCCAGATTGCCGCTCAAGCAGGCTACCCAATCATGACGATCCCTATCGGACTCGACCCCGACGGCATGCCCGTGCCGTTGACACTGCAGCACTCCGCCTGGCAGGAAGACAAGCTTATCAAGTGGACCAGTGCCATTGAGGATCTCCTGAACCACTATGATGAAGAGCACTCTGTTCCGCTAAGCGATCGCTGGCGGAGGCTGGGACGTGTCCCGCCTACTTATATGAATCACCTGCGCAAAAACATCCCCACAGACATTGACTATCACTGGCCAGGCCGACATCGACATCATGCAGTTTAAAGAGTCTCCTTTTCCTCATCACCGGCCCATGTCGAGGGTCTGGCATATCCGCAGGTTAGGGTCACATGTATTGGGCTCCTCCTCTATTTGTCAGGCAAGAACGCGCGAAACAGGCAGAGAGGTTACACAAGTCTGCGAACGGCTAGACACTCCTCGCACATTTTGAACGTCATCGGCCCATTCTATGATGGCGGCTAGTTACCTCTTGCGCCACAGGTCTGCATAGATGGCATCTATCAATTCTCGACAATCCAATCCATCTCTGTACGAGTGGAGTCGTACAGGCTTCACCTCCCGGTTTCCAAGCCCTTATCTGCTTCTCATTCGATTCTCACGCACGCCCAAGGACTCAGAACACAACTCTAAAGAATCAGCACAATGAGGAAAGGAGTTTTCATTGTGAAAAAGGAGTATTTCACCCAGGTGGTCTTCACTACCCCGATGCACGGGTTTCGAAATCTACCCGGCCCCGTTTCTTGGAGCGGGATCGGACAGACATTTGCCCGAGAACTATCTTCAATCGTATAGGATTTACAAGCATATGAATGAAGCACAAGTCAGGGGGTGCAGGTGGACGGGCCATCGCATTTCGATGACAGAGCCTTCTTTGCCGGTTTCAACGACATTCAACAGATCATGTCTAGACTCATTGTCGTGATCGGCGCCACAGGCTCACAAGGGGGATCAGTCGTCGACACATTCCTCCATGAACCTGGCTGGCGAGTCCGGGCCCTCACGCGCAATGCGAACAGCGCCGCAGCCGAGAAACTCAGAGCCCAGGGGGCGCACGAGGTCGTTTCTGCGACGCTGGATGACGTCTCTTCCCTCGTGCAGGCTTTCAAGGGCGCGGACGCCGTCTTCTCGGTGACAGATTTCTGGGGGTTGTACTCCGATCCAGCGACCACGCCACAAGCCACTGCCGCAGGCCTGCCAAAGAATGTGTGGGCGGCAGGGAGGGAGGAGCAGCAGGGCAGGAACGTCTTCGATGCGGCAGCCCAGACGCAAGGCCTGCATCGCTTGATATTCTCGGGCCTATCGAACGCGACCAAGTGGTCCGGCGGCAAGTACAGGCACGTGTACCACTTCGACAGCAAGGCCCGCGCTGCCGAGTACGGACAGGCCACGTACCCAGACCTGTGGAAAAAAACGAGCATCCTCCAAGTTGGATTCTACCTGTCGAACATCTTGACACAGCCCTTCATGCGGCCACAGAAGGTCTGAGCAAACTGGCACCCTTACCTTTTCCCAATTCGAATCTCCGATTCCATACGGGCAGAATTGAGCACGATTTAATAATTAACTCTCTTAGTAGGACGTAGACGGAGCGTACACCTTTTCATTCACCGTACCGACGGACGGCAAGCTGCCCCTGATCGCTGCCGAAGAGGACACGGGCCCGTTCACTAGGGCGCTCGTCTCGACGGCCGAGGCCGGAAAAAACCTCATCGCATACCGCGCATGGATGTCCATGGACGAGTACATCGCCATCCTCTCACAGACGCTCGGAGTGAGAACACGAACCAAGGTCGTGGCTCCCGACGACCCCACGAGCGTATATAGCACCCTGCCCCAGGATCTGCTCTTGGAGATGACGGACAACGCCAGCTACTTTGCAGAGTTTGGGTACGAAGGCCGTAATGACCCGTCGGTCGTGCACCCCAAGGATGTAAGCTCCCAGTCCCAGTACTGAAAGTCTCGGTGTGGATTCGAGTCGACTGATCCAGAGGCTGACCATTGTAATGACTAGCTTGGTGTCGAGGTGAAACTGCCGTCGGTGGAGGACTGGGTCAAGAAGCAGGATTGGAGCGCTGTGTTCAATTGAAACAACTACATTGGAAGTAGACACCGATATCTGTATTGATGGGACGTTACTTAGCTTGTTTCCCTTTTTGCTCTCTCCCTTTCTCTAACATACGATTGTGTAACCCGGGTGCCGGACGCCGCTCTGGAAGACACAAGACGTTCAAAATGACCAGTCCATGGAGACACCGCGTTGCATTCGTCCCCGTAATCTCGCAAGTTGCTCCAGACTCCAGCACCCCCGGCCAGGACTTGGTCACCAGAGGAACAATTGCGGTCCCGCCCACCACTAAAACACGTATGAACCCTACTGTCTGTCTTGTCGTCCACCTTTTGATACTTGAGGCTTCTAAGCAGGGGTGAAGTGAAGGCATTGAACTTGGCTATCGTTCTTTCTACAAGGCGGAGTCCTCCGTGTCCTGGACCCTTCTAGTGCGAAACCCTCCCGGCGCCGGATGCTGCAGTTCTGATACGTCTCCTGAGCTTTTTGTTCTCGTTTTATTTCATTCGATTCCATTGCATTGCTTTGAATTACATCCATCTACGGTCCGAGGCTGCCGGCTGCCTTCCTGGTCCAGCGAAGCTTGACCCTCTCGGCGTCGACCAGTTTCAACGTGACTTCAACTTTTGCCTGGCTGACAACTCGCAAAATCCTTGCGTTGGTCGCCTGCTCGCTCTCGCCGGGCTCCGGGACCAGCTCGACCCGCGAGCCGTTGGCGAACAGGCTGAAGATGACGCGCGTGAACTCGACCTGCGAGAATTTCTTGCCGGGACAGACCCGCGGCCCAGCATTCCAGGGCACGAATGATCCGGGCAAGGGCTGGAACAGGGAGGGCGAGCCCTCACCAGCGCCGGCGGTGGCGGCGGTCTCCTCCCCCTTAGGCACAATCCATCGGTCGGGCCGGAAGGTCGTGGGGTCTGGACCCCAGTGTTGCGGGTGGGTATGAAGGGCGGCAAAGTTGATTGTCACCGAGGTCTTTGGGGGCAGTACGCATTCCTTGTCTTGGATGCTGAGCCGCTGGGTCGAGTCTCCCGTGTAGCGAGGCATCATTACAACAGGTCCGTAAAGTCGAACTGTCTCGTACTGTTGTGTCCCTGCGTCAGTGTGGAGTCGGGCTTCCCCCAGAGAGAGGTGTTGATAAGGCTTACCATGAGCGCCAGACATCGCTCTAGCTTGGGAAATGTCTCCTCATAGTACCACATGCCCGACGGGTCGGCTTTTCGTACTTGATCAATCTCCTCAGCGATCCACGTTTGCCACTTGGGGTACAGAGCCAGTAGTGTGATTGCGAAATGGAGAGTGGCGGCTGTGGTGTCGTGACCGGCTAGGTTGTAAATGAAGAGGTTCCCATATACCTCTTCGTCGGATAGTCCTGCGGATGCTGGTGCTGGTGCTGGTGCTGATGTTGTTGTGGTAGGATCTTTTGCGGTACGTGCCATCTCGTTTGATTGTTCGGAGGCTCTGATCAACGCGCTCATAAGGTTATGTCTCGTCAGATCACCCTGTTCAAAGGCGGTTTTCTCCCGCGCCAGCATCTCACTCATATATCTCTTGAACTCCTCATATGCAACGGATAGTTTCTGCATGTTGCCGAAGAACATCCAGTCCGGAACGCCGGCCTTCTTCAGCACGCTCAAAAGAACAAGCTGGATAATGTTTGAGAGCAGCATTCGTAAGCTCTCGCGATAACCGAGTTGCAGTTGCGCTTGATTCTCGCCGCTCGACAGCTTCGAGTCAATGAAGCTGCTGTGGATGCCGAAGCCAGCGCCGCACAATACGTTGAGGGCAACGGCATGCACGTCGGGCTGTGTGCTTGTCACATAGTCCTTCTGAGACCAGATTTTCAGCATCTGGTCGGCCTGTTCTGCAGTTTCCCGCCAGACCAAGGCGCTATTCTGTTCGTTGAAGGGTGGCACAGTGATTTTGCGGTGGCGATCCCATACTTTGCCGTTGACAGTGTCAAGGTTCGGCCCATAGATGTCCAACATGCCGTACATGGCGGGATCTTTGATGAAGTCATTGCGCCGACGCATTATATCCTCAGTGGCAGAGGGGTCCGCAATGTAGATCTCATTTGTTCCCGACGAGACAATTGTGAATGCCTCGCCGTACCTTGCATGGACCGAGTATCCGTAGTTGAAAGTCCAGCCGACTTCTGCCCTGGTAGCCCACTCACCTAGTCCCCAAGGCAGTGAACTGATGACAGGTATGAGACGGTCCTTTACGAGCATCCATAGCGGGCTTGCTGGATTGATGGGGCAGATCAGAATTGGCAACCCGATCTTCTTTGCTTCCAGGTAGTTGTTGGTGAATCGAATCAGAGTCCAGATTAGATAAGCCGACACCAAAGACCAGAACGCGAAAAAGAGGAACATGCCGGGCGAATGAGTAAGAGGAAATCACAATGGCAGGGACGGAAACTGTGCGAAAGAGGTTGTTCGGAGTGAGTGAGAAAAGGGGATCCTGAAGTGTAGGAAGTGTCAGATTCAAGATTCAGGGGTGGAGCCTTCCAATCCGTATCGTTGATTGGTTGCCTTGTTATCGCCCAATTCGGCTAAATTCCGTAATGGCCTTACCCAATGCGGAACGTCTCTCGTCACAGTCATCATGCAGGTGGCCAGGTCATTACCAGGGCGGGACCTCGATCGATGCTCCATGTAGGGGGCCTGGGAAGGTAGCAGATACGTAGTCCTTTGAAAAACCGCGCAATCAACCCGCAATCTGTATCATCTTCTCCCTACATCAGGCCACAGACGAGTTTCCATGTAGATAGGGATGACAGCCGGCATCCCCTTATCCAAATATCTTGCTTTAGCCATCAGGGAGCTTTCACTCCCGTGAGCTCTTCCAACTGTCTGATGAGATTTTCCTGAACAGCCTCATCGTTCGCTTCTCGCTTTGGTGATTTCACCTTACAGTGATACCAGTACTTGCCAGAGACATCCTTAGCCTCGGCTGTCCCTTCTGCGAGCATCACATAGGTATCAACAGCAGCATTGATATCTCCTGACGCCCCAGCACCCCCCATCTTGGTCGGCACCCAGCCCGGGTCCAATGAGTTGCTCTTCACATTGGGCCATTTCCTTGCGAAAAAGCAGGATAGCAGGATATCATGCAGCTTGGTGTCCGAGTATGCCTGGAAATCTCTGAAGCCCTTCTCCCCACGCTCGTGCCACGTGATATCCTTGCATGTAGGGTCGCCACCGCTGTGAAGGCCGGATGACACGAAGACGAGCCGTTTCGGCCTAGGTTCGATGAGGCAGGTGAGGATATAGGGGCTTAGAGTATTGACTGCGAAGATGCTCGGCCAACCCTCCTTGGTCCTTCGGTAGGGACCTGTATAAAGACCCGCATTATGGATTACTGCGTCAAAAGCGCCCAGCTTGTTGATATCTTGGGCCATGTTTTTAGTCTGTGAAATATCGGAGAGATCGGCGACGACACAAGTCTCGGCGCCCGGGCAGGCAGCCCTCGCATCTTGAGCTCGTTGGTCGTTCCTCGCATGTAAGACGACGGAATGCCCTTTCTTGACCAGGGCACGGGCAGTGAGAGAACCTAGCCCGTCCGATGAGCCTGTGATAAGGATTCGAGCCATAATTATGATCAGAAAATATATCTTTTGTGTAGAGTAGCAACAAGAGAGACGATCAGGAAGTTTCAATTATTCATAAGAAGACTAAGTCTAAAGCGCAGCCTCGTAGCCTTGTTATTCGCTATCTGACGTCACTGGCGTCTCCTCTACTACGGCGAAGCATTGAGACGCCACCATGTACGTTACTCACGAAATGTCCTTTGACGAGCATTATCAAACTGCAACTTCTTCCTTACTCGTCGTTGCTCCCTTCGCCATCGCTTCTTGAAGGCGTTTCTTTGTAAGGTCAAATCCTATGCGGTAATCCCGCACGGGGGACTTTGGGACATGGCCTCCATACCACTCACGTAGACCTTTCCTTTTCCCCCTCCTCCTTTCCTCCCCCTGCATTCGGACAGCCTGTTGACGTCTGAGCACTTCGACGTCTCCTGCGGGCAACACAAACACTTCCCAGCCACACCCCCTTGCTTGATCCATCTACAGAGCCCTTGCCAAGATGGCCCTTGCTTTTCTAAGAGCTGTTGCTCGCTGGGAGAGGTACGGAGTACACCAGCCGACTTTCCAACTCCTCGTCAGTCAGCACTTCAGCTGTCAAATCTCGTCATCTCTGTCCTAGGTTGTCTTCCGCAGACAGCTGCCACCATTCCTTACTGGTTTCGAGACACCCTCTTGGATGCGTTCAAGGGGCATTTTGAGCTGTGATCTCTAGTACATCGAATTACCTCGATCAGCGTGTCTAGCTACTGTGGCATTCAGCTATTCTTTCGGCCTTCCACCGTTACACATTGTTTGCCTCTTTCTATGCTGGGCATTTTTGACCTAGGATCATGGGTACCCAAAGGGTGCTGTGCAAGTTGACTGTGGTAACCACTCTCAACTGACTAGCGTCGATCTGTCACTGCGAACCTCTGTTGCCATGTGAAAGGCTGTTCAACCCGCCCTCTATCAAAATGCATACACTGCGTTTGAAAGCATGAAATGTTTCTCCCTTGCAGACAGTTGGTTGTTGTCAACACGGCAATACTTTCATTTTTCTGGCCTGTCACTTGTGACACCATACGTGCCATGGCTGCCAGTGCCGGGTCCAGATCGCTGGAGCTTGTTATGTTGTGCTGGCACGGACCCTGTCCAGTTCATGCCAAACTCTACACTTCAGCTCAGCCGCCCGTTGTTCAGCCCTTACTGACTCACCCTCTCTTCTCAAGACGGTGTCTTGAATTCTGGTCAGACACTCTTTACTCCTCTGCTCGCTAACTCCAGTCTAAATATCTCCTCTGCATGAAAAGACAAAGCTGCTCTCATCATCACGTTACTCACAAGACCACCCCCGACGACCGCCTACATTCATATCATCAAGAACGCAGATATACATCAGTCGCGCCAAAACAAACAACGATCTACAGTATCGAAGCTAGGGGTTCCGACTCAACATCTTTAATCCATCCAATCGCATCCCTCTATCCCAGACAGAGACTATTCCATCCTTGAGGACTGTCTATTGATCTTAAATCTGACGCAATAGCTCGATGCACAATACAGCACCAGTGCCACCTGTTCGCGACCCTGCTAAATAGTGCCTCCTTCTAACCTGGGGAATCTCGTCATCTCACTTCAACCCCGCTCATCATTCTCGCCATGTCTGTTGAAGCACCATTGTCTACGGCGCCGACCGAGGAGGTATCGGGGTGGTGGCCTTCTGAAAGAAGCGCTAAAGCTCGATTCAAGGCACTCCTTAGTCGCACGAAGCTGGAGAAGCTCACCAGACAAAACAAAGTCGAATCTGCGGCGGTCCGCGCCAATCTCTCCCAATCTGCGTGTTCAGGACGTGTGGCTCCAGCTCCGGGCCTTGCGGATGCGAAAGAGTCTAACAGCAACACAAATCCTTCAGGTCCAACCCAATGCGCGCCACAGCAACAAGCGAGGCCAGCCCGACGGCTGAAGGTTCAGAGAAGCCTGACAAGCATCGATCCACTATATCCGCGACCACTTATCGCAGAAAGATTCCCCGATGAGCCTGGACCGGCGTCCCCCCTAGCTCCACAACCAGCGATGTACAGGAAGACTTCTCGTAACGTGTCTCGCTCGACCACGGATTCATCAGTCCACACACTGAACAGCGTCGACCCTCCAACCGAGCCATCATTGTCAGACGGCCACTCCGTCTACACCACTCACACGAGCTTCTCCAGCTACGCCAGCTCTTCTTCATACGCTGCTGCCGAGCCCTCTTTCGCGGTTGCCAAGAGTCATGAAGCCCCAACGCCCGGCGACCGACGACCAGAAATGTCCACCCCGACGCCAGACGAGTCGGGAGTCTTGTGCATGTCCATGCCAACCCCGAAGAAGAACACCAGGCCTTTTCCAAGTCTCAGTCTCACAACTACGCCCCGATCTTCGCAGGATGCAAACAGCCATGACTTTTTCGTGCAGAAGCCCTTACCACCCCTGCCCGCGTCCCGGCGCCAGCTCGACGGCAACGAACAAAGACGGGTGTCCACCGTTGCGCCCTTGCCGGAACCAGGACACATCAGGAAGACGTCGGCTCGCTATCGCTGCGAACCTCCTGGCACCAGCACGAGCCGGTGCGCCACACCGACGTCGCCTTCCTCGGGGCCGCCCTCCGGCCTCAGAAGCCGAAGCTCTTCGCACACAGTGGATTCTGCAGAGGGAGGTCGCAAGAGGGCCGCATCGTACAGCCTCTTCCCGCGGACTCCCTCGGCAGGGCAACAGAAGCTGCCTATCAACGGCATGCCCTCGCCACCGGCCACCCAGTGCAGTCTGCAGTGCCCGGACAAGCCAACAGACGCGGAGACGGGAGACTTGGCACGTCCATCACCGCCATCGCGTCGCGACCAAAGGAGACACGGCAAGGTTCTGTGCTCAAGCACGAACCTTGTTGCAGATCTGACTGGGGTTTCTCAACGTTCACAAACCTCTTCTTCTGGAGAGGAAGTCAACCCTCGACCTGCGGTAAGAGTAGCAAGGACGCCACGGCAATCCATACTCCAGCGGCAGAAGAGCATGCCGTATCTGATCCGTCCCCGGACCCCGTCCTCAGGTCCTCCTCCTGACGAGCCTCTTCCGGCCTTGCCTCCAGAGGCCTCGAGTTGTCTAGCGCTGCCTCCAAGATCCTACCACGAGAGATGAAGTCATGATCGACGGCGTAACCAGCAATGTGAAAGGGAGATATAGGCCGAAGAGGGACGTTGAATGAGTCAATGTTATTTCTGGTCGTCTTCACGACAACGTCAATGCATCAACTTGTGATGCCTCTGATTTGCGCCAGCAATGCAATTTCCCTTTCTCCTTATCCTGTTCGCGCCAGTGCCAGCCCAATGCATTGCGGTTCGTCATTCATTTCAGTTCATGCCTACTCAGGCAAAGGCAAGTCCTTCAAGTATGGCCAGCCGGTTTCCTCTTCCGGTTTCTCTGGCTCCATCCCCAAGCATCGCCTCAAGCATCTCACCTCCCCCTGCAATGCCGCGATGATGGTGTATTCTTCGCACCACTCATCCGTCCTCAATCGATGTGCTGTCCTAATCATCTCACACACCTTGAGTGTTTGCGCGTACCAGTTATCCCTATCGAGTCGAGACTGCAAGTGGTCATCCTTCTCCTGCTGCAAGAGGTCATTGTAATGTTTGCGTTGTCTCAAAAATCGACCCTCGATGTCGCCGCAGTAGTTTCGGATCTGTTCAACAGCTGTCCCCATTGCTTCTTCGTACATGGCGATCAAGCCTGTGTTCTCCTTTTGTTCGTGCTTGTAGAGTTCAACGAGCTGTTTCTGCTTCGCGAGTTCGAGTTCCAGTTCGCGGATACGTGCTTCTACCAAGGACAAGGATGTCAGTGAATCTGTGCTCACACGAAAACGCAAAGCACTGCGGTGTAACTTACTGTCATTTTCTGGCTGGGCCGGTTCACCCTCCGTAAGCGCTCCACTTGCACGTTTCGCGACCTCCTCGGCATTACGAGTGATAGAATTGACTTTTTCGCGGTTGCTCCTTAAGAGGGTTCCCAACTCCTGGATTTGGTTGAAGAGGTGATTCAAGTCTTGCTGGTGGCCGACTGGGAGAGACATGTATCCTGCAGCGGCTGCCGCGCCGGACCCAGGACCGTTGATGCCATTGCTGCCGTTGAGGGAGGAGGGTGCGGTAGGAGAGGCGTTCGCCATGCGGTTGCCAGCAGGAGGAAGAGAGGTATCGAGGGAAGGGAACGCGTTTGGGGAGGCCATATCGTCGCCGTAGGGACTGTAGCCGCGGATGTTGACGTAGATTGAAACTGGGTCGAGCTCAGGTTCTTCTTCGATGACAGAGGCCTCGCTGTTGAGATGATCTTGGAGGAGCTGGCTCAGTTCATTCGGTTCGACGAGCTGGGCGTTGGAAAATTGGCGGAGAAACTCATCGTCTTCCTCACTTTCCTGAACGGGCTCACTGGGGACAGATGGTCGACGAGAGGCGACCGGAGAGCGAAGAAACGCAGTGGCGTAGCCTGACGAGGTGGAAGGAGTTGTGAGTCGCGTCAGGCGACGACGATGCACTCGCAGGGGAGTTGCTGGTGGTGGTGGTGAACCTGAAATGAGACAAAAGTCAGGTCAACCTGAACGTTTCAAACTTGTAACTTTCCAAGGTTTGGGGAAGGGTTCATCTCGGAGAACGGAATTTCTGTTGTTCCGATGATGGGAGGGACTAGATCTGCACGGCTCGGCCCGAGATTGAGGGGCTGATAGCGATTGGTTTTCGGCAAACTTACCACCAGGGGAAGACGATGGAAGAGCCATCGTTGTCGCTTGTTAACAATGAAAGAAAAACGTGATTTTGAGGCAAGTTGGGCGACCAGGTCTAAATTCACGCCAAGATATCAAAGTTCACACTCACTACCGTCGTATCTATGGTTTGTAACGGGCGGGCACCGGAGAGACAATGCGAGCCAGATGACCTGGGAGCACGCCCTATATCCAAATGGTAATGAAGAGGGTTGAAGCGTTTGGGCTCATGGCAGCGGTGTGTACTTACCAATGTCTTTGAGCCCTGTCCGTTTGTTGCCGCTCCGAGCCGCACAGTAAGACCTTGGAGGAGCTCTTTGCACAACTAGTATACTGCTTGCGATTAGGCAGACCTCTTGGACTGACACTTGCGCTGGTGATTGTGGTGATGGTGCTAGTGGCATTTGAGCAGATCTCTGGTTCAGCATTCAGGAGTGTGTCTCCCACCCTCATTACTGTTCAAGTTAGAGATGACCGCTCCACCGTCTAGATACGTTGTCGAGGCAGAAACTCCACCGCCGGCACAAGGTCTCTCCAAATACATCCCACTTGAGGGCGATCATGGTGAACCCCATCAGCTCGTCTCTCTCTACAGAAGCAGGCGTGAGGAGCCAGGAAACCTCAGTAGAGCTACGCACTGGCTCCCTCCTTAAGCCCTCAAAAGTCTCTGGTGCATCGCCAGAAACCCTTCGCCTCCCAAAGGCTAACGCCCAGGAATGGCCAAGGGATATCCTGGCCTGCACATAAGGATAGCAATCGATGCGATGAATTATAAACAGCCACTCGCGGCTAGGCTGCTGGAGTGGATACTGCTAGCGACCAATGTCTGGCGTTTAACATGTCGCTACAATCGCACACAAGTGCTCAGCGAAAGAAGAAAAGTCTTCGTCGCCAAGTGCAGCATCAATATCTTTCACTGAAGTACCGGATGCCCCCTTTATGTCTGCAGTCGATAACCACGAAGCGTCCTACAGGTCGGTTGTTCCAATCCAGAGAGCCTGCGTGACCGAAAAGTACCAAGCGCATTAAAGTGCGGTTGGGATGCTCTTCCAGCGGTCCCGCCATCTCAAGACTCACGCAGAGAGACTTCAGCAAGCAATGTCTGGAACAAACCTTGACACACACTCCATACCTCTCGCATAGGCCAGCTGGCCTCCATGTTGGTAATCTCCTGATTTGCAGCCTTTTGAGATTTGAACCTACGTTCTGTGCGGGTCCGAAGGCTACTATTAATTTCCCACATTTACGTCTTCGCATCTCCTATATCTGCTTATTTATCGCCAGCGCCGAGTAGCAAGCACTGAGCGCTTGATGTTAAGCTCATTCCTAAAGGCGTAAAAGTGTGGCGGTGAACTTGGAGGTCAACGAGGCTGCGAGGCTGCGAGGCTGAGCTAAAATGAACCCCCACCAACCAAGAATTCTGGTTTGAGCGACAAATGAAAATCTTGGCGGCGCACACTTCTCAAACTTTAGCGATTGTCAATTCATCGCTTTTGGATATTGTCCAGTTCATCTTAGCTTTGAGTACTCCATTCCAACAAAGAGACTTTCGACAGTCTCTTCCAAACGACAAGATGTATGAGAGAATCCCTGCATGTTGCTGCGGAATTGGGTCTGCAGCGCAAAATGCTGATTCGGGGTTTTCATAGTGAACCAAAGTAATTCTTGGGACGGTCTCAAGTCGGCAATATGCCTTTCACCAAGCTGTAAGTTACAAGAGTTCGAATATCCTCAAGGAGTCTCCAGTCCCTGGAACTAACACTCGGCTGCCACAGCGTGAAGAATTCTCCCTACTACTCTCGTTTCCAGACCAAGTACAAGCGCAGACGGGCTGGCAAGGTATGGTGACGAGACTGCATCCCTCCTGTTGCAGACTGATGGCTGACGCTGAAACCAGACCGACTACTATGCTCGTAAGCGATTGATCAGCCAGGCCAAGAACAAGTACAACGCTCCCAAGTACCGCCTTGTCGTTCGCTTCACCAACCGCGACATCATCTGCCAATTGGTTACTGCGGAAATCACTGGCGACAAGGTCTTCGTTGCCGCGTACTCGCACGAGCTCAAGAGATACGGCATCAGCAATGGCTTGACCAACTGGTCTGCTGCCTATGCTACTGGCTTGCTGTTGGCTCGCCGTGCTCTCAAGAAGTTGGATCTGGACGAGCAGTTCACGGGTGTCGAAGAGCCGGATGGAGAATACAAGCTCACCGAGGCTGCTGAGGAGGATGGAGAGGAACGTCGTCCCTTCAAGTGCTTCCTCGATGTGGGTCTGCATCGTACTTCTACGGGAGCCCGTGTTTTCGGTGCGATGAAGGGAGCCTCTGATGGCGGGTTGTACATTCCCCACAACGAGAAGCGATTCCCTGGTTACGATCAAGAAAGCAAGGAATTGGACGCCGACACCCTGCGCAAGTACATCTTCGGTGGTCATGTTGCGGAGTACATGGAAACCCTCGCAGACGACGACGAGGAGCGCTACAAGTCTCAATTCGTCAAGTACATCGAAAGTGAGATCGAGGCAGATGGACTTGAGGACATGTACACCGAAGCCCACGCTGCGATCCGCGAGGATCCTTTCAAGAAGGACGAAGACGAAGGCGACAAGAAGTCTAAGGAGGAGTGGAAAGAAGAGGGCAAGAAACACAAAGTGCACAAGATGTCCAAGGAGGAGAAAGACCAACGAGTCAAGGAGAAGATTGCAGCTCTTGCTGCCTGAGTGCATTGACTGCGACATTGGCTGGTGCTCAGGAAAAAAGGAGTCACTCCGGCATTGTTGAGAAGCGTTCTATGGGCTGTCGATGACTTCGAGCCGGGAGATTTGAGGCCCATGATGTATGGAATTTGCCCCAAATAAACTCGGCTGGTGTGCCCATAATGAGTTTCATGGACTTCCTGCCACGATATCTGATGCCTGGCTCGCTAAAAGCATCTAAGATGAGACGAGAGGTCGTTATGGACCTGAAGACGGTCGATCATAGCTGGCTGGCACCCGCAAGACATGCCGAAATTTGTGCGGGAATGGTTTGAGGGCATCGAGGAATCCCATGAATTTTGCCCGAACAGTAATAATTTCCTTTGCTAGAATGTGCGACGAGTCTTACTGGTAATAGGCTGGAGTAGGACCTTTTGATCAGCCATTTTCGCCTTTTCGGGTCCAGCACATGTTTAGTATGGTCCCCATCGTTCTCGACGCTGTCTGACATAAGATGCTGAGCTGACCAGCCACCCTTAGGTGGCTCTAGGTGCCTCAAGGAGCCTCCAGGAGCCTCCAGGAGCCTCACAATTGACCCTTACTGTGCCTGGTGGATTGGTGAGCCCCATGTCTCGACCCCCAGAAGCCGTTGGCGAGTTCTCGCAAGGCCTTCCACTGGAGACAGGTCTAAGCAGAAGGTTCAGGTAGGCATCCAACTAAGCAATGCGGCAAGCAAGGGCTGGGGGGCCCGTATGCCAGGCACCGCTACAATGAAACGAAGTGGTGCCCAATGTTGACCAGTAGCCATGACAGTGGCCACTTTTTCCATGTTGTGTCATCAAGGGCTCATCATCACACTACGTGCTTTGGAAAGAAGATGAGAGATATATTATGGTCTCGGACGATGGTCTTTTTCCTCCTGCGGTCCTCGTGAACTGCTTGGTACATTTCTTTTCTTTCTCGGCCGGGTCACGCGTGCAGCCAGCGGGCACTTCGGAGGAGGCGCCATCATTAATCAGGGAACGTACGTCCGAGAAGCGAGAAGAGGTCGGCTGGAGATTCTCTTGGGATTCGACTTGTGACGCCAACAAGGGAGAGTTCCGTGACGGACGGCTGCCGAAATCCCACGATCTCCCCCGAACAGTCTTTTGCCTTCGTGCCCTGAAGGGACGCAAACGACATAGGGCTCATTATTCCATCCAGTATTCGGTACCGTTGCAATGACCGCATCGCAACGCCCCAGGAGCTGAAAGCCAGAGTTCACAGTGGTGTCACTGGTGCATGTCCTGGTGGTGCTGGTCCACTTCCCTAGGTCCCCTCAAGGGCCTCAACCCTTCTGTTGGCACCCCCCATTCAGCGGACTCCACCATCCTCTACAACCTCCGACCACCCACTAATACTACTAATATTACCGAACCTGGGCAATTCTCAGACGCATTGGCCGCACCGCGGTCACGGCACCCTAAGAATCCAGACCTTCTCCAGCGCCCAGCGCCTTATCAAGCTACCACCCGCAGGCTGGGTTGTAAGTGGCGGCCGATTCCTCCCACAAGATCCCAAAAGCCCAGACCGAAGTCGATCAGCGGTCTCTGGCCAACAACAATAGCCGTATTGCCTTCCCTGCGCCCTGCACCTGCACCTTTAACCCCGCCGACCACCCTGCGCAGAACCATCATCGCTTGTCATCCAGCTTCCCTCAAGTTCGACAACCATCCTTTTCCTTACCAACGAGGCCCTCGGTCCAGCCTGTATGACATCCCTACAGCAAAGTGTTGGATTCTAACTCTTGAGGCGTCTGCGCATCATCTCAGTCACAATGGCTGCGGCCACGGAAAGTGGTCTCGATGTTGACTGGCTGCTGCATTCCAAGAAAGGTGTGGTCCCACGATGTCGGCTCTCAGTCGCGGCTGCTTTGTCGTACTCTGAGCAGCGACTGTCGCAGAGAAGGGAAGCACTAACCATTCCATCAGATTTGGCTCATTCGGTGGGAGACAGAAACGGCCGAAACCCGGATTCACAGTCCTCCACGAAACCCCAAGTCAATCAGCGCGAGCCTGCAACTGCCCAGCCTCAACCTAATCACACACCACTCAAAGAGACGCAAAATGGAGTCCCTCCGGCGACGCAGCAACAAAAGTCTACAATCACTGTCAATGGCAAGGAGAATCACGCACAGCCTGCGGCGCAGAAGGCAGTCCCGGCTCCCCCCAAGCCTACTCAAAACCAGTCTCCCAGACCCACGATGTCGGGAGCCCAAAGCACGGAGGACAGCAAAAAAGGTTTAAAGCCAGGTGCACCCAACAAGAAAGAGGGCAGAAGAAGTTCGTGGATTTCAAGTTTCAGCTCCAAGTTCTCTTCGCCAACACCCTCGCGGAGTTCCAGCATAGATGTGCAACAAGCGAATCACACCCTGACAGCGTCTCCTCAGCCAAGCCCGAAGACGGAGTTGGTGAATCCATTTGATAAGAATCGATCACCCAAAGATGGGCAGAAAGAGACGAAAAAGGAAGAATCTAAACCTCCTGTCATCACCCATACTGCTCCTCGAAGACCTTCGGTCCTCGTTGCCGCCGGAAAGGAAACAAAGCTAGAGCATCCTGGATTTCTGTCGAGTGCTTTACGGAGACTGTCTTCCTCCTCAAACACCACAATGGGCAAAGGCGCAACTAGTGGAGCAATTTGCCCGAGAAGGGTCTTGAACCTCGACCCCCACCGCGAGCGTATCAAGATTAGCGAGTTTGACCAGAACAAGCTCAAGAGAGTGTCGTTTTGCGTAGATGTAGAGATTGCTGGATTTTCGTCCCAGGCTGACGAAGACCCCGAGCAATTCCATCGCCCAGCTGTGTCAAACGCACAGAAGCAGAATATCTCTACATCTGACAAGCAAGTAACCAGCAACAAGGACTCAAAGGACGCAAGGTTCAAAGAAAAAGGTGAGGGAGCAGCCTTGAGAGCTCCTAAGCCGACAGTCGAAGAAAAGGAAAAGGAAGAGGTAGTGCCGAGCAAACCGCAGCCAGAAGGTCAGGCTCCGGCGTCGGAGGAGAGAAAGGAGGCCAAAGATAAAGACACATCAGAAATGCTGCAAGGTCCCGAACCTATAGCCGTGCCTGGAACCCGGAAAAAGGAGAAAAAGAAACGGTCAGAAGCCGAACGGAAAGAGCGAAAGGAGCGCAAAAGACGTCACGCCGAAGCAAACGGTCTGGTACCGCTAGAGCTGACTCGGGAAGACGATGATTCAGACTCGAATTCGAGCACTACGCCACCAGGGGCCTCAACGCCCAGCAGGCGGCCTGCGGAGGGGGCGGATGGCCGTACGACGGATCCTTTAAGGATATACAAGCGCTGTTGTCAGCTGCGCGAGACCACGGTGTTGAGCAAAGTCAAAGAGCAAATATCCAAACCCTCCGCAGGTGTGGCAGAAGCCCCTGGCACAGTGGCGGTGATGGATCTTTCTGGGTATCCGATGCAGCTGCAGGATATTGTAACTCTAGGCGACTGGCTCGCTATCGTTCCTGTTCGGAAACTTGTCTTGGATAACTGCGGGTTGACAGATGAGGGCGTCCGGGTGATTTTGTCGGGCCTTTCGAGCTGCAAATCTGCTGAACAAGCTCGACAGAACAGGAAATTGCCGAAGAGACTGAACGGGAAGACCGGCAAAGAGCAAATGGGCGTAATCGAGAAGCTGTCTTTGAAGGAAAATCCAGGTATTACGAATCTGGGATGGAGGCACATTGCGCTTTTCATGCATATGTCGCGGTCGCTAAGGGCCATTGACCTGTCGGGGATTCCATTTCCAAAGGCAGGCGATCTCTCGCGGACAGTCTCTACAACGAGTTCCAACAGCAGTGGCTCGACTGATGCGACCTCGAGAGTGATGGATCTGGGAACTTTGGTCATCTACGCATTGGCTGAGCGTCTGGGTGACAAACTTGAAGAGCTGATACTCAGTGACTGTGGCCTTGCTACAGCCAACATTCGAGACCTCGTGGACTGCGCCATCAAATGCAGGATCCGGCGACTTGGACTTTCGGGCAACAATCTGGATCAGGAAGCCCTCGGCTACCTTGTGCGATATATCAAATCCGGTCACTGTGAAGGTCTCGATCTTGGAAGCAATGACCTACACGGGATTGCGTATATCCTTGCAGAAGCTGCTGACAATGACTGTCCCCTGTTCGCAATCAGCTTGTCAGATTGCAATTTGACGCCCGGCGATCTCAATTCGATCTTGATACCGTTTACAAAGTTGAAGAACCTCAAGTTCATCGACCTCTCCCGCAACATGGCTTTGTTCAACAGTCAGCCCAGCGCCGTTCCGGTTTTCAGAAAATTCCTCCCCAAATTGGCGCCATTGAAGCGTTTGCATCTCTCAGATGTGGGCATGACGTCTGAACAAGTGATTGCGCTGGCCGAGATCTTGCCTGATTGCCCATCGATGGCTCATCTCAGCATCTTGGACAATGCTCCTCTTATTCACGCCATGAACTCGAGAGACGCTAGCTCACAAGAGGAGGCTTGCGCATTCTTCGCGTCCTTGATGACCGCGGTCAGAGTGTCGGAGACTATCGTCGCTGTGGAGATTGAAATGCCTAGCGCAGACAGTAGTGAAGTTGTCAAAGCGCTGGCATCACAGGTTGTGGCTTACAGTCTTCGAAACATGGAGCGCACAACTCTGACTGAAGTCGGCGTCAAGCCGGACGAACTTACCGGGAAGGACGCTCCAGAAGTTTTGCTCCATCTTGTCGGTCATATGGACGGCTACTCGGCAAACTACGACAAGGACGAACCGGCGCCGGATGAGGACTATATGATTGCATCCACAGGAATAGTCAAAGCATTGGGTGTCTGTCTGGATCGCAAGGACGGCAATAGTCGCGCGCAGTCGAGAAACATCAGTCCTACAGCGAGTGGGACCTCCACGCCGAGAGGACCGCTACGGCAGAGGAGGGTGTCCAAGCCTCGGGACGTGAGCTTGGAGCTTTGTGAGAGTGCGAGAAAGATCCGGCGAAGGTTGCAGCCTGTCCTCGTTAAAGAAGATCGGGCGGGGAACCACGAAAACTATCGTAAGTCAGACCTCGAGGATTTGAAGAATATACCTTTACTGACGCAAGTAAACAGGTCGTCTGTTTTTCCTCGACCAGACCCTGCAGCGGATGATACAAAGATTCGAGGACGAGTATCCTGAGACCAAAGTCACTTCACTGTCTCCTCCAAATGGCAACAGCATGCCTTCGCCAGATCCATCCATGGAAGACACCTCTGTGCTATCGGAGTCGCTTGACTCCAACGGATTGCTCAAGATGACTGATGCTGACGACTACTTCCCTGCCGAACGTGAGGCACACGACGATTACGCCCTGAAACTGTCTCGAACGTCGTCCAATACGTCGCTTGCAGCTAAAGCTTTCACAGACGAAGAAGGCCGCATGCACCGTTTTGGACAGTCTATGAGGAGAGAAGTTCTTAAACCTACGGGCATGGACGATACTCTGCACGGATCACGAGCCACCGACGCGGACCCACCTCACCTAGCTGCTCTCCGGTCAAAGCTGGATGAACTTCGTGGAGAGGACATTCGGTACAGAGTGGAAAGGGAAGGCGCAGACAATGTTTTGCGAGAGCTAGGGCTGAACGCTCAAGAGCTTCTCATGCTGAGGGAGCAAGATCCCGAGGGCTTCAATGCCTTCAGAGAGTCGCAGCTGGCTGCGCAAATCAATGCGGGCATGCTTCCCGTGGATGAGATGAAGAGTGCGAAAGCGTGATTTGACAGCCATTTAGAGTGGTCAGGTACACTATGGAGGGGGAGACTTGTATACCATGTCGGATGCATGATGATATTTTGGCAATTTGCCTTGTGAGCGTTTTGTTTTAAGATCAGTCTACATGACGACGACGACGACTTTGACGAACTGGGGTGTATCACAGGCACCAGACCTGCGCTACCACTTGGTATAATGTTTTGATCTTGCATTTGAGTGCACTTGACTACGTCCTAGCAGACGACAGATCAAGAGGTGGAGAAGAGCAGAGAAGAAGGGAATATACTCGCTTGACATGAGTGACTAGCTCCAGCTCGAAACAGAGACACAGTCTGGCTCTGTGGGAGCATGACCGACTACATACTACTTCCCAATGTGCTGTTTTCCCCTTTCCCCTGCTTCACTTTTTCTTTTTTGCGCTTTGTCGATGACCCGGCTGCTTGTTTTACCCTAGGTGGAAAGGTGCTGTCTTGTATTAAGGTAAACGGGTAGAATAGAGAGAGAGGTGGTTGGCAGCATCTCTCGGAGCAAGAAGCCCAAAAGAAAAGTCGAAAAATAGACAAAAAAAAAGGAGGAGGCCGAGAGAAAATATTACATGATGTTTGATGCAATACGGTAATTTCCCGATAATCCCTTCACTCCAGAAATTCTTTTTTTTAATCTAATTCCCTACACCCGCATTGTCGTCTCAGGCCATTGCATGCTATAGTATATGGATGTGTGTGTGTGTGGATTGTATTTGTCTAATGCACTTCTTTTGGGGGGGTCGTTGGTTCATGGGGGGTCATGGTTCTCGTTGTCGTTCTCGTTGTCGTTCTCGTTTCATTTGTCGTTAAAATCATCGATATAGATATCATGTTCGTGTCGTCGCTCATATTGGATACCCTATTCGGACCAGATTTGAGGGGTTGGTTATGGCCGCGGTGGTCTGGACATTCTAGGACACATACTTCGCGCTGGTTAGGTGAGAGAGAGGTTGGCGGGCTGGCTTTTCGGAAGGTCATCCCCTTTTTGGCTGGGCCTGGAGCCTATCGGTCGTGGTGCGCAGCAGGGTCGACAGCGCGTTCCGACTGTCCCAGTTGCGGATTGTCCAGACCTCGACCTCCTTGCCGTCCACAATCTGCCTGCTCGACTTCAGGGGTTCGCCCACGGCAGCTTCCTCGGCCTCGTTGAGCCAGTCGCTCCACGCGGGGGTCTTGGGCGCCCAGCCGGCCTCCTTGACCCAGTTGCTCGTGCCCGTCACGGCGATGGCCTTCCACAGCGCCTCGGTGTAGGTGGGGGAGTAGTTGTCGACTTTGGCGCTGCGGGGCGGCGTGCCCCCGTGCACCTCGATGTGTTCGACCTCGAGTCTGGAGAGGTCCCAATGCTGGGCCGGGGGCAGGGCGGCGCCGATCCAGTAGAAGATGTTGATGAGCATGTAGGAGCCCGCAAAGGCCGTCTGGGTCTGGATCTTGGCGTTGGCCAGCGATATCACCCCGCCCATGAGCAACAGGGTCGAGATCAGTGAGAGGCCTCGGTAGATGGCCGTGCTTTTCACCGAGTAGATGCAACGCTCGCTGGGGTTGAAGTAGAGATACCGCGCCGTGCGTTCCTCGCAGCTCACCACGATAAACGCACCTTGCGGGTACTTGATGACCACGTCGCCGGGCGGAGAGTGAGGGTCGGGTTTGGGGTCGTTGGGCGTGGGTGACCACTTGTTGGCAATTCCGGTGACGGTGCTCAGAGTGGACAGCAGCACGGTCGCGAGCAACGACATCCTGGGGGAAGCGGCGAGTCAGTATCATGTTTCCCCGAGCACTAACAGTCCCTTTTGGACTTACCCATCCTCCCAATATATCGAAAGCCCAAGCAAGGCAGCGCTCATGGCCGTCCCCAGAAACGCCAACCAAGCCAACGGACCAAACCTCTTGATCGAGGGACGAGGCTTATTGTTTTCCCTGACCCGAACGCAACTGACGGTATTTGGACGCAGCTTGTCCCCCCGGTGCAAGGCATGGGCCACATGGTGGATGTCCTCCCCGGTGTTACCTGAATGGACTCCAATGACTTTGGCACCCGCCGTGGTCTCCAACTTTTCCGGCCGAGAGGGTCTGATGAAGATCTGAGGCGCAGGAAGGAGGCGGGGAAGGTAGATGAGGTAGCTCAGGGTGGCAACTTGGGCGATTGTCTCGACGGAACCTTCTCCAAGGATGGCGAGGAAACCTGTGCACCGAAGAGTTTGCTTAGCCGGTCTGACCTGATGTGGTTGCTGTGGTTGCTCTGGCTCGGTGTGCCTTCACTTTGCAGACCTGACGGATGGATCGACGACTTACCGACAATGTCCAGTTGAAAGCCCTGGTTATTGCTGATGTACTCGTCGATGAATCGCATCCTGATTCACTTTCGGCAGGAAAATACAAACAGCTATGCGGCAGGAAAGCATCGGGTCGTGGCAAACAAAACCGGACAGTCGGTGAACAAAACCACAGATGGCGTTCGACAGCCAAAAGCATCAGAAAGCAGGAGCCGATAGTAGTAGCAGCATTGTGGCCCCCAAACCCAATTCAAAAAACTCTTACTTCAATTCCAGCCACGCAGGGCCAACCTTGTGATAGAGGGGAAGGAAACTGTTTGGTTGAAGGACTCGGACTTTGGTGGCAGGTAGTTTGATCGACGAGAACTAGATCTCGTACTATGTACTAGTCAGCCACTCAGCCATGCTACATTGGGCCGAGGGTGATGCCGCTCTATTCCAGTGTTGCTCATTGCTTTCACGCCCTGCTCAGGCAAAAACATACAATAGGTACCTAGGTATATCCAGATTCTGCCGTCTGTCCAGAGTCTGTGGTGAAGCCGGTTCTACACCCTCCCGCGCTTTATCCAAGTCTCCTGTATACACGTCTAGAGAAACCGCCTCCACCTGAGATTCCGTCGAGCCCTGTTGACCTTGTCCATCACATCCTTGGATCCAAATGCAAACCAATTGGGCGCCATTGTGCGCTTGATATTGTCCAAAGTCTGCTCCACGGCCGCGATGAACTTCTCACTCGGCACGGCATTGGCTTCAACCACGCTCGCCAACGCCGCCAGAAACTCGCGCTGCAATGCCTGGTTGTCCTGCTTGCCTGGCTCGTCGGCGACCAAGGCGAGTTTCTTCTGCTCGTTCAAAGTCAGGTACCTTGTGGAGACGCCGCCGGTGCCGTCTGTCGCCGTGTATACCTGTCCAATCCACAACCCAGCCGAAGTTGACTGCCAGTCCAACGCTGCGTGGGTGTCTCGGATGATGTTGTGATCGGTAGTGACCCTCTCGGCAAAAAAGGGCTCCGCGAGTTGGATCTGGAGAGGTAGAGGATCAGGGCCACCCTGATTCGGCTCGTTGCCTTCAGCGTCAACACCGGCAATCTCAATTTCGCGGGTCGGTTCGAGGCAGAACAAGACCTTGGTGAGGATGATGGCGACCTCCAATCCGATCCACGGATAAGCCCACGCCGTCAGGCCGACTATCAAGACGGTCGAGACCAGGTCGAGAATACCACTGAAGAGGATCAGACCGCCTGCAACTCTCAAGATTGGCTGTTCGTAATTCGCCCCGTACACTTGGAACCCGCTGAGGTTGTTGAGGTGGAAACTGAGGATCACGCAGGTCACCTGCTCGCCGGCTGTGGGTATCTGGAGACAACGGTACTCAGGAGATCCCAGCCGATTAAGCTGAACTTCAGCCTTGCCCTGGCCGCGAGTAATTTGAATAATGATCATAGCGCCGAGCCACAGGCAAACACAGACAGTTTGCACGACGGTCAACAACCGGCCCGTACCGTTGGCTCCGTTCTTAACAGCCAGAAAGGTCTCGCCACTGTAGAGGGCTAGATAGATGGCGGAACCCACCAGCAGCCTGGCGTAGTTGTTCTGCTTCAGTCGAATGGTGGACGCACGCCCTCGAGCCTGGAACCACGCCTCGACCATGTAGGCTTCTGCCGGGTTGTGGTTGACGATGAGGCTCGTGGTATGCCGCTCCGCGGTGCCAGATGGAATATGCCGCAACTTTGGCATGAACCGGTTCACGTACTCGTCGTGAGCATAGGACAACTCGGCCACGGTATTGCGGTAGAGTTCGAAACTCCAGAGCAGGATGCCCAGCTGCAACTTGGACAACACTCGCCCAGCGCCAATTCCAGCCATCACAAACGACGCAGGGTAGGAGCGACTGGCAATAAGTTTGATGTTTTGGACCTTACCCGTCAAAACGGGGAGGAGAGTGAGGATAGAGTTCATGCCATTGATGTTCTGGACCGCTGACTGCCAATCCCTCCCAGGTGCGCCAGTAGTGAGATCCCTGGGGAGGACAACAGCTCTAGTCAAACCAAGAATGGTAAGGACAATCGCAGAGACTTGGGGCATGTTTTCTCATTTGCACCTCCTCTCCCTCTCTGCTTGTCCTCTGCATAAGAAGGTGAAAGCATGACAAAAACTCGGAGGCTGAAAATGCTCTCTAAATGAGCGCTGAATAGCGTATGTAGGCTCAGATCTCTCAGAGTGACTCGGAGTGACCGTGTGAATCAAAGCTCAAATTCAGGGGCTGCTCTTCAAGCCTCATGCCTCCCATCAGGCTGAAAGGCCCAAAACGGCTTCTTGCATGATCCAGTGGTGGACACGTGCCGTTGTCAAAGGATCCGATACGGTATCATCGAACCGGCCACAGTCTTGTCGCCGTTGCACTTTTCAGCATCAGCCTCGTAATAATGTTTGTTCTGGAACACGAGGCATAGACCCCCATGACTGGGCTCGCTTGGGTTTGAAACGTGACGACTTCTGCAAAACCTTCCCAGCCAATCCTTACGAATGTCTCACCGCCCAATCATCCGGCAATCGAAAGTCCGGCGGCAAGACATATTGTCCACGACAATGACCAGGAGTTGAGCAGCCTTCGAGATTGCAGCGGCCGTACAAGCGGCAGTAGCATTCTTTGGCGGGCGGGCATGCCAATGAATTCAGTTGATTCAGATCGATGTAAGAAGATTCACCCTGCGGCATGAACAAGATATGCCATATATATGACAGGATCCGGCCGGCGATGCGGTCGTCAGGCGGTGCTGCACTCCTGCCTTCGTCCAGCAGCCACTGTCGGAGAGCGATATATTCGTCGCGGGAATGTTGCCGCATGCGCTCCCGGGAAACAACAAACTGCGCGCAGCACTGCGATCGAATGGCATCCGTCCGTCCCAGAGACAACTTGGAAGAGCCCGTCTTGCCATCTGCTTCATCGTGGCCGCCGAACAGATCCACGATCGCCTGTGGTAATGCCCGATCTGACACCAAGCGCAAATTCCACGGCTCGAGCACAGAGCGCGTCAGCGTTTCCAGGCTGCCCTGCGCCGGCGCCTCAGTCGGGGAGCAGGTGCTGGCGCTCCAGTCGCACCGTAGATTGTGGTATCCGAACGGGGCGAGGGCAGCCGAAACATTCAAGGTCGCCAAGAGAGCTGCATTGTCGTAATCAGGAGCGTCATTGTGCCATGCCCAGCGTGAGCCGTGAACAAAGACGGCGCCGGCCGCAGGAAGGCGTTCGTAGTTGTCGATAAGGAAGGTGAGGTATGCCATGGCTTCGTGGCCCCGGTTCGCGGGCACTTGCAGATGCCACGAGGTCACGTCCTGATGGTCGGTCCTGTAGACGCACAGATGGTAAGAGGCTGCTAGAGCGTCAAGCCATGAACGGTCCTCGGCGCCAACTCTTGCCACCACTAGTGCGGGCTTTGTGTTCTCTTCCAAGCCGGGACAGCTGCCGCGAGGCTCAGGCAGGGTGGCGGAGGAGGTCTTGTAGTGGATTTTAGACCACGCAAAGGTCTTGGTAGTCGAGCCCCAATCATGGTTGGCGTAGATGATGAGAAACAGCACGGTCCAGAACAAGACGGCGTTGACTATGAGACTGCGAGTCGTTCGTCGCATTGGGAAGATATTGCAACAGTATCATGTCAACAATATGTCGCCTGATGGCCAATCTGGAGGGTGAAATGAATGATGGAAAGAATGTGCCGCTGTAGCCGCGGCGAGCCGGGCGACGTGTAGAGCGGCACCAGCTCGTTCCCCAAAAGAGGCACTTATCAAAAACCATGCATCATGCCAATGGTACCCAGGTAGGTTTCAATTCCACTCCCATCCGAGGGACTATTGCTATTCCAACACTCACACGGCCTTTGGGAGACCTTGGTGATCTATATGATAATGTTACATAAGAACAATAACCTTTGATACTAATAACAGACAAAAGAGCCTCCCCTGAATTGTCAATAGTAGCGACAAGAAAAGAAATGTCCGTTGCCAGACGGGTTGTCAGTCTATTGTGTGTCATCAGGTCATATATGCTTTTTTGGGTATCTCTTGAGAAAATCAAACTCCCGCGCCGTTGTTGTGGTCCGTTGATACAAAGTATGCCCGATGCATATGCAGTTCCCCTTACTTTTTAGTAATTTTCTCGTCGCTCTCACGGTTGGCTCTTCGGCCTGCGTCCACTTCTTCGACGCTGGAACCGCGCTCCCTGCCTCGGTCACTTGACAGTCCGCGTGAGAGGAAGCCGCGAAGCACATTGGGTCGGGAAGTCCGCTCGTTGACGTCTTGCAACGACCAGGGCATGAACTTGGGCTCCTGCTTGGCGATCTTGCAAAACAGAGTAGAGAAGATAAACTCTTCCCCCCGTCCATTAAACAGTGGGAGATGTCGATATCCCGTCTGCAGGCTGCTGAGCTTCGCTGTAAATGCCGCAAGCTGTCTGACCCCTTTGCCCGTGTGTCTTCCGTCGTCCGAGTTCAGGACGATGAATCGAACAAAGACAAGCTCCGGGTATTTCGTCTGCAGGCTAAGCTCAATGTTTTCTCCGAATTGAGGGTTGTAGCCATTGCCAAACCGGATCTGGGTCTGACGACGGTAGGGTAATCCAATTCCATGGTAGCCGTTTGAGTAAGTCTCGGTGCCGCCAGTGCCATTGGCTATTCCCCGAGCTCGGTCCTCTGCACTGAACATTTGCACTTCAATGAACGGATTCAGAGGGGTGTCTTTGCTCATATTCGCCGCCCGGGGTAGTTGTTGAGCTGAAATCACTTGGACCGAGAACCTGATCTTGTAGCGGGGCAGCTTCGTCCGATGCTCGAAATCTCCGGGCTTCGTCCGAGGCTTTCTGAGGTAGTCCGGCTTCAAGACATAGCCATATGCATCAGTTCCGGCGGCAAACATTGCCTGGTTCATCTGCATATGGGCGTCAAAGGTCTGCCAGTTCAAGGCAACCATTTGGACACCCCTCCTCCAGAAGGTGTTGGGATCAAAGTTGGACGACTGGAAGCGCAGAGTCTTGGGATAGACCCGGCACAAGTGATGAAGGTTGTGATCCTCAAAGAGAGCTTTGTGCTCGGTCGAGCGACAGAGCTCGATGGCCCTGTTCTCGTTGAGCGAGAATATATGGTTGTATTGTTGGAAGCGAAGGTCTCTGGCATCGCGGAGGGTATAGCCTTTCATATATACGCCGAGAGCAGAGAGCTGGGAACCGACCTTGCTCAGCTTCGGGGCAGGGCGTTGGATTGCGAGACTCGAAGGCGAGGTGGGCGCGACATCACTCTCCTCATCGGCACTGCTTCCGCTTGTTGCCGTGACCGATCTGTCAGTGGGAGAATAGATTGTCTCTGGTGGTGTTACTAGTGCGGGACTCGAGACATATGGTACCTTTGGAAGGACCCAGGTTGTCGGTTGGGTATTGAGCCTGTTCGGAGAACTAGCGCTCCGATCTCGATGCGCGGACGTAGGCTGCCGTGAGGCCGTGAGATCGGCGTGAAGTTCAGTGGACTTGACTTTGATGAGTATTTTGTACTTGAGATCTTCAGGCGAAGGAAGTTGTGTGGTAAAGCCAGGCAAAGGGTGAACAAGAAGCCGCTCTCCAAACACGTCATTCATAATCTGCACCATCTTGGCTTGTTGCTCGGCATCACAATGGACTTCCAGAGAAATGATCACTGGATAAGGGCTGACATCGAAGGCGCACCTTTGAATAGCGTTGATACAGTCCGAGAAGGGTACGGAACTGGTCCTGGTGCGACCGTGAGTCACTCTCGGGTTGCCGTCTTGACCGTTCCAGCAGTCAATCTCAACGCAGCGACATCCGTGTCGCAGCGCAGTGAGGTAGGTTTCGGCTGAAGCGGTGCCTCCCACTTGCCAACCGGTCAGATATGTGTTGTGAGAGCTTGAAATAAAGTATTCGCCAAGAGGCTGGTCAAACGTGGGGACCGGGGGATCAGGCATGGAATAAACATGGCAATCCTTGGAGACAATGAAAGATGCAAAAGCGTTGGCGTCAATGAGTCCGGATCTTTGCAGAGATGCATCCTCCGGAAAAGACATCGCTACCAAGTCATTGATCTTCTCTTCCCAGACACTGGGGTCTGCAAGGGAGGCGATGTCAATTCCTTGATAGCGCTTGAGGAAGTCGACGAACCGAGACCTCGTCACGCCCATGGCATTATCACCTTTCACTTCGTCGAAGATCTTCCTGATGTCGCTTCTTTCTCGAAGACGTCTCAGAAAGTCTCTGAATTGAGGATAGTCCAAGAGGTCCGACTTGTTGACGTCGACAGAATGAAAATGCTCCTCCAACTCCTTCTCTGGAATGTGGATATGGAGTTTACGACAAAGCATCTGTACGGTAGGGAGGTCAAGACCATCGGCTTTGGTGATGTTGTTCTTGATGGTCCGCTTCGCCATTTCATTGTCCCAGTGAGCTCGGACGACTGACTCGCGTTCGGTTGAGCCAACCATGCTCATCATCAGCTCCTCTCGATGCTTGGCCAGGCTCTCGAGTGTGTCGACCCACAGTCGGAGGTCCCGGTGGTTGCGAGCAACGAGGTGCACTGACTTGACTTGCTTCGCCGAGTCTGAGGTGGTATAGTTGATGGTGAAACACAGTTCTGGGTCGACGGCTTCACCACGGAGCTGCGATTGGAAGCTCGCAGCTTCCTCGCCACTTCGGATGCTCTTGATATTGTCAATGTGGAAGACTTTGGTTGTCACAGCGCCCTTCCACGAGACACGGGAACCCTCGACATCCATGAAGAATAATTTCTCTTGCTTTTTATTCTTGGTGATCTTGGTCAAGGGGCAGCCCGCCACTAGGTGCTCAGGGACGCACGGAGCTTGGCCCTCGGGACTCGTGTCTATCAATGTCGTGGGCTCGCTGGAAATGCTCATCGTATCACCGTACAGGCCCAACCCGGTCTGCAGGTCCAAGGGCAGAGCATCCAAGGACGGAGAGTCCATAGAGTACCCATTGGCAATGGCATTCTTGCTGTCACTTCGGCGTCTGGTGATTGGCCCTGTGCTTTCATCACGACGAGAATGCGCAGATGATGAAGCCTTCCTTCGCAGAGTCTGTCGCACGCCATCCTTGGCACTTTGGGAGAGCTTGCGTATCATTCCCACGGACTTCGGGCCTGCGGTGGGTTCCTTCGGAGGCGAGAAGACATGGGGAGAGACAAGGCTCTCGCCCAGCTCCAGGGGGACAGGGGTCCCAAGGTGAGGTAGGTGGTGGATTGAATGAGGCACCAAGGGAGAAGATTGGATCGAGCTGATATAAGGGCTTTGGGTCATGGAGGATGTGCTGTTGGCAGAAGCCGGAGTGACAGAGGATATATGTAGAGCCGTGTTCACTCGCGGGTTGGAGGGCATGCGAGCCAAGGCCCGCGGATGAGGCGATGGGGAGTTGTCACGGCTCCTCAGCGCCCTGGCAGAGGGCGAGGGCGTGGCAGAGATCATGGCTTTTTGAGAGAGGTGATTTTTTTTCAACGCAGCTCAGGTTCGAGGGTGACAATGTTGGGGAGTCCAGCTCTGTCTATAGCGTTTTGACGGCTTCATTATGCTGTCCTTTGCGCGGTGGGAGATCCGGATCAATGCCACCGAACTTGTAAAGAACTTAGCGGCGCAGCATTCAGCAGCCCTGGGCGAAGGCCATGTGGGCGCACGCCTGATGGTGGTGGTGCTGTAGCGGCTCTCCGGATTTGTGTTGGTGCAGCTGCAATGCAGGACCGGGGGGGCGCAGGTGGTCCAGACGCAAGGACAACGCGTTTCCGTGCGGTAGCGGTGTCAGATCGGAGGTGCGCAAGTCGTCGACAGGTCAAGGCTGGCCTTGCAGAAAGCGGGAGGTGGTTGCGTGGGAGGCTTGCAGCTTCGTTTGGCGAGCGCAGCCCAGCGCAATGCGGTGATGGATAGAAGAGGACTACACGCGGTGAGAGCGATGTAGGACGCAGTCAGATGGCCGGTCAGCTGCGGGTGGACAAGAGGAGCTTCAGCAGGTACAGAGCAAGAAGAGTGTCACGGCGCCGAGTTGGTGGGATGGTGTTGTCTTTGGTGTTTGTCTTGTTCGCAAGGGGGGTGGTAAAAGTGTGAGCGGACTCGAACAAAGGAAGGGACGAGGCAGATGCCACAAGTAGCGAGTTCTGCTCCCGATTGGGGACAGTCCAGCAGTAATTAAATTATTCTGTGCACAGCACAGCACAGCAGGAGTGGTCGAGTGGTCGGTTAGAGGAGAAAATGAGTCAAGGGAGTGTATGGGACGGCCGTGTTTGCAAGGCCGAATGCGAGAGAGGGAAAAAGGATAGGGCGGAGAAATGAGGATGAAATGAGCAATATGCACGAATGATGAATTTAGTGACTACTACTAGCAGGTGTGCGGCGAGGCGGGTATGGGCAGGTGTGGGAAGGTGTGGGAGTTCTGCGAGTCTGGGAGATGCGAGTGGATCGCAGACTAGCAGTAGCAGCATTACTCGTAACTAGGTATTAGTGCCTCCGTGGGATACGGCCAGGGCATTCCCACGTTTCCTGTTCCTCGACAAGGGCCCCCCTTTTTAGCAAGCCTGGGCATTGGGGACTTGTAAGAGGGTGTATTTGACCCGGTATTGGATTGGTAAGATGCTTGGGGAGACCGTGGGGACATGGCTCCATGGCTGCAGTGGTCATCACCATCATGTCATAACTCCTGCCTGACCATCCTGGCAGCCTGGGTGCCCCAATCTGGTACCTGAGCAGCCTCTCATCGCAGTGAGGCGCATAGTACCGAGTACCTGACTTGCAGGTTGGAGTCCTTGACCTCATCCTGTTCTTCAGGATTCCTTCCTGTCTGTTTCTATTTCGAGTGACTACCTGGGTATCTACCTAGTACCTAGTCTCCACGTACATGTACGAACCGCCGCTTTGTACAATGGTCTACCCATGTACTAGGTAGGTAGGTAGGTATCTAACGAGGGTGTAAATGACTTGACAATTGATTTGGTCACCCAGTCGTGGCACTTTATCTACCGAATACTGGGCACAGTACCTGCTAAGGAAAGAGCGAGGGAAAAAAAGCCCAGGAGATTTTTTCCTTGGTGACGTGGGCCCCCTTGCTCCCTTTCCTACCTTCCTCCTGTTCCTCCCCTTGCTCCTCCCTTGCGCCCTCTCATTCCTCATTCTTGCTCTGGGCTCCTCCGTCCGAGTCCTCCACCAAACCCCAAGCCCTGGCCCCCCAGTATCAGCTCCCAGCGTCCAGCACCTAACAGCCGTCGCCAACGTAGCCCTTTTTTCTTCCACAACGTTTCTGCCTTGTTCTTCGCCTCCACTTCTCGCTTGGTTAAACTGGGAAAAGCTTGCGGAGCCGGAGGTGGGCAGGGGCAAACAAACCGCTCTTCGTCTTCACAAAAACTGCCCTCCGCTCTCTTCCACCTCCTCATTTCTCCCGGGTTTTCACATTTTTCCCTGGCCCTCGCCGTAAAGCCCACGCAATCGCTTCCCTTAGCCCCTGATCCTAGAAGAAGAAAGAATACCTAGTAATACCTGACCAAACTAGGTACCTCGTACTCACAGTACTACGTGCAGACTGGCCACTGTTTCCGTCTTCGTTCCCTTGTCCTTGTCGACTCCCCTTGGTCTAATTCGCAATTCTGCCATTTCATCCATCCTCGCTTCTTGGTCCAATTTTTTCTCGCCTCCCCAGGGTTCATCGGTTTCGCCATCTGAATCACGACAGAATCTTCCACTCATTTTCGATCTTGGCTCTAGAAATGCGCCTGCGCCCATGTCCGTCTAAATCCTACCCTTTCCCCCCTTTTTCCTCTTGCCCCCCAGTGCCCTCCTTAGGAGTAGCTCACTTTCCGCTTACCCATGTCATTGTTCACGTTCAAGTGTTCACCCTCCCAATCATCCGGTTCCGTCCGTCATATCACACAAGTATAGTTAGATGGTCCCATTCAACGGGCGATTGCCTAGGAGCGAGTCCATTGTAGTCAAGTCGGGCTGGATACACGATGGTCATGTGGTGGCACGTGCAGAGTACAGATGGGAAGCCCCATGGCCAATTCAGCTGACGGCATGAGCTTCTTCTGCAACAACGCTTTCTAGGTCAAATCAATCGCTTGGACGGCATCTAGACGGCGGGCGCAAGGGCAGGTCAAAAAGCCTAGCCTCGTCTCAACACTCCGCTGACCAGTTCTGCTGCACAGGACCGAATCTGGCCGTCTCAAGTGTGTCCGCTGACGATGCATCCCTCCACATTCCAACGCGCAGACACGAGCCCATGAACCAGCCAAAGAACCTGCCCTTACGCATTCAAGAATCGTGCATCATCTGCAGCCCGCCTGTCGCATCGTGCCGACCAGCTGCGGCTTAGGTCGCGAGTTACTAGAAGCCTTTGGACCGAGCTCGATCAAGACAACACGAGTTGACATGCATACAATGGCGATTTCTGCAGCGCACCGCCTACGTGGCAGATGTCAACTCCAATCTTTCTCGGATCCTCCTGCAGCTGCGAGTCAATAGCCCGCGAACCCCCACACTGATGACCACCGCTTGGACCAGATTACAATCTGGTGTTCACCCTGCGCGGCATCTAGAATGTGCCCTGTGTGCGTGTTGTTGTTTTTGGTGTTCCACACACTCGCTCCAACGACCTCGGGACCCTACCTAGGTAGACTCGCCCGAACCACAGAGGGGACTCCATGCGTCCATAGAAGAAGTCTGCGGTCTGACACAGGAGTATTTCATTTCTTAAGCCCTTCAAGGAGAAAGTTCTTGCACGGTCTGACAATGGACGCCTGGTTTTGGACGGCTTAATGGCACTTTCAGCATATCTGCTCTATGAAGTAAGCGGGATCCCTTGGTTTGGCATCTGGTGACACTGCACGGCCTAGAGGAGATCATGCTGTCCTCCGTAGAAGTTGGGCAGTTTGTCCTGCATGTCATATGTACATCTGACTCAATATGGAAACAATGGTCGTTGGATGTTGGTGGAAGCCCTCTCGTGGCACTTCCGACGGACTTTATTTGCGGGCAGTGGTCAAGCCCCAAGTGGTCGAACTCGCACTGATGTCAGACTTGAAGACCTAGGTACTTCAAGGTTTCCAGCTGGAGAAAATGCGGTTGAAATGACGGGTATTGGCGTATCCAAGAACCGACCCGTTGGGCCTCACTAGTCGACGCTAGGCACCCATCATCCGTCCGGGCAGCCAACCTGTTTGATTTTCCCCCCTTCCATCAACACTGCCTCATCAAGCCCACCAGCCCACAAGCCCACAAATCCAAGTTCCTAAGTCCGGGTGTTCGGTCGACGAAAAACCTACCTGTACTCGGTGCTCCGTACTATCATTCCTTCAATGCGACTGCGGCACGTCCTAGTCCTGTCCACGTTGCTTTTGGCCCCAGAAGATCGTCAGGCGCCAACAATTGTCCCTGCACAACCATGGATCCCCCCAGGGCCACGTACGTCGGGCGCAGCAAAGAGGTTCTGAGGCGAAATGAAGACGGGAGCCAGCAATGGCAGAGACACCTTGATCCAACCAACAGGCGGTCGATGTGCATGCCTTGTGCCAGGCTGCTGACTCTGTCACTTAGAGAGAGCCCACTCATTCCGGGCGTGAATACCGGGAAGGACTACGACCATTCGTCCCATATTCACCTATGTGTCTGACGCTGATTATTGATCTATACCTGTCTCTGCTCACCCTGAACCTTGCTAGCTCTCCCCCTCTCCGCAACACCGGCAAGCAAAATCGACCTGTACCTGTTTCAGAAAAGCATAAGAGGTGGTGCCGCCAGGCCGATAACCGGATCGAAGGTGGATCGAATTGACGTCGTGCCCCCTCGCTTGTCGGGTAGCTCGGACGCCCTAACTGGCCAGGAGATAAGACCAGAGCAGTGATGGGCATTGGGCAGACGCACCCCGGATTTAGCCACGCCTCCATCACATCATTCGTCTTGAACGCCCAGAAGCCTCGGCCGGACAGGGTGCCTTGTCCTAGACTCCTAGCTGTCCTCTGACGTGGGGGGATTGCCCAGCCCCGAGAGACTAGGATACCCATTGGCCCCTCAATGGCAGTTTGGGCTCAATTGGCTGAGCACCACCGCCGCCCACCAACTGGCACCAAGAGCCCTCTGGTTTTCAGCTGCGAAGCTTCGACGGCTTCCTCCATTTTCCTTCTGGACCTCGCATCCGCGCTCCGGCCGTTTCGACTTGCACCTTGATGGAAGTGGGCGTTCCGCGTACAGCTCAAATGCGACACGGTCCGCATTTATCCCCTCAAGTTTTGCGGCGTGACGAGAGGCTGGAACACTCTTCCATCTACCAACAGCGCTTGTTGATTAGTGAAAGCCTGTCTTCGCTGTCACACCGCCCCGAAGTGCATCTTCCACTCTTTGCGCGTCCTGCACGGATTAGCTTTCAATTCGTCAACCCTTTCGCAAACCGTATCACTGGGCTTGCAACAATAACAATCCGTCACGAGACCAGCTAGTTTGATTATTCCAAGGAATTTCGTCCCTTTTCGGACGAATCAGACAACCGGGCGATGGCAAAATTATCCTCTGACTGCATTGCCTACATCATTTTGGGGACGGGATTCGCCATTGTGCGCTGGCAAGCTCTCCTATTTCTGCCTTGTCGGTGCATTCCCCCACTCATAAGCGCCGTGGGATGTATACGGAGTCCTCGGTTCTAATTCGCGCTGGGTTACAGAGAGTAAACATCCCTAGCATTCCGCGTATCAACGTTGTGGAGAAGTCCAGGCTTGCTTCGGAAATGACTATTGTGCAGTCAACGCACTCGTGACCTTCATATGCGACCATCAATTCCTGCTTTAGAGATTATTGACACGTCACAGTCAGCGGCAGCGGGTTTGATTGAAACACTCTGGCTAGGGGCAAATTTCCGGCCAGGCGAAAGGCGATTCCCGGAGTCAAGAATCGCCAAGCGGAAAAGTGCTACGCGCTGGTGATAGACTGGTCCTATGATGACAATCAGGATACATTCGTACAAGGTACGTGCTTGCAGTTGAGTCGAAGTTACAGTACTCTCCACCTTGCCTGTGTTGCTTCTCTCCCTGTCTGCCTTTCTTGAACAGAACTCCGGATTATCCGACCTTGTGGGGCTGATGATTCTATGTTAATATGATGATGCCACTGGAAGACCTGCTTTTTCTGGTTTCCCTGGGGTCGTACCAATAGGTTTGGCCGTGACGACGTTCAAGCTGATGTTTTGCGCCATCTTTGCCTTCTCTTTTCTGCCTCTTGGGTCCAGCTGCAGGCTTATTTGATTCGCAGACTTAGGCATTGCCGGCCCTTGCGTCCACCAAACTTGGAAACACGAATTATCAGCTCATGTCCACCACAACCTAAACCCACAGTTGAGACGTTGGCTCAATCATCGGTCCCCATTTCATCCTTTGATAACTCTCCCGAAGTACGACAGAAACCCCGGCAATTCCAGGGACAATCCTTTGTCTTCAGACAACACTTCCAGGGATCGATGTGGATATCTCCATGCCACGATGAACAACAGGGTCTGTTCGCGCCTTCCAGGGATGATCGGGGTCTCCAAACTTGGCCCCAACCCTGAAACACCAAAAATTTGTTCGACTGCGGAGAAACTCAGCCCCGGTACCGAACTTGCTCTATCTCTTGCAATCTAAAGTCCAAGATAAGGTTATCCTCCGACAGCGATCGCTCTTGCGAAAAAGGGGTTGTCGCTCCTTTTGAGCATTCCCTGCAGGACGAGATCAATTTCAAACCCCCACATCAAGGACGAGTGCAGCCTTCCTTGCCGGGGATGTATCTCCTGCAAGCAATACAGGGTTCATCAGGGTCCGATGAGTATCACTGCGCATGATGGTGGAATGAGCAGCATGGCCAGGAAGCGCAGCCTGAAGCCGCTGAGACCTAGATTAGCGCGAATCCGGTACTGCAACTGCTTGCGACGCCAATGAGCCACGATGCACACAAGTCGCGTCAAACTTCCTGTCAAGACGTGACGTGGCCTTCAAGTCAGTTACCAAAATTTGATTCCGTACTTACCAGTACGGCAGAAACAGGTATCGAGCTCGTACCCTGGCCGTCTAGAAAGCTTCGCCACGACTCGCAAGGACTACTCGAACCGTCTTGATTGCTGGAGATGGGAGATCTCCACCGCAATCTTTCGGTCGCCGTTCGTTACTCGGAACTATTATTATTGTGCACCGAGACTGATTGTCCGTCCGAAACCCATCATTCTCGAGTGTTTACCGGTATGAATGTCTCCCAGCAACCTGATCATCAAAGAGACAAGGGAAACACTTTTCTTGTTCTGGTTGTACCCTGTCTTCCTTTGTTGAGAACAGTGAGCTGGGCTTGCGCACGCTGTGAAGGGACCATCCAATGGACATCCAGTCCAATGCTTATCCGCATCGCCACAGGTACAACTATGATATTTGATTGCGCAGTCCGAGAGGTCCGCTACCCTCCGATTCGCCTAGCTGCTCATGCATCCGTCCACAATCTCATCCGGGAATACACGCAAACAGACTTGCTTGACGCGCGTGCGAAGCCAAAATGCTACCGAACGACTTACTTTTTTGAATTTTCTTTCTTATGTTTTCTTTCTTTTCCGCTAAAATCCAAAGTCGGCGAGGCGTGACTGCGTTCGGATGTACCTTCATACTTCCGAAGTGGATGGCTGTGTACCTAGGCAGGTATAATTCGCGGGGAAGTTGGACGGTTGACCAACCAAAGCCCGTGGTTATCTGTCGAGCATTGAAGATGACCCGGAAGTTTGAATTGATTAATTGATTGAATGACTGATTGAGTGACAGGGTCTGCTCTTGGCTCAACAAAAGCGACAAACAGACTCCATCTGACAGTCGGTCAACCCAATGACTAGGTATCCCGTCGTTGGTATGTTGTGCTATTGAGTACGTACGTGTCAAAAACTCCTATGTCCTTTTCCGCTCCCGATGTCGCAGATCCACACGTCCAAAGTCTACGCGCCGACTGCCCTCAGGGCCGAAAGCAGCTGCTCCATCCCCCTTGGACCTTATTCGAATCAATGGCCAGACTCAAGGCCAAACGTCAAAAGCCAAAAGCCAAAGGCCAAGCCAAAACAAAAACAAACAGTAGGAGCAAACCGGAGAGTGAACGGGTGGCCGAGGCAAAGAACAAGGCAAGGCAAGGTAAGGGAAGGCAAAACAAGTCAGGATGAGAGAGAGAACAGAGGAGAGGAGAGAACAGGAAGCCACTCGAGCACTGTCCAGCCCGAAGCACAGCACCGGATGAGGTAGCGACAAGTCATACCCAGTATTATGAGTATTGTAAGCCCCCAATTCTCCTTCCAATTCCCATTCCTGTTTTAATTCCGTTCATGTTCGTCTTACATCTGCGCGCCGCATTGCATCTCATCCAAGTCCAAAGCAAGACAGGTAAAGTCAAGACGCGTGCTGCCCGCCGGGGTCAGCGCGAGGAAAACCACCTGTAGTCACGATCTAAGTAAGAGATAGTGAATGTAGGAGGAGGACAAGGCGAAAAGGGGAGGGGGAAAGTTGAGAATACTACTTGAAGGCTATATATACTGGGTATACATGGCTACACGTCCATGTCCCGTGTCCACGTCCACGTCCATGAAAATGCATACCTAGGTAGGTGACAAGGGTCCCAGGACCGGGCACATTCTCATCCATAAAACACGGTGAATCGAATCCTCTCTCTTGCACATGATCACACATTCGATTGACTGGGCCTCGGGCTATGCGAACACGTATCCGAGTAGAGCGACGCTTCATATCTCTTCTGACTGCGGCGTCACTTCTATTCCAACCTGCAAACACACATGGTCCTTATCATACGCCTTGCTGAAAACTCAATGCCCATGTTGTACAACACACCAGTGCCGGACACATTGTTCGGTTGCGACAAGCTCTCCACTACCTCTAGTAGGCAAACCGTCACTCTGACTTCGACATCGTATGCACGACTGGGCAACTTCTGCCATAATTACAACATCCTTGTGGTAGTGGCTACCGCATCGCGGTAGTCCACTACCCGTCCGCAATGCGCCTCCTCTTTCTTGCCGTTCCCGTTCCCGATGCTGCCGGTGTACTCGGTGTTGCTCCTTCATCCTCTTTCTCAACACTCGACGAGTGTCTGAGGCTTGGGTTGGCGCTGATAACGACGCTCACATTCGAACTTGCATTGCCACTGGAACTCCCCTGTACCGGGACTTGGAGCGCTGACTTCAGGTTGCTCGGAGCCGAGTTCGCGACCGTGTGCTCTGACTCTGGGTTCAAGCCAGCGCCCACGTTTCCCAGTCTTTCATGCTCAAGCTCTTTCCACTTCCTAAGCTTGCTCATAACGTCCTCGAACATCTCTCGCGTGTCAGAAATGATGCCGACCTCCTCGCCAGAACTGCCGCCATCCGATCCCTCACTCTCTACCGCTCCTGCATCATTATCTCCATCCGCGTCTTTGAATGGAGGAGCAACATCCCCACCCCGTCTCCTTAGACGTAGAGAGCGGCCGAATCCACGTTCTGAGCTCGGTAGAGGGTTGAACATGACTGCGTTTGCGAACATCCGGACAAGCTCCAACTCCAGCTGCGCCGAGTTCACTATTCCTTTGGGAGGGACAAGGTCTTCTGTTGCTCTGACAATATAAACACCGTTTCCCAGCGCCCTTTCGCCCCCAGTCGAATTCCCATCCAATGCAGTGGTGGTTGCAGTTGTCGAGAGCGCTGTCGCATTGGGCGTAGAAAACTGCTCACCTTCACCATGATTTCCGGCTGCGGTTTTACTTTCGGCTCTCTCTTCGAGTGCCTCAATCGCGGCCAAAGCCGCTCTCCCTCCTTTCGTAATCGCCGCCTTGATGCTCTTCAGATCCTGAGGTTTCGATACAAGATCTTTATATCCCGGCGCATCGCGCTCGGAAAGCGGTTTGGCGAAGATGCTCGCGAGTTTGTGGGAGACGAGGTCATTGAGCAAGAGCTGAGCCGTTTTTGCGAAACGTCTCGATACACACACGAGTGAGGGATCGTGCGAAAGAGAAGTCGAGAATTGGCGACCCACAGAGTGTTCGGGGTGCAAACGTGTTATTGCGGTAGTTACTGGTGATGGTAACTGCGTTGGAAGTGAGGCCGGAGGAGTGGCAGAGTCACGATTAACTGATCGCTTGCGTTTATTCATACCGGTAGTTGGTGGGATCAGATCAGTTTTAGAGGTCGCGGTACTAGTTCGAGGTCTTCCACGCCGATTGCCGGTTCGTTGGGTTGGCTGCTCTGTATCCGACGGTATTGGCACGGGAGTACTGGGTGGTTCAGCCTTGATCTTTTGAGCCTGTCCACCCTTCTTACGCCTGTCCGTGGGTGTATCCGACGTGAAGGAAGCAAGCGACTGCGACCGGGATCCAGCAAAGGCGCCGGGGGTTGCACTTGTTGCTTGTCGGCCTCTAGCCGCCTGTGCAACTTCTCGCGTGGAGGGACCACTTTCGTCGACTTTTTGGTCGGCCTTGCCAGGGGATTTCGACACCGTTCCTGCCCGGGTCGGCGATTCCGTATCCGTGAGAGGACTAACCTCGCGCTCTGGTCGTGTCGGGCTAGGTGGCCGTGCACCCATGGGAATTTGAGCACGCTTTTTCCATGGTGTTGATGATCTTCCTCTCTGTGATTCCTGCCGCGAGTCACTTCTAGGTATCGGTGTCATATTCGCAGAACCAGGATAGCCATAGTATGGCTGGCCAGGCTGTGGTGATGGCCATATTTGAGGATGTGGAGGCTGGCCCTGGTAATGAATCGGTGCACTTTGAGGATACGGGGCATAACCTGGATGATGTGGAGTTTGATATGGTATTGCATGCCGCCCAGTAGGTGATTGCATGTAATATGGCGAGTTGGGGTATGGCGGAGGCTGGGGGTATTGAGGAGGCATATGGTGAGGCCAGGGAGGTTGCTGAGGATACCCAGCATATCCTGGATACGGCTGCTGAGGTTGCATTGGGATAGGCGAGCCTCTTCCCTGACCAGATGCTGAACTTCCGCGCTTTTGAGCAGGAAATTCTGCAGGTGGGGGCATGTGAGGCGATCCCGCGTATTGTGGCAGTACCGGCACAGGTTGGCCCTGAGGGCCAGGCTGGAAATGTTGAGGGTTGATAGGGCCATAGTTTGGTCGTTGAGGAGAAGGAACCGGCAGGGTACGATGAAACGCTCCTGGCGATCGATGTGGAGGATGTGCTGGGGCTGGTTGTGCCGGTCTTATCGAAGCAGGTTCTGTTGATACTTTTGGAGCAATGGTGGGAGCAGGAGAACGAGCAGGAGTGACAGGTTGGTGTAGGCTGCTACGAACCGATGTAGGCGATGCCTCTGTATCTAATGCTGGAGCCGCTGCGACGCCCGAGCTGATCTGCTCGCTTTGACTCGCCTCGAGGCTAGCAGGCAGCGCTGCGGTCGTGGCATCAGTGCTGCTTTGGACTGCTGGCGGTTTGGGGATTTCCTCTGCGATCGTTTTAGGCGGTTCAACTCGTGGAGTTTTCTCTTGATCAGCATCGACGTGCTGCTTCTTATTGTTCTCTTCAGCCTTCTCCAGTTCTGCAATTTCGGCCTGCAGTCTGATGTAGTCCTCTTCCTCCTGTCGAATCTCTTTTATGGCCTGTTCCCTGAAGCGAGCATAGAGCTTGTCCACCAGTGCTTGCAATATCCTCTGTTCCTCTCCATCGCTTTCGGCTGCAGCTGGAGGAGCGGGCGAGGTGGACAACTTCCGCTTTCGCGGATTTGTGCCATTTAGACCGTTGTCGCCATTCACCATGGGAGGTGTCTGAGCATTCCTCTCTTCGACCAGGAGCTCATGGTATAGTCCTTGCAGCGCTGCGGCGGTCAAACGGGTGTGGTCATAAGTTTCGCTTTCTCGAATCAGCTGGTTGGCATTCAAGGCGGTCGCGATGCCTTCAAAAGCCGCGGTATCAGAACCATGATGGACGACAGACTGGCAGAATGCAAGTGTCTCATAAGGCGTGTAGGCTTTTAGTGAAGGCATCCCATCGTCGCGGTGGTTGAAGGAACAAGTCGCTCTGGCTGCAGATGCGACCGAGCCCAAGCGTGCCTCTTTAGGAAAGTCAAACCACCAACCCTACGGGGGACAAAGGCGCAGAAACGCGTCTAGGGACGACCTGGGAGGTGCAAGGCACAAGGAGAGTGGTGGTGGAGATGGAATGAAGGAAAATGCGGTGACACGAAATGAAACTGCTCAGTGCTTTGACGGTGAAATTTGCAAAATTGTTTGATGCGACAGACACGCTACACACTGTTTGGTGCAGGAAAAGTGCAAGGTGTAGAGGCACCCAACTGGTGCTAGCCTCTAGGTGAGCCTAGCCGAACGTTCTTGGTCTTTTCCGTGCCCCCAGCACCCACCAAGCACCAACAAAGGCTCCCAGAGTCCCAGCGGTTTCAGGGCGCAGGCGGCCAATTACTAGGGCTGGACGCCAGAGATCGGCATGCCCCAATCATCTTGAGGGGAGCCGAACTCTTCTAGTCGCTGCGCCCTAAACTCTCCCAGTGATGGGCACCGGTGGCCAGTTCCTCAGGGACCATCTCGACCGGTGAACCCCTTTTGCTAGGATGCTGGGCGCGACAAGCTCCTCAAAGGAGAATGCGGTCTGCCTCATCTGCCTCAGAGGGCGGAGAGGCAATCACGACCTCTACCTCGTAATTACATCCTCATCCTCCATCGCACCTGGGCAGACGGCATGAACCAGTCTGCCTGAGGCTGAGCCCGATTCTTGCTTCGCCAGACTTCGTCCACTTGACCTCGATCAAGTGACGCATTCGTTGATTTCAATCTGCTGCCTGTACGACTCATTCGCAACTGCAATATATCAATATCTCGACATCTCGGTCCCTTTCCTTGGTCCTTCGTTGTTCTCCTGTCCACCTTTTCACACAATACAATACACAACTCAACGATACCATGAGCGCATCCGACGAAGTCCATCCCGACGCGGGCTGGCAACCCAGTGGGCGCCCTCAATCGTAAGTATATACCTGCACCAAGCCGTCAATCCAACATTTCCCTCCACATGATCCCAAGATGCTAACTAGACACTCCTGCTTAGAACAATCGCCCTCGACTTCTCCGCCGCCCTGGACGATCTTTTCAAGCTCAATGGCATTGGCGCATTGGAGGAATCTGTGGTTCAGAAGTACGCCGTACCCCGGCCCTGCTCTTCCCCCACTTACCAATTGAACATCACTAACACCAACGCCTTGAATGCAGACAAGACACAGTCCTCTCTCAAAGATACGAACTCGAGACGCTAGAGACAAAACTGCGCGAAGCAGATGAAAAGCTGAAACGACTTGAAGCAAAGCACAGACGGCAGCAAAGCCAAATGATCACCAAACGGAAACCTGTGTCCGCCGCAGACAATGAAACGGAGGAAGACAGCTCCGGCGACAGTGACGCCAACAACAGACATGCTCTTCGCCAGTGAGAGCAAATGGGACTGGGCAAGGTACCTAGGTGTCGCAAGAACATGGTTGCTGGTTCCTGATGGTTACTTATGCTTTTTCCTGGCGTTGCCAAATCAACGATGGATGGGTTCGTACCTTGTTTGGCTTTGGGATTGCAAACATACCCCTTTTGTGTTATGATGCATTGGGTAGACGCCGGGCTGTTTTGGCGTTTTGGGTACCAGAAGATTTCTCTCGGTCTAGAGAAATCAAAGAAGCTGCTTTCCTTGGCCGCATTTGTAGAGAGTACTCTATTGCTCTAATCCTAATGGTACAGCGTTGAGATTCGCTTCTCATGTTTTGCTCTTTGGTGACAAGGTCTTGGTGATGCGTGACATGCGTGCCGATTTCAGATACGACGAACGACGTGGTCGGCCTTGCTTCCTAGGACGCTTGCTCGGAAGCATCTCAATTCCATTCCGAGCACGTTCCCATGAGGATAAAGGCAAAATACAAGAAGAAAAAGTCGGCAGGAAGCACAGATGTCGGCGACATTATACTAGGTAGTAAGAAATCTGATTCGGCCACCAAAGCGAACCCGAACCCGATACCGACCCAGGTCTCCAGCTCAGCCGTCCTACTCGTAGGTGCGCAGATGCTAGGGGTTGGATTAATCAGATATACGCGTCAATCCCGACCTATTCCGGTTAAGGTCGATATTTCTTATGCAGGCACGGCAGGTGTGTTGAGCTATCAAAGGGAGATGTTACTCGGCCGATCGTCACCTGGTTGACACTGGCCTTGAGAGAGACAAAGCGTCAGAGATCACCTGAGAAGTGCACGCAAAGAGAGGGGAAACAGCTTTGCTGCACTTGTGATAAGAAGGAGTCTGGACCTGAGCTGGAAGCCCTTCTTTTTTTTTCTCGTCTTCGCCAGAAGTCATAAATTTAGAGTTGGTAAGGCCTGCGGTGAGGTTCTCCAGTATTCCACAAGGTTGTGTATATAAGAGATACAGATTGTCAGCCTCATCACCCAATTTTCCTGGTTGATCGATTTTCAGGGAGAAACGTATACAAAATGACGGCGACAATGAAAGCTGCGGTGATTTACCAGCCCGGTGGGCCCGAGGTTCTCAAGATCGAAGACCTTCCGATTCCCACGCCCCAGGAGGACGAGGTCCTCATCCACATCAAAGCCTTTGGCCTCAATCGCTCCGAGCTCTTCACTCGCCAGGGCCACAGTCCCGGTGTCAAATTCCCCCGTGTGTTGGGCATCGAGGCCGCTGGTGTTGTCGAAAAGTGCCCCAGCGGCAAATTCAAGGTCGGTCAAAAGGTGGCCACTGCCATGGGAGGCATGGGTCGCGACTTCAACGGCGGCTACGCCGAATATACCTGCGTCAAGGTGGACAACACGCAGGCGCTGGACACAGACCTGGATTGGACCATCGTGGGTGGTGTGCCGGAGATGCTGCAGACGAGTTACGGCTGTCTGTTCAAAGCACTCAAATTGAGTCGTGAGGATCGTTTGCTCATTCGAGGGGGGACCACCTCTGTCGGGTTGGCGGCGGCGGCCATTGCGAAGAACCACGGTTGCTTTGTTGCGGGTACGACAAGGAATGCTGGCAAAGCCACGGCCGAATTGATGCACAAGAGTGGAATTGAGCAGATCTTCGTCGATGATGGCCATGTCGCCGAGCAGGTCAAAGACAACAAATTCGATAAAGTCTTGGAGTTGGTGGGGACAACCACTCTACGAGATTCCTTGCGATGTGCTGTTGAGGGTGGCATCGTATGCATGGCGGGCATCGTTGGTAGGCACAGAATGCGTCCTCTTTTAGTCAGAGTCGAGCTGCTGATGATGTCCCAGGAAACAGCTGGACTATGGAAAACCTCTCCCCAATGGAGCTAATCCCCCATACTGTCTGTTTGACAGTTTATTCTGGCGGTCCGGACGAGTTCAAAGAGACTCCCCTGAATGACTTGCTCAAGCAGATCGAGGCAGGCACTTTGCCCATTCAGATTGGGAGAGTATTCAAGTTGGACCAGATTGTCGAGGCACACGATACCATGGAGAAGAACCTCGCGCGCGGCAAGATTGTCGTCTTGACAGAGTGAAGAATGTAAAGGAAGAACAGAGGACTGGTAGTCCTTCTAATTCCTTCGTCCAAGCGCATTGGACAACGACGCTCGCAGTGGGGAATGACATAAGCATATTGCGATCCAGAAATGGAAGGAATGAATTGCTCTTTTCGACATCTGCGTCGGCTATTTGAGTAATCAAGCTGAACATTTGCCGTGGCGGTAAGAATCGAGGTGGCAGGCATCCGATGAGCCTTGCCGCGGCGGTATAGATCCGCTACTTCAGACTCTGGTCAGTGCAGCCTTGCGGCGGATCTTCTCTCGTTTCTTTGCGCCGCTCATCGGCTTACGAGGACGCGCAGCTCTCTTCGTCTGCGGTTTTCCTGTATTCCACATTTGCCACACATCGAGGCATGTTCTTTGCCCGATGAATCTGCCATTTGGAGTGAAGACCTCGGCTTCAGGGAAGCTTGAAGATGGCTCCGAGCCTTCACCGTTCTGAACTGACATGAAAGGAGTAAAGGTGCTTGTGCCAATCGACAGACCTTGAGCTGTGGGCACCCCCGATCCAGTGGCGTCTGATCCGAAAGAGTCTTCGGCGGGCGACTCGGGCTGACGTACGCGTTTGCTTTTCCTGATCTGACAGACCAGTTCCACCCATCCGACGCCTTCAATGAGAATATCTGTCGCGTAGACGTGGAATGGCAATTTCTCCATGTCGACACCGGCCCTGATCATAGAACCAGCCCTAGACTTTGTGACATCGGTCCGTAATTTGAATCGACCGGCTGAAGACATGGAAACTCCTGCCCCTTCCGCAAGAATCGACTCCACGCCGCTTTCGCGCTCTTGCTTTTGGGTGCCCGATGCCTTCTCCGTAGACGTGACATGAGCTTTGAGCGGGACAAAGGGATACGCCAGCATGGTGGTACTCGGGTCGGACTCATCGAGGAGCGGTGTAATACGGACCAGTCCGCCTCCCAAGAGTAGAGACTGACCAGGCTTGATAACGTGCTGAGCGACCGTCGGACGGTGTGTCATGACGAGGTCAGCCTTCTCCTCGGATTTGACGTATTGTTCAAGACCTCCGCGCTCTAGGCCTGGCATATCAATCAACTCTCCCTTATGCTTGCCAAAGGGAAGTCGGATTGGGGATGCCGTTGTCCCTGGCAGACTTGACACCAAAGGCATGGCCGGGAAAGGAACTTCGGGCTGAGGAGGAGGCAACAGATTTTTCTCCGAGAAGAACGTGGTCTCGGTAGACTTATGCGTAGACTCGACCTCCTGCTGCCGTTGAATTTCTGCGGATACGGGCGCTCTACCGAACGAGCCTTTAGGGAAAAGGACCTCAAAGAGATTTGACTTTCCCACGTTGAACTTTCCAACGAGCCAATTACCGCCACCCCTGTGCCAAATGCTTTCCTTGATGTCCTTCGTCCACCATCCTCGCTTCGATGAGACCAGATGCACGTTACCCAGCCTGAGCTTTTGTCCCATGCGACCCAAGGCAGTCCTCAGGATGGCGATGAATTTGGGCATCATGCTGTCTACCATCTCCTTGGTTGGAGCGAGCAGATCGGACCTGGTGATGATAAAGGATACAGAGGGCCGGGATGAAAACGAATGCTGCGACCTACGATTCTGAGTTCGAGGTTTGGCCAAAGACAGATTCTTGTAGACTGCAGGAATGAGGGACATGGGGAAATCTGCAGCATCAAGGACGTGGTAGACATGATTCCTGGCGAAAGGAGATTCCGCGATCGAGTCTGCAACTGCTTCAACGGATGGATGCGCAATAGGAGCACCACGAGAGTCATGGATCAAATAATGACATCTATCGCAGATAGGAGGTGTGATGTGAAGTTCAGGCTGGACTATACCGTGCTCGTTCTGTTGACTTTCATCCTCTTGTGAGCTAAGTGAAGCTTGGACCGGTGCCTCGTCTGTATCAATGTGTCCTTCATCGTGCAGCCGATTCGAGCCCTCGATGTTTCTAAGGTATTTAACCACCGCTTTCCTTGACAGTGTATAGAAACCCGCCTGTCCAGGCTCGACATCTTGCGTGAGCGCGCCACAACCAGGACAGGATACGGGAAGGCGAATGGGACTGAGATATCCCTGCTCCGCCCGAGGGTTCGGAGTTATTGAGGGCTGGCTCAGAGCCTTTAGAGGAACGTTTGTCGGCAGCACATGACGAGAAAGAGGCTCCGGGCCAGGTCGCTCGAAGTCAGCCGTGGCATTGGATAGAGGAGGGTGGCTGGAGGAGAGGAACCGTCCGAGTTTGACGCGACTGCAGAAGTTGTGGGCGCGGGATTGGACGTTTGGGAAACATGATGGACGCCAACACCGCGGGATCAATTCCATGTAGAAGGGAATCAGCTCATGTCCGCTGACAGCTTCGGGATGTGGTATGGATAGAGTCAATGTTGGTGCAGAATGCCATCGGAAATTCCTCGTGGTGTTGCACGTGTCTGCTAACTTTTCTTTTTTCGCGCAGGGCGGCGGGCATCCACTGCCACTGCTCGGCGCAGGTTCCTACTAGTTCACATAAGTATATGTAATCACGACATGACTTTATCTAATGGCTGCCACCCCGTCATCATGCCACTACACAAGCACAGCCTCACGAGATCTCTGTCATATACTGTCATCTCCTGTAATCAGAACCTTGAAGCCAAGCTGAAGATATTCCGCATCGTCGACGAGCAATCTCACCACCTCAAGCACAACGGCACGCCTGGTCAAGGAACTGAATCCTACAACGACAGGGCGGCGGCACAACGTTCAATACCCGGTACCTACTTGTGTCCATGTCTACAAGCATACCCAGATAAGCAGAAGGAATATGGAATATGCAGCAGATGATGAGAGACGCGGCCAATCAAGAACCATGGGGAACAAAGGGCAACCAAGTGGCTGTCTGACCCAGAGCGCTAAGTATACTACGAGAACGAGGGGACTATCTAGGTATCTAGCTCGCTAGGTAGGTATCCAACTCAGGGTTGGGTTCAACCCATTCTATCCGTGTAAGAATAACGCATGGTAAGTATTTGACATCCCGCACTTCGCCCCTGCAGATTTACTGGAATGAGCATCCACCTTTTTCCACTTTTCATCGGCTATGGGGCACTAAGTTCTTGGTCCTCAAGGCCGAGTTTCTCGAGTACCATTGCAGTCCTGGTCAGCTTCCAAAAAAGAAATCGCCGGCGATATTTTGTTCGCTGGCCCAGCCTTTCGAACATGACTCAGCTCGATGTTCCATTACCTGCCTATCATATCGACTCAAACTTGAATGCATGTCAGGTGCTAACCTCTTGAGGCAATTGCGAACTTCTTGCTGGGCTATCCCGCGTCTACCGTCTTCCTTACCCGAGGAGGCTGAGAGCAGACGGTGTGGAAAGGGTTGAGCCTTTGGCCAGAATGGTGATGGAGCATTCGAGATGGCAAGCAGGGGTGAGGCGTTCATGCTCTTGGCTTAACAAGCCGGGGATCTGTCAGACCTAACCAATATTGCCCCTGTCCGACCTACCTCCGCAGCGTATACGAGCATGGTACGGTGAGGTGGCAGCCGCTTCGTCCAAGGAATCTTGCTCTGAGGAGGTTGTAGGGCGTCTCTTTGCCCAGGAAATGTCCCAGTAAGCTGAAATGGGTCAATCTCTTGGGGTCTGTTTCGCCATGTCGGGTTCGGCTATATAAAGTCGTGGATGGCGGCTGGCGGAGGCATTCGTGCTCTAAAGAAAAGGCACACCTACGAAATATAGCTATCCCTTCCATACCGACCACCACATCCCCCGAAATCATCACATATATCTCCTCAACCAAGATGGGCTCTTCGATGCCAGAGAGATTTGACTTCGTCGTTGTCGGCGCCGGCGCCGCAGGAGCCATCCTCGCAGCCCGCCTGGCAAACAGCAAGCAACGTCCTTCGGTCCTTCTCGTGGAGGCTGGGGGCAAGAATGACTCGAAGGATGTCCGTGCCGACGCGGACAGATGGCTTCATCGGATGATCCCATCGCAGAATTGGGGTTACAAGACTGCGCCCATTAAAGGCTTCGATGGGAACATGATTGACTACGATCGTGGTAAAGGTCTTGGAGGGAGTACCGCCATCAATTTCTCCGTCTGGACCATTGGTCCGAAGGATGACCATGATGAGATCGCACGCCTGGTGGATGATGAAGAATGGAGCTGGAACAACGCCCAGAAGAGATACAAACGGATCGAATCTTATTCCGCAACTGGACCGAATGTACCAGGTGATGCCAAGCGGTACCTTGACCCTGATCCGAAAGATCATGGGTACGATGGGCCAATCAAGGTCGGCTTTCCTCAGGTCTGGGAGCCTTCTTGCACAGCACTGATGGACATCTGGTATGCCAATGGCGCAGAGCCCAATCCAGACCACAATTCCGGAAATCCAATCGGCCTTGCCGCATGCGTCGCAACGGCATACAAAGGAATCAGATCGACATCCGCAGATGCATTGGTGGGATCACCCGGTAACTTACACGTCCTGGTCGATACCGAAGTGGCTCAAGTGACTTTCGATGGCACCAAGGCGACCGGTATCAAAACCATCGACGGGCGGATAATCCAAGCCAACAAAGAAGTCATCTTGGCGGCTGGCGCCCTTGACACTCCGAGGATCCTTATGCATTCCGGCATAGGCCCCGTTGACGAACTTAGAAGCTTCAACATTCCCATCGTCAAAGGCAACGAAAACGTCGGAAGGCATCTGAAGGATCACCACCATATCATGCTCCCGGCTCTCCGAGCAGACCACACGAGTGAAAGAACCCGATTCTACAAGAACAAGGAGCTTCAAACCGCAGCTCGAGCTGCGTGGGGAAAAGATGGTAGCGGCCCATTGGCGGAGTACGCCTGCACTCTGGGTGTCGGGTATTTCAAGTTGGACACATTGTATGACACCCCAGAATTCCAAGCCCTGCCAAAAGAAGATCAAGATCAGTTGCGGAAGCCGACAGTTCCTCACTACGAGTTTCTCCTTAATGGGCCATGGCTTCCCAATTTCCTCGACCCAGAGAACGCGCAGGCCGGAACCTGCGTGTTTTTGTTTATCCTCAATCAGAAATCGACCGGAGCTGTGAGACTACAGTCATCTGATCCCAAGCAGCCACTTATCTTCGACCCCAACTTCTTTTCCCACCCTTTTGACAAAAGAGTGGCAGTGGAGGCTACACGAGATGTCCTCAGGGTCATGAAGAGCCCCGAGTTCCAGAAAGATACTCTGGCTATTGATGGCCCCAAGAGTGAGTCGGATGATGATATCCTCGCCTTCTGGCGAGCGGGCAGCGCTTCGACTTGGCACATGATGGGGACTGCTAGGATGGGTAAGGACGAAGACAACGCCGTTGTGGACAAAAACTTCAAAGTGTTTGGGGTGGAGAATCTGAGAGTGGCTGATATGAGTGTCGTCCCCATCGTCTGCAAGTAAGTCATGCTACCCTATGGACTACATGTCTGAGACATATGCTAACAAGGCTCTGCAGCAACCACACCCAGTCGACGGCGTACCTTGCTGGGCTGACTGCAGCCGACAAGCTAGCTCAAGAATACGGACTTGACGACTAATCGGCCCTGAGCCAACACAGCTATGGGAAGAGTATCTGTGCTGCTTTTTGAAGGCTTAGCGAACGGGATTAGCTAGTGGAATTGGCACTGGTATTTTAGCAGCAAGCGATGAATGTTACGAGAGTGACGGGGGAGGTCCTGATGGACTTGAGACAAGACCCGTACTCGTATGACATGACACAGGCCAACGACTCTGTAATGCCTCCGCGCATCCATACCTGGCGACCTGTCACCTAGCTATGAAGGAAACCCAAGATGGGGAGACGCCTAGCGAGAGTTCAATAACACTTGTACGGGAGAAATGACACCGAAAATAGAATGCTCAAAGGCCCATCCCCAGAGCCTAAGCAGTAGTAGTGAAAAGAGGGTTCGCTTGCAAGGCTCCGTAATTCCCCCCCTGCACAATATCTGTGCTCAATAGGTATCTGCAGGTGTGCTCGGAGGTGATGTAAACGTCCCCCCCACCGGAGCCCTCAGGCTCTCCTCCCAGTGGACAGCGCCTACATCACGCCCCCAATCAAGCAATTTAGCCCCTGACTCTCGCGCGCCGATGTCCCGAAGCTTCAGAGTCTCCCAGGCTCACTAGGCTACAGGGGCCCCTGTCAGGTCCCAGCATCACCAGGGTCCCTTACTGCCGCTGTTGACTCCCTCGACCGTGTTTCTCAGTGGCCTTGGCAAATTCCCCCTCGCAAAACACCTGCAGTCTCGTCAATGCCACCATGAGAACCACTTTTCCTTCTAGACACTGCACCCACTTCGACTGCGGTCTGGTGGCGATGAGGTCTACTACACTCGTCTCGTTTCCCTCCGCCTCCGCCCAAAGCACCTCGTGAACGACGCTGATCGCGCCTGCCCTGCTCCCAGCAGTATTGTTAACGTCTGTGACGGGACAATATGCTGGGGCTCCTTCTCCCTCACTTCGACCATCAGTGCTGCGACACCATCCCAGGAGATTGATTGCTGGATTGCCTGGCAAATCCACCCGTGGGACTTGCTTTCTAAGCGAATGAACATCGTGACCAAGTCACACTATCCTATACACCAAAACACGCAAACAGCTTGTGCTGCCGCTTGAGTCCGCAGGTTCTGAGACATCGACCACGGGGTCCGTGAATCGGATTCACTAGCCCACTCTTTATGAATCCCTTGCTCGCCTCCCCCCATCACCGAGATCTGAGGCTCTGTCGCAATTCTGCATGACGACAATGGCGTCGCTGCCATCATCTGCGTCCCACGACCACCGTCCCAGCCGGTCTCGTCCTCGCAACGTCCAGCTTGTTCGGAGTACAAGCCACGATCAACCCAAGACCGCCGACCTCAATCGACCACTTCCCCCGCCTCCCGTCACCGCTACCGCCGAGACATTCGAGATCCCTACACTGCGTCGAAAACCCCTCCCCGATTCACCAGATTCTGGCACAGCAAAGCTCAACCACAGTCGCTCCTTCAGTCACCCGTTCCCGTCCATCTTCGGTTCCAAAAAGTCGGAGAAAAAGAGCAAGCATGGCATCGATTTGGATGGAACACGCGAGACTCGGCACGAAGAAGGAAACATGAAGCAGCTGCCAGCTGATGCCTCTCTACCACGGGGTGACCGCCAGCCGGTCACGGGGAAGTGTATGACCTGCGATTCGACCGTCCGGTGGCCGCAAGGGCTTAAAGTATTCCGATGTACGACGTGCCTGACCATCAATGATCTTGAATACAACTCGGAGACCAAAGATGATGGCCAAGTATCGGCAGCTAGGCCCTCGTTACAGCGCAAAATCGTATCTCTATCGGTTGAGAGGACGAGAGCACTGCTTGATCGCTGTCTCAGGCAGTATCTCGAATCTCGTATTGAGCACGACGAACTTTCTACCCCTCCTCACCCAATTCCAATCGAGAATCACTCGCCAGCCGAAGACTCGTTTCTCTTGGACGGAACACCACCAGAAGGCGTTTTGTATGGACAGCTCAATGCCGAACAGGACTCCCCACCGCCATCGCCACGCCCAGGTATGAAACCACGAAGCCCTTCAGAGGTCTCTAATCTGTCTCCTCGTCACGCCATCCGCCATGGCGGGCCATCCATTGTTCAAGGTCACCCCGTTGATCCTTTCAACTCGTCCGCGTCGACCCACAACAGGGCCCAGGACGCTAGAGGACGACAAACTGCAGAGCTTGCACAGCCTTCAACCACGTTATCCGGCCCCAGATCGGACGTTTTTCGTCTGGTTGAAAACTACATTGCTGGCTGTTTTGTTGGATGTGCCACGTTAAATCAGTCTTTTCTTACCCCCCGGCCACCTCAAGAACCTAAACCTAGGTCTGCTTCAGGGACACAACAGAGACGACAGTTGTCCGAACCAGCTTCAACTCCGGTAATCGAGCCTGACGTCTTCTTATCTGAGCTTGATGCAAAAACCCTGCTACTTGGCGACGTTGCGGAGAACGGGTCATGGTGGTTAGGGGCTCCTAATGGGCGTGTGGGTACGTCGGGGAAAGATCCTCATCACCAGCGAGACAGGTCGCCAGAGAAGACTCGCAGTTCTGCAAGTGCGAGAAATCCTAGGATCAATTGGCTCGAACTTGCTGAATGGTACCGCCTAGTGATATACGCAGGCGATCTTTGGGAACAACGGTGGCACGAATTGAGGCCTAAATTGACAGATCGAAAGGCACAACAGTGTTGGTACTCCACCTCTTTAGAGAGTATTCAGCGAGACATCATCGAGTCTCGAATACACCTACAGCGGAGCTTGCTGAAGATTACGGAGAACCTCTTGAAACGGCCCAGGCAACCGTTGAAGCATCCCGATGATTGTCGGTTCTTGTTGATACTTCTAGCGAACCCGTTATTGACACCAGCGAGGCTTGAGACAGGCAAGATGTTTGGGGTTACAATACCTCACCCGCCCATCCCCGGGGGAAAACAGATTGATGACAGAGCTCGTGACTCGCCTTCAAAACGTGTTCCAAGCAGTGGTAGGCGACCAGGAAGTCTCGGCCACCACTCGGGTATAATCAAGCGGATACTAGGCCTGTTGGCCAATCTCTCGAACGAAATCCACCAGTATCTAGTTTCATGGTTTTCTAGGTACTCTGATGGCCACTTCCAAAGGACGGTGGAAATGGTGGGCAGCTTCGTGAGTTACCGACTCTCCCGACAACAGAAGACCCCGGCCCACGAACTCATCAATCCCACAGAGGGGCTCGTTCCTAGCTTCTCTGACTCTGGGATGCATCATGCTTCTCAAATCCACGCCGCGCTAGGAGGCAGACCTTCTTCCACTTCAGCAGGCAAGTCTGACGGAAAGCCCAAGCTGTCTTCGTACGGTGAAGACTGGCAAATCCGCGTGGCCGCACGAGTTATGGCTTTGCTGTTCCATGCGAATGTGGGCCACACCGCGCGAAAGAGGGATGCTTTTGCGGCGCACGAGCAGAGGTTGCAGAATCCAGGTCTCAATGCTAAGTACCACGCATACTCTCACGGCCAGATAATACCAATCAGCAACTTCTACAATACGATGCTGGACTATGCAGACCTTGTGGCCGACTTCGAAACATGGGAGACAACCAAGACAAAGTTTACCTTCTGCCAATATCCCTTTTTCCTTAGCATATATGCTAAAATCCATATCCTCGAGCACGATGCTAGAAGACAGATGGAGATCAAAGCAAGAGAAGCCTTTTTTGACAGCATCCTCAGCCGCAAAGCGGTCAGTCAGTATCTCATACTGAAAGTTCGGCGAGACTGCTTGGTCGAGGATAGTCTCCGTAGCGTTTCTGAGGTGGTCGGATCTGGCGGTAGTGATATCAAGAAAGGCCTGCGCATCGATTTTCAGGGCGAAGAAGGGGTTGATGCAGGCGGTCTTCGGAAGGAATGGTTCTTGTTGCTGGTGAGAGAGATATTTGATCCTCATCACGGACTGTTCGTTTACGATGACGATTCTCATTACTGCTATTTTAACCCATTTTGCTTCGAATCATCCGAGCAGTTCTTCTTGGTTGGGGTTCTGGTCGGACTGGCCATTTACAACTCGACAATTTTGGATGTGGCGTTCCCTCCATTTGTCTTCAAGAAGATGTTGGCTTCAGCGCCGTCGACCAGCGACAAGTTGTCATCAGTTCCCAAAGTCGGCCATGGGTTCACCCTCGAGGACTTGGCTGAGTTTCGGCCTGCTCTGGCGCGAGGCTTCAGGCAGCTGCTTGAGTTTGAGGGCGATGTGGAGGAGACGTTCTGTCGCGACTTTGTAGCTGAAATGGACCGCTATGGAGACGTTATCCAGGTTCCGCTGTGTCCTGGCGGTGAGAAACGAGCGGTGACCAACTCGAACCGTCGAGAATTTGTCGACCTCTACATCCATTATCTCCTCGACACAGCTGTGGCGAGGCAATATGAACCGTTTAAACGCGGCTTCTTCACTGTCTGTGGAGGCAATGCGCTGTCCCTGTTCCGACCCGAAGAGATCGAGCTTCTCGTGCGAGGCTCTGATGAACCACTTGACATCGCTAGCTTGCGCGCCGTCGCGACATACGAAGGCTGGCCCAAGCAGGAAGGACCGCCCGAACAGCAGCCCCAAGTTGTCTGGTTCTGGGAGTTTTTCGCACGCGTATCACCTATGGATCAGCGGAAGATCCTCAGCTTTATCACGGCTAGCGATCGGATTCCGGCCATGGGTGCCACCAACCTGGTGATCCGCATCCAGTTGATTCGTGCCAAGGAGGAAATGGACGAACTTGGAAGGCCAACGAATGACCCGGTGGAGAGATTCCCTATTGCGAGAACATGCTTTAATACCCTGAGTCTGTATCGATATGCATCGAGAGAGAAGTTGGAGGAGAAACTCTGGATGGCTGTGCAGGGGAGCGAAGGATTTGGGTTGAAATAGGTCTCTTGGTCATGCGCTGGGCTGATGCACGATATGGGCGAGGCAAGTGGCAGATGCCAAAGGACGAAATAGGGCTCGCTATGCTCTCTGTGTTGGATCATGTGTCACGCATTTCACTGGAGTCGTTTCGGAAGCGTCGGCGCTGGTAAGGGAAGTCTGAAACGCGAAGCTTCGTACCGGGCCCGTGGCATTCATTGGGAAACAAGGCGCAGCTTGGAAGTCGAGAACACCGCATGGGTTAATGAAGTCGGGAGGTTGGGGCTCGCTTCATTTTGCGGCGACTCGATGAGGAGCATTATGTCTGTCGCACTGCATTGGCTTTGCGCCTTGGTTGCATTGGGTCAAGAATGGAAGGCCATGAAAGATACCCCCAATCTGGCTCCGGTGTATAGGAAAAGTAGAACGATTCCTATTATGCACAAGTTATGAAAAAAGTATGGCAACCACTTTCTGTTTCCCGGTCTGCAAACGAGCAACTAGAAATCGCCCAGTCATATCTACTACCTCAGTATCTATCCTACCACGGTAATGAAGGCACGACAGATAGTGGCGAAAGACGAAGGGCGCGGAAGGGATTGCCCTCTTCTCTTCCTGAGTCTTGAAAAAGGGACCTGCCCGTGCCTTGCGGGTTAGAAGGAGGTCCGTAGCTAGTACCGGACTACTCGGCCAGAATGTCAACAAAAATACATGCATCTCCCGTTCCTTTTGTCCCCATCCCGCATGTTGCTTTCCCCCCTGGGGGACCAGCAGGCTAACGGTGTCAGGCGACAAAGCAACGAGCAAGGTAGACGAGACGGTCTGGGGAATTGACGGTAAAAGATTCAAGCGCATCTGCGTGCCCCTTTCTTTTAGATGGTGGACTTTTCTCGGTGTTTAGAGGGAAGGAGGAGCAACAAGGAATTCCGACTTGGGCAGTATTTAGTCACCCGCATCTCGCGCCCTCGTTGGCGGCCGCCGCGACAAAAGAGTTTCATACGAGCTGCATGAGCAGTCTGACTTTTCCCTGATCATCTGGTCTTGCAATTGGTTGAAAGTGCAACAGTTTCTGGGAGCCGGAGACAAGGTGCTTTTGTGCGCGGCGCCATCAGGCCAAGGGAGCAAGAGTCGGCGAAGATGGTCCGAGTAAGAAACTCTGTAACACAGCCCAGAGTGTCTGGCGCCCCGAGTTGCAACTTTGATTAGCGATGTGAGGCAACTCCCAAACGCATAGGAAACTGTCCAAGGGATAGTATTTGCTTGAAAGCACACCAAGGACGAATTGCAACTGCTGCTTCAACCTCGTGAGCATTTTGGTCCCCCAAGGCTGTACTCACCGACTTTACTAGGACCATGGATCAATTTTCTCACAAGATTTCCCAGCTTGCGGTAAGAGAAAGTCCGAACTGCATAGCGGGGATGGTTAGTGAACACGCCCGGCACTGGGGAAGCAGAGGGGACGACATCATTGTTTTGCGGCCGCAGGAGGTCTGGCTCCTGGTGATGAGATAAGGCACGGGTTGCACGATGATATCTCGGAGGAGCGTGAGATCGGCCATGGGCATTTGGTTGGTCATCGGGAAATGTCGAGGAAAAGTTTCCATCAAGCAAAGAAACTCGCCCCGCACTCGGCTGCGCTGCCCAAGCTATTATCGTTTTGTTGCTGTTTGGCTACGTCTGGTAGCTGTGGCAGGCGGGAAGATCTCCCCCTCAACATATTTCTTTCGTGATCAGTCGACCTTCCTGATTATAGTCTCTTACTCTTCCTCCCATACAGTACCTTCTGCAACTTGTCCATTCTGTTGTACTGTTGCACTCTTCCATAGACCAGAAAACCTCGATCAATATGGGTTCCGCAAGTCTTCCCTCCAAGATGAAGGCGTTGAGTATGACTCTCTCCCAACGCTCCGTTTGGGTCCCGACTCCAAGAAAAAGCGGTCAGATGAAATCTGGCTGAACCATCGACTGATTTGGGTGCGTGTCTAGAGTACGACGAGCCAGAAAAGTTCAGCGTCGTCGAGGTCCCTCTCCCCAAGCTCCGCGACCATGACATCCTGGTATGTAGACTCGACACAGACTGAAGGAAGAGAAATGCTGAGGACAGGACATAGCTCAAGGTCAAAGCTTGCGGTGTCTGCGGCACTGACCTGCACATCCACGAGGGTGAATTCTTGGCCAAGGTATGAGCAACAGGCTCATTGCGGTGACTGCGGAAAAAGGCCCCTGACAGAAGTCACAGTTCCCCTTGATCCCTGGGCACGAGACCGTCGGCGTGGTTGCAGCCCTTGGACCTAAAGTCAAGGGCTTCGAAGTCGGTGATCGGGTGGTCGCAGACAACTCGGAACTCTGTGGAGAATGCTTCTACTGCCGTCGCGGGGAGGAGCTTCTTTGTGAAGACTTCCAAGCCCACGGTGTGACCATGGACGGTGGCTTTGCCGAGTACTGCGCATACCCTGCCAAACGAGTGTTCCCGATCAAGAACTTGTCCGATGTCGATGCCACCCTTCTCGAGCCCGCCTCCTGTGCAGCCCACGGTCTGGACAAGATTGCGCCTAAGATGGGTTCCAGCGTGCTCATGTTCGGTGCGGGACCTACGGGACTCGTTTTGACACAGATGCTCCGCCAGAATGGTGGCTGCCATGTTGTCATTGCCGCACCGGAGGGGCTGAAGATGAACCTCGCCAAATCCCTGGATGCGGCTGATGAGTATGTTGAGCTGTCCCGAAAAGACCCGGGCCCGCAGTTCGAAAAGATCAAGAAAGAGAACCCATATGGCTTCGACGTTGTGGTTGAAGCCACGGGCAGTGTCAAGATCTTGGAGGATTCCATCAACTATGTGCGAAGAGGTGGCAAGCTCGTGGTGTATGGCGTCTACGGCAACAAGGACCGCGTGTCGTGGCCACCGACCAAGATCTTCGGGGACGAAATCACCATCCTCGGGTCGTTCAGCGAGACATACAAGTTCCCAGCTGCCATCGACTATCTCGGTATGAATTGTGCATCCCTAGCTCTTTCCAAGCCGATATGACTAACCGTTGGTTGAACAGACAAGGGCAAGGTCAAGGTGGCAGGGATCGTAAACAAGACATTCAAGCTGGAGCAATGGGCCGAGTGTCTGGAGTCGATGAAGAACAAGAGCGCCATCAAGGCAGCCATTGTCTTCGATTAGAGGCGCGCGTTGCCAACGTAGATAGACGGCAGGTCTCGGTAAGAGGCGATGTGTGAGGGCGTAGGAGGTGGGAGGCGGGCGGTAGAAAGCTCTGACTTGGGATTGAGGATCATCTGGTGTCCTGGAGACCAATTCTTTTGCGGTCGATATCAGGAGAGTGGTAAGGAAGAATGTGGCCGCAATGAGTTGTTGAGAGTCGAGACGATTAAGACGGTCAAGACGGGGTACCTCGTACTCGGTAGAAATGGTGCAGCCAACTACTGGGCCTTGCTAGCTCGCTAGGTACCTCGCAAAAGTGCCCAGGCATCATTTGGCTGCAATCTGCACCCTTGGGGCCTTATTACTGGGCCTTGCTGTGCCTTTCCCCTTCGAGCATTTAGCAAACAATCCCACTTCCAACTTCCCACCTGCCACCTGCCACGCTGCCCACCAAGCCACGTCTTGACTCTTTTGCTTCTGCAACATGTCTCGGGGCTACCATTGTTTTCCAAGTTCATTATTGTCTTGTATGTATTGACTGACTTGGTCGTGATCAACCTATATAATGAACTGCGCCAGCTTCGCGAGGCTCAAGAACCAGGAACGTGCTGTATGGACTCTCGACCTGCATCAGCTCTGGGTTGCTTATTCAGCCCACGACGTTGTCTGTTTGCTCTTTGCAGAATGACGACCCCTGATCGCGGCACTAAGTCGCCATTATGGGCTTCGTGCTTCAGGCGAATCAATATATACCTATACAGGTAGGTGTACGGCGCGTCTTTCCTACCATGCCGTGTACGTACAGTTTGCCCTAATCACCTCAACCACTCATGGACGCTCGGTACAGGTATTTGCTGACCAATACATCAACATCGAGATCCGGCAGTTCGTGGTGTAACTCGCACAATCGAAGCCTTAATCCTGCTCACGCTGCTCAGATCAAAACAAGCAAAGAGAAGGACTTGGTTGGCCACGGTGGCATCCTCGTTAAATGTCCAGACGTTGAGAAAAGCCATGATGAAATTGGGAGACACCATCCTGTGAGATGATGATGATGATGATGATGATAATGGCGCTGCCCAACTCCCAAGCCGCCGAAGACTGTCTCCTGTGCTTTTCCTGGGAATCAAAACGTTCGAGGAAGACCGTGAGGCATGTCAAAGAGTAGGCTGTTGAGTGGCAGGGCCAGGGAGGAGTGCAGATAGAACACACGGCCACACATCAGCCAAAGTGATACCGGTATCACTCGTCGTTCCAGTCAGAGAAATCATGCTCTGCCGCACCCTCGGGAGTGTTGACCCCAGCCTCCTGGTTCTCAAGAATCTCAGTGAATATATATTTCATTTCTGTTCGTTCTCACCATCAACCTTCTCTGCCTTCGCCAACTCATCATCAAACACCATCGCCACAGAAGAATACCATCTTCAGAGTAATTGTACAATATCAAATCCCTCTGTATCAGCAAACATGCTTCCTTCCATGGCTCCCGACATGTCCTCGAACACCACCACTCTCACCCTTGCATTGAGAGCTGCGCCACCAAAGTCAGTCACTCTTGATCCCTACTTCACCCTCCTGTACGAAGACAACAAGAAGGCCTTACTCCACTTCCTCCACCACAAAGCAGCCCTTCCTGTCCAAGACATGCTCGGGACTCCAAGATTTGTCGAATATCTTTTGAGCAAAGAACCCGGCCCAAAGGTCCAGTACGCAAACCTTCGGCCTGCCTTGTCTGCCATTCGTTCGTTCTTGGTCAGCTCTCATGGTGGCAAAAAGCTGTTGGCATTCTACAAGCATCTCCTGCAAGTTCAAGGTCGCTGGTTGATGGCGGCAGCTGAGTTCGTCGGCTTTGAACTCTATGTCAAGCTCACTCGCGCTCTCTTCATCACTCGCGATGACAAGCAGCTCTTGGCCCATTTCATGAAGGTCATCCCCAACGCCCTGTCCAAGCTTGCGAATTGCAGCAATGTCGACAGAGCCAGCTTTGAAGCCCAAGTGAACGTCGAAAAGACTCGTCTTCAGGAGGCCAGCGTGGCTGCGGCAGACAGCCTCTTCAACTTCAAAGTCTCCAAGGAGTTCTACTATACCCACGGAAAACTTCTCACTGCAATGGAAGTCCATGAGAAGAAGCTTCAAGAACTGCGTGAGCGGGCTGTGCGCCGTAAAGCTGAACGCCAGGCCAGGATCCAAGCCGCGTACGCACGAAATTCAGCTACCCTCAGCCGACAGATGGGTATGACAGGTATGACTCCACACAATCCACAAGTCGAAGCCTCGGTTTTTCAATACACCAAACGAATCCGTGACGAGTTCTTCTCTTTCGGTGAGGACACTGGTGCTGAAGAGCCTCTCGGTAAGTTTACTCTCTGCCCAATCTTGCTGACGAGATGGCTAACTGATTCGGTGAGACTTGACCGATGACTGAGTCCTGAAGTCGACTTCACGGCTGCAACGTCACCTCACCCTCGTCTGTGATGTCTGTCAGCCGCATTTTGAAATGCTCTCCTTTGAGCTACAGCGACTTCCAGCAGCATCATCCCTCACTACGAGCAGGGTTTTCCAGAGATGAAAACCTTGGGCCGAACGGTGCCATGTCATTGACCATCATACCAAGAGAAAGGCTGCAAGCATTCGAGCGTATTACGACTGAATGAGCTTTGGGAAAGGACGGATACAACTCCATGGGACGGGTCTTGTTGGTGGCCAGAAGAAGCCTGGAACAGAGCTCTTGAAAAGGCTTTATTGGATCGAAACAAACAGGACAATCGACTTCTTGTCAAGCAGACCTTGTCGGCCGAAAGGAGCATAAGCACCAAATGTCCACATTCACAGTGAATGATACATGGAAGCATGGGTGACAGAAAGTCCGAGTTGTTTTTCGGAAGGTATGGAACCACCAACGATGATTCGAGCTCTTGAACAGGAAGACTGCGGAAAGGACCTTTTCAATATGATTGAAATTGAATTCTAGCCGTTGATTCCTCACTTTTCTTTACATTTTTCTTGTCTGTCTCTCTCAACGAGTTGCCCTGCCCGTGAGCAAGTGGGCATCGAATGGCTTAGAAGCAAGAGCAGAGCAGAAAAATGATCTAAGCTGAATGCCCCACGACAGAACCTCATCTTCCTTCGTCTTCGTAATCGTCAAGACACAATCGCCCCTGTCAAATCGACTGCTATTGTCCACGAGACTTTGGGGGACTCGTCTTTTTTTTCTCCCTGCAATTTCCACACCACCAGCCAAAGGGCCCCTCACGGAAGCATCCCCTTCCGGCAGATGCAATCACCAAGCCCATTCTTGCCCTCCCCCGCCCAAACGATTGTTTGTCGTCGCCGGTAGAGAGAGTTTTGCTTTTTTTGTTGTTCCGATCACTTTCTGATAGCTCGCTGGTAGAAGGCCAACTCGTCACCCTCAAGGACATAGCCGTCGACTCTCCCGCTCTGACCGGGCCGAGAGCTGATGACGGCGTAGAGCCGACCGGCCTCGAACTGTCTCTCCAAGGCGGGTTCGATCTTGCCGCTCTTCTTCAACCGCTCCTCGCGTTTTGCCTGCACGCTCCTGCTGACCTTTGTCTCCCCGGCACCAGCCTCAGCAGCCGCAGCCCCCGCGCCTGCAGCTTTCGTCTGCTGTGTCCGCTTCCTTCCAATGTTGGTGCCGTAGTGCGCTTCGTACCAGGTTCGGAACGGGGCCGCGTCGATCTGGACCACGGCGGACTTGGTGAGGGTGTTTGTGCGGACCAGTTCGTTGTTGCTAGGGTGGTAGGCCACGACGATGACGCGCACCTTGCGGGCGATGCCCTCGCTTCCCCAGCTGAAGTTGCCGCTCTCCAGGCGCAGGGCCCGGTATTTGGTGTTGCCGCCCCGGGTGCGGACGAGGTGGATGCGTTTAGCCCCGATACGGGTGTTGGCTGGTTGGCGGCCCTTTTCGAATGCTCTGTAAGGTAGAGACACAAAATGTCAGTTATTGCAAATTGTCCAAGCCTTATTCTCTCTCTCTCTCTCTCTTGTTCGGTAAAACCTTGCTGGCAGGATGGGCAGAAATGTACCTCTTCTTGCGGTAGTATGCGCGCTTCGCACCGGTGGCAGACCGCTTGTGGCGGCTGTCTCGTGAGATACCCATGATTGCGGTACTGAGGAGGAACTGCAAAGAGGACAGATTCGTCAGTGTTCAGATCGTTTGTATGCCCACAAAAAGGAGGTAGTGATCGCAGGGATGGAGAAAGAGGTCGAGTGATCAAAAGTTTGGTATTCTCAATCCAACTTCATCTCCCACCTCGTGGACACAGATATTCGAATACTGACCTGAGCAAATCAGCAATCCCTCAGTTGAGCAATTAAGAGTATGTCGTCGAGATGTCGTTGAGATGGGGTATGTGTGTTGTCGTCTCAGTGCAAGAGGGTCGTTCAATCCCACGAATCCAAAAATCGCAAAATCGAGAGCGTGCGCCGGGTCGCATGCCAAGAATTTTCTTGCCAAGGGTGCAGTGGGCTTTCGTTCGTACGGCGGGCTATTGGAACAGCCCTAGGCAGGTATTGGCATTGGGCGCTGGCTCGGCTGGGCTCCAGATTGTCTTAGTGATCCGCTGTAGACAATGCCAAGACTAAAATCTTGGCGTAGACTCTCACACATTCGGCCTGGGCCTGCTTGTAAAGTCCTTGTGGCTTTGACCTTTTCCTCCACTACTACCACCCTCTTTTCTCCCAGTCTACCTCCTGTTGTGTGCGATTCCCCGAAGAGCGCCAGGAACTCGCAGCAACATCTCCTCCAGCTTCTCAACTCTGCACCGAAGTCCTTTTAAAGAAAACTAAGGAAGACCGCCAAAATGTGGGATCTGCGCGCTGCCCTCCTCCAGAATTCGAAGTACTGACGAATTGTGTGCTTTGCAGGCTTATCCCCAAGGCCGACCGCAAGAAGATCCACGAGTATCTCTTCCGTGAAGGTGTGCTTGTGGCCAAGAAGGACTACAACCTCCCCAAGCACGGCGACATCGACACCAAGAACCTTTTCGTATGTTCGACCCGAAAGCCGCAATAAAAGAGTGTGCCAACCGGGAACTAACGCGACATGCTGTATTATAGGTCATCAAGGCTTGCCAGTCCCTCACCTCCCGTGGCTACCTCAAGACGCAGTTCTCCTGGCAATACTACTACTACACCCTGACTCCTGAGGGTCTGGACTACCTGCGTGAATGGCTTCACTTGCCCGCTGAGATTGTGCCTGCGACGCACATCAAGCAGCAGCGCAGCCATGCTCCTCCACGTGGAATGATGGGTGGTGATGACCGTGAGCGCCGTGGTGGCGGCCGCGGTGGACCACGCGGTGACCGTGAGGGTGGATATCGTCGTCGCGAGGATCGTGGTGAGGGTAAAGAGGGCGGTGCTCCTGGCGAGTTTGCGCCTACCTTCCGTGGCGGCTTCGGACGTGGTCGCGGTGCGCCTCCGGCTTCTTAAAAAGTCGGAGAATCTGCTTCATCGGATGCTTGTCCCTTTGCGCACGAACAGTGCTGCGTGATGACGACCTCTTTCTCGAGAAGCACATTGACGAAAACCTCGCACACAGGCGAGAGAGAGTTGAGCATATCTCGGAGCGAGCAGCGGATCTGATATCTGTGCAGACTCCCATGAACCACATAGAGCAATGACGAACTTGTCGTGCATCCAGGCTTCCATCTTGTTATGGTCAGTTGCAGCGTTTCTGCTGCAGCATTATTTCCTCAAAGCTCCTGAATGTTGCCTCATTGTCTTCTTCCATTCTTTACTTTGTCCCTCAGTCTTCCCTCAGTCAAAGTCCCCTCTCTCCTTCCTCAAACGATCCATCCTCAACACTGAATGTAAGAGCACATTCGCCCCAACAGCACAATCCTCCTCGTCGCACCACTCGCTCGGATTGTGCGAAACGCCATCCTTACAAGGGACAAAGATCATTCCCGTAGGACAGTGCACATTGGTGCAGACGCTATCGTGGCCTGCGCCGCTCAGCATCGTCTGGAGCTTGCTCGCATCGCCTCCTAAGACAGCCAGCGCGCTCTCCTCGATACACTTGATGGCCTCGTGATTGAAGGTGATGGCGCTGCTCGAAAAGTCTTCCTTCATCTCAATGCGGATCTTGGTGAGCGGATTGTCCTTTAACCTTGAAACCCTTTCCGAGGGCGCTGCCGTAGAAGGTCTCTTGTTGTTTCTGCCGGTGCGCCCCTTCGCGTCATCTGAGTCTGTAGTATGGTCACCCTCGTTGACCAGCTGAATGAATTCCTCGACCTTTTTGACCATCCTCTCCAAACCTCTATCAAGAGGATTTCTCAGATCCAAACTCATCACAACCTGTCCGGGAACGGTGTTTACGCTCCCGGGAGAGACATTCATCATTCCCACGGTTGCCAACCCTCTCAAACTTTCCGCGATTTTGCGGATCTTGTGCAGAAACGTGGCTGCAAAATACAGAGCGTCGGCGCGATTCGCAAAGTCCGTGGTTCCGGCGTGCGATTCCCTCCCAGTTATTGTGACGGTGAACCACTTGTAAGCCTGAACGCCCTGGACGATCCCAATCTTTTGTCCCGCCCTCTCGAGTTTCGGCCCTTGTTCGATGTGCAGTTCAAAGTGTGCACCCAGGGGCGTTCCGGGCTTCCCATCGTGGTAACAAGGCACATCTCCCAGATACCCAATCCTTTCCAACTCGTCCCTGACCGTGGCCTGGGGCAGTCCGGGACTGCTGACGCTGTGCACACCCCAGGCCTTCTCCAGGCCGATGCGACCGGACCAGACCGAGCTCCCCATCATGCTCACGGGAAACCTGGCGCCTTCCTCGTTGGTCCAGTTCACCACACCCACGTCGCCCTCGGTCTCGATCCAATTGTCATTCAGGACCCTCAACATCTCGATCCCGGCGGCGACGCCCAAGACGCCGTCGAAGCGCCCACCGCTCGGTTGGCTGTCCAAGTGACTGCCCGCGAACGTCGTGGGGGCGTCCAAAGACCGAGACGACGACAGGCCCGGTCTGATGGCGAAGATATTGCCCATCTGGTCCACGTGGGTCTTGCACCCGAGGGACTGAGTGGTGGATATGAACCAGTCGCGGGCGCATTTGTCCTCGTCGCCGAGTGCCAAGCGCGAGAGGCCCGCGGTCCTGATATCGTCTGTCTTCGGTTTCGTCGCGGAGGTCCACTGCGCCGTGGTGTGGATCGTGTCCCAGAGACGGGCGGAGTTGACCTTCAAGCCGCTCAGTTTGGGTCCGTCGAGCTCCGTCGTGCGCAGGCGGAGGGACCTTGAAGTCGCAAACGTCCTGACAATCGAGAGCAATGACCCATGACCGCGCTGAGGCCCCGGCGTGTGGCTGAGCCTGTACAGCATCATCGGCGTCGGTCTGCTCGCCGCCATCTGTATAGCGAAGGGAATGAATTCCAATCGGATACAAATATATAGCTTCTTTCCCCGAACGCCGTGGTCTTTTTTAAAGGGTTATTAGAATCACAGAAACCAATCTTGGAGGTATTCCTGGGACTCTGCCCAATGGGCTATGAGGTCGAATGTTCAATGCTTGGCTTTAATTGTACACTTCGCCAGTTTACAACACACAAAAAAAAAAGGGGGGTATCGTTGGAAAACGAGGCAAAACCAGGAAGGAAGATAATCTTATTCGGTGATTCCGGGTTAATGAACCACCGAGAGACTAGCACCACCCAGTATATGTTGACAAGGTAATCAAGCTGTACTGGGGGGTTTTATTACACTATATATCCCTTGAGGATGTTGTATTGACTGATGCAACACTTCTTAAACTGCCTCAATAATCGACCAGAGGGCTACAGAATCTTGCCACGCGAGGATGCCCTTATACTCAGGTGTGGAGCACGCTCCCTTCTTCATCGGGGAAATGTTGCATCATGCCACACCAGCTGGTCCAAGGGAGGCCTCCTCATCAGGCAGATCCTTAGGTGGGCTAAGAGAATAACTTGGGAAAGGCCGGCGCGAGGTTCTGGAGCTTCTTGCCACAACGACCCAGTCGACCCGAAACCCCAAGACGTTCAGAAAATATCACAATCCTGGTTTGATCCAGTGCCAATGGACATTTTCCTCCTCCTTTTCCCAGCCCAGCTGAGTCCGTCTTCTCTGCCGCTTCTGTTCCTCCAAACAGCTCTGAGCTTCGGTTGAGCAAGGTGTTGAGTAACCCACCGAGCTCCGGGGCAGTCACATGACTACCATCCTGCTACCACTGGCGGGACGCCGACTGACGTCCATTCCTGTTCCATTTGATTGACGGGAACCTTCTGTGGACCAAAGTTGCATCCGGGATTGCTCGGGTTCGAACAACGACATATCGCGATCCAACTTGAGACACGCCTCCAGATAGGTCCGCATGTCCTAGCCATGTATAACCACTCGCAACATACACAGCCAAGTCCGCCGCAGGGACCGGATTTAGACGTTGTGTGCCTATTGTAGGGAGGGTGTATGGACTGTAAGCCAACTGTCCGACCTTGTTGATAGTTCTTGAATCACCCCTTCGTCTCCCGCTCCACGCTGTACACCTTGAAAACCTTCTGTCGATCGTCAGGAGGCGGGGTCAAACCCAGGGACGCTTCGATTTGGTCGGAGAACAACAGCATTGCCGACGCATTGAGCATCAGCGCCACACCGATGACAGCGCGAGTCTTTGGAGAAAGAGCCTTGTAAGAGCTGCAGACTGGGTCAGCCAGATGTTCTGCGGAAGGGAAGAAGGAAGCGACGGGCGGGAACAAACCTCCACAAGGTCATGCTGAAAGGCGGAATCGCTGATTCTGCTCGTCGCGGTACATTGAGAAACTGCTGTGTCGGAAAGTGATCGGATGGTTCGCATGCATGTCAGGGCATTGCGGAGTTGGAGAAGTTTCGAGGGATCTCCAGGACACGGCTTCTTTATACGGCAGGTATTCCGAGTCCTAGCCTTGTCACGTGCAAGATCCAGATACTGCGGAGCGTAGAGACAGACTTCAGACCAACAAATGTCAACAACTGTCATGTCCATCAAATGGCCTTCCACCTTTTAGGAAAGCTACGTGCAAGCTGTCAGGGCTGCAGTGCTACATATTCTATCTGTACTGATCCACCTGTGTTTATTGGCAGCTTCGTCGCCCGGCAAGTGCCGCGTGTACACACGCCATATGCTAGCACTAGGTAAGTCAGAGTGTTATGATCGACCGTAAATTGCGTGCTTGATGGATCCCGTTCAGCGTCGCCTCTGAGTGGCTGAATCCGTCTCCCTATTGGGCTCTTCAGCTCCAGTCAATAATACATAGTGGGTAAAGATCCTGATCTGCTCAGCCTTGCTAGTCGATATTGGCAGCTATACTAGTTGTATACGGGTTTTGAGACTCAGGCAAGATCCTTACACTCAGTAAAGGGAACACTCTGCAGATGGAGCAGACCCCGATCCTGTGCCGGCGTGGGTTGCCCCGCACTCGCTATACATTGGGCCATTCTCCTCTCAGCAAATGATCGGGGTTTCGGGGAACAGCGTCAGCGTAGGTATGCAATTGCGAGATGGCGGTGGGAACACCACCTTGTGTTTCTGACCTCCCACTCTCCCACCGCTCCCTCAACCCCAAATCACTGCATCTTCAATCCCAAGAACCATATCTCTTCTCCGAGCGTCATCTTTCCAAAAAGCATCATAGACGCCGCACTCCCTCGCTATGCCAGTTGTAAGTCTGCCCGTGCATTTCGTTGCCCGTACATTATGGCCTATCAGGAGAGAACCACAATGACTGACCGGCTGGAATAGGCCAGAGTTTGTCCGTACGACGATGGCACGGTCGAGAAGCCCATCAACCGGGAACCGTATATGATCGACCTAGTTTCCAGGTATGGAGGCATTCCATTTCCGTCAGCAAGAATGGCCTCTTAATGGGGAAAACAGCTTCATCACCAAAAACGACAATTATGACCGGAACCACGGCCCAATTCAGCACAAAATCGGAACTGACCACCGAGTCACAGTTGACGGGGAAGGCTTCGTCTCCAGGACCCTTAGTCTCACCGTCGACCAGCTCATGAATGACTTCCCGCAAGCCAGGGTGGCCTGCACGCTGCAGTGCGCAGGAAACCGCCGACACACCATGCGCACCCGCATCAAGGAGGTCTTGGGTGTGGACTGGGAAGATGCTGCTCTAATGACATGCGTGTGGGAGGGTCCTCGAGTTCGTGACATCCTGCTCGCGGCCGGAGTCCAAGATCACCATACCATGGGTGACAAGGTACGACCCAAGCATGTCCACTTTGCCAATTACGGCGGCAGGACTCAGGCCGACGAGTGGTATGGGGGCAGCATTCCCTTCGGCCGGGCTATGGACCCAGCCATGGATGTGATCCTGGCGATCAAGGTACGAATGGAGGGCGCACCGTAACCTTTCCCCCTTTTCGGGAGCACCTCTGCTAACTTGCCACTGCTCGGACGATAGATGAATGGCTTGCCACTGCCAGCCCGACACGGCTTCCCCGTTCGTGCCATCGTCCCAGGAGTGCTGGGCGCTCGTTCTGTGAAATGGCTCGACCGCATCACTGTCTCCGACAGGGAATCACCATGTTTCTATCAGCAGCGTGACTACAAGATTTTGCCGCCCGAGGCCGTTTGTGCTGAAACCGCCGAGAAGTATTGGGACCAGTGTCCCTCGATGCTGGACATGCCCATTAATTCCTGTGTTGCACACCCAACCTCGGGCTCCACCATTGTTCTGCCTTCTTCCGGGACGATCGAAGTGCTTGGGTATGCCGTTCCACAAGGCGCCCAAGGCCCGGTTGTCAGAGTTCAGGTGTCTGGAGACGAAGGCAAAACTTGGACCGATGCGCACCTGGAGGATGGCGGCAAAGATGCGAGCCGGTGGACCTGGACTTTGTGGCAGGCCGAGATCAAGATGGAGAAGGGCAAAGATAAGAGGATTTTTGCCAAAGCCACAGACGCTGGAGGCAATACGCAGACCTGTGAACGATCAGCTTGGAATCTGAGAGGCGTGGCTTACAATGGCTACGAAGCCGCATTCGATTTGACCATTCTCTAGGTCAATGTTCTAGCGCCGTCTGCGATCAGCGGCAGATCGTGGTTGATTTTTTGAGCGAGATTTGAGCAGAAGAGTGAGCTTCCAGCCTTTCGTCCCTAATATAGCGGTTTGTTTATGGTGACAGTTGACAGCAGCACCACCAGGGATGGGTGTTCGCATTGGGCATCAGGATCAGCCGTAGCACAGGTCGATCCGTCCCCGGACAAGATGTCAACATTGACATTGGCCATCTGTGCTTTATTTTCTCGTAACCTCAGATCTGAAGCTCTATGGCAATGCCATTCGTTCATCTTCCCAGGAGAGAAAATCACTATGAGGTGGATCAGCCTTGGTATGGCATCAATGGTTCATGTGATGATGAATGATGGGATCGTACTACCTACAGGCAAGTTGAGAGATGAAGCCAAAAGTGGTTTGGTTGGACGTCGGCAGTAAAGAGAGAGAGGTGGGGAGCTACAGTATCAGCCTAGCTTCAAGTTCTTAGCCGATTAGAAGGCACCTGAAGGGCCACCGAAGAGGGATGAAGGGCAGAGGGATTGGGACTGTGTGGGCACTGGGCAACCCGGCGCACGGGCACAGGCAACGGGCACCGGCGCGTGGGCGTGGCCCTTCAGCACCTGCAGCCCGCAGCAAGCCTATTATTTCAGGCGGCCCTTCCCATGGCATCAAGCCCATCACACCCATCTCATACTGACCTAGTAGTACTATGTCTGTACCTACCTAGATGGGTATTTTGCCTTGGGAAACAGTGCGGGTGCTCCCTATCTTCTTCATCATTCCCAATATAGGGTGCATCTTGCACAGTGACCATTCCATCGTCCTCGGTTGCTCGTCTCGAGGCGCACAAGGTACCTCCTTGTCAGGCAGTGTCACTTACTCTGAGATGGCGTGTCATGGTCCTAGCCACGACACCCCTGCTGCCTTAGCCTTTGGGGCCTGGTCGTAACCCATCTGCTCGTGCACCGGAACTCGGGAATAGGCGCCTTTCCCTTCTGGACTTGAAAGTCACTCGACGTTCCAGATTAGCAGGAGCGGTACCAAGAGGCTCTACCAGAGTGGACGACCGCGGGCTGTTGTCTGCCCACTCGGCGTGCATTGACAGCCGTGATGTGATGGACAGTACCCTGATTGTCAATCTGTGTCAACCTGCGTCAATCAGTGCAAGGAAACAAGACAGTCAACACAAGAGCTCCTCTTTGTGGTACACAGGGGCCCCTCGGAGCGCCACTGGCAGCACGCCAATACTCGGGGCTCATGGAAGACCTCAAGACCAACGCATCAGCCTGCAGAAAGTGCATACCTGGTAGTCGAGGGTGGATCCCCGCGCTGAGGATGGATGCGGTCCCGGAGCACAAGAGTGTCAAGTTCTGCTTGACCAAGTGGTATCTCTTTTTCGTTAAGCTTTTTTGTAGAGGCCTCGTGCGAATCCCACGTTTCCGGAATTTGGTGGATGTGGTAGCTAGGCCTAGCAGCAGCCCACCGTTAGTTACCTCGTACTGCCGTAGCCTAAGTCGCAGCCTCTCCGAATCCCCTGGGCCCTGGCACGCATGGGAGCTTCTAGCTCACGGAATTGGCAAACGGAGCCTTACTTGAACCGTGCTTCGCAGCTCCACCAACCAGCATTAGTTGACCAGGCCGTTTACCGGAAGTCCAAGGCCCAGCGTCCTGAAACAAGCCACACTGACCGTGCAGCTGGGAGAATCCATTATGAAATTTTTCTGACGTCCTTGGTTTATGATGGTTTGTGCGAGTGTGGCCGCGGTTAGCTGCACGCGAAGAAGGCTGTCAGATACTGCAGATATACACGAGAGGCCAACGTAAAATAAGACGTCGCGGGATGAAAGAGACAGTGTTAGGAGAACAGAAATCAATGGGGGTGCTGGTTGCACTCATATTAGGTACACTTTTCCTGTGCGGTCGTCAATCAAAGATGCGTAGGACGACATGGTGAACCCATGGCCACGGTACCCTCGCCTGGCGGCCCCCGGAGTGAATGGAGATCCTTGAGGCACTTCCATGCACCTGAGATTCAAGAAATCTGGTTGACAGCAACAGCCCCGACGACCAGCGCAGGCCCACGCATCTGAGAATACCGAGCACCCCGTGGACGTGGGTACCGTGAGCATTGAACTCTGACCGTGGGAGAAAAAAAAGCACAAAGAGAGAATCGCTTGCAAAACCCAGGAATTCGGTCAGTGGTCTCTGGGCTGCAGCCGTTTGTTTCCTTAACTTAGGTTTAGTGGGTTGGTTTGCGTGGGAGCCCTGGAGTGGGATAGAGTAAGCCCACCGAGCCACTTACTGGTGACTGGCACTGACTGGACCGCTGGACTGAAAAAGCCGAGTCGAACGTGAGTTTGTGGTTTAGCTCCCCCGATTTTGCCTCGACAAACTTGTCTGCTTGCATTGCTTTGCACCCGAACTCAACTCCATCTCTTCTGCTGTTAGTTTCCACTTGGGATTCTCATCTTTCTCCCCAACTCACCTTCGCAGCCACCGGCACCACTCCCGTCCCTTTTAATCGTTGTCGATTTGTCTCTCTTTTCCTCCATATCCTGTTGTCGTCAGGGGGAATCCGAGAGAGGTTGGCCTGTATCAAATTCATCTTCGCCTCTTGTCCTGCACTTACCTTTCCCGAGCTGCTGGAGTTGGGTCGGGCGTCTGCTTTTTTTTCTGACTCGACGTTTGTGAGCTCTTCTCTGGTACCTTTCCTCACTTGCCCGCGTCTCTCATTTCCTGGCTGACAAGGTCAAAGCACAGCCCAAAGTCTCGACTTGCTCGATAATTTGCCCTGGCCCCCGTCCTCCCGGCGTATCGAACTGTCACCTATTCCGACCGTCATGGCGACCGCTGCTCCGTCAGTCCCCAAGCTTGACCGCTACGTGGTCATTCACGTTGCGACCACTTGCGATGAACATGGTGTTTATGTCACAAAGGATTCTGCAGAAGTCATTGAACTGGGTTGGATCCTGCTCGACAGTAAGACGTGTGACGAGGTATGTCTCTTGGCGGTGCCTGCTACGGAGGAGGACAAGGAAGATGAGAGGCAATGAAAGAAACGGCCGGACCTGTTGACACATGTTCCAGATCTATCGGGAAAGCGTCCTGGTGAAGCCCGTCAACACGCCCATCACACCTCTCTGCAGTGAGTACTTTCTGTGTCGGGAGGACGGAGATTTGCATGAACTGACCCTTGAAATCACAGCCAGCCTCACCACCTTGACTTGGGAGCACGTCCGCAATGCCGGCTCTTTCCGGGATGCGGTCACTCGCTTTGACCATTTTGCTCAGGAGCACCTTATATCCAAGAACCTGGAGTTTTCCTTTGTCACACTGGATTCCTGGGACTTGCGGGTCCAGTTGCCTCGAGAAGCCCGCGATAAGGCAGTCGTCCTACCGGCTTACCTGCAACACTCCCGGACCTTCGACTTGCGTTCAGAGTATGCCCGGTGGCAGCAGCACCACCCGGAGTCCCTGCCCTTTGGCCCCAGTTCTCTAGCAAACATCTGTGCTGCTCTTGAGGTGGAGCCTGTGCAATCGTCGGCGCCAATCAAGCACAACCTGCCCTTCCATCTGCAGGCGTTGGCGCCTGCCTCCCCTCGCCGCGCCATGGAAGAGGCAGTCACTCTGGCCAGGGTTCTCCGGGGCCTCATTCGGAAGTCTCAGCCCGCCCATGAACACCCGGATGTTCTGACTCGCCCCATGGACGCCAGGGCCGATGTGAATGCCTTCCTGAAGGAACGCAGCAAGGTCCTACACATGAACGGTCTTCCGCACGACACAACTCAGTCAGAACTCGAGAGCTGGTTCACTCAATTCGGAGGGAGGCCAATCGCCTTTTGGACCCTTCGTACTCCAGATCAGCATAAGCCTACAGGGTCAGGTTTCGCCGTGTTCTCTTCGCACGAAGAGGTATGTCTCACTTTCATTTCCCACTTTCACGTCTAGGGCACTGATATTAAACCCTTTCTCCCACACGGTCTTGTCTTCACCACCGTTCCCATACTCAGATCTGGTATTAACACAAATCTCCTCCTCTCAGGCCGCTGAAAGTCTCTGTATGAACGGACGCGCCCTCAACGAAAAGGCCATCGAGGTCTCGCCTTCTTCAAGTCGAGTCCTCGATCGTGCCGCCGAGATCTTGACTCCATTCCCTCCAAGCAAAAACCGACCACGACCAGGCGACTGGAACTGTCCCTCATGTGGTTTCTCCAACTTCCAACGCCGTACTGCCTGCTTCAGATGTTCTTTCCCCGCCGGAGGAGCCACGGGTGTTGATCCATATTACAATTCCTACGCCGGTTATGGACCTCCTCACATGATGGGTCATCATCCTCACATGGGACATCATGGACATGGAGTGGGACATCACGGCCGCGGTGGAGCTGGTATTGTCCCCTTCAGAGCTGGTGATTGGCGATGCGGTGCAGAAGGCTGCTCATACCACAACTTTGCCAAGAATGTCAACTGTCTGCGCTGCGGTGCCCCTCGTGCTGGAGCTGCAGTCGTGGTCGATTCAGCCTATCCTTCTCCCATGGCACCACCGTCAGAGTATGGTATGGGACCCGGTTCGATGGCAAGCACCCCTGGACCCGCTCCATATGGTGCTGGCGCAGCTGCTTTTGGTTCTGGAGCCGCTTTTGCTCAGCCCCCCAGTCAATTTGGCATGCCTTCTGGAATGGGTGGCCCACCGGCCGCTCCCTTCCCCCAGATGGGTAGCATGACTCCTGGATACGCTTCCAGCAACATGTCTCATTCCTCCTTCGGCCCTGCGGCTCAAGCTGCTTTTAGTGGTGCTGCTGACACGAATGCACCGAGCAATCTTCCTCAGAATGGCTTCTACGGCAACGGACCTGGTGGAGACCCTTTCGCCTTCCTCTCTGCTGGCATTGACAGCCTCAGCATGGTGACGCCTGATGAAAACCAAGGCCCTCGTCGCAACGGTGGTCCTCAGAGCGCGAAAAGCCCTGCCTAAACACCCTAATCCCCCGAACTCTGCCTTCCGAAGTCGCCTCTCAACGTCACTTAAAGTTCATTCATTGATTGATTAACGACTCCGACGACATCTTTCATGTTGAGCAAGGTTGTGTACTTCTTTTTTCCCCGACTTTCATGTACTTGATTCTTGGCAGATTCAATGCACATCTGTTTACTAGCTTTGTATCGTGGATATTGGCGGGCGGTGCTGGAGGCTGGGCTGCTGGAGGGTTTGAACTTGGTCGAAAGCGCCGGCAATGGGACAATCTTTGCATATGAGGGACGACCTAGAGACTTGGCTTGTGTTTTTGCTCGGGACCATGGGTTGGGGATTGAAGATGATGCGCAAAGGGGCACAAATTGCGGTTCAAAACCCAGGAATAGGTGACACGAACAAGGGAGCATGGAGGCCTAGAGAAAACAAAAACTACCTGGTACAAGTGCGCACAAAACTGTACGGCATCGATGGGAACGTGTTGCGTTGGAGCTCGTGGGTGCACATGTGTATGTTGTTGTTGTCTAGGGGCTACTGCCAGCATAGCGAGGGAGCAAGAGCGTGGAACAAAGGTATGGGACAGGGACCAGGGCAAAAATGGACAGACAAAAGTTGTGGAAAATATCCAGTATGGCATCGAACAGGACCAGGACCAGGACCAGGACCGAGCACCACAAGCCTGCGACACAACCCCGGCACATACGTTTTGAGACCGCCCACAGTATGATCTGTTTGCACATGGCTAATTTGAGGAAAGGAAGAATTCGAAGCTGGACATTGGCATCATTCAGCAGATGACTTGTCACGGTCAAGGATGGCTTTTTAACTACCTTGTTCAAACGCGGGTGGACAATACCGAATCACTTTTGAGAAAACTTGCTGAACTTGACGCCTGCCCGAGCCAGCTGCGAGAGCACTTTGTTATGTGCTCTGAATGCTCCTCCTGAAGGCTGTGATTTCCTTCTCGCCTGACAAAGTGACATTGGCATCGGGCTTTTCCAGCCCTTTACTTCCTTCTCACCTTTCTTAACCTTTGTGTTCTTTTCTTTCATCGCAATGGAGAAGAGGAGTAAGAAAGTATTCGTTCAACTAGAGGTGCAAGAACTGCGTGGTCAAAGTTGATTGTTTGATTGATGATGGGTTAACTATAACTAGACGGTGCAGCGTGATGTTGATATATCTTGTTTCTATCTTGTGGGGGCCTTTTGGCTCTCTCTCTCTTTCTTTCTCTCTCTCTCTCTCTCTCTCTCTCTCTCTGTGTGTGCTCCGACTCCCTGGGTCCGCTTCCACATACACCTCTCTTAGGATGTTGCAATATCTGAAAGCCAGAAGATGAGGGTTCAGAGTGGGCAGCAATCAGGGGGACCGAGGCTGATTGATTGCCCACTGCCTGAATGGCGGATCCTTTCAGACGACTCATTGATCCGCCTCCGAAGGTGGCGACACCTCGAAATGTTGCGTCTCTCTGTCCCGGTGATTGTGCATGTGGATGTTTGTGTGGTGGAGCGCCTCTTGTTGACATCGTCACTCAGCTCGCCATACACCCGTCCACCCAGCAGAGGGTTGGAAAATAAATCCTGTGCTGGCTGCTCGCAGCCTTCAAATCTTCAACTTCCTTCACAATCCGAAAGAGCACTGGAGCCATTGCTTCGTTCCAAAAAGCAACAGGGGCCAGGCACCGCCATAGCTGCCATAATTCAAAAAACAACGCTTGCTCTTCACGCTCAAGTTAGAATTGATATCACCTCTTTCTCAGTGGCGCCCCAAGCCAAAACCCCCATTAACACAGCTTATACAACCGTCGGCTGCTCGCTATTCACAAACCGCAGACTCGAACGGAGTCTCCAATCTTGTGTGGTGTCACGATTCCAGAGATATTATCCCTGCGCCTGGGCTTGTTGAACTTGAGCAGCCTGCGTTGCGGCCGCATGATTGACGACGCTCTGCAGGACATCGCGATCGGCTTGCTCCAAGATTGCCGTCAAGTTTTGATATAGCTGAGGCTGTTCTGCCTGGAGTTTGTCCAACGACTCTTTGAACGCTGAGTACGGATCGAACTTATCTAGCGGACTCTCCAGCAGACTGTCATCATCAAGGACACTATCATCGTCATCATCTGCCAGAGCGCCGAATTTCTTGGCTTCTTCGCTAAGGAAGTCCAGATAAGCTTGCGACTCGTCCTTGATATCGCCTTTGGTATCCGGCACTGAGGCGGCACTAACGTTGCCCCATTCTTGCCCCTCAGCACCAGGGTCATCGGCCCAATCTTCAGCGTCGTCGTCCGAACCGTAGTCTGATATCGTGTCAGACACGCCGTCGGAGGCTTTGACAGCTTCCTCCCGTTGCTTGATCGCAGCGGGAAGAGTTCGGAAGAGATAGGTTGCTCCGGTCAAGAGACGAGGCCAGCCGGTTTGAACCGAATGAGGGACTTGGTCGGCGCGGATGGTGAGCAGAGAGCAAATGGCGGCAAGGCAAAGCTTCTTGTCGTGGACGCGGCGGAAATTGTCGATCATGCCGAACCAGATTGAAAAGAATTTGTTGGTCCAACCATGTGATTCGAGCACCTGCAGTGCCAGAATGGGATTGTAATAGAGACAATTGATAACCATCTCCACCAGATGTAGTTTGTAACTTCTGATCACAGTCTTGGCTTGAGCGCTGGTCAAGACCTCCATGGGTAAAGCCACAAAAGTCGGTATGTAGCTGTCAAGAGGGCCACCTCGAAGATTCAGCATCATGGCCTCAGCCAGCTTGCAGCCACAGATGCGGTCCACACCTCCAACCTTAGGATCGGAGAAGATATCGCGCACCATGCCAGCTACAGCAGCCAGATATGGCGGGTGTTCGATGAACCTTTGCTGGCCATAACTGACGAAGTTGTCCAGGGCGGGCAGCATATCTTCTAGATACAGCTCGGCGCCGTCTTTGAACGTTTTGTGCATGAGCTCAAAGGCTTGCCACATCGTTGGCGATATCCGTTTCGAGGCATAGGTACAGGAATCAATGATTTCGAAGACTTCATTGTAGAGATCATAGAGCTTGTTTTCGAGGGTGATGGTAATGACCGGCATCAGAATGGATTCGAGAAGAAGCAGAACATCTGGTGTTGCCTCGAGAGTGAGAATAAGAGTGCCGATTGTCTGCAGCACCCCTAATGCCGCGATGGACTTGTCGTCCAGATAGTCGTTGTGTGCATCACCAGTTTCTGCCGCTCTAGCCTCGTTCCGTTCCAGAATTTCACGGATGATTCGAAGGTACGTGTCTCGCAGATTCGTGCTCAAAGCCACCGCGAAGGGCGTGAGCTGTTCCGCGAAAACTTCGACAAAGTCCTCCATGACGTTTGACAGGGAGTCGACATCAACTTCGTTCATCAGCTGCAGCAGTTGATGCATGATTTGCGGGATGTTGGATTGCATGGTGATGCGGATGGCATCGTGCCGAATTAGGGGTTGTAAGGCCAACGAAGCCTCCACCCGGACGGGCAGTTCTGGATCAGCCATGGACTCCATTATATTCTGATAGATGATCATGAGGTTGTTCTGGTCCTTGAAATCCAGCTGCTCAAACTTCTCCATTGTCTCACAGGCTCTGGCTCGTAGGAAACCATGTGGAGATCTAAACTCAGGGAACACATGTCGCACGAAGAAGTATTCGACCTGATCAGCGATTGGGCTCTTCTTGCCCAATATGACTGACGCAAGCGAGCCTATCATCCTAAGGGCACCGTCTTTCTCTCGCGGGTTCTTTTGATCGTCTGGAGCAGACTCATACCGCGACACGACGTCGTTCACGTACGAGAGGATGACGTAAGTTTGTTGTTTCCGCGACTTTGTCAGGGCAATCAAGAAATTGGTCGCGGCCATGTCTGGTGCGGAGACTTCCTCGTAATAGTTGAGCTTGCGGTGCAAGTAGTCGGCTGGGTTGTCTGAGAACAGTTCCAAGTCTTCGTCGGACAGACACATGACCGGGAAGATCAAATGCTTGATGAGACTGTCCATGTGCGGCTTGAGTTTGTCCCAGATCGTTTTTGGCTTCACGCACTCTTCTAGGAAGATCAAGGTGTACGACAGAGAAGGCTTGCTCAGCCAGTAATTGCCCCCAACCCATTTCTCAATTTCACTGAGATAGCCCTTGAGAATCTCGGGCGCAAAATTCGTGATGAAGTTTTTCGCGAACCCACCATATTCCTTCTCCTGGGCGGAAGATAGAGCTGATGGGTTCCCGTACCTCACGAAGAGCCTGTTGAGGTTGGCATAGGACCATTTCCGTGCTTTCCACCAATGATTGCGTTCCCGATCATCAGCATCTTCGGGCATGGCACTCTCCGGCGGCTTCTTTGAGATGATGGTCAAGAAGAGAGTGCACCAGTCTACGGTCGCCTGGTGCGACTGGAGCGGGACAGGTAGGCCATAGTAGACAGCGTGTTTGTAACATTTGACACATATCCTTAGCATTTCACCCGCTTCCAGACTGGTCTCGTTGACCAACTTGTTCCCAATGCCCAACAATGTGGGGAAGGCCACATTGACGACTTTGTCCAGATTCTGCCTCTCTTCCCCGGCGCGAAAACGATATGTACGACAAACAGCCAACAGACACTGCAGCCCGGCATAGACTTGATTGGCATCTTGAGTGTTCATCAGTTGCAGAGTAATGTCCATGAGCTCGGGCCATTTTGCAGGAAAGTCGTACTGCAGGACGGTCTGGAGGATGGGAATGAGCTGTGCTCGTATCAACGGAGGAGAGGAGGACAAGACAGGCAGTAAGCGGTCTCTGAAGGGTTTTCGTTCGGGCTCGGAAATGGGCTGGTGAGGAGTGTGTTCGGTAGCCCATCCGCGCGATATTCGATTCTTGAGGTAGACGGCAACGGAGAGGCGGATTGGAGGGTCCTGCTCTGACTGTAGGATGTCGAGGAGGGCCCCAATGAAACCGGGATGCTGTTCAGCTTGCTTCAAGGCCGTCTCAGCTTGAGAACGGATGGTTGCGTCGGCTGACAAAGTCGACTGAATGGTGGTGCGCAGGTCCATGGCCGTCGAGGAATGCTGCCCTTGATAGGGCCAATGCTTAGATACAACAAAACAGCCTAGAAAACCACAAAAGCTTCGAGGCGATGGAGACGTGAGGATATCAAGACAGCCCGGGACACCAGAGCAATTTTTCCCATGTGCAGGTGGCAGTCGATGGCGGAGGGAGAACTGGAATCAACATGCCCCCAAAAACATCCCAAGACTCGAAAGGGAGCCACCGCCAAGCCCCGCCAGCCTGATCCCTTTCTGACCAGTGGAAAGTCAAGGCGCCATCCTTGAACCTTCGCCTCATCAGGCACAGGCGGGAGCTCGAGTCTCGCCGCTCTATGTTACTGATATACAGGGGTCAAGGATGCACATGTCGGAGAATTTCACGGATAAAGGTTCTGCGCGCAAAGGATTTAAATCTTCTATTCCAATTTCCCGACCTCATCTTTCAGGGTGGCCAGATGGACGACATAGCCCGAGTCAGATCGTAGCTGGGACGAAAGCTCTTGGTCCGGGATGCGCCATACGTTAAACTCCTGCATCAAGGCGGCCAAGAACAATTCGCAGACTGTATCAGAGCGAAGCTGTTGAGCCACCAGAACCATAGTCGATTTTGTTGCCGAGGATGTCAGACGGCACGCATCCACACAGGTCTGCACCAACGGAGAGATGAGGTACTCATTATAAACACAGTCGCAGAGGACGAGCAGGTCAATCACAGCGCCCGGTGGGATGGCTGACTTGAGATTCGCAACGCTGTCCGCCTCCCAGTCCAAAGGTAAAATCTTGAGGCATTCTTCCTGAGCCACTGTTTTCTCGTTGGGTCTCTTCCTGTGGTTCTTCTTCCCTTTCGCAGATGTCGAGTTGGCAGCTATGTTCTCTCTCAGGTACTTCACCACATAAGGTTGATCCGTAAGGACATAGCACTGCACAAGCCTCGACAGGACCAGGCCAAGCAAACCAGTGACGCCACAACCAAGCTCGACCACGACTGCAGTGTCATGCAGAACGCCACTCAGTATTGGAGGCAACGACATCAACCAGGCGGCTAGAAGCGGCGTAATCTTCCATATCACCGCCCCTGTGGTTCCTTCCTGTCTATTGGAGTGGAGAAGGCCTGGGGACTGCTGTAGAATGTAGTCATGGCCAGCGATTTCAATCTCCAAAGAATCGGCCTTGGGGTCTACAAAGCCCAGGTTGTTGCTCGGGATGTCTCGGCTGAACAAAAGGAAAGTTTCTAGAGCTCTCGGTCAGAACCCCATCGCCCTAGATAGCTGTACTCAGTGTGACATACCTTCGCCAGCATCTTCAATAGGTCGTCCCAAGGCGGCGAGAAGTGACTGGGATGTCATTGCCGCTTATTCTCCGGAAATGGTAGGTCCAACAACAGGGCTTGTCTGCTCCGCAAACTGAATGAACGCTGAATCACAGGCACCACAAGCAGCGGTAGGCTCACATAAGCATGATGGCGCGGTAGAGCGGTACCGTGAGCGTCGACCCAAAAGAGACACGGTTGAGCGATAATGGGCTTGCTCGACTCGACATGACAAAACAAAAGGAGAGTAATAGCCTTACCTGAGAGATGTTCGTGGACGGGACAGGCTAAGTGGAGCCTTTGGATGGGATCCGACGACGATGCATATGGTGCTTATGGCGGCCTATGTAATCGTACAGGCACCCCAGGGCCGTGGACTGCAAGATCTCCTGGGTTGGACACACGGTAGGTCCCATGCAGCGTTGAGGGTCATGGATATTGGTGATGAAAAGGACTCAACGTTGGCTGATAAAAGACGAAGGACGTTCGTTCCTGGCTCTGAGTCGCTGGCACTGAGGTCAGGCGAGTCCTGGTGATGGAGCCAGGCTGATCGGGCCGACCAATTGATCCGCCGCCCCGATCACATTTGTTGATCACCGGGGCAAGTCACTGTGGGTGACTGGTGACACAGCATCGTGCACCGCCACCCGAGTCAACAGGACCTGTTTCCGCTCGCATCGCAACACATCAGCTCCTAACAAAAGGGGAATGCACCTAAGTGTACTCGGTCGTGGCCAGCAAGCTGAAACCTACTATTCTGGGCTAAATCCCCGATATCTGGCGGTAAAGGGGCTTGGAACGACCTTGGGAATGCCTAGGTCGATACCTAGGTGAGGTACTGCCACCCAATACTTACCTAGCGAGCTAGGTAGGCACCCCTACGAGTACAGTAGCTGGGCAGCTGGGAGCCAAGTGACGTAACGAGTTAGCTCATTCAAACCCCAACCCCGGATTACTCGCTGCTCGTTCACCGGCCGCGCCAAACCGGCCAGCCTGCGATTAGTACTACTGCTACTACGTAGCCAGGAGGTTTGTGAGGTTGGGGGATTCTGACACTCACAAGAAACTCGCACACAAGCATCCTTCCTCCCTTTGACGCTCAAGAAACCTTACCGCGCCACAAACATCCTGGTCGCAACGCAGGCAGCTACACCTCGTTTCCCCTTTCTAACCTTTATTATCGCTCTTTATCTCTCTCTTCATACTACCTCACTCCTCTGCCGCACGCTCCTCTGTGTCGTCATCTCGTCCTGGTGGGAACGGCAAACAAAACCAACCCTGTTCCCCAATCCATCCCAACAATAACCTCTATCGCGCAGGGCTCCGGTTCCTCGAATTTGACGACGGATCACCTGCCGCAGTCCTCCATCCTCCGTCATTGCGTCCAAGTCAGTCGCCGAGATGTCGCTCGAGAATGACAACCGGCCGAGGGTCGACGGCTATGTCCAACCTCAAATGACCAGGAAACCACCTTTCTCTGTCGATGCGTCTGGCTACGAGAAGAAAGAAGGCGAAACCATTCCCCGACGCAACCCTCTGGCTAAAGACAAGCTCATCGTTCAACCTTCAGATGACGTCAAAACCATTTTTGACAATCTCAAACGGGCGGCCTCCAAGTTCGGAAATGCCAAAGCTATTGGATCGAGAAGAATCATCAAGACACATGTGGAGAACAAGAAGGTCAAAAAGATTGTCGATGGCCGCGAGCAAGAGGTGGAAAAGAAATGGACCTACTTCGAGCTCAGCGGTTACGAGTATATGACTTTCATCGAGTATGAGAAGCTGGCTCTTGACTGCGGCTCGGGTTTGGCGCATCTTGGAATCTCCAAAGAAAACAAAATGCACCTGTACGGTGCCACGAGGTACGTCGTTCACATCTCCAAGCTTATGCCTTGTCTGACCTCTCTAGTGCTCACTGGCTGGCCATGTCGCATGCTGCCGCCTCTCAGTCGATCCCCATAGTCACTGCTTACGACTCTCTCGGTGAGGAGGGACTGAAACACTCTCTCATTCAGACCGGATCTGTCGCCATTTTCCTAGATCCCAACCTCGTTCCCACCTTACTCAGAGTCCTCAAGGACGTGAAGAACCTCAAGACTGTCATTTACAACACGGAACCTGAGATCAAGCAAGCCGACCTAGACAAATTGAAATCCACTCATCCCGATCTGAAAATCCTCAGCTTTGCAGAACTTCGAAAGTCCGGTGCTGAGAATCCTGTGGACCCTGTACCTCCCAGCCCAGAAGATCTGGCCTGCATCATGTATACCTCTGGTTCCACTGGGCCACCAAAGGGCGTGACCATCAAACACAAGGCCGTGGTTGCCGCAATGGCTGGAGTCCAGACGGTCGTGGCCCCCTATATTGGACCGGCCGATGCATTGCTCACTTATCTCCCCCAATCGCACATTTTCGAGTACATGTTTGAAAACGTTTGCTTGTTCTGGGGTGGAACCATGGGCTATGGCAACCCCAAGACTTTGTCTGACTCTTCAGTCCGGAATTGCAAGGGAGATATCCGTGAATTTCGACCCACGATTCTGATAGGCGTCCCCGCAGTCTGGGAAAGCGTCAAAAAGGGTATTCTTTCCAAGGTCAATGGAGGCTCCTTCATCGTCAGGAACATGTTCTGGGGCGCCTTGTCACTGAAACAGACTCTGCTCTCAATGGGCCTGCCTGGCGCCGGTATTCTGGACGCCGTGGTTTTCAAGAAATTGAAGGATGCCACGGGAGGCCGGCTTCGCATTGCTTTCAACGGAGGCGGCCCTATCTCGGAAGAAACCATCAAATTCATCAGTTATGCAGTCACTCCCATGATTTCTGGCTATGGCCTCACCGAGACTTCTGCGATGGGCTGCATTCAAGACCCTTTGGCGTGGGATCCCCATGCCTTGGGGGACATCACAGGATGTATTGAGATCAAGCTGGTCGACTTTCCTGATGCTGGGTACTTCTCGACGAACAAACCTCCTCAAGGCGAAATTTGGATTCGAGGCCCTTCAGTCACAGAAGGTTATTGGGACAATGAAAAAGAGACCCAAGAAGCAATTACTGATGATGGATGGTTCAAGACCGGCGATATTGGCGAATTCAATGCCAATGGCCACCTTCGCATCATCGACCGCAAGAAAAACTTGGTCAAGACACTGAATGGTGAATACATTGCCCTCGAAAAACTGGAGTCCGCCTACCGAACCGCCCCGGTTGTTGGCAACATCTGTGTTTTTGCTGCTCAAGACAAAGCGAAGCCGATTGCGATCATCGTACCAGTTGAAGCTACCTTGCAGAAAATCGCAGCAGCCAATGGCATCCAGGGAGAGAATCTAGAAGAGATGGTCCACGATGAAAAACTCAATGGAATCGTGCTGAAGGAAGTGCAGAAAGCGGGTCGTGACGCTGGTCTTGCTGGCATTGAGATCATTGACGGCGTGGTCCTGGCGGACGAGGAATGGACTCCTCAAAATGTAAGTGGTCCACAGCTCTCCACGTCGAGTACTAACCGTATCCCAGGGTATGATCTCCCCAGCCCAAAAGGTTCAGAGAAAGAAGATTCAGCAGCGATTTGAAAAGGAAATTAAACATGCCTACGGAGACTGAACCCGACATCATCTCAACTTAGGCAACAGTGCTCCTCACAGTTGCTCCGATGCGCTGCTTTATATCAGACTATCAACACGGCGAATCGAGAATAGGGAACGCATCGAACGAAACTGACGAGCACGCACGGTGTTTGGGAATTGCTTCGTGCTGATGATATCCCAATACAATATGTAGTATACAGTTGTTGGCAGTCTTGCATCCATCCCTAACGCGTCTCAATTTGACACAGCGAGAAACCACAGGCCCTTCTTGTCATTCTCTTATTTCCACGTCGGACAAATTTCCCGCAAACTCCCTAAGACGCAGAGCACTCCTTCACGCAGCATCTCATTTCCTTCATCGAGATCATGAGAATTCAGAACTCTAATGTTTTTTTGAGTTGCTGGTGATCTTCATGCCGTCGATAAGCCTACCAGATGCGTCAGATCCTGAAAGCGAAGCTCGGCAGAAGGTGATTCTTACCATCCTGCATTTTCAATTGCAATGTTGGGGCAGTTACCATCACTCTGACATTCGACTGGACAACAAATTCCTGGGTCTTTGGCGCATTCATTGCAGGTAACGCTGCCTTCATTACCACTTTGGATCGGAATTGGTGTGAGGCTATCGTCCGGGGCATTGGCACCGACTGAGCTGTGACGGAGGTCAGCCTCGCGATAGAGGAACGATATCCTTGGAGTCTAAACGTGCCTGTCACTGCTTCTTTCGACTGTGAGTGCTGCAATGCTCTGGACCGACGCGCTGACGGCGACTAGGAGAAGAGTTACCACCCTCATTTTCGAGACTGGCTCGAAAGCTACGGTTCCTGGAGTTGCAAAATGAGGGAGGTATTCAGTGGGGAGAAGTTTTGCGTTGGGCAACTGGCAATCCCGTATGTTCTACATGATGGAATTTGTTGTCTCGAAGCCACATTCCAGCCAAGCACATTCCTCGCGGTCGGTTGGATCACTACGCGTCGCAGACCAGCCTCAAGTCGACTCGTGTCATGAGACATTCCTTTGCAGCTTGATCAGAGGAGGTCTTCCGTTCTGCTTAATATTCGTCCTGCGATACCACAGGGACGCCGGTTATCTTTTGATAGACCCGGATTACACGAAGATGCATCCTCCTCTTCCAGCTGTCTTCCTCACCCTTCTACACCTCTCAATTCTTTTCCAGTCGGTAGCGGCGCAACAGTCTACCTATTGGCTCGCCAACAAGCCTAATGTAGGTACAGTCGCGTTTGGGGATCCCACCTATCCGGTGTTTCGAAATGTCATGGATTATGGAGCCTTTGGTACGTATTGGAGGGTCAAGTCTTGCTTCCGCACACTGACATTGATTGCAGGAGACGGCCTACACGACGATTCTGATGCTATTAACCTAGCGATCTCCGCCCCTGGGGATCGCTGTGGCGGAGGCAATGCATCATACGGATCGTTTTGCCAGTCGTCGACCGTGACACCAGCACTGGTCTATTTTCCGCCAGGAACGTATAACGTTTCGAAACCTTTGGTCATGTACTACTTCACGCAGATGGTGGGCGATGCTGTCAACCCACCCACCATCAGAGTCAGTTCCAATTTCACCAATCTCGTTGGGTTGGCTGTGTTTGATGCAGACATCTACATTCCGGCCGGCAGCGGCGCCGAGTGGTACGCCAACCAGAACAATTTCTACCGCCAAGTTCGTAACTTCATCATTGACATGACAAACGCTCCCTTGAGTACGGCCGGCATCCATTGGCAGGTAGCCCAAGCCACCAGTCTGCAGAACATCGTCATCAACATGGTGGACAAGGACGTGGTAAACAATGCGCAACAAGGCATATACATGGAGAATGGATCGGGAGGCTTTTTCTCCGACGTGGTCATCACCGGCGGCTCCATCGGCGCTTACCTTGGGAATCAGCAATTCACAACGCGCAAGTTACAGTTCGATGGCTGTTTGACGGCCATCTCAATGAACTTCGACTGGGTGTGGTTGTTCACTCAGGTCACCATCACGAATTGCGATGTCGGGATCGACATGACTAGTGGCGGTTTCTCCAACCTGGCTGTCGGTTCTCTTGTCATAATCGATAGTGTGATATCTGCGACTCAGGGTATCCTCACACCCTATGCCCCTGGCTACAGTTCGCCTCAAGCCGCGGGCACTCTGGTCATCGAGCAAGTTGACTTCACGGGCAGCGAGGTCGCCATTTCGGCCGCTGGAGGGACTCAAGCCAGAACGATTCTTGCTGGCCAACAGTATATCGATCTCTGGGCGCAAGGAAATGCCTGGACAACGGCGGGCGCAGCTCTGAATGGCCAGTTCTTCAATGGCACGACTTGCTCCTATTCGAATGCGAGCCAGACCGCTTATTCCGCCCAAGAAACGACGATCCAAAGAGCGCTGGCCCCGATCCCTCGACCTTCGTCATTGGTAGATAGTAATGGACAATACATCTACCGCGTCAAACCACAATACGAGACCCTGGATTGGGATACAGGATTCCTAAGCGCCAAAGCAAATGGGCTCGTGGGCGATGGCTCTACAGGTGTGTCTTCGTGTGCTGAAACACCCGCTTTGGTCCCTGTCTAACATTTCTTTCTTTCCAGATGATACGGTTGCGATGCAGGCACTCTTCAATCTTGCCCAATCAAGTGGAAAAGTTGTCTACTTTGACAGGGGAGCTTACATCGTTTCATCCACCGTCAACGTTCCAGTGGATGTCAAGATCACGGGCGAACTCTACAGCATCATCATGGCTACTGGATCGTTCTTCGGGGACCAATTCAACCCGCAACCCATGTGGAAAATAGGTAATCCTGGTGATGTCGGCACAGTTGAAATCTCAGACATCATCTTCGAAGTCAAAGGGCCCTGTCCGGGAGCTATTCTCGTGGAGTGGAATATCCAGGCTGCTGGGCCGGCGTTGGCCGGCATATGGGATGCCCACTGGCGTATCGGCGGCTCAGCAGGTACCGAGTTGCAACAGGATGTCTGTATAAAGACCCCTGCAACACCGATTGCGGGATCGAACCCGGTCTTGACGAATTGCCTCGGCGCGTTTCTGCTGCTGCATGTCACCAGCCAGGCGAATGGGTACTTTGAAAACACTTGGGGATGGGTCGCGGATCACGAGTTGGATATGGCCGACCGCCAGCAGATTTATATTTTCAACAAAGGGTGAGAAGTATTCCGTCTGCATCTACATCCCTTTTAAACAGACATGAACAGAGGGAAAAGAACTTTACTGACCTGGTGGTTCTGCAGTGGCTTCCTTTTTGAGTCGCAAGGCCCGCTGTGGCTCTATGGCACTGCGGCTGAACACTCGGTCATGTTTGACTACCATTTCGTCAACGCGCAGAACGTCTTCATGGGCCACATCCAACACGAAACAGCGTATTTCCAGGGCAATCCCAACGCACTGACGCCCTTCACACCACAAGCGTCCTGGAATGACCCGGACTACTCGGACTGCGTGCAGGCCAACTGCGCCCGCACTTGGGGTCTGCGGATCGTCAACTCGAGTTCGATCTTCATGTACGGCGGCGGGCTGTACAATTTCTTCGAGAACTGGAACACGCAGGCGTGCTTGGGCACGGAGAGCTGCCAGGAGAGAATGGTGGACTTTCGCAATTCGACGGATGTCTACCTCTGGGCTTTAAGCACCAAGGGATCGCAGTACATGATTAGTTACGAGGGAACGGACGTGGTGCCGTACAGTGTGAACAAGGCGAACTTCTGCGAGACGATTGCGCTTTTTGAGCTGGCCGCTGACCAGTGATCAAAGCAGATTGGGTGGAAGACGTGGTCATTGGTGGCTTTTTTTCATGGCGGAATATGAATCGTGAGGTGGATTTGAGACGAACGTGATCATTTGGGTAGATGGGAAGGTCAAAGTGGGAAATCTGGGATAGATTGAAAGCCAGCTTGGTCATACAAGACAGTCTTTGGGAAGGAATCCCCGTCCTGATGGCAGGTCTCGCGAACCGAATCCTGCCTAACATGAGCCGCAACTCCCCATGTTCTCTTTGCTTCGACCCTCTCTGTCCATGCGAAGTGTGCGTCCACTCCAACCCACACCCTGACCACATGGAAGAATGAAGAATCTCGCAGACGCAGCATGCAGGAGAAACAGCCCCGGCCCCTGCTTAGGTTTGGGATGACTCTGGTCACCAGGACCAGTAGGACATGCAGATGCTACCACACGTCGTACCAGCACGGCTGAGGGACGACGATCTTTCTCAGAAGATGCATGCATCCCGTAGCTCTTCGGGAGGGGAGAACAAGGCGTCGGGGACAATGTGCATCTTCCTGTTCGTCCAGCCGCTCTCAATTGTTGCTCAGGCCCGACCGCTTCGACCAGCATATGCGACTGCTGGAAAGATCATCCCCGATGGCTAGGCTGTCGGTTGCGGCCCAGCCAGTCTCACCGCACGGTGTGAGACTCGGCAGCGGAACTGCTCTGACAGTGTCCGCAGCCTTATGTGGTAGACGCTAGAGCTGGAACGCCACAAAGGTACGAAGCACCACAGGAGGGCCACAACAATACCATGTGTGTTGATGGAGCACCGAGTGAATGTCCCGGGTACCTCGTACTACCTACGGGAAGCCGAAAACTCCGTGCATAAAGACATGTGGTAGGTCCTTTACTCGACAGCGAATAGCCGGTCCCAACCAGCCCATGGAGAAATCAAAAAAACCATGGCGTAGACGTATTATTGTTTCAGGTCGATGTGGAAAAGGATTCTTGGAGTCGATGGCCAGGAACAACTTCCTGCAGTACTGAAACTGGGAATCGCTCGCCCTTCCAGACATGCATAGCCCTGCTCTGTCCGTGGCCCACCGTCCAGCCATCCGATTCGGGGGATGCTATTAACCTCATTGATGATTCCACGAGTCACACATAATCCTTTCGTGCCTGGCGTCCCATAGGTCCCGAATGTCTTAGTGATGGCTACTAGAATACCACCTCAGCGTCGCTCTCAGACCACCCGAGGGTTAGAGCTTGCTCTCCACCCGCGCAGAGCTGGATCGGAAGACCAGGCCGAGAACACTGCTCCTCCGATCAGAAATCCAAATATGTTACATAGAGAGGGAATAGAGTATACACGGTATACTCCGTTAAAAGTTTACAGAGAGGGTGGCAATGGATATTTGCTTAGGCTGTTGGCTAAGCCTTTGGATGCCCCTGCTGAGGCGGGTATTTCCTTAGCGAAATGAATCGTCTCCGCACAATAATACCTAGTAGGTAGTTTCGCTTGGGGCATTGTGCCAGAAACGAGAGTGACAGGCTGGGCGCGCGTCTGACAAAGATTTCATGTATGAAGCTGCCTTGTGCTTGTACTGTACCATGCAGAATTGGGTGTTAAATACTCGGGTACCTGGCGTCGACTAAGGATTCCTCCAGTGTATGTTCCTACATACCTCGTACAGCTCGCTTCAACGCAAGATTGTCTTTTGAACGGTGCAAGGGCGAATTCAAAAGGACACCAAAGTCCGATGATCCGTACGCCCGCACACAAGCAGAGCTACCGGAGCACGGAGCTGCGAGCATAATGCTACGTGAACCCTCAGGACGGCTTATTCCTTGCGAAGTCATTACCTATTCAACCTCTGCTTGGCGCTGATGGAGATGATGGAGATTATGGAGCTGATGGGAGACCGTGATGAGCATGACGTAAATCTCGGTGGTGTGGCATCCAAATAGGGGATAGCGGCAGCAGTGGAGGCCTCTATACTCGTTACAGGTATTGTGGCAGCCCCGCCGCCGGTCGGAGTTACCTATTGTTTGCTGGAAGACGATGCTTCCGTGTGCAAGAGAACAAACCGCCCTCACCACCCCCAGTTCCACCAATACGGAGCGAACTTGTGGCACGGCATGAACGACAAGCCGTTGGGACGTTGGGCGTTGAGGCCACGAGGGAGGCTGGACTCGAGCCAGAAGGCTGCCGCTGTACCACCGCATACCTGGCTAGCGTATAGCGCCCCAACGGGGCCTAGCGGCTGCAGCCCATGCGAAACATGGCGAGTCAAAGCCGGTAAACACCACACGGGAAAGACAACGGGCAGGCGGGGAGGTTGGTCGCTAACGCACAGACCCCATTGGCCCGGCGCCGTGCGGGGGAGCTCTAGCTCGGGGCTAAGCACGGGGCTAAGACCACGCCACAGCTCACGCCAAGAGCCCCTTCCGGCAAGGCGCCAGCTATTTTCGCCATTCCAAGAAACCGAAGTTTGACTTCACAGACTGACAGGAAAAACTTTGCACAGCACAGCTTCCGCGCCTCACTGCGTGCCTTTTTTGGTCGACACAATGGATTTGGTCATGGGAAATGCTGAATGGCTGACCACATACACCACCCGTGGATGCGGATTCGTCCAGCTTTTACGACATGCAGAGGTCCAGGGCCGTCCAGAGGTCCACCTCCAGGCTACCTCCCCCTCGCCTGGCCTCCTCTGGGCTAACAGTGTCTTGCTCCGCCCGCCCACCACGGCCCCCGCTCCTCGTTATTGCCTCTTTCAGTGCCATCGTCAGCTGAGAGACACGGAAACCAAGGAAAACCACCCAGCATCAAGTTGAATGCAGCCCCAGCCATCATGCTCTGCACATTGTCCCCTCTTTGGGTACTCGGGAGTCCTCGACCTCTCCGGTCAAGGATATAAAGCCATGACGGTAGGTTGTTCAATCAACTTTTTTCTTCCTCCATCATCAGCCCAACCAGCAAGCACAATCCAATCCAACGATCTACTCCAAAGATCTTCCTTCGCTTTCAACAGCCTTTCGTTTTCCAACACTCCCATCTCCCTCGTTTAGTCAACCGACTCCAACCCACAACCCCCAAGCAAAATGAAGTTCTTCTCTGCTGCCCTCTTCATCGCCGGCGCTGCCGCTGCTGCCGTCAAGAGAGACGGTACCTGGAACGACTGGTCCAGCACCTGCGTCGCCAGCACCGAATATGTGACCACCACTGAGTACTCGACTGCCTGGTCCACTGCCTACTCGACCGTCTATTCCACCGCCTGGTCCACTGCCTATTCTACCGTCTACTCGACCGCCTGGTCCACTGCCTACTCCACCATCTACAAGGTCAGATATGCCCCCAATGGACCCTGTTGAAGGGCATGTACTAACATGTTGGAAACAGCCAACCACCACCTACAGCACTGTCTACTCCACTGCTACCGTGACTACGACTGAGACCAAGCCCGTCTACACCACCATCACCGGTAAGTTCGGCTTTGAGCGAATAACTTGCAGTTCGAGCTTCAGCTAACTCGGATCTTTTTAGTCCCCACCACTACCACTGCTTACAGCACCGTCTACTCGACTGAGGTCGAGACTGTCACTTACACTCCTGCTCCGGAATCTGTCTACATCACTGAGACCGTCACTGCTCCTTGCTCCCAGACCTGGGGTGACTGGAACCGCAAGTAGATTTCCTCAGTTCCCCGGCCGTGCTTGAGTAGAGGGAGTGGGGAAGGAAGCTAGTGGATATGTAATGGAACGATGTGGGAGGGATTGTGCACAAAAGGGACGATGAATGGGTTATGATTTTCCTTGCAATTTTGATCAACGACAACGATCACCGACGACGACATGACACCTGTCAAAACTCACAGCAACGGCGCGAAAGGGGGAACCGAAAAACCATGGTAAAAGGGAATGTAATATGGGCATATGACCAGCCTTTGGCGACCAGCAGCACTCTGGGCTCGCGGCGACTTTGGCTCCTTTTTCCATGTCTCTCACACGTGGTAATTCATAGTGGCGATACTATACATATATTTCGCATTGATATCCTGCAGCGATGTCGATGCGACAATGCTATATATCCTGGGCCATGTTGTCTTCTACACCAGCATTTCCTACGAGCATTTCTCCTTTCTGGTTTGTCTCCCAAGGCTGAGAGGGAAGAGAAGAAAAAAAAGAGTGAAGGACGTTCAAAAAGGCGATGGGACGCGGGCAAACTCCTAATCCTTTGTTGATCGTCTGATTGTACCTGGCGAGTGGCAAGCCGGATCAAAAGTCCAACATACATTCAGCTCTCTCCAGCTCTTGTCTGCTTCTTCTCCACCTGGTCCACACACCTACCCACCATATCCGCGTGAGGTCAGATGTGAGCAGTCACTACCTAGAAAAGCTTGCAGGGAGCTGACCCTTGGTGGCCCACCCACACTGAATACCTGCTACTCCCAGTGCTACTAACTGCTCCAAGTAGTACACCCTCGATTCAGTTTGTAGGGATGGGTACTTGGTACAGAAGGCAAGAGGAGAAAGACATGATGTATGTATGTATGTATGTATGTATGTAGATGCTGCCTTCTTGTCACTGACCTCTTTGCTTCTTGTGCCGTCGCTGCCGTAAGCCGCTCGATCCGTCTGCCTGGTCCTGCCACTGACTGTGCATGGCCCCTTCCATCCTGTGTGCAAAGTACCTATTGTCTATTCTGCTCTCTCTACCTAGCTCCCTAGGTACTCACTCTCTCCCCCTCCGTCTGTCACTCTCTTTCGCTTTCGTACCTGGTTGTGCGCACCCATTGCACGCTCAGTGTTCATTGCTAACAATCACCCGTTCTACACTCCACCCACGGAAACCTCCATTGCAGCTTCCGTTTCGTCCGCCTCCGCTGTTGTCCGCGGTTTTCTTTTCGTGACAGCCGCAAGAATTACATAATTTTTCTTTCTTCTTTCGATCCTCAACTAGGCAAGTGGCAGGCAGCTGGAGCAAGTCGGGCACAGGCTCGCGCCCTTCCCTCTCAACCAACCAGCAGCAAATAATTATGACGATGCAATGACCGCTTGCAGTAAGCGAAAAACCGAGCCATGGGTACCCAGGTAGGTACGAGCAGCACGCACAAGGCCAACTCATTCGCATGGACCCGTTCTGAGCTGGAGCAGCTTCTTTCCCAGCCCGTGACATCAGACAGACAGAGAGGCAGCCCGGCCCTGTTGGTCGGCTGAGCATTTGGGCGTCAGTTCTGTCCCGCTGAACTATTGCCATATCTGTTGCTGCTACTGCTCTTTCTGGTATCCTTGAAACTTGTTGGGGGGCCGAATGGTAAGAGTCAGGCTGAGTCTGATTCTGTGTCTGAACACGAGTGTAGGTAAACGGATGATCTTCTTGGCCCCTTCTCCCTCCCGGTAAGGAATCATCCCCTCACCACACTCCCCTCCAGCAGTGCCCGAGAAGAAGACAACTGTCCAGCGAGGCTGGGGCTTGAGGCTCTCTCACCTCCAGTCATCACCAACAGCGGCTCGGATATAGTAGCCAAAGCTCTTTCCGCAGCAGGGATTTCCCTTGTTCAATGCCTCACCCGCTATTTACCTACCACCTAACTTACTCCATAGGGATAGGTATGTGCTAAGCTACATGGAACTTGCCCCAGCCTCAGGCCCGCAGTGCTCAACAAGCTCTCGACGGGGCTTAGCGGATGCCAATAAGCAAGAAAAAAAGAGGTCGAAAGACAGCGCTCTCGGGCGAGGGCATTAAGGAGCGGGGCGCACAAGGGTCGAGGGTCGCCTACTCGCATTACCAGGGCCTGGAACTAAACTCGTCCAGGACAAGAGCTATACCAAGTCTCTTCCAACCCCGCAATCCAAGGTTCTTGGGCCTCGAGACCTTTTGGAGTGACACACATTCACTTCGCCACCCGAGTTTCCGGGGATTTTATTTTTTCTATGCAGCCTTTTTGCAGCTTATTCTTCCACGGAGTTCAAGAGCAGTGACACCCAGAAGTAGGTAGTCACACCGCATTTCTCCGGCCGTCCTGGATTCCTGCAGCCCCGGCCTCTGTCAAGACACGTCGGGGAAATAGAGGATCCTGATCGTCAGTCAAGGTCAGACGTGAGACAAAGAGAGAGACGTGTTTGTTCTTTCTGGTTCCTCAATGGCACATCATTCGACATTTTTGCCACCCGGATGTCTCAGTCCACGGTTGGACCGGATCGAGGTGGAGGCCTCGACTTGTCGAGCTCGTATCCCTACCTACTACCCAGTGCCTGCCACGTACGAGGGTACAGGACTAACTAACTATGAGTAACTGACTTGCTGTATGTAATCTACAGGACCTTGTCAACTTTCTTCCACCCTAGGTTTCTGCCGTCCTCACTCTGCGCCCTCTCGCTTAACTCTGCTACTGGAACCCCTACCTCCCAGGGACCAGGGTTTCCCGTACACCACGACCTTGGTAGCGCCACATACCTATCACCTACGAGGTTAAGCACTCGCATCACTCGTACCTGTCCCAACTCACGCCCAATCCAATCACTCCTGCTGCCATGACGTGCCTCGCTGTTCAATGGCCAGGATCGTCTCGATGTGGCGCATCTCCACCTTCGGCCCACGTTGCTGATCCTTGGCTTGTTCCTGGCTGGCATTGCTGCTGCTGCTGCCGCCGCTGCTGCCGCCTTCGCTTCGTGCCAACATCTGCGCCTGCAAGTAGCTGTCTGTTAGCCAAACAGAACTCATTCTTCGATTCATTCCATCATTCTCATGCAGGACATATTTCGCAATCACTCCAGAAGTAGGCACTGCTCCGCCCAACAGACACATGTCTTTGTTTCTTTTTTTGGGTGGTTGCTCTTTTCTCGTTTCCCTTTGGCGAGAAAAGAGAGCGAATGAGGGGAAAAGGTAACTTACCGTCTTCAGAATATTCTTGATTTGTCGCCCGTTCAGGTCCACCCGGGCCAGGCGCTCCAGGTCTTTCCCGCTCACCGGATGATCCTGGCCCAAGAAGGTCTGCCAGATGTGCCGGCGAGACTCGACCGCCAGGTTGGGGTAGTTGACCGTCACATGGATGCGGCTGTGGAATGCTTCGTCGATGTTCTTGATCCGGTTCGTCGTCAGGAATAAGACGCCCTCATAGTACTCCTGCCAATGGGGAAAAGGTGGACCCTGGTCAGCCTGTATGTCTCAAAAAAAGGTGAATTGCGGCAGAAACAAAAGAATGACGGGCTGCCCAAAGCATGTCGGCTGTTGTGACTTGTGCAAGCCAGAGTAGCAGCCCGACTTCCCGGCTGTATGTACCTAGTCTCACAACCAAGGCGCCTGCAGGGGATCTTCGGGGAGAAAAGATCTGCCCGTACAACTTTCAAGTTTTTTTTCCCCGGCCCCAAATAATGGCGCACACACCGGTTTCCCAGAGACACATAGCACGAGGCGGACAAGGACGGGGCGGGCTGGGTTGCGACGGAACAGCCTTGGAAGGGGGGCGGATTTTGCAACTTACCAGGACACGAAGGAAGATCGACACCATCTTGTTGCGCTCGAGATCATTGGAGCTTCTTGCCTCCAGAAAGACGTCGGCTTCGTCGAGCAGCAGCACTGCGTTCCACTTGCTGACCATGTCGAGCACCAGGTTGAGCGACTCCTCAATCCCAGAAGGATCCAGGCCCAGATCTCCGGCAGACATCATGTAACTGGGGGGCGGCGCAAAAGATTCTCGCGTTAGCTCTCTGTGCCACTCTCCGAGACGACCATGTTTTTGGGACGATCTTTTTCTTGTAATGTCACAAACAAGTGGGAAAAAACACTTACAGAGGCACCCGCATGTCTTCGGCGACACTCTCGCTCGTCAAGGTCTTTCCAACCCCAGGAGGGCCTGCAAGGAGCATGATCATGCCACGGCCTTTGCCAGCAATGACATCGTCAAAGTCGTCCTTGTACTTGACTTGGGACTCGACAAATGCGCGGATCAGCGACTTTTGCTCCTTGGGCAAAACTAGCGACGCAAAGGCGTTGTTGGCGAATTTGATCTCCTCGACCTGATCAACGTAGAACCAAAGCTGGTGGGTTTCAACCTCCGTTAGTATCAAAAAGGGACTATGATCAGGAACGGATGTAACAAGGATTGGCTCTAGCAAGACTCTCTTCCCCAACTCTGCCAGAGGCTACTCGGACAGCGTGATGACTTACCCATTTCTTGGTTTTCAGCGCATAACCTCGCACGTATGGCACTGCCAGGAGCAATTCCTCCGGCGTAAGTGGACGGTGCTTGGGTTTGCATGCGTCGTTGTCCGAGTCGGGAGTGGCAAGGAAGTCCGAGTCGTCGTCCGAGGAGCCGTCGATATCGAATTGCTCCTCTGCATCGTCCGACGGCAGCTCAAATCCGTTGACCTGTTTGGCTGGCTTGAAAAGCGAGCTGAAGTACACCGCATTGTTGGGCAAGAATCGATTGTGCGCTTCGCAGTCGATGATAATTCGAGATTCGACGTTGTGTCTGATCATCCCACAGCGGCCGTACCCAAGAGCAACACCTCGATATGCTTTGTAATGATATCCTGCAAGCCGTTCAAAGAGCTTGCCGCGGGCCACCAGTCGAAGCATCAGCTGCTCTTTCTCAGGGTGAAACTTTAGCGGGTATGCTCGAAGAGAGGTGATGGGCGTGGTGCCGGCAAATTCGTAGTTTTCGAGGTAAGTAACATGCTGTCCGAACTTGGTGCCATCCCAGTCTACCGACCACACGTCCAGCTGCAAGAAGTCGAGTCCGCGTCTTTGGTCGGTTGCCTTGGTCGAGCAATTCAGCTTGAAGACACACTCCTTGCCATCAGACACGCTGTACACCAGCGTCTGCGGCTCAAAGATTGTCCACAGGTATTCAAAAGTGATGACCCCGTTCTTGACTAGATCGACTTTGGCAGCGATTGCGTTCTCGAGCTCCTGGAAAAGGACATCACGGAAGAGTTTGAGGTGGTCCCTGGCAATATCCTCCTCGAAGTCATCCTTCTCGAGAAGTGAGGCGAGCCTGTCCCATCGATGCACGAATGGATGGAACGGGGCGGGAAAGACGAGTCGGTCGAGATTGGTCGTGATACCGGGATAGTCTTCGAGGATGATTCCCAACGACTCCTTCAGCCACGGACTTTGGACAATGATCGAATGGATGTCGTATTTCTGGAGGTATTTATGAGCGAATCCTCCTATCAACAAGCCATGAAGTTTGGTGACGATAGGGCTCTGCCACGCATCAATCGGCAACTTACCTTGCGGCTGTCGTAACTCTTCTGTTTGCGCACCAAGAAGGCAAATCTGGCAGTTTCTTCATTCTCGGCGGCTTCGACGACGTCCACCGGCTCTTCAGTCACCCACTGGTACTTGCCATCTTGGTCCTTCTTCGAATACAGCGCCTTGGCCTCATTGATACTACCCTTGGGGACCGGTGCTTCCTTGGGCTTCTCCTCCTTCACCTCCTCCTTCTTCCCATTAGTTTCCTCCACCTTGACAGGGCTAGCCTCGTCTCGCTCTCCAGCCCTGACGGCGGTCTGCTTCGATCCAGGCATCTTGACGGCTGAAAAGAGGTGAAAACACGATTGTGGTTTCAATGATGGCAATACGGACTGGACTTAGGAAAGATTGCTCCAAGTCGATCGAAGACGAGGGCTGCATGTTTATACAGGTTCTGAGAGCGTCCCGTCTGATGGAGAAGTTGACAGACTATGCTGGACGATCCTGTTGCCTGAAGCACACCAGCTTACAAGTGGATTGGGCGTTGACTCACCGTGGGGATGGCCGACTCATTACGATGAGGCATGGCGTGAGCAGATGATGCCAGAAAGAGGCTGATGCCTGTGAAGGATTCCAGGCACAACGAGGCGCAGACGCCGTCAGGAGCTTCAAGGCGAGGGTTGATTGGCCTCTGTCATGAGTCATTGAGGGTGGAAAGGCAACGTGGATGTGGGATGTTGAAATTAGGTCAAGTCGGCGTGTCGATAGTGAGATCTGAGCTATGCAGCCTGCGGTCCAGGTAGGCGAAAGGGCCTTGTGGTGATAACAAGTGGATCGATAAGAGTGGGTTGATAAAGAGCAAACGCCGGACGCAAGGCAGACGGATAGGCGAACTGAAGGACTAGCCTCTTTCGGCAGAAGGTGGCCGCCTGGGTCTCTTCTCACGTGTTCATTATCCCAAGGCTGAAGTTCTACGGCAGAAACGCCCAGAGACTCTCATTCTCTCCCAATATAGCAGGAAGACGCAATGATCGAACGGTGGTCGATTGCATACTTTTCCCTCCGATACAAAATGACTTCCTGGATTGGCATGAAGTGAAGGTCATCATATTCATGGACAAGTTATAAGCGTTAAAAATGTTTTGATCAGACAGCTCTCAGCCCCTGAAGAGTCTATTTTGCCGTCAGCGCAAAGCTAACACCCAAAATACCCATACCCAAAAAAGCAAAAGCAATGCAGGTGCTCTTGTTATGACTGAGCTGCAGGCTTTCCGAGAACAGTGACAACGCGACGCTGGTCATGACGCCTGACGTGACTGCAAACATGCCACCATATACTCCTTCAGTGGGAGCACCTAAGCTGCTCCTGTTGGCTATTTTGAACCATAAAGCTGCAATGGCGGCTCCAAGTGGCTGTGAAATGCCGCCCAAAAAGGACGACCATGCAATGGCTTTCAATCTGGAGCCAAGCGCGAGATAAAGAGGTAAGGACATGGCGAAGCCTTCCGTGATGTTGTGAATGAATAACGCCATGAAAACAGCAAAGCCAAGCTGAGGATTTGCGTGGTTCGTTGCATATGTAATGAAGCCCTCCGGCGCCTTGTGCAATGCGATGGCCAATGAAGTCTGCAGACCAATTGACATGAATGCGTTGGTGGGGACGTGATGATGGTGTTCATTTCCGCCCGAGTGCGAATGCTGAGACGGCCGACGTTCGGACTCGCTCAGACTTGTGTGTTGGTGCGCAGGGTGATGGAAGTGATGCGTCGATGACCTTGTGCGGTGCAAGTCTGGTTTCAAGCTCCTCGTATCGGCGCCATCGGTCGTGTAACGTCCAAGAGTCGAGCCGTTTGGCAAAGCGTCTTCGTCGACTTCTCCCAGCATCGGCTCCGCGTGTACTTCAGTCGTCCCGCTGCGCCACGTGGGTGAGCGCAAGAAAGGGCCGTTACCTGGTAGCACAGAACCTCGTCTTTGCACAGCCTTGAAGCAGTCCTGGCCACAGGGATCCGAAAATCCCATGCATGGACCAGTCTCATCACAATTCTCCTTTTGACTTCCCATATATTTTGTGAGGGTCTTCGTCAGCGTCTTAGGCATTATTGACGGCCTTCGATGGGTCTGCGCGGTGTGATATGTAGGCTGACGCTCTGTTTCATTCTCCCCAGTCCTTTCATACTGGGGCTTCTTGGGGCTGACGCTTGTGGTCCGTGAGAGCAAAGGAGTGTCTTCATCTTCCTCTTCCGTCTGCCCAGGGCGATTTTTGCATATTAGGAGGCCATTCGTGTGTTCATCGTCCACTGCATGTTCTGACATCTCTTCGTGATTCTTCCCCTCCTCCTCGTCATGAGTGTGGTCGCAGTCCACAACATGTGACGGGATAAATTGATGGAGAATGCGGGAGAATGTCTGAATGCCTATGACGCCGGCCAAAAACAACCCGATCAGGAAGTATGAGGCTGCCCGCGGGGAATAGCCTGCGTCGATAAAGTACGTCTTCGATTGTGGAAGCATCGAGTATAAGGCGGAGAACAACTGCTTCCAGTCAATACCGAGTTCACACAGTATCCACAAACACGTACCATGACCCCGAAACTGAGGCTTAATGACGCGGATAGGAACCCATCACTTTCGGATATCGAAAAGTATCGCCAACGTGGAAACTGGCGTGCCACTATATCGATGCAGATGATCGAAGAGCCAAGGACGCATGCTATTGAGACACATAAATCAGTCCTCGTCGAGAGCAATCTGGGGAGATAACGCTGCCTACCAATGCCGCTGATGCATGTCATGATCCATCCTTTGGTATCGTTGTCGATCGCCATCTTCAGCGGTTTCTTTTCGTGCTGCGCGGCAAGGTCATGTATACAGCAAGGAACAGTAGTAAAGTGTATCCAGTCGACGTTCTACAAGATGATTCAAGTTATGTTTGTGGTCACTTAAGAAAACTGAAGCTGGGAAGAGAAAAGGAGAATGTCAGGTTCGAGGTATCTACGAGGATTCGTTAGGAGGCGCGAGTGCAGTTGGCGGTTGGCAGTTGGCAGTTGCAGCAGGTGGGATGACGAACATTCCAAGAGCATCTTTCAGAGGACCTTAAAGACTACGCCCCCCGTGGCTTAGTCGAAACACGGGGCCAAGGGAGCAGGAGAGGCGCGAATCATGCGCCGCCCGACCCGTCACCCCCCGTTGGACTGTAAGCAGTTGCCTGTGGGTGACCTGCAGGGCTGGCCCAGCCTTGTCATCTTTAACCGGAATCCACTTGTCGGCCACGCGCAGGGGTCAGCAGATCCGGCGAGCAGCACCCATAGCGGCACCTGTGCATGCTGCCGATTGGCCTTAAAATAGTCAAAAAGCAGACACGACTTTTCCCCCTTCGCATCCAGCCTGCGGACGCGTTTCTTCATGGAATGGTGTCGAGGTTGTTGATCGACTTGTGTACATGTCAAAAACCACCATTGCTATCATAGCAGCGACGTCTGCCTTTGCAGGCGCGTCGCTGACAGCCTTCTTGCTTCCTGGCCATCGAAAAGATGAGCCAAAACCAACTCCGACATTGAAGGAAACACCAACGATACCTGCGCAGTCAACTACTCCTCCCGCTCCTGTTCCAGTCCCTGTACCTGTACCTGTGCCAGTGGCTGTACCGGCCAAACCTCCTCCAACTGCCATCCTCCCTCCCGTCGATCCTTCTGGTATCCTCCGTTATGGATTTCCTGGCCCAATTGCCGACACGTTGGCCACGCCCTCTCATCTTTCTGCCTTCAATAGATTTACCCGGAACCCCCATTGGGTAGCAGAACATTTCACAGCACAATCTCTACTGCTAAACAACGGATCTCGACGGAATAGCGTCTTCTACGAGGACCTGTCAATTCCTTCAATGTTTCGAGCCAAACTTTCCGATTACTTTCGCAGCGGGTATGACCGAGGACATCAGGTTCCGGCAGCAGACGCGAAATGGTCACAAGAGGCAATGGACTCCACGTTTGTCTTGAGCAATATGTGTCCACAAGTGGGAGAAGGTTTCAATCGCGATTATTGGGCTCATTTCGAGGAATTCTGCCGAGACCTGGCTAAGAAGTTCCCCAGCGTACGGGTGGTGACAGGCCCTTTGTACTTGCCGAAGAAAGACGAACGGGATGGGAAATGGAGAGTTTCTTATGAAGTAATTGGCAACCCGCCGAACGTGGCCGTGCCCACTCACTTCTTTAAAGTCATCTTCGCGGAGGAGGCTGCACTGCACCCGAACGGATCTGTGGCGCTCGGTGCATTTGTGTTGCCCAATGCTGAGATACCCAACTCCAAGAGCTTGAGCGATTTTGAAGTTCCTCTTGAAGCGATTGAAAGGGCCAGTGGACTGGTATTTGCTGAGAAATTAGCCCCTGAAAGAAGAAAACGACTCTGCAGGGAAGTCAGATGTGAGATAATGGTTCGAGAATTTGACAAGAGTCGTCAACTAGCGAACAATATTGGCCCGGCCCCGAGAAATCCTCCTCAAGTTCAGCAACCCGGGGGAAAGTGGTAACCACGTCATCAGAGTTGAGCCCGACAGGGAATTGAAGACGTCTGCCTGGATCGAATCGACCTTGATCAACGTTTCGCTGCATAGGAACACCTTTCGAAAGCTGAACTTCATTCCGACCACTCTGCAGATCTATCCCTACGCATTGGCTGGCCCTATGACGGGATCTCCAAGGCGATATGTCCGGGAAACGGAAAGGAAAGACGTATCACATAGCCACGAAGGGGAGTCGAAGAACGCTATCGGCACACAACAAACATCCATTCCCACCTGACGGCACGTCATACGAATCGGGTTGTCTTCTTTTGACCGATCGCAACGCACACCTCCGGAGACGGCCGTGCAAACCCGTTCTATATAGTTGATGGCCTCTTTGGAGAGCAGCTGTTATACTCCAGGAGAGCAGACCAATTCCCGGCATGGATAGGGTTGCAGCCCTCAATTTACTGAACGGCCGGGCGGGTCGCGTAAACATGGATGAAATCTGGCACTTCGCAAGACCCTACCGGATCTGAACCATCCACTCAGGATAGAGCCGGGGGAATACACCTCTCATCGATCCATTTTGAGAGTCTGATTGACCCTGATTTAGACGTGTGTAAAAGGGTTGGTAGAAGCGATCCAGTCTTTCCAGAACGACAATTACAACGCCGAGGATCCTTCTCAAGCTTTCCTGCAGCATTTGCAAGTCCGAAGGTTTTACGTCCGCGAACAGGAGAAGGGATGTGTATGGTCCATTGGGTTGACTGGATTATTTCATGCCTCGGGAAAGTGTCACCATGTAGCTTGCTAAGCCTCACTTGTATCAAGAAGAAATAAGCTGTCTTCTGTTTGTCACGGGCTACTTATGATTGTGAAAGGGGAAATTTGTGACAATATGCCGTATGGAAGAGCGAGCATTGTACTATGAGGCTTACAGTGTAATCTGAAGCGGTGTTTGTATAAAGCAGAATTGGAGGAAACAATGGTGACGTTGGTGTGCTAGGATTGCCAAGCAAGTCTCATGCCAGTGGGTGGGTGGTGGGCTCCGAGTCCTTGGGGTCCTGTCGCGGCTGGTCGCGCTTGGAAATTCAGCTCAAGTCTGCCAACAGCTGGCTACCTACCTAAGTACATTGCGCATTTCACAGACCCGCGTTAGAGCTGCAATAACACTATTCCCACGGCTTAAGATGACCCAAGTCTGTCTGCTGGATTCTGATCGCCTGTCTTCGCTTTTACGAGAAGCTCTGTCCTGGAGTGAAAATGTCTCGTCTCTCATGGTCTCTGCTCTGAACGGATCCATACTCGCATACGCTTACAGAGGCACTACGCCGTCGATCAAAGCTATGCGCACTCAATCTACCACCATGACTGCAGCTTACACGGTCGCCTCGGAGGACGTGCTTGTCTTCGAGGCACAAAACATGGGAGCAATCTCCGTCATTGCTCCTGTTGCAGACCATGTGCTGTTGGCCGTGACGGGACCTGAACCGAAGCAGAAACAGGCCCTGCAGAATGGGCATGACTCGTCCCAAGAGCACGGGCAAGTGGTCAATGGAGTCGAAGATCATACAGAAGGCGAGGGAGGAGAAGAGAACGGCCCGCAGGACGAGGAGGATAGAGATATACAGAAAATTCGGGACGACCTTGAGGCTGTCAGCCAGGAACTGGCAAATGTGCTTAGGGAAGAGCTCGCTGTGATGAAGTGGCCTGACGATATATGATGATATCGCGCACCGCATGCGACAAGGTCTCGCTACCTGGAATCCTGCTCAGGCGTCCGCACAACGTCGACAATTCGGTGGACAGAGACTCCAGTTATTTTACTTGCTGGGCGCAAATCACATCGTCCTGCGCTAGCTCAAGCATCTCTACTCCTCGGGCAGAGCTCGACATATTGGTGGCATTTCGCAGCTCTGCGGACTGGGATGGATTAGTTACGGCGGCGGCAGCAGCAGCAACCATCAACTTTTTGGCTGAAATGGGGACGGAGAAGACAACCCTAGTGCCCTCCCCGCATGGAAGGCTCGGGGACCCACCGAAACCTCGAGGAAGACCCGGAGAAGAGGTTAGTGGGTTAAGTCGAGTAGGGGTTGTTAGGGGCCCCTAACCAAAGCCCAGCTTGCCGCCCTGCCACCCATGCCACCTATTGCCTTCGAACCCATTCGATGTCACGATCGCACTCGAAACTCAATCTTCCACATCCGCCGTGCCCAACGTCTTCTGCTTTTCTCCTCGTGCAACTGCCGCCTCCTGGCTTTGCGCAGACCTCTTCTTGCTTTCATTGACTTTCTGTGCCAGCGATAACACCTCCTGCGGTCGTGACCTGTTACCATGTTGTACGTTGGCGATCGCTTTTCGGACTCTGCTGGCCTCCACTGATAGCAGCTGCGCAGTGCGATCCCCCCACCACCACGGTATCCTACCAACAGCGGCTTGATCGCGACAACCCTCGAAACTGCGAATACTCTGACCATTCGCGAGGGACCCGAATACACATTTCAAGCCGGTGAAGGTAGCTACGATTCTAGCCAGCATCACAGAAAGATTTACTGAGAAACGGGCAGGCACGTATGTTTTAAGAGACGACCTGCAACTCGCGACCCCACCGCCTCATCCTTCTGAAGCCCCCGTCATCAATCCCAATCCTCTCGCGACCAGTGCTACTCCGCCCACGAGTGGTGTTAAATTGTCTCTAGTATCCTTGAGCCCGAAACAAATCACTCCGGACCTCTACAGAACCACCACCGCAACAAGTAGTCTTCTGCGCTGGAGAACCCTGGGGTTGAACAATTCGAAGGAGACAAAGGAGTCCAAGGAGCTCAAGGACGCGAGGGAATTGAAAGATATCAAAGAGGTAGAGAAAGAGCCGAGGATATCCATAGAGACCGGCAGCGACAGTAGTAACCTTGCAGCGTCACAAAATGGAAGCAACAAGTCGAGCACAGTGAAAGCATTTGGTGAGGGCAATGCTGCCCTTTCTCCAGTCATCAGCAGAGATGGTCTCAAGCGACGGAAACCGAAGAACAACATCATCAAAAGCAATTCGTCTTTCGTCTCTCGCGTCATTCCCCACGAATCTCTCGCAAAGAAGCTCCAGGAACGAGACCAGCGAGGTACGTTCGCCTTTATCAACATCAACCGGGCTTTTCAGTGGTTGGATCTGTCTTCAGGGGCAAAACAGGACCCAATGACCAAAATCCTCTTTACCAAGGCAAGTGAATCGTCTCTACGCAAGCTCTAAAAGCGCAACTCATTGTTAGCAACTGGTCGATGTCGGTATCAACTAATCGAACCCTACAGGCTCACATGCTATGTCATGATGTCAATAGCATGACCAAACACTCGACGCATATGGACATTGTAATGGGTTCCTCGGCCAGTGATATCATCTGGTACGAGCCCATATCGCAGAAGTATGCCCGCATCAACAAGAACGGCATGATCAATAATTCGGCGATTTCTGCGATAAGATGGATACCTGGATCAGAGAACCTCTTCCTGGCGGCTCACATGGACGGAACTCTTGTCGTGTACGACAAAGAAAAGGAAGATGCCCCTTTCGTCTCGGAAGAGCTGGTGGACGAGGCGATTAGTATCGAAGATGAAGACCTGTCCACGTTGGTCATCAGCAAGAGTGTGAATTCGTCCAATCAAAAGGCTAATCCGGTAGCTTGCTGGCGGATTTCCAATCAGAATATCACCGACTTTGCTTTTTCGCCGGATAATAGACATCTCGCTGTAGTCGGTGACGATGGTTATCTCCGGATAATAGACTATCCGCAAGAAAGGTACGCAGAGGTTCTATCACTCCGCGCATACCTTGCAGGATTTGCGAGACTGATGCTGCGCAGGCTGACCGATATATATTCCTCCTATTATGGCGGCTTCACATGCGTATGCTGGTCGCCTGACGGCAAATACGTGCTCACCGGAGGCCAAGACGACCTTGTCACTATTTGGTCGCTACCTGAACGTCAGATTATTGCTCGATGTCCAGGACATGACTCATGGGTAACGGCTGTTGCTTTCGACCCTTGGCGCTGCGACGAGAGGACATATCGTTTTGGCAGTGTAGGCGATGATTGCAAGCTCCTGCTTTGGGACTTCAGTGTTGGCATGCTGCGTCGTCCAAAAGGGGTAAGCTGATTACTGTGGCTGCAAGGTCGATTTGACAGCCGCTGACACAGGAAACATCAGGCAACGGCTAGGACTAGAGGCAGTATCTCGGCCCAATCGATCTCGCTGCTCCGTCAGCGGACGGAGAGCACAAGCATCGTCAACCGAATCAGATCTGACTCAAACCGGACCGGAAGTTTCGTCCAACCCGACACGGTCGACGAGTCCGAATTTCTCAACCATGCCGTTGAACCCAGAGCAAGGACGGCACAACTGCCCCCTGTAATGGTATGTCCCCAACAAACGTGGCCGGGCAAGAACTTCCATGGTGCAGGCACTGACATACACTTGACAGTCCAAGAAGATAGATGACCATCCGCTGAGTGGTCTCGCATTCGAGCAGGACTGCATCATCACGACTTGTCATGAAGGTAAGCGAGCATGTTTCATTCCTTTCCTGACCAATCCTCTACACGAGCGAAGAGCGAACGGCTGAATACTCACAATCTTTGAAGGACACCTGCGTACGTGGAACCGACCTCGAGAAGCCCCAAACAGCAGTCAAATAGACATCTCGGAAAAGCCGAGGTCCTGAGTTGCATGTGCCACATAGCGACAATGTTGAAGCCTCGCTATGGCAGGAGATGTCGTTACTGGCTGAACCGCCTTGCTCGGCTACGAATGGCCCTCAGTAAGGCCTCCGGGTGGAAGTTTCTAGCTATCAGCGCTTCGGACATGTCGATAGGAAGCGATGAGGCATAGCGCACAAATATATCCTCGTCTGCTCCAGCTGAGTGTGGTATTGGCTTCCAGTGTTCGCTAAAATCCCGATGTTTGCAAGCTTCACCATGAAAACGGTGTGATCGACGACTGAAGAAGACTGCGGCAACACAATACCCGCGGTGGGTCTGCCAGTGTAAGTTAACAACGTCTTGCCTGTGGCTGCGTTGGACAGTCGAGGCAGTCATGCTAGCACTACTGGCACAAAAGTTACTCTCAAGCACGACGAACCACATGACGACTAAATAGTACCATCAGCGGCAGCAAACATTCCGCTTAGCACGGGGGGTGCCGATGAGCCGGACGATAGAGGGATTTCTCAACTCCCTTGGACCGATTCCATCCAATTCTTGCTAGCTTGTTCTCCAGAGAGTTTCAGGCGGCACCATGATTCCGAGATGGTGCCATCGGCCTACTCATAACTCCAAGCATCTTTTGAAATCTTGCACAACCCAAAGCTGAAGTTCCGGCCACCGCGGCTTTGGAAAAGAGCGCGGGGCCGACAAGAGCGGCCGTCCCTCCTCTCAAGGTGCCATCGCTCCGAGTAGACTTTCCCAGAGCAGCCATAAGTGCCATAAGAAAGTGAACAGGGTGGGATCTCATGCAGGGTACTGTTGGCCTTCGGTATGACGAGGCCAATGAAGGGAGCAAAAGCAGAGGGGGGAAGGCGATGCACTCGACTGAGAGATCACACCTAGCCAGAAATTAAACAAGCGAAAGGGGCTTCTGCTTCTGTTCAGGAGCTTTGGGGGCCTCGGTTTTGGAGGTGCATACTCGTACTCCATAATATTGTTTCTGACTGTGCGTCCAGTGAGAGGAGAGCGGCGGCTTTGTAAGATAGCCATGTTTCCGTGATTGGGATCAGGTTGCGGAGCCAAGGGCCATTTCTTTTCAGCCCTGACGATCCCCGGCGCTCCGATCACTTTTGAGGGGGCTTATTGGGGATGCATGTAACGAATAGTGATAAGGGGCAGTCACTCCGTTTAAAGATTCTAAGGGCCAGCTGGCTGCTCGTGTGAGGTGTTAGTTGTGCGTATTCGCAGGACACGGGTTTCGCAGGCGCACTTCCCAAGCAGGAAAAGGAGGACAACACAGTTTTACTCTCAGTGTCAGATGCTTCGGTCTTGTGCCATTGCCTTCCTCCATCGCGACTCTCTTTCCACGTGCCTCGACACTTCAATTTGGTGGCTATACCTAGGTACTTAGAGGGCAGGTGAGAGGTTGCTGGGTACGGCATTCATTCACCTTTACGAGGTACTGTCGGAAGAGAATCAGATCGGCTATCGTGCGTCACTATCAGCCTGACATCAGTGCTATCAGGCTTATCTCTGTCTGCATATGAGTACCCGCATGTCCCTACGATTCCCGACCATTTCCTCCTGACTACCCAGGAGCCCACTGTCCAGGTGACAAGGTTTCGGAAGAGATCGCAGCCTTCAGCAGGGAAACCCGCCAAAGGAGCAGCGCAGCCTGCAAGCAGATTGGCCAGGTCCGGTGGAACATCAGCAAGGAGCCAGATGCAGACGGAGATACTGAGAAAAGCCCAAGAAATTGCGAGACAAAGAAAAGGTGAAATATGACGCTGGGCAACCAACGATCGGCGGGAACGAGAGCCATTTTACGAGAACTTCCAGCACCAATGCTAGCACCTTTGGGCCCTCTGAAGGCCACAGCAAAGATCAGGGCTAGAGTCAAGGCCAGGACACCGTTGGCGGCTCAAGTGGAGGATCCAGTCCCAGTCGTCAATCACGGCATCCACCACGACGTCGATGGTGAAGAAGAGCGACTCGAGGACGAAAATGTGAACAACAGCAACAGGCGAGGGAGATCCAACACAACATCCTCTTTCTGGACCACGGCTTCGTCGTCGAGCTCGATACGTGCCATCCGGCGCAGCGAGAGCAGCCACCCTAATCCTCACCACGAAAATATCGACGAAGCTGCGAGTTTCTCGATCGAAGCACCCATCGAAGCCGAAATTGTTGCAGCCACAGAGAGTGCGTCAGGCACAGGGCCAGTAGGGCCAAGCGCTGGTTCCACCACTACTGGTACCACTACCGCAGCCTCGGCGTCATCGGTGTCATTCGCGGGAGCTTTACCCAGAAGAGGGCCTAGAAGGGCTCATCAGCCCACGGAAGCCACAGACTCTGGGCCAAGATCGGCATCTTCAGCATCAGCTTCATCAGCAGCGGCCAGTGCACCACCACCACTGGCACCAGTGCCACCGGTATCGAATGGCGGCGGGAGAACAGCCGGAGTGGACCATCATCAGAGGGACCCGCGGCTGATAACAGTAAGTTCCCAAACGGCTAATGAGGCCCTTTCATTAGCCACTCTGCCGGCATCTTCTCAGCCTGGGTGCAGCCATTCCCGCCCAGAGCACCCACTGGATGCCCGCCAGTGCCACCCAGCACGCAACCTGCCATGCCTCCCCTACCCACTCTTTGGACCCTCCCGTCCAATAATCCCGTCCATCCTGGGTCATTATCTTTTTTCCTTTCGCAATCATCACCTCAAATTTCTGCTGCATGTCCACCTACGTATGAGTAGAGAGTTGTGTGTACCTGACTGCGCTTTCTCATTGCGCATGCTGCTTTCTCTGTCATATGCTTCGTTCTCAATCCTTTTATTTCACTATCTCGTCACTCACTATCTAATGCTCTTACTCCAATCCAGCAGATTAGGCCACTCCTTCGCCTAAACCGCAAGCATTCACCCGAATGCTCCTCCGGCCACCATGAGCCAGTTCTGCGCCCTTCCTTGAACCAGCGTCCTTCGAGTTCTTCTTCCTCATCTACCGCTGCCGACCGTCACCTCCACGGAGCAGCACCTGCCAAATCACAAGCCATGGCGCTCAAGTTTCTGAGTGCACATACCCCTCACTCCTCAGGCTCGAGTAGCAGTGTCAAGTACTTCGATATCCGTCTCGACAATGATTACATCGTTTTCCGGGGCAGTGAAGACGAGGCTGCTAGTGCCCAACTGTCCGGGTCTCTGGTTCTATGCCTCACGGAACCTATGACTATCCATCACGTTGACTTGACTTTGAGCGGGATTCTACATATGTCGTAAGTCAAAAGGTTGCCCCACGGGATTCCCGGCAGTCCCCTCTCGCTCGCGTGATCACTTAGCAACTAACCTCTTGTGTTCAGATGGCAGACCACTTCCACGTCCTCTATGTCGGGCCGGCGGACCACTTACAAGGAGAAGACCTTTTTCGAGAAGAATTGGATATTCCGAGACCCTGGGAAAGGCAAGACCGAAGTCTTGCCACCTGACAACTACGAGTGGCCATTCCGATGCATCCTCGAAGGCTCTCTGCCCGAAAGTGTGGAGGGTCTGAAAGATGCATGGATCATCTACCGCCTCAAGGCCGAAATCTGTCGCAAGAGAGGGAGGGACATCGTCGTCCGCAAACCATTGCGCATTGTCCGCACCCTGGATTCCAACGCATTGGAACTTTCTCACGCAATGGTATGGAGCTTTCACTCTGACGTACCGGCACCGCCGCTTTTCCTTTGCTGACCTGTTGCTAGTCTGTGGAGAACATATGGCCGAATAAAATAGAATACTCCATCAGCATTCCAAACAAGGCCGTCGCCTTTGGGTCCTTTGTGCAAGTTGACTTCAAATTGATATCTCTCTTGAAGGGTCTGGTAATTGGCAATGTCTCCACCCAGGTTAAGGAAGAGCAAGAGTTTGTCGTTGATCCGGAGTGGGGGATCTCTGCTTTGAACAATGGGCAGACCAAAATGGACAGAGTCATTGCATCGGACCTTTACAAGGTCGACCTTGAAAAGGACGAGCAGATTATCGACGAGGTCGCCGAAGGCTATCAGTTTTCTCGATATCTCGAGTTGCCCAAGTCGCTGAACCAGTGCTTACAAGACTGTAATGTGAAAGGGATCAAGGTTCGACATAAGGTGAAATTTAACGTCCAGTTACACAACCCCGACGGCCACATTTCCGAACTCCGGGCCAACCTTCCAGTCTCGTTTTATATCTCTCCGAGTCTGCCTATCAACGAAAATAACGATTTGGTCGACCAGTCGCCCCAGGCGGGAAGGGCGGCTATAGCGAACGATTTGGCGAACGCAGCGCCGCCAGTGTATGGGAAGCACACTTTGGACGTCTTATATTCCGACGTGGATGGCTATCGGACGCCCGGAACTGCACTTTCGACTCCAGGGACCCCGTACCTTCACAGCCGCCACGCATCTCACGAAAACCTCGCAAGCCTTGCCGCAATGGCCAATGGGAACTATGTGTCACCTATAGCTCTTCAAAGCAGACTTCAGGACCTCCGAGTGGGCGACTCTTTCATCCAGGATTTGCGGGGCAACGAAGACAGTGATGCGAGCAATCTATCGCTACCAGTGAATGGACGGTCCAGGAGGAATTCATCGTCTACGACAATGCCTGAAGATTATTTTGCACCACATGATGCGTCGAATGCCAGCCCGCATCCCCGAATTAGCCCTCATGATCCTGGGGCATCTCCGGGCGGCCCATCCCATACTCCTAGTCAACCAGGCAGCCTCCTTATGTCACGCAGAACTTCCGAAGAAGAAGACGGACATCAGTCTGGCGCTCGGACGCCTTTTCCTCAGTACGATCATATGGAAGATCTGGCTCGCGTTCCGTCATATACGACGGCGGTCAAAACCCCGGCACCAAGAACGCAATTGAATCAGTCGATAGCTCTTCCGACTTACGGGGCTGCTGTTACCGATCCCAGTCCGCCGCCATTAGCAGAGCCCCCAACTGTTCACCTTCGTACTTCGCCAAGGTTGCCGGGTAGTATTACAGCGACAGCAAACTCACCGGACTCACCCGTAAACGGCGTGGCAAGGACGACAGTTTCTCACAGAACCGTGAGTTCAATTCAGGATGATGAGAGACGGTTACGGATGATGCAACTGCGAGGTCGATAGGGCCAATGCCGAAGATCTCTTGCTTCCCATCGAGATTCCAAGAGTTTTACGAAGAGAGACGAACAGTTTTCGAATGTTAGGTCAATGTTTCGAGGGCGTTGGGCTCATGATGATAGATACCCGATTGCATTTTTGCCGGACGAGAGATCGCCACTTTCAGGAGAACGCTTTTTCCCTCATTGCTTTTCGTCATTTGGGACGCAAATTGGAACCTACTAGACATGAAATCACCACTTCCGGAGTCTTTGTATGGCACGATCATTGGGTCAGGTTGGAGATCACGCGAGGATTGTCGGGTCTCGGGGATCAGCGGCATTGGTGTTTGCATTGGCATATTTGAATGGGGGTCATACGATACTCACTATCATCAGTACTGATCCGCATTGCACGGTCATGAGCTGTTTTCCAGAAGCAACATCCAAAAAAATGATGGCTTTCAAAGTTGGGGATTGGGTACATCTACGGCGGTTGAAAGACAAAAAGAGAACATTCATGGGACAAGGCAGCGGTGGAACCATGATTTGGACAGAAATAGGTATTCCACATGTATGTTTTCTTGACGAGATGACAAAAAACCAGCTTGACTGGTTTTCTGAAAGCCAACAAATCGTTCGCGTCGGCTTCTTGTTCCTCCTATTTCTTGAAACAAGCCACCCATGGACAGTACCCATCCACCCACCCAAAGTCATGCTTCCCAAGTATGTGGGAGCAACATCGTGTCACTGTCCCTACCTCGCTCGCTCTTCTTTCTTCCTTCCTTACCCGCTCTTGAGTTTTCTTCTCTCTTCCTCTCGCTCTCGCGCAGCTTCAAAAGGGGCCCGCCCAGGACCGAAAACTCGTGAACCCCATCCCTTCTCCGCAAACCCGGCTCGAATGAGTTTCTTCTTGTCGAGGTGAGAAGCTTGGCCTGCGCGAGATGTATCTCGAAACAAGGGCCTCATCCAGCTGGGGGGTTTGCTGCGCGGCTCGAAAGATCACGGAAGGAGACCCCTCTTTTTTTGTCAATTTTTTTTTGGTGTCTCGGGCCGCGCGATGGGATTTTTCTCCGTGGATCCCCTGCGCTGGGTTTGAATCCATGGATGGGGCTGGGGTGGACGGAAAGAAAGGGAGCAAGGTCCGCGTTCGGTTCGTTCTTCCTGGGTGCACTCTGTTCGCCGGCATGTCTCTGCGGATGAGTTCGTTCGGACGAGCAAGTCTCTTGTGTTGACCGCATGGAATATTGTGATGTCGGGGACGAGAATTGCAAGAGTCGATATATGCAGGGCTGATCCGAAATCTTCGGCAACATGTCTTGTTTTCTCTCGCATGTCCATCCTTGCGTGTAGAGGCTGCTCGGCCAAGCTGTCCCGATGTGCAAAGGTGTTTGTTCGCTCACTTCCCTCTACAGGGTGCTGAACGTTCACCAATAACACCCCTTCCTCGCCAGCAGTTCCCTGAACCCGTCTCCCATGGCGTCAATGACAATCTTTAGCTCCTTCTGCCTCTTCCTCGCCTCAGATCCGATCCCCACTTCATCATCCTTCTCATTGTTCCCGAAGGGTTGCTGGTCCTCCACGCGGATCTTCTCCCCTCTCGCCTCCTTGTTTCTAAACTCTACAAGTTTCGAGCCGTCCACGTCCGTCGCACTCGCCTGTATCACCTCGGGCGAGCTCGCCGCTTTCAGGCTTCCTTTCTGATTCAGTGGGGTGATCGGGGTGGCGTCGAGTAGGGCTTGCCAGCGCGCGAGGAATGAACCAGGACCGGGGCTCGAAGAGACCTCTGGCGTTGGGTTTTCCTTGATCTCGCGAGATGTGTCGCTTTCTGAGACCGTCGTGGGGAATGATGCTGATGTCGGTGTCGAGGACGCTGTTGTCTGTCCCTCGCTACGGCGGTCGATTGACGGAGCCGGGCTGGATGTCCGCGAAGAAGGCCGGCTGGAGTGGTTCGAGTGGTTGGAGGAGAAGATCTTTGCGATGGCGGGGTTTTTGGACGGTGGCGATCTCAATACGTTGGTGAGACGCGCCATGGATTGCTCGTGCATCCTGTCTAGATATTCGGAGTGAGCGTCAAGGATGGGCAGGATCCGGGATTGGGTTTCTTGAGGGAGCGAGGAGAAGAGGTCGTGCAGGGACGACGTCAAGTTGCCCGCTCCGCCTTTCCCATGTTTTACAACGTCGGCACTGTCACCACCCGGCTCTTGTTTGAACTGCAAGGCTGCGTTTTTGGCCCACTCAAGGTACCAGCCCGTCAGTTCCTTGTCATTCTTAGCGCACTGGTGCATGAAAATGTGACATGACCGCTGATGCTTCCGGAGCAACTGGACAAAGTCTCCCACGGTCGGCACAATGGCTTTGTTGTGCTTGTCCGTGTGGATCCTCGCCAGCTTGATCAAGTCCTTGAGGAAATTTTCGAAATCGGACAGCGTCGAGGACAGATCGATGGCTTTGTGCATTCGTCGTATGACAGGCTCGTAGGCATCTACTACTTCTCTGACAGACATGGTTAGGTGGTCCGGGGAAGATTTGCAGAGAACCTGGATTAGCTGTTTGCGGTCACGAATGGACAGGTGGATTGAGAGGTACTCTAAGGCTTGCTTGTGATGGACTTCGGTCAGTTCGGTGGAAGGGGATTTGGCGTCTTTCAAGACGGCGGTGACGATGGATATGGACTGCGTTTGACTCTCCTTTCGGATGCGATCTTGCTCTTCTTGCGGTTTGTCCGTGTAATCCTTCAAGGCGTGCAGCTGGTCTTTGCCCAGCTTTGCACGTTCTCGCTCGAGTTTCGCCGCCCTCGACTCGAGATCCCTGATATCCCAATTGAGGACTGTGGAGATGATTCTGCATGTCGTCGGTAGGTCAGGGCCCAATCAAACGCCGGGAAGCGAGGAACGTACGTTTGCATCAAATTCGTGCCCTCATCTTGAGACTGGGTCAATCCTATCCAATTGGTCACACTGGTAACGCTCATCTTGGCCAGGGCAATTTTGACCAGGGCGTTGATCATGGTTGCAACATTTCCAATCTTTAGTGTTTGCCTGAGAACCATATAGGGCACTAGTTTATTGGCATTGTCGACCAGCTTCAGCAGATACTGGCCCTTGGGCGACAATATCAGAGTGTAGTGCATGAACGAAGCAATGCTGAAATGACCGGTCAGAATATTCATCTCTTAAAACCAGGTATGACATAGAGGGGCCGCAAAGAAGAAAGGCTGACGAATAAAATGACTTACTTGACAAGCACAAATTCGTGCACGGCTTTGGTCAACTGAGGGTGATCGTCGAGATTGTCCGTCTCGGCGGTCTTCTGGACCATGTCGTCGAGGATACTGCCGTAGACGCATTCGTTGAGGAAGTCACGAAAGGCACGTCGCAGATCGTCGGCGCTGGTGACGTCGTAATTGGACTCGCGGTCCCTAATCTCTGGGAAGCCGGCGAAGGTGCCTCTGACGGGGTATTCGATCAAGGCTGATATGGCCGTCGCGAGGGTCTTGCGGCTGCCGATGACGCCCTTGTCGTAGCTCTCGCTCAGGTTGGCCCTCTCCAGGTTCTCGATGATTTCTTGACATTGCACGGTCCACCATTTCTCGGGCAGGTTGTTCAAGCCCGGCAGGTTCAGCAGGAACTTTGAGACCAGAGCCTGCAGGGCGGGCGAGCTGGAGGGTTTGTCTTTCTGGGCGGTAAAAGGGGGCCCATAGTTTGCAAGGCTGCCGGGCCTCCGAAACTCGCGGATCTGGGCGTATGTGTCGTAATGGGTCAGAATGTCAAAGAGGGCCGCTGTCTGCGACGGGGACAGAGTTTCGGTCATGTTGTCGGGGTGCTGAGGTGGGTATGACCTGAACTGAAGGGGTATTCAGGTGGACAAAGTGACAAAAACCTCATTAGTACTGAGATAGAGGTCTGGAGTATGGCGACCGGGATCAACGAGTGACGTCTTTGTCTGCAGTCACAAGTGGCGCGAATGTCGAAGCGTCAAGAATCAAGATCCGGAAAGTGGGGCAGATGGGATACTAGTACCGAGTACCTCGTACACTGCCGCCAATCAGTATAGTATCAAAGGGAAATATCATCGTTTCTCATCAACCTGGAAACCATCTATACTGTACACGGTATATACATCTGTTTGTACATCCCAACCATCAGATGCTCCTGTCGTAAATGCCGGGATCGAGAATGGAGAGGATTTCATCTCGTCTCCTCCCCAGCGCCCCCAAACCGTAATAGCCGACTCTCCCGCTTTCCCTCCATACCTGAGCACAGATCTCTGCTTGGTCCAATGAAGACCTCCCTCCCAGGATGCAGTTGCCGGACATCGCAGGTCCAGCCTCGTTTCTTGAGCCATTCACCCTCCTCTCCTTCCCACAGATGCCTTCTGACCTCATCCACAGAGATGCGTTTCACTTGTTGTCTCTTTACGCTTGTCCCGCGATTGTCTCTTGGGTCATCGTGTGCATTAATCCAGCACCTGGCCATTAATGCGCGAGCGATTTCTGCTCCGCCGTACATGCCGGCCATGCCACTGCCGCCCAAGTACCAGGGGTTGCGCGTAGAGTCGAAGGAGTGGAAGAGTAAGGTCAAGGGAAGAGCACCTGCTAACCGAACCAGATGGGTTTGGATGTAGGGCTGCAAATCGGACAATGGGACGCCGTGGGGCGAGTAGATGATTGAGACGGCTTTAGGACGGGCGGGAGTGATGGGGGCAAGGTTTGGCATCGAGGAGACGCTGGATAAAGATTTCTGGTGCGACGTCACGGAAGACCGGTGGCGATGATGGTAGAGTGTGCTACTTCTGGTTGGAGATTTGGCTGATGGGTTTGGCGACGAGCCTGCTGGGGATGACACCGCCGCTGGCACAGGAGAAGCTGGTGGTGTGGGCAGATTTTTGACAAACGTGAAGGGAACAGGGTCGAGTTCGAAACGGAAAGCACTGTCCAAGAACACAGATTGGTCCGGGATGGTCAAGACTCTCTGCACAATACCTCCCTTTTCAGTGTCGGGCTCTGACTGCATTCGAATGGTTGGTTGGTCAGCCGCCGGGAGGAATTCAGACGAAGCAGTGTTTGACGAGCGCGACAGTCGGGGTCGATGTCCTCTGAAATGTTCCACTTTGGGGCTCTGAACGGAGCCTGAGTCATGAGCTGGCAGGTCGAAAGACATGGATCGATCAGCCAGAGGAGTTGAGGGTGCCGGAGGGCTCGACGGAGGCATAGTCATGGGACTGAGAGGCATATGGAAGTATCTCGTCGTTTTGGGAAGATCAACAGTCGCAATTGGTGCAATGCTCTTTGTGTGGGTGGGGGGCAAGTATGTGATGCCAATGGCATTGTGTAGGCCTGTCCTGTGGCGCTTTGCAGGAATGAAGGCGATATTGAGCTCTCCTGGAAAACCCTGTGGCGAGAGAGGAGCGATGGGGAGTCGCAAGGAGCGCCCGGACTTGACCTTGGGGTCATATTTGAGCAGTGCATGAACCCGCGTAGGATCAAAGTGATTCCAACTCTTGATGGCCTTTGCGGCGCCCGGTTCCGCCGCGATAATGGTTTTCCCTTCAGGACGGAGTTGGAGAAGAGTCCCCTTGTGGCGGAGGTCGGGCTTGTTTTGCGACACGATCAGCACATCAGGTTCTCCGATGGAGCTCGGGATCTTGTCCTCGGTCCCTGCAGACCAGGACGCGGTATTGATGGAAGGACCATTTGTCCATGGATCTATCAGCACCGAAACCGCGCCGGCTGCGGGAGTAAGATCTGACGGGAGAGGATTCGCCTTGGGAGAAAAGACGAGAAGAAAGGCTGCATCGAGATTGAGGTGTTTCACAGTCACAGACATGAAGACAGTAAGAGCAGATGGCAACAGATGGCAGTGGCAGTTACACAGCAATTATGTGTGAGGCACCGACGCACATTCTGGAGGTATACGGGAGGTGGTACCAAGTGGTTGGAACTGAGACACAAAGTAGGTACAGACGAAGGAGCACCTCTAGTGACTACCTTTCAACCCCATGACCGCAACGACCTTGAATCAGGACCAAAGGCGGGCAAACAACGGGTTGGCTGGCGGTGAGGGCTATTATTGCGTAGAGGGAGCGAAGCGAGATTTGATGGCTTGGAGTAAGTTCGTGATGACGCCGCCGGCGCCAGGAACAGCCCGTTGCATCGACAAAAAAAGGGGGATGGGGGAGCGGGGGGCTGCCGTTAGGATCCAGCCACACGCAGGCTCACCAGCCTCGTCCAAGTACGCGGCGAGGAGGGTACTTGTATGTACGACTACCTGGGTATGTACGAGTGCCCAGGTGGCCCGATTTGTTATACTGAATACCCAGTATCTATCTATCGAGCTAGCTATATACCGAGCACGGAGCATTTGCCCTCTTGTCAGGCAGTTACAGCTTATTAGGAAACAATGGTGCATTCCGTCCCCCTCGGAACAAATTCAACATCTCTTCGCCCATCCAGCTCTTCCTCGTCGTCGCGATGCCCTTCTCCAAGTCTGCCGCCCGGCCACCTTGAACGAGCAACCCTTTTCCGTTGGCCTCCATACCCTGGCTCATCAAGTACACAACGCAGCATGCCACTTCTTGTGGATCGTTGATGGGGACGCCAACTCCTCGCATTCTTTTTGCCCAGTTGGCCAGAGACTCCTCGGGTTTGCGGCCCGAGATAATATCGGTGAGCGTGATGCCTGGCGCGACCACAGACACTGCGATCCCCAGTGTTGCTGTGTCGTTCTTCAGCGCCCTCATCAGGCCCACGATACCTGTCAAGAATGTTAGCAACACCACAGACCAAACCCCAGAGCTCAAGGACTGACCATGTTTCGCGGCACTGTACAACGGTGCCCCAGCACTTGCCAAATAACCCGCTAGACTGGCCGTCATGACGATGCTCCCGCCTCTCTTCTGGCCGGATCCCTTCTTCCTCATGTAGTGGATGGCCAGCTTCGCCGTGTCATTGGCCGCGTGCATGTCAATGTCGATGACCCTCCTATCAGGCTCCTTGAGCAGCCCCTCCGCATCCAGTTCGTCCTTGAAGAATTGGTCCTTGTATTCGGCAATGCCCGCATTGACAAAGACGCAATCAATGGAACCAAACTTCTTGAACCCAGCCTCGAAGGCGGCTCTCTGCTGCTTCCATGACGTAATGTCGCATTGTTGATACAGAAAGCGAGGCGATGAAATCAACGACTTTGGCGCAGCAGGATGAGGTCGGGCTCTGTCAACGACGATGACATTGTTGCCAAGCTCATGGAGGATAATGACTGTTTGCAGGCCAATGCCCGATGAGCCGCCCGTTACTAACGCCGTGACACCTTTGGGTCCCGTCAGGCTGTCTCGCGACACCGTGAAAGCTTCTGTCGCCATTCTCAATTGTATTTGTAGTATTTTGCTATCAATCTGATATCACGACAACACCTGCTTTCCCTGGGCAGGAAGTCCTCTTGACTGGAGGCTTGTGAACTGCTCTTGTGCCTTTCCCCGCATCCGGAATCTCGGGCTCGGAGTTGGGACGCGTTGGGGAGTTTGCCTCGGGTATATCAAGCCGCCCAAGCCGGCTGGGTTCTGGAACTGAGCTCAATGGTCAGGCGCCGTGCAGATACCCTTCAAAGGCACTGACGGCGGCCGCAGAAAACACCATCATTAGGGCCGACGTTGACGTCGGTTGTGGTCCTGCATTGATAGGATCGTCGTAGGTGCTTCAAAGCATTGCATTTCAGAGGTTTGGGCTCTTGTATCATCGCGGCAACAGCTGCACATGGATACACCGCGCCATGCTTGAGCCCGTCGAGAGCTAGCCGCGGTGAGACGATGCGACGCTAAATCAACAGTGACAACTTGCTTAACGCCTGAGATTCGTGAAAGAACTGGATCTACGATGAGAGGATAACAAGTTGAAGATGAAGAATCGCAGAACCAGTCGCCCTTGCCCAGGAAGGCCGGATCACGTGGATGCAAGATCTGGAGGACAGTGCCAAAGTCAATGGCAAGGTTCCTCGCTTTCAACTTCGCTTCAACTCAAGCTGTATATTTCAGTTAGCTGATTTCGCTGAAGACCGAGTTGTATGCATGCAGCCGACATTCCTATCGACTTCGGATTGCCGATGTGGGACTTTCAGCAACTCTGGATCGGATTCGCACATTCGACTGGCCTCTAAGACGTCCTTCTGATCATTCATTTGCTGGCAATGATCGAATCGTTGGTACAAGCTATGGGGATTGTCCTCGAAGACTATCTACTTAGGTAGGCAACGTCTGTGTCGATTTTGGTGTCCACAATTTGTTCACTACTGGTGTTGCAAGCACTCTTGATCTCCGGTGGCTGATCGAGTGGTAGCTATCTCCTTGCCATCTCTGCCCTCTTACCATCAGGAATTGGTTTGGGCTCCCTCTCCGGCGTCCCTCAAAACCACAATCGACTTCTCCTGAGCTTGTTGCCGAGCTGAGCAAGCGTCTCAATCACGAGGTTGGAGCTCCCCGCACTCGCCCTTGTCAAAGTATCAACGCAAAAGCTCGCAGAGGACGATTCATATTGGCGAGAGTATTGTTGCTGACATTCATCGGTCGGTTCTGACTGACTTCAAGAAGGGGCGCAGTCGGTACTGCATAAAAACATCTTGGCCACCCAAACACCGCGTTTTGGGTCGACTTCCAGGAAGCCGGTCTGTGGCCGGAGCGAAGAGGTGGAACGATGATGCAAGAGAAGGTCACACGGCCACAGAAAAGCCTGCTACAAAAGGAGGATCTAAGCGGAATGACGACTTTTTGGCGGCAATTGGGCGTTGCCTAGAATTCCCATTCACGCATTGAGTGAGTCAGCAAGCCGGTAACTAGGAGGCAGAAGCCGTTGGAGAAAACCTTGGTACAAAGCCAGGATTTTGTGAGAATTGCGTGATGGTCAGAGGTCTCTGGGGAGTTACTAGGTCCCTTGTTCCATCAATCCTCGTGCCTCGATGCCCAACATTGCGCTGTGCCAGGGTGCATTCATTTCCTGTCTTTCGGCTCCGCTTTCTGTGATCTCAGGATGACCAGCAATCGGATCACCAAATCCGTATGCCTAGCAATATGCCACTGCTCGTTGACACCAATTGAGGTGACTAATGCTGCATTGAAGCCGCCGGTGCCGCTAAACGAGCAAAACGAGCGGCGGGCAATGGCTTTTAGTCATCACACGAGGCTTCCTTTTCAGGGGTTTCGTCGGAAGCCCGTGCCACATGCGTACCAGGATACCTTCCGCCTTAGGAAACCCCGCATGTTGGGCCACCACTAAGGACCGAGGACATGTTGAAGCTCGCAGTCTTTGTATGAAGGAGGCCGGTGTACCGACACGGTGGATTCCGGTCTCCTGCAAGGTACAGCTCCAGGAGCTGTGTGATGACAGACCGACATGCCTCATTCGTGTTCATGACTTGCCTCTTCCGACCTTGTCAAAGTTGTTTTGTACCTTGACGGCAGATTCCCAACTAGGGGTATACTAAATCCCAGACCGTTTGCTATATAATGGAAGCACCCGCGCCTCCAGATGACGAGGAAAGACCAGCAGTCTACCATCAAGGCGTAACGTCTGACTACCGAAGACTCATTCGATAAAAGCAGAAGTATCAACCAGCTTTGTCTACCATGGCCAAAGGCATGCTTTCGAAGCTCTCGCAGCTCCTTTGCCTCTTCCCCCTTCTCACCCTTAGCCAACAGATACCAACAGGGCTGCCGTACACCGTGAGCAATGTCACTCTCCCAGACGGTATCCAGATCTTCTACCGAGAAGCTGGCCCCCCGAATGCTACGACTCTTCTGCTCCTGCACGGCTTCCCGTCGTCGTCTCACCAGTTCCGAAACTTCATTCCGATCCTGGCGGCACACAACTACCACGTCATTGCCCCCGACTACCCTGGCTTTGGATTCACGGTGGTGCCCGACTCGTTGAACTACACGTACAGCTTCGAGGCTCTGACGCAGACCGTGGCTTCGTTCCTGGACGCTAAGAACATCACGACCTTTGTCCCTTACATGCACGACTACGGCGGGCCCATCGGGTTCCGGCTGGCTCTGCAACGCCCCCAGTCTATCCTCGCCTTCATCTCGCAGAATGCCAACGCCTACATCGAAGGGTTTGGAGCAACCTTCTGGCCCCCAATCTTTGCCCTCTGGAATGCAACCACACCCGCACAATTCCAGGCCGCGGCCACCCCAATCAACGACACTGCATTGACGCTGGCGGGGTTCAAGTCTCAATACACCACCGGCAGCGCCCACCCGGAGAGCATCGAGCCCGAGTCATACTGGCTGGACTACTCCCTGATGAACGAGCAAATCGGCAACAGGGACATCCAAATCGACTTGCTGACCGACTACCGCTCCAACGTGCCGCTGTACCCGCAGTTCCAGGCCTACTTCCGCCAGCAGCAGCCCAAACTGCTGGCAGCCTGGGGCGCGAACGACATCGTCTTCGTCCCGCCGGGTGCCAAGGCGTTCAAGAGGGACCTCCCCAACGCCGAGGTCGTGCTGCTGAACGCCGGTCATTTCCTGCTCGAGACCAATTTGGCGGAGCAATCGGGCATTGTCTTGGACTTTTTGAAGAAGAATCTCTGAGCAGGTCACTGCTGCGAGGGGTCTAATTAGTTTGTGAGCGTGTGAAAGGGAGATATGCACGCAGAGCACGCACCGGCGGCTCGTCGACACAGAAGTAATACCATGAAGAGATCGAGTGTGAGGTCTATGTACCTAGACAGTGACAGGGAGTACGGCGGCAGTCTTTTGTGCCTAAAAGACAAAACTTAGATTAATGATAAATGATAAACCCATCAACTGCACCAAGCTTTGACAGGTATCCCTGAATCGACCTCGTTACCCAGACCCCCGTTACCCATCTCATAGACCCCCAGCACCGTACCTATGACACTGGCCAACAACACAGACCAACCAACGCCTACCTTTTCTCTCCTAAAGGGTCCTTAAGGCTAAAGCCATGTGCAACACCGAGGCAAAATGAACATACAGACCTACGTGGCTTTCATGGACATGCTTGGCTGCGAAGGTGAATAGTTCCCATTGTGGCTATACATATATAGGTAGACATTCCATGCTCTCGAGCTTCCAAGAGATGGCCACTCCTGTTGAATGGAACAACAATAATCTGCCCCTTGGCTTCTCTGCCCGGCAACCACTCTCTCTAAACAGAGCTCTTCTCGTTCTCGTTCATCTCGACCTCGACAACATGAGATTCCTTGGTCTCTGGCATGGTGCTGCCTGCCAAGCGGGCTCGAAGCTCACTGCGGGCGGACTTCTTTGCAAACAGCGCGTCGACCTCCTCCAGAGGGACTCCCTTGGTTTCTTTGATGCAGAAGAGCGCAAAAAGGACCTGCAGCGAGAGACCGACGCAGAACAGGAGATAGAACTTCCACCCCACATTCGAGATACCAATGGGGCCAACCTTGACGATTATAAAGGTCATGAGCCACTCGACGCCGACGGCCATGGCGGTGCCGAACGCGCGGGCGTGCAGAGGCAGTATCTCCGGGATGTACGTGAACGGCACGCTGCACCAGCTGGCTCCGAAACAGAAATTGTACAGGAAGATACACACCGTCGCCATGCGCAGAGTAGTCGTGCTGCCAACGCCCAGACCCGTCGTGTACAGCACCATCATGAGCAACTGCGTCAAGGCGCCTGCGAGGAACAGCGTGCGTCGACCGAGTCGGTCCACGGTCAGAGCACAGAAAATGGTGCCTCCCCACATGACCATGGACGACCCTCCCGAGGCCAGAGCCGCTTGGTGTTCGCTCATGCCTAAACTGCGCTCGAACAGCAGTGTCGCGTAGTATCCCATTAAGTTGGGGCCTCCGGCCTGCTGTAAAATCATGATGATGACTCCCTGCCACACGCGCCAGGCCGTGTTCAAGTTAGACGTGTCCCAGAAAATGTCTCGCCAACGAATCTTATACTCCTTCTCCGCCTCGAGTGCTTCTAAGGTCTCCCTGCGGACGTTGACGACAGTGGGATGATGATGTGGCACTGAGTAGATCGGGGCGACAATCTGATCCGCGTCTTCGATGTGGCCATGAGAGTAGAGATATCGAGGGGACTCGGGGAGGAAAGGAAGGCCCAGCAAGCACAGTACACAAAAGACTGTCTGGAACGCGAGCGGGAATCTCCACACGATTTGGCCCGACAGGTTCGCGATCGTGCCATAGTCAAGCCAGTACGCTATGACAATGCCGAAAATCACAATTGAGATCTGCGTGGTGACCAGCCCGCCACGCACATGCGGCTGCGAGCACTCGGCAACCCAGACGGGTACAGCGGCGGTGGTGAAACCCATGCCGATGCCACCTATAACTCTGCCGCCAATAAGGGTTCCAGGTCCGTTGGCACCGGCTTGCATGCCCGCCCCAACGATGAGCAGAAGGGACCCAATGGCGATGTAGATGCGACGGCCTAGTTTGTGCCCGACCACAGCGCAGATGGCCGAACCGACAAAGCAGCCAATATCGTAAATGGCAACCATTGTTCCCTGAAGATTTGCGTTGTTGGGTGACACTCCGAGTCCGCCTAGTAGCTCGGGCGTGGTGATGAGGCCGCCCAGGACGCCCTGGTCGTAGCCAAATAGAAGGAAAGCCATGGCAGAAGTGACCATGATCGAGATTTGGAGAGGATAGCCCTTCAAAGAAGGGAAGAGGCCGACGTTGAAAGAACCCATGGTTGTCACCTGGGAAGATGTTGTACAACTTGAGCGAGCAAATTGGTAGAGGCAAAGACCAATGCAAATCTGGTCTCTCATATCGTCTTTATCCTTCCGAATTACCTTTGACTGTCGTATATTGAGACGTGTAGACCCTGCCCGGAGTTCCGGTGTAGGTCGTCTGCAAGGCTCAGCCCGCGTGGGTACCCTCCACATTACCCCGGAAGAGAAACTGCAGGGTCGTTTAGAATCAGGGGAATCCTACAAGATGCAGTGGCAGGGCGACAGTATTGTGCGGGGGAAAGAGATCTGGACTGGTGCGTCCACGGTGAAGCTGGACGGAGGCCCCGCCGGACACCCGCAACATGTTTCTTCGGACAAAGAATGTGGCATGCGAGGATAGCGTGATGGGGGCCGAGGAGATGAAAGATGTTGAAGTCTCCCGGGTCAGAAGGGAGCAGATTCATTAACGCCCAATACCACATCGTCGGACCTTGGATGTACACAAAGCGTCCGGGAGTACGGCATTATCTCCACCATGGGAAGCATTCAAGTGCCACCAAGATCAGTTTTGCAAAGATTCCTCCTGACAGACAAGACGGTGGTCGTGACGGGAGGTGGACGAGGACTGGGACTCAATTTCGCGAGGTCGCTGGCTGAAGTCGGTGCAAATGTTGCAGCGATCGACATCCATGATGAGCCCGATGAAGAGTTTCAGGAACTTTCGAACTTCAATGTCAAAGCCGTCTATTACAAGTAAGGCTTGACTGCTTGCTCATATTTTGATTGTCGAGTCTGACAGCCACAGATGCGATGTTCGAGACCACGAGACGCTGAGGGAGACCATCGACCTTGCCGCGAAACAGTTTGGTTCAATTGATGGCTGGTGAGTCGACTCCCCCTTCGCAAACTTGAGATGGAACTGAGAGGTCAAACAGCATCACAGCCGCTGGAATCATGACAAACAAACCATTTCTGGAGCACACACCTCAAGATCTGAGCGATTCATATGCGGTTAACGTGAGAATACCCGCGGTCATGTCGAAGGAAGGGTTGCTGATAAGAGGTACAGCTGATAGGTACTTTTTCAGCGGCGCAAATATGCGCTGAGCATATGATCAAGCAAAAGACAGGCGGCAATATCATCTGCATCTCCTCAACAGCAGGACACAGAGGGTTGGCTCCGCAGACTGCCACGGCGTATGTTTGTTCGAAACATGCAGTCATCGGCCTGGTGAAACAAGCCGCAGGAGAACTGGCCAAGCACAACATTCGGATGAACAGTATCAGTCCAGGGTATGACTGCTCATCGTACCGCGAATTTTTATGCCCCGCTTACCCTGAGATAGGCCGTTCCTGACCAAGATGCTCCGATTGGTAATGGAGAAAGACCCGACTCAGGAAGAGCGATTCGCAAGGAGCAACATACTGAACCGATTGGCACTGCCAGAAGAGTTGGGGGGCGCAGTAGTATACCTGATGAGCGATGCGAGTAGCTTTGTGACAGGAAATGACTTTAACATTGATGGCGGGTCAGGGTGTCAATAGGACGAGGGTTGAGAAAATCTCATAGATATATAAATTCGCTTGCAGGCTTGTGCCGGCTGCAGCTCTTTCTCAATATATTCTGCTGACGAATGTGCAGTGAGGGGAGCCAAGCTGGAGGGAAGCAGCCAAGGGGCAAAGCAGATTATGGGGGCCAATGGCCCAGGCCTCGTAGCCTGTACATGTCACTGCCTCGGGCACCCGGGGATCGCTTGACATATGCCTGAGTGCCTACATATTGCGCCCGTAGCCTAAATCACATATCTGGCTTCTCCGCACCCCCCGGGTCTTCCAAATACGAGCCAAGCGGCAGCATGCAGTACCTGATACTTCGATTTAATGAGAGCTATCTCGACGACTGCTCTTTCAATCTACTTAGTCGAAGTTTGACTCGGTATCGCGGGCGAAACTGATTGCCATAGCTGACCTATTCCCCTCACAGCTATTATGTCCCAGCGAGGGGACTCCCAAACCAGAGAATCGACTTCTTTAGCTGGTTTGTGATGCACTCTTTGGGTTGCAAACATGGCTGGACGCGAGCAGGCATCGGTGCGACCTTTTCTTCACAAGCGACTAACATTCGGTGCTGACTGTCTGAGGCAAGAAAGGCTTTGAGTGCAATATCTGCGGCATGACAGTAACCAGGCAGACACACCTGCAACGACATCAACGGGTTCACTCGCAGTAGGTTCCCCATTCTTCAACCTGGCATCCAAGTGCTGCTCGCCGGGATGTGCTAATGTCCTCGAAACTCAGAGGTCCCCAAATGCAAAATTTCCAATGCCAAAGATGCGGCAAATCATTCGCGCGCAAAGATATTCTTCTGCGCCATGACCGCATGGTTCATGGCATTTCCAACAAAAACACTGGCGGGCGAAGGACTTCATGCGAGAACTGTATTCGACAAAAGCTCAAATGCTCCCGGTCGACGCCGTGCGAAGCCTGCTCGACAAGGGGTATACTCTGCAGTTTTCAGAAGCATCCAGCAGAACAGGTTGCGGATCCGACGCAAACATCTAGATCGGTACAGCATGGTCGGGAGACGGTGCCGCTATCTCCTGCTGGCACAGACACACCGGAAAACACCACCGACGAATATCTTGATGGGCCTGGCCTTCTTGTGGGCCGAGGACGCTCTGCTAGCAGCAGCGTTGGCTCGGTTGTTGCCAGTGTTGCGATCGATGCAGCGGTAATGCCTGATCCAATCTCTCCAATAAACCAACAAATGATACCTTTGCGCGATACACAGTATCAGACATCGGATTTTGAACCTGCAAGCCATGCTTTTCAACTGCCAAGATCCCCATCTGAGCCTCCAGCGCAAGGAGGGCCATACCAATTTGACTCGACATTGACTGACTTGCAGTCTCACGGCCTCTTGATGAATCAGCCGCTCACTTCTGCAAGGCAACTAGATGTCAGGCTCCAAGATTTCGATTGGGACTCTTTTGCGCCGTGGGGAATAGATTGGCTGGGCCTTGATCAGGATTCCTACTTGATGCAGGCGGCGCTTCCACACCCAGATCCTGCCTGGCAGTCAGGTAACTCACCAGCTCAGCTTAGTCTGCCGCAGTCTCAACAGCACCCGGTAGCAGAAAGGCCATCAACGATTCCGCTATCCTCAGTGGATGGCCTCTCCCCACCAGTCCCGGTAGATCAACGTTCGAACGTGTCCTCATACCTTGAGACGAGACCTCTTCAAAGCCCGTCAATCCCTGGGCCGACTCTTCTCGAAAGCATCAGCGCCGTTCTCTCCAAGACGATGCTCCCGTCAGACATCAACATCCCCCAATATAGTGCTGCAATACGGCATCTCGAAAAGATGGTCAATATTTATTTTGCAGAATTTCACCCAAACTTGCCGGTAATGCATAAACCCACGTGGGACATATCAAAGAGCCCTACGCACCTGATTGCAGCATTGGCCTGCTTAGGGTCTACAAGCTACCACAAGAAGAGAGGGTTGGATGAAGAATCAAGTCTCTTAGCTGAGATATGTTTCCGACATTTGAATAAGGCCGTAAGCACCCCATCCTAACGTCTACGAGTCAAAGCTGACGAATTGTGTGGAATAGTATCGGCTCGGACCTGATAGCTATCAAAATATCGATTTTGTCACAGCATCCATGCTGCATCAAGTGTATGGCTTAGGTGTCGGGGTACCGTCAATTCATGAGAGTGCCGACAATTTCCGTGGAATCCTGGTATTAAGTCTCAGGAGAACTGGTGTATATCGATCTAGGAATGCTACCGATCCATGGAATCTCGGCGTCCCCGACCTTGCAGAACTCGATCTTGAAGATAGCTCGCGACTAGAAGCTGCATGGTTACAATGGCGAACTACCGAGATGGCAAAGAGGCTTGCATGGTGTCTTTTCGAATACGACAACAGTCTGTCATGCTTAACCACAAAGCGGGGAGTGGTGAGCCTACAAGAACTTCCAGACAGGCTGCCTTGTAACGAGTCTCTGTGGGAAGCTCACTCTATCAGGGCGTGGGCATCAATGGCGCTGCTCACCGAGAATACACTTCACGGCGCCCAGTTTCGGCCGGTGCTGCGGGAACTGCTGAACGGCAAACCCACCATAGATAAGCTGTCAACGTGGTGGAAACGTTGCTGCGCACATACTATATCCCGACTTCTCTGGGACTTGAAAGAGGTGGACAACTCAATCTCGAATTTGTTTGCACCTGACTCCCTTACAGAATCTCAGAAGCCTCTCAGAAGGTCTCTATTGCAAAGTCTGAAAGTACTGCATGACTCTGCGACTCAACCATCTCGACACGACGATCTCGTGCACATGAAGTAAGTTCAAATATCCAGGTCTGAGATCAATATACTAACAAGATCAATCAGCATTACATGTCTCATCAGTCATCATGCCAGCCTCAACAATCGTCGAGAATTCATGGAAATGGTGATACACGTCTTCCAGAATTCTGCCAGCTCAAATGACATAGAGCTTGATATGGTCAAGACCAGATTGCGGATGGTATTCGCCAGCGACGCGGTTCATGCGAGACGGCTTGCCTACCACGCTGCATCAATCATAGCCATCTCACGGGAATGTACGGTTTACACGCCCTGCGAGACATTCAGAGTTTTCGACGCGTACGCGTACCTTCTAGCATTTGTGAAGTTTGGACCCAAGATGCGAAAAGAAATTGCGTCAAGTGACAGAGGCGAAATTGCTCATACTACTGTCGAAACCCCCATCAGGAAACCCCGCAATCAAGTCCGGAGTTGCGACGGCTCCGTCAGGCTTGACCGCTTACCATGGTCTCGAAATGGAGCCGAGAACGGTGCGCTCGAACTGTGGATAACCAAAGGACAGGGTCGCGCTTCGCTGGACGGCGCCAACGATGTTGAAGACGAGAGAAATTATACTCGAATCAAGTGCAACGCCCTGAAAACGATCGAAAAGTTGAACCTCTGGGGCCTCTCGCTTAAATTCTACAAGACGCTGGAGAGTTTCACCTGAGCCAAGGAGTCTTTTCTCCTCGCTATCAGTTCTGTATCTGTCCGAGATACAACGAAGACATTAAAGAATGTGAGGTCAACTAATGGGTCATTGACGGTCATGTCTATAAGTCCCGGGAATGGATACAGAATCCCAGTATTTGACGGATGGTCCACGCGCATCTGCCAGTGTCAATCACAGGGCAAATTAGCAAAAGCACGGGCACAGAGCTCCAGGCCTTGAACTTCGGTCTTGTGCGATAGGAACCCACGGGTCAATGCATCCCTTCCGCCGAAGACTTTGTCTGAAAAAGTCTCACAAGGGAGTCGTGCACCTCACGGTCGGGCTAGCCACTGCTTTCTGTGGGGAAAGGTACATACGTGGGAGAGCTAGGCGACTCGAACTCCGCTCCGCTTTCCAATAGTAGATGGAAAAGCGTGATCGGAGCCGCCGCAATCCAGGATTGCCTTGCATACCGAATGAGCATTATCAGATGGCAAGAAAAAGGGGCCCTCAGAGGGTGACATGTACTAATATCATGACCCGGAGCAGCAGTCGGCATGGAGTGCAAGCAGAATAACGTCGCTGTCTGTTCTCAGAGGTCTTTTCACCATGGGCAGACTCGAGGGCAAAACGGCTATTGTGACAGGTATGACTCTCATTTGGTCCAGACTTGTGTCCAGAGGATGCTGACGCTAGGAGCAGGTGCTGCCAGTGGTTTCGGCAAGGCCATAGCGCTTCGTTTTGCTGAGGAGGGCGCGAATGTCGTCGTGGCAGACCTCAACACTGACGCTGGGGAAAAGGTGGCATCTTTGCACAGCAACCTCAGATTTGTCCAGACGAACGTCACACTCCTCAGCGACTGGGAAAAGCTGGTCAAGGAAACCAAAGCTCTCTTTGGTCAAATCCACGTTCTTGTCAACAACGCAGGCACATCGTACAAAAACAAGCCTACACTACAAGTCACAGCGGATGAGTACGACAGGTGTTTCGACGTCAATGTCCGGTCAATCTTCTGGTCCGTTCCAACTGTGGTCCAGGCCATGATCGAACAAGGGCAAGGCGGCAGCGTGGTGAACATTGCTTCTATCGGCGCACTCAGACCACGTGGCGGCTTGGTGTGGTATAATGCGTCCAAGGGTGCCGCCTTTAACGCGACCAAGGGCCTGGCGGCAGAATATGCCTCGAGCAAGATCCGATTCAATGGCGTCCTCCCTCTCTTGTCTGCGACGGGCCTCTGGTCGAGCTTTACAGGCACAGACGACACACCGGAGAACAGGGCCAAGTTTGTTGGCAATGTGCCCCTGGGAAGGCTGACAGATCCCATTGACGTGGCCAATGCGGTCGTGTACTATGCGAGTGACGAGTCGAGTTTTGTCACCGGCACCAACCTCGAAGTCGACGGAGGTCGCGCCATTTCCTAGTTGGCACTCAGTAGCAGTAGATAGATCTAACAATTGGAACTGCGTATATCTAAGTCTCCCGGCCCCCCTCTTGGCTGGTTTCTGTAACGTCGATCATGGCAAGAACCCGGCTCAGTCGTCCTGTCGGTATGAAATCCCATATATACAGAGCTAAGACTCGCGGACTTTTGTAGTTTTGGAGGGCATCTAGGGTGAATCTTACTACGATATGTTCAGGGGATAATTCAATCGCAAGGCAGCATCAGGCTGTGGCCTTAAGAGTGGGTGGACTGACTTAGTGAAACGAAATTTGATGCCTTGGACTTGCGAATCATTGACAGAAGATTTTTCGTGTATTGTTACGAGGAGAAAAAGAGGGCCGGCCAACTGCCATAAGCCCCAGCGTACCGAGTACCTGGCGAAATTGTACAGACACTCGACTCTATCCGAACTCTACACAAGCAGATGCTTCTTCCAGAACTCGATCTGGACGGCGGTGCTCTTGTCGAACGCCTCGCCAAAGTAGCCCGCATAATGGCCGCCGGGGAAGATGAAGATTTCCTTGGGCTCGCGGGCGCGCGAGTAAGCCTCGATGGCGATGTCCGTGGGCGTCAGCTCGTCCTTGTCGGCAATCACCATGAGCAACGGCGTGGGCGAGATGTGGTGGATGTAGCCCGAGGCATTGTACGCGCGGAAGGCTTCCATGCTGGCCAGGGCACCCAGAATCAGCTTTATATCATTTCACCTTTTTTTGGGCACGATTCTACGAGTATCACATACCTTCGGACCGTCACTTCGTTCTTGGCATTCACGCCCGGAAGCTTCTTGATCCAGCTTGACACGTACTCCCAGCTGTCTGGCGTGGGCAGGACGCAGAGCTCCTTTTCGGGATTCGCCGACACGCTTTGGATGGTCATGGGCGCTTCGCCTCTCGCACGACCCTGCCTGTCTGTTTGTTGTGAGTAGCCAGTCCTGGTGGATTGAATGGGCGGCTGCCGCCGACTTGCCTTTCTCAAACATGGCCTCCATGTCCTTGACCAAGTCGTTCCGCACGAGGCGATGGAAATTGGCCCATCCATCGGCGACCATGACCTGTTTTGTTTGCCGTTAGATAGAGAAGGGGGGGAAGAGAGGGGATGCAGGCGTTTCTCAGCCTGTAGCAAAGCAGGAAGTATGTACCTGGCTAATCACCGCCTTCACTCGACGATCGACAGCCGCGACCGAAAGCACATGGGCGCCACTGTAGCTTGTGCCCCAAACGGCGACTCTTTTGGGGTCGACCTCGGGTCTGGATTGCGCGTAGGTGATGGCGTCGCTGTAGTCGGAGCACTGCAAGGCTGGAATGACTTCCTGCCGCGGTAGGCCGTCACTCGCGCCGAGATTGCGATTGTCATAGACCAGTGCGCAGACTGGGATCGTCGTGGTGAAGCGCTCGGCGAACGCGTCGATGCCCATCTCCTTGACGGCGCCGAAGCCATGACACATGACGATGCACGGCAGCCCGCTGTTGGGCGCTGGTACGGACGGCGTGTACAGCCACCCTCGTAGAGTCACGCCGTCTTGCGTTTTGAACTCGACGTCTTCGCGTGGCATGGTTGCAGACTGATATCAACCTTGTAGTAAGATCTGAATTTCTGCAAGCCCGAGCGAGAATGCGCTGATCCAGGTGTATTTGTGCAAAGGCCATTGTTGCTTTGGATCACCATTTGGCATTTATACCCCGCCTTATTGCGGAGGAGCAGGCCCTTCCACACTCAATGATCTGACACATTGTCGGCTCCAATAACGTCGGCAGGGTCAAGGCCTGTCGCAAAGCGCCGTGGAATTTCTTGACGAGGTTGGTAGCTCAGTGAGAGTGCAACGGAGCACCCGCCGGAGATGTGGGCGGGGCTTGGACCGTTACTCAATCGAAGCCCAGGACCCCGGGAAAGGTTGGTACTTGCAAAAGCCAAAAAGAGGAGACTCAGGGCGGGCAGGAGGAGAAGAAAGATTGTTGGAAAGGTACCTTATGCCGTCCACATCACAGCTGGTCTGGTCGAGGTAGTGTAATGAAGATGTGGCATCCTCGTTGGAGTGCTTCCAGAGAATGCGCCGGGTCAAGGGGATTCGAGCTTGTGTCAAAGACAACAATTCTTAGCCCAATGTGACGGTTGTGCAATTCATTGTCCTTGAATAAGGCGCTACCTGCGTGAGGTCCATAATATACAGCACCCAACCACCCGCAAGGCAGAAGACGTCTGGAACTGTGCCCCAAAGACGGCGGCTTCCTCTGTCCCCTCCACACATCAATTGACATGTCCACAGCCCAGTCCATCAGTTTACCCGCATATGTCCCCAAACCTGGCTCTTCATCCGAATCGGCTCGGTCAAAAGTCCCGTATCAATGTCGGGTAGCCCAAGCTTGAAGCTGCTCTCGCCATCACTCCTCTCCGAAAGCCTTTCACAGAGGTAGGCTACAGCGAAGGGAGTGCCGATCGCTTGAATGGTCCATCTATAGATGAATCGATGCGTGCCGTGGGCGCTGTTCTGAAAGGCTCGTGGCTCTGGGTGAAACCAACAACGGGTGGGCACTTTGATAAGCGTTGAGGTAGGGGTGTTGTGGAGGAGCGCGCGGGTGCAGACACGGTTCATGTTGCTGACCAAGTAGTTGTGGTGAAAGAAGGCTTCGGGGTCGCAGCTGTTGTCTGGATGGAGCAGATATAATGGATCTGGTTATCTCTCATCGACCGACGATGCTCTCATGTGTTGCTGTACCCCTCATCAACTTGGCCTGCCAGCTGCGCCGCCCAAAGGCTCAGAGTGGGGGAGTCTTTAAGCTTATCGATAGCTGCCCCACGCCATACCGTCCTGGGAAGATACGGCAAGCCTAATACTACCAACCTACCTAGGTACCTAGGTAGGTAGCGAGGTACTAGGTAGGTATCCAGTGGCCTGAATGGAGATACTTGGCGCAAGGCTCTGGTACTGGCTCTGAGCCAGGATATCTCCATGAGGGAGGCAGAGGGAAGATACGGTGACAAAGACCGGCACAGAAACAGCATCCCTGGGAGTCTCCCGCCTTGCTTGTGGCTATCAGAGCAGGAACCAAACCGGGCGAACACACGTTTGCGTATCTTGAAAGGGTAGACCTTGGACTATTCCTCATTCGTTCCACATTTCCACGGTGCAACCCACAATCGTGCATGGCAATCTGCATTGTCTGAAAGTGCGGCTTCACTAGTATCGTACTGCCGAATCGGGCAATATAAAGTAGTCCTGGCGACTCGCGTCCACAAGAACGGACTCCGAGTTTGGCCAAGACGGGTTGGAGTTCGAGGTTGTTTCGTTGGGGGCCTTGATCTCCTTCTCATCCAGTGGGTAATATGGCTAATGGTTAAGCTCAAAGCGCCCTGTGTGTACACGCTCGTGGAATTAATGCTCTTGCCCGTGTTCTGTCACAAGTTTTGTCCCACCCATTTAGCTTCGACTTCACTAGGTATCTAGCACGTTTTTCCCTTCTTACACGGCAAGATCTTACATGCGTCACTCTTCTTACTCGAGCCGATTTCAATGAAACCCAAACTGCCTCCGGACTTCAACTATGCCGTGATGGGGTTTTGCAACCTATGCTTTAGCCATAAGAAGAAATCCCAGATGACGGACTGGTATGAAGTAGCCACCCGTATTATCCCTGAACTCTCAAGTATAAATGAACGGAAAAGTAACAGCCTGAGCTGGCTGCGGCTCCTCTTCTCAGCAACACAGAGAGCGGGGACGAAATAAAAAGCGTTCTATCGAGCCTCCCGCCTGGAGAAATGTCAACGAGTACAGTTCCCGCGCCCCTGGCTGGGAAAGTCGCCCTGGTCACGGGCGGGTCACGAGGCATAGGCCGTGGCATCGCGATCCACTTCGCGACCAAAGGCATTTCCAAGATCACCATCACACACGCCGGGAACTCGTCGGCCGCGGAAGAGACTCTGGCAGCAATTGGCAAAATCAACCCGAACATCACCGCCACCGCGATCCAGGCCGATGTGTTGTCACCAAGCTTTGCCTCCGATCTGGTGCCCAGAGTGCTCCGGGATCTCTCGACTCAAACCATCGACATCATCGTATGCAACGCCGCTTATGTCAATCCGACCATTGTAGCGCCCATAGCCACGGCTACCAAGGAGCTCTTTGACAACCTCATGACCGGGAACGCGTGGGCTCCCGTGCAGCTTTTCCTCACAGCCCTGCCCTACATCCCCCGAGGTGGTCGCGTCGTCATGATCGGCAGCACCGCTTCCAAGGCGCCGAATGCGGACCCTGCGGTCTGCTACGGGGCGTCCAAGGCCGCGCTAGACAGCTTCACGAGGAGCCTAGCCCTGATCTTCTCGGCCAAGCACGGCATCACCGTCAACTCTGTGTCTGTGGGTCCAGTCATGACGGACTTGCTGAGGGTTCCCCTCCAGCAGGGCATGCTTCCGGATGGGTACATTCCAGCACTGGTGAGCAAGAACACGGCGGAGAAGAGGATGGGCGAGGTCGACGATATCGCGGGTATTGTCGCCTTTCTTGCAAGCGAGGAGAGCAGGTGGATCAATGGGAACAACGTCCCCGCGAATGGTGGCGCCCTTCTCGAGATCCAGGGGTAGAAGACGCCTGGGTTAGACAAAGCTGCAGAGACAAACAGGGAGAAGAAGAGAATGATATGCTGCAAAAGGGTCAAATATTCTTTTCTAACTAGCAGGCGACACCGCCATCTGCAGAGAATGCTGCTCCTGTCGTGTAGCTTGAATCGTCGCTCAGGACGAAACAAATGGTCTTTGCCATGTCTTGGGCAGTTCCCAAGCGCTGCAGAGGCAAGGTCTTGTACGTGTTTGTGACTGGGCGCTCCGACGAACCACCATCGGTCAGCAACCTTTCCAGCATGGGTGTCTCTATAGGACCACTTTTGAAAGGACGGCAGTTAGCCCCTGGGAGTTGGACATGACAAAAAATTCGACTCGAGCAGAATAGAAAAAGGGGGGGAGACCACTTACGGGCAAAGAGCATTGACTCTGATGCCGCGCTCGCCGACTTCCTTGGCTGCGGTTCTCGTCAAGCCGACGACGCCGTGCTTGCTGGTCGAGTAGGCGCCAATGCCAGGACGACCCATGACGCCGGCCAAACTTGCGACATTAAGGATCGAGCCGCCCCGGTCCATGGCGCGTAGTTCGGCCCGGAGGCAGTAAAAGAGGCCGGTGAGGTTGACTTTCATGATAAAGTCCCAATGGTCGTTGGTGATGTCGACGATGTTGGCAAAGATTTTGCCGCCCGGTTTTGTCTCGACGCCCGCAATGTTGGCGGCGCCGTCCAACCTGCCAAACTCCTTGACCGTGTCGGCTATCCAGGCGTCAACCTGATCCGAATCTGCGACGTCGACACGTCTTCCTGTCACTTTGACCCCTTTCGCCTGTATTTGGTCCACCACCTTTTTCAATGCTTCCTCGTTGATGTCGCACAGCGATAGTCCTGCCGCTCCTCTCGCGGCACACTCCAGGGCCGTGGCTGCGCCAATTCCCGATGCCCCTCCGGTGATGGCGATGACTTTCCCTTGAAGCTGAGCCATTGTTGCTGGTCCGAATTTGGTCTGACTTGTGGTTTGCGAAGGGGTTAGGGGCAAAACCTGGCCAATTTCTTTGACGGCCGAGGAACATATATCCAAATAGTACCTGCCGGACTTCTGATGTGGAAGGCTGATGAGGGGGTCCCCAGCCGAGGTCCGTCAGCCCAGCGGAGATGTATATTTCTCCGCATCATCATCAGGCTGCATCTCAGCCTTGCGCCGGGGAAATCCAACCTACTACCTAGGGATAACATTAGGCTCATCCCCGAGTCATGTACGCTGTATACGAGTAGGTCAGTCATAGCTCAAACCCCGGACGACTAGCGAAGAACTTCATGCACTTACCCCGTCATCGGGAACATACCAACATCCGTCCTGGGGGTTATTCCGGTGAAACCGGTAGAGCTAGGACAAACGGGATCTTCATCTGGTCGATCTGCGACAAGAAGCTGGATCATGATTCGACATCAAAAGAGGAAGCATAGGCGTGAACTCTGATGGTGGGACCTTGCTGTTAGGGGAGCCCATCAAGCCCTGTCGGCGTTTGTGGGGAGCGGGTTAAAGGTTGGAAGATTGTGGGGGAGGCCTTACTGTGCAGGCGTAGAACGCCGAAGCGCCTCGTGTTTCAACATGTATGATGTGCAATATAACCCAACCACATCTGCCTTGCTCTCCCTCAGAGCTTCTCTGGAAGAGAGTGATGAACCACATATCAAGTCACGGTTCCTCCTTCCAGTCCGTCTCTTAGCTTAGACGTGGATTTGCAACTTGGAAGTCAAGATCACCAGTTGTTGTTGCGGAAAGAACCCTCGTCTTCCTCCAGGTCAACAGTCACCGTCCGGCGTTGACATTTCACCGATACTTTGCTCTATTCTTACCCTGAAGGACCCTCTCCCACCCATTCTAGCCATGGCGTTAGGAACTGTAGTCCCTGTCATCGGCGGCCTGCTCGTCGCATTTCTGCTATACGCCTTTCTCTTTATCGGCCGCCGCGAGAAAGGCCTCCCTCCTGGTACGTGGACCGAAAGTCTATCGAGATCATGAGGTGTTGCAAGTCGTATACTCAATGATCTGTCGTCAATAGGCCCGCCCACCGCACCAATTATCGGAAACATCCATCAGATCCCTACCAAAGGATCTTACCTGACTTTCACAGAATGGTCCAAGGTACACACCGCCTTCAGTTGCTCCCCGTCCAAGGCTCTTATTCTGATGCGTTACGCAGACTTATGGCGGCATCTTCTCCCTCAAGCTTGGCCCTGGAACCGCCATTGTCCTTACCTCTCGTCACCTGGTAAAACAACTGATCGACAAGAAATCAAACATCTACAGCGACCGGCCCCACAGCTACGTCTCCCACAATCTGATCACCGGCGGCGACCATGTCCTGATCGCACATTATGGGAAAACTTGGCAAAGGTACAGAAAAGTGATCCATCAGCACTTCATGGAATCAATCGTGATGAAAGACCATTTACCCTTGCAGCAAGCAGAAGCAAGTCAGCTGTTGAAAGATTTCCTTGAGCGACCGGATCAGCACATGGAACACCCCAAGCGGTATACCAACAGCATTGCATGCGCCACCATCTGGGGCGTGAGATCTCCCACAGTGGACACTCCCCATATGAACCGTCTCTACGAATTGATGGAGAATTGGTCCGTGGTCATGGAACCGGGCAACACCCCTCCGGTCGACATCTTCCCCTTCCTCCACTATGTTCCCGAACGGCTTTTTGGGAACTGGCGCTCGCGAGCCAAAGATGTTGGAAAGGCGATGAACGACCTGTATAGCGATATGTTATCCGGTCTCGAGAAGCGTAGGGAAGCAGTGGGCAGTAAGTACTCCTTCATGGACAGAGTCCTCGATCAAAAGGAGAAACTTGAATTGAACCGGCATCAACTCTACTTCCTGGGAGGCACCATGATGGAAGGAGCAAGTGATACTTCTTCGAGTATCATTATTGCGGCCATACAGGCCTTCACCAAATGGCCTGAGGTCATGAGGAAAGCGCAGCAAGAAATCGATAGTGTCATGGGCGAAGACCGATCTCCCGTGTGGGCCGACTATGCACAGTTGCCATATGTGGCTGCAACAGTGAAGGAAGCGATGAGGTGGAGGTGAGTTCTCCCACAAGTCTGGATTGGACTGGCAAGACCATCTTCAAAGTTCCTTTCTCCCGCATAGCTGCTCGATGCTAACAACAAGTCCAGACCAGTGGTGCCTTTGGCTTTTCCACACGCTGTGGATGAAGGTATGAGGATCTATTTGCATAAAGGTTTTTACTTGCTGACCGATTTATTGCTGTAGATGACTGGATTGACGGGTACAAAATTCCCAAGGGTTCTGTGATCTTTATCAACGCATGGGGCATGCACCACGACGAGAAGAGATTTCCAGATTCGAATACATTCGATCCAGACCATTACAAGGGCGTCACAGCGCTTGCTTCGGAACTGGCCCAAGCCACCAACCCAGACGACAGGGACCATTATGGCTACGGCTCCGGAAGACGTCTGTGCCCAGGCATCCATCTCGCGGAGAGGAACTTATTCCTTGCCATTTCAAAGCTGTTGTGGGCATTTGAATTTGCGCCTGGGAAGGACAAGGATGGAAACCCGATCATCCCCGACACCGACCCGACCACGGGCTATAGTGAAGGATTCCTGGTGTGTGCGAAACCCTACGCTTTGGAGGTCAAGCCAAGATCTGAGGCAAGACGGGAGACTATCCTGAGGGAATATCAAGAGGCCAAGCGGGATGTTTTTTCAGCATTCGATAACTGAGGTCAGCGGGAACAAGGGGTCGTGCTTGACTGGATAACCTTCATGAAGCTATGGGAATTGGGGAGATACCTGGAAGGTCTGAACGCGGTCGACAGCGATCACGACGATTGAATTAGACGTTACAGACTGCTTGCTTTTGTCGATAAGGATATTAAACATTCTGTAAAAGTCTCAGCTGATATTCTGCAATTAGCAGAAGAAGAGAACACTGTACCTTTTTGGCTCCAGCCCATTTCCATCCTCGAAGTGCCTGATACCCGGAATAAGAAACCCCGAAAAAGACAGCAAGCTGGCTTTCAACTGTTAGCCTCCGCAAAGCTCAAGGAGCAGCTCGTTCGACAGGACCAAGAGTCAGAGCCCTGCGAGGTGCTGCTGTCGGATACTGAGCTGTATTCCAATCCAAAGGGAGTGCCTTGTCGATGATGCAAAGCCCGCCGCTGGTTAGATCTCTTCCAAGCCAATGACATGTGCTGAGTTATGTCGAGCTCTGAGGCGTGTAATTTAGCTCAATGTCTAGTAGATATGCAGAGGGGTGGTGCAGCGAGGACAAGGTCGTCGCAGTACGAGATGCACCTGGCAAGAGACACAAGTCTCCACAGCGCCGATCCAGTTCGATAATTCTTGTTTCTGTGGCAAGATAAGCCAGGTAACAAGCGCTCCTAAGTCAACAAATCGGCGACGTTCATAGGCATCTCATCAATCTGCGTCGAATAGTAAAGCTCGATGTCCCGCAGAATGCGAACATCATCACTGGTGACGAAGTTAATCGCCACGCCCTTGCGACCGAACCTCCCGCTGCGCCCGATTCTGTGGATGTAGTTCTCTCGGTTGCTGGGCAGGTCGTAGTTGATCACAAGACTGACTTGCTGAACATCGATCCCACGAGCCCAGACGTCAGTGCTGATGAGGACCCGACTGTTGCCCTGTCTGAAATCGGACATGATACTGTCACGTTCCTTTTGTGGCATCTCGCCGTGCATGCTGCTGACTGTAAAGTTTGCTTCTCGCATTTTGTCGGTGAGCCAGTCGACCTTACGGCGGGTGTTGCAAAAAATCACTGCCTGTGTGATGGTGAGAGTGTCATAGAGGTCGCACAGTGTGTCAAATTTCCACTCCTCCTTTTCAACGGCAATAAAATACTGCTTGAGGCCTTCGAGCGTGAGCTCATCACGCTTAACCAGAATGCGGACGGGGTCGGTCATGAATTTCGTCGTCATGTCCAACACATCGTAGGGAAGGGTGGCAGAGACAACCACAACTTGCGTGGCGGGGGGGAGGTATCGGTAGACGTCGTAAATCTGTTCTCTGAAACCGCGATTGAGGAGTTCGTCTGCTTCGTCCAGAACCAGCATCTTGATGTGCCGTGTACGGAGGTTCCTTCTTCGAATCATATCTGCCACCCGTCCAGGTGTTCCCGACACCACGTGTTGTCCGTAGTCGAGTTTTCTGATGTCTTCACCAACGTTGGTGCCTCCGATGCACGCATGACATTGCACATTCATGTAATCTCCGAGTGCCATAATGACGCTTTGGATTTGGGTCGCTAATTCGCGTGTCGGGGACAAAACGAGAGCTGGCATTTATGTTAGTCAAGTCGCGCGCAACGAGGTTCCTTTCCTACCTTGTGTCTCGCGGACGGATGTCTCGATAATTTGGAGGATGCTGATCGCAAAGGTCGCCGTTTTGCCAGTGCCTGACTGCGCCTGCGCAATGGTGTCTCGTCCCTTACAAATCTGCACGATGGCGCGTGACTGTACTGCTGAGGGGGATTCGTAGCCGTAGGCGTAGATTCCACGGAGGAGGTTTTCCTTGAGGTGCATGTCCTCAAATGTCGGGGCGACCGTCACTTCTTTCGAGGTGGAAAACTCCATCCGCTCTATTTGTCCGTGTCAGACGCCAACTCGGTCGCGCTGTTCGTTGAGGGAACTTGGACTTACCGTCTACATTTCTGTCGATACCTTCGGCCATTTTGATCTCTGTTGTGATAAGTGTGTATGATTTTCAAGTGATGTTGTCGTTGGTCCGTTGCTCATTCCTTAGGTGGCGGAAGAAATTTGAGTTAGGACAAGGCCCTTGGCAGCCTCGTGCACCAGCCAATCACTTTCCTGCGCTTATGGCCATTCTTTTCCGCTGCCACCATTCCCCATGCCCCCCATTCGTGATGCTCCTGTATGATATAGACTACACTCGTCAACATGTGCGCTTCAATCCACCACAAGCTTTGTGTAGTCACGGCTCCATTGTGATGTCTCATTTTCCAATGAAAATGAGGTGCCCCTGCATGTTTCTCTGAGCTCGGACACGGGGTCTCGCCCTCATTTCTCTCTTGAGTCGCATTGACACTGTCACACGTCTTCTGCACCGTCCTGTTGATACAATCCGTTCTAGGTAGAGCACGTCAATCAAGATCCCATCCTCCTTATTGCCGTTGGTCGTTTCTTCCGTGCTCAAGGCCTATCGGGAACGGTGGCGCTGGAGGAGTCCGGGTCACTTCGTAGAAGCCCTCGATGGACCTTGATGCTATAGTTGAACGTCAGTGCCAGTCTGTTTTATGTCACTTAGAGGCGAATCACTTCAGGACATTCAAATAGGCACCGATGGTTAGAAACCTGGTGGATAAACGAACCATCAACATGGAAAAGATCATTTGAATGATGGAGCGGAAGATTGTAATCAAACGTTTTTTTGGGGTTTGTTAGCCCCGAAGGGCACATGAGCACAGGAGTGCTCAAAAGACGAATAAAACAACCGTTTCCATCACTTAAAAGCCCCGCAGGGCACCGGCAAGCACCACCACACAGCACCACACAGCACCACCGCCGCCACCCCCCCTCCCCCAACGTAAAACCGCACACAGAAAACCACCGCCAGGAAACCACCGCCGAGAAAGAAAAGACCCCCTCACAAGAGCGAGGCCGCCTCCCCACAACTGCCTCACTGCTCTTTAAGCAGTCGCTCAGCGACCGCCATCTGAACAGCGAGGATCGCAGTTGTGAGGTTGCGAACCTCGTCTTGGAGGTGTCGAGCCCGCGCTTGGGCATCGACGGCGTCCTCCCGCGCCTCCACCACGGCCCGCCAGAGCTGACCAACCGCACCCATGATCTCGCCCTCTGCATGGACGAGATTCGCGCGGGCGCGGATGGCCGCCCGGTTGCCGTGGTCGGCACCGGCCGGGAGATCGCCGTCGAGGACGTCGACCTGGACAAGAGCCTCGCTCAAATGAGCGAGCCCGGCGCGGAGTTGCTCCGCACCCGGGGCGCCAACCTCGTCGAGGTCGACGCGCTCCTCCTCGTCGTCGTCTTCTTCATCCGAAGACCAATGGTCTTCGGGGGCCCGCCATTCTTCCTGGGCCGGAGCCCCGTCCTCTTCAGCCTCCTCAGAGGCAGCCGTCATGGCGGCCTCTGAGGCCCCAGCCTGGCTCCTGGCCAAGGCTCGGAGAGAGCCAGAGCCACCAACCCGTCGCAGGCGCGGGACTCCCAAAATTTGGGAGTCCGTTGCCACGCGACGGGCCCCATCCTGGTTGACTGGGATGGGTGTTGTAGTGAAGGCGCGGCGGTCTGGAAGGCGGAGGCGACGAGCCATGATGACATCATTTGGCTGTTGAGCTTGAGTCACCTGACCAGGACGTGGAAATAGAGGATTGACGAGGCGAGGACGATCGACGGCGTCAATGCCTTCGTTGGCAAATTGAGTCGCTGTGACTTCAGAGTTGTAGTCAAGAAGTGAACGTGGCTGAAGAGTAGGAGTTCTGTTCCATGGACTTTGGATGACACGTTGGTCAAGTTGTGAAAAGCCTGGTGCAATGAAAGGTGCGGCAGACTCAGACTGTGTCTCAGCGGAAATGTTTGTTTGGGTTGTGTTCAGATTTGTGTGATCACCTGACGCGGTTTCGCTGATGTCGTCTTCAAGTTCTTCAATCACACGGCCGTTGACTGCGACAATGGGGACCTGGTTGTTTGTTGCTGAAGGTGTGGCAAGAAACTCTTCGCGGATAATTCGTTCGACTATCAGTTGGAAAAGTGAAGGATGGCTGTGATCGCGACCATATGGATTTGAGATGTAGATGCCTTGTTCAGCAAGCTGACGTTGAAGGGCAGCCCAAGCTTCAGGGGCGTCGTCTTCGGAATCGCGATCATATGGATTTGAGATGTGGATGCCTTGTTCACCAAGCTCACGTTGAAGGGTAGCCCAAGCTTCAGGGGATTCGTTCTCGGGATCAGCTAATCCAATATCATATGGGTATGCGTATGGGAGACAGTAGTCATTTGTTGTCACTGAGCTTGGAGCTTCTTGACTGAATGGGCCGGAAGAGTCTTCTGCGCTGGACGAGTTCAAAGAGGTGTGTGGACTGAGTGAGGTTGCACGCTCTCGAATTTGCAGTGCAAGATTTTCCAGTGCAGAATTTTCTGCCACACCACGGATGTTCGCAAAACTCCAATTTGGTTCTTCAGTCCACGGAAGTGAAGGGCGAGCGGATTGATTTGTTGCTTGGTTTGCAGCTTGGCTTTCAGGCTCGAGTGAGTCGGGGATGTTTGCAGAGTTGAGATCACCTTCAGGAGAATTGGCGGCTTCTGAATTGCGTAGTAAGGAAGTCAAGTCGGTGGTTGCGTTCACACGATGAAGATCAACAGACGCCTCGGAGAGACTTGCAGTTGAGTCATGAGAAGAGGCGGAAGAAGAGCCAGGAGAAGAGGCAGTAGAAGAGCCAAAAAAGAAGCCAGCCGAGAAGCCAGGAGAAGAGCCAGGAGGAGAGCCAGGAGCAGAGCCAGGAGCGGAGCTGGGAGCAGAGCTAGGAGCAGAGCCCGGAGGAGAGCCAGAAGCAGAGCCAGGAGCGGAGCTGGGAGCAGAGCCAGTCGTGGATTCGGTAGTGGATTCGGTCGTGGAAAGGTTTGGGTCTGGGGCAGGAACAGAGTCAGTGATGAATTCAGTGGTCTGGGCACAAAGGTCTGGGCCAGAGGATGAGCTGGACTTACAAGAGGTCAAGACCCAGGTCAAGACACGTTCACGCAAGAGAGACTGTGCAAGACGTCGTTGCTCCTCGTCTGAGAGGGAGGAAGAAGAACCTGGTCGTGGACCTGCAAGGTTTTTATATATAATTAGAGACAATTGCGTGGATGAAAAGTGAGGAAGAGATAACGTCTGAGATAGAACTTACCTATGGATCGGTTTTGAGAAGTCATGCTGACCGGCGCCGAGCAACGACGAGATAGGAAAGGCTTGCCGTGTTGTCGGTGTGTGTATGCCACGGTCGTGCGACAGTATCGTAAGTTTAGAAGAGCTGTGGCGACGATCTTGAAGGAAAGCGACGAGTTGAAATGACGACAGTGAGATAGACGACGAGGGTAAGTGAGAGGAAGAAGCGCCGACGACTTTTGTTGTTGATTTGTTTTTCCCACCCATCTTTCTGTCGCACCCTCTATTGTCAAAAAAAGGCGCTAACGACTAACTGTGCAGAGGTCGCCAAGTCGAATGGGCTAGGATTGTCTGCTTCTGGGTGCGATATGGTCTTTCTCAGTCGTGGTACAATATATGGAGTATATTGGAGGCATCTTGTGTGTGCAAGGCTGAAGCAAGACAGCACGGGTCTTACCAGATCGAGCCGCAGCAGCACCATCGTCTTATTGAAATTCCCGTCGCGACAAATCTCAAGGTCGTCGCGACGAATGTCATTTGTGTCGCGGCAAGCCCTCATCCACAGGGTATGAAAACCATCAGGGAACAGCCCTTTTCACATATTCAACATGCTCAATTGTCGCCTCATTGGGCTCGCTGCATGGTCGCCATCCTCACTGGGCCCAATGCCGCTGTCCGTCCCTCCAAGAGGGCTCGAATCAATGTCGATGTCCCATTTCTCCTCAACGTGGTCGCTGTCTTCGTCATCCCCACTGTCCCATCCTTTCTGGACTGCGCCTCTAACGTTCCATCTCAAAGCCCTTTGTACACTTTCCACCCATTCATTCGTACCGGTCATAACGGTAGGGAATGGATACTGCGACGCCTCAAGGGTCACATAATCCCCTTGTTTCAATTCGATCCGTCCTTTTCCGTCAAAAGAGCAATAGGCCGACGACCGGGATTTGTGGGGTACTGCGATCCGCAATGCAAGAGTGTCCGACAATACCATGGGACGGAATGAAAGGGTGTGTGGACAAATGGGCGTCAACAAGATGGCAGGAATAGACGGGTGTATTAGAGAACCTCCCGCGGACAGGGAGTAAGCCGTGGACCCTGTCGGCGTGGAAAAGATACACCCGTCTGCCTGCACAATGGTCAAAAGCTCATCATCGCCGTAGAGCTCTAGGTTGGACACATAGGCCGAGGGGCCGCGGTCAATGACAAGCTCGTTCAAAACTTCAAACTGCTCGCCTTCCTCCACAGCACCCTTTGCCGCCCCAGGAGAGTGATCGGCCCTCCAGACAGTGCAGGTAAATCGCATGCGAAGATTGACTCGCATGCCAGTGTCACCCATGACCCGATCAAGGTGTTCTTTATATTTGTCGAATTCAAAATTGGTCAGAAACCCCAAGCTTCCCAGCGAAAAGGAAAGCACCGGCGGTACCACCCGCTGGAACAGCCATGAGGTAAATAAGACAGTGCCGTCACCTCCCATCGTGAGCACCAGGTCGAATTTTTCCGGGGATGACCAGCACAGATCTGGAGTCCAATACTTCAACATCTTACTGAACCGAGGTTCCTTCGCTAACAATCCGGCGGCATCGAATCGTTTGGAATGTCGGAGCTTGGCATCCACATAGACGTTAACACCTAGCTCGCTTCCATACCGAGGCGTGGAGAGCAACCATTCAGCAAGCTCGCGCGTCAAGTAAACAAGGCTGTTGTCGCGGGCCTTGGTCACAATCATGACATTGCGCACGGCTCGCTTGAGGGGTTTGCGCTGCAGCTGTTTGGAAACCTCTCTTACGCCCGTTGCAGTTTGCATCAGTCGCGAATGCGAGTAGTCGTCGTCGGCAATCTCTTCCAGAACCTTCTGAATGTCCACAACCCCGTCAAACCGCTGATGGAAGAAACATGGCGATCGAAGAAAACTCGTCGACGTAGGCGAATAGGTAGACAGTGCGCTGGCCTGGAGACCAGCAAAGGTGGCTGTCAATGATGGTGACCCGGCGCAACTTCTCTGTTGCTCCAACTCCACCTCATTAATCGCTGTCTTGAGGGCGTTCACGGCCAACGGTGCGGTGTTAGGCCCCGCACTGGGCCGCCGTGAGACCAGAGCCTTCATGATTGTTTGTCTTGGTATATCTATTGATTTTGGATTCTTGCGGTGTGCGAGCAGAGACTTCGGCAGTAGAAGAGGCTTTGGCACTGGAACTGTGGGATGATGTGCGATATAAGAGGTCTTCAGAGGATCGTTGGGGGACGCGTTGTCGCTGCCGACGGCTTTCTCGCTCACGGGATCGGGCTCTGCGTGGACCAGACTGCGCACAGCGTGTGTTTGGCCGTCAGCATCAATGGGATCTAAATGTTCGGCATATTGACGGAGGATGGACTCTCCAACGGACGTTTTGGAGGTGGAAGAAGCCATGCCATCAGGGAGCAGAAGGTCAAGATTATCAATGACAGGAGTCGGTGGAGAAAAGTTGCTGATACTAGTGGCCTCGGAGGTAGTGGGCGAGGATAAGGTGGAGTGGGAATGGATGTCCAGGTTACTGATCGTGGGAGATGTGGTCATGTTGGAGAGCCAAAAGCCTAAAAAAGAAGACCTGCAGGGCAAACGAAGGCACAAGCCGAGCCGGTGGGAGTGGATCTGGTCAACAGTGGACGATCTGGAGGTCGTGTCACCCAGTGTTGTGGTGGTGGTGACGGGCTCGATGAAGATGTGATGCCGAGGGGCAAACCCGAGCACGGTCGTAAGCGGGCCAATCTTCGGAACAGTCAGAGCGCCGAAGGCATGGGAGAGCACAAGATGTGCCGCTGGAAGAGCGGGTGGCCTAGGGACTTGCCTAAGGCTAGGAAACTTGCCTAAAAGGCTCCCCCTAGGTACGAGAGGCAGAGGTGCACACGCACGACACGATGTCTCCAAATGAGTAATCCGGAGACTCGGAGTTAGCGGATGATGTTGGTAATGAGTGCTTTTGTGCGTATCGAAGCCGCTGGCTGTTGTGAGGTGACAGTGGTGAATCGACAAAATCCTCTGGACCAGCCGAGGTAGAACTGATTATACAAGGACGTTGGAAAGTCGTGAAGGTGTCCAGGTGGGTATCTTGAAGTCTCGTCAAAGCAAAAGAGTGCCTTGGTTGTTGTAAAGGAAGTTGATGGCAGCTGTTCGATGCTGTGCTGGAGTATTTGTAGCACTGGCACATGCTAGAGGCCGGGTCTTTCCAGCGACTTTGCTGGGCATGTCCTGATGTTGAGACATGCACGTGGGGTCCTGCTGTGGGCATTGGTCAACCGCAAATGCGCCCCATGTTGCAGTGCCTTGACCCTCCATAGTGGGCACCTAAAATATTCACGATGCGCCCCTGAACCACCAATGCACCAGCCTAGAAGCCTGCCACAAACAGCCCATTGCACGCCGATAAGCCTGCTTCCCACCCCCGCTTAACCTCACCACTGTTTCTTGTCAGTCAGCCGCCCACAATGTGACTGTTTCAGCCTTCACACACTGGCAAAACCTGTAACATCATCGATCCTGTCGCCAGCGTTCGTCCTTAATCACCCGAGCTTCCATAGCATTTCTTATCACATCCAGTACACAGATCACCGAGTTCTCGCCCGTTGTACCGTCTGTTCCGTTCATGGCAACATCTCCGTTCGATTGTTGGTTGCCTCCCCTGGCATTGGTGCTGGTGACAGAGGAGTGACCAAGAATTGCTAAGCGAGCAGCATGTGCTGCTTGTTGCCAACTTTCCATGCTGAACTTGCCTTCACTCTCCATCAACAACGTTGTGCCATCTTTACCGAAGGCAAAAACATGCAAGCTCGAGCATTTGTTTCGCTGCGCAACGCCTGGATTGATGATCATCTGCCCATTGTCACGGCTGACGCCAATGAGAGCAGCAGCAGCCAATGTTCTCATCTGCACAGCTGCGTCTAAGCATCCAAGGATGGCAGCATTGAATGCCGAAGTAAGCAAGTCGAGATAAGTCTCACCTTGCCCAGCCCCTCTGACTCCGCCAGGTAAGCTCTCGTCACCTTCGACAGACAGGACTTGGAGGGTGAGCTGCAACATGGTTCGTGGAGTCTCTTGGCCAAGTACGATAGCTTGAAGCGTTCTTTTGATGAGTTCTTCAATGTGTCGTTCCTTGACCATTCCGACACCATTATGTGGTCTGAGATTGACTTCAATCACGGTCGACTCAGGAATCTCATCAGATCGGTAAGGAACTTCGACCGGGTAATTGACGCCGGCGATAACCTTGTAGCCCTCTCGCGGTGCGCTGTATGTTGCTGACCCATCTGCATTAATCAACGTGTGCAGAGATGCCTGAGGAGGCTCACTCATGAGTAAAGGAGCCATGATGAGGACCAAGAGCTGGCAAATATTTGGCGGAACAGAACAGATTTCCTGGCCAGAAGGATTTTATGTTGACAAGGCCCTGCCAAGAGCCCTTAGCGCAAGGCTGCGAATTCACAGGAGGCAATGACGAAGGTATCAGAGAGGATGGGAGTAGAGTATGTTCCTTGCGGAATTCGTAGAATCTAGCACCGAGAACACCAGTTAATTACACATGGACCTGAATTCCAAGCCAAAGCCGCCCGCCTCGACAAGTAAAGCAGATTAATCAGGCAGTGCCCTCATTACACCTTCGAAGGCCACCAACGCCATGGCATTCGCAGGGAACGCTCTGAGAAAGCAGGGCACGAAGCCCCTCCAGTACCCTTTCCATCCAGACTCTCTATACACAGCAATGGCAGCATCCTTCCAGTGTCTAAAGCGAGGAGTGCCGTCGTTGAGAGAACCTCCCAATGGATCAGTCATGATGCGTTGCTTGACCACGTCCGAAGGGTAGGATGTCAGCCAGAAGACCTGTGCCGACAAGCCGCCTGCCCAGAAGTTGATTGCGGGAGTGGAAAGAGAAGTGTTGTTCTTGAACCAAGTCGTCAACATGTCGTAGCTGCCCCACCAGAAGAAGAAGAATGAACGGAATACTAGTGTTGAGAACAGACCGTGATATAACCCAGCAATGCCATGGGAACGAAGAATCTTTCGCGTGCAGTCTATAGGACCGCTGTACAGCCTGTCCTTCTTCTTCGCAGCGTACTGAATCTGTAGTCGAGCCTTGACATGCTCAACGGGCGCAGCAATAAAAGAAACGGTAGCCCCAGCCATGGTGCCTGCGATTCCATGCCCAAAAGCCGGTAATTTCTCCTTCGAAAGCTCTGCGGCGCTTTTCCCTCGCCGGAAAGCCGGGTTGGCAAATATGTTTTCATGCAACAACCTCCGGTAAACTGTCAAGCTCCCCAACATGACAGAGTCCATGGCCATCCATCCTAGCAGCGGTGGAGTTGCGCCCTTGTAGATCCCCGCTATCCCTTCTTTTCTCAGCGTCTGCAACAGACAGTCCAGCGGCCCTCGGAATTGAGATTTCTGCGAAGTCTGCAAGCGAACCTTGACTGTATCGAAAGGGTGGCCGACGGAGAGTTTTGCTATGCCTGAGAAGACGCCTGCGACGAAACCCTTGTAATTCCCTGCGAACGATTTTTTTCTCGACTCCTCACTGGCCGCCTGCCTGGGATGGCGCAGAACTTCAGTTACAGTTCCCTTGTGATCATTTTGTGGCCTGGGTCATGATTAGCATGTGTAAAGGACGACGAGCCGAAACGTAAGGTTGTTCCTCTGCCCTTACCTGCCAAAAGTTTCTGACATGCTGATAGAACGACTGCATGCGCGCTCTGCTGTCAACCGACTTCAGAGAGCCGCAGACGAGGTCGCAGTCATCGTTAAAGTGATCCAGCTTACCTGTATCCCGCAAACAGGCATAACAATCGAGGAATGGGCTGCCGATCGCCTCCTTACGAGAGCGCGGGACACCCAACTGGAGGTAGAAGTACCAGAAGAGATGTGGTGACCGGGAACGATTTAGCCTCCCCGATAGCCTGTGTGACGTGATAGATCTGGACCACAGGCCAACAGAACCGAGTAATTAGTGGCACCAGTGGCTCCCATCAAAAAGATAATCTCGGTGTGTGCTTAATAAAAAGCTTGCCTGTAGCTGTCCCTACTTGCCCCGCGGTTGTGGTGCCAGCAGATTGCCACCATGGAGGTCCTTCTCCGCCGTGACAAGGCCTCTCGCTCAGATGCACCCTCTATATATCCTCAAATCTAGCACTTAATACTTAGCAGGCCAGGCTGCGAACTGGCTTGAACAGCGGCGATGGAAACCCCCACAAACGAGAGTGCACTCACGAAAGTGTGGACCACGCTCATCACGAACACCCAATACCTCTCGGGCCTCCTCACCCTCGAGTATTCCTTGAAGAAAGCTGGCTCGCGATATCCTCTGGTCGCACTTTACACTGACACGTTTCCACCTGAAGGCCTGGAGGCTCTCAAAAGGAGAGGCATACCGGCGAAACACATTCCCTATCTCCTACCGTCCGTCCCCAAGGAATACGCCAACGATCCACGTTTTTATGACTGCTGGAGCAAATTAACCCCCTTCAGTCTTACCGAGTATGAGCGAGTGGTACAACTGGACAGCGACATGGTGGTTTTGAAGAATATGGATGAACTGATGGAGTTGGAGCTTGATCCGCCTGGGATGAATGGCGAGGGAAACAGGGTATACGCTGCCAGCCATGCTTGCGCGTGTAATCCCTTGAACAAAGCGCACTATCCGAAGCATTGGATACCGGAGAACTGCGGGTTCACTTCCCAACACAATACACCAGACGACGCCCAGGTTAATGGACCACCACCTACCGCGGGGATAGGATCCCCTAATGGCGGTCTGGTCGTGTGCAACCCTAGCCAGGGCATCTACAACAAGATCCTCGACGCTATGAAAAACGGCAACTTAACCTCGAGTTATGACTTTGCGGATCAGAGCTTGCTTGGCGACCAGTTTTATGGTCGCTGGGTCGGATTGCCGTACATTTACAACGCTCTGAAGACGTTGAGGTGGAAAGGAGTACATGACGCCATATGGCGCGACGATCAGGTGAAGAACGTCCATTTCATCCTGAGCCCAAAGCCTTGGGACGAGAAACTCGAAGATATCCAGGACGAAACGCACAAATGGTGGCACCAGATAAACGACGAGAGATTGGCACATGAAAAGTCTCAAGAGATCAACGATGGGTTTTAGAGTAAGTGAGGCTGTTTGCAGGGACCGAGGTATTGGTAATATAAGGGACCTGAGAGAGAGACGTGCAAAATAGAGGCTGATAGACTGATAGACTGAGAGCACAGATATATATATATGCTGTTAGCCGGCAGCGGCAACCCAACACAAGGGCATTCCCTTGCTCACTTTTCATCCTTCCAAAAAGGACCTCTGCGGCAGTTTCACAGCCCTGATTCGGTCTCCGTACGCAGCCGTTGAAGTGAGTCGATGACTGAACTATCTGTGCCAGAGACACGAGCTCCAAGCCTGGATTGCGCCAAAGCGAGATCAGCCGTGTTAAGCAGGAGAATTGCCTTTTAAAAGTTTTATTTGGTTCTCTGCAGATCCATTTCTCAGCTCGCTCATCGACCGCCATGGCAGGGATCGAGCTCAACCAGATTGAATGACTACGAAGGGAGACGGTATCTTTCGCGATGTTACACTGGCCGTACAATATTCAGACACAGTATCAAAGATCATAACGAGGAGATCTTTCGTGTCCCGCTTATAGCAACTCTCATATTTGCACCTGAAAGGCCTCGTTGTCTGCTGCAAGTGGTTCCTCAAAGTCTCGATTCCCAGCACTTGGTCCTCGCTTCCACTCTTTCTAGGTCAGTGGCTATTCGGGTCTGCGAGCATCATCTTGGTTTGTCGTCTGTTGTAGCAACCTGCAGCCGGATCTTTGCAGTTCCGCAATCATGACTGGGTCGGGGCTGAATGCTGATGTCTCTGAGCGCATCCTCTGAGACAGTCGACTGCAACATGGACAACCCCACAGCCAAGCTGATGTGGCAGCAGTTGTTCGCACTAGTTAGCTGTCTACTAGCTCTGGATGAATGCCATTACAACGACACGGGGCATTTCCAGGGCGGCAAGACTCCGACAGTCCTGCTCGTATTCCCAGGAGCCAGCGAGTTCGATGAGGGCCAGACAATTCAAGAAAGACTGTTAAAGATGGAGACGAGTTCCAGGGCGGTGGTCGCGAGGCTGTAGGCTCCGCTGATGCCCTTGTCATCTCGCAACAATCGTTTGTACTTCGTTCGCCGGTGAGTAGGCCCAGAGGCCCAACGTCAGAAAGCGCCGCGCCCTACAGTCGTAACTTGAATCGACGGGGCCGCCGAGGGTAAGTCCCAAGGCCCTACCAATGAAACGGTAGACGTAAAGAAAGGAGCCAGAAAACATGTCGGTCGCATCTGTGTCATTGACTCATTGGTTGAACATGAGGGAAATACTTCAAAGTTATTTTTTTGTTGGTACTCCATCGCCTGAGTGTGGAATGTTTTTCGGGACTGATGAAGCTGAAAGGGTTTCAAGAAAGGGAAAACCACCTATAGTCCGAGGCCGAGGATGGTGTCGACTTTGTTGAACAAAGCAGACAATGACAGAAGAATCAGAGACGGGTGAGTGATTGGACAGCAAGATACTCACCCAGTCAAGATGCATTCGGTCTGCCATACAGCACTTCCATTGGTCGCTCGCTGCAAGGTCACTTGCACTGGAGGCACTGGGAACTGACAAAATGCCCTCTGAGCTTGGGTGGCGAATGTAGCGAAACAATGAGTGGCTGAGTTACAGAGTACGGGTCTTGGTCTACACAGAAAGCTGAGGGATAGGGTGGAAAGACAAACAATATTGCTAAACGCGTGGGTGGACATACATCACTTCATTTTCAGTTCGAGATGCAGCAGCTCCCGGCTGCCATGTTCCATCGTTTTTCCAACTTGGTAGGCTCGCGCCCTCCTTGCGGGCACACGACACAAGAGTCCATGCACGGTCGACACGCCCTCACCGACATTCAGTGCTCTCGATGAACCAGAGGGGCTTGGTGTTTTGCTCTCCCACGAACATGAGTTCGAGAGAATTGCAACGCATGGCACTCATCTGACTTGAGGTTTCTTCTGATTCTGCAGCTAGGCTCATATTTCCTCATTTCCACCCAACCAGCCAATTTCTCGAGCAAAACTGATGGCTAGATGGCCAGAAGAGAGCCGACTTAGTAACGAACCTTGCCGTTGCATCCGCGGGCTCTTCCTCCTGGTCGAGCAATGCATGCCCAGCTGCGTGCCTAACCGTCCCGGTGCAGGGCCCAAAGCTCAAGAGGAGGCCTTTGACTGAGTGGTCAAAGGCCTTTTCTGGACCACGCGAGAGGGCGAGAAGCAGAGGAAAAAGGAGGTGCTGGGCAGCGGACGAAGCCTTTGAAACCAATGGTCGTGCCGCTTCACCTCCACCTACCTTCTTCCCTCAGTCCATCGGAATCCGCAGTCATGAGTCGATGCCGATGAGTCCCCCACGCCGAGATCCCCTTCATCCAACGATCTTCTCCTGACGTGCGGCAGAAATATCACAAATTCAGACTGCCCGAGGAAATTCTCGAACCACCAGTGGCTAGAATTAAAGTCACGGTCAGCATTTTTGCTCATTTCTTCCCACGCCAATGGCTCCGTGCAACGTGGAAGTACAGACTGCGAATGATGACTGCGACGGCGCAGGGCATGGTGCCAGATTACTGTGAAGGACTCTTGCAACTGGGCTTCCCCGTCTGCAGATTCTCCCAATTCGCAGCCCCAAGATCAGCATACCGCCCAATGTCAGCTACAGTTCCCGGTGGGGCGCAGGCCAGAAAGCAATGAGACCTGCAGTCTGGCAAAATGGATCAACGAGGCAAAAAGACGGCTTTTGACCTACTTGCTAGGACGGCCACCGCAAGGAGAGGCTGGACAGCCGACTGAGGCAATTGGGGCGGGCGCCACCGAGATGAAACCACCTGTGACAGAGCGAGGAACCGTCGCATCAGCCAGTCAGGGGCGGCCTGTAGCCGACCATCTCGCACACTGGCCAGCTGCCCCTGCTTTCTCGGGCGTTGAGGTCCGCAGTCCCGTTCCACAAGCGTGCCTGCATTGGCCCAAGCACCAATCCAAATATGCCGAAGATGGGCTCCTACTCAGCACCGTCTCATGCACCTCGACCGCCCGCTTGAGCCCGGCTTCCTAGCTACAACATCGTTCGAGCCATGCGTTTTCTTCGCATACGTCGTCCTTCGCAGTCCGAATATGAGGCGAGATGGAGAGGGATTCTGCATCATGCAGCTGGCCCGATGTCCTCCCTGTGAAAGGCAAGCTAGTCCGCCTCTTCAAGCCTTGACTCTCCCTCGTTTTTCGCGCAATTCTGGCATGAGGATATCACCACCCTACCATCACAAGCCTTTTCTTTGCCCATCACATTCCCATCACTTCAACCCGCGGTTACCAGCAACTTTGCAAAGCTCTTGAATTCATTCTCTGTCTCTTATCAAGACTATTTCTTCTTCTTATGCACGTTTCCTTTCTCCGACGTGAGACAGGATCTGTCATCCATGAAGTGCAACAGCGAGAATAACAAAACCGACGGGGTCTCGAAAGTATCTCGACGTCACGCCTAGCATCGATTGAGACGTGCTTGTGTGACCTCTGTGCTTCTTTTGAGTCCCGCAATTGCAGTGTACATTGAGTGTGCACTTGTTCTAGACGTTGACGGCAGACGCCTCACCGCTTCATTCGTACCTGAGCCCTTTTCTCTGTGCCTGATTTTGTGAAGCAATACTCTTTCACCACCTCTGTGAATTGGGCAATCGGTGCATAAAGATTTCACTTGCTCCACGCCACGCAACACAGAGGCGAATATCACTCGGTTATTCAAAGAGCACATCTTCGCCTCAAAATACGCTTTTCGGTCACCTTCAAGCCATGTGTGTGCGTACGAAAACCTCGTACGGATGCGGATGCGAATACAAGACTACCGCCGAGTGCCACTCTTCCCGCTGTCCAGGTCTCGAAAGATATCATTATCCTAGAGGTGGTGACTGCCGTGCCTGCAAAGAAGCGGGCAGCGCAGTCACACGAGGACGAGATGGCAAGGGCAGATATGGGCGAGAAATCAGCAGGCGAAGACACTCGAGGGAAGATGATGAAGCCTCCGTTGATGAAATACCAGGCACGGCTGATGTTGGTGATGGAATCAGTCCGTGGGCGCCTCCATCGCGAGAAAAGGAATGGAGCAGCCATTCCAGGAAGAAGGCAGATGATGCCTGGTTGCAGGAGCACGCAGAGCGAAACATAGACCTTCAGAGTATCCGCGACTCTCTGCCGGACTATCGCCCGTCTGAGCGAGGCTCCCCTGTGGCCCCTTCTTCCCCTCGACGGCATGCCCGCATCTACTTGGTCGATGACGATCTGCACTACGATCGTGGGGACAGCTATGAGAGACGTCATCGGCGCGAGGAATCGGGCAAGAGTCTTCCTGTCGAGATACGCAGTAGGAACATCTACCGTCGGCGAAGACAAGACAGCCAAGACAGTTTTGAAAGCATGCGCAGTTCACGGTCATCGGCCCGAAAGCATACCCCTGCGCCCACCACATACACGGCATACGAGTACAATGATGTCCACGATTCGGGATATGGCTCATATGGCTCTCGAGCGTCCAATGGATATCGAGGAGCAAAGACTGAGCCCTATGCCTATCCACCATCACCGCCACCGCGAGTCGTGAGCATCAAATCACCCTCACCTCATCCCTATGCTCCCTACGAAGTCAGCCCCATTAATATTGTCACGCGCGCCCCAACATATGGGTACAGCCCCCCGAGGTACTGATTTGGCAGGAACAAATATTTTTGTTCTTTGCAGCAATACATTTCCCAGGCGTTTTGAGCCCAAGGCAAGGCTGCACAAGGCACGACATGGTCTCTGCAAACTTGTTCCAGTCAAGATATACACAAATTTCAGCAATGCAAAGATGCTAACCAGCGAGTATCTGTGATATCCTGGAGAGTTGATGATCGATTAGCGTTTACGTGCCGAAGGCGTCCAGGTTGTCATTGGACAAGGTGAGATACGGGTGTCTCTGATGTATGATTGTTACAATGTGGTTTAAACGATATCAATGAAGCGAATGAGTGCACGATGGCGGACGACTCGTACTCTTATCAGGGTGTTTGAGCTAACGATAAAGGACACGGCGTCTGAGAGAAGACTCCATGGAAGGGGCAGGCAAGAGGAGGAGCTTTGGAGGCTATAGTCGAGTACTTCTATTTAGTTCGGGAGAGGTACTTTGTGACTTGTATCTATTATACTTCCTGAACCATGGTGTTGAGGTCTTTTGGTCCACCTAGGTATTGAGCAGGCTCCTCGCTGCTCAATCTGATGAACACCACGCTTCTCACCGTCGTCGACGTGCTCCTGTGTCTTGCCACATTGGAGCTGTTGTTTCCAAACTCGAAGGGTGATTTCCATTCTATTCTTGCGGGAGTTGATTTTCCGTCCGCCTTGATCTTGGAAGCCCGACGATGGATTTTCCTCAAGCCTTGGGAAAATAGCGTACCTGTGTCGGCATAGGGCGCCTGTGAGGGGCAGAATGCGTAAACCACGCCTCGAAACCATTGTTGTAGCGAGCGTTGCGACGGTGCCCGACGTTGCACCTGGCTGTGGCGAACCTCTTTGGGTCCTGTTCCTCCTAGACTCGGGCTGCCCAACTGGCAACTGTTAGCAGCTGGAAAGTGTACTCAGTAGTGTCTCCGGCTGAGCTGAGCTGAACCATCCATGAGCGAGGTAGGTCTCAAGATGAGGAGGCTGTGCATTTCCCCCTCGCATCGCCAGCCATGCCTTCGGCAGGCTAGAATACGGGTCTCACTCGGTGGTTCGCATCTCGCATTTGTTTCCCTGATGGAGCAAGGAATAATAGTGTGATTACTGCAATTACCTGGTTATCTACACACCCCCTAGCATTTGATGCGTGTTCGACATCTGCTCAAGATCAAGCCCTTCATCCCATAATTATCTGTCTCTGCATTATTATCTGTTGACTCGCCAAGTTCGAAATGTAGCATAAGGAACTACCTAGGTACCCAGGTACTTTCTGACCCGTCCAGCTTGGATTCGACGACACCGCTTGCGCCTTTCCATCAACGTATTCTGACCGCCTCTCTCAGGAACCCAAGTCCCCAGCTGTGCAGTCGCTGTCAGATTCAACGTCTCCCGAGAACTCTGCATACTGCTCACACACACAGGACAAAGCATGAAGCAAGTGGAAACCGACTTGCTCACCGCAGTTACTCAACCATCCTTCATCCACATTCTTGATGGCATGTGCTGAGTTGGAGGCTTAGCAGAATTCTTTCTCCGACACGATGGCTTTCTCGTTCTCATGCTCGCTCCCCCTCAATGTGCTCGAGTCGCCTACGCTCTCACTGTCCTTTTCTTTCGGCGTGGTCTGCTTCTTCATGGCGGCCTTGAGCTTTGCACAGTTCCAACCCCCTGTCTTCTCAAACTTTGCCATTCTGTCCTTGGTCTCCTTCTCGAATTTGGCGGCCCAATCGATTTTCTTCATCTGGCCATCATTCTGCACGACAACGTCGCCCGAAGGCACCCACTCCGAGGACTTCCCCATGGAAGTGATATCGCCGAGTTTGGCGACACCGTGACCTACATTTTTGAGAGCGAGGCCAATCCCTGAGATGGCGAAGCCCGCGGTTCGGAATGGGAATTTGGCAAGGCGGAGGTGGCGAGATTCCTTGACTTGGACCATCGGCATGCGGGGCAGGGCCTTGACGTCTCCCGGCTTGAGGGCAAGGACCCAGTCCCAAGTGTACTGCGAAGTGTCGCCGCGGTATTGGAAGTAGAAGTTGCCCTGTACCCGCACTTATTAGCACCAGCGGATTGTGTAGACCAAGGGAGACCGCTGGCGACAGGTCAGAGGGGGTTAGATTGAACGTACCATGCCAGACTTATCAGCCACAGTCCACTGCAAGCGCTGAGTATCCGGGACGACGACGGGCTTCGTGACGATGACAACCACGAACTGGATCTTGGCATTTTTTGGATGGCTCTTGGTCTCAGCAATCGGGCTGTATTTGTAGTCTGCGAAATCTTCCCTGTCGACTGCCAGGAGTTTGGCGCTCGGGATGAGGTGAACATGCTCGGTTGGGGACAAAACGGTGACTACAGCGTCGCAGAGAAGGTAAGTTCAGAGCCAATAAATGTAGATAGGTGACTTGAGAGCGGAGGCGGGAAGAGGAAGAGGAAGCAGCAGGGAGGACTATACATAGCCATTGATAGATGTTTTGTGCGACTTCCTTGACTGTCAAGTTCGTAATACCCAACTCGAGATGATTTGGTCCCCATTTCGCTCGCTCCTTCTCCTGTGTACCATGCTGAAGATACAGATTCACGCTGGCGAAGTTGCGTCCGCCCTTGATGGCCAGCTCCCGGAACTTCTTAACGGTCTCAAGCTTGTCAGTGGTCTTGGAGTCTGCAAGATGTTCTGTGATGAGGTACACGTTCTGGCTGGCGCTGAATGTGTCGTCTTTGAGCATATCAAGACAGACTGCTAGCTGCTCAGTTTCCGACTCTTGGGGCGCGAGGGGGTTGCTGTTGTTTCTGGCGTGGCGGGAGAGGATACAGTCGCCAATCATGTCTTTGAGACTGTTGGCGTGGGGAGTGTTGGTTGTCGGATCATTGATATAGATCCATGGATGCCTGGACAGGGGCGGAGGAGTGGTGAAGCCCAAGAATCTGGTTGATTTCTTGCCCATCTTGTTCGAGGTGTTCATGGGTCGAAAAGTGATGGAGGGGTAGGGAGGACTGGTTCACAGGTGGACAGTGTGGGATAGATATGGATGGTTGCTAGCAATGAGGTAGGATATCGACAGAATCGAGATGTGCTGTTGCAGGTGAGGAAAGCTTGACAAACCTGTCACTGCCTGATGATCAATCCCTTCACACGACAACAAAGGAAGAAGTCAAGGTTGAAGGTGAAGTAGTCACCAAGGAAGGGAGCATTCAAGTTGGACACTCACAAACTCAAGGAGGGGTAGGTACCTGGGTACCTACTAGGTAGGTCGGTAGCCTGGTCGGTAGTAGGTCGCAGTGCGTGGGACACTGGCCGTGGGTGCGTGACTGACATTGGGAGGAAACCAGGCAAGGCTGAAAGTGACATCCCACCATCCGTCACTCATCTGTCCATCATTGGATTCATTGCCCGGAAGACACAAAGGCTAGAGCTGCAGCTGCACTGCGATACTAGCACATTTGAAACATGCCAAAGTTAAGGCTACGCGCATCACCACATCCTTGTATCACCGCCTTGTCAGGCAGACTTCAGAGTCTCGTCTCCATGAGGCATCCGCAAGTGTCCAAGCTTTCCCCGCCGGCCTCTTCTATTCTCTTGTCCTTGTGATGATCCAGAACGCCCTGCTGCATTGGCCGGAGTTGGGTCCGTCCTTTGGGCCAATGATGACAGAGCTCCAAGTATTGAGCCTGTGTCCAAAAAGAGCTCTGAGAGAATTCAAGATTTGGCGGGAAACCGGTGTGGAGAGGCAGCCCAAGGGCCAACCAACTTCTGCCTGGCTGCGGCCTTTGTTGCTGCTGTTTGATTCGCCCATTGGCCAACCACACAGTGGCATATTCGTGGCCATGCAGATGCCACGGCAGCTCCCCTTCAGACGCCCAGCTTGGGAACAAAGCAGGCTTTCCCACCTTACGAGGTACACACAGCCGATACGATAAGCAGACGAGCTACCGTCCATTGCGTGCCTCTCAGTCAATGGTATTGGGCGGAGCGCTCCCGATGTGCCCATCCGCTTCCTCATTTCTTCTCCCGCTGCGACAGTACTGGGCACCTTGATACCACAGCAATCGCCCCAGTAATCAGGCTCGTGTCCGTATTCCTTGACATGCTGCATTCGCTCGGCCTGGGCCCGTAGTGTCTCTTCGTCTAGTTGGCCCATGTCCTCAGTGCCCGGTATCAGGCCTCCAAACAGAAAGTGCTGCATGATGGGCAACTTGCCCAGGACTTCCTTGACAAACATCTTCCTCATGCCGTCTTCCACCTTTTGCCAGCTCTTTGCGCCCGAGATATCGTCTAGCATGGGGCTGTGCCAACGCAGTCCCTTGACAGTCTTGACACTATCCACCCATCGGACTTGGTTGAGGTACATGTAATCGTTGCCCTCCTCGTCCAGAACAACATTGTTATGGATCGACCTGGGCGTGATATAGGGGTGCCCGATGAGCTGGCTCGCCCCAAACAAAAAGGGCAAGAACTGGTAGTCATCGAGGCCCCAAACTCCATGGCTCCCTGCAGGTTCCAAGTAATATGTGCTCTGGATCTTCCGCATGAGGTTGAGGTATCGGACGAAGGTGTGCATGACGATCGCGGGAAAGTCTTCTCGTTGGATCTGTTTCAGTTGATAGAGACACAGCAACCACATCATGAAATTCAGCTCGTGGCCAGATCCATAATCAAGTCGCTCCTCAGACCCAAATGAATTTATCAAATAGACAGAGATCTCTTTAACGGCATTCTCATCGTGCAGTCCCAGTACCTCCTTGTGTATTCTATCCACATCTCTTACAATGGCTTTGTGGAAGCTGCGGAAGACCGGATTGCCAAATCTCGATCCCGTGTCGAGAGGAGGATATTGTTTTAACAGTCCCTCCAAGATGTCGAGGACGGCATCAAGTTTCTTAATAGTGGTAGACAAATGCTCAGTGTCCAGCGAGGAAATTCGACGGCCGCAAACGCAGTCAGCCAGTGTAAAGATCCATGCTCGTATCAGCACGTAGGTTGGCGAGGCTAGGAACTTCTCATGGTCGCCCGGTGACAGGATTCGCTTGACTGGCGTGGTGAAATGCACAGATTCGATCGACGGAGGAGGTGGCAATGTAGGCGTCGGAGGAGCAGGGTCTGATGGGCCAGACTGCTGAGAAGACTTTCTTCGAGAGCCAGGAATCAACTTTGGAATTGTATAAGACGCCTTCCCATTCCGGCCGTCAGCATCGGCATTGGTATGCTTGCTGGATTCTTCGGACGACATGCTGCTCAGGCTCGTTGTAGAAGAGTGACATTTAAATCTGTATCTCTGAAGTTTCTCTGATGATGTGTTTTCGCTGGTGGCGTGAAAGCTGGAAGCTGACCCCGTACCTGGTTGGTTGCCCCGCGCAGCTGCTATAGCTCATAGCTCACAGCGGTTTGGATCCCTTCCCCCGGGACTGCTCATCTAAGACTTTTTGTGTATACGTCTAGGCAGTTCCAACCACTTTCATACAGTATTTGCATCTGCATGGCATGTCTTCATTCATGAGATCTACATGTAAATTATCTAGCCTTGCGACCGCGACCGCCGATTTCCTGCAAGTGGCAGAAAACAGTCGACATGAGCCTTTGGGCTTGACCTCCACCGGACGTGAGAGTCTTGCGCGAGCTGGTTCTGAGCTGACCGTTTCCAGCATCGATCCTTCAGCTGTATCACCTCAAACCCCAGTTCAGCCCATCTCTCATCCCCAGGAGGCAATTCATATGCTGAGGTGTCTGCTGCCGACGGCCCTGCCAGATCGCGGAGAAATCCATAATACTGACTCCAATCGCCTTTGATCTCACGGAAGCTGATCCCTGGGCCTTTATAATGCAGTCTTCCTGTTTCCCAGAGGTCTTGCTCATGAGGAGGCAATTGTTTGGCCTCGCGCCCGGCAAAACTGCGAGTCACTGCAACAGCCTGGTATCATACACGCGAAAACTGATGCCAGCTTTGAGCTGACCAGTAATGGTAAGGCACGGATCGCCGATTTTGAACAAATCTTGGTAAAATCCTGCTAGGCGATTGTTGAGCGTCACCTGGGTCTGGCGGCAGGAACGGGTATGACAGCCTGTAACCTGTGGCAGAAACCACTTTCTCAATGCCCGAAACTCGGGTGCCGTCATCGAACTCGACGGCGGTGCCGGCAGGTGTCGACCTGATTTCCCTCAGCGTCGGCTTGGTCACCACGTTGGGCAACTCAAACGCAGGCTTGAAGGACTCATTGCTACCGAGCTTCGCAAGATACAACGGCTCACGGACTGTGCCCTGAATGCCGGAGACAATGTCGACAGCGAAGACATTTCCTCCGACAACAATCACCTGCTTTCCCACATAACCGTCTGGCGTCCAATATGCTTTCGAATGCTCGAATGCTTCAGGTCATGCCGCACATGCGTCCCTCAACCCAAGGATCTGCGAAACAGCGGGGATGATATTATGCCCTGGCGCCACAACAACGCCATCAAACTTCTCTTGCTACCAATATTCGTGGGGCTGACCATGCGAGAGGTGATCAAATCGTCGTAGCGTCAAGGCCCATTGCCCTTCCACTTTGTTAACCCTTCCAACGCTGGTGTTGAATAAGACAAGGTGATAGTAATCCCGAAACACGTCTTACAGACAGCCGGCAACCGTCCTGAAAGGCCGAGCGGGATTGTCACAACCATGCCGTTCAATAGAGATGGTTGAGTTCAACTGGGGCAGTGGAGTATGGGTAAAAGGACATGACTTTGGCAACGACGTTACTGTCGAGGCCGTCATATACTGCCCTCCGAGCGCTGGTGTCTTCGGAAGACAACGGGGCTTGATGCGGGAATCGTGAAGGGATGGACCGCTTCAATTGGCCATGCAGACCTGTCGAAAAGGGATCTGGAACATGGTCATAGCTCCAAGTGCCGCCAGCGCCGCGGTCTCGCCGTTCAAAAAGTCGAATGTTTTCAAAGATGTTCTCGTCGGACAAGGCTTTGACCGCAGAAATCCCCGAAGGCCCAGTGCCGATCACAACTACCGTCCTATGTATGGCAGACATTCACTGACCAGTCGAGCGGCGCTAGAGGACGAGTATAGCGCAAGCAACTCCCTAAAGAATGGCTTACTGACTGACTTGAGCGCTTCAAATTGCGCTAGCTATGCGATTAAGTCGTTCAGGAGTATAGAACGAATCATAACTCTTTTTCACACCCGACTTATCGCAGGCAAGGAGGAAATCTCAACACATGTTGAATGTCGTGATTCTGGACATGGATGAGGTGTGCGTCCGCTGTCAACTCTCGGTTCAATATTCGAAGAAGATTAGCTTTCATTCTGGGTAGGGAAGCTGAAGCAACCTAGGGATATTGGCGAGGTTCATACGGATGATACGAAGAAGAAGCAAGCTCGGAAGGGTAGAAACAAGGACTTCGATTTAGAAGGTTTGTGGCTCTATGTGTAATTTTCGTATTTCTACAGTCTGCTTTCCCTCACAGCTGTGTCATCATGCCCTGCGTGAGCTGCAACCACTCCAGCAAACGCTCTTTGGACATCGTGTTCGCTTAGCCAGGTAGTGCTGGCGCGATTGAGCATCTTTCGCCGCAGCTCCTCATCTGTCTGTGGTGGTGTTTCCTTCATGCTGGAGTGGACGTTACGCAAGAGTCTGTCCGTGTGTGGCCGCCTCGTCTCTTCATATAAATCCAAAGCTGTCCGTAGTTGCAACCCAGTGGGCTTCGAGCCTTGCGATTCAGGAATGGTATGCCTCAGCGACAGATAGAGCGCATAAGCATCATCTAGTGCAAGTGAGCCTCCTGTCGCATGGGCTCCACCGTGGGCGTGTGCCGCGTCGCCAACGAGTGTAGCGCGGGAGCCGAACACCCAGGTCGTTATCGCCTGGCCTGCATAGTTGGGAAAACGTCGGACGGTTGGCGTTGCTTCGGTGAGAGCGCGAACAACAGGATTCCAGTACCGGTAGAGCTCGCGAAACAGTTCGACAGAACCCACGTCATTCCAACTTCCGATGTCGCTGTCATAGCCCTGAGGGAGGTTGGCTGGATTGTACATGCCAACAACGGTGAATTGGTTCCGTCCCAGCCTCGAGGCGAAGAAGTTGCGATCTTGGCCCCACCAATGAGTCGAGTCTATAGGGAGATCCGGGATATGTTCAACCAAAGACATATCAAACGTTGCTCGTAGAGCAGTCCGGTTCGTGTAGCTCAGTTGGAAATGGGGGACAAAGACCTTTCGGACCTTGGAGTTGATGCCGTCAGCTCCGATCAACAGATCTCCCACAGCCATTGTGCCATCCTGGAACTCCACCCTCACGGTGAGGTCCTCGACCTTGGCTCCGATAACTTTCTTGTCTAGATGAATCGATTCTCTTGGAACATGCTGCAGTAGAGCCTGGTGGAGATGGGCTCGATGAAATCTCGCAGTCTGATGGCGTAGATCGGATACGTCTTCGAAATGGTCCACACTGACAACCTCATTCGTTTTCCAATGCCTGCGCTTTGATTCAGCAACGATTGCCACCAAGAGAAAATTAATGCAGGGGACATGAAATGGAAAGGGATTTGGTTTTCTCCTTGGCGCTGGTCTCATCGTCCTCTGAATACTTCAATCACAACTCACCAACGACAACGACACACCGCGATATTCGACTAACCTGTAAATCATTGGTATCCCAGCTGGACCCCGGAAGGCCACCTCGTCCTCGAGTGCATTGCTCACGCCCAGTCTTTCCAGTGTGCGCAGACCCTGTTACTGATCAGCAAGAATCTAGACAGTCACTTCCAAGAAACGACTACATTCGGACTGAGCGCGATACTTGCCCCGATTTCTGTCAATTCCGGAGAGCGTTCGTACAGCTCCACGTCGATATAAGAAAGCGATCTCAGGGCAATAGCCGTGGCAAGGCCGGCGATCCCCGCGCCAGCGATAATAACCTTAAGTCGACCGTCCTCCATGGCTCCTCGCTCGCAAGGAGAGATGTGAACAATACCCGAGGGCTGTTGTTCGAATTTCCAGCGTCAACTAACTTGTTCCTCAGTGTCGGAGATGTGCAAAGAGGCTTCGCTATGTCCCCAATGAGGTGCATTGTCGCGCATGTCCACGCCTGCGGATCACATCACGCAGCGTACCCGAGATAATGTATTACGCAAAAAGCACTTGTATCACGCAAAGTCATCGCTCCCTTTTGCTACTAGCTCACGAACCAATCTGCTAGCCCAGTGTCCTATAGCATACTCATGGACAATCTCCTATCACGTGGCATCGGCAGAGCATGCAGGGAGGTTGAACACAGAGCAACAAGCAGCAGTCCTCTTCCACAAGGTTAGCGATGGGCTCAATTGCGAATACTAAACAGTCCATCTTGATGCGCCCCATTATGTGGGCCTCGGGTAACTCTAGCCCTACCAGTTCAATACCTCTCTCGTACGGTGTGCTTTGGATCGAGGCCGGGAGCTTCGCACCATGGAAGTAATTCATGGGCAAATCCACCATCTGTCTCAATACCTCGCTGACGCTGATCCATGTAGTCATAACCGGGGGGATCGCTATCATCTCTGGGGTGGTGGTGTGGCTTGGCTTTCCGGACAACCCATTGCAAGCAAAGTTTCTCACCCTCGAAGAGGGCACAAGCCGTAATCCGAATCAAGGAAAATCATTCAGGAATTGAGCAGAAGTACTTCAAACGCTACCCATTCATCGAAGCCCTCAGGGACCAAATGACGTTGCTGTCCTTTTTCCATGCCTGGTCACAAGAAGTGGCAAACGGTATTACGAACCAGGACTCGCTCATCACCAATTCCTTTGGCTTCACAGTTCTTCAGACCACCCTTTCAAGCTGCGTTACTGGATTGGCGGCCCTAGTCTCACTTTTGACGGCAGCTGTGATTCTATAGAGACACATGTATGCAACAACAGCGCCGTTAATCAGGAAGAATGGACTTTCTGCTAACTGCACGTCAGAACTCCCGTGCCTGGGTATCCATGATTGCATATATTCTCGGGGTTTTTGCAAGAGCGCTATTGATAGGTGTATTGTCCCAAGAGCTTCACCTCCACTCCTAACACAATCACGCAAGGCTTGCCGTGATCGGATCGATGGGGCCTCATGGGGTATTTGGACTCGTTAAACAACAGGAATTCCCTACGCCGTTGTTATGGGTTTGGCTGCAAATGTGTCCGCCGGACACACGAAAACAACTACGGTGATCGCTCTGTTCATATTGGATACGGGCCGGGGAACCTTCTTTCACAGCAACTGTTCCAACCAAGATGGAAGGTATCAAGTGCTTGGACGGGCGTCTCAAGAACGCGAGTTGACGGCGATACAGCCGAGATATAATCCAACGTGGACTATTATCCTTGTCGTACGTATGGGTAGTGGTCTGGTGTACGTCAACTGATCGAGAACGACCAGGTCGCTGTCATCCTTCCGTTCTGCATTATCTTATACCTTCGGTACTATCTGGTCAAGGAGAACAAACGCCGAGACACTCTAGCAGCAACCGAAAGGGTCTCAAAACCTGGAGTCAGTGAGTCAGCACAGAGGAAGGCGTTATGGTGGCGCACTCGGTGGACAACAATCAGCTTGGACCTGACGGACCGTGAAAACCTTGCCTTGTGAGTTCAATTGCGCAAGCAATGGTTGGCCAGAGCAAACGTGGACAATTTGAAACAGTCGCTTTGTTCTCTAATGTGACCGTTCAAACGGTAACAATCCGAGAAAAGGGGCAGAAGCAAAGGAAGGATTGAAACTGAAAACTTTGGAGGAAATGAATATGTGTTAGGCACAAGCCTCGCTTCCTAGCCTTTGATTGGAAGACGGAATATCGCCCAACGGTTTGGCGGATAACCAGGTACCAGGCACTGTAGTAGGTAAGGGTAGACCTGCTAGGAGGTTCCTCAGAGTGACCGCCACATAGGAGACGTATGCATCCTATATCATGGAATTCAGATCTGTCAAAAGTACGCCGGTGGGCAACGAAAGGAGCAACCCATTCTTGCAGCTCTGGTATGTGGAACAATGTTGCTCAAGGTCATTCTCTTCATTCCTCTCTGTAGGAAACCAGCCACTGGTGATGCTGAACTGATTGTTAGATCGAGGTTGTTGGGAGTTGGAATCTTTTCTCCACTTGAATTAGAGATAGCCTTCTATTGGGCAAGGGGCTCCCTCTGGGGAATCCAGTAGCGGTGCGTGTAGATGTCTTCCTAGGGCTGGTGCGGCGTGCTTAGGTGCGCTTGCGTGCTTTTTCCCCACCAAAAGAGCATCTCCGAGTGGGCGACACTCTGCCCCGAGCCCGGAAAAGTGATCTCATCACCAATGTCGGTCACGCACTCTCACGGCTGGGTAGCACGCCATGCCAGCTATCAATGTGCAGAGCTCTCTGTCCTTAGAGTCTCGATCTCTGCATGGCGTTTTAAACTCCCTTCACCAAAGTAATGCCGTGCCTGCTTCCTCTATCACGCCATAGCTCGGATTCTTGCACAATACTTGCAGCTTACGCCATTTGCCCAACAGCCCCGAAGTATCCTGCTCCAGAGCCTTCACCGCTCACTTCCCACACTTGAATGATCGAAGCTCATTTGCTATCCTGAGCTTTGCTCGCAGCCTGTTCCTCAATTCTGGAACCGCATACCTTGAACCATTGGTCCTTGCTCCGGCACGAATCGATCTCTCTCTGCGCCCAGGAGCTATCAAGCCTTAGAATCGCTGGCCCACTAACCACAATCTTGATCCAGATTCTTTGACATGACACGATTCGGTTCCGGGCCCGCGGGTATCATCTGGTCTCCCACAAAGTTATGAAGCCATGGCATCGCACGATCACAAAAAAAATGGCAATCCAGAATCCCTCTCCACATCTTCAGATATAACTGCAGAGCCTGCAGCGCAATCGCGTCCTCCAAGGCGCCAATCTAGCATTCGATTTTCCGAGAGCACCAGGGTGCGTTCCCAACCCCCCATGTCGTCCTATCGTCGAAACCCCAGCGAGTCGGATGAGATCACTCCCATTCGAACGGCAGACGGACAGTCAGATCGGCGGTATAACACTACTGAAGAGGGGACCCCCCAAAGCACCCTCGGGTCCTCGACATTAGGCTCCTCGACCCTCGCAGGCTCCGGCCAGGAGGAGGAACAAGATGGTGGGCAGAAAGACTCCAAAGACTCCTGGACACGGCGATTGCTGAAGAAGATTCCCGAGAAATATGGTTCTGTGACACTGGAGAATAAGGGATCCGTGGCCCGGGACCATCTTGCTTTGGAGAGAACCTTCCTCGCCTGGCTGAGGACCAGCCTAGCCTTTGCGAGCATCGGCATCGCCATCACTCAGCTCTTTCGCCTCAACACGACAATTCAGAGCCGCAGCGAGTCACTCAGCACGCGACAGATAATACCCTTTTCACCACTTGTTGGACACTCGATGCCGGCCGAGCTGTTGCCATTTCTTCAACAGATCGCCGCGTCGGTTGCCTCAACGCCCTCAGCGACACCTACTCTAGGCCCTACGCTCCTCGATCAATTGCTCCTCCTTCCTCCGCGCGATATCAGCGACCCTGATGCCTCTAATGACTACTCGGGCGACACCAGCGTCGATGTCACTGCATTCAACAATGGTGCCGCCACGAAACTGCGCCATGTTGGAAAGCCGCTTGGAGCAACATTCATTGCCATCTCGATTGTCATCTTGTTCATCGGCTTCCACCGCTACTTCGAGGCTCAGCACTGGATCATACGCGGCAAATTCCCCGCAAGTCGGGGCAGCATTTTCGCCGTCTCATTTATCACAGGATCCCTCATCATCGCGAGTTTCGTCTTGGTGCTCGCTATATCATCGACCAGTTATGAGAAGAAAAAGTAATGTCATTGTCATGTCATGTACTATAAGGGCGGACAGCACCAACGATGCGACATCCCTGCTGTGGTGTTTACTTGGACTGGCGCAATGGGGAAGGGTTATTTGAGTACGAGAGCCGGAGTTAGAGTCTCGTTTCGGATTCATGGGTGGAACAATCTGATATTAATTCCTGGATTGGGAGTCATAGTCAGAGTGGCTCAACTTTATCCACTTCGTGCGGCTAAAAGGAGTTTTTTTTAAGGAGGCATTGCCTCGGTGAAAACGAAAAGGGATAGAGCGCGACATTGTTGGGGCGCAGCAACGGCAGTCTGCTTTGGTTCAACTCGTTCTGGCGTGTCCTTCAAACTGTGCAGGACGTATGTACGGACATCAAATGATGCACAGTGCTTGGTAATTTCCTTGACGGCGGTATTTGGCGGGCCGACGACCAAGGATGGGATACTTGAGTCTGGTGAGTAAGGAGTCTGTCGTGTTGTGACATAGTTCCGTGTCGGTCTACATTCACACAAGTGCCCCAAAACGTCGAACCTGTATTGCCTGTGCGATATACCTACTTAGGTAGGTAACAATTGACGCGCTCGAAAAGACTGTACGAGTTGCGAGGTATACAGCCAGGCATGGTGGAGATCGACCATCAGCCTGAGCCAGCCCAGAAGAAAGGCGCGCAAGACGCGAGAAAGCCCGTGTGGCTCGGAAGATTTCTCAGTTACCTAGTAGCTGCAAGTCATCTCGATCCAATCCCTTGCTTGGAGATCTTGGCTTTCTTTTGCGCCCCCTTGGGCCTTGGATTCCCAGCCACCATCTTTATTCCTTCTGGGTCTCGTGCTGGTCTGCTTGTGGGCAAAGGCGAACTTACCAGGATTATGAAAGGCTTAAGTGCTTGCATGCGCGTACAAGATTGCAGGAGCGTCCAAGTCGGAGAGGGTGAAACAAAGACAAGCAATATGGCGTCTGGAGACTTTGCAGAGGCGCTTGATAAGGTTGTGCCACTCTGCGGTTGTGGTTGGGTGATAATCGATAAGGGCTGACGCCGCCAAATCTTTGTTTAATTTAGCAAGCGTCGCCAATGGGCTTTCTCTGATCAGGTTTCGAGGCATGGTTGGACCATGTTGGTGCTGTTTGACCTCAAGAACCGGGGGCAGGCCGCCTTCCTCAGAGTACCACCTTTCTCCCGACTAGTTCCAGAAACAAACCATTTTACTATTGGCGAGAGCCACGATAAAACGGATGGTGGCTTGGACGAGTTTGCACTCGTATGAATAGACCGTTGTCGTCGGGAGTCGGGACGGGTTTGTTGCTTGTTCTATACGTTTGAAGGCTTGAACGAGGACTGCGACTGTTCAAGCCTGAAAAGTTACATGTAGGGATGCAGATCACCCTCCTAATTGAGAGGACCACGCACGCTCTTCGCAAGCTGCAACTTGTGTCCACTCCACTTCAATCATACTCGTACTCTGCAAAAAGATCCAGTGTGGATAAGGGAGGTTGCATTGTGTCCGCTGCCAGACTCGTGGTCAACCGCCATGTAGCCAACAATCACCTTGTGGCATCTTGGAGCAAACATCGATTGGTGGGTGCTCTTGATTTCGAGGGAGGTGGCCCTGTCGTTTGACTCTCACAAGGAATTGGCTTCCTGGCAGTAGGTAGCACACCTCTGCAATAGTAACCAAGTCTGACACACGGGGATATCCTATTGACAATCCAGCAAACATGAATGGGAACTTCTCGAGATCAGACTCTGTATGAGTGGGATGGATCAACAGACCTCCCTTGTCCATAGCCCCATCCTGCGGATCTCTTCATCCCAGCTTGAAGACGAATGATCAGGTACTGTTGCCACGCGGATGGGAGTTGGAGATGTATTGATACTGGCAAGAGAAATGATGCTCCGTCCTGGACTCAGCTACCCACGAGTAGGTGCACAGAATGGATCTTAGTCCTAACCAACAGTGTTGGTTTGTGGTTTCACCGTCCAGGATGGCCCCGTGTGTGAGCAGCCAATCTCTTTGGCTATTTGGTGCCTTCAAGTAAATCGCCTGAGCGGTTTGTGTAGGTAGAGATGTGGGCTGCAGCTTGCTGCACTCAACTATTCTCTTGTTGTGCGCGAGTGGGAAATTTGGGATCTGGTAACAAGCGGATAAAGTGCGTGCGTACTCGTAGAGGTTGCGTGGCCTCTATCTCGGACTTGCCTTGATTTAGGATGCGGAGGAGCTTAGCGAATGTCTCTGAGGAGCTGCTGAGCTTCCTGGTCCCTCCGCAATCAGCGCATTCCTTCCTTGTTACCAAGATACCTTAGGTACCTTATCACCACTTTCGCTTCATCAAGGTGTCCACGTTGAACAATCAGATCAAGCACCAACGGTTCGTAGGCGACTGTTGTTGGCCTCTGGACGGTCGTTGCTTTGTCCTCAAGTTCGTTTGTTTGAGCGAAGGCCCCAAACCAATGGCAGAAGGGCTGGGAGCTTGGATATGGGACAAAACAACTTTGGATTGCAAGCTAGCTTTGTTAGCGGACGATCGAGGGCGCTCCCGGTGGAGCTGCAATTTCTTTGTGGTGCAATGCAGGCCCTTGAACAACAGGGGCGTCAATGGACGCCAGTGGATGGGTGCAGGGGTGCGCTCCAGGCTTTACCTGTTCCTGAGTGACCACTGGGCCACCCCCAGACACAAAGGAATCATCCCCCCAAGCGATCCTGGCGCCCAGAAATGCCGCCTCTGTCGTCTCCCCTTTCCCTTTTCTTCCCCCAACCTGCATAACCCAGCTCGTTGCATTGCAGACCAAACTGATCACTGCATTTTCACGCTCGTTCACCACCACCGTCCATCTTTTATCCTCTGTTTATCTTTCTCTCCGCCGCCCTCAGTTGGCTCACGTTCTTTACCAGAGAGACTTTTCTCTCGTTCACTCCTTTTGCACAAACCCCTCGATCTAAACGCCAGCTTCCTCCCTAACCCCGATCCCTCGCACCGAGAATTCCCAGAGAGCACTCGAGCCTCCGCGTCCAACATTCCAGCACTGATCATATGAGTCTCTGGCTTTGTATGCCCTCCTGATCCTGCGAACGGCCTCGAACACCCCCCTTGCATTATTTGCCCATTTCACGAGGACGTTCATTCTCCGCAAACATTGGAATCATACAAAGGACTAACACGCGGGTCGTGCGTCCATACAGATTCGTCGGGCTTCATCTTCTGCAGTCCCACATAACCTATACACTCGTCGACAATCTTTCCAATAGCCAGTCTTTGAGAGACTGTTGCGTACACTCGTTTCGCGAATCCCAACGCGATCGACATGAGGTTCTCGTCGATTGCCTTGACGGCATTCGCTGCTTCGGCGACCCTCGCCCAACCGCACGTCCACAAACATCGACACCTGCACGAGCACAAGGAGCGCGATGTGACCGAAACCGCTTGGACAGCTGGCCCGACTGCCTACGTTTATATGCTCAATGGCCAGGAACTTTCGCCCGGAGAGGTGTGCGAAGGTCTGGAGGATCATGAATTGAAGTTTGTGGATGGTCAAGATCCCGGCGTTTGCTCCCAGGCCTCAACGACTTCCAGCACCTGGTCTTCGACGACCACGACTTCAACCGAATCGAGTACAACCCCCTCGACCACCACTACCTGGTCGACACCTGCCTCGTCCTCCCCACCGGCCGAGTTCTTCCAGAATCCATCTTCTGCAGCTTCGTCCAGCCCAACCGGGTCTGCTAGTTCTAGCTCTGCTTCTGCTCAATCTTCCTCGGTGTCCTCTGGCGGCACTGGCATCACTGCTGCGTTTCCCGACGGTCAGCTTGACTGCAGCACTTTCCCTTCCCAATATGGCGCCGTCGCCCTCGACTATCTCGGAATGGGCGGCTGGGCTGGCTTGCAAGCGGTTACTATTGCAGGTGGCTTGGTTAACCACATTGTGACGGGTGTTTCAGGCCAGTCTTGCTCAGAGGGAATGATGTGCTCGTATGCTTGCCCGCCGGGCTATCAGAAATCCCAGTGGCCTTCCACTCAAGGTGCTACCGGTCAATCTGTTGGTGGCCTCTCTTGCTCAGGCGGCAAGCTTCACCTGACAAATGCGGGTCTCTCGAACAACCTTTGCATTCCTGGTGTTGGTGGTGTCCAAGCTACCAACGATGCTAGCGGTGTCGTTGCCATCTGCCGTACCGATTATCCTGGAACTGAGTCCGAAACCATCCCAGTCGAACTTCAACCTGGCGAAACAGAGCCATTGACCGTTCCTGATGCGGCCACCTATTATGAGTGGCAAGGACAATCAACTTCTGCACAGTATTATCTCAATCCTATTGGAATATCTGCCGCTCAGGGTTGCCAATGGGGATCACCCGGGGAAAACCTTGGTAACTATGCCCCCATCAACTTTGGTGTGGGTGCCAAAGGGGGTGTCACCTGGTTATCGATTTTCCAAAACTCTCCAACAACCAATGCCCAGTATCAAGGCACTGTTGAGTTGCAGGGTAATCTGTCTGGATCTTGCAAATACTCGAACGGTCAATATTGCGGTGCTACTGGATGCAACTCGCAAGGATGCACTGTAAGTTCACTTTCTCCAATCCCTCCTATATATTGTTGCACAGGGCTAACTTTGCTCTAGGTCTCCGTCATATCGGGCACTGCAACCTATGTCATCTCCAACTAAGCAAACCAATCGAAACAACATCTCCCTGTACATGTTACGATCTTGCTTTCATATCGCATATCATACCCGGCGTTGACGTCTGGTTTTCCTTACGCATTTTTCATTGCTGGTTTAGAGCGTGGTGGAGCCTTCAGGATCTACAGCGGTCGATGCTGTCTTGTTGGATACTTGGCATATCAGAAAAACGGACCTTGAAGACATATGGAGTGAAATGTGCTACAGCGTTACGTGTGCTCCGCTTGGGTGTCTCCTATGGCTGGAAATTTGTCAACTTTGGCCGCTTTCGTCTCCAGCTCCAAGATACCACTTAGTCGGAACATGGAACAGAAGGAATATCAATTATACCAAGTGTGGCTTTCTGTGGTGTCGACTCATATCTGGTGCCAGACAAGCGAAGTATAGGGTACCATCCCCTTGGAGTCAGACAGTGGAACCAGTTGCTCTGGGTATTTGGTCTTCTTTACAGACTCGAGACACGACTACCCGTGGAAGCCACATTTATCTGTTCAGATCTTTGATCAGTTGCGGTGTCATTCCACTCCTTCCACGAGTCTGGTCTGAGATATGCGCATGAAGAGGATGTACTCAAGAACACTGGGGCGGCCTGATGCTGAGAAGACTCGAAATGGAAAGGCCGTCTCCCCAAGTCGGCCTCGGGCGTATGGTTCCTATGTTCCAGTATCCAACATGCTCATCTAGAAGCAGCAATAGTGTACAATATCAATAGAGGGGATATCATGCTCGCAGCTAGCTACACGTGCTACACGTATCATGTCCTACTCAACGCGAGGGCGTGGACCTTTTTGACTTTGTTATTGTGCGAGGAAGGTCCACAGCCCCGAAGCCGCTTGATGTCGTTGCATCAGTCCTTCTGACTCCGTAATTCGCTGTCGACAACGTGCGCTTTGAACGGCAGTTAGCCGACCTTGGTAAATTTCTCAATCTTACTTCAAGGCGATCTGTCCCCGCCTTTTCAGATCATTTCACTAGGCGACGACAGTTTTATCCACCCTGTATGAACTCCAGCCCTACTTCAGTATGTGGGAACCGGGCCTGGAATCACAATAATAATGATGACGATGATCGGGCATTACACCCTTTTGGGGTATTATCCTGTCACCTGTAAACAAATAGTTCTTTCTGTTGTATGAAATGCAGGAAGAAGAGCCATACCGACGACCAATGATGATGATACTGGACTCCCATCGGATTCATCGAAGCCATCTTCCAGCTTCTCCTTTCACAACACCTGCAGAACCAATGTCCACTCCCGCTCTCGGCAGAGCACCTGATCCTTCTCCTCCGTGCTGGGGCCACACGCTGCGGTTCCAACTCCTGCGACGTCTGCGTCGAGCCGCCAGAGGGCGCCGTTCCTCCTCTTGCCCGGCTCCAGCAGGTCGCATGGGTGCTTGGCATTCTCGGCCGTGACCGCGTCGTAGAGTTGAGTGGAAAATTGCATATGTGGACGATCCTGCTCGGACGTGCTGGGGAGATACGTCGCGCGAAGGATGGGCAAGCCGCTCGGTAGAACTTCCCTCATTTTTCCGTCAGTGATGCCGCATCTGCCGTCTCTGTCATCACTATCTTCGACAACCGTGGTGGAATCGGCATCCTCTGAAGCGGCCGCAGAGACTGTGCACCATCGAACACCGCATCGATTGCCATTCTCTTGTGGCACCTCATAGTGTTCCGCCATGTCTTCGATCCTGCGTTCCCAGATCCCCACTTGCTGTGAGAGACACTTGTCATTGTAAGATTCGGACGGCCCGCGGCCGAACCATTTGACATACTTGTATTGTGGGGCCAGTTGGATGGAATGCCCGACTCGCGGGAGGTTGCGTGGGTGCGAGCCAACCGGGATAAGGCGCGTGTGGATTTGTATCGTCAGCTGAGGCTCCATGCCTGGGACAGAGGCACTGTTGTGGTTGCTGCTGCTAGATCCGGCAACCGAAGTGGCATTGATAGTGTAGGTGGTAACAGCATCGAAATGCCAGGCCAGACTCGGCGGAGAGAGCGCATGCTCGGCCTTCAAAGTCACCACCGAAACCTCTACGGTCCCGTCTGCCGAATCTGTGTTGTCCTGTTTCGAGGAAGCTCGGCCCGAATGCACACTCGCCTTGAAACTCTTCAACCGACTTGTCATCATATGGAGACCGTATCTTTTCCATTCGCCCGTCTGCCATGCCATATCATTATCCGTGGGTGGTCGCCAAAAGTCCAGAGAGAATAGAGGGGAAGGAGAGGCCGGGTTGTGGCTCTCAGTGCGTGTGTCGGACAAGAGCTGGTTGGAGTTGTGGGCGAACGAGGAGATTTGGCCGCGGACCCGGTCGAAACTTATGGTGGTCGATGAGCTGGAGATTTTGTATTCCAGCCTGGTTGTGGAAAACCTGAGTAATGAAGTGTTAGAAGGTAGAAGAGATGGAGGTGTCGCTCTGTTGCCTCCGTGTCTGGAGGAGAGAATGCTGGTGACAGATGACGTGGGATTTGCAGCGGCCGTGGTCAGTTGAGCCTGATACCAGGCTACCACATGGCCAGCCTTTGCCCATTGTGTCTCCTTTTTCAGCCGGAAGGCAACCGTGAGGCAGCATTCGTGAGGAGTCTTGTGTTTGAAGACTTCTTCTGGCAGAGGGATTCTCCCTTGCTTCCCGGGCGGGATTGGAGGAATGGCCAGGACTCCGGCCGCAACGAGTTTAGACCTGTCCACGAATTAGTCAAACATAGTTGCGGTTCTCATTTGGAGGTAGGTAGAATGTAACGAACCTTTGGTCACAATCTTGAACATCGTACTCAGCCCTGACATGATCCAATCCAATAAAATCGTAATGGTTTCGGACAAGAAGATCCTTTCCGTCAAGCATAGCCTCGATTGGCTCGTATATCTTTCTCAACTCTAACAAGCCTCGCGTGGGCGTATGATCACTGTGGCATAGCCCATCCATAACAAAAGTGCCATCGTTTGGCACATCCCCAAAGTCGCCACCATAAGCATAGTATTTTTGGCCGTTGGCTTCCTCTTTCCAGAGCCCGTGGTTCGCCCATTCCCAGATAAATCCTCCTTGGAGCCGTCTGTACGAGCGGAAGAGGGAGCGATATGTGTCCAAAAGCCCCGGGCCATTGCCCATTGCATGAGCATACTCACAGAGGATGATAGGTTTCTCGAATTCGTCGCCTTCGGACTCAGCCTCTCTCTTCAAGTCGGCCGGAGACGTGTACATATGTGATATCATGTCAGTCGACTTGGCTTGCCAGTCCGGCTCGTAATGTATCAGGCGGCCCGGATCGCGTTCCTTCGCCCACTTGGACATGGCAGCATGGTTGCGGCCGTAGAACGCTTCATTGCCCAGCGACCAGATAATGACACTTGGATGGTTTTTGTCCCGTTCAACCAACTGATGTGCACGGTCGAGATAGGCAGACTCCCACTCTACGTTGTCAGAGGTGTAATCTGCTGCATCTTTGGATGTACGTTGTACTTTTTCCTCGTAGCTTAGACCATCAAGGTCGAGCCCCGAAGCTGCCGCGGTAGCGAAACCGTGGCATTCGAGATCTGCTTCGTCAATAACCCACAAGCCGAGCTCGTCACAGAGACCAGGTAGGCTGGGGTGAGAGGGGTAGTGGGAACAGCGCACCGCATTGATATTATGCTTCTTCATGAGCAGGAGATCGCGACGTACCCAGTCGAGTGACACTGCACGGCCTAGGTGTGGGTGGTTGTCATGGCGGTTCGAGCCCTGGAATAGAATGGCTTTCCCGTTGACGCAGATGTTGCCATTTTTAAGCTCAACTGAGCGAAAACCGACAGCGTGGCAGACAGAATGAATCCGAGTCTGCTTGGCCGAGGAAAGGCACATTTCTAGACTGTATAAATAAGGTGTCTCTGCAGTCCATTTGCGTGGATTTGGGACGCTCATCGAATGCGAACATTTTGCGGATTCCGAAGAGAGGGGAATAGCCTCCTCCTTTTTAATGGTCCCACCTTTGGCATCCCTAAGTGTCAAAGATAAGAAGCAGTCGTCTTCCAAGACCAGGTCAAGGTCAGTATCCAATATCGCGTCCTCGTACTTTTCGTCGAGATGCGTCCTGATGAAGAAATCGTCGATTCGTGTCCGACCCGGAAGCGCTATTAGGTGCACATCGCGAAAGATACCGGAAAGCCACCATTGGTCTTGATCTTCAATATAGCTTCCGGAGCACCATTGAAGGACTTTGACCAGGATATGATTGGGCTTGCCTCTGACCACGTGTTTCGTGACATCGAATTCTGCCGGGTTCCTGCTCCCCTGAGCATAGCCGATCTCTACCCCATTCAGCCACACATAGAATGCACTGTCGACTCCGTCAAACCTCAATCTGAGCTGGTCGTTTTCGTCGAACGTGGAGGGTAGGTCGAAACTTCGACAGTAGGTGCCAGTGGGATTCTCGGTTGGCGCTGCGGGCGGACAGACGGGGAAGGGATAAACGACATTTGTATAGTGAGGTCTGCCATAGCCCTGCAATTGCCAATGGCCCGGAACATCGATGGGTGCCCAGGAAACCTCCTGTCTTTTAAGATCAAAGGGAGATTTGGTGCTGAATGTTTTACAGTCAGGCGCCTGCTGAGGACTTCGGGAGTAACTGAAAGACCATTTCCCGTTCAAACAGACCGACGTGTCCGGGATGTAGTAGGAACGAGGTGGTAGACGATTGCGTTGGAAGATTTTCTGGTTGCACCAATCTGGAGTCGGCTGAACGAAGTCTTGGGATGGCATGACATTAGTCCTCTCCATCGAGCCGCTTCCTTCTTCATCATTTACCAACTGCATCTTCTCGGGCGGAACAATGCTAACTTGGGCGAGACCACATCAGTCGCGAGCATGCAGAGGAAGCCGTCTTGAGATTGCCGTTTTCTACATCAAACACAAGAGCATGTAATCAGAGCTTGTGCAAAGTGGATGTGTAGGTATGACAAGGGTCGAGGCGAAGGTCAGCAGTCCAGCGTGACAGCCAATCCGAAGGAGTTTTTGGAACACATGAAAAGACCGTCTGCAGAAAATGCGGGGATCACGAGGCTGACTCTCGGCATACCTTCCATACTTTCTCTGCCCCTGTAGGTGTGACGAGGCTGCAGCCCGAAAGATTTGCAAGGGTGCGGCCTACGCCAAAAACTACGATTAGACCGCGTATGAGGTCAGCTTCGCGGAACTCCTGTGAGGTGGTAATGGCACAAAAGCCAGATTGTTAGTGATGTGGGGCCCGACACGGAGACGTTTATATGTAGTGCCTCAGCAGTGAAGGATCCTGCAAAGGGGCCTTCTAGTTCCCATTGCGGTCACAGGTATCGAGATGGGAAAATCCTTCCAGTAGGTTGGGAAAGGCGAACAGCCCGAGACAGCTTCTCTAAGTTGTCTGCCAGCTGACGCAAACCCAAGTGTGATTCACCACAGAAAGGATTGGGGAAGCCATGTTGGGAATAGTTGTGTTGATCCCCCAGTTTCCCCAAATTTACAAGAATATGATTCGTGTACAAGTCTTTTCCTTTGCTCGGATTGTTCTCAATTAGACTTCTGCTTTTCTTCTTGGGTGTGGAAGTCGATGCCACTAGGACATCAAACATCTAGCCTCCAGTGACTGCCGCCTGAGGTTTGGACTTTGGGGATTCACCTGGCGCCAGTCACGAACCACAGCGAATGATTGCGCCTGCTATATCTCAATCCCCGGAAAGGATCAGAGATGATATCCAATCGATGTAACGGCTGGTCCCCGTCGTGCTCCAGAAAAGGATGGGACAACGATGCGGTGATGGTGGCCAAATTGGTTGACGTCAGTATGAATGCATGGTGGACGCAAACATGGGAAAACTTGCATTCTCTTTTCTCCAGCGAGGTTAGCGAGGTCCTAGATCGAACAAGTTCATCATAAAATAGTGCGATTTTGGATGCGTAGGCGATCATTCTTGGGACAGAGACACTTGGAAGTGGGCAACTCGGAACGTTCTCGGGAATCAGGAGCAAAAGCTGCACCTGAGGTAGCTGTGATCCGCCGTGTGCCAAGGCCTACAGCCTCGGCCTCTCCGGGATCGCCCGACCACCACCTTCACAGCGACACTGCTAGCTCAGCCTTTCGAGGTTCTCGACAGCAGATCACATCCACCTAAGATTTCCAGGACCAAAACATGAGGCAAGTTTCGCTCCCACTTGAAGATTTGCATGTCTGGGCTCATTTCAACAACGTTCAGCTCTTCGAGATATCAATCGAGCCACACATCATCAGAGAGGATGGCAACGACAAAGGCGGCGGGCTGCTCGCGAAGGGCGAACACGGTCCGGGAAAGCCTCTTGTTGCTGTCCCTCACGACCTGTTACTGTCGAAAGAGCGAGTCGAGCAATATGCAAAAGCAGATCAGAGCCTACAGGCGCTCCTTGAGGCAGCAGCTCCCTTAGTCCAGGTAGGTCCTGGGTAACGGCGTCTCTAGAGCCTCCCCCAGGTAGGTCAACTTCACAGCACACTGACTCCTCGAACGGAATCCCAGATCCCCCGGACGGCAGTACTACTATTTCTCGTCTACCAAATGACCATCAACAACCCCAGCTCCCGCGGGCGTGGACTGGGACTGAATAATCCGTTCGCGGGCTACGTCAAAATGCTGCCCCATGCAATCCCGCTGCCGACCTTCTACACACCGGAAGAAAGGGAATTGCTTATTGGGACGTCTCTCTCAGAAGCCCTTGATCAGAAATTGATTAGTCTGGAGCGTGAATTTGACAGTTTAAAAGCTGCGACTGCAAAGATCTCCTGGTGCCAAGAGATTTGGTGGAGTGAAGGCCCAGATTGCTTGACCATCGAAGATTGGAAACTCGCAGACGCAATGTACCGCTCCCGTGCACTGGAGCTGCCCCACGGCGTTGGCGTTGGCATGGTTCCTGTCATTGATATGGCAAATCATGCCTCTGATAACCATTACAACGCCAGATTCGAGGTTGATGAAGACTCAGGATCAGTGTTGCTCGTGGTGCGAGACGACAGAGTTGTCCACAGGGGAGATGAGATTACCATAATGTACGGCTGCGGCGGTGCATGCGAGATGATATTTTCATACGGGTTTCTGGACGAGCACGCGAGCAGTGCCAGGGAGATATTCCTGAATTTGTCCATCCCATCCGACGACCCTCTACGACTGGCCAAGATCCGTTGCGCACAAGAAGCGCCGGGCGTGCGTATCTATGTGGATGACTCAGATCAAGTCCGCTGGGAGAGTACCTTTGTCTGGTGGGCATGCATCAACGAGGAGGACGGTCTAGATTTTCGAGTGGAGCAGACTATCTACGGAGATACGGAGCTGCAGGCCTTATGGAAAGACAATGCGCTTCCCGCAGACACAATACTGCAGTCGATCTTGCTTGCAGATCGCCTCCGAGACATATTCGTCCTGCGAGCGGTCGTCACAATCCAAACAAGGATCGAAGAGCAAGGATCACGCCTCGCCGAAAGCGAAGAGGAATATAACAACACTGTTCGCAGCGATCAAGTCAGAGATTCGGTATACGGGGCGGTCGGGAATCTTCGGAGGCTGGAGCTGGAGCTCCTGACCAGGGCCTATGAGACCCTCGAGAGAGAGGTATGTTGCTGCGCATAGCACAGATGTGACTAGCGTGTATCCTAATTTCCCTACAGAAGACACAGCTCCTAGAATCCGCCATCGTCCGCGACTATTTGCTACAAGGCCAGAGCGGCACGGAGTCTCCAGATGGGACCCCAGACGACTTTTCGTGAGAGAATACTCGTGGCGCCAGTGCAAGACAGCTAGAGATCCCAACCAAAGGAAATTCTTATGCAGTCTTATTACAGCGGATCAGCTCGGAGTGCATGCTCGAGTGGTGTGAGCTGTCAAATCACAAGTACAAGTTCGAGGCACTTGTGCACTGAGGTGGGCTGACGCAACCTACTTGTAGCTTCAGACTTTCTAAACAAAATTTGACGCTTGCCCCTCCTTGTCTTTTGAAGGAAGCGGACACCAGCGATTCGTGGAACGTGGTTCAATCTGGGGTTTTTCCGCAGGCTTCCGTTCGCCCATAGGCCGACGGCACGAGTGACACGGCTGTAGCAGCAAGGCATCAAAAGACAATCCAAGTTGGGATGAGGGTTCTCTGATGTAAAGAAAAGGACATCGACAGATTCTCTGTAACAGAAGCCCAGAGTCCAGGTATGCCACTTGTAGTTTGGACATGATTACCGTTGCCGACCAGCACCACCTATTCTGGATTGCATAATGGGGTGGCGGAGATTCGAGCGGTTCCGCTACGCCAACAGCAAGACTGGAGATTCGAAGCGAACGAGACATGAGCGCTAACACTTCGATTCGACCCAAGTCTGACTTGAGTTTTGAGTGGTGGAAGTCGATCGCATGATGTTGGGAAAGGACACCCATGCGGACGGACACAGCTCGGGTGGATGGAAGTAGAGGCGGCCAAAGCGTTGTGATTGGGTCTCAAGCCATCTTATTGTGGGTGGCTGCGTCGTAAAGGTCGATTCGAAAGCGCTATTATTGGGTCCTTTGCCCTTCTGCCGATCTTTTTCTTGACCTCGTTGGTGCTCGTGTGAAGCTGCGGGGAAATGGAACCGGGAGGGAAGAAGCAAGGACTGAATGAGCTTCGAGAAGAGAAGAGAAGAGAGAAGGGCCTTGACTCGAGATGATGAAGCTGGGGCTGCTGTGTGATCATCCCAGTAGATGGCCTCATCTTATGGGTAGAACCCACCTAATGAAAAGTTCGACGGGATAGCCGGTGCTAGGCCCTTGTACACTAGGCTCTGTAGGGGTCTCCCAGGGCCGCCTAGTCCCTCTTTGCCCTCTTTGCCCTTGTCATCGGGGGCTGATTCTCGGGGTCTCAACAAAACCTTCAAACCCCGCGCTGTTCTTTCCTCGCTCCATGCCCCGATATGCATCCCCAGTCTAGTCCCCAAGCCATCCACACACACACTGGCCCATGTTTTGGCCGCGTCGGAACGAATTCCTTCTCCCCATCCAGACACGACGAGTCGACGACTTCGCTTTAGCAACACACGAACACGAAAAGAAAACGTCCGTTCAGACCACCCTTACCCTCAGATACCCAGGGTGCCAGATCCTACCCTCCTTGCAGCTTGGTCGACCCAGGCCGTCCCTCATCCGACACAAATTTACCCAATTGCCGTTGTCCTCGCCCTGAGCCATCTCGAACACACTTTCAACTGCTCTTTTCTGTCGCGGGGTGGACATGTTGTCATAATCTCTCGCTTGCCCCTGTGCTTTTCCGTCTCCTGCATCTGATCCTCACATTCTTGAGACCTCTGGACCTCTTGCTCAACCATCTACTTGAAGACGACCTGTCCTATTCCCCACCTTGCGGAACGAACTACCTGGTATACTGTACTTTATATGCGGCTGCCAGAGTTGGGACGTCAGTCACAGACCTAGCATAGCCTGCCACCATGCCTGGCATCTTGCCGATGAAGATGATACGAGTGGGGAGCAGCACGCAGAGCAGGATTGCGCAAGCTTGTGATAGGTGCAGAAGTAAGAAGATCCGGTGTGACGGTGTAAGACCATGCTGTACTCAATGTGCCAATGTCGGCTTCGAGTGCAAGACTAGCGACAAGCTGAGTCGCAGGGCTTTTCCCAGAGGTTACACAGAATCATTGGAAGATCGCGTTCGTGGCCTCGAGGCTGAGGTTAGAGAGCTCAAGGAGCTGTTGGACGAGAAGGACGAGAAGATCGACATGCTCTCTCGCATTCACAGTTTCTCACCTCCGTCTCGAAAATGTTCGGCTTCTTTGTCGCCTTCACATGCAGCACAGGTAAAGGCCGAAGTTGAGTCGGCAAGGGAAGAAGTGCTGCACGTTGAAATCCCTGCACCCGTGCAGCCCAAGGCCACCTCGACTGGTTCCTCAACTACGCCTTCCTTCATCGAGGCGTTTGATCAAAAAGTCCAAGAAGCTGGCCGACAAACCACTGCCGTCTCCTCGTCGGGCCTTCAGAAAGCTATTCAGCCCATTCGTCGATCCACGGTCCCAGGCCCCAAAGTGCCCCCCAGGATTCATTCTGACCAATATATAAGTATGTCCATCACATCTCACTTCCTATTGCGGGCACTATACTAATGTCTACAGATCTATTCTTTCAGGAATGGCAGCCATTGTTGCCAATTCTGCATCGACCAACGTTCCTCCGCGTCTATGAACAGTATCTCGCCAATCCTGAATCAGGCAACTGGCAGAGTAACAAGCAAGCATACGCCCAACTATTCCTAATCTTTGAGATTGCGGCCCTTTCCAACATTTCGACCCCGAAGAAGAGTACTCCGTCTTACGAGGCACAATGGCGCAAGGCTCTCTACTCGACGTCCTCGAATGCTTCTTTACCAACACTCCAATGCCACGTACTAGCTCAGATCTGTTACATGCTGCGTGCCGACTACACTCATCTTGCGCGGCATCGCGGCATCGCAATCACGATGTGCCACGAGCTAGAGCTCCATCAAGGACACAAGTACCAGAGCTTATCACCTCTCGAGGCTGAGACGAGAAAGAAGGTGTTCTGGTGCCAATATGTTCTCGACAAGTAAGCATCCAACATCTCGCACATCTCGACTTCCAATATCTTCGCAAATCCGTTGAGTTTGCCTCATAAAACTGACTGCTTCATTCAGGTTCATATCCGCTGCCACTGGCACTCCAGTGCTTTTGCGAGATAGTGACATAACCACAGAATACCCAGCCGATGTCGATGATGAGAACCTCAGCACTCAAGGCTTCTCTCCTACCCTTCCTGGTGAATTGACAAAGATTTCGAGCGCACTTGCTTTGTTCCGCGTCTCCAGAGTCCTGTCTAAAGCTTTGGACACTCTGTATCCCGCCAAAGCTAGCTATCAACTATCATTGACCAAACTCCACGCGCTCTCTGACGAGCTTGATCAATGGTCAGAGGAACTACCCGAGCACCTTCGCTTGCGATTCTGCAATGACAAACCTGCGACGAATTTGATAGGGTGCAGATCGCCGCTATTGGTATGATGTCGCCCTTGGGACGCGTTGCACGGAATTCTAATTCTCTCATAGTCCCTTGCCTACTTCTATACAAGAAGTTTGATACACCGACCGCTACTCTGTCACGCTTCCGGGAGCGCGTCCTCGGCTGCCGGCATCGTTTTGGCCGCCGCAGGCAAACACGTCCTTCAGATCCTTGATCTTCTTTTAGAGCGCCGCATGAATTATACATTCCCACTGAACAAGGCCGATCTATTGCTGAACTCAGGATTGGCGATACTTTGGCAGTCGCTCGATTTGGAAGATGACAGCAAGCTTGCTAAAGACAACCAGAAGTCGCTGACGATGCTCGTTGGCATGCTACATTCTGAGAATGCGCCAGCTGCAGTCGAATTCCAGAAAATTGCGGCATGTTTCATTGCACTAGAAACACGACCAGCTTCAGTGCAAAGTACAGAACAGATCACTCCTAGCGCTCAGAGACCCAACTCTACAATGCCAGCTCCTGCCGAGTCCAAGTCAAAATCTACTCGGAAGCAGCTACAAGCCATTGCCTCACGATGGTCCTCATTCAGCAACAAAGGGAAGCCCGAAGACCCAGGCCGACGTGCGACTGTGCCCCAGACGGTTCCGACTTCCCTCAGCCCAGCCAATCGAGCAGCTAGCACTGTTAGCCTTTCCTCCACCCGATCAGCGCCGATATTGCCAGTGGCCACTTCCTCGCCCCGTCAAGTCTCCGCGTCTGGAGCCCTGGGCACCCCGACCATTAATTTAGACTATCTACCGCTTGGCGATGAGTTTGGTGATTCGCAAACCAGGACATCGTCGAGCACGATGCTGCCTCCAAGGAAACAGCCAACACCTACTCTTCCCGATTCTGGCTGGGAAACTCTTCTGGACGGTTTCGACCACAACAACCCGGCGATTTACCAGGACCTACAAGCCGGTAGCCATTCGCTCTATCAGATACCCAGCAATGAATGGACTCCAGATGTGTGGCACCTCTCAGGTATGGACCTTGCAACAAAAGCACCCGTACCTCAAAGCCTACTCAGCTTTTCCGAGGAATCGTTGACAAGCGGTGATGACTTCCTCTTCAGCACTGCTGGGAGTCACAACGGCTCAACGGTCACAGGCGACGGCCTGGAGCTTCCGGAGACTTATCGAGGTATCACTATCCCAGTGGACGATGAATTTGAATTTCATGAAGTGGAAGCTTGACCTTCTGCGCGCACCAGTGTGGGTTGGTTGATTGTAAGCAACGATTGGCTTCTGAAGAAAAGGCCGATCGTTCTCTTTTGGGGCGGGAGCTGTTTGAAAAGGCTGTACAGTGACGAGAATCATGTGATGATGGACTACGGTATATACCCTGATTGTGTTTGGAACTGGGGGGCCGGCTGAGACCCGGAAATATGTAGGAACTTGTGAACGATGATACCAAAAGTGAAGAGGTGCAATGGAACGGGCGGTATACGCAGCAGGCAGTCGCAGACGTGCCCTAAGCTCGTGTTTGGCGTGTTCAAGGTTGAAAAAATCGGTGACCGTGTTTATAGTCATACAGTTGAAATAACTATATAAGTATTGCTTCCTCGATTCTGGCATTCGGTTCAGGCTGAGCTTGGGGTTTTTGTGAGAATGCCCCCTAGGTATGTTTGTTGTTGCCGTTATCCTCTTGAGACTGTGTGCCCGTTTCCTGCCTGATGCACGAGATAACCTGCCGGTCCATTCGACTATTGGCTGTATGCAGATCCCTCTCCAGGACCTTTGTCTCGAAGGGTCTATCGCTATTCTGACTTCGGAGTCTCGCGTGGACCCGCCGCATAGCTCATGAATGGGAAGAGTGTCGTTGGCCGGCCTGCCCGTTTGAGCCTAGCATCAATTCCCCAGTGCCGCATCTGGAAAGGTGGGAGAGCGGCCCTAAGATCTATGCTTGCAGGCTTTACAGATATACCATGGCTCAGGGACCATGATAGTCTTCGGTAAATGATGTTACCTCCCCTATCTTCCAACCAACGAACGTTTGGCCGCTTTTCCATCCGTCCATTGCGCCTCAACGAGGGATTGGTACCCCCATTGGCTCGTCTCGACAGCCACATCCCTTTGCGCGAATTCTAAAGGTTCGACCTGGGTATGGAAGGCGTATCGTGACGAGGTTTAGTTTTGGAACAAACCAGACAGAGCCATTCATGACTGATCGTCTCGGTGGAATGACGTGGGTGATAGTATCCAGGTATATTGCACGTAAGCCAAAGCCAAACCTTTGATCTAGAGATCCTGCCAATGCTGCGCATGGAGAGAAAAGTGGTCTCAGGTCGGAGCAGTGATGTTGGCTGTATCTCACTTCAGAGCCTTTGATTATAACCCTGGGACACATCAAGTTACTACAGCACCGACCATCCATTACAATTTTGAGCTTCCCTGCAACAGTTCTACTGCTGCGTTGCTGATGCAAGGTTTTCCCGTCTCCTTGACTTTGGCTTGATAAACGATCTTTCCTCCTTCCTTCCACATCTCCGTCACAATTGTTTGTCCCGGCAGAACTGTGCCGCTGAATCTCACCTTGATGTTTTTGAAGGGTCCGTAGGCCTGGAATACATGTTTTCCGGTGATTCCAAACGTCGCTAGGCCATGAAGAATGGGGTCTTTGAAGCCACCCGCGGCGGAGAATTTCGGGTCAATGTGGAGCGGGTTGCGGTCACCCAACAGGCGATAAAGCGCTGCAAGATCGTCCGAAGTCTTTTCCTCGACCACCTTGTCCGGCGTGCGAGATGGGGCGGGATTCATAGCTGTGGCGGCGCCGCGATCAGCAGGTTTGCGCTGACCACCGAAGTTGCCAGCTCCTCGAATGAAGGATACACTCTCATTGTAGAAGACGGGTTTGCCTGCGCTGTCAAACGTGGTAGCACCCCTCCTCACAAGGGCAGCATTTCCTTTGTCGACGACCTCGACCAAACTTGTTTCAGTCTTGAGTGTGCCTGATGTTGGAATGGGGAACTGTTTGATCTCCAAATATTGCTCGCCGTGAAGGAGCATACGTTGATCGTAGTTGGGAACGATGTCCTTCACGTTCCAGGGCGTGGTCGCGGAATATGTGGGCACAATACCGAACGTGGGAAGGACCTGGAAGTTCGGAGAGCCCTCGTAGACAAGGTCGAGGTCGGTGCGGTGCGCGCCCATGGAAAGGTTGTACAGAATAACCTCTCGGTCGTCATAGGTATAGGTTGCTGGGATAGGCTTCATTGAAATGGCTTCTTGGATTTTTGCAATGTATTTGCGATTGGCGCGGTTTTCTTGAGACAATGCTGCAGCCTGGGATATCGTCAGTATCTAGCATCACTCAGACTCTGAATGCTTTTGCGCCTTACAATCTTGGGATTCTTCAGCACGTTGCCCATAGTGTACTTGCTTCCGTCCTGCGGAGTATCCGGATTATCTGCTTTCCCATTGTCGAAGTTGCAGATCTCCGAGAATGCCTAAAGATTCGGTCAGTGACTTTTACATCGAGTCCATCCATCAGTATTGACATACTTCCGCAAGCTGTTCCACGCTTGGTACACCTTTTTCGTGGTCAAAATCGACGCCTCTGGCTCTCTGCCAACGAGTGGCTCCGATCCAGCCGCAGCCAGATTCAAAGAGCTGTCCTGTCGCTGGAGGCTTCTCGCTGCACAGAGCAGCAACAACAGGTGCTACGTATTCGGGTTTGACGGCTTCGACATCCTTCTCAGGCCAAACTGTTCGAGTCATGTTCGTCCCTGCCGTGGGAGCTAGTGAATTGACCACGACATTGTACTTGGCTCCTTCTCGAGCAATGGTCTTTGTGAATCCGACGATGCCGCATTTCTATGCCATGGTTATTTGCTAGGCTCTCATGATAAGGTGGGAGAAACTTACCGCTGCTGCATAATTGGCCTGTCCAAAATTACCATAAATGCCGCTCGTGCTAGTGATATTGATGATACGTCCGTATCTTTGCTTCAGCATAATCGGGAATGCGGCTCTGGTGACGAGGTATGTACCCCTCAAGTGAATGTTCATGACCGAATACCACTGCTCATCTGTCATATTGGCGAAGGCCTTGTCTCCTAAGATTCCGGCATTGTTGACCACGACATCGATCCGGCCATAGGCATCGACCACCTTTCGCACTATGGCTCCCCCATCCTCGACGGACAACGGTATCGCAATTGCTTCGCCTCCGAAGGACTTGATTTCATTGGCGACCTTCTCGGCATCCTTGACATCGTTGACTGCAACCTTTGCGCCCAGTTGAGCAAAATGAATGCTATATGCTCTGCCCAGTCCGGCACCGGCACCAGTCACCAAGACCACTCTGCCTTGAAAGCTGACCCGATTGCTGGCTGACGTGCTGGTCTTGGGCAAGCTTTTAGCCTCGTCAAGGAATTGCAAAATTTTTGCGGGCTCCTTCGGATGTTCTGCACCTGCCCAATCCACGATTTTCTCCCAGTTCTGAAGCACCACGTCCGCGGTCAAATCTTCCGGGCGTGCGAGGAATCCTTTGCTGCGCTCCCACCGAATCTTGCTATAATGGCCCGCTGCGGCCTCGAAGATACTTCCACTCTCATGACACTTTTCATTGACCAGAACACCCACGAGTGGTACGACCCAATCGGGCTTCATGACTTCCATCATGTCTTGGGTCCAGACTGTCTGCGTTAGTCTGCTGGCTGCACCGGGAGCAAGCACATTGCAGGTGATATTGTATTTGGCCCCTTCTTTGGCCAATGTCTCACTGAGGCCGACGAGAGCCATCTTTGCTGCCGCATAATTGCTCTGTCCAAAGTTTCCGAACAGACCAGATGACGATGATGTGTTGATGATTCGGCCGTACTTCTGCTTCCGCATATAGGGCCAGGCCGCCCGAGCTGTCTTGAAAGCGCCATGGACATGGACATCCATAATGCTATCCCAGTCCTCAGTCTTCATGTTTCTAAGTGTGATGTCGCGGAGGATGCCGGCGTTGTTGATGAGGATGTCAACTCTCCCGAAAGCGTCGATTGCTGTCTTCACGATCTTGTCGCCGTTCTGGACGGGATCATAGTTGGCCACAGCAATGCCACCGGCATCCCTGATCTCCTTGACCACAATATCCGCGACCTTGGAGTCGCCTCTGCCACCAGCATCCTTGCCATTGAAAGTGCCGCCTAGATCGTTGACCACGACCTTTGCGCCGCGTGCAGCGAGAAATTTGGCATACTGCTTTCCCAGGCCATTGCCTGCCCCAGTGATAATAGCGACTTGATTATCGTACCGCAATTGCGAAGCCATGTTTGTCAGACCATCCCTATGTCAGCAGCTGGAACCACAACCAACGATGGTGAAGCAGTGTTCTTAATGAACAGCACTCGGCAATAAAACTTGCACGAACCGAGGCACACTGTGCACCGCGGACCCCGCAAAAGCGGATTCATCTCCCCACGTTGCCAGCCTCGCCATCCCGGGCACCTCGGACAACAAATTCCTCAGTAAAGCGCAACCGTGGTGGTTTGCTCGCGGATTTGTGGGGAGGCAATCGAAACTCACAAAGTGCGTAAAACCATAGACGCGCTTATTTGTCGCTTGACAATGTTCTCATCTGGGGACAGGACTGAGCAACATTGTTCACGGTTTAATGATGCTGCAGTGAACCGACGTGCTCGGTCATTGAATGCGAACCGCACGTAACCCGAGGCACAGCGAGGGCCACGACGGTCTGACAGGACATTTGCACCAAAGCGACCAATCGAGGGCAGATTCATCTTCGTGCATGTATGCAGTGAGATCGACATTTAACAATCACATCGGTCAGACACACAGATACTTCGGCAGAAAGGATGCTTGTATCAACTCCTGCTGGCCAGCACCACATTCTCCTCGTCAAGCAGAACTGCGAGGCACGGTGGCCCTCAATGCATTGAATTTCTCTGTTACGAAGCGTCAGTGATGCCAAGTAGATTGGCCGGGAGCCAATTTCTGCCGTTTTAGAGGCCGGAGGCATTGGTGGCATGTCTGCCACCTGATGTCGTCATTATTTCGACATCGATGAGATGAGCGGACCAGAGTGCCATGTATCCAAACACTGGTCAGATATTGCTGGGCTATGACCCTTAAGAGTAGGGATCACTTTTACATGTGAAATAAGTGCAGGAACAAACTGCGCAAGTAACCAGGATATTTCTTCTCTGCCTAAGCCGCTCACGGACTCCTGCTTTCTCAAAACCATATCGTCAAGAAAGATTGTGCCCAACCTCTATACACCCGTTGCTTTGCTGAATTGAAGATGCATCGTCTCCTGCTGGCCTGCCCGAAATCCCGTTCACTTCCTCACGTCGGCTTACAACGACATACCCGCCTTCTGTCAACCTGCAGGCCCCTCCACGACTCCAATCAACACTCTCAGCCCTCTTCCACCGACAGCAAAACTAGCCAAGCCGCTCAAGATAGCCTCCCTGGCTGGGGCGGTCGGCACGGTCGTGACCACGCTGTCAAACGTCCTGCTGATGACGTCCAAGCAGAAACTTCACAACAAGGGATGAGGGATCATGAGGAAATGAAGGAAGGCAGTGACGCTATTTCTCGCAAAGATGAGAGATCAAATAACAAGAAGGCAAAGGAAGATCATCCAAAGGCACCAGAGCCAGTCATTGGGATGAACGACGAGAGAGGATCAGTAAGTAATGAATTCTACCGTAGCGCACACGGAGTTGCACAAGGGATCGGCTTGGCTGATAACTTGGGCAGAAAACACACTGAATCTACGAAAACCATGATGGGATGGCCATTGAGGTGGCATTTGTTATGGCGTTTATGTGAATTACATGGATTGGAACAATGGGTCTGATTGATGAGGTTGGTTTGCCCTCCGGGCTTTCTAGCTCTGGACTTTGCCGCATATCAAGGGTGTATCAAGGGTATAGGGATCACCGCCCGACATGGAAAGACAAAATATCATTCCTCCCAACCTCTACTATCGAGTCTTCCGCGATTCTCCTTCCGCCGTCGCCCTCCACGAATGCGATGGGCGCATCCCCCATGACTTTTCGTGCCACGTCCGCCACCGTGCTGCCTTTCTTCACCAGCACGCAGTCTCTGAAGACAGCCGTGGACCCAGATGTTCCCGACCCGTATGTGTGGATGTTCTTAACGGGGAATACTGGCACGAGACCTAGCATTGCTGCTGCCCGAGTCAAGACTTGCACCACGCCAGTACTTCCGAAACGATAGAGCACCATATCCTTGAGATTCTCTATCCGCTGTTTTAACTTATCATCCATCTCCTTCAGTCCTCCACCGCTGGGATCCCCCTGCTCAATCAAATCTTCACGGGTGTCGAGGTAGTCTGCGCCTTCTTTGTATTTGATGTAGCCTTGCTTCGCCAGCCGACGGAGGAAGACCTCCGAGATTGCGCTGCACAGAACGATCCGATCCGCCGGCTGTTGCTTTGCAATCTTGGCAATGTTTCGATCCGCATCCGGGTGGTCGATTTTATTCAGGGCAAGGACGGTAGGGAATTTCTCATCCGTGAAGGCATTGACGACTTTGAGAATTGTCTCATCGTTCCATTCCTCGAGAGGTTGTTTCATCTGTAATTTGTCCAAACACCGGGCGACAACGGCGCTGGTGCTGCCGTAGCCTGAGAACTGTGCTTGGAGGGTTTCTACCGGTGATGCCTTGACTGCAAGATGCCGTCTCTTGATACTTCCCCATTTCTCCATCAAGTTCCCCTGGATCCAACGAACGATCTCGCCACGTAGCCATTCGATGTCCACACTCGGGTCGTAGCCTCGGGTGGCTTTCCCATCGGCATCCGTTGTGCCGCTGACATCGACCACATGTATAAGGGCATCCGCGTGGCGTAAGTCGTCCAGAAACTTGTTACCGAGACCTCTGCCTTCGTGTGCGCCGGGGACCAGCCCGGCCACGTCGAGCAGTTCTATCGGCACCGATCTCTTGCCATCCACGCAGGAACCGTAATTCGGCCGGCACCTCTCCGTAAGGCCATGTCGCTTGCAGGCACAATCGACTTGGAGATATCCGACGGCTCTTTGAGGGTCGATCGTTGTGAACCTGATATCACACAGATTTAGTCCAGGCGCGGGTCGGGCTGAGGTGAGGGTGTCTCTCTTACGGGAAGTTGCCTGCGCAGGGATCATCAGCCTGGTCCTCTTCCTTGGTCGGGAAGAATCATCGCGCACTGACCGACTTTAGAGCTAGCGTCTGTCAAGCTGTGAGGGGCTTGTAAGTCGAGATTGAAGCGCTGGTAGGTGAGATATACCTGTTCAAAGTCGTCGACTTGCCAGAGGATGGTTTTCCCACGAGCCCGATAAGTGGATCTCGGGGCATCGTGGGGAGGCACTCTCAAGCGGATTCTGGCAGAAGAAAGGAAGAAGAGGGCGATTTCCCCGGCCTGAACGGCCGCCAAATTATCAGACTAGCAGTCCGGTTGTTTCGTGTGGTATGGTGGAAAATTGTCGGAGCCTCAGAAAGGGCAGGGCGGGAGTCTTGCGAGGCGAAAAACCTAAATGACGTGCGCTGCGGTTATCGAATCAAGTTCCAAGTTCAACCCACAACTCCTTAAAGTCGTCGACGAGGTTCCTCTTTGTTTTCCTTAATGAGCTTAAAGCAGTCTTTGCCGCGTGGCCTGTCATTGAGTGACGCGATGTCTTTTTGTAAACACGAATGCGGTTCTGCGGACGGCAAGGGAGAGATTGAGACGTTTCTTGATATCTCAGCCGTCGAGGGATTGACCGAGCAGAATGTTTGGGTATCGGGCTTTCTACTACGTTTCCTTCCTTGTCACGGCACTTATGCACCTCTATTTCAGTGATTTGATCAGCACCTTCGCCATGATCGTGGTGATATGTTTGTCAAATTCAAGGCAGCCCATTTACCAGAGCATGCTGCGATTGCATTGTGTGGTTCTGATATGCTTCGTTCTAGCCTTCTGCTTCAATACCGTTTCTGCTAAAACCGAGCAGACGGTGCTCGAAGGGGGATACCAAATACTAGATGTTTGTGAACCATTCTCAAACATTAATTTGTGTTGGGTGACGATTGACGTTGTTGCAGTTCGATGAGATTGAGACGCCTGGTGGTTTCGGCAACATAGCTCGACCATATAAGGGACTAGTGTTCAACGACTTCTATGCCTTCAAACCATCACATCCCAGGTTGGACGGCGTCATTTCCTCCTATGACCTGAACTGTGCTGTCTCAAAGCCAAATGCATTGTACGGAGCTGCAAATCCCGATACGTTGGATGATCAAGGAGGCTACAGAGCCACACCAGGAGAACGGCCCTCTATCTGCCCCTACACTTCATCGGAATCCTTCAGTGTCCACGCACTCAAAATAAAGCCGCTTGACATGCCGGTCGGGTCTGTGACGATCAACCTTCAAGGTTTCCGTGGGAGAAAAGCAGAGGATACTCTGTCCTGGAGTGTCGCTTTTCCCGCCGGCTTTCATGACGTCCTTCATATTCGAGTCGAGAAGTTCACTGGGAGAACATGGGAGGGTTTGACGCGGCTCGAGGTGTGGGCTGATTTCCAGTTCGAAAACATTAGGATGGAAGACTGGGAGTTCTGCATCGACGATCTTGAGTTTGAACTAGGATCCCGTGCTCGGACCTGAGATCGCTCACCAGCCTAAACAATGTCTTTATCAAGGATGCAGCCTCAGCCTCATTATTCAATGATGTTGGAGATGTTTCCACCTCCTCGTCCTTCGCCGCAAAGGACTATATCTTGCTCCAAGTGCCTCAATACCAACACAAATAACTCACGTCCCGGGGCAGTGTCCTGCCAGGAAGGTTCATACAGACGAATTGTTCGCAGTAAACCGTGAACTTTGCGGTGATAACCCAAGCGAAAATGCGCATCTCTTCTGTCACCTTTCTTTCAGCCCAGGCACATCACCAACCTGATTGGGTCGGTGATGTTTTCCCTTACAGGCACTTATCGGCACTAAACTTCTCTAGGCGATGACGTATACTGTGCGAGACTGCAGTTTTCCATGGGTCTCGTGCGAAGTTTCGAGATCAGTTGCAGAATGGAAATGTGGCAGGCAGATCACCGTGCCATCATTGGTCTTCCATGAGTGACGTCTTAAGAGTCCACAATGCTACAGCAGTCGAATAAAAGACCCAGGCTGACTCCCGAGCTTTTGCTTGCTTCCTGCTCACAAGTCAAAGCATCTCAAATCACACCAAATTTAAGATCTCGCCCTCTCCAAACAACACACAGTCAGGCATAGCTTCAATACTCAGAAACACACGGAGGAACAATGTCCGAGGAAACTTTCCACGTAACTGGCGAGGACGTCCGCAAGATAGAGTCGAAGGAGTCGAAATTCCATGGTGGCCAGACACCCAAGGATTCGGACACATCTGCACTGAAGGTAAGGGTTCGCACCTTTGACATACCCAGTATATCCGCTTTGACTTACTTCTGTCGGATTGCTGACCTGCCACTATAGCAACTCCTCTCCGAACAGGAATCCAAGCAGGAACAAATCGATCGCGTCAAGGCGAATCTCCCTCTCCCAGATCAGCCCGTTGGCGGAGCAAGCGCAGATCTCCAATCAGCAGACCAACGCACTGTGAATGTTGGCAGTGGGGGCGTGAACGTAAAATTGGGCACGGGCTCAGCATCTGGTTTGAGAGAACCGGCAACAGCCGACAGCAGCGTCAGAACAGATGGGGAGGAGTACAAGAAGGCAACCGAGCCGCCTCGTCCATAAGGTCACCAAGCCAGATCAACCTCCAATGACTGATATCAGCATATGGTCGACGGATGGTCAGTGGAAAAGGGACTTTGAACTGTCATCAAAAACAGGGAATCCGATGGCATGAAAATCATATAGAAGGGAGAACATTATTCATCGTCCATGGGGATCTAGTCTGCGTCTTCGATGGTCAACATTGAACGCCGTTTAAATGGTCAGGATAGGTTCAAGACTCCTAAGCTCAAAAAAGCAACATCGTTGTCTACCGCCCAAAGAGCTCGACGCTGTGCTGTGCTTCTGTTCTGTTGAAACACCCTTCCTACAAAGTTGTGCTTGGCCCTTTCATAGTATTCATTCAAGTTCCTTCACCTTACAGCAAATCCAGCAATGGGTGCATGATGTGTACTGTGAACACCGTGGCTCCGCTGATGACAACGCCACATCACACCCGCAGAATCGCAGTGCCCAAGAGGAAACATGTACTCCTCGCATCGCCTTGCCACCGTGAGAGTTTATGCGTGCGCCGTTTGGTATCCTATATCCCATGATGATGCAATGTCCTCAGTGTTTCGGAATCAAGCCTCTGAGACTCAAATCATATACCACATCTTCCACCTTCTTAACACTGTATTTGAGCGCATCTACTCTTCGCCGGAGTGCATCATTCTTTAGGTTCAGGAGCTGAAACCCTGCGTGGACATCTTTGGTGAACTTTGAGATTTGCAAAGGGCGAGCGTTGTCGGCGAGAGTCACCGCGTTGGGCGCAAGACGGGCAAGCTCTTCGATCATATTGGTCAGGGCCAGTAGGTAGTCTTCGATCGTAATGTGGAAGGTGTCTTCGCCTTTGACATCTACCGGCACTACAGTGGTAATCAGCAAGTTTGTTGAAGGGGATACGCAGGGTTCACATATACCTTCAAGTCTCTGTCCGACTTCTTCCAGTGTCACCAGATTCCCACTCTTGAGCCACTCACACATTTGTATGTTGCTGACAACATTCTGTACCTCTCGCTGCCACATTGAGTTCCATTTGTAGAAGGGATACTTTGAGGCAGCCTGCGCCAGTTCTTTCACCGTGGCCGCCTGTTGTTTGAGGGATTCGGAACACGGTGCGAGGACCGATTCTTCAAGGTCCGCGGTAGGCGTGTTGTGGATGCGAGAGAGGATCGACTGCGTAACTCTGCCTTGCTTCGAGAGAGTTTCGACAATGTTCTTGAGCTCGTCGCGGATCCCAGTTTCTTCGTCTATTTTCGCTTGAAGGGAGCTAAAGATGGCGGGGTCGACGTTGGGCAACGGAGCCGCGGCCGCGCTGTTAGTCATGGCCGTGTCGCCAGACATCGTGCCTTTACAGAACGCTGGCTGTCATACCACCTAGGGTGGTCTTCGAGAAGGAGGTTGTGATTGACCTGGGGAAGTGAGTCGGAGCGCTACCAGCCGCTGGCCTCGACTGCCACACTGGCTGGAAAATAAGTTTGCCACACCAGAAACAACTATTGGTGACTGCTCTGAGGCCTTTCCGCGATCGTCAGATTTGACGACCAGATGGTACGATGAGGAAAGTCCTGTAAAGGCACAGAAGCTGGATTAATTCTCTACTGCGGGTTTGTTGACCACGAATAGGGCTATCGCGAGCAAGAATCTGTGGGTTTCGTTTCAGGCGAGCTAGAATATTGTAAGCAATTTGCCGCACGGTCCTTGAGCTGCTCACTATATCATTCCAGCTAGTTTTTCTCACACCGAAAGGTCCCACATTTTGGCTCTTCTCCAAAGTCTTGCACAAGGCAATAGACGGTGATGAAAAGGGGGGTTGTTCGCGTCACAAGACGGCAGTGTAAGGCCTCGGACACGGTGCAAGAGACCTCTGTGCAAGCACAGAGAGACCCAAGCGAGGTGCAAAAATAAATTTAATCAATGTTTGTCACCGTAGTGACATTTCAGAGATTAAACTGAAAAGAACAGATACTACACTTGATCTAAGCCAGTTGGCAAAGAGAGCTGAGGAAAGGAAAGAAGAGTAGCTTCGCTCACAGAGCAGAGCAGAGCAGGGTTTTTAAATGATTTGGGGGATCCGCAATGGTTCGGGGCTTGGCAAATCGAAGTCTTGGCAGAACTCAAGATGCACCACAGACAGCTGTGGATTCATTCGGGAAGGTGACGCCTGTCCGAAGTTCGGCATGAGCCATTGGCAATAGCTACGAATACTGACGAAGCAGCGTGCATGGTCACGAAGCGGTCAAGCGGACTGATCAAGCTCACCCGGAATCTGCATTACGAGTAGGTCAAACGAGAAATGACCTCCAATAGACATGTCAGTAATCAAAAGGTAGGAAACTTGAGAATATCCGAGAATGGATTGGAACGGTACAGATGTTGTTGATCTGGCCTCCAAGAAAGCCGACAAGTGGACCACTTTGATGAAAAGCCTAGCAGCTGCATTCTTGTTGTAGGACACGCAGTTCGGACTGAACTGAAGTATCGACGATTTCCACAGAGAAATCAAAACTCCAGAACCTTTTGCGTCTCTCCTCCGGCAGAGACTCAGAGTACAATGGTATTTGGGCACTGGCAGAGATGTATGAGCTACGTGACAACCGACTTCAGCACCTGTCACGGTTCCGCCAAGACCTAGTTGGCACGTGACTATTTCGCGCGCTGCCTGCGACCATTACCTCGTCGCAGGCTGGCCAACTCTCAGATAGACTCTCTTCGAGTTCGTATTCATGTTATCAGTGCTGTAACACTTTGTGCTGTGCTGGCGCCGTGACAGATAACGACCGGGAAGCCCAAGAAACGGAAGATAAATAGTAACTACGGCGCCACCGACTCCCGATAGCTGAGCCATAGCCATAGGGAGCGCTAGCATCATACCTCATCGAATATATAGACGAATCGGATTAAGATAGATTATCCAGAGGCTAAGGAGAGAAGGATATAGAAAGCACAAATATAACATCCCGACGACCTATCCATAAATATAACACACAAAAACAAAAACAAACATAAAAACAAAAATCATCAAAAAAGCGGTAGCGTAGTCACTTGCCGTAATCAGGCTCCGTATAACGGAGAGACCACCGTCTCTTTTGTTTTTCTTACTACTCATTGCTGGAGTATTCAACTGCTAGTGCGCCAATTACCTTTACTCACTTCTAGAATATCCATCTGCTGGCGACGCCTAACATCGCTACCTGATCACAATCAAATCGCTAGAACAGCCAATGGGTTTAGCTGGAGGGCAATGGTTTAATGCAAGGCCGCATCTTCAAAAGGAAGAACCCCGGGAGTGTTGTGGATTCTCCATGGGCACTGTGCCGTAGGCACGTGCCCCTGGCCACGTGACCTAGTCACGTGGTGAACCCAGAACCCTGGGTGTACACCTACCTTAGTTAAGCATAGATAGATAAGTGCCTTCGGCACTTCCACAGAGCTAGACAATCAACCATTCTACGACCTATCCTCGCCAACTGGCCTGCTAGCACTAACAAAGAGGAAGAAGTATTCCAGCACGCCTATGTGCGCCAGCCAATCACAGCGCCTGAACCTATTCTATACACCTATACAGCCTAAGACCTGGCCTTGGCGAAACCCCAGCTCTCAGCACGACTCTCCCCAATACAGTAGGTTTATATAACGATAGGAAATATCCCTCTTCTATAGATGAGATGTATCGGAAACAAAGACGCTCTCTAATTTAGCTCCTCAGTTTCTGCTATAATTTACCTGCGACTCTCCATCGGCCGGAGGGGCGGGGCGGGTTCCCAGAGGTCAACTGGTCCGAGTCAGCGAGGGGTCAACTGGTCAGGTCTCTTCTCCGCGGATCGACCCGCGTCCCCAGAGGTCAACTGGTCGAAATCAACAAGGGGTCAACTGGCCGAGCTAGCTGAGGGGTCAACTGGTCGGCAAAGGGTCAACTGGTCGAAACTAACGGGGGGGGGTCAACCGGCCGAGATGCGATCGGCACCAGCACCCAAGTCGATAAGGGGTCAACTGGTCGACTACCGCTCGCAGGGTCAACTGGCTCAAGTGGAGTTCGCCGGCCGTCTCCGCGTCGGTCAACTGGTCAGATCCCGTCAGGGTCGACCGGTCGAAGCAAACCCTACCCGGGCCAGTTGACCTGCC